GATACAGACTCAAGCGGGATATGCAACGAGTTGTCGAGTGGGACAACGGATCGATGCCGCCCATTTGTCAACCACAGCACAATGATCCCCCGGACTCCATGACGTTACCTTTTGTCAACTTGAAGGCGCCCCTCGTGCTGCACATCCTGGACCGACGTCTCGGCAAGTCTGGTACCTCGCTCGGTCTTCCTCGTGTTTTGCCAAAGATTTTCTTGTCTGCAATGAGCGGAGAGCTACAAAACAATGCTCTATCGACGCACTCGTTCCTGCGTACATGCAGGAAGGTCAGCGGAATTGATCTTCGGTCATTCGCTGAACAGTGGATCTACGGTAGTGGTTGTCCAGCGTTTGGGTTCTCGGCTTCATTCAACAGGAAGAAGATGGCAGTCGAAATCACGATGCGACAAGATTCGCCTGCATACAAGGCGCTTGAGCACAATGAGGTATCGAAACTGTTGCACAAGCCCGTGCCATTCTTCGAGGTACGTTTATGAGCGGTTGCATCCTGATCAAGCCCCTCACCAGCCTCTAAAGGGCCAAATGACTGTTCGGATCCATGAGGCAGATGGCACTCCATATGAGCACGTTCTAGACATTCGTTCGTCCTTCAAGCGTTTTGAAGTCCCTTTCAACACGAAGTACAAACGTATTCGACGAAACACTAAGCGATACCTTGCACGACAAGCGGCTGCTCAGGCTGCAGCAGAAGGCGATGCAGAAGCTGCTGAAGCTATGGGTCTAATCGACATGGGTTTTGGACTCGAGATTTGGGAAAAGGAGAAGGAACGAGAAAATTGGAAGGTGGCTGACTGGACAGAAGAGGATGAACAGGTGATGTCGGGGGCGACGTACGAATGGATTCGCATGGACGCCGATTTTGAATGGATCGCTGCTATAGCTTTCGAACAGCCCGACTTCATGTGGGTTTCGCAGTTGCAGCGAGATCGTGACGTCGTTGCGCAGCTGGAAGTGAGTTATTTGTTGACAATTCATTTTCCTGGCTTGAACTTTCATAGGCTGTTAACGCTCTCTCAAAACAATCCACCGCCATCGTTTCGAGCACTTTCACCAAGACAGTGCTCGTCTCCAATTACTACTATCGCATACGTTGTGAGGCTGCGATGGCCCTAGTGCATGTCAGTGTTTCTAGATTTTTTGTACCTTTTGAAGATCTCTAATGTGAAAGCATCAGTGCGCCATTCGGAAACTTGACTTCTTGGGACTATTTCATCTGTTCAAGTTGTTCCTCCGCTACTGCTACGACCCAGAAGACCCCAACCAAGACTTGTTTGCTCATACTTACGTCCCAAAGCCTAATGATTTCTCTGACCTGGCGGAATACTTTGTTCGGAAGGTATGTCTTCACAGTGCTACTTTTATTTCGCAACTCATGGTTTTTCAGAGCATCGTTCACGCAATATCTCAAGTGCGGTTTGAGAACGGCAAAACGCCTTCAGTAGTTCGTCAGTTCCTCGTCGACCAGCTTCGTTACAACGACAACACGGCCAACCCAGTAAGTACTAGCAATTCCGTGCAAAATAGAATAGTTACCACTTAAATGCTCTCTAGTACTCAGACGCATTCTATATATGCACTCTCATTTCGGCTGTTGCTTGTGCAACTGTCTCGGTTGCTCCTCCAGAACGTGGCGAGCTCCTTCGCGAAGAGGTTCAGTCGGAGCATACTACCGAGGATGCCAACTTGATGAAACAGGCGATCGACGAGGTCAGTAGGTATCGGAGCATGGACAGACTCATCCCGTCACCAAAGAATGTAGTCACCACTGCAGTGTTGGAAGTGAGTAGCTTCATGCATCAAAGATCTTACATTGACGACTTTGACCTCAGTTCTACTTGATTCTCACTACCGCGAACCTCATCCCGAACGATCTCCGGGTCTTTTTCCCTCTTACTCGGTATGTTACAATGGCTGTATATTCTACTTCATCTGATTGTCTCTCAGTGAGGGTAATTACACTCAAGTTCGTCTCGCCGCGTTCGATGGCCTTTTCATGTCCAAGTGGTACACTCCTGCCATCATGCGCTACGTATTAGCTGTCATGGCAAACGACCCATCTCGCGTGGTCCGGAGACATGTGGCCCGTAGCGCATGTCAAAGCTTAGCTCTGTTGGTGTCCATGGGGGAAATGAAGAACTCCATCAAGGACACAGAATCCCTGCTCATCGAGGAAGACGGTTCCCTGCCAGAAAAGTCGAAAGAAGCGAAGAAGAGCGAGGTTGATATGATGATTAAGGTACTCAGGAAAGACAGAGAAATTGGTAAGAACGAAGTGTTGCGAGAGTTTTTGATGTCCATTGCTCTGTAAGTTCTTCGACATGATCTTGTGTGACTGTCACTCATATAATCAATCGGGACGAAGTGCACCGGACATTGACCAGGAAGTGCGCTGGGGTGTCATCAAGCTAGCTGACATTGTCCTTCGGGGAGTTGAAGAGACTCCACCGAAGGTTACTATTCACCTGCCCCCTACACCTGTGACTGAAGTCCCGCCCCCGCTGCCAACGGTGAAGGTCCTGCCGAAAGCCTCTCGACCTCTCAAGTCCGGGGGACCACCTCCTCGGTCGCCTGCTATTCCATCTGCTGCCCCTAAGCTCAAAATTATGCCTGGTATTGCTCAAGCCCGAGGCCCCACTACATCTGTCACTACATCCGCTGTTCCAACGCCTCCAGCTCGTGCAGGCTCCATGGCTCCTCCCCCAGTTCCTGCGAAAGCCAAGCCCAAACCCAAACCAAAGCTTTTGAATGGTGTCAGACCCCCTCATATTCCGAAGGCACAGTCAGCTGGAATGAGCTTGAACGATTTGCGTGCAAGCCGCAATGCACTCAAGAAGCTCACGATGCATAAGAGCGCAGTGCTTTTTATGCAACCAGTGGATCCTGTTCGAGACCATGCCCCAAAGTTTGTATCTTTGATAATGACTTTCCACTTTTGCTTACGCGGTATATAGCTATTACGAGGTCATCAAGAATCCTATGGACCTCAGCACCATGGGCGCTAAAGTAGAGGCGGGAATGTACAAGGATCGCTTCGCCTTCGAGGGAGACTTCCGTCTTATGATAGCAAATGCGAAGCAGTACAACCCTTCTGGAACGTACGCCCACACTGAGGCGATTTTCTTGGAAACGTTCTTTGAAAAACGTGAGTTCAATAGCACAAAATCATCTCATTTTCTTACCTCTGGCCAGTTTGGAACCGCATTCAGAAGACTCTCGAAGCTGCTAGCAAGAATGCAGAGCCTGCGCCCGAGAGTTTGCCCACTGTCATAGTGAAAAAACCCACAACTGCTGCGTCAAAGCCTCCTGCGGTCTCAGCCCCGCTGCCACCTCCGCAAGCAGCATCGGAGACTCCAGCACGTCCGATCATCAAGCTCAAGGTTGGTGGTCCACAAGTTAAGGTACCGCAACCAGAGCCCCCGAAGAAGGCGGGGGAGCCCAAGTCTTCACAGAAACCCAAACCGCGCAAGCCCAAAGCTGTTGACGAAGCACCTCCGCCTTATGTTGATGATGGATCCCATGACCTGTTGCAAGAAGTCATCGCTATTGAGCGAGAGAAGGACGAAGAGAAGCGCACCCGGAAAACCAAAGATCCTGTTCGAGAATCACCACCCCCTGCAAGAGCTTCTGGCAGTGGACCACCTGGAAAACGCAGAAAGACGAGTGCTGACGATAATGGTAGCGAGATACTGATGTTAGCCCCGTCCCTCTCCAGGAAGGAAAAGCCTAGCGCCCCCTCTTTGAGCTCTAGCACTCCAGCTGCGGAACCGTCCGTTACGCCTGCGCCTGCGCCTATTCCTAAAGTGTCTCTTGGCAAACCAAAGAAAGAGAAACCTGCAAATCTTCGCGATTCAGAATCCGCCTCAGAACCTCCGCGCACCTCCATCAAAGGCAAAGAGAGAGAAGTGGTTCCTAGCAATACTCCGACGCCATCGAAGCCTCGCAAGATGCAGGCGTCAGCTCCTCTAAATGAGAAGAAATGTCGGGAAATTTTGAAGGTCCTTCTCAGGGTGCCAGAGTGCATTATATTCGCTCTGCCCGTGGACCCTGAGAGAGACGGTTGCCCTACGTGAGTGACATGTTGCATTATCACGACTAACACTGACATTTATATAGTTACTATGAAGAAATCAAACACCCGATGGACTTTGGTACTATGACCCAGCGTTTGAACGAGGGCAAGTACTCGACCATGGATGACTTCCAAAAAGACGTCGAGCTGGTGTTAAGCAACTGCCGAAAATTCAACCCACCCACTACGTACCCCGTCAACTGTGCGGATGTGGTGGAGAAAGTATTCAAGAAAGAATGGTCGAAGGTGATAGAGAAGAAGCTTTCATGGACGGAGAAGAGGACTTTACAAACGCTGATGACTCAATTGGTGAAGGAGGACGTGTAAGTTTTTTTTTTTCATTCATGGTGGTTCAAGGATGCTAACTTTGCCGCAGCTCCTGGGTGTTCCGAGAACCCGTCGATCCTGTCCTGTTGGGCATCCCGACGTATTTTGACGTCATACCGAAGAGGGATGCGAGGGACCTGAGAACGATCCGCCAGAAGTTGGACGCTGACAAGTACGACTCGACTGATGCATTTGAGGCAGACATTGACCTCATGATCCGAAACGCCATCACATTCAATGGCGTGGACTCTGAGGTTGGGCATATCGCGCAGGCCGTACGCGACCGGGTCAAGGAGCTGTTTGGTGGAGCCAAAACGAGTACAGGGACCAAGAAACGCAAGGATGGTGAGAAAGGGACGCCTCAGCCGTCGAAGAAAGTGAAGCTCGGTTGATGATCATATGTTAAATTACTGCAAGTTAAGCAAATAATCCGTTTGTATCTATTATTACTCGCTATTCTTTGCTATGTAATTGCTTTCGCGGTAGCCATTATGCGAACGGTCACTAAATACAAACTGCTGAAATTTCAAATATCGTTTAAGGTCATCGATTTCTAGTTTCCCTTAGTCCTTGTTCTATAACCGCTTCAGGGCGTCGCAATGTGAATACCAATACCTCCAGCTTGGAACGTCACACCGGTGAGATTGCCAGCAGCGGTGGGGACCTCGAAGACAGAAAATATGCGTTGTACCTGTTTCGTCGCGTTTGTGACCCAGCCCAATCCGATATCCTGGTACGGCATGTAGACCTGCGCGTTGCCCATGTTGACAACGAGGAGCAAGTATGAAGTGCCGTTGTTCCAGAGACCGGCATCCACGCCCTGGTAGTCATAGCTGGCAAATGTGGCGTTCGGGTCGACCATGAAAGGCTGAACATATTTTTGGATGAGAACGGTGAGGCCAGCTGCTGTCCCTTCGATCGTTGTTTCATTGTTGGTTGTGGTCGGGTATTGGTAGGACTTGGAACCTAGATGATGGAAGTTAATTTTATTTATTTATATGCGCGGTATCAGCATAAAATTACCTATAGCACCATGGCTGAAGGAAGTGAATCCCATAGCAGCCCATTGCATGCCAGTGGGAGTTGTGTTCCAGTATCTGTAAGGGGAGTCAAGACAGAGGTCGTGTTGGTGACTCAAGGTAACTTACGCGGCACTGCCGAAAGCCTGGGGCGTGGTCCACACGGACTTGGTGCGGTCAAAGCCCAAGATGTTGAGTCTGTTTTTAAAGGTCTGGACACGGGCCTTAACATCCCACATTTCCCCTTGGCAGTTGTCGCAACCACAGTGACCGAAGTCCGGAGTACACTCTGTGTTCCACACAGGAGACCATGTGGCATTGATACCGATAGGATAAGCATCCTACACCAGGAGTTAGAAGCGCAAGTGATGAAAATAGTATATGTAGCTCACCTGCAGAACGATATCAGCTCCCCCGACGTAAGGCGAGAAGTTGTAGTCTTGGCAATTCAGAACAATAGAGACAGGATGATATCCGTCCATTTGGTAAATTAAGTCATATGCTGCCTGCGCCGCATTTTGGGGGTCAGAGTTGCCATCGGGCTCGTGTGCGGTCTCCCAGTTCAGTAGGTTTGGAATCGAGGCGTAAGTGTTCACTTGTTGAGCGACAGCGGTCAAATTTTGGTAGTTCCTGAATACAAATATATCAATGATCATAAGCTGAGGTGACAGAAGCCTGACATACGATCGCATATCATAAACGATGTACATGCCGGCACTGACGGTCTTGTTAATGACTTCTTCGAAAATAGTGAGGTTATCGTAAGGAGGAATTGGGTGAAGCTATGGCGTATACGGTCAGCGCGGGACATCAGATCACCACGAAACATACAGTGTTAAAGCTGAAAAAAAAATGAATGATTGCTTAGGAGGTGATGGCAACGAAAGACGAACCCATCAGCCTTAAGTTGATCGATCATAGACAAATTTTTCGCTAGATACTGGTCGAAATTTATGTAGAATCCTTGAGGGATGAACGGCGCAAATGTTCCACCATTGCCACTTGCAGGCCGCACCCAGAGTGCACCAGTGCGCAAGTCTGTCTTTGTGACGGAAGCATTTGTATTAGGGAGATACAAAAGGGATGAGCTAGCACTGAATTTCTGCTCGTTTGCAGTTTCAGACCCCGAAGATGAAGGAGCAGAATATACAGCAGAGCAGCTGACATTGTATGCGGTCTTCTGGGCGTCGAGATTGCTGATATCTACGGGAATTTGAATCCCGGTAGCGTTTAGAGGGACGTTTGTGGTGGTGTAGACAGAGCCCACACTGATGGTGACGCTGAGGCTTCCTAGGCCAGTGGAGCCGCTAGAATTGCTCGAGTTAGAAGGAAGTGATATGCTCTCAGCACCAGTGATCCAGTCGTAAACAATTGGTGTGTCGACCACAAATGCCGCGCTCTTCGCATCCTCCTCGAGGTATGGGCGGAAGACAGGGGCACAGCGAAACGACAGAAGCGGTTCAGCACTTTGGATGGGTAAGACAAACTGTCCACCAGGGGGCACCACAGACTGGTTTGCCATATAGTTCTTACCGCACCTGAAAATATTTAGGAATGAGCAAGCAGGCTGCAGAATAGAAACGATACGTACCATGTCGTGCTCTGAGCGAGCGAAACTCGAACCAGGCCAGCAGCAACCATAGCCGTGAAGCTTTTGCTGTACTTCATTTTCTATCTCTCCTCGGGCCTGGTGGGGGAGAGGCAGGTTGGAATGGAGTTAGTGTTGGGATGCCGTTGACCAGCTCATCACAACTTATACGATATCCAGCTGTTTACTAAGGCAGGTAAATGTCCATCAGAGCGATTAGGCTGCGCAGCAGCGCACCACGTGTGGATCGCTTCTACTAGTATACTTAGAGCTGTGAACCGCGATGATACTCGGCTCCAAGTCGCGTTGGAAATCGCGCCAGTATCTTTTTGAGGAGCAGCGCTGTGAGTACTTGATCGAAGGCATGCAGACTAAAGGCACGAAGCAGCACAGTTGCGGCTAGTTCGAAACAAGCAGTGTAATGACATCAACTAGCATGATATGAATAGTTACCTTATGGCGATAGTAAAGCAAGGTACTACCCATACGACGCCCTAAAGCTTGACGGGTTTGCAAATGGATTGCAAATGAGCTACATAGTATGATGCGCTGGCCCATCGGCATCGCCGTAGACGGCGACTTGTTGTCAGTCGGGATCCATGGCGGCTCCTTTCAAGTCGCCATCATGATGGGGCAGCTATCCGTTTCAGATAAAGTTTCAGATTAGTACTCACTCGCCGACAAAGGTACATGTGTGCACGTGACTTTCAACAATTCAAGTCTCCGCCATAGAATGAGCGAAATCAGAAACTAGAAAAGTTTGTGGTCGTACAGACACGGTTTATGATATGCAACGCATTACATTAGAGCAAGACAACTAATGGCGAGAGTACTGAAAATGCTTGCGTGCCTCGTGTCAGTTACAGCACCGAAAACCTCGGATGGCAACCAACATTAATGGACTACTCAGCGTAATGGTAAATTGGAATTAATCGGTGCGTCAACTCGTCATCATACCAGTGACCGTCGTCCTTGGACGTAGCCCCAGTGGGCCACGAGAAAGAAGTGTTTGCCCGGAACCCAAACAGAAATAATCGACGAGATCAATTTATATAAACGCTTGGATCTGCATTGACACAAATTGACACTCGCGTGTTGTGGCAGTGGGCACCGACAAATTGGCCATTGCTTATACCACCACCCAATTCTTCAAAGAGCTGCAACGCCTTGGATGCTAGCTTGTTACTGCTTCGGCAAGAATGAAGACGCCACAAGATGGTTGTTACGACAATCGCACTCTTGCTGAGCTTGACGGAAATATGTGGAACGACGCGCTAGCTGTTGTCGACGGTCGTTACTTGAAAGACACACCAAACGCCCTCCAGCCTGAGGAGTAGTCTGAGTTCATTGTGAAACCTGCCAAGTCAGCGTTCCCGGAAGCGATGATGGCCATTGGGACCTATCTTGATTCTTGATCATAATTGAAGGGTTGGACCAACTTGGATGAGAGTGGCGACCCTGATACTCGAAAATATCACCTTCAAACATGGGGTGGAAAAGTGGACAACGACACAAACTGTATCACCAAGTTTCCTGCAGAGAACTTCCATTTTTCTGATTGCTGAAGTAAACTGCCGCTTTCTTCCCGCGAATATACGCGAGGGTATTGCGGAAGTGCTGAGTGATCACTTCGGGTGTTGCAACACCTTCTTCGTCGATGGAGGAGGCGATGAGTTCAACAAGACGCGGGAGCTTGGACTCAGCAAGCCGCCAAAAAGTGCATGGTCATTGGTCACGTGGCGGGTCCCAGGTGCGCTGAGCTTCTGGACGCCTCTCCTTCAAGTGGAGCAAGCTGCAACGTGTTCAAAGTTCAAACCCTTGACAATCTATAATGTCCTTGAAACAAGACCGAAGAAATCGCTCCTGGATTAACCGTTTTCTAGCCTCCCTCCGTCGTGTATTCGTGTCAGAGCCTCCTCCTGGACTCCCGGGCCTGGCAGCTATAAAGTTTCACTGTCCATATGGGCCTGATGTCAATAGCGCATCAGTGCTGGGTTGGCGTTCCCAGATGGCAGATTCTTGGGACGAAATCAATGGTAATCTGTACACAAAGTGTGTGCTGGCACGCATGGAGTACTACAAGTGCACTCGTGATCGCGAACACGAGTTCCTCGTGTTTTATTTCAGACATTGGATCGATGGCTGCTCCGCTCAGGCTGTAGTGTCTGCAGACCGTGGCATGCAAGTACAATATCGTTCTCTCAAACAATCATCTGAATTAGTCTCTTCCTCATCATCCAACACCACCGCGTACGATTCTGTATGTATTTATGGTTCCCCCCGCGATGCAACACCACATCTTCGAGCCAGATATACACCATACAGCAGGCTCGGTACCTTTGACTTTCCTTCATCTTCGGCGCCCTCGGCACTTCAAGTGTCCACTGTCCTGTCTCTAGTACACCGCCAGGCCCCGGCATATCACTTGTACGAAAACCAATGCCATTGGTTTTCAAGCGCAGTGTGGGGCAGCTTGAAAGAGTTGTTCCCTAGTGACCAAGACTCGGGATGTGTGTCTCGTGCACGCGCACGTTATCGCGGTGTCGCATTAGGGTCGCCAACTGAGGATATCGAGGCTGTATGTGCTGCTTATCAGCCCGAGTGGCAAAAGATGTTGGAGCTGCTCGAGCAGGTAAAGTGCCGTCACGAAGCTGAAAAAGCAAAGGTGGGCTATTCTCAGCTAATATGGTCTCCATTTCTTGATGGTACTTGTCTTTGCAGGAACGACAGAAATTCTACATGGAGCTTGAGATCAAAAATGAGCCGTTTCGCCAAGCACGGGTGAGTTGTTTTCTCAGCAAATTTAGTCTTTGTTTGTTGATGGTACTTGTCCACCAGCAGGCCGAACTGGAACGACTTCGCCAAGCAGAAGTGCGCTATCCTCCGCAAAAAAAAATTGACTTTGTTTGTTGATCTGTACTTTGTTTTTGTAGATTTGCGCGCAGGTTGAACTTGAGCGAGTCCGCCAAGCAAAAGTGGGTTATTCTCAGCAAACATGATCTTCGTTTATTGACGGTACTATGTCCACCAGCAGGCCGAACTAGAACAAGCACAAGTGCGCTATTCTCAGCAATAAAAGTTGTCTTTGTTTGTTGATCTGTACTTGTTTTTGTAGATTCGCACGCAGGCTGAAATCGAGCGAGATCTCCGAGCAAAAGTGGGTTATTCTCAGCAAACATGATGTTCGTTTATCGATGGTACCATTTCACTAGGACGCCGAAATCGAACAACTTCGCGCGAGACTTGCAGCTTTAGAGGGATAATATTTCATATCTTCATACCGTGAATTAACTATACCCTGTTCATGTTCCATCTCTCCTCTAGTAAGTGCACGCGTCTGGCTTGCACATCAAAGACAAGAACCGCGGTCTAATTGTACGCGAACGTTTCCAATGCATGATAAGCCATGCCTGAGAAGATGATGGGGGACTGTGGGGGAGGATAACTTGGTAGTACATACCAAAAATGTTTTCGGCTCTCCTACGCGTGGACGTCACTCCGAAGATCAACGAGTTCTTGTATCGCATTTCTGTTGTTGTAATGATCAACCTTTCATCTGAGATCTGAGCGCTGAGTACCCAGTTGGCCAGGTCTGTTGGTCAGATCTGGAACAAGTATCTTCGTTCTGCCGAGGGAAACCACTATAGAAGCTGTCCGTCAGTAATTTCCTGATCCTGTCCGCCAGTGCTCATAGCTGGCATGGCGAATGTTGACCTGAAAGAGTTTGTCTTTGACCGCGTTCTGGATGAAAGTACGTATAGCATCATCATGGGGCTAACAGAAAGGCCATTATTGACAACCTAGACGCGCTCGCACATACGCTCGCCGTGCTTGGCACACTGCCCTCCCCATCGACTCCCTCTGCGCCCCTTCGCGCCATCATCCGCTTCGAGCGCACGCCCCTGCCATCTACCCTCGCCTCTCAGCTCTCATCCGGCGTTCTTGAGTCTACCAAGCTGATCGGAAGCACTGACATTGTATGTCCCTCCCTTCCCCTCTCAACCACACACTGATTCACCCATTCTTCAGTACTCGTGGTTCTTTGCTTGGCTTCACAAACACGATGACTTCCCTGACGTGAAGATCTATGTTATCTGCCCCGCCACCGAGGTCCACATCCGCAAGGTCTGTCTTATCCATTTCTTCATCATCACTCACGTTGATGGCCATGCGCTAGTATACAAAGCAGGACATGCTCATGGTGCACGAGACTCCCGCTCTCTACCAGTCCATCGTCAAACCTTACATCCTAGCCTTCGACCCTGCACGCACACAATGGTACTCCTTGTCCTAGTCACAGTCCGCAGGCTGATTCAACCCCCAGGGTCGAAGACATTCTCACAGGTGACGCCGAAGCGTTAAATATCTTGAATGCTTCTCCGGAGTTTCTCATCCTTCCCGACATGAAATGGGACACCACCAATATTTCCAACCTTTACCTCCTCGCGCTCTATAGGCACACTGACGTGCACTGTATGCGGGATCTCCGCAAGAAGCCGCACTTGGGCATGCTCAAGACGCTCAGGAGAGATGCTTGGAGAGTTGTGCAGGATAAGTGGGGTATCGGCCGTGGTGGCGTCAGGATGTACATCCATTACCAGCCGAGTTATTGTGAGTAGTTATTCGTCGGTCAAAAATCTGTCTGAATCTATTGCGCAGACCACTTTCACGTGCACATTGTCTACACGGGCCATGTTGGGCTGTACGGTATGGTGGTGGGCCAAGCCCACCTACTGGATGATATCATTTCCTTGGTGCGTCGCTGTCGTTCTACAATACCACGGTGATGCCTGTATTCATTGCCCTCACAGCTCGAACTAGACCCTGATGATGGCCCTTCTATCATTGAGCGCATGACGTTTACATATGGACTCGGCACAGAACACGGGTTGTACAAACCCTTGGCTGCAGCACTTGCAGAGGGGCGTGATGATGCGGATTAGATGGCGGTGGCGCTGACAGAGAACTGAAGATACCGTACAAGGATATCCATACAAAGCTGACAAGATATTGTTTTTCTTGGGATCAACGTCAAGTAATAATATTTACAAACTGTAAGAACACAGTACAATGCCCTGATTGTAATCAATTCCCCAGGAACTCATTCACCCTATTTCATCCATCCTCAAGAAATTTATATGATGGCTGCGCAGGAATGTCATCAAGGAAGTCCACGTAATCTATGCAACTGACTGGCCACAGTGAGGGGATCAACGAGTAGAGACATCCCCACAGAAATTTGGGTGATCTTCTCGTTGGAAATTATTTGAGAGAACGGCTCGCTATTGATGTAGACTGGGCACACGCGAAAGGACAGTCTAATGGTACGCAGGCGCCGGCAATGATGTATGAGGTGGATGAGTCTATCCGACAAGTCGCTCCTCCAAACCAGAAATTCTCCAGCCTGAGCTGAGGTCAGGATTACACGATTAACTTGAATGGGGCGTTATTGATGTGCCAAGTGCACATCCAATCGAGGTGCAAGTCCGTCAAGCCACTAAACGACAGCGACGGGGCAACCTCGTCAAAGCCAAGTGAAAGGCTGCGAGGGGCAATCGTGTCTTAAGCATCTTCGACACAAACAATCGTCGAGTTGACGTTGACATGGAAGTCAAACGAAATTTCTCAAGAGCAGAAGAGAAGCACTCCGAGAGGGAGACAATGAGGCCTGGAATATCCAATGAATGATACGGGACCTCCGGACCATCGCCTAAATCACTGCAATCAACGTACAAGGAGGAAAGCCAGATACTGTGACAACAGTGAGTAATGATGGAAAGTGATGGCGCAGTGACGCGCATTTGATCGAGTTGGGAGAAATTTGTTGGAGCGGAATTTGGATGTGTCTCGCTCGTTATTGCTGTATAGCTTCAGGATGAAGTGCAGACTTCAACGATGGTAAAGAAGCCAAGCGAGGAAGTTCTCGCGTATTAAGGAGCCCTGCGTCAAGACGGAAAAGTTCCCGCAGGAGCCAGGGCACATAGCCTCGAGGTTTAAAATCATCACCACATATACCGCACTCGAGTTTCCGAATAGATGGACGCCGACCTCGGAGGGAAGCTAATAAATCAGACTTGGCTGACGAGGGGGGTGCCGGTCCATAAACCAACTAAAAAGATGTGATAGTTGACCCAAGGAGGACGCACAACAGCGAAAAGAAGCATTCTCGGTCATCACCAAACTACGAAGAAGGTCTGGCAAGAGCGGTGGGAGTGATGACGCAGAAATGAGTGCTTGCACGACACGATCATCCATCACGTCTAGCTCATCGAAGAAGACCGTAAAGGAGTGGATACGTTGTGGTATCGATCCGTAAGCTCCGCTCTCCATTTGACATAGGTGATTTGAGCGTCTGTTTTGTGTATTTAATATCATGTCGAACATCAGATATTCTGCTCACTAATTTCCCTCGGACATGTTACTGGCACCTTCAGACAGGCATGACATTAGCGGTTTGAACCCGTTTATGTCTGTCTAAAGACTATCAAGCGTAGTCTCCTTGGATTTCCTGCAGGTTTTTGTAAGAGCAGCAGGTGTGGTACGAGGGCTTGGTTCGCGGTCTTCATAGGCGGCGAATATGCAGCGGAATTTATGTCGGCAAGAGACAGACATTCATGACTGAATCAGATCTCCGTTGGTGTAGCGAAAGCCTCTGGAGTACTTCAGAAAATCAAAATTACATCTTGGTCAAGATGATACGTATCATAAAAAGACAAAAGAGCTGCGAATACCGTATTATTCCCTGAAAACAAGAATAATATCCAAAGCATAAATATTAACGAGGTGCTGATGATCCGGGTATTGCTATTAGTCTTAGTTGCAACGCCGATTGCCGTGCGCCATTGTTCTTGCCGTCCATATTGAGCTTATCAAAAGCTTATTGGGCTTATCCAAGCTTCTGCTGATGAGGCTCGTGGTGCAGCTTCCGTCATCTCCAAAAAAATCCATCCAATCTGGACGCCTTGACTTTCTTCAAGGGGCCAGAACAACGTCACAAATCTGCAGTCAACTTGGGATCAATGATAAACTATATTATATCACAAAACTTACCGTCGTGATCCCGACTAACAACAATTCCACCATCAAGACACCCCATACCGAAACCTCTGTTCCGGAAAGCTGAGCAACTTTGGGTTTCAGGAACAAACATGTCTACCGAGCGGCCAGTGTTCTACGGAGCTGGTGTTCCTTCAAGGACCATCAAGGAATACCTACAGTTCATCAGCTCAAGGAGAAAAAAACGGATGGGGCACTGACTTATCCAATTCCACCTGATGTAAAACGAACAGACGCGCAGCGCAGGTAGTGAAGAAGACGAGAGAAAAATTACAAGGTCGTCCAGCATCGATTGGAAAGTAAGTAGGCTGTCCTGACATTCAAATTTCGTGCTGATGAATCTTGCTTTCCTCGTTTTTTTGATGCTGCGCAGGAGATACGACAGTGGCTTGCAATGACCGCTCATGTAGGTATTAATGTAGCATGGGTTCACCGAGCAGGAATCGTAATAGAGTAGCATATAGACCAAGGGCTTGGAGATGTATGAACCCATCCTGAAAGCGAAACTCAGCGAGCGCGATACAGAGAGAACGGTGACTTTCCTGCTGGCTGGGAGGTAGCACTGAGCAACACACGATCCAATTAAATTAGAGTAGCAACGCCATACTTCGGATTCCATGGTAAGATCAGGACAGCGCTGCCTCACGCTTCAAGCCCAGGCTCAAGTGGAAACCACTGGACGCATCACAAGTAAGAGGTCCAAGACTCCAGGTGCAACATTGAGGCATCGCCTTTTTGTTGTAGTCAACTGTTGTCAGACAGTCGTCGTATTGCCAGAGCTTTTCAAGCAGGTGAAAGACAACAACTCCGGTAAAATAAAAAATCAATACTTCAATTTCTTGGACCGAGAAACCCAAGACAAACCAAGGAACTTTGGCTTGAATTGGCGAGCGGAGTTGTATGCACGGTCCACCCAGGGTCCAAAGTCACTTCGATTTCAAGCTGTGACCAAACACAAACCTGACGCCCACAAATCAATCACGAAATACCTCTCGTCCCGCAACGCAACACTTGGCTCAGCTTCAACCACTCAAGCGTAACGCAAGAGGGTTATTTGTAACCGAGATTCTTGAATTGCTTATCTCGAAGAACGAAACGAGCGGCTTCGACACCTCTTCACGCACCCATGGACCCCTCGTAAATCAGAATCGCCTACGATGTATTGTGTCCTTCACGAGAGCATGCAAGACGGCTTGGTGGCATCTCAAGTTAGATTGGTCACAGCTCGGCATCGCCAACTGCGTTGACAAGAACTGGACACCGCGACGGTGAAAAATCGCAATTTTTTCCTCAGCAACGGAACTGGGGGTCTTCATGGTTTCTGCATCTTGATTGCATTTTCTTCTTAGGTTGGATCATTCGGTCCGACATTCTTCACATCTGGATACGCGGAAATTCATGGAGAATTTGGAGCAGCTTACAATGCGTTGGGGGCACTGAGCCGGATCATAGTCACTGGTGAGTGTCTTGCTCACTCCAACCATGTTTTGTTTCTGGGGCGTATCAATACTGGATTGGCATGGAAGCCACTCGTTGATGTTGATGAAGGCGGTTGCGCCAGTTGAGACTTGGGGGGTGATCTTGATGCAGCCATAGTGACTATCTTGACTCATATCAATGCTGCTTGAGACATCTTGAGGGATTTAGAGCACGCTGCTGAGTCGTTTTCATCTTTTATGATGGCGGTTGGAGACTTGCCTGGCTCGTGCGCGTGAAGTAGGCGTGACGCCCCTTTTTGTGTCATGCATCGCGTCACACAATTGTGTCACGCTGCGGTCGTGCAAAGCTAGCCATTTTGGCGGCATTGGGTGTTTTTTCTGGCATATTGAGGGGATGTAAATGCTCAGGATGGTTGATCAGCGCTTTGCAGATATATTGTGTACCATACAACAGGGAGCTCTCCATAAAGAGTCCACGCACCTGTGCCTTGTGTACTACTGTAGTACTGACTCGAAGTTCTTTTCCAGTCAGGGAAGCCTCTGGCTCGCGCAGCATCTTTGTGATGCTCTGAGCAGCACAGAGAGGTCGAAAAAGTCGCGACTCGAGGTCCGTGGTGTATACCTTGGAGCTTTGAATGTACAGGTCCTTGCAACAGCGGTCCTAGGTTTGATGGAGCAACCTGAAGCCCATCCATGGTCACGTTGTCGCTCCTGCGCGTCTTATGCCTCTCGTTTCGCGATTTCTATGGTTGTTCTAGATCGAGGTTGCTCATATGAGACGTGGCTTGGAGATTTAGTTCCGCGGAAGCAGATTCCTTACCAATTGAAGGTCCACTCTGGAATAGGCGCCTTTGGCACTAACTCAGCCCTGTCGGGATCACGAATTCGGGTTCTAGAATTTAGGACATGCCCGCCTCAATTTATTTATTTTCACTTTCCTTCCATCGAACCTCCGCTGGTATTTAAACCCAATGCCTTCACGCAGGAAAAACGACATTCCTTTTCCCTCATTTTCACTGGTGATAAGTCAGTATTCGACCAGCAGCATGAGGTTGCCAAGCTACAGGACGTCTTATTTGCTCCGTTTCCACCCTTACCCGAGAGTCAAACTAGGTCAACGTGAGATGATGGTGAGCCATGCCGCGAACGTCATGTCAGCGCTATTTTTGACACTTCTTGTTGGGAAGCACGATGATGAACGTCTCAGCAGCCAGTATGACATTGTTGAAGACGACGATAGTGCTGGACCGGTGATTCTCAACTTTGTACGCATTTTCTTTTCATCATCTTGTAGCCTTATTCAGTCATGAAATGCAGCCCGACCTCCCTGAAGAGCAGCAACCCAATGCTGCGAACCTGCAGGAAGCCATCGAAGTTGCCGACATTGGCGCCCAACCTCACGTCAGGCGTCTGAGCTTAGCGACTCTAATCATCGTACGTTTGCTATTCTTGCTTGATAGCGCCTGCTCACATGTCACGTCGGCAGGACCTTGCGATACTACTTGCGAGGAAGCTGTCTTTGAAAGTCGACTAATTGGCCATACCTGGACAATCTACTAATTTTGCAGTTCATGCTACTGGCTATCGTCTAACCTGTATCTAGCTCACACTATCATTGTACCTTATTATCGGTCCTTAAACCACACAACTCTGCTTTACACCAATCAATCACTCCTTCACTCTCTATGATATCATCTCACGTACACGATTATCTGTGCTATAACATATCATCAATACATCTAGTGGAAATCTTTGAAGAGCTTTGCAACCTTGTCAATAAAATCGAGAAAAAAGTTATTATTCTGCGACCAATTTCTGATCCCTGATTCGGTCTGCAGGTGCAAACGTCACAAAGTCTTGCTTATGATTATATTCGAGAAACATCGGGAAATGCAATCATAAGGCACAACATCAGGAGAACTTCCACAAGGTATTGATTAGAACCCCGTCGCCGCCACCCCTCCAAAGTCAGGAGGGAACCGCTCAGGGGGCATACCCATCAACGGATCTCCTCTTGCTCCAGCAGCTGTCTTCGCTACCACAGAGGAGTGCAAACCCTCCAGAGCTTCTGTCCACTTCTCAAGTGCGGCATAACGCTTCTTCTCTAGTGCGTGGCTGTGATTGGGTCAGTATGGGGGCGCTTAAAAGGAGAACGACGGAAGTTTGCTCACCTCTGGTCGAGTTCAAGGCGCATGCCGACTTGGTCGATCCGACCATCAACCTTTCCCTCGAGAATAAGCCCAATAAGGAGCTCCTCGACCTCGGCAATTTCGACGTTAAGTTGCTAGACGACCATAAGCGTCAAAGGTAGTTTAAAAGGACCGAAACAATTACTTTGGCGAGGAAGGAAAGCTCCAGTCTCGTGTAGGGCTTGATGAGGTCAATCAAGTAGGATGTGCGCAGACTGCGCAGAAGTTCGCCGATATACGATCTGATAAATAGGTCATCCATAATTGTTGACCGATTATCTGCCACCATGTTGAGCACTATGCATTTGATATACGAAGGGACAAACCTCGTAAGATCTTCTCTGCCAGGTGAACTTCTCTGCGCTGATAGGCATCTACAAGGTCTGTCATTGCCTTGATCTGTGAATCATTCTTGTACGGCTTTGTTTCCTGGGAGTCGAATGGGTTGACCTCAGATCCAGTAAGCATGTTCGCGAGGACAAGGTACTTGAGGACCTGGATGCGTTGCGGAGAGCCGGCTTCGTCGTAGTTGCGGAAGGACTCGAAAAAATCTTCCGAAGCACGATTCCACTGTCCTGTATAGTGGCGTTAGACATGAGTGGGGATCGAGGAATAAACAAGAGTCACTTTCGCCCATCCACATCTTCCCTCCGCACTCCTTAATAACACCCATGATCCGAGGATGTGGAATTGCAGAGCGCACACTATTGGATGCATTATAAATTTCCTATGTTCGATAATTTGATTAGGTCCAAGTGGTTGAGCGGGATGCGAGGCTGTACCTTGAGTTTCTTAACGTTACGCATCTCATTGTGCATTTGAATCTCGAGTGCATAAATCTCGAGGAGCTGGGTTCCCCGCTGCGACTGATCTTCGCTATCCATAGCAGCCTTGGTCGTGGTGTGCAAGTCACGGATGAGCTGATTGGCAGAGATTGTTGAAGCCATATGAATGAAAATAAATGATGGGTACCTTCGTCAAACGCCCGTACTCTTTTCGGTCTAACCAAAGCTTCGCCAGTTTCAAATTCGTCTTGACAGACAGACGCTACAGGGGATATCAATATGTCTCAAAGAGCATAATTCACCATCGTAGTACTCACGTCATTCTTCGCCTCCTCAAGCGCATCTTTGGTCACTTGATAGAACTTTTCTAGTACATCTACCTCGACGGGGCCACTCTTCCCACCACCAACATAATCAAGGATGCCATTGATGGTCTTCTCAGAGTAGTTTCGTGTGACTGCAGACTTGGTGTAGGTGAGGAGTTGTGTGTAAGTCTTCAAAGCATCTGCCGGCCGGTGCAGCTGCAGGAAGAGGAGTTTGGTAGATTGCTTCAGAGCCTTGAAGCCCCTGGGAGGTACCAGTTAGCATACAGTTTGGTTTATGGTCGGGGAAACTATACCAGTCGCCTTTCTCTGTTTCCTGGTCTACTATAACGCGAAAATCTTTTAGTGCTTCCTCTGGAGTATCTTCTTTCTTCGCTGGGAGAAGAAATCCATCAACAACTTCTGCTGTTCGCCGAACTACCCACATTTTGCAGTATAGTACATATTCTCTACATCGGCACTCCCGGATTCATTGGCTTCGTCTCCATCAGAATAGTCGAATCCGTAATCCTGTAAGATAGTTCGTGGTTAGCATAACTGTGCAAAGGGCTGATATTGAAGGGAGTGCGACCTCATCATCACTACCCTGCATATAATCGGCATCATCGTCATCCATCGTGAGTTCAAGTTACGAAAGCGAAGCAGTAAACAACGAAGACTCGTCTGCTTGATGTTAAGGATGAAATGATGGACGCGTACAGCCTCGTGTAGTATCAGGTCGGCGGCACGCCACACGCAAAGTCACAAATCCTCCCCTAGGTGGCTATCTAAGGAGCAATATTGAAAGTGCACAGCATTGAAGTTGTAATTTGAAGTTCAGCACAAGTCTAACGGGACTCGAACTCTTTTGCTCAAAGTTGCCATATGGCATTTATATTCTGATCAGAATCTTGGATAATGGAGTAGGCCGGTCATGATGAACATATCGTCGAGGAGAGAGACGTGCAGGCATAGGAGAAGAGCAAATAGCTATGATATTTTCACTTAGATACGCAGCAAGAGACGCGCATGATATCATGAACCAGCCGAGGAAGGATGTCCCTAAGTCTCCTCTCACCAGTGGAGTGGCTAGTGAGTCGCGAACACAATATAATTAGCAATGCACGTATGGGTGCATCATACCTGACGACAGCGTAAGTTACGCGTAGGAGCAATTCCACGATTAAGACGTGGTTGGTGCTCGGATGGTGATGAATGCACACCGGAATCGGCTCGCGCACTGAGCAATGCTCCAGTGCTTTCGCCAAGTGGTCGAAGGGAGGACTCGCCGAATGAGACACGCCCACAGATTATAGATAAACCTGGCAGGTATATCGCTAGCAAGCTTCATAGTCCAGTAGGTGACGTAGCAGTACACCAACAATGTCACGCGATTGTGCCTTTGAAGACCACCGCATAAGGTTGAGAGTGAGCGAGGTGCTTTCCTGTCGACGTCAAGGAAGTTGTTTGCATCCTCAAGACAAGTCTTGGGATGACTGAGAACAAACCAATTATGATAAATGCGCACGAAAGGCCTTGACAGTAATAGCAAACTTTATAGCAAACTTCTCAACACCCGACAAATTTGTGAGCGCGCGTAGTCGGCCAATATCTGACACATTATAAGGCCCAAAAAAAGTCCAGTCGCATGGCTCTCTATGTATGCACCTCTGGATAGCGATGGGAGCGTCCTACGACTGTGACTGCGAGATGAAACCATGAGTATCTGCCTACACCAAAAACTATGGACATACTCATGACAAGGGCCTTTGGAATGCTCTCCATTCATGAGGCCAGCCATTTTTCGGCGGTGTATCTGTTGGTACCCGGAGTTCTCTAGGGAACAAACCCCTCACTCTGGACTCGACCGCTCGCTTCTCCGGTTCAGACATACTCTTCAAAGCCTCCATCTCAGCCAAACTCCTCGCTCTTGGATCCTCTGGCTTGTTTGCTTCCCTGAACAGCCTCGAGTCAATCTCCTCCAGTTCCTGCATTGCCTGTTTCATGCATTTAAATTTGCGCTGCAGCTCCGCATCCCGTTTCTTCCGTAGATGTCTCTGATGTAGGAGCCAAGCGCGCTCAATAGTCTCGTGCGCTTGCACAGAGGGGATGGCGCGCTGGAGAGCGCGTGCGACATCTGGGCGCCATGTGCCAGTAGGAGAGGCTTTGTTGCGGATATTCGGAGGGTACAAGTAACGGCGGATGGTGTCTTTTTGTGGGTCGGAATTCGTCTCGCTCTTGCGGGTCGAGTAAAGGCGCACCGACAGCCCGCGGATTTGGAATGGCAAGCTGTTTGATTTCAAAACTGAGACTGACATGACCTGGAGCGCGACAAGTGAACCGCGGTAAAGCTGAGCCAACAAATTTCATTACTTATAATTCATTTTTCCCACGGCTGCTTTACTTGAAATTCTCGAGAGCACAACCGGCAAGTGTACTGACTGAACATGTCATTTTCCCTTGGGCTGCTCTGTCGCCAATGTTGCCATTCAATACTTAGTCCAGTAAGTACTTACTCGTCTGAGATGTTCTGACCTGAATTTGTGCAGCGGCCAGCTCTCGTTCGAGGGTTTTCTTCAACACCCGTCGTAGCCGTACGGCGAATTAAAAAGATCCCCGTGCTCTCCAAGAAAGCCCTTGCAGCAAAGGCAAGAAAGCGAGCAGCGAAGGCTCGCAAGCACATATACGAGAATGAGAAGATGACTCTCGAAAGCGCTATTGACGTGATCCGTGTATGTCCCCCAGGCCTTATTACAACTCATTAACCAAACATCCTGGTAGGCGGTCGAAGTCGCTAAGTCAAGTGCTACCTACGAGCTAGTAATCAAGACTGCCATGAGCCGTGGATCTATCATCCCAAAGGGACGTATCGCTCTCCATCGTGAAACTAAAACGCGCCCCGAAGACCGCATCCTCGTATTTGCCGAGGGCCGTCAGGCAGACGAGGCAAAGAGTGCAGGTGCACACATTGTTGGTGGAATTGAGCTGGCAGATGGTATAATCAGCGGAAAACATCACGCAACCACCATTCTCTGCTCCACAGCCCTCATCCGAACCATCACCCCCAAGCTCGGACGTGTCCTCGGACCGCGTGGTTTGATGCCTTCTGAACGTCGCGGGACGGTTACAGATGATTTTGCCGGCTACTTGCGGCGACTTTCCGGTACGGCAGAGTGGAAAGGCGACAAGAATGGCGTCATTCGGATCCCCATTGGCAAAGTCAGTAGTTTTTTGTCAAGCCCGCGCCCGCTGGCCGCGATGTACTGTGTCTGACACATTTATTTACCGACAGCTCCACTTCCCAATAGAAGACGTAGTTAAAAACGTCAGACAATTCGTGACTGCTGTCAAACGAGTGACCGGGAACCAGAAGGATACCGAGGAGAAGGGAAAGAGCAAGAGCGTCAAACCCGGTGAGTTGGTACCGCATCTGCGGTTTTATCTGGCACTTTGACCTTTTCCGGTGCTGACTGAGTGACTAGTCAATGCCATCACGCGTGTTATGTTGAGCTCAACGCAGTCACCCAGCATCCAGATATCGGACATTTGATATAGCAGTGTTGATCGGGTACTAGACTACTTGGCAATGAAAGTTTCAATTTCAACTTGAGAGCAATGCGTTGATCGTGCACCCTTGCAAAAATCATCTTTGTCTCGTCACTAACCATTGAAGTACATTCATATATCCTATAGTAGATGTTTCATGAAGTGATCCCACCACCATCCTCCATTTTTGACGCTTTCCGCCGGCTCTTCCCATTCAGTTCGACCAGGAAGGTTAGAGAGTCCAAGGATTAATTGTACGAGTTCCCGGTAGCGCGTACACGTCAAGACGGCGTGTTTAGCACTGTCCGATATGCACGTGGATCGATAATGATTGATCATGATCTAATTAGTGGATAGGAGGAAGTAAACGACGAAAAGGTTGGATTTAGGTGAAGGTTCACCTGACTGACTGGCTAAAGTAACATAGAGTTCGATAACAATGATACTGGTTATACATTAAATTCATCTGGTTTGAAGTAGCGTAGTAGTGTGTGAGTCCCAGTGTGACTAGTGCCAGGAGATGAGAAGAGCAAATGCAAAAGATATCCACTATTGCTCATCTAGCAATGCGAGGTCTTCCTTCTGCACTGCGCGATCGCGTCTGGAAGCCCTCTTCCTCTCCTTCAACGCCTCCTCCACCTTTGAATAACTTTTCTCGCCTTTCGTATGGTCCCGTCCTTTTGCCCTCTTCCCAATATCATCTCCCCTTGACGCGCCTTGCCGCTTAGACTGGAACCTCTCCTGTGGACGATTTTTTGGCGGATGAGGGAAAATATCACCCCAGGACGATTTCCGCGCGTCATAAAATGGTTGTTTACCCTGAGATTTCGGGATAGTGAGACGCATAATTTTGCCTGTATCACTTGTTAGACCAGTTATGGGGCCAGAAATTGGATGGACAAACCTTCCGGAGTACATGCGTCAATAATGATATGCCCGCTCTTCTTCAAAGGTGGAAAGACTAGGCGTGGCCAATGGAATGCCTCATTTCGCAGCGCGGCTTCGACCTCCTCTAAAATTTCAACTGGTGAAATTTCCGCAGGAATTTGATCAGTTGCTTCAGCTTCATGTCTCGTCTCAACATGATCTGCGTCGAGTACAAGCTCCTTCGTAACCCTCTCTTCCTTCAGCCTGATCTGCTCTGCCTCCTCCCGACCGATAGCACCAACGCGTCCTACACTCCCTACATGTGTGGTGATGCCTTCGCCCACTGTGCTTGGGCGTGGCCCACGTTGGATTGCAACATAAGAGTACTCGATATCTTCGTGACCTTCGCGTGCATGTTTTGTGAGACGAACGAAGGGCGGTCGTTGCAGGCGTTGTGAGAAGCCACACACTAGGCTCACCGATTTTCCGGAGTAGAGAGGGCAAGAACCATCGTGCGGGCACTATTTGCAGGAAGACGAGATTGTCAGTATGGTTCAAGGTTTGATTAGTCCAACACCCACAGGAGCAACAACGTGAGCGCCGCGAACAGGCCAGTCTGCAGTTTCTGGGTCATTGAGTTCTTTACGCCCCATATCGAGGAGATATTCGCGTGCTTCTGCAATGTTTTGAAACCCAGCTTTCGTTTTGTGATCGATCAGAACCTATAATAAATTTAGGAGTATTAGACGGTGACTGGGGCGAGGAAACAAAAATGAAAGCTCACGATGGTGTGTGCTCCACTTTCCCACAACTCTTTCACGAACTTCTTTCGCGCGAGAGGTGTCTGTAGAGTTGAAAGCATGAAAGCAGACAGGGCGAGAGTATCATGCCCCTCCGTTCGCTTGACTATATCATCTTCCCGGAAAGACCTTTGCCAAGTTGCACTTAGGGCACCCAAGTCTGTATCTGTTTCATTATTTTAGTGAGTGGGCAGCGAGAGGCAGCACGCATACGTTACCTCTCAGTAGCCGTTTGCCTATTGCAACAAGTTCGTCGCGTTTGTCAATACCAAGGTATGTGAAGATATTGGATGTGGAAAGGCTTGGTTCCTCGGAAGCGCTATTGGACTTCTGGAAAGTATTCATTGATGCCCTACTGTTCTTCAGTGATTACAAATTACAAACATATTTGACACACCATAATCCACTGCCTGCACCTGAACCCCAGTCTATGATACGCTGCACATTCAATTGTGGACCTAATCTGTGCTTAACTTGGTGGAGCACAGCACAAATAGCAGAATAATGTGCAGGGAGAACGACCGACGCGAACGCTGTCCCGTCACGGTCAGAGTGCCGTGCCCCTTGCTTACGAGAGCGGTATTTTACGTCGTACGCGTGGTCCCATCCTTCAGTCTCATCAAAGAAGAGACGCGTCGCATCACTGTGCAGCTGTACCTTGTCAGAAGCTGTTGAGTGATTAGAATGTGTAGAGAATAATTTTACCCGACAGACCATCTATTAAAGCAGTGATCGACTTCTGCAATTCCGTGGGCAAAACCACAGCACCGATTTTTTTGCTTCCAAACCGCGCTGCAGGAGATTTGCGGTGCTCGCTTCGTTCAGATTGATCTTCAACGAAGTCCTGCGCGTCCTCGGCCTCCTCCGGGTGCTCAATCGCGACAGTTTCTAACTCCCGTGGAGGTGTCTTTGCCGTTACGTGCTTATGACTTGTCAAAGATATATCTATGTCTTGCAACAGCGCCTTTAGCGAGGGGTCGAGGTCCAGAGCTGCGTTAGGTTGGGTTGATGCCGCAACTGCTGACGTTGAGAATGGGGGGCTAACATGGCGGGTACTGTGCGCAACGATGCGCAAAGTAGCGGACGCACTTCGAAGCATCCCAGCAGTACCTGAAAAGTTGAAGGAGGTTCGGACTTTGAGCTCACCCGTTGGACGCGGTCAAAGCCTAAGTCGAAATTCTGTGATTATGTAATAGAAAGTAGGTTCAGATAGGCGTCACCCTGCAGACCCTGCACAGACGCGTCCATCCCAATGGCCAGCAGGAAACAAGCTATCCCAAACGATTCTCGTAGCTTTGGTGAGCGCCCTGTGAAACGAGCAAAAGTAGACGATGAACGCCAGGCGAGTACATCTTCTGCGGAGCCGTCAAACGGTATGGAGGACACTACTGGGGCAGCACGGCTTTCAGAAGACGAAGAAGGTCTAGAAGACGAGGTTGAACTAGGGCAGTCAAAAAATGAGCCTAGAGCGTCAGACCTTTACCTTGACACAGTGCGCCATTCAATGAAACCTAATGCCCATGCATTTCGCTGACAAGACCTTTAGATCAATCGAGCATTGCTCGACTTTGACTTTGAGAAAGTGTGCTCTGTATCTATGTCGAATATCAACACATACGGCTGCCTAGTATGTGGAAAGTACTTCCAAGGACGAGGTCGCAATTCGTACGCCTATGCGCACTCTATTCATGATGACCACCATGTTTTTATCAACCTTGAGACAGCAAAAGTGAGCTGAATGCCAATTACGCGTGCATAGACTCACGTCACATAGGTGTATGTCCTTCCAGATGGTTATCTTGTCTCTGACCCATCTCTCGAAGACATCTCGTTCGTCCTCAATCCATCCTTCACGAAAGCCTCCACTGCCGCCCTCTCCTCGTCGTCCCATCTACTGAAACCCTCCTATGATCTCTCGTCAAAACCTTATCTTTCTGGTTATATTGGCTTAAACAATATCAAGCGCAACGACCACATGAATGTTATCATACATTCCCTCCTCCACATCCCTCCTCTACGGGACTACCTCCTCCTGTCCTCCTTTCGCGGCAAGGAATCTGAACTTGTTAAACGATTTGCCGCCCTCGCTAAGAAAATATGGAACCCCCGTCTGTTCAAAAGCCAGGTTAGCCCTCACGAGTTTCTCCAGGAGGTCAATCGCGCTAGTGCGGGTAAGTTCCGACTCGAGCAACAAGGTGACCCTGTCGAGTTTCTCGGCTGGTTACTCAACCGATTACATAAAGACATGGGGGGAACTAAGAAGAAAAACTCCAGTGCGTCGTGTGCGGACTGACCGGCCTGCTGTTTACCCTCATTCGGCCTCCGGAATTGATACATGAAATGAACAGGTATTATTTTTTCAACGTTTCAGGGAGAACTCCGCGTGGAGACACAGCAGGTCGTTGTCCGCCCGGACTCTACGGGTTCTGAGAAGCCGCAGTTTGATATTGACAGAGGTGGGCTTGACTTTAGTGTTCCCCAGGGCCCTTACATAATAGTGCATGTCAGACATCAAGGCTGCTGTGTCGCCGTTTCTCTTCCTAGCGGTTGATCTTCCTCCACCACCTCTTTTCCAAGATACGATCGAGAAGAACATTATTCCACAAGTTAGCATCCACTCGGTGCTTGCCAAGTATGATGGGGTCACCACGCAGGTAAGTTGAACTCTGTCCGCTTCTTTTCATTGAACTGATACATTATGAATTCATGTGCGCTCGTAGGAGTCTGCTGGCCAGTTACGCAGGTATAAGTGTCAACGCCTCCCACAGTATATCATTTTACACTACAAACGATTCACAAAGAACGCCTTCGTCGAGGAGAAAAACCCAACGATTGTCACATTCCCACTCAGAGGGGTTGATTTCCGTGAATGTGAGCGCTTCGTAGCTATACTCACGTGATAATCGCATAAGCACAGCCAATGACTGATGATGCGATTTATGTGCTATAGATCTGGATGCAGCGCCAACGCATCCGCCAACCGTCTATGATCTGATCGCCAATGTAACCCACGAATCAGTTGCCGGAACTACTCGCGACAAGGAGAACACCATTTGGAAAGTTCATCTCCGTGCCGCTGGCGGGGGCGGCGAGGGCGAGAAATGGTTCCAGATCCAAGACCTCATCGTTGAAGAGACGCGCAAGGAGATGATCTTCCTTGGGGAAACCGTGCTGCAGGTGCGTCATCCATGTATTATGGATTGTAGGATCTCACGCGTTCAAAATTAGATATGGGAGCGGCGCGCTGCAAATGTCAACGCCAACGGTAACGCGTCGATGAAAATGGATGTAGATCGACGGTGATACCGAAGCATAGGTTAGACATTAGGCTGAGGAGATACCGGTGTTTCGTAAACCTAACAGTATATGGAATCCCCGCCCCCAATAAGACCGGAGATACAAACACACATTTTACATGTCATGATACACACCAGCGCATGTCAATAGAGCTCAGCGAAGCTCACGCGTTACTAATCGTCAAAGACAACAGATGAAAATGTTTTGGGCTGTTTACGCCCCTTTCCGGGCACACCATGTCCATATCACTCTGCTACACATTAAACCACAAGGTGATCGTGCGGCCGCCATTCTCCGCGGTGACCATGAAATGGCACATCTGTCTGGTTGATCAGAGAGCGCGTGGCCACGCCTTTAGGGGCGCATACCCTGTTGCACGTTACTCCATATTGTGCTAGCGCAGTGTAATGTCACTTTACCGAAGAATGCGGCGACGGCGAAGATGCAGGGGATTTCCCTAGCGCCTCGGGTGATGTTGTTGACGCGTTTGTCGGAGAAACTGGTTTTCGGCTGATGGTGGCAAATTAAGTTGTGAATACGATCGTACATGGCAAACTCACTTCGCAGAGGCTTCTTCGAAAAGAGGTTTGAATATGTAAACGCCTGAAACGACGCCTAGTTGGTTTCACAGCGGATATAACATTAGCGACAGTGACTGAGGGTGGCTCTACTTCATACCTGCTAAACCTGCGAATATGTATGGGTTGAGCCGCTGAAACATGATGGGTTTGCGTGAAGCCACGAAAACGCCACAAACAAGCACGACTACCTCATTTTCCATTTTGGGAGAGAAAATCAAACCCAGCGGCTATGGACTTGCCTCGAGGTCATCGAGCTGGAAATCGAAGAGCAGGGGTAAATTTATGTTGCCAAAAATATAGCGACACTCCTCTCGCACATGAACAGACTGAGTCTTTGTGCTGTAATTGACCCAAGGTGAATGTCTAATGTCTATAGCAATATAACTGATAGAAGCGTTGTATGTAGCGTCAAGCAGAAATATTAATTAATGCCCAATCTTTCACAAGCAATCCGCGCCGCCTCCTCTTTGGCAACACTTTTCTGATTGGCAGTGGAAGTGCTGACGACTTCGCCCTCCACTGTGAATGATGCCGTCTTAGACGAATTTATTCAATCTCGAGATATGGACAACACGCGCCTTTGCAAGTCAGCGTCCATGAGAGAGCATGCGGCGGTCCAGACTGGACCTCCAACCAGGTAACAGCGTGAAGCTTGCGGCGGGACTGGTAGTCTGCACAGTGTCAGAATTAGCATCACCTCGCTTTACCAAAAGATAAGCTGGACTTGCGGTTATTCAGGGTGATAGTGTAACCTGGAGAAATGTCAACATTATTCAGTGATAATCCAGACACGATAACATACGCGACATGATGCGCAGGCGACGGATTATGATCTGGTAAAGCTGGTGAAGTGAAGATGACCTCGATGCCTCTCCTGTACCACAACTTATTCGTATTTAAACCTATAGGTTCAACGACATGCCGCAAGGCAGCCAAAGTGAATACCGAAAGTGACCGAAAGTGTCTGCATTGGCCACGAAAACCAATTGACCGCGGTGCCGTAGCCACAACGAATAAAGTCCCGTTGTATTCAAAAAAAACTGCGCAGTATAAACATAACTGCAATTTATTTCAGAGGCCGCAGGGGAGTGCTCTTGAAGACCGAGGTAAACGTCACCTTTGAAAGAACATTCATTTGTCGTCACAGCCGTAGAAGGCAGAGTCCCCGGAAGACAGAGCGGCACCAGGACTGATATGCATCAGTGTCGACCCCGGCCCAGTGTGAATACCGACTTGAACGCGCTAAGAGGCCGGCAAAAATGGATATGAAGGACCTATAATCTGGTTATTAATCCACATCAGGGTAGTGGGACCAAGGAAGGGCTGGGATGCGGTCCGCATTACGCTGTGGTGCGGTGCAACTAACAACAGTTCTTGGAACAGCGGCTCTGCGCGCTCGAGAGAGGCCCGGTGGAAATGTAGATAAGAAAAACTTGACTATCGCGTGGCCGTATCACACACGCGCAGGGGCCGGACAGATACAGCGGAGATTTATAGTCGGCACACATTCCATAAGTCCGACAGCAGATCGATCATACTTGGGGCCTAAGTCTAGTCACCGAGATGTGACGAATCTGGGAAGTGATGGAGGTCGATCAGGGTCGATAGGGAATCATTGGCAAAGAAGAGTTTCTCTAAACTGCGAACGTTGAAAGGTTAATTGTTGTGGGCGTCGATCCGTGGCATGGAAGGGCCGCAGTGCAGAAAGATACCTTCGTTGTAGTCCATCGCGACGACTCTACTTTGATACGACATAGGAATTGCGATATTGACCGGAAGGAGCTAAGTAACATCACCGTGATCGAGAGTCAGCATAGTGGCTTCCGGTATCTTAGTAGATTTCCAGCGTAGTCCAAAGCTAACGAATGACCGCAAAGCAACTTGAACATGCTAGCCGTGCTGATCTGGATGGGAGACGGGTGTAGGACCAAGGTCAGCAGCAAGTGCCGTGTGGTAAAGCAGAGAGATCTATGCGTCGAGAATTATCGATACCTAGGCAAGTGTCGTCTAAGTTGGGAATCCGGGATGCATCACGCGAATAATACCGACCGACCCGCAGGTAGAAACAAAGGGTTGAGAAAGTGAGGCAAAAATAATTGATGCTCTAACGACACAGATTAGATAAGATGAGTGACGTGTATAATCTAAAACGATGCAGGTACAGGAACATCCATTGAAAAATGATGTATGATGGATGGTGATGAATGAAGATGCATGAGGATGAATGCGGAAGGGGTACACAACTTGCAAGAAAAAAGTAAAGGTGTGGACAGATGAAAATAACGTATCGTGAACTTGTCTAACATATTGTCATTCGAGAGAGCCAGTCTCCCGCGGCGGTGACTTGTACTTCAGCCTTGATCAGACCTTAATGTAGTCAGCGCGTGACTGGCTGCGGCATTCCTGGCCTGATGCTTGTGAGTCCCCGAGCCGACTCCATACGGAATTCCAGAAACTTGAATGGCGGATCAGAGACGTCTGATGAACGGATGCAAAGACGAAAAAAACTTGCTTCTGCAGGTGGACGTCCACACGTACTGGTGCGTAACACCCTGCCGTACATCTACCCAGCTCAAAGCAGAGCTTTGTCCGATTGACTGTAAATCTGAAACATACGGTAAGTCTTTGAGCCACCAAGGCCATTGTACGAACAATTGTTAAGGGCATTAGTGGCATCTTTCAAACGTCGTCAGCTGAAGCAGAGCACCACAAAGGAATGTAACAAACCATTAGGTTGGTTGGTTCGAGACATTGCGAATGTTTGAGTTGACGACCATACCTGAAACTTACAGTCGGCTATTATACCTCTGAAGCCTACGCTTCATGAGACTTTGGAAAAAGAAAGACGGTATTGAGTGAAGGCATGCCCAACGGAACTGGGAGAATAATACTTTCATGATCGCGGCGTTGAGGAAAATAATAGGCGGAAAAACAAAAATTCCCAAGATGCATGAAATAGGGCGAGCTGCATGCAATGACGATCGACTCAGTGAGAGAAAGCGAGGGGCTAAATGACATGCGCCCCTCATGTATCTTGTGCAGCGGATCGTTCCAAGCGCTTTAGAGCCGAGCTCGGAATGAATGATGCGCATTCACTCTAGGTGCGGGAGAAGCTCGAACAATACTGCGGGACGTAGTCAATCATAAACTGGAGCAACATCGTCTGTAAACCAGAATTCTAGACTGCACTTACGAGCCGGTGATAGGTCGGTTGATCCCGTTCTGTGTGACGCTGTCGGAGGACCTGACCAGGAACCTCTGCGATTGGATCTGTTGCTTGAAACTTTCGCGCATTACGCCTGTCATATGTGCTCAGGGTGCGGTAACAAGATCAAAAAATGGCACTGGCAGGCAGACGTGCACTCCCTGTGCGGTGGAAAGCAGACATGTGGAATACGCATTTATGCCTTTAACGATTACACGTTGTTGCACAGTAGTTTGTACGGGCAAAGGAAGCGACTCGGCCACGGCGGTTCTTCTCACCCAACCTGAAGCCGAGGAGTAGCACAGCCACGTGTTTCTCTGCTGTCAGTTATACACACCCTCATGATATTCAACATTGGAAACTCTGATAGCGACTCTATAACTACAAGGAAACATAACACAAGCAGGGGACTACGCTGAAAAGGAAAATGCAAGTTTGATGACACCACGAGACAAAAATATGTAAGCAAATTATGAGGAACAGTCTTCTGGTCAAGAAGATGAGAGGGTGAGATGACAGCAAAGCATTGAAACAGATAAACGGCAAATAAACGACAGAAATTCAATGACCAATTCCTGGTCCCCTGAGGGCTGCCAGGGCAATCTGGCAAGCAATTTCTGTGGCGGACGCTTTGGTTGTCCCCTCGCCTCTACCATATTCAACGCCTTGGACTAAGAATACATTAGGTACGCATCAAGAAACAGCTGAAAAACAACTGACAGTGAACAACCACGGTCCACCTCCGCTCGTACCCAGGACCGGTCGATGAGTCAACCAATTCGAGGTCTTGCGTAGATCTGAATCTTTGTTGCAGATAATTGTTCAACTGCTGGCGCCAGTCTACGAGAAACATCAAAACGTGTCAAATAGTGAAGATGAATACACGCACGAACGACAGGTTGGACCTGTCCACTCTGTTGGCGAATGGCGACATGCTCGCCTTGTCCATGATGCGCGTTATACCCACCCCCTCGACCACCGTGCTGTTGACCGTTCTGGCGGCTCCTGCCGTTGCGGTAAATGTTGTCTTGGGGGTAACGCGACATGGTGATCAATATTTCAGACTTGAGCTCGAAAATATGAGGTGAATTGGTTGATCAGTGCGCCAGCAGCCTTCTTTATAGCGATGAAGCACATACACCAATTGCTTACCTCGCAGCCAACGACACTCCAGAGGCAATGACTACCGCAGTCGGAAAATGAGAGTCGCTCACTATGAGTCCTCCGCAGTTATACATTCAGACGATGCAACAGCATGCATTGTATCCTGTAGAGGACTCGAGGCGGGCAATGCTCATTGTAGATATTCTCTGGGTTGCACATTCTGGAGCTACGGGTCAAGCGATGCCATATAGATGCGGCAAAATGGCCATTGGGCCCGCTGATTGTTTCTTTGTATATATGCTTGACCTGAGGAAATTCTAGACAACGGCCAGTGTACTAGGAATCGTTCGTCATTTGGTGAAGAACAACCGGAGTACTTGACCGCCATTATCGCGCGCTTTGCGATTGCTTCATAGTGCAGATAAATTACTGCCCGATAAGCGGAATCATGAATGCTAGCAGCGCAGTAGCATGAAGCTCCGAACCAGAGACATTGTGTCATCGGATACAGGTGGTTAGTCGCCCAATAGAACCTGTAGAAGGAAGACAGTCGTTCTTCGACAGTGTACACGCAATATGAGTTGTGAATTGCAACGCTGTTGGCCAGCGTAGATGGAAGTACGAGGTTCCGTTACTAACCTTCGACACGCAATATGCGTTGTGAGTTGTGTCGTTGCCTTTACTAGGCTCCGTTAACGGTGAGATAGTAGACGAGTCACTGGGGTTCAACATGGACTAAGCTAGTTCCTTGGAACTGCCAGTGGTTGCATTCTGGTGGTAGGTTGAGGGGATAGAGTTAAAAACATCCGGTCCGCGCAAAACTGCTGTCCCACGCTGCAGAGGAGCAGTTTGTCCACATCCTCTCCCCAAAGCAATCGTATACCTGGCAAGATTCTTTCAAGGCGCGTATGGAAAACCTGAAGGATGAGTTGTCTACTAACCTACACATCGAGGACCTTCCGATTTTGATAAAGAGATCTTGCTGCTTTGGTGCACCCCTACGCATTCAAGAGCACTTGCTTCTTTACAGCGAAGCTGAGCGTTCAGCGGACCGCAGATAATAACTTTCGTTCGACTTGAGACTCTATCGGAGTCTCGTACGAGTGCAGAAGATACCGCTGGACGCAAACACGGACGGATGGTCCGTGGATGTCCAGGATTTCTGCCCGTGTTGCCGACAGTGCCGAGCAATGATCAGAGAGAATGAAGAGATTCCGACGGGTGACGATCGTCCAAACCAAGAGCTCCAAGCTCACGCTCGCAGGACCCAAGTGACATCCCCATCATTAGCCAACCTCGTGACAAAATTTCCCCACATATCGGGTCGTTCATCGAGCCAAACATGGATCTCGCCTCCGTGTCGGCGAGGAGCATTCCCGTTATCTACGTCACTGCCTGTGCATCTTTGTTATCCGTATAACAGTTGCACCTCGACTAGGGGTCGGGACCTTTCATGAAACTCGTACACCGATGGCCTTCTGCACTCACTGCAACAAAACCTGAATTTGACAGACGTTTACTACATGATGTCAACACTTGAATGACGAGCATGATGTTCAGCGCGCCCATCATCAAGCCTTTGGATGTGTTACTTGTACATGGAACGCAACCGTTGGTACAGCAGCCTCGCAGCCAGATACAAGCCAGGAACGGCTTCACTGTCGCGGAGAAGCTCGTCCTACAAGCTCATGGAAAACTACGCGAACAACAGTACCAACAGTTGCAGGCCCAACAGCAACATGTTGTGCACCCATGCAATTATACTCTTCATCAGCACCCCCTCGTCTAGAAGCTGGAAGCAAACTCAAGATGAACGCGCAGGTATTCCACATCCCCGAGCAGATCGCCACTTATCCGCTCACTGGTCGAGTCCTGGGTGGGGCAAGCTATTTTTCGATGCTCTTGGGCGACACTCTACCACCAATCCCCGAAGACGAATTCCATAACTCTCGGTCGACATCAGCCAGGTGTTTTATTATTTTTAGGTCGGGGTTTGGCGAATTGAGTAATGGGGAGAGGGAGATATTGTTGGATCTGTTAACTTCAGTGGGTTCAATGATGTGATGACTCGCGAACTCTTCTCTGGCTCGTCGAGTGAGAAAGCAGTCAAACAATTGACCCTGAGTAGCAGGAAATGGGTGCTTAAGCAGTATGCACTTGAATGTGAACAGAATCCTGTTCTCATTGCGAAGCAATTGCCTGCACACTTCTGAAATCATATAATCTAGGCACTAACGGGGTTTTGGGGGACGAGCAGATTGAGCCGGGCCTGTTACGGTAGAGGTGCAGGGGTGGTGGCACATGACTTTGATCTGACTTCCTTAAGGAGTTGTCCGTCCTCGAGTCAAGCTTGGGACTTGCTTGGGACTTGGGTAAGTTGGATAATACTCTAAACCGCCACAGATAAATGAAACCTTTGATCAGAACCTTCACGTACACCGCCTGGCGCGGGATACTCGGCAGGGTCCTCATGATACGTCCTGTTGACAAGTACTTTCGTTCGGTGAGCACTTGCGCTCTTCCAACCGAGATGGGTGGTGAGCCAATACTGAAGCAGATGAAAGTCAAGGAACATACACTCACATCATGGGGGGTGGGACAGGGTAGGATTGGGACCTACACTGACCTGCTGGGATATCATCGCCGCTTAAAATCAAATCCGTGCCTGTCAACGATCACTGATTAACAGGGGGAGGTCCGCCGGGCTCCCGTCTTTCGAGCATACAGGCTTTAAGCTTATGGGAAATCGAGGAGTCTCAAGCATGTATGTTTCACGTCTCCCACCCACTCAACATCCGGGCGAGCACTAATTGAAGTATTCAATGGTTTGGGGTGGCAGACTTTGGCTGATTCTAACGGTACCTGCCGACTTCCCGAGGCCCGCGCATTCAGGAGTCAGGTTCCTCAAAATGATTCATATTATCGCTGATAGATTGGCACAGAAGCTATGCAACGACACAATATTGGGGGAAACCAGTGCTAAATGTAAGTACCAGTGTGTACTTGGATACCCAGAAATGGAGCTTACTGAGGTTCTGATCAGGGAGAGAACGTTCAACACGAGTTGCCAAGTTTCTCGTGACTTTTTGGGCCTAGACTTTGTTCAGGGCATAGCTTTTGTTCCGGATTTCCGAGAAGCGAGTCTGCTAGTATAAGGTTCGGCGCTCACCTTGGAGAATCTCTCCATACCATCCCTCCCTCCCTCTCTCTGAACGTGTTTGTGAGCTTGTTCAATATGGGTTTCTTTTCCGTGATGCGTATCACCCTTTTCTGTAAGCATTGAATCTGTTTGGTAGAAGCTGACTTTTGAATATGATATTATAGCACTCTCCATCGCGTTCTCGCTCATTGGATTAGGACTCAACGCCTACTTCATCTCGTTGACGGTACCATATTTCTATTTCATTTTTAGTGCCTTAGGCGTTGCAACCGCGGCGTTGACACTTCTTACTGTTCCAGTCATGTACGTATGCCATGTCTGGTCACCTGGATTATCTCAGTTATTCACAGGTTGATCATTGATTTCGTGCGACGTGGGGCGTTCACCTCCATGATTGTCTTCGAACTCTCGTGGCTCTGTATGTAATATTATTTTGAGATAATGTCTTTGTCTAATTCATCCTTCTGATATGTAGTCGTCCTTGCGATTCTGTGGGTCGCCACTGCTGGCGAAGCTATCTACACCTATAACTTCTACTACCCTGAAGGTTGCGTTTATGATGGTGCGTGAATTTCAGACACCATTTTGTATCACGCTCAATCATCACTAGATCCTACCATCAATGCGTATTGCATGGAGTTGCAGACAGTGGAGGCTTTCGCATTCCTCAACTTCTTCATATGTAAGTTAGGGGATCTAGGTCAAGTCTTCGTTAAACCGTATCATTTTAGTCTTGGGCTACACTTGCACACTGCTTGTGTGTTCCATCATTGCAACTACTCGTGGCAATAGTGTCTGGACATATTCTGTCAAAGAGTCCACGTTTTTCGCGCAGAAATCATGGCCTGCACAACAGCAGGCACCTCCGGCTCAGTTCACAGGTGCTCCGGCTCAGTTCACGGGTGCTCCTGCTACGGGGTACACTGGAACGCCTGTTTCGCAACCTCAGCAACTAGGCACCTATTCTACTCACAGTGGCACGCCTGCCCACTCACCCCAGACGCAACCTCAGCAGTTCCAGCCAGTGTATTCTGGCCATCAACAGGGCATTCCTGTTTGACATGCATGATAAATGCTTATAGGTAATCTGCACAGAGGTGCAGACTCACGTTCATGTCGTTTATGTGTATCGACAGGCCTGGTTAGTGGAGGATATCATTTTTGTACGGACCTATGTCTCTGAAGATGTTCAGTGTTTTGGGGGTCTGAGATTAATTATAATACCCAATACCATTTTGCGTTCATATATGTGATGCGATACTGCAAGTTCTCGACTCGGATGGTATCATGGTTAATGCGTGACAGTCTATAGTGAACCATTTATGCGGTTGTTTTCAAATCCGGGCGTGTAACTTTATGAAACGTGTCCGAGTCGCGACAAAGTCTACAATTGCCCGTGCTGCAGTCTAGACTTCTTAAACACGAACGTTTCTTACTGCTACGCCTCGCTGACTTACTCTCACTTTCTTGCTCACTCGAGGTTGGCGACTACTGACGATTGATTCAACCTTCCACAAATGTCTGAGGATGATCGCGCCGCGAAGGCCGCTCGGGCAAAGGCCTTGGTAATTGCATCCTCGGAAAGTTCAGCTATTTCATGGGCTCACGTATCCTCTGTAGCTCGACAAGAAGCGACGGAAGAAGACCGCTGGCAACGGCGCGTTGGCAAGTCCACCTCCGTCGAGGTCATTCACTCCCGCTCCCCAGCATTCTGCACTATCCACGGAGGACACTAAGAATGACGTTGCTGACCTGTATGTCTACATCTCTGACTTGTTTATTCCGATAAAACTAATTTCATTATTCCTTAGCTTCACACCGGCAGATTCGGACGTGAACTGGATCGAGTCTCTGCCCAGAGTGGACGCTCTACCAACAAATGGGCTTACTACTTCGTCATCTTTATCAACAAATGGGCCTGCTACTTCGTCATCTCTTTCTATGCAGTCTCAGGTGACGTCCCTGCAGACGACAGTCACTTCTGTTCAAAATGAGAACAGCAGCCTACGGAGTTCGCTAAGTCGCCTAGAAGCAGTCGAGACAGGCATGTCAGTCTATATTTTTATGTCGGCTGAGTTCTCATCCACTATCACAGGGACCAAAGCCCAGCTACAGAAGCTTGAGGAAGAAAAGAGCACACTTCAGCTTCAGCTTCAGCAGGAACACCAACGTGCTCAAGATGCGTCGAGGCGTGTAGAGGTGGTGGTACAAGAGAAGCGATCATTGGAGGACATGCACCGCTCAAGTCGGGCAGAGATTCTGCAATTGATGTCTCAGGCCGATGAGCTTCGCCGGGGTCATGCAAAGGAACTTGACGATCACCGCCGCATAGGGAGTTCACACAAGGAGGAGGCTGAGAAGCTTTCAAACCAACTCGCCGCAGCACGCGTTGAAATACAAGACCTGCACTCTAAAGAGGCGGAGTCCACTAAACGTCGGAATGCGGAGGATGAAAATCATCAGAAGACTATTTCCCTCCTGGTTTCAGAAAAGACATCGTTGCTTGCTTCAGCTGCTCGTCTGGAGGAACTTGAGATCGGTATGTTGAGCACTTCGATGACGTTCTCGTCTTATTGTTTAATATCTAGAGACACAAGAGAAGGGTGAATTGCTCCAGGCTGAACGCGACAAATCGCAGTCGCTCGATGAACGCGTCAAAGACCTGGAGAGCATTTCATCCAAGCTCGACATGCAACTACAAGAAGCCCTGGTACGAGAAAGAGACCTGGCTGAAAAGTCGCGAGATCAAGTGAGCAATTTAGCTCTAACACGAATGCTTGCTCAACCTCGTTTCAGGAAAGAGAATTACAGCTTCTCAATGCTTCTCTAGAGGAAGTGAGGTCTGCATCTGAACAACATCAACAACGTGTTCGCGAACTCGAGGAGCAAATAGAAAGCGATGATCGTGCCGAACAGCTGGAGGAGTCACTCAAGAACACTCAGGATCGCGCCGAAGAGCTCGAATTCCAGCTCTCTAAGCTCAAACAGGCATGCAGCTATTTACTTCTTCGTCCGCTTGTGCTCACCAAACAAGTAGACTTTCGCAAATGCAAAACACGAGAAGGATGAGATACAATCTCAACTTCAATTGCGGATTGATGGCGAAACTGAGTGGAAGGCTAAGCACGCAAGTCTCGAGGAGCAACACTCATCCCTCCAAGAGCATCTCCACTCTGCCAACCAGGATCGTGATGCGTTGCTTGAAGAGCGCGCGTCACTCCAGTCTCAGGTCAACTTCAACCAGGGCGCGATTAAGCAGCTTCAGCAAAAGCTTGGTGAGGTCGCGTCAGAGTTATCATCGAGCGACCGTGCTCTACAGAATGCTCATAGCGACCTAAGGGCTGCCAATAGGCGAGCTGAAGAAGCAGAGAGGACGCAGAAAGATCTTCAGACAGAGGGAACGAGGTTGATGCAGTCTCTGGATGAGATGCGGCCCAAGTTTGTGGAGCTTACCTCCGCCAAAATGGATTTGATGGAACGAATTGACAAGCTTGAGCATGAAAAGAATTCACGAGATACTTTCATCTCGAAGCTCGAACTTGCGCTTAGCGAGGCGGTGGACCGGGAGGCCGAGGCAGCTCAAGTTCAGAAAGAGGCGAACTCGTCGCAGGAGAAGGACACAGTCTCGCTGCAACAATCGATCATTGAACTACAGCAGGGCTATGCCGAGCTGCAGGCTGAACTAGAGTCATCGCAGGCGGCAGTGCTGAGCTTGGAGGGGGACCGTACACAGCTGCGGCAAATTGAGGGGCGTCAGCTAGAAATCATTGACCGCCTCTCCGTAGAATCTAACCAGCATTCACAAGCAATGTCCCTTTTGGAGTCGGACCTTCGGTCATACAGGAAACTTGCCGAGGAACACCGCGCCTTCATTGAACGATCTAACTACGAGCATGAAGCTCTGCGGGCAGAGTTGAGCGCTAAAGATGATGAGATAGAGCAGCTTCAAACCTCTTCATCAGACGAGGCTGCTCCTCGTTCACTGGACGACGAAATGCTCGGTGCACGCGGAGTCCAACATGCCTTGGATCTCTCCAACGCCCATTCCCAGATTCGTGCTTTGGAGACCACTGTCTTCGAAGCTCAGGCAAAGTCGCATAACCTGCAGAAGCAAATCAGCATCTTAGAAGACCAGCTCGCACAACAGCGCTCCACGTCAAGAGCAACCTCGAGACCGTTTTCTCCTGGAGTGCCGGGCAGACCCTCCAGTCGCACCCTTAATCACACGGATTTACGACGTGGGTCTTTCACTCATAAATCAAGTAATCTTGCCCCGCCATCCCCGCGGACTGTTTTCGACGTTGGACTCTCACCCGAAACTCGTCACAAGCGTCAAGTTAGCCTTGGCATGTTAAAAGCCCGTATTGATAGCGAGTTGGCTGCATCAGCTGGTGGCTATCCTTCCTCGCGACAGCTTTCTCCTGTTCCACAAGGCGATGAAATGTCAGGACGGGAGCCTGACATTGCTTCGCATGGAGAGTACATACACCGACGACCACAGTTCATGGACGAGTCTCACATATTCTGGTGTCATTCGTGTCATGGAGATTTAGTTATCCTATGATATCCCCTGTTATTCGTTGCATTTTACATATCTGGATCACAAGTTTGACTTCTGAGTGCGTGTGGTGAAGCATAAGCTGGGAATCTCATCTGGACTCGTTGAATGTCAAACTGAAGAAAAGGTCATATGCAAGACATCCGCGTCATGACAAAGCGACATAAAAGTGAAACCGGTAAACGAGTGCTATAGTACTGATTATTATAAGAAACCATCCTGTCTTGTCCGAAGGTCATGAAGCTTATGCAGCAAAGACTAGCGCACCAAGGCAACCGTAAGTGGATGATCTCATCAAATATGGTTGAACTCACTTCAACTTCCTCGGGCCGAAGCGTCCCTCTCTTCCTTTCCTCTTCCACGCCCTTCTCGATGCTTTCCAGAATATCATGAATAAGTTCACGATAATCCACGCCGAAGAAATGTGTCAATTTAGCAGCTCTTCGCCTGCGCAACTGGAAATCGGATGGCGACGGCATCGACATATCAGAGGTTATAGACGACGCAATAGATGTCCGCGCTGGTAACGAGAGTCTACGTTCCGGCTTGTGCGAACACGACGAACCGGAAATCCTATGGGATTCTAGCAAGGGCTGTTCCTCAACTGGAGAATCCACTAGATCCCCGTGGAGGAACCGATGAAGCTCCGCAAGAGACGCCCTGTCATCCTATCGAATTGTGAGTGCCGTACATAATTCCCCGTCTGTCCACTCACTCGTTCAATAATGTCCGTCAGAGACGCGATAGAATGCTGATAGTTCATGTACACAGAAGATTGTACGAGCGTATCCAGAAAGCCAGACGTCTGAGGCTCTGGAGAGCTGGGCTTGAACGGAATGAGGAATGTAGTTGAATCCGAAGTTCCCGGGCGATGATGTGATTTCTTCCCCTTCATGTACGCAGATTGGTTTGGATTACGCTGAGAGAAACCAGGACCATTGGCGGGTATGTAAGTCGGGGTCATAGGGGACGCTACAGGGGATGTCGGTTGAGAGCGAGCCACTGTTGCAGGAGCATGGCGAGTATGATACAAGGTTTGCGGAGGGGGGATACCGAAAAGCTGTACAATGATGAGCATTTTCACATAACGCGCAGTAAGAATTTGAAAAACCTTTTCCATCTTCTGAGCACGCCTGACATTCAAAGCCTTCTCCTCGTCATCGAGTTCTGTCTTGACACGCTCGAACGATGGGGCGGATGAACCGCTCCTTCGTCTGTAAAGCCACATGTCGCTGCCGTCCACAGGCATCGACGATGGAGGTAAAGACGGACCCGCTATATGACCAACAACTAAGTCCGTAGGGACGCGAGAGCCAAGGAAACGGTGGAGTTTAGCCAACTTGTCACGCTTTCTTCTTCTCTCGGCTTCGGCTTGTTCTTCGGGCGTCAAGGTCTCCACCACAGATGGTGTCGACGATGAATGATGGAAGATTCGGCGACTATATCCCGTGGTCGGCATTTCTATACTGATCACGTCCGAAGCATCATGTGATATATCTTCGTCTGAAAGATCAATGAAAGAAGTTGGAGAACCACATTTGTGCTGCGGATCCCGATGGCGGTGCGGGCCGTGATGATCGTGAGTGGCTGGTAGCTCCTGTGAATCATCAAGGTAGAATGTAAAGCTACTTGGGGTGTAGGGAGCAGAATATCTGCGACCGCTGTGCGTTGATGGATAGTCTACGACTTGCCATGACGATGACGGTTCCGATTTGAAACCCGGAGTCTTGACAGCGATAGATACAGACATTGCATGACGATGATGCTTCTGTTTCGATGATCCCAACAAAGCAGAGAAGGCGGGCTGCGGTAATATCTTAAATAGACGTGGTTCCTCTATTTCTGACGTAGCCATTTCAACTCCCGGGGTTTGTCCTAACAGTTGCACCAACTTGCGATTTCTCCGTATGAGATCAGCTCGTTCGTTGGCATCGAGCGTGTTGGTCGTTGGTGGTAGGGGCACTTTGAGACGAAGGGGTGGTTGAGGAGAGGACGAAAAGGAACGTTTCTGGAAACGTGATTTCCGGCCCCTTCTTTCAAACAGAGGCTTTGTAGAATTCGGAATGGGTGGTCTCAAGGTATCTGTGGTATCAAGGAATGCTGGGCTGGGAGGTGCAAACTCAGGCGTTGCAAGCGAGGTCGTCGAAGAACATGATGAACCAGGGCGACGGAAAACAGGCGACAGATATGGACCAGAAGAGGGACTTGTGGGAGCAAATATCATTGCCGAAACGTCTGAGTATGAGGAAGTCGAAGAGCTCGGCCGCGAGTATCCTGGGGAATCGGGAGTTTCGTTAGCGGCGGAAGTAGGACTGGCCGGGGCAAAAACCATGCTAGGAAGGTCGTTCAAAGATGAATTACAAGAAGTTCTAGAATATATGCTTGAAGATAATATAGCTGGTGCAGATGGACGACGAGCGGACATAATAGATGCGTCGTCCTGGGAGACTGGGGAAGAGGGCGAGAAAAAATCGATGAATGATTGTTGGTCATGACTGGCTCGTTTCTGCAGCGAGGGCAGAAGTGGCATTTCGATCGGGGATATGGGAGGTAAATGGGGCAATGAAGATGCGTGATATGTGCGTGATGAATTAAAAGATACAGCTGGTGCTGACGGTGAATAACCAGATTTGGGGGAGGAGGAGCGGGTAGATGAATCCGAAGGTGAGCTGGCTCTCGTGTCTTGACCAGTCGAGAGGGGAGACTTGGCTCGCACAGGAGAGTACTGCCTCGTTTCAGTCAGCAGAGGGGAGCCATTGGAAACAGTGGCTGTCTCTCCTAACGCGGGTAGTTGATGCGATAATGCTCGGTATCCGGGTCCTCGCCCTTGCCGCACTTGGGGTACTACAGCCATGAACTGACGTTAGCATCTCACCGTAACGATATGGAAGAAGCTGACCTGGAAGAGATGACTGATAGGCGCCAGACTCTGCCAACTCAGTGCGATGAGGCCGGGAATCAACGTGATCGTCCTGTTTTGGCTTCATACTGCTGGGAATAGCAGCACTTGTGAGAATGCTCAAAGACTCGCGTCCTTTCGTGAAGATTTTCTCGACCTTGTGCAAAGCAGGAGAGGAGCGGCAGGAAGTCATGAGATGTACTGGTGAATCAGGAGTGTGGTAGACATCCGGTTCACTCCTGTGCGCAAGAGAAACTATCGTATCTGTGCCACTCGCATGACCATTCTGCAGTGACAGGAGTGATGTGGGACCTGTCGTCGTGTGAGTTGACGTGAGTTATTTTTCCAGATATAACCAAGAGAAGTACTTGCCTGCTTCTCTATCATCAAATGTATTAATAATTGGTACAACGGGAGTTGGATTGATATAGGGATTGGGCGTAGCACATCTCGAGGACGCGGGGCTTGAATGACCGACGGGACTAGCCATGGCAGGAAGAGCATCTGGCCAAGAACCAGACCTGGTAACGTTAACGCTCTTCTTCCGCCGAATTTCCTTGACGCGGTTCTCATGATTGGCTGGCTTCTTTGCTGTATTCCGGGGTGGTGGAGGAGGAAGACTGACAGCGAATCCCGATGAGTGCGAGATAGAATGGTATAGACTGGTCGGCGACCCGCTGCCACGACGGGTAAGCTCGTCATGTTGGAGAAGGGCCTCGAGATTTGGTGATATCTGGAGAGAAGTAGTAGCTGAGACGGGTAAACCGACTTTGAAGGATGTTGAAGAATCCTTGCGGGGGTTGTAGGACATTATTTTGGACATGACAGTCGGTGGTAGAGAAGGAAAGAAAGCCTCCGGAAGGACGAGGAGGGTACTAGTAGTAGTTGAACCAGATTTTTTTTTTAAAAACTAAGTTCCTCCCGCCGCTTAGGCTATATAACTGGCCAAGGAGGGTGAAGCCGGTGACAGGAATGTCAGAATGAAACTTGGAATTGAGTTAAGAGCTCAGAGCTGTCTAAACATTCAACTTGAGAGAGCTTGATGATCAGAGAGCACAGAGAGCAAGAGCAACATGGTCTTCTGTTTCAAACAATAAGTAATAAGAAGCTTGGACCGGCCAGGGCCAACACGTCTGTGATTCTTTGGTGGCACGCACTCCCTTACAAGTTACGGCGACTGACATCCTGACGACAACCTCTTCGGACCCTCCTGTCAAATTAGCAACCGCTTGGCGAACCGAACCGAAGAAAAACATGAAAACGTTACGAAACAAAACATTCAGCGTGACGCAAAAGTACAAGTGTACGATATCGGTGGTAGTTTGAGCGTAGATACGCAGCGCAGCGCTGGTTGGAGACAGTCACAAAATAAACGTGCACGAGTCTGTTGCTTGGGCCAGATAATTTTTTTTTTTACTTTGCTGGCCAGTGCATGAAACTTCATCGCCACGTCGAACCCGTTTTCTTTTCTCAAAGTCCAAGCAAATAAAATTTCGGTGTCCAAGCGCTACGCCACCCACCCGGTCCCACCGAATCAAATACAGTGACTCACTGTACCTGATAAAACCACTAACATGACACATTATTATGTCGTGAACAGGTCATCATGAAGGATAGTATGCAGAGTTCACTTTTAAATACGTGCGTTGATTATACTGAAAATAACCTCAGAACAAGAACACGGTATGGAGCGAGAGATAACCGACAATGCGATGCAGATCAGTGATGTACATGAAGAAGGAAAATTTCAACGGATGACCTATAGGCTATCATGCTGGAGTTTGTATTCTGCGCGGCGGCAATGGAGGCCTGTTATCCGGTCCCTTGGCAATCACCAATTCAGGTATCCCAACGGGTGCCGACGTTTCAGCTAGCTCTGGAGATGGATCTGATGATCCCTGCACCGGCGAAGCTCCTCTCATCTCGTCTGATGCAAACGATACCGAGGGAACAGTGGAATCTTTGGACAAATCAGGCGTGCGTGGTACCGCGATGGCAGATGATATCGTCCGCGGAGGAAGAGGGGGAGGAACAGATCGTGGAGGTGGTGATGCGACTTCGGCAGAAAGACTGAGTGGGAGAACATCAGCATTACGTTCCTCTGTGTCTGCGCGTGTAGGCGTCGACTGGTTCTCCGAGCCTTGTTGTTGACCCGTCAGAATCGGGCTTTTCCACAACCGATACATGCTTTGAATGGCAGGCCCCATCGGCTTGCTCTCCGGCGGGGCTGACGATGGTGCAATGTTCCCCATTGACATAGGTTCCCCACGATGGCTCGCATGAATCCCCGGAATAGTCATTGTCCGCGCCTGTGAAGGTTGCGTATGAATGATAGATGGCCTGCGGTGCTCTTCTGTGATATCCGTGAAATCACGGTCTTTGAGTGGATCACTTTCTGTCGCAGACCTTGACAGGGAAGGCGCAACAAATTTAGATGAGGAGCTCCCTTCTGATGAACCGCCTTGTGTGATGTGTGGGGGCGATGCGGGTGCACCAGATGATGATGCCATGTAACCGCTCGACGGGCTTGTGGATCTTTTCCCATTAGGAATAGGAATAGGAGCAGACCCGCCGTCGTCCCTGCGCTCCTTTCGTCCGGCAACAGCAGCACGCACTTCTGCGTAACTGGGGCGGCCATGTGTGCTCTCTGTCCGGGTACGAGCATCCGAAGGTCCGACATCCGGCACGTCATCCTGAGAGTTGGCACTATTATCTTTCTTAAGACCACCCCAATTGACCCCCCATTTACGCATTGCCTCCTTAGCAGAGTTGCTCAGCGCTTGTTTATCTGCGGCTTTCGACTTGAGCGTAGAGAGGAAGGAGCTCGCTGTATTCGAACCAACGGAAGCCCGGGGGCTCTTGGAGGCAGCACCAGAGTCTGAGTGGCCGTTTAGGGACTCGTCACCACCGACCGATACCGAAGATGAAAAAGAGTCTGCTCGAGAGGACCTAGAACGTGCTTGAGAGTGTGTTGATGAGGACCGGCCGTTGTACTGTGGCGAGAGGTACCCAGGTGTCTCGTCATCCAATTCCATCTCGCCCGCAGGTTTGTCTGGGTTCGCGGAAAGATCTTGTCTCGGCGTCGAAGAGCTTGAAGCCCGGCTCTGCCGTCCACGAACATCAGACTCCTCGACCTCCTCGCATACATCCGACTCATCTCCCCCAGATGAAAACCAAGATCGCCGTCTAGAGGCTTTTATATTCTTGTCTGAGGTTACAGTGGTTGCGGGCCGGATGACTGGCATGCCTTCAAATAATGATGCCTCAACTCCCAGGTCTTCAGTAGACACTGCACGCTTTATTGACGGTGCTGTGACCTCTTCAGATGTACCTGGAACGGATGGAAGGTCTGATTCGGATGCCGCAGGCTTTACGCCTTCAACGTCCGATGAAGTTGGGGCGGGCTCTGACTGCTCACGCCGGGCAGCGTCTGACCAAAGTCCGCCACGGTGGATGTAAGGTGAGCTGTCAAAGAAACTAATATCATCCATGTTGGGCATCACAACGGACTCTTGAATCTAAGTCGTAGGGAAATTAGATTGTGATTAATATAATGATCATCGGGCATACTCACCACCTCAATGATTCTTGACTTGATGGTGTCAAGTATCATGCCCAACGTAATTTGGCGATCGCTCACGATGGGCTCCACATCAAGGACCACGCGTGGGGTCTGCGTGAACGCGTACCATATCCGACTACTCGGTGGTCGCTTGACCTTGATAAGAAGGTTTCCTTCTATCTCCCGCAAAATAACTGCCAGCACCAGTTTAACGGTGTACGACTTAAATCGAGCTCCGAGGTTGATAATAACAGTAGCCTGGACGGTCGCACGGACCTCCCCTTTGTATGACAGGCGCACCTCGAGCGATGCGTCGCCCTCTTTCGTGAGCTCCTTTAACATTGGCTTGCTAAGTGTCGGAGCCTTGTTGCCAATTGAGAACTCGGTGACAGAAATGTCTGTGAGGAATGCAGGGCGCTTGACTTTGGAAACCTTCTTCATGAGACGACCGATGATGTACGACTCTAACGTCTGTGTGCGGTAGAAGCTAAAGAATATGCGCCCAAGAAGCGCGTTCAACCAGCGCATGGGGATGACATCGGGTTGCTCATCAAGAGTCACGACGAGTTGGTTCATTTCTGAGGGGAGGAATACGTTCTGGAGTGGGTTGAGAGTAGGCGTGCCAGTCGGGTTCTCAGATGCATGAATGAGCGCAAGGTACCAATCCTCCATCTCGACGCAGGAGCGCACGAAGATGAACCACGGCGTCGACGTGCTAAATGCCTCTTGTCGCGCAGCGTCCCGCTGTTTTTCTTCTTCAACAAGTCGCTCGCGTTCGTTGATCTGCTTCTTCGAACTTCCACCTGCCTCCTCTACTTTCTCGTCGATGTCAACATCTTGAAGTGCCATCTCCTTCGTCACGCTCGGCATTCCTTTTTCCTCAGGTATTGGTCTCGGGCGCAGACATATGGCGTTCCGTTTCGTGAAGAGCTCCCCGTCCAGAAGTCCGTCCGGGTAAACGCACACCTCATGACCGCCCAACTCTATTGCAGCTTCGCACTCCGTTCTACTCTCGTCCTCGTACATGTACAACACTTTGCCCTTAAGGACAACGTACCACATGTCTTTCGGGCGTGAGCGCTTAGGGTCCTTGGAGCGCGCATCAAGGTAGGAGCGGACGAGCGTGACGTATGAACCATCGGACGACGTGGATTCTTCGAATGTTCTACGCATTGTCAGCCAGCCTTTACGCGTCCTGGGCTGGTCGTTGACTTCCAGCGATGATGTAGGATCTTCGGTTTCTGCTTGTGGCTCAGTCGACTTGGTGTGGAGCTCTGGCTTGGCATCTTTGGCTGAGTGAATTTGCACGGGGATAGAGGTGTATATGGCGATCCCAACGATGATAAGGATGGCCAATGGGATGAACGTTAGACCGCCTAAGACGTACGCATAGAAGAGCGCTCTGAACGACATGTCAGACTGAGCGCGTGGAGTGGCCACAGCTATAATACGTAGTGCTACTGGATTAACTTCCGGTTAGCACTGGACTTGATAAAACTGGCTTTAGCAGTCAGTGTGCTTGAAAGGAAAGGAGATAAAGAACGGGTCTGGACGTTTGCGGGGGAACTGGGTGAGGAGGCGAACGTCATTTAAGTTCCCACGTCAAGTAAACGTGTCTTCCATTTCCGTACAACCTCCAGCACAACAAACGGTACTTAAGTTGATCTCTACAGTGGTATTGAACATTTAGATAACATGATAGATACAATACATGAGAATGCCATATGTTTTATGAAATGAACTGCCCAATACGGCGAATGCAACGAGCGGACGACAATGAAGTTAGTGGTAGATGGACACATGGGCGCAGCAAAAACTCAAACGTCCGTCCGACAAGGAGGCTGTAGCCTCGAACGCCGCCTAGAAACTACACTCTTGGAATATAGCCCCCTTCTACACTGTTCATCCTGTGTGGGAAGAACAGCACACCAATGGCCGTTGACATACTTCCAATCATCGACGTGGTCGTTGAGATTGAGTGGGCCCACTACAAGGGGCGGAAACGCGCCGTTTGACGGGGCGTATGTAGGCACCGTGAGGCGCGTGCCAAATGATGCATCTTGATACGGTACCCAAGACGAGGTTTCACGTGGCTGGAATGGACACGGTGAAACGATAATTGTCGGAGCAGATGGGTGCGTGGGTTTGATGACAAGCGGTTCGACCTTTTAACCAAGGTGAGCATTAATTTATGCATAATTGATTTATGCTCACTAAAGAAGAAGATCGCCGACGCTTTCTTCTCGGTCGTTCTGGCAGTGAAACGTCAGGACACGGCAATGCGCAGTCCTCTGCCGCATGAACTCTCGCGATCGCCGGTAACGAGAGCTGCGAATGAGATGGTGCTTCTAAATTTTCATTAGTCTAAAAATTTGTTTGAGTTAAGCTAGTCTGGCGAGACAGGCAAAAGTGCGACGCACCTGTTGAAGTTCTTCACCAAGGGGATCTAATTCTGACAACAGCCTAGCAACTGTGTCCAAGTCTTCCTCCATGACATTTTTCAAGCCATGATACACAGGCTCAATAGTTTGGGCACACAGCCCGCGCCACGACAAGTCGAGACAGGTGAGCACGTTTACATCGACCGACTAAACGTGGAGCATCCGCCAGTTCAGATGACGACGGTAAATAAGCTGAGAAAAGACTCACCATGGCATTGTCATTGCTAGACAATGTGTGTCCGACGCGCACATCTAGCCACCTGGCAGACTGGCGTGACAGTCGAGCGAACATCCCTTCAGTCCCACTTAAAGTCCACCAAAAAGTTGGACACTGTAAACGGAGCGCCGAAGCCCCTAACACCTACGGAAGCGAGGTAGATAATGCAGAAAGCGACTCTGATTTAAGAATCAACCAGACAGGCGTCAGGTGTCTCTGAGGAGGGAACAGAAGAAACATAGGAGAGCCAGGTTCCGGGCAATGGGCAGGGAAGGCACATGGCTATGAAGATAATGGACGTGTTTCTGACTCCGGCTTCTTCAGAAGCCGGAGCCAGCAGACAAGGTATCGTGGGAACATGAGTTGTACCGACTACTATAGCTACACCACTAAATACAGTCTATTATAGAGCTAGCGACTTGGTGAAAAACCTAGGAATGCCCTATATAAGATCAAGTGACTGACAGGTGGTCCAAGAGGAGGAAGTGGAGGTAATGTGCCTCTTGCAAGCACGTACTACTACGACACGTGGCGGATAACGCATGATTAGTACAAGCTATCAACTGTGGAGGGGGGTCAAGTCGAACACGTCGGGACTCCCAGACCGTCGTATATACACATGGCGCGGTTGCGATGCTAAAGTTGTTTCCGTGTGCTGTGCTTTAGGTGACAGATTAGAAAATGACTGATCTACTCGGTTGCAGTTTCTCATCCGACGCCAGGCTTGAGTTCTTTATTGCACGAATACCTCTCACGATCAAACGGAACGTCGACAAGATCTTGAGGATCTGTCACAAGTCCAGGAGCTGTACGTGGTCCCCCTTGTACCGTAGTGGCATAGGTCGACTCGGCAACGAACTTCATGATATCAGGGTCTAGAATTTCGAATTCGGCGTACTGGCTGTCCACTACTTCATGCGTGTTTCGACTACCTAAGCCGTGTATCATGCAGTGATAAATTGACGAACCAAGAATTCTGATTCTGATCTGGAAGCTTGCGCCCATCTGCCTTCAGAACCGTATTTCACCATCCAGAATATCCAGAACAAGAGGAACAAGCCAGTTCGAGGGGCCCGCCTGTGTGCTGTATTTATACCGTATGTCAGGTCTAAGTTTGCGTACTCGGGAATGGCCGTGCGACCAGAAATCTTGCTCGCACCACTTCAAGATCTGATTCCAGGGGGTGCAAGAGACCTCGGGCTTGCAAACAAGGTACCGGAGGCAGTCGACACTGGAGTCAGCAATGACTTTATTTACCAGTCGTTTAAATCGTGTACATGTGGTACTTTTAGACTTTCCAGTCATGTGGTCACCTGTAGATTATCAGCATTGGTAAGACCAAAACTTAGAACATCGGTTTAACCTAAAAAGCCCCTGTGCGAGCTTCTGGTCTGGTCGATATAAACAGTGAGAAAGATCTGCCGTGTCTTCCTGCTGTCTTGATTTTTTCGATGACAGCGGATATTAAAGAACAGGACCTCAGTGATGTGGCTTCAAGAACGTTAACGTTGTGGGTAGATAACATATTGAGGTATGTGGCCATGACATGTTTACCACATTGCCGAACAGTTCTAGGCGTCTAGAGGGGTTCCGAAGCTTCCGGTAGGCAAGGATCAAATCGAATCGCGTTGACTCCTCCAAGGACCCCAGGGTACGCTGTTCCATGTCCGATTTCTACACAAGGAACGTTGGGGCGACTTTCCCCGTAAAGACTTCCAGAATGATGCACTGGGCTGCGATAACTGCGATAACTTTGAAGGAGTTCAGAAGCACGAGAATTGCTGTGTTACGTGGTCTTTACTTTGTACAATTCGAGGAGGACATAACGACACCTACATACATTACTTGGCCACCCTGATTGGCCCTAACAGGCCGCTCGACGTAATACAGTTGTCACACCCGACATTAATGAGAGGCAAAAGGGCATAACTTCAGGACATTGAGGTCTTAACGCGAAAAGATATACTTAGCACTTAGCTATACTAGATAGCTTCGTCCATAGTCAACGGGAATAAGCCGGATCCAGCCGGGGGACGGATCCCGGAAGTCTCCATGGAGCTGAAGAGGATCCCAGTGGTCTGCCTCGCCTTGGTTCTCGGATAACACCGCTGGAGTACTGCGGTGGGGAGAGTTGACCGTGGGTGCTAGGCGTAGGGGAAAATCCTGAAAGCATTAGCTGTTTTGAGCTGGCACTCCACATGATGATCAGAACGAACAGATGTGTCGGTGAAACCCGACGGACGTTTTGAACGACGATCACGTGCGAACCCGAGGACGATGACAATGAGCCGTTCAGCGCGTTTCAAAAGGTTCCGTGGTTGGTTATTACAGGAATAAACGATGCTGTAACCATCGTGCCTTCGCGACCGATAAGCAAGTCCCACTGCCTGCGAGGGAACGTAGCGGCGCCACTATCAGCCCATGCAATAGTCATGATTGATATGAGGCTGGCGATGCCGATACGAGGCCGGTGACGCGGATATGAGCTATGTGTACAACCAACTTGGGTCTAAGTCAGCTCATGACAAACGGCACTGGGCAGATACGCCTGAACGGCCAAAAGAGGTGTTACTTGCCACATCGAACAGAAAGGCAGCGCGATTGTTCTTATATCATGGTTGGGCCAGGCTGGCGCGCAGAGCTTGAACACGAGGCAAGCCTCGAGGCGTCGTCTATATGAGTTTACCCTAAAGAGGAAAGAGGATGATATCTAGACGCCGCACCTACGTTCTTGAGCGCGGTGTGAACAAGGATGTGCATGTGCGGCAAAAATGACGTCGTGAGATATGGCTAGTGTAGGCGGGCTGACTGATCACTGATGAGGTGGAAGATAAGTTGGGCTGTTTGAATTGATCTGTTTTTAATCTGAGATACAGACATATCACCACCGGCGGTGAGAGATGGGATGATGATGATCAGGATAAGGATAATATAGATTGATGAGATGGTGAAACTGATAATCAGTTTACGTGGAGAACCCGGGTGTCAGAGACGAAAACGAGGACTGTAATGAAATTTGGTGCGCATCGACAACAGGGGAGAAGACGTGTAATGGAATGCTTGGTAGTATGGATGGAGTTATGGAAAACACTTCTTGAGATGAGGTCCTGGAAGACCCACCGATCTATCCGGCAATTTCATTTCACGGTGAAAATAGTGCGTGGCAAATTTCTATATGCACGAGAGGTAGGACACATGGGTTTTAGCCATTTGGCAAGACAGGGCAACAGTCAAGGGTTAACAGCTGATTGGTGAAAGAAGGGAAAGCAGGTCAAATACTGGAAACACGTGGGGCGATCAGAGATGATCGTTGGATAGCGAACATAAGCGGGACAGGTGCCCGTGGGGCAGGCCCAATGGCAATGTGACAGGAGGAACATGATGTGGTTAAATGGCACTGTTATGCGTGATGTGGGAGCCAGACCTGATGTGAATGGGAGTCAGGAACGACACGCTGTACAAATGAATATGAACACTGGGCTTGTTGCCCCCAGAAAGAGGATGTCTGGCGAAGTAGCATTGCCTCGTTGCAAGGCATGACTCTCGGCCACTGATCACGAATACAAAGGAAGCCCTTGCATGGAGTGGCATTGTGCAATTAGTGGATTGCTTGCTGGTAAGAGGGCGGCCTCGAGGCATGGCCCCGCATGGAAAGCAAAAAAAATAAAGTGGATAGAAGATGGACCGCCCGTAAGCGTAACTAATTGGAGGTATAGTATGAGTCAGGGCTAACGATCCAAGGGAAGTGTGAGCCCGAGCTGTCGTCGTTCAGTAAAATTACGGACCCACTACGGCAGCTGCCTCGGCACAGCCACCGTCGGGTAACTTGTGATTGGAAGATACCCCGTGAACTGCTTTCCACATCCACAGTCGACGTTGCCAAACAACAATGCTGGACCGACCAACAAAAATGTAAAAATTTACATTGTTGGCTCCAGATAAATCAGGTTGCTCTTCACGTCGTACGACTCAGCGGCGATACTAGTTTTGACCGCTCTGCCCTCCGTTGACTAGCACAGCCTTTCTATAATACTCGGTAGGCCTTTCCCAGTTCCTTCCTGTGCATGGCACTGACAGGACGCGTGTACAAGTCTCTTTATCTCTAGACTTGCCTATCAAAGGTCAATTCGAAACCTTTTCCTAGGCCCCAAACGGCCATTTTTGTTGTGGCCTGGGTCACTTGTTCATATCGCGAACCCGTTAGACGCTCATTTCCTGCCTCGAGGCAATCCCCGAACCGTATCATCTCTCATACGGTCATATATATCAGATCCGAGATCTTCCCGTGGAACAATTCCCTTTTAACTGTCGGTGAATCCATTTCCTTTCCCTTTTCCCCCGTCTATGCTTACTGCTTCTTTCCGTCCGCCCAGTGGTGGCTGGTACTCCCGTCCTCCGCCCCCAATGCAGCGCCGCGGCCGCTCACGCCAAATTTCCCCAGTGGCACTTGCCAGGCAGGCGTCCGAGGAACGGAGAATACTATTATATCTCGACATGCAGCGGGAAGCAGAAATTGCAGTGCACACCAACTTCTTTGTGCCACCTCAGACAGCATCCTTACTCCAGTCGGAAAAGGTGGATCCTTCCTCGACGCATGCAGAGGAGCCACATCTTGCTTCAGCCGCGTCATCACTGGTCCGCTCTCCTTCACGCTCTTCGAATATCCAGGCCGACTCCGTGAAGTCGGCAGATAGATCCCCTTCGTCCACCCGCTCTTTATCCCCGACACCTTCAGGGTCTCTAGGGTCTGCTGAATCATCAGCACCCTCTTCTATTTCCCCTGACTCTTATGACTCGCCTCCCTCGCCCCCCCGATCACTCGAAGATCAAGTCCAGGTGGCTTACGCGTTGGATGATATCCGTCTAGCTAAGATTCTGCTTCTTAAGCTTAAAGGAATCGATGTCACCTCGGATAATGATCCTCGGATAGATGAAGTCCAAGACGAAGACTTTGACATGTGCTTCGTACCCTCTGGCCCACTTAAACTCGAAGAACCTGAAAGGCTCGTTGTCCAAGAAACCCGACTGAGGCAGCAGGCAAGGTGGGAGGAGGCTCAGCGACAACAACGCTTGCGCGCGTGCGAAAAGATTTGGGAGGAAGAGAAGCAACGTCTACACACAGAACGACTTCGCGCTATTCGCCGTCGTGAGGAAGATATTGCTATAGAGGAAGAGCGAAGACGGTTGGCAGAGGTTCATCAGCGCGAAGAGGCAGAGCTCGCTCTCCGACAGCGTTCCACGCGGGTGGGGTTCTCGATGGCTCAACGTCACACTGTGTCTTATGGTAAATTGTCGCAGGCACGGCTCGCGAGGTTCTCGTCGAAACGTGACGAAGATCCATTTCAGTACACCTTCATGCGGCCCATGAAGTTGAGTACAACCCCACCCAAGCGTGGCCTCACATCCCCGAAGCCACTCGGTAATGACACCACGTCGAAGCCTTCAGGTGGCCTCCAGCGCACAGTGTCGTTCAAGGAGGTCGTGTCCTCTATGGACGGTAAGCTGTTCCCCCTCGACGCAGCTGAGCGGGCGGAGGAGGCGAGGCGTATTGCTGGCATCAGCACTGTTGCCAGCCCTTCGCGGCACCGCCGTCATAACTCTGCGCAATCCGATTTACTCCTCAGCTTGTTGCAAGTTGTGGAGTGGCAGGAAGGAGAGAGGAGAAAGGCGAAAGGCAAGGACGTGGAACGGCCTGCGCAACTTCTTGAGCAATCTCCGCTTTGCAGTACTCCCACCCCTATGCTTTCGATCCCTTCATCTGACTCGATACCCTCGATGTCGTCGTCTTCAGTTTCCACGTCTCGGTCGAACTCTTGGTTGTCCTTTGGCAGTTGGCGCTCGTCGGTAACGGACATTACGTCTCCCGAAGCGTCTTCGCCCGTTACTGACTCACCCAAATGTTCTACATCGTCCCTGCAGCTACCTACTCTCTATGAGAGTCAGCGAGACCTCAACCCGCGCTCCTCCTTTGTTCCCGTTTCGCTTGATGAGACACCACTTTCACCGCCCAATGCTCAGAGACATGCTCGGAATGTGCAACCCTCTCAACCTGCTGTAGGCGTTCCTTCACCAGCCAGTGGCTCTCGTGGGTTGGAGAGCATGGGAAAAACACTGGTTCGACATGTCAGCCGTTCGGTCCACGGGATAGTCGATGTGGCGAAAGGACTTCAGTCGGCCTACATCTCTACAACCATGTTTTCCGTTTGCGCCGCTCCCTCGCACTCTTCTACGTCTTCTTCACGTGCCCCCCTCAACAGAAAGAGTTTCCGCCGCTATGGCTACCGTGCTCGCCCGGCTGACGTGAAGAAGTTTACTTCTATCGCCACACTATCTCCAACAGCTACCTCACCCGAGCCTATCCACTTCATCCCTCTCGTATCCCCTTTCGCAGTAGCGCCTGGTGCTACATTAACCGTGCATCGTTCGGCGTCCTCTCACTCCCTTATCATACCCTCACCCCTTCGCCCTCGTACTCCACCCACTGCGCTCGCTTACCGGATGCGCCCCGTTGCGAACCCTGAAATCCTTCGTTTACGCGCACTACAGAATCTCATGTGTGCCCGGGGCAAAGAATGGGAAGGCCGCGGACGAGAAGGTGGGCTTGGCTGCGGCAAAGAGCGTATGCTCGGCGTTGCCTTTGAAGGCCGGGGGCCGAGCGGCCTAGGGTGCGAGATACGCTTCGTTATCGCATGAGGGCTTTCCTCCTCGGGTCAGGACTGTGTGTCCTCAGTTTCTGGACTTTATAATCAGTTTATGCGCTGTTTAATTCTAATCGTTGGAACGGGACCTTCCGTTTTAGTTTGTAGGTTGGTGCGGGGAGGGGGAGCGGTGATATAGGTGGCCCCATCTGTTGTCTGTATCTATAGAACGTTAGCTGACGATACCCTCGCATGACGAGCACGTACATATGCTCTTTTCTTCTTTCTTGTACATATATATACCTAGCGTTTTTGCGACATCCCATCACATCTAGACTTGCCATTTTCCTTGTTTGCGATTCCTCCTCCTACGTACTTCGTATGTGCTTTGCCATAGAGAGCTGATAGAATGCAATCTCATGTTTGTTCATCGTATGCTGCAATCGATACCAGTCCTTATATACTATGCATCCATGAGGTGAAACACGATTCGGTCTCGGGTCTTCGACTCCCGGCTCCCTCAGCAGGGCTGGCCTATCGTGAATTTCAAACCGGGGAAGATGATGCACATTTACCGACCATGCACCATGCAAGTTTAGATAGTTGTATCTGTCTCTGGCCGCCGTGGGGCGTTGTTCGAAGAATGTTACCCCTGACCAAGACCAACCCCATGTGAATCTGAACAGATGTAATGATGAGTTGTTGCTTCTGAGCCTATCGGCTGTTCGGTTGTATATCTAGCCAGTTCTTTTGGCCATGGGCCATGTCAGCTCATGTACGTGATGCCCTGCTGTCCATCTGCCAGGCAGTCGTGACGTCGTGCGCAAGAGCTATATGGTTTTGGGTTGGTTGTAAGCGCTTGATAGGTCAGTGCGATGCGGCTTTTGTTCTCAAATGCCAGGGCCCAGCAGGCACCGATGATGATAGTGCATTGCCGTTCACTATGAAATAGGAAGGAGGTTACTATCCGAGTCACCGGCTAGGCAGGGAAAACGTCTTGTTACACTAGTGGCAGGATGGTGACAAGTGAAAGGCAGGTGATTTTAGAAGCCTTGATCACAGCAAGCCACTGGAAGCCAGTTCTACGATTCGAGACATTGCTGTGAGTCACCTGTCCTGCGGATTACCGTCACCACCCTCCAAAGAGACTCAGTCCGACGGACGGGCGATCGTAGTGAAATTGGTCTGTGTCCGGTCACAGAGTAGTTGTCCGACATTTGCAAATTGCACATTCGAACTGACGTGTTGTGACAACTCCAGGGCCGAGCATAACTATGCAGTGTAGTTCATATGCCATTGAATAGACGTCGCAGTAAGCAGAGTACTGTCAAAGCAAGAAGGGTATCAAGAGTCTAGGGATACAACGTTGTGACGAAACAACTACCACGATTTAATGGTTGAAATCCGCCATATTGGGCGACGTCCAACGGTCAAGTTTGGACGGTGTCGACTGCGCCCAACCCACGCTTGAGCCCACGCTTACTGGTGGCGCAGGCCCAGGATTTGGCGAGAACAGATTAGCGGGTCGTCGCATGGTCTTGGCGTATGGTAGCTGATTGGAGTATATGGGATCTTGCATGCGCAGACCACTACCGAGTTGAGGAGGATGTTGTGGCTGAAGCCGCTGCTGTGTTTGTTGTCGTTGAGGCGGCGGCGGTGGCAGGGGTTGTTGCTGGGGCTGTTGTTGAGGCTGCGACTCCCATCCACTCCAAGGGTTGCTCTCCCGCTCTTGTGGCACATCAATGTCAAAGGACCACGGGCTCATACGCGAACCAGAAGAAGATGACTCGCTCCGCTTCCGAGATGCCACGGAAAGCGAGGTGTAGATTCGTCCACTCTCTTCCCGCTCGAGATCAAGTGTTATGCCCTTTTCGCTCAGCGAGGCAGAGTCGATGCCCAGCATTTTACGCAGCTCCTCGTTCTCCTTTTCCAGGCGGGAAATTTCAATTTCGCGCTCCAAGGCCCAATCGTCCCTAATCTCGGATTCTGCTTGTTGGTCTAATGTTTGGAGGAGAGCATTGATGTCGATCGGAGAGTCTTGGGTGCCATCATCATTGAGTTCGGGCTCTTCGCCAGACATGGAACGATGCAATGCACGGAGAGTGTGAGCGAGGCGCTGAAGGCCTACTGCGGTTTTAGTTTCGGAAGTCAGGTCCGCGTACTGATTCTGAGAGTCACAGGCCAGGAGTAGGCCTTCATAGTGGCGTGTCAGGGTAAGCTCGTGTTGCTGAGCTGCTAACTAGATTTGAGGTACGTTATCATCGGAGAGTTGACAATGAGGTGTCAGACGCACTGCATGATTCCGGAATTTGGACATAATGGTTTCCATAGTACTTTCATATTCTTTGAGAAGGATACTGAATTGCTTGTTCTCGTGAAGTAGGGTTTGGTTCTCAATAATGAATTGGGCGTTCATGCGCTCCAATTCGGAGTCAAAAACCTCTGCGAACAAGGTTCAGCCCTGCTGCGGATGGAGGACGTGGTTGCAAGCAAACCTTTGGAAATATCGGTATTAAAGCGCCTCAGAGCAAAACCTGAGCTGGCGTGTATAGCCTGGTCCTAATGAAAAAATGTGAAAGGAACGGATATTGGCAGTGACCGAACTGACTTTAATTGCAGCTGCTTGTGAATGTATTGTAGTTGATATCTTCTGGTTATGAGCGAGCTGGTCGCTCAGCTCGTGAATGAGTAGCCATGCGCGCAGAATGTCGTTATCCATGATCATGTTGGTGCCCTAGTGGGTTTGGGACAGACGATATTGCTCTTCCCAAATAGGAAGGATTGACGAAAATGCAAAACACGCCGCTTGAACTTGTGGTCAGGCAAACGTTTAGTGCACTCTCCAAGGCAGAACTGGTCCTAAGTTGACATTGAATTGAGTGGACTGACTGACTAGTGCTTCACTGACCTAACAAAAATCTGAAGTTTGAGGTCAAGGGAGAGGTGCCGTGGGAAAGTGTGATACTGAGGAATGGGATGTCTTGATTTCTTTCTTCCGCTACTCTCCTATAGTCCGCTTCCTCATCAGCCTTCTGTACAACATCAAACTGAAACGCTCGCTTCTTCGATAATCAATAACTAGCGATATCACTGCAATCTTCCTTTGTCTCATACACGTTTCCTTCGGCAATTTCGACTTTACATCCTCGCTAATCTTCCTTTGCTTTCTTATTCGGCTTTCGGCCCTCTCATTTTTTCTTTACTTCATTCATATCAAGTTTTATTTTCCACTTTCTCCGCATCAAACATGTCATCTGCCTCAACATCGGGTCTATCAGCCTCCGTCACGCGCATTTTGTCTTTGACAGGCTTTGCAAAGGAGCTGAAGACAAAAGACATACAGGCTGCATTTTCGGAATGGGAAAACATCGGTGGAGGCTTCAAGATTAAATGGAGAGATGACACGAGCCTTTTGATCGTTTTCCAAGATGCATCAGTTGGTAAGTACTAACTGCATCTGATTTCCAGTATAACAGCGTCTTATGAGTACATATCCACGTGTTAACAGCCAAACGTGCATATCTACACACGCTCGCGTTCCCTCCTGCTATCCTTACTACCGGCAGTTCCGCTACCATCAAACCGTATGATGGGTCTGACGCCCAAACTGTCATCCAGACAGTTAACACTCGTGGCCAGCACACAGGCAATGCTTCTCGTGGTCATAATTTGCGCGCAGCCTCTATTTCTGTCTTCCCCAGCCGCAGCACCAACAGCAGTCAGAACGGATTACGCAACGGAAACGTCCAGAATGGCCACGTGCCGAGTGCTACTATTTCGGAGCATTCACCAAGGCTCAACGGGCGTGAGCCTTCTCCGACCCTTCCGACACTCCCTTCTCACCCATCTCTGAATGACCTCATAAATTCAGCCGTGTCACACGATGATCCCGCTATTCTTCACGCGGAAGGACCACCAAAGATTGGAGATCCAGGGAAGAGAATGTTGGGAGCTGCATTGGGTGTGAGACATCCTGCACTGGGACCGCGGGTCATTAATGGAAGCCATGCAACCGGTGGGGCAAGTCCCGGTACCAGTCCCAGGGGCAGTGGACTTGATTCTACCATGAGAGACATGCAGAGGGCAATGGGAGGGCTGACAGTTGTCGAGTGAATAATACACCATGTCCGAGGATGGGTGTTCGGATTGGCAGAGTGCGTGTAATTGATGTTTTTTTTCGTGGCTGATACGCATCCCTTGATGCATAATTGGAGGATTTCATATTTTTCTGTTTCTTTGTGCTATTAGTTCCCTGCATTCCTCGTGTCACGATACGTAGTCCCTCGTTTTTTCGAATGTTTTTGTGCAGCCAGCCAATTACTACACATTCTAACGCCAACAATCTAGGCTCGCCAGCCAGCGAGTTCCCTAAGGATATTCTAGGTTCTGAAATTAGCCTTAGTCAGGGTCTGCGCCCGCAGTTTCCATTGGTACCTGAAAATTAGAGCTTCCGTTGTCAACCCCCTTCACGCCATGACCCTACTGCCAACCTCGTTGCCCATGCATGGTATAATTTAGTCATGGCAAAATTTTGATTTTGGCAGTGCCACTACCTGTGACGCGACATGATGATGATCGCTGCCAATGATGGCAGCCAATCCCAAACTTATGGAGCTAGCACAGCTCTAGCCAGCTATGCTAACTGTTTTAGATCCCTGATGAGGCTCCGTGTTTTCTGCTGTATGATCGCGCGCAGTTCAGCGATAACGCACCATCTGTTACGACATCACGGAGAAGCTACATGGCATCTTGGCTCATCTTGGGTGGCAGCATCATGAGGTTTCATCAGATCAAGATGAAACGGAAAGATTGAATTTCATGGGAACAGGTAAGGTTCCTTATTCGGCCAGTGTACCAACCTTGATTGATGATATTCGCAAGCGCATCTCAAGCGCATCTTGTTACGAACCCCCTACACGGGCCTTGACAAATGCCCAGAGGCCGCCCGTTCCGGGAATACCACAGATCACGGGAGGAAACAAAGGGAGTAATGCCAAATGTGTGCTACGATGCCTTGTAGCTATTGACGGCTGCATCAGCCAAGGTTCCATGGCGCTGTCAATAACACGAGGATCAGGTGCGTCTTTCCCTCACAATCAGAGCAACTCTCTAGTATTCTTTATCCGGTTCTCAAGCCAACTCCTTGTAGACACGGTCAACTGGTCATTGTCCTTGCTGCCGTAGCCATACATGCGGCCCTTCTTCCTGACCGGTGATTTTCCTGATATATCACACGGCTGATGACTTTGACAACAAAGGTCGCTAATTCACTTCCGCGTCCATTCTTGTACCATCACTTAGTACAGATTTCAACGTGTTCGTGAGCCACTTTACCCCCGATTGCGCTGTTCGCTATCGGTGAATTACGGGACTGATCAATGGAAGTAACGCAGCCCCAAGAGTTAATCATGTTCGAGACCCTATACAATCCAACCACCGTAAGTACCTGCCAACAGCAGCCGACTTAGCGATGCGGGCCTGGTTTTAAATCGCCTGTCTTCCAATTTGATACGTTACTGACGTCCCAGCCTTTCTATTTGTGTTCTTTGACATCCAGATTTCGACGCTTCTTTACGGCTGATCTTGGGGTATATGATCTCCGAATCGATTTCCGCGCGCAGCTTTGGTCGCTGCTCCATCATACACTGAATGTGACTTGCCTCATCATCTAGACATGCAGTCATACATATATTGCCATCCTCAGCCTCAGTCCCCCCATACACACACCATGAGTCCCTACATCCACTCCCCCGACAGCGTCTACTCTTCCGACGGCTTTTACTCCCCTCCCGAACATTACCAGCCAAAGTACGAGTCCTCTGCGACCGTACCAAGGTTCAACTCGTGGTCAGCTTATAGCCATATTTCGAGCCTTTTGCGTGCTCCGCACCATGCTCCATCCATCAATCCTAAAGTCACGATTTTAACGACACAGCCATCCCTATCCTCCGACGTTAACACCCCTTCGTCTGCGTCGACACTGTCAATACAGACGCCGTCCTCCCCCTTTGTCCATGAATATCCTGACAATCGGGAAGACATGGATTTTGATGAATCTGACTCAGAAGATGAAGACGTTGATTCTGACATTGATGAGATGGATGGTATTGAGGAAGAAACTATGCCGTTTTACGGTGTAACCGTGCCCCAGGTGATGAAATCCACTTCTGCGCTCGAAGGCGCGCTAGGGGACGGTTCACGGTCATCTGGCCCTTGGTGGCCACAGCCATCATCGTCATATATACTTTCAGACCGGCGAATGTCCGTGTCTGCGCCTGGATCCTCATCCCACCGACCAATACCTTCCCATTCACAACGACGACAGGACAGCGATATGTATTCCCCAAGACCACCTAATGATTCGGCACCAGCATCACCTTCATACCCTCATCAAAGCTCTTCGTATACCCATGACAGTTCGAGTTCAATGACTACATTATTCGCACCACCCACTTCCGCATTGTACCAAAATTCGTCATCATCCTCGCTGGCCGATGCAATTCCAATCGGTCTTACACCTGGAGCTACACGAAATTCATCCACTCGTCTGCCCATTATGCAACCACAACCAATCCGCCCAATCCCTCCCATTCCTTTGGACGAATTAACGACGTCTGCTGCCGAAGTAGATGACCCTGTCTTTCCAAACGAAGACATTCATAGACCTCGAGAGCGGAGTCTTTCGCCCCTTCCACTTCTTTGCCAGCCAGTCTCCGATGCCGTGAGGTATCAATTGAGCGCAAATTCTAGGAACGCTCAGGGTGACGGTGAGGCATATGATCATCAGATTACGGCGGAGCCGTCACCTAGAATTTCTGCCATTCAATCTCATCATTTTAATCCGGCTTACCCCCGAACCTGTTCAGGAGCCACGCACACTCCGATGTGTACATGCAGACGTGACAGGAAAATGAGTTGGCGGTGATTTTTATATATATCCATGTCAATTGTTCGTATGATGATATTCATGAAGGTTTTACTTGGATATTTGATCAGGCCTAGTAACTAGATAAACTATATAATTCAACTTTGCATAGTTTATTACATGTCTTCATTCCATTTGGGGCTCGTTAATACTTACTTAACCTAGTGATATTGCAGAAACGTACATGCGCAAACAAAACGTGAACAAGTAAACCGAAAGGACTAGACGAAAAGAGAGCTGAAAAAAAAAGGCAAGTGAAAGCCAAAGCGTTCCGAATCGTGCTTGAGGGTAACCTTAATTAATATTATCGTAAACTAGTACCGTAAAGAGAAATTCATTATGGAACATGAAGCTGTCTTTAGGATCTGGGAATCCAAAAGACAGGTCGTGCGATGGTACAAGGTGACGCTGGGAATTCAGGGGTGCGCGAAGGAGATTGACGGTTTTGCGCAGCCTAGGTCAAATGTGGAACTGCTGTTAAATAAACATGAAACGTTTGCTATATCAATCAACGGATAAGTAGTGTCCAATAGATCAGGATATAAGTCGAACTTACCGGTGCCAAGCCCATCATCTCACACCGTCAGATAGCTATTGTTCTGTTATATTCCTCCGCCAGCAGAAGTCGTCCGCATTCTAGCGCTGCGGGACGTAAATGATCTTGTCCTGATCCTGTCACACTCACGTAGCTGCGATTTCTGCGGAGTGCAGGGAGCGAAGCGGGTTTGTGGAGCTAGACTCTTTCGGCTACTTTTCTGTTTGGCCAAAGTAAGGGCACCGGTTTCATTGACGTTTGGTGAGGCAGCCGGTTGTTGTAACGGAGTGGCGGGGCGCTTAGGGTTGACATCGACATGGTGAAGCTCAGCCGAAGGCAGTAATGGCGGAGATCCTGGGAAATCCGGATGTCCGTGGACGGATCCTCCACGGATCTTCGACTGTAATGGGACCGAATGGTTGGGAAGTTCAGGGGTGCCCGAGTTAGATGCGGCATCCAGAAGGAGATCCTCAGCCTCACCCCTTTCCTCGTTCGGAAGGAAATAGAAATCCAGAGGTACGTAGGATTGGCGCCGAGAGCGGATAACAGGTGATTCCCTCATTGAATCATCGACGCTGGCAAATATTGGAAACAACGTGTCCAGGGGAAGCGCCTCGTTATCTGTAACAAAGTTGGTATTGGAGACTTGAGGTGCTTTCTGCCTGATCGTACTCGCGTCAGATTTGACCGGCTTGGAATTCCTGGAGGCCGAAGCTTTGTCATCCGTCACGCAGAATTCTCCCGGGTTAACCCAGCGTCTATACTCGCTGCCATTGCAAGGAACGGACTGGCGATTGTCGGAAGAAGTTGGTCTTCGGCCATTATTTTGGTAAGGCGCTGCAAGAAGCCCCTCGTAGTAAAGTTGCGACCGTTCCTGCATGTATTTTCTATATGTGCCGGCACATTCATGGATGTCACGAGGAGTGCCAAACGCTCCAGAAAGAAGTTGATAAAGTGCCGACCGCTCAGTAGCTGAGAGTGTACAAGCGTTCGGCGACAAAGGGTCGGCAGAAGTTGTACATGGCGATAAACCTAGTTCAGCCCCATCGGCTTTCAGATCTGGCACCACTTGGGAAAGGGTGTGGAGTGGGCTTGTCTCGAACATTAATACTGATGGGCCACAATACGTGTAAGAGACCTCGTCTATCGCTTGTGCATATGTGTAAGACTCGTCAACGGTACTGACCACCAGATCAAATTCTTGGTTTGTGTCGCTCGCAGGAAAGATGTCAGGTTGGAGGATTGGACTTATTGCGCGAGCCATCCGAGATGACGGACAGATGACTGCAGGTGGCAGGGGGTCGTCGTGAGTGGATCTAACGGCATATTTCCTTGGGCGGCCAGGTTTGGCCTTCGTAACTCCACGAGGTTTGCTAACTGGGGGCTTGGCCTGCTTGAGGTTTGATATCAAGTTTACAGTTGCTCTCCGCGACTCCTTCATAGGTGCTTGGCGCAAAGTGCGGAGGTTCGGCTTCGGCTGAGAAAATAGATCACATATCAGTGATGTTCTTAATGATCTATTCAAATGTTCGAACCGATCGCGGTGCTAGAGCAAAATCATTTGGCACAGTTGTGTTACCGTTCTTATCTTCCTTGATCACGCGCAGGCCTCGGCTGTGAAAATAATCATAGACATGCCTCCTGTCGATGTTGTAACGTTCTTGCAGCTCTTTCCGGACAGCAAAGGACGGCATCTCGATGTTTCCAGGGTGTATCAGTGCCTCAAGATCGCGGACAAGATCCGGTCCTAGTCGGAGAGCAAGGCTCTCAGGATTGACTCGCCTTCTCTGGAATACAGTGCTAGCATTCTGAACAGCGGAAGCGCTTTCCGTTCCCAACGGTTGATCAGATGACGGGGAGCCGGAACCATTGAGGTGATGCCAGGTAGAGTGTGAAACGGCAGTTTGACGGGTAAAACGAGAACTGCTGGCTGCATCGGTATCGCTTGTGGAGACTGATTCCATTCGGCTGGGAGAAGAATTGCACAGGATATGAGAAGGTTTCGCGTCAACTTCGGGCAAAATGAACATCGCTGCTTTGGATAGGAATCTTATAGTCTCATTCCGCGGAGTATAAAAACTACATATGCTGTACAGCCACCACATGTTAGAAGTACAAACTAGCAGCGAACACGACTGCAAAGGTATGCGGATCAGAGACAATTGAGCTCTCCAAAGAAATCTTGACTTACTGTCCCTCTTGATTTTTAGTTGAGCCTCTTCCAGTTTCTTGAATAAGTCCATATCCCCGATCACCCGAGCAGCATCCCTGACTTCTCTACAAGTCTCATCTAATCGCGTTATAACCCTCACTATCGTACCTTCCGGAATGGTAGTCAAGGCTGTTATCTGGTCAAAGGGCTTTATAAATGGTTGACCATGAGTTTCCACCCCTGGTAACACACGTTTTCTGACTCACCATGCCTTTCGCCCATTCGTATACTACTTCCATGAGACCGAATTTCAAGCTGGTTTTAAATTCCTCCGCCACAACCTTGTGGCGATCTTGCACGGCTTCCACCCCCCTACTGATTGCAAGAATTGCGTCTCTGCCCTCCTCGAGTTTGGCCGGCACATCAGGTTCCGTCTCTGTTTTTTCTTGAAAGACGAAGCAAGATAGAAGAGCAACCACTTCTTCTGGCTCATAGTTTGCGAGAGTATTCTCAAGTATAAGCTCAGTGAGGACAAGCTCGTTTGCAGAGTTGATCTGAACTTCAGTAAGCCGACAATATAATTCGGTATAGCAGGATCATATCTGACCTCGCATGCCACACGACCCTTCAGTTGGACAGTCGAGTTTTCGTTGATGAACTTCAACTCTTTGAGAACCTCTATTCGTTGCTCATAGTCCGGGATAAGGTCGAGGTTCTGGTCAGAAATTGCCATTTTGAGCCTGTCTATGTTTGCGCGCAGCGTCTTCTGACCATGGAGAATAAGATACTACACGGCCCCATAAGTCACATGAAGGCGTGAAAGTGACTTGAACTGACATGATCGTGAAACTCGCCGCACAATGTACACGATGAACCTTGGCGACGCTTGGCGAGGTCATTTCTGCTGCGCAATGCCTCCTGGAAATCTAGCGTTCGGATGCGGTCCCAATTAACCTCTGGTACGGTTCCAGCAGACCTCCAGTTGTGGACAAGAATTTGTAGCGAGTTGATAATCTCAAGCATCAAAGATTTCCTATGGTGATCGACGATTCCAGTTGCGTCCACCTGTCTCAGCTTAGCATCAGGACTCCGGGAAAAAATGCTGCCATACCTTCATAGTCTCGGAAGTCACCATAGAAATGCTGTCGAGAGGGACACTTCTTAGGTCGTATATGGGATTCTCGATTCCCAATGAAGCGGGAGCCAGTGGCCATCTCGGTGGCAGAGCTCGATCTTCAACATCTTGAAAATTCGATGAACGGGTTTCATATACTATCGTATGTCATAGAATGTGTACCTGTGTCACCTAATTTCGTTTCTTGGTCGACCATAGCCAGCACGAAAAACAGCTTCCCTACGGATGAACTTGCTTGCCGTGGATCTGGTTTAAGCAAAACACCGACATTACCCCGCTTGAAATGCTGGTTGTAAACGGGAGGATGATCAGTAGGAGTGAGGGTCATGATCGGCAGATAACGTACGCCGTCTCTTAAGACGACAACCCTCCCTGGGCCAAATAGGTTGGCATTTGAAGGACTGGATGTCGCCATAGTGCAAAGGTTGTTATTCAAACCAACGACCTCAAGGGAAAGATCGTAATAGCGCTCGATGTCAACCAAGCAAACATCACATTCGAGTTTAGGCATCTTAGAAAGTGTCCTCTCATGCTGATAATTATCGTGGTCAATGGGTATATCTGCGCATGCAAAAATGAAATGTAAAAACATACATCTGCAACTTGCTTTTGATGTTCGGGAAGCAGTCTCTGCGAAGAATTTTCAGAAAAGCTCCGTTTGATCATTTCCTCGACGCGCAGAGCCTCCACACGAAGCAAGTTTAGTATCATATTATAGGTGAGCCTGAATTGCGACTGCAGTTTTCCGGGTGTGCCGAGCATCATCTTCAAGAGATCTGTTTGCTGTAACGATGAGGTGTTATTGAAGTGTGCCCAAACCACTAATAGCGAGCTTACCTCAGGAAGACTGTCGCCTGCAACAATGATCACCGTTCCAGTAGGGTCCAGACCACGCCGTCCAGCACGACCCGCCATTTGGGTGTATTCGCCAGGCAGGATGTCTCTGAAGCTGCGCCCATCATGCTTCCGTATGTTGGAAAATACAACACATCTTGCGGGCATGTTAACGCCCTGGGCGTGCCGTCAGAATTCCCTTGCCAATAACACAAGATGAGAAACACACACCATTGCAAAGGTCTCTGTGGCAAACAAAACCTTGACGAGCCCACGTGCAAACAATATCTCCACGACCTGTCAACAATGAGTCAGTCGTGATCAAAGCCTTGCATGAATTACTCAGACCTCTTTGACGATGGGCAACAAACCACCATGATGAACACCGATTCCTCGTGACAGTAGGTCCCTCATCCTAGCGATTTGCGGAAGCTTCTTGTCCGAACCTAGGATAGGAATCAACACAGTCAATGAAATTATCTACGGGTCGCACTTACCCTTTAGTCGCGAAAGGGCCTTCTCGATGGCGACATGTACCTCACTCTTTTCTACGGACGTGCACAGATCTGAATTGGTAAGAGTTCCGGCATTTTCTTCACAACGCTTCTTTGACAGAGTGAACACAACGACAGGAAGTAGCCCCTTTTTCTGAAGATGATTTAGTAGGTGCACATAGAGATTCTTGTCTGCGCCAGTGTGAATAGTCCTAGACTGTCCGCCGCCACGCCCACGGGGTGCAGACCCATTTGGGGCTGCGCCGCGTTGACCACCGCGTGCTGGTGCTGCGCCACGCTGCACACCTCGAGCAGCGCCTCGAGCACCGACACGCTGTACAGGAGGTAAACCTGCAGCGTCTCGTTCCTTATCCTGTTTCCTCCTGAGAGCATCGGCGGCGTCCTGGTACCTGTGATCGTAACGTTAGGATGCTCAATATCCAAACGTTTGTGACATTACCCCCGTGAAACCCAATTCCTAGAAGCATCTACGATCTTGAATGTGTCCCTGCCGGCGTAAAGATAATGCTCAAGAGGCACAGGTCTTTGCGCCGTGGAGATCACATATATGTCCTTCTTCTTGGTTCGCCTTTGTAAATTCGCAGGTCAAAGTCAAAACCGTGACATGCAAATGCCTCATATTTGCTCACCCTACCCAGTCAGCAAACTCTTTGCTGTTGGGAACAGTTGCCGATAGCAGGATGATGTTAACGTGATCAGGTAACATGATGATGACTTCCTCCCAGACAACACCTCTCTGCCAAACTCTAAAATAAGTAAATTTCGGTATAATGCAGGCACCATACCTCTGCATCGTTCACGTAATGCACCTCGTCAAAGATCACAAATTCGACATCGCGAATCAGATCGGCGCCCTTGTACAGCATGCTTCGGAGGATTTCAGTCGTCATCACCAGACAGCTCGCCTCGGGATTGATCTGCACATCCCCTGTGAGTATTCCGACAGATGACGACGAGAAAGTTTGTTTGAAGTCTCGAAATTTCTGGTTTGACAGTGCTTTGATCGGCGATGTGTATATGGCGCTGAAAGAGAACTTGAAGTGTTGGAATGCTGCTATACAAAGAACAAGACAAACCGTGTCATATGTTTCTCAGCAAGAGCGATGGCGTATTCGGCAACAACAGTTTTCCCAGCGGAAGTATGCGCTGCCACAAAGACTGAATCTCCCATTTCGAGGTGATACACTGCTTCTTTCTGAAAAGTATCCAACTCGAAAGGATACTGCACCAGATCATGAGAATTTGAGGCACGAACAGGATGATGACTGACTTTGTGAGCCATATCTGGCACAAGTTCATGAAAGTTTGTCATAGGTTTGTTGATATCAACCACATGTGCCCAATCGCGCTTGACTACATTGGGTTTCCTCGTCCGTCGGGGAGCCGTTGATGGTCGTAGGTGTGTCCGCTGGAAGCGTGCTATTTGAGCATTGATCGAGCCTGCATAATGAGGTCCTCACCGTTGTTGGTAAGAGCTCATCAATTTCTCCGAAACTATCGCCATTGGGTAAGAGATCTCTTTCTTCATCCAACACATGACTTTCATTAATGTGCTGCGCGTTCTGTACTGAGCAAATATATGATACATGGGAGAATGACGATATACCTTGTCCTCATTGAAACCAGCAGTATCATCGAGGGAGGTAAGTGCTTCGTCTTCCGGATCATCTCCCGAAAGTCGCAATCCTCTCGAAAAACCCGGTAAGACAGTCCGCAACCCTTTGATAGGCTCTGCTGTGGTCTGTTTTGCTGCCAGAATCACATCGTCAAGTCCACCAGGCTTGAATGGAACATAACCAGATTTTCCCCTGACAAAGTTGGCCACTGGGGCCGGAGCACGGTCCATAGATGTCGATGTGAGCGCTGTCGAAACCGGTGCATTTGGTGTCTTGGACGAATTTACAACCGCGAAACGCAAAGAAGATAAACTAAGGGCTCACTTCAGCATAACCAATGACGCGTCCTTCGAGACCCGCACGCAGGAAGGTAAGACTGGTCGGCGGTGGAGAGGGTTCTGAGGTCAAAAGTGATCGAATAGAAATTTCGGGTTGCCAAGCTCTGAGGTGGAAGAAGTCAAATTTGCTACTTGAAAAGCATAGATATACATACATCTGATACGTTGGAAGCCAGTGCTCGGGTATCCTGTCTGGTGGAAGGAGCAACTTGGCTTCAATTTCCTGATGGACCTTGTCTCGAGTAGGGAAACCAGCAAGTCCAAGATCTTTCAGTATCTGATCTGCATCTTCTCGCCGAGGGTTTAATATCTGGTCCATGACATGTTCGTGACTATCTGGCATGGTCTCAACCATCTCGTTCTGCTATACAGCCTAGATCAAGTTCAAAGTCATTAGCAGTGAATCTGTGGCTGTGTCGGACATTCTACATTATTACATTCACGTGACGCTGAATCCTGATGCAATATTCAGGAGTTAGATGTTGTACACAACGGAAAAAGGCAAATCTTGATAGGCTTTAGCTATCCCTAGTTTCGTCCTTAAGGATGATATTGCAGCTCAGACACGGAATCTGCGACAAGGCCTCAGCGTTCAACGCCCATGGAGTTGAGCTACTCGATTGAGAGAAGGATTGAAGCGTATGAGCTATAGCAAAGACACTGGCAAATGACGAATACTACAATTGAAACAATGTAGGCTGCATGTTCTAAATTACACTCGTTCAGCTATAGTTAACAGTGCATTCAACGATCAAGCGCACCATTTTACACAGTCGAGCCAGCAAACCGCCCAATTGGATAATAGTGCCCACACCCTCAAGTATCCGCATATGCGTGAAGCCAATTTCCTGATATGATATGGTTTGTTAAAACGCTCGAGTAATGCATGAACAGTTCCTCCTGCCTTGATAAATTCAAGTTTCATATACTCGGGTAGTCTACCAGGAGAGATATTTTCAGCGCCAACGATAACTCAGAAAGCTGGGACTGACTCATCAAATGTTTTTGTTACTCTGAAGACTGTGACTACGATGTCAACAGCGCTATAGCCTTGCTCCCAGAGTTCATTCAGTTTCTCCATCGCAGCATCGATATCACCCTTTAAGCACAACCGTATCATGCTTTGCACGATGACAGGATGAGGCTGGTCGCAAACTTTGAAAACGTTTTCACCAGACACAAATCCAAAACCGGAGTGCGTTGACTGAAGGTTGTTGATTGCTTGACGCATGTCGCCTTCGGATGTGAAGATGAGAGCAGTCAGACCATCGTCATTGTATTCGACCTAAGCCGATAGTAGGTTTTGGTCAGTAAGAAAATGACAGGCGCAGTAATTGGATCGTCACCTCCTCCATTTCGCATATTTCTAACAGCCTTTTCAGAATTTCGGTGTCTCTCAGCTTTGCATATCGTAGGATAGCACATCGACTCTGTATCGGTTCGATGATTTTGTTAGACATGTTGCATGCCAGGCAAAAGCGAGTTGTGTTTGAGTAAATCTCCATCGTTCTTCTCAACGCTTGCTGTGCACCACCAGTCATACTGTACAATTGAGTGAGCGTCACCAAGACGTGATTTCGTTGATATTTTCACCTGTCAGCCTCGTCCAGAATCACAATTTTATGCCGCCCAGGAGGAAGGGTGACCTTCTTCTGTGCAAAAGCCTTTATTTTATTCCGTACGACATCGATTCCTCTGGGGTCAGGTCAAATTGAGAAAGGTATCAAAGATTAGAACTCCAAACCTCTCATCAGAAGCATTTAGTTCGAGAACACCCTCTTTGTACGCATCCCCGAGTAACTGATGAGCTAGACAGTGTATACTCGTCGTCTTTCCAATACCCGGCAAACCCTGTAATCACATTTGCATCAAGAAAAGTAACATCTCTGTCAAATACGCACTGATATAATGATATGGGGGCAATTTCCATCCTTTGCAATGACCTTCAGTCTTTCAATAGTGTCAACGTTTCCGACCACATCGTCCAAGTTCTGTGGCCTGTATTTCTCCACCCTACCAATTCTCAGTTTACAGCAGTCACATAGAAGTCAAAGCACATACCAAGGTAGTTCATAGCCTGAACTCGCAGCTCCGGTAGCTGGTGCCTTCCCTTTTGCTGAGGATGAAGCCATGAGTAAGTTATTTGGGAAGCAGACGCGACACGCTGTGACATAATATTGTCTGTGACCATGTGTGACCACACGCGTTTCTTGTCCTTTTTGCCTTGATTTGGGCTTGATGCATTGATGTCCCCTTCGTTCCTGTCTCCGCTCAGTCACTGTTGTCAACGTCAACGCGTCAAGTTCATATTGCAGCATGGTGAGTAGAGCATCAATAATTGGAGTAAATTTTACATAGTATGTGCTCGCAGGCTTGAAAGGGTCTCGTTTTCTGTCGAAGAAGGCCCCAGAGGTGCTTCCTGCGACAACAGTCCTTCCTAAACCACGCCTCGACTACCGCGCTATCTCAGAGTCGATAGTGTACAAGTCCCACAACGCCTTTAATCGAAAGGCTCCACTTCCGATTGGTGCATTACAGTCAGTCGCGCGTTATTATGATGAACAGAAGGAACTCTCCAGCAAGTTAGGCTTGAAGCGTCACGCCCGCTCGAACTTGGGCGAAAAGATGAAAAAGATCAAAGACCCAATTGGGAAGCAGGCTGTCCTGGAGGAAGCTAAACTTCTGAAGGTGGAGGTCGCAGAGCTGGAGCAGAAACTTGTGGCAGTGGAGGACAATTTACTGGGGCTTGCATTGCAAATACCGAATGACACTCATCCTGATGTACCATTAGGTCCAGAGGAGGCTGCTGTAGTGCTTTCCACTCACGGACTGGATCCCATTGCCGCTAGTGGGAATCGTGACCACATGAATATTGGTCGCGCTCTTGGTATCCTTGACTTTGAAGCGGGAGCGACCGTTACGGGTTCATCTTGGTATTACTTGCTAGGAGAAGCAGCATTACTGGAGATGGCTCTGACCAACTACGCCCTCTCAATTGCTCTTAAACACGGATTCCGATTCGTCACGACGCCGGACGTTGTTCGGGCAGACATTGCTCTACGATGCGGATTCCAACCTAGAGATCAAAACGCTGATCCACCTGTTTCGCAAATGTATCATATCGCATCTTCGAATCCCTCTCATCCCGAACTCGTGCTTTCTGGTACCGCAGAAATACCGCTTGGTGGTATGTTCGCGAATCAAATATTTACGGAGCAAGCTTTGCCTTTGAAAGTGGTCGGTCTTGGCCGTTCGTTCAGAGCTGAGGCAGGTGCCCGCGGTGCAGACACTCGTGGGCTGTACCGTGTCCACCAATTCTCGAAACTCGAGCTTTTCGTTGTTTGTAGTGAAGACGCCAGTGAACAAGCGATGGAAGAACTTCGTAGTGTGCAAAAGGAAATTTTTGAAGGCCTGAATTTTCCGTTTCGGTAAGTATCATATGTCAGACCGAGCCGCTTGCTCTGACATTACGAAACAAGGGTTTTGGATATGCCTACCGAAGAATTGGGCGCCAGCGCGTATCGCAAATACGATATGGAAGCGTGGATGCCAGGTCGAGGGAGTTGGGGAGAAATTTCCTCCACATCCAATTGTACTGATTACCAGGCCCGCCGCCTCCATATCCGCTACCGTCGGTCGTCAAGCACGCCCAATCATTCCCCACCATCGTCCTCTTCCGCTTCGACTCAATCGGCACCTGCGATACCGTTCGCCCATACTTTGAACGGCACCGCGGCTGCCATTCCCCGTCTAATTGTTGCCCTTATCGAGAATGGTGCAAGCTTCGACGAGGAAGGCAAGCCAGTGGGTCTTGATCTCCCCAGCGCTTTGAAGCCCTTCTGGCACGGTACATCTTCGATTATACGGTGGACTTAATCGTGGTCTATTGACTTCCTAGCTATTGCCAAGAATCAAGGTCAAGGTACAGAACCAAGTGATATCTGACAATATGTATCGGTAATCTAATTAAGCAAAAAAGCCCTTCTCTGATTTACTGGGCTCCAAGGATGGCGATGGCGATGCAGCCATGTGCTCCAGGCTTCGAACTTCGTTGGCATCAAATATCAAAGCGCAGGGTTCGTGCTGTTCCATCGCGCTGTAGCATCATTGCGTGAATGTTTCTGAAACAACGATGCTACGGCGCGACGCAATACTAGATCATTATAGTGTGACGAATATTAATATGTCCCAGTGCTATCTGTGCACCCTGGTGTCAAAGAGAAGCAAGCTTCATATTGTACGACTCAGTCTTTGCACCATGTCAATGTACCTGCGAAGAAGTGTGTCTTGAGAGGGGAACACACGATTGTCATTTTTTCAGAGAAATGTCAAGGCTAACTTCGACTTGAGTATGTACGTGGTCTGCGAGCTAGCTGACCCGAGCCCTAACTGGTACGCACTTAATCGCTGACATCCACACATCCTTTAGGCTTCTCACTTCAGGAAGCAAGCCTGGCCTTGCTCGTTGATCGAAATCCCTGAGGAGCACGGTATACTCGATTTTACCATCGGAAAATACTCGCCGCATCCATGTCAAGTCGCCAGCGTTGAGATCGAGAGTACATGTGACAATGCAAGGTACCCGATGATGTCGTAGAATGTCCTATGTAGGTCCTGTTTCGGTGAATAGCTAGCAAGTAGGTGTGTCACTTGCATGCCAGCGCCAGTGCGAGTAGGCTCCGTCACATAACGTGTTTCACGCTAACCACAAAATTCCTCTCATTTCAGAACAGATCTTGGCTTGTAGATTGCTTCACCGGCACGGCCGCATCAGTACCGTCAAAGGAGACACAGAGGCCGCTAAGCAATTTGCAAAATCAGTAGTGGCTCGATAAATTCAAAGGTTGTATTTCGGTGCCCTGATACTTGATAATGCCACTCAACTAGAAATAGAGTCTAGATAGGCTTTCTTGCCACGGCCTGGTATAATTATTTGCGTTCACTATCGGGCGGCTGAGTATTCTCCAAACGGCCTCATGGCGTTTGGCATCACAGAGCATGACCGACTCGGACAGAGAAGTCGCATTTATAAGGCTATGTATCCCCAAATGTCAGTCAGGGACTGCCTCAGATTTAGCCAAGTGCGGATCTAAGAAACATGAGGCATCCAACGAGGATGGAGAAGGGCCTTGGTCGTTCGAAAGAGAAAGGATATCGATTTGTTCGCTCGCTCCTGAGAGTTGATTTGATATTTAGTTATCTCCTTCAAGTACGTCGAAATGAACCGGAAATGTACATACAGCGTTCCACGGCTCACTTCTTAAGACATCGTGCATGAATTCTGCATTGATACGAGAGAATACATTGCTTTGGACGTAGTTACGATCGTCCAGGAAGTTTCCACTGGATGTGAATCCAGCGGGGTTTCTAATGGACCTCCCCTAAACACGAGATCCGTATATATAACCCGCAGCCACTTCTCTTCCTTTCCTTTGGCAAACTAAGGTGACCCCACTCTGCGAGATAGGCTTGCGGTTTTACCGGTGAATTGACTTCCTCGACATCTTCGTGATCCATCGTTCTGACTTTAGCGAATATTGCACAGGAGCTTGTCGAGCGATTCCATCTCTACCCTTGACGGTGGTTATGGATCATTATCTTCCACTTTGGCTCGATTAGGGCTATTGTGGTTGGATTAGTTGTCGGACAGGTGAGTTTTCTTTAACGTATCTCAAACACGATCTCAAACGATCATCGCAGTCTCTTTACGGAGAGCTGGTCCTTCGACGATGAAAGTTTGGGTCTTTCGAGATTTTGTATCTCAAGGCACCTGAGCTTATTTGGTACGCCTGTCGTTCTTGCTTTCTGATCTCTTGCTTAGTTTTGTTAGATGGTCTCGATTTCAGAACCTTCCCATTCATCACGCCATGATCTCTTTGGCCTGCCTTGAGTGCTTAGTTGCATTCCTTTGCACGCCTTTGTAGTAATCATAGGGTTGACTGCGCTCGTCTGATCGATTCTGTCGTGTCTCAAATTAAATAACCCAGGACGAAAGTCTCGAGTCTCTTGACCGAGCCTACGTATCATTTGCCAAGATGTGATGTGTAGTAGAAACGTTGAAATAGTAAGAGTTGATGCATTACATACTGTGTGATAAGATCGCCGCCGTACTCGCTCGATGTGAGTTAGTCTCACAGACAGGCCTCGAGCTGCATGAAACTTTCATGAATTCTCGACACTCGTATTGCCACCATTTTCACCGGTATCCTTTGATAAGCGGTTATGTAGGGGCCAGGGCTAGAAAAAATACCGGGCAAAAAAGCTGAAGGAACCGAGTATACTGTTGTCTTGGGAGGTTTGGCGCCTACGCTGGAGCACTGCAAACGAAAATCTTCCACATTGAATTTCATATATTCGTATCTGTCTGTCATGATTACAAAAGTCCTCTCCCCTCCTCTCCACTCCAGCAAACCCAATATTCGTGGCGCCCTCTTCCGTCTGCGCGCCTCCACAAGGCTGAGGTGAAGAAGCACCAAAGTCTACGTAAAGGGGAGAACAAAAGGACGAACAAAAGACGCATGGCGCAATGGGGGGATATGTGATAGGAAGAAATATGAGACACAGAACGAGCGTGGTGCGGTCACAGGAGGGATCTATGAACGGTGAAGGGAAATGATAAAAGGTTCAACGAGTTCAAGTGGCTTGGAACAGGATTATGGGTTGGGAACATGGGGTTCAATAAGATGAGAACCATCAACGGGCGCTAATGGGAAGAGACGTATCAAGCGAGTATGGAAGTAGGCGGCCGTCTTCTTTACCTCCCCGCGTACATGCAGGGAAGATCAGAAGCGACGTGAAGAGAAATAGCGTCCGTACAATACATAAGGGGAGGCAAGTGTGTGATCTTCATCGACGGTGTGGCGAGTCGCAGAAATGCTCAAAATGCGAAGCAAGGAATGCGATGACTGCGACGTAGGGCATGAATGCGGGATGTCGGAATTTGAATGCGTCGCAATGAAAGATGTGAAAGCAAACCAGCGCTCATTGACCTGGCGTGCCCCCACTGTGACGTTTCGACCTCGTAACCCGCGAGATGACCCAACCGGACTTGCAAAACCGCGACAGACCATCTATGACACCATATCCAACAGCGACCGAGCTACCTCTGCACCTTCCCTCCACCCCCATTCTCGGTCGCACTCGGGGCGTGCCCCGCACGAAACAAAACCAAGGGGAACCAGGATGCGTTTACCAGACGTCGTCCCTGCCACGAGCACGCTGTTGACCCACTGCGCCAGGAACAGTAGCTTGCTGAGCCTGACGGGTGTGAGAGCGAAGCCTATAAAAGAAGTTAGAACCGTGGCGAAGCAAAAAATAGAAAGAAATTTGACGGGCACCTACATCCTGTCGCTTGCACGGTGTTCTTCTTCCTCTTGAACGACCTTTCGCCTGCCAGTGGCGGCCTTCTGGCTGGTGCTGGCGCCATCATCTTGGGCACCACGCTGGACAGACCAGTCAAAGACGTAGTCATACTGGAATCCCTCGCGAACGAAAAGGTCACGGAAGAGCTTGCGGAGGTAGGAATAATCAGGCTTGTCATCAAAGCGAAGAGCGCGAGTGTAGTTCAAGAAAATGCCGAACTCGTTCGGGAAACCACGGCAAAGGATATCGGTAGGAGTGGTCATCTTCTTCTCCATGATCCTGTCATACTTCTGCTTCTTAGTAGCAGCCTTGAGTCCCTGCCAAGGGAGGGCACCACGCAAGAAGTACATGAGGACGTATGCGAGGGACTCGAGGTCATCACGACGAGCCTGCTCAACACCCAAATGAGTGTTGATCGAGGTGTAGCGAGCGGTACCGGTCAAGTTCTTGTTCTCCCTGTAGGGAATGTGCAAGTGGGTCTTTGGGTCACGGAATTTCTTCGCAAGACCAAAGTCAATGACGTTGACTTGATTGCCACGCTTGCCTATACCCATGAGAAAGTTGTCAGGCTTGATATCACGGTGGATGAAGTTGCGTGAGTGGATGTACTCGATGCGGGAGATCTGTGGCGATACAGTGGCGCGTCAGATCTCGCAGACGGTGACTGCGGTGGGATTTACTCACGAGTTGGTCCGCAAGGAGCAGGACAGTCTTGAGGGTGAATTTGCGGTTGCAGAAGTTGAATAGGTCCTCTAGGGAGGGTCCAAGCAGGTCCAAGACCATTGCATTGTAGTCGCACTCGGTGCCGAACCAGCGTACAAAGGGAACACCGACACCACCGGCGAGGGTCTTGTAGACCTTTGACTCGTACTCGAGTTGGGGGTGCTTGGCCTTCACGGACTCAAGTTTGATGGCAACTTCTTCACCGGAAATGATGTTAATTCCAAGGTAGATGTCGCCTGTAAAAATGAGTAAGGAGGGGCGCATATAGTGAGGCAGTGAACTGACCGAAGGAGCCCGAGCCAATCTTCTTGCCGAGTCTGTATTTCCCGCCGACACGGAGGTCAAGTCGGTGTGCTGAGCTGTCTGCCATTATATTTATGTTGTGTTATGGGCTGATGAAAGGAAGACGAGTCAGTATGGGGGATTGAATATAAAGAAGAAAAGTTTGAAAGGCAGATTAAATAGCAATGAAGGGCAGGTAAGAGTGTGTTCCGGGTCGTGGCAATTACGGTTGTATCGGAGGTGGCTGACGTCGAACTAGGAAGTGCGGGAAACACATGGAAGAGGTAATCGCTTATTCAAAGGAAAGAAAGGGAAGGTCTCCGAGGGATCTTGATGGCGATAGGGAGCCATACTAGCTATCGAGGCTTTTAACTTGGGCTGGTGTACCGAGAATGCCAACGTGGTAGCCTCGAGGCCGCTCATTATAGTGCCCAACGACATGGAAATTTGTATGAAAAAATAGTAAAATGAAGCTACTCACCGAGTGCTGAGCTGAACTGAGGAACTTATTGAGACTTATTGAGAGATAGAGAACGGAACAGAGTGTAGGTGAACAAGGGGAGAAAACAAACAAGTACTTGGGAGGGTCGTGGGAGCTAGGTCAATCGGAGTTTTAAATTTGACAGTACACGAGAAGCATCGATTCGCAATAATTCGGCTGCCTTTGCGCTTGTTCTTTAACGAACAAAACCCTGGGTCACCTTCTGCATCCATTCTATTCAAGACGTCCATTGTAGAATTGTCCAAAAGACTGCAAGTACTCCACCGCCCCCTTCCTTACCCTTGACCCAAGAATTCTGTGAGGGCGAAAGTCATGCCGTACCACAAGATGCTTGATCGTATGAGGTTGCTGTGTTCGGAATATCTTTGTCCAATGTCAACCGGAGGTGGTGCGAAGATACTTTTGCGCATGATTGCTGGCTCTCGAATACAGCCTTTGGATCCCACGTTCTCCTTTCTCGATGTTCTGTGCATTTGATCATAATGTGACGAGAACGAGACCAAATCATATGTCTGTAATTAGCATTATTTCTCAGCAGAAGCAGGCGCCAGCGTGATACACCACACCAAGCTAGGATCAGGCAGGGTCCCTTGGATGGGCACAGGTAACCGGCTGATTGTACCTTGAAAGCGCGACGACAGCGGGTCCCAGATCAGTGCTCAAGGCCAGACTCTTTGGTAATTCCAATTGAAAGACCCTCCGAAGTCATCGTATGCTCCAGACTCCATGACCCTCGACTAACTGGACTATATATTTTCATAGGATATATACCCTTATCGCTTGCCATGGGAGTTGATACAGATGGCATTGAAAGCCATCATTGATGATCATGTTGTCGCACCTTGCGGTACTGGGTGGAGCTTACCTTCCTTTTTTGGCCACCATTGTAATTTTGATTGTCGAGCGGACAACCGTTGAGACCAGCGCCTTAATTTCTTTCCTTCTTGCCAGCCTCGATCCCATAAGACAGTCTTTTCGACAAAGTCCCTGTCTTTCGGTTGCTGCATCCTCCGCTCTTTCATTCCAGTCTCTAAAATCTCTCTCTCTCTTTCATTCTCAACACTCGTTTTGTGTGACCGCCTAGACTCTCGCACCCGCAAATAACATGGCATACCGCCCGCAAGATCCATACTACGATTCTGCACATAACCCACCAATAAACCAAGGTTTTCCTCCTTCAGCGCCTACCAACCATAACCAGCAATACCCTGCCTACGATAGCCAATGGGACGACAGACCTGGCTCTGCCAAATCCGTCCAGAGTAGCCAATTCCATGGTTCTCAGGTGCACCTCAATCCCCAGTACGAAATGAGTCAGACCCACATCCACGCTCCCCCCGTCCCCTCAATGCCATACCATGCATACCAGCCAGACTACCCACCCATGCCGGTACACCCTGGCATGATCAGAGAAATGAGTACGGGATACTCCGTAGCCAGGGAGAAACTGATGAAACGTCGATCTGTTCGCCATGTCGAGCTTCAGAACGGTAATCTGGTTCTCGACGTCGCAGTCCCCACCCACATTGTGCCAAATGGCATGGCCAGCGCTGAGGAAATGACAAAAATGCGATACACTGCCGCCACGTGCGACCCCGACGAATTCATGCGCAGGAAATATTCCCTCAGGCCGTATCTCTACGGCCGCCATACTGAACTTTTTATCGTTATGACCATGTACAATGAAGACGAAGTTCTTTTTGTGAAGACTATGAATGCGTGAGTTCCGTCCGGGCACGGCGTAACACGTGTGCTTAATCTATTTTCAGCGTTATCAAGAACATCGCCCACCTCTGTGGTCGGACCAGATCAAGAACATGGGGTCCCGAGGGGTGGAAGAAGGTCGTCGTCTGTATCGTCTCAGATGGACGCAGTAAAGTCAACAAGCGAACCCTTCAAGTTCTCACTCTTGTGAGCTTACTCGTTATCGATTTGGTTTGTTGCTTATAAGATATCCCTAGATGGGCTGTTACCAGGAGGGTATCGCTAAGGACTCGGTAGCAGGGAAGGATGTGACTGCTCACATTTTCGAGTGAGTGGATTAAGTGGAAAGATATGCTATGATTAAATTTATGACCTGCAGATACACTTCAAACGTTGTCGTTACCGACACTGGGGAGGTGTCTACCGGCCTTTGCCCAGTTCAGATCATCTTCTGTTTGAAAGAGCAAAACAAGAAGAAGCTCAACAGCCACCGCTGGTTTTTTAATGCTTTCGGTCCCTTGATCAACCCGAACGGTAGGCGCAATCTCTCACGAGAGGTACCTAACAAGTACTGACTCCGGGGCGCAGTCTGTGTTCTTCTGGACGTTGGTACCAAGCCAACCAGCACGTCAATCTACGAGTTGTGGAAATGTGGGTAGATATCGTTCGCTCGAGATTTTACCTGATGATGCTCTATAGGCTTCGATAAACACTCTAATGTTGGAGGAGCCTGCGGAGAGTGCGTTAAATCCATCTTGCCGTGCTTCGTTTGGTTAATTTTCCTGTAGGATTTGTGTCGACACTGGCACAGCTTGCTCGCTGCTCTTGACGAGTCCTCTGGCTGCTTCTCAGAACTTCGAGGTAGTTTATTTGCCGCTCTGTTTTCAGTCATCGAAGTTGACATGACATGATAGTATAAAATGTCTAATATCCTCGACAAACCTCTTGAGGTAGGTGGCCAATCATGCACCACGTGATCAAAATTCTAACCTGCCAAAAGAGTGTATTCGGGTACATCAGCGTGCTTCCTGGTGCATTTAGTGCCTACAGATACAAGGCCCTCCAGAACGGTCCTAATGGCAAGGGTCCCCTTGCCTCGTATTTCAAAGGAGAGGCTATGCATGGCGGAGGTGCTGACGGCGCTGGGCTATTTGGTATGCGATATGCTCCCTCCGATTTATCGTCCCACCAACGGTTGTTCCAGAGCGAAATATGTACCTCGCTGAGGATCGTATTCTGTGCTTCGAGATTGTCACCAAGAAGCGGGAAGGCTGGATGTAAGTTGTATACTTCCTTTAACACTGCAAACCTCCCTCAACATGCTCGACAGTCTCAAATACGTCAAGAGTGCCAAGGCCGCTACTGATGTCCCCACAACCGTGAGTGGAGATTAGTCTACTGTGATATGTTTTCTCATATCTCCCCAGGTCCCCGAATTCATCTCTCAGCGTCGCCGATGGCTGAACGGGTCCTTGTTTGCTTCCTTCCATTCGACGATCTTCTTCTACAGGATCTGGACATCTGGGCAAAATCCCATTCGTATGCTTGTCCTCCAGGTCCGTGTGCATGAAGATTCATCAAAATTAGGTTACTAACAAGAGGCTCGTATAGATTGAGTTCATTTACAACGCAATCCAGCTCATATTCACGTGGACGTCACTTGCGAACTTTTACCTGGCTTTCTTCTTCGTCAGTGATGCTTTACCTTCGTACGTCGATAAGGCTAATGTAGGCTATCATAGCTGGTTTCATCGGCAACCACCTCCACAGATGGTGCTTTCAACTTCCTGAGCGAAGGAGCGGGAACAGATATTTTCGAGGTCTTCCTGAAGGTAAGGAGCAGTCGTTTATAAACGAGGAAGGGGTCTTCATTGTCGTTCCAGCTCTACATCGCCCTCCTGTTCGTCGTCACCGTTTGTTCACTAGGAAACCGGCCACAGGTATGTACTTTGATCCATGACAGACAGTTTGCACAGTTAACCCCATTCTTTTCAGGGCTCCAAATGGATTTATTCGCTTTGCATGGTACTCTTTGGTATTTGTAACATCATCACGCTTTGGTGCGCTGGATGGACCGTGTACCTTGCTGTACCTCATACTCTGGCTGGATGGAAGGACTTCCCCCAGTACGCCTTTTAGTTCTTTGTTTTGGTGCGATGGCTGATCGTTACTGTCCAGCCTCGTCGCCACGAACCAAGCCCTCCGGGAGATCGTCATCTCACTCGCTGCCACATATGGCTTGTACCTATTCTCGTCGTTCATGCACTTGGAGCCTTGGCACATGTTCACTTCCTTCATCCAATACATGTTCCTACTCCCGAGTTGTGAGTATATGTCGTCTTTCTTGGTGACCGCGCCAATTGATGTATACCATCGTAGATGTCAATATTTTGAGTATGGGTGTTTTTCGTTATGTGCGGAGACGATATTGACATTGTTTGACAGTGATGTATGCCATGTGTAACTTGCACGATGTTACTTGGTAAGAGCGGTCCCGCTAGTCGCTTGCCTTTGATCTAACGATATGTTCAGGGGAACCAAGGGAGACAATGGCTCTGCTAAAGATCTCGGCGGAGCCAAGAAGATCAAAGGCGAGAACGGAAAGGACATGATGGAAGTCGAGATCCCCACTGCCCGCGAAGACGTCGACCGCATGTGGGCAGCTTCCCGCTCAGCACTCAAGGTCAAAGCTCCCGAAGAGAAGTCTCACCGCGATGCTGCTACCAAGCAAGCCGACCACGACCGTAACAGTCGTACAAATGTCGTGCTTGCATGGGTGGGGACGAACATGTGAGTGGATCAGCGTGTTTTATTTGAGGAGACAATTGATATTTTGCATACAGGTTGATGATTGTTGTGTTCACTTCACAAGCATTCCTGAACTGGGTGAACACCCACTTTGCAACATCTCAGGGCTCGAATTTTAATCCTTATTTGAGCTTCCTGTTCATCGCACTGTACGTAAATCATTCATCCGCGAAAGCCCCGCATCTGATCCCATCACAGTGCTGGCCTTTCAGCAGTCCGATTCGCCGGATCCCTACTCTACCTCATCTTCCGACTATTCGGCCACTAAGATAGATATTTCGTGAAATACCCATTCTACTAGATCTGTACTTTTTCTCAAGAGTTGATCTCTTCGGCGTCATTCCTTTTTAACAGTGAGAGTATTCTTTTTAGTCACGATCCTTTGTTTGATGGCTACGATAATTTTGGTGCATGTAATTTTTACTGGACTTTGGGTTGTGCTATATACATATGATAGGGCGGTGTAGTGTGACGCGTCCAGTCTGCGGCAATATGGCCAAGATATGCAATACAATTGTTGAATGTGTTATGCAATGTGCACAAAATTAAAAGTAAGTTATATACATTAGTTACACAGTTCTGCACGCTCATACCTATTATCTGTAGACAGACAGCCTCTGAGACGGTCTGTCTAGGGGAGACAAGACAGCACTCTGGGACTCGTGGAAGTTTATCTTAAGCGTGCACGTGCACACTGCACAGCGACTAAACTTACATCCGCCGAGTTCGATGACCGCGCGCGTCATCCCTGTTATCTCCACAAAAGTCGCGGCATCATTGCACAGGCTTCTCAGGAACCTTCAGGTAGTATGGTGCCGCTCGTTCGCAGAGTCTGACCGGTCCACCAAAGATTTGCCTATCGGGTCTCGGATCCTTGATATCAAATTCATCAAACTCTACTAGTACGCCCTGCTGCGATGGAATATGGGGGGCCAAATGTCCACTGCAGTGCTGAGTGATATACAAACATCACAAAGTTCGTCAGGCGCCTGCATTCTGGATCTGATTGCCTGGCAACTTCAATCAGCGGAACAGTGCTTTTTCCCCCGAGGGATGAGTTGTGGCTCTGTCACTATCAGATCCCCAGGCTGTGCCAAGGTGATCAAATGTCTACATAGGATCAATCCATCACCCCGATTCCCCTGACCGCAGAGTCCCTGGCGAATGTTATCGTAGAAAAGATCCGATTCCCGCTGTCTTTTTGAGCATAGTGCGTCTGGATTCTGGTCGGGTTCCACGGTAGGGGGGATAGGTATATAACAGTGCATGAATGAATTTCGGAGCCGCCTTTTCACATCTCCTACCTCACGATCCCCCACCTAAAGTGATTCTGTAGGTGAGTGTTAAACATATATATTGGTATCGTTGTGAGGATCACTAAAGCCTGAGGACAGATCAAAATGGAAGCTGAGCTATCCATAATTTTTGACGATATTCGCATCCTTCAGATGGGGAGGATGTTTCAATGTGAGTACTAGTTTTAGGGCCGTACTCTACACCCCTTGTGCTAAATACCTCCTCATTCAGTGGCAGCAACAATCGTTGTCTTGTACGATCATGGTGAGTTTTTCTCGCAACATTCGGCAAGTGTTTTCTTTGATGAATCTCAACTTAGTGCTCTGCTCTCAGAGAGAGGTGAGTTTTATTAGTCGTCGATCGGGAATCGTTCACATATCTACGAAAAGGTGGACTTAATTTGGGTATGTCTTATTGGTCGCTTGTAGAATCCTCGACTCAGTGAACATGGTTCTTCAGAGAAGATCGAAGTCTCTAGTGACATATCTTTACTTTATTGTCAGTGAGGCTATAGCTCGCTGGTTGACTAGGTGTCTAATACTGCAGCTCCCGTAGAACCGCTACGTTGGGGATGCCATCTCGATGTAAGCGAAATATTCTATGCAAAAGACGCATACTCATCTTTCTTTTAGCCTTAGTGCATTATGTTCGGCTTCAGCTCTTAGATTTCGATTTCTGTTGCTGACGACCGAACCACAGTATTTATGAGCTCGACATTCTCAGTTAATGTAAGATATGCGAGACTGTCTTATAACACAAATACTAACAAGTTTCTATTAGACGTAAGCACATGCAAACCAGCTTGCATGCCCAATCCACACTCACTCGCTAATCAACAAAACTCTTTGCATCAGATGTGCGTAGTTCTCTGCAGCCATGTTTCTTCAAAGTTAATCTCGTTTGCTAGGTCGCATTCTATTCCACTTCCAATCTTATGGACCTTTTGTGTCAGTATGGGCTACACAAAGTAAACCATACCCCCCATATCCGCAGAAATGTATTAACAACATCACCAGCGATCATGCAACTACGGATTTACGCCATGTATCGCAAGTCCAAGAAAATTCTGGCCCTCACAGGAGTCTGCTTTATCCTTGAGATTGCAGCCATTTGCACGGTGCTGGCGCTGAATTTCGATGGGTCCTTGACATATACCAATGACCCCATACCTGGACTTCTCCGAATGTGCGCGACGTCGACTATCAATAAAAGCTTTACGGCCATCTACATGCCTATATTTTCTTTCGAGCTTCTACTTTTTGCCCTTGCCATATCTGTTGTCTTCAAGCACATGAAGAACACCCAAACTGTTGCTGGGAAGAGAATTCACAACACGATGGCGACGCTGGTCAGGTACAACTCGATCTACTTCTTTGTGTAAGCGTCATCATATTATCTTTTTTGTTGTCGATTCAACTCTCTTGCTTATTAGCGAAATGGCCGGATGTGGGATTGCCACCGGGTTGTATCTCGGTCTTCCGGTAATGTGGTTCTTGAGGATTCACCCTTCAAGTCGCTGAAGCTCTTTTCCATTTAGTCAATTTACCTGGAGATCACGAATTCAGCCCTCATTGCAACTACGATCATCCTTGGGAGCCGGCTCGTGCTGGGCACACGTAATTTCTATACTGACCCATCCGAAGATTATACCAACATGAGCCACGGGACCAATGGTCTGAACCCTAGCTTCACCCAACCTTCATCATATGGGCCATTCTCCAGTCATATGGAGATGTCGGTTATGAGTATCAGCAAGGGATACCATCTGGATACAAGTGACGACGCGGTATAAAGAGTTTGTTGCTTGTTCCCTTAATGCTCGTGCCCATGTGCCGTCTGCAAACTTACCCTACCATTCCAACAACGTAGAGCAATTATTTCAAAAATGTACCAATATTTCATCAATTGTTGCAGCTGTTTGCTTACGACAAGTATTAATATTCATAGTGCACTTTACTCCCTGGCCGACGCATAGTACTTGTTCGCCGTCATCTTTGCTGGGCCTGCTGGCAGTCCTCAGCTCCAAGCTACCCATACCCACAATACATATTTCAATACCATCACCTTCACGCCACTGGTTCGTGAGAAGCTGGTCCATGAACAGGCAAAAATGTGTACTCTAAACACCACATACTAGTACTTGAGATCATTGCTCTGGTCGACGCATCTGAAGAGGATCCACCTCAATAATTTCATCAAACTTCGCCTGCGTGATGAGCTCCTCATCAACCATGGCCATCAGCAACTCTCGCAACCAAACCCTGCAGTTATTGGTGGTCGAGGAATTCTGAAATTTGACCTGATTGGCAAGGTGGAGAATCTGGTCTCTCTGTATACGAGAAAATGCCCCCACAGGGATGACCTGATTTCGAATGGTGGTATCTGTGCACGTCACAATAGGCGCATAGTAGTTGTAGTTGCCCGTCAGCTGCACAATTTGAGCGACTGGTGCATCGTCTTTCGTGCTGTTCAGCCATTGGAGGAGAACATGATGATCGGAGTGTATGTCATATCCTGCAGCATATAGTGTGACTTCTTTGACAGAGTAATCATCGGGGTATTCGGTATGAACGCTGCTGAGGAGGAACTGTCATTTCTGCAACAGAGCATAAGTAAGTCGAATATGTATCGCAAAAATCATACCTAGTCGATTTGATCTATTGTTAATAAAGCGCTGAGCTACGTTCAACTTCCCTCGCTTCCCTTGCAGTCGCTTTTATATCCTGTTTGTGGCCAAAGTCAACGATGGTCTATAAGCTGAACTCATGAAAGTATGCAAGACTCGTCCTACGCATTCTTACTTACGTGCTTCCCTCGGTCACACAAAGTGCCTCTATCGAGTGTCCATAAGTCTATGACCCCGAGTTGGACCGCACTGACATTGCCCCGGGTAAATGTAAAGGTGGCTTCCAGTTCATTTCTCGCACGGCGACTCGGACCTGCTAAGATAGTAGTAGTCACGCCATTTACTAGTACAGCCGAGCTAACATGAAGCTCGAGTCAACGTGTTGCAGCAGCCTGACTATCACCTTGAACTGAGAATTAGTTCCACTAAGTAAGTATATCGGCTAGCCAGTACGACTTCCAATGCAGTGCTGGGCGATGATCGATGCGTTCCGCCGGTTGACCCACCAATTATTTGAGCCAACAGTTTGATGTAGGGAGTAAGGGCCTGGTTGTTGATAGTAGTGAAGGGCATCATGCATCACCGTGGAGTCCGAGTTCATGATGAGTGCATCACAGCCAAATATAACTTGACAGTGACATAAGATCATCATACGAACTTGAAAAGTTATGCTTGTTTACACATGCCACAGTGGGAGGCTGAGTCTCAGGGCTAATGATCCCCAGCTCAGTTGATCCAACACAATGTCAAAACTTATTCTAGTGCTAGGTGCTACAGGCAAACAAGGTCGAGCTCTCATTGAAGCTCTTCAACCCGCCTCAGACTCAGATGACATACCATTTCGAGTTCTGGCTCTCACTAGGTCAGCTTCCAGTCCGAGCGCACAGCGCTTGGTCCAGGAAAGACACGTACAAGTAGTCGAGGGAGACCTCGACTCACCAGAGTCCATGCGGAAAGTCTACGAAGATGCAAAATTTTTGGGTGGAATATGGGGCGTCTTCTGCGTTCTGGCATTCCCAGGGCTTGGTGCGAACGCAGATGGGGAGGAGCGACAGGGAAAGGTGCAATTGTTTCAACCATTTTGTTGCACATGCAGATTTATACTGGTCGTACAACAGTTCATGGCGGACCTAGCACTCGAATATGGGGTGTCAGTATACATTTACTCAACCGCCGAACGTGGTGGCGAGCAGAATGATGAGATGGAGAAGCTGTCGGGTCGTGCCAAAGTACTTGCGGAGCGGCATGTCCAGGCCCTCGGTGAGAAGGGTCTCCCATGGACGTGAGACCTTCAAACTTGAGACGGTGCCTAACTAATCTTGGCCATGGTGTCAGAATAATGCGCCCAGGATTCTTTCTAGATAACTACAATGACTTCATTGGTTCTGTCACTGTGGCTGTAATGACTCGCGGTCTCAAAGAGGACTCGAAACTCGGGGTCATCGTGAGTTCATCCTACATATGTTCGTATTCTGTTCTAAAATCCACTAAGGACCCGAAAGATATTGGCCATGTTGCTGCTGCCGTGTTCAAGGTAAAGTATTTTAGACAGGAGAAGCACCAACAGTGGCTGACAGTTCAATGGAAGAACCCTGAGAAATACAAACACCAGATACTCGTGGTTATTGGGGATGTGCTCACCATGTCTGAGCAACATGCATCCTACAAACGCGCAACGGGTAGAACCCTTCCCTCCATTTATGGCTTTTTAGCCACCATCATTTTAGCGTTGAACAAATCAACTCAAGAGCTGTGAGTTTTCAGCCGTCCCCCTTTTGACGTCGACTTGAATGTAATTCAGCGTTCAACATTTTGAAAACATCCACACTGCACGAACAACCGGGCAACATGAGCATTTTGAAGCACAACTAAACCTAGCCCGCGAAGCCCATCCTCAAATGAAGACGGTCTATGACTGGGCTATCGAGCAGCAGAAGCAACAAGGACTTGAAAAAAATGCAGCAGATTGGAACAAGGTGTCGTTGTGGCGACTCATGCTAGGAAAATCGTAAGGTATCATTGCAAATATGTCAAGTACTCATACACCTTCAAGGTACTCGCTTACGATCGCTTCTGTATCTTCCTATGAACTCTTAAGCACCTTAAAGCAGCGTTGGAGCCATCAAAAAATGAGTTGGTCAGCCAACCAGAGCAAATTGGTTGTTCAGCACAACCAAAGCATTCCAGTGAATTTTGAGAATATAAGCAAGCGCATTCCCTACCCCGGGGCCAACATATATGTCTGGATACTACATCTATAGCATTAGCACGCACGATAAACCAGAACGCCAGTAACTTCGAAAATACTGCAAAGAGTAACGCTTCATGAAACTGAACTACTTTTGGGATTCAGAAGTTCACACGCTTCGAAGTTGCCCATCCTTAGACATCAACGGCCTTAAACGTTTAAAAACATACATATCTGACCTCTTCACGACGCAGTTTCTTCACTCTGCCATTGATTCCATGGATTATCGGATCGTATTCACGTACTAGACCACGCGCCACCTCATGGCACTACGCCTCCCATGCGGCCCATTATGATATGCCAGCTCCAATCACTGTAAGTAGGTGTTTGCATTGTGCAATGTCATTTGCCCGATCACGCTCGAATCCATTGGGCCGATCAACGGGTACATATATAAGATCTAACTGGATCCAGTGGGCGGATAAGTAGGGGGATTCTGTTATTCTGAGGTCCAATAATGAGAATTTGAAGAATTCTCAAATGGTCCTGCGCTGCGGTCACTGCGGTGTGACGACGTCTTTTATTGAGGTTGGCGTTGGGAGGGATAGAGCATCGCAGTCTAGGGTAGATCCAACCGACAGGTGAGGCAAATTATTCTTTTGCTGTGAGGTCTTGTATTCATCCCCATATCGTGGTTTGTTCGACCAGTATTTTGGCGTGATCCATCACGATCATCGTGTTCGAGGGATTCGTTTTCCTGGCGTACAAGTGGCACCTCGCTTGGTGATCATAATCATGTATTCTGCTTCGTGTGGAGCATAGGTTCATCCACTCGGAGTGCAATAGACATACCGCCGGCTCTTTTGAAAGTTACTTCCCTAACGCGCTTTTTCCATCCGAGTTTGCAATAGAGCGGTATCTTAATGGAACCCAGATGGGGAAGTTGCGGGTGTCGCTGAGCTGTCATTTGATTTCGACAGACTCCCTCAAGCTCAGTGTCATACCATTGAAATTCAGTGATACATCAAACGAAAGCTATATGGGTGATTCGGAATGGAGTCCGCTGATATTGGATTCATTGCACTGCTCGATGCAGAGTGTATAAATGCGTTGGACGGTGGTATGTCTAGCACTTATACACGCCCAACGAGTTTCGTCGTTCACTGATACCAATCAATTCCCTTAAATATGACCAAAGTCTCAAATGACCCCAATTTGTGGCCGACGATCAATTTGTTTCGTTTTTTCAGCTATTTTATAGGTTTGTGAAGAGTTATTCGGATGATGCTGGTATTATCTCAATCTATTTGTGGTTTCACAGTTGCATCCTCTACTGCCGTGGTATATGATTGGGGTGAGCAAAATGGTACTTATCGAGGGAATTATTGATGTCCCAACGGTGTTTTCTAGTGTCGACGTTTGAACAAGAGGTAGATCAATGCCATGACTGGATCGGCCAAATCTGAATCACTAACAATGATTTTATAGTTTGAACTGGTCTGGGTAAGCAGTGTCGCGTACCCGAAAAACACAGGATAATAAAATAAACCGGGAGCAGAGGCGGCATTGGTCGTTCATGAATCTTCTTTATTTCGGTGTAAGTGGCTCATGCTATGAGCACATTGGGCAAGGTCTGCTAACCTCACTATTCTTAGGTGCGCTACATTGGAATCCTGTACTCTGCGTACGTTTCACGGCCAATAAGTAAACTCTGTGCTAATCAGCCATCCCCCACGGTCAGCGTCAACATGCTGGGTATGTCTCCTCAGCTACATTGCAATCGGCTCTTCTGACCTGCGGCATGCAGCATGTCTCCCGTCAGTCTCTGTGACAGATATAGTGAGTATTCTGCACCGAATATCTGCCAGTTTCCTCCAACTCACTGCTTCCCTACATAGGGGTGAGCAAGATCCTCGACAAGTCCGTTGGTTCGATATTGATAACTACCGAACCAGCTGTGAATTCATTCGAGATATCCAGTTCTCCGAGACTCATAACTAACCTGTGTTTCAGGCACTGCTGTGTTGTTCGCACAAAACTGGACATCTGTCGTCGTAAATGCTATGCTGGGTGGTGAGCTTCTCAGTCGCAGTACCTTAGTGACAATCACTTGACTAACATGTCGTGCAAGTCATTATGATGGCTCGGTTGAATGCCATGTATCAGCAATCCAAAAAGATGCTTGTCTGTCTCGTTGTCATTCTTTTGGCTGTCACAATCGCCTGTGTAGGGATCACCTCGAGAGAAAGCAGCTATATTGCAGCGCGTAAGTCTTCATTACAACAAATGACTCAAGCTCATCAGACTCATCGGACGGATACCAGAGGAGCTCGTCTTCTCCGGTGCACATTTTTGTGCTTGCAACTTTCAGGGAGACCCGCAACTTCTGATTACCGAGAGGTGGATAATCGGCATTGCTTGGGAGGTCCTCGCATTGTGTCTTGCAGTCTGGATCGCTGTAAAGCATTTCCGCGAACTGGAACGGCCATCGACAGGATGGACAGTGGGGGACTGTTTCACAGTGCTCATCAAAACTCACGTGCATTACTTTGTAGCGTAAGCTCGTGATTTGAATGTATTCATACATTCTGCTAAAGTTCCGCACGTTCTAGGTTTGCTGCTGTTTCTTGCCTCACCCTCGGCTTGCTGTCTCCAAAAATCGCGGTAAGCGAAAGTGCGACTGAGTCGAACGGCATCTGCATCTGACTGCTCCTTGCGTTTTCTATAGCACGTTGATTATTCCGTGAAAGCTGTGATTTTCAATGGCCTTCTTGGATTTGCCTCAAACGTGCAGATGTTTGTACTGGGACCACGCCTCATCCTTAGTATCCGAGAATATCACGCCAAGCTCGTGGCAAACTCTGACGATGGAGCTGACCTGACTACAGCTGTTTTCCAGGAGTGTGTAGATGAATAACCTTGTGGTGGATGCAAAGCACGGGAGTGGTGATCGATCGAGCGCTTGTCGGGTGTAGGGAAGACGAGACTTTCTTTGCGAGTATTTCTCATATAGCGAGGTTTATGTTTGAGATTGACGCGCTCTGCAGCGGAAAATTGCTGCAGAGCATTACTGTATCGACAATGGAGATCCACAGATGACTTATATGAACAACCACAAGACAAGGCTTCTTGCTTTGGGCTTTCCACCAAAAACCGGGTATACACTGGATGCAAAGGGGTATATGAATTCCGAACTCGAGAACGCCCATCCACACAACTTGGAGATCATACAACACCCCATACGGCATCGTCCTTGTTATCGCTGTGGTTTCGTACCAAGTGAATCAGCTGAGAGGTTGAAGTGAGTGTGGACCCACAAGATGATTAAAGGATTTACGCACGGCGGTGCGGTAAGTCAGAACCATTCGGTTCCGACTTCCAGAACAACTCTTACAGGTTACTCGAATGGGACAAGATTCCATGTCATCTACCGTAGTAGAGATCGGGTCTCGTCCGAGAGTTTGGAAAAGATTATGTATTCGCTTGGTGTATCCGTCTGCTTCCAGAACACTGCAATTCCATGGATGCATCTCGAATGCTTCGATTGCTGCGTTCTCGTAAACTTCTACTGGCGACATCGTTCTGCCGAGCGCCGCTGTTTCCATCGGAAGTTGCACCCAGGGTTGGTCACATGTCTTATCACGTAGGCAAGGGTGGTTGAGCGCTGATGGATAAGTGACATGTAAACGACAAGTGGAGCAGCGGAACACCAAAGCGGCAAGTGTGAGGGGGTCGATATCATTGTCGATGCACAACTGCGCGCGAACTAGATCTGCAAGCTGCTTAGTGGCCTGACGGTCCCAGGCTATAAACAAGATAGGTAGACGAAGGGTTAGTGCGTCTGCAAATGCTTCCACTGACAAAACCTCAGGGTTTTTGACATCCATCATGCGCCGAACCTCCGAATGTAGGCAGATATCTATCGCTTGAGGAAAGACCCTGATGGTCTTACCAATTTTGAACATCTTCGTCATATCGCCAACAACAACGACAAGACGCTTGAAGCGGTCTTGGAAGAGAACCGTAAGCCGCCGAGCTCTTCTGATTTCCAGGAAATTCTGAAGCCTTGGTAAAGAAACCTGGCATGCTTTGAAAATGAGTGAGGGTCAGTACAGAGGCCGAGGGTGCATTTCAGACGTACAAAAATCAGTCAATTCTTGGTCTTGTCTGACGACGAGGTTATCAAATGTTTCTAATGCCGAGGCGTCCGATCGCAGTGATTCGAGCTCATCTCCCAATCCGAGGCTCTTGAGTCTTTCAACGACGCTGAAACAACGTAAGTTTTTGTGATATACCTCTAGCCAAAATTTACATACTCTTTTTTCCTCTGGTCCACCAGTTCTTTGCGATGCTGATCAGCCACTTCCGCCTCCCAGATGCGACATAAAGCTACGTGCTAAGAGCGCATCGATAATACATCCGGAAGATTACCAAGAATGTTATATGTTACCTGGTAGATTTCTTGAGTGACTTTCTCGCGGTGGACCATCAGGTCGTTCAACAATGGGCTATCCTTCACAAACGTGTACTGCATCTTGAGTTTGTTGACATCGGCGCGCGAAGCCACAGTGAGCGGCTTTCTGTGGATATTATCTTTGCACCTAACGCAAGGCCCAGCAGAACTTATGGCAGACATAGGTATCAGCTGCCTGGCATCGAGGCAGAACCGTTCAACATTCGAAGGGAGCATCTCTCGGTCAACCAGCCTATAGATCATTAGAGGCGTGGATGGTGAGAACTTCACAAATGCCTACATAGCACTTGCGCAACCGTTGCAGCAACGAATGCGTAGCTCCCATTGAATTACATCGCACGACGAGTCGCACCGCTGGGAGTGATGTGAGTTGAACAAACATTTATCGAGAAAAGGAATGGACATGCATGACAGAACGGCCAAAATAGCAGGTTCGAATATGCGGGTTCGGAAAGGTATGAGGGGCACTGAGGTAGCCGGTCGATGCGTTTCAAGGCTCCTGTCCATATTGACTTTGCTTTGCGACGATTGAGCAGAAACGAACGAAACAGCTTGGATGCCCGGGTGAGATATACCAGGTCCAGTGGGTGAAGATAACAAAAAATCTAGCAGGACAAGTGTATGAATAAGCCTAGAACACCGGTACCCAACTCGAGCCCATCCATACCTCGAAAAGCACCTCAAGAGGGAGCCCGAAAACCGCTGGTTTGCCCACCATTGTGATTGCAGGAGTGGTGAACACAGTTTTGACGCGTCGATTGACCTGGCCAGACTTAAGCAGGTTAAAATTGCCTCACATTTTTAGGTTCTAGAAAATGGTAAGTATGATGACCCTTGACACAGCTCGCCATGAGGTTTATGTAATCACGTCATACATTCCGCATCTTGCTATCACGAGTCGTCGGAACCTTCAATCGGTTCGTCCATCATGGATGTCCAAGAAACACCTGTGTCACGTCGACTTAAGTCGGTCAAACATATTATCATAGTGTGCTCGGGCAAAGGTGGTGTCGGAAAATCTTCCGTGTCCGCCCAGCTTGCGCTCAGCCTCCATGCTTCTTCTTCCAGTGCTCGGGTCGGGATTCTCGATGTCGATCTTACCGGTCCGTCAATACCACGCATGCTTGGTCTGGATGGGCATGGTGTGCACCAGAGCAGCGATGGATGGGTGCCTGTGTACGCAGATGCGCTTGGGGGTGGTGAACCCAGACTCGCGTGCATGAGCGTCGGATTCTTATTGAAGAAGAAGGGGGATTCAGTAGTTTGGAGAGGGCCGAAGAAGAACGCTATGATCAGGCAATTTCTGAGCGATGTCAGATGGGGAGAGCTTGATTACCTCGTCGTGGACACCCCTCCAGGTTAGATATCCCGTGGCGCGACGGGATCATCTCGAGCTGATATCAATGTGTAGGAACATCTGATGAGCACTTGTCGCTGATCGAACATCTTGCACCGGTGCACTCACGGCTGTCTGCTGTCATTGTCACAACGCCGCAGGCTGTTGCACTACTGGATGCTATGAAATGCCTCTCATTTACTCGGGCTGTCGCACTTCCTGTCCTTGGGCTTATCGAGAACATGAGTGGATATGTATGCCCTTGCTGCGGAGATGTTAGCAATGTGTTCTCTACAGGCGGAGGTGCAGAAATGGCCAGACGAGAAGGGGTACCGTTCCTTGGCAGTATGCCTATCGACACGGAGCTGGTCACATTGTTGGATGCTGCCGAGTCCACAGATCTAAGCGCTGCTGACGGACAACACGACGAAGTTAGCGAAGTTCGTTCATTTGGAGTTTTACAACGGTATCAGAAGACGTCGTCCGCGACACTTCTGAGTGACATTGTGGAGAAGCTCATATCGGCGCTGCCATCAGTAGAGCATGCGCCGGTGAGCAGCTCTGCTTAATTAATCTGATGGGTATGTCATTACACTATCTCCACTACATCTTACACATCCTATGCAGGCACACACACACTTGTATTGATACATACCATTGATCATGTATCCTTAGAAGGCATTCGAGTCTATCCAGATAAGTGGCTGATCAGAGAAGCATCAACAACCGATCTTACTTCTCGAACAATACCAGCACATCATACCAAGTCGTCTTTAATTGTCATCTGACTGGGGAAGGCTCATCAGACCACATGATATTGCAAGCTTCACACGACGGGCTATTTGGAATGACCCCACCTTCTGTTGTGCTATTTTAACTTGCACTGCAAATCAATCGCTTGGTTGTTCAATCTCCCGAGCTATATTGATACACCAAGAAAAGGGGTTGTCGCCTTATGGGCCTGCTCGGTTTCATTCAAGCTAAAGCGAAAAGGCAAAATGGAGACTCGGGCCTGCTACCACTAGTACGACTTTAAGTACGTACGGTTATATGATATCAGAACCTCCGTCATCGTAAATTAGAACATGACTCGAACTTGGGTGTAAAGTTGTGTATGCACCAAGGTTTCGACACAGCCGTGACCTGGCCATAACGAGCCGCGAGGGCTCACCTCTCCTGCATGCGAATGTCGAAGATCAGCCCTGCAAGTCCGACAATTTCGGTATGTTTTTTTGGACTGTAAGTACATACTTCTCCAGATTCTCCGAAACTTCGGAATCCAGGTTCGGTAGAGGAGTCTCGTAAGATTTGCCACGTTCCCGTTCAACGAGCCGGATATGAATGTGAGCATTGTTCGAGTTTTGGCGTTGGGCCTCGCGTTTTATTCCTGGCTTTTGTTTCATGATTCCAGCCATCTGATACCCCATCCATCGCCTCCGACTTGGCAGATTCGTTCCCCGGGCGTCTTTAAATTTTTAGCTCTAAGCTCATCATAACGATCTCTGTATTTTTTTTTACTTCCGCGGACTGATTCATTGTAGCCACGGTCTAGGCTCAATGCACGACCGTCAACTGTCTTTCAGCTCCGTATCGACGTCCGCTCTCTTACTTACATCCGCTTCAGCCCATGATATCGCTCAGCCCGCACGCCTAGGGTCGCTTACAGACTCAAGTATGTAATTTTTGCACCATATGACACGACGCGTGCCCCCTTGTTGATATTTAAGTCATCCTCATGATCTTTCCCCTCCAGGTGATCCTTCCGAGAAGAGACCTGATTCCCAATCATCAGGCATGACCGTCCGCAGGATCAGCGCGTCCGTTCGCGCCAATGTTGGGGATGATGATGTCTTTACGACCCAGCACCATACCCGTACCCTTCGTCGCCGCTCAAGTCGCCTGTCAAAATGGCTGGAGGAGTTACAGGTTGATTCCTCCACCGTCCAGCAGCCGGAAACTTCTGCTGATGTGGAAGCTGTTGGAACTGAGTGTAATCCTTACTTGGCGTATCCTCACCTCAGCCTGGCAACTGTTCGCAGAAGCATGGATGATGCTACCAGCATGCACGATTATGTCGTAGTCAATGACGGCGACGTGCAAGAATATATTCCTCCTGAGGAGCCCGTGGATGTAATGGTGCGTTATTCATGACACGTGTTAGATAAGTCGGCTCATATCTTAAAGGGATCACACGTCCCATCAGCGCTTGCAGATACTGCTAGTACAAGTCACCGATCAACCATATGGCTTAATACCCCCCCATCTCGACATCAGTTTCGTCTATTGGTTAGATCTCCTTCACCCGCCGCATCCTCAGCATCTCGCAGTCCATCACGCCTATCAATGTTTCAACGCTCCTCACGTGCCACTTCCAACTCGGAGGCGAGCAATCCTCAAGACCACAGTCGCTCCTCTAGCCTTCACACGTCACATCCTGTGGCTGATGCTCGATCAGAGGAACGTTGTACACATTCGAGCCCCTCATCGTGGCGGTGGCGACCGAGTGTACTGGGGCATTTCGTGTCCCTCTCAGACGGTGATACACGTTCAAGTACCCGTGACTCCCCAGGTAGTTCTTCCCGCCCCAGCATGTCCTCAACCACCACAAGTTCCTCGTACGCAACTCCATCCACCAATGTCATATCTGAGGATGGAGCATCGCATATACCCCCTTCAATGCCCCAGAAGTCACACTTCTTTGGATCTTTGAGGTCGCGTTCCCAGAAGGCTGTGAACTCTTCACTGTCGCTTTTCGCTACCGATACAAGTTCCTCATTTCCGACATCATTCTCTTTACCAGCATCTGAACCGCAGCTCTCCCAGCCGCCAGGTTTTCCAAGCTCCTTGGCACGGAAGTCAAGTACAATTCGGTTACCCTTCTCGCCAAAGTCGAAGGCCCTGGATAGTAACGTTCCCAATATTTTTGTGGAAGCGCCAGCCGCTACGCGACCGCGCATCGTGTACACCGGCAAAAGCCACGCTCCGAGAGTCTCTTTGTCCTCCATAGCTGGCCAGTCACGAAGTACCAAGAAGAAGTTAGTCATCGGTGGTATCGCGCCGAATGACGTCAAACGTCTTGAGGCGGTTCAAGATTGGTGTCAGGTCTGACATCACATCCTCGACTTTAGCTTCGTGTTACTGACTCTTGCCCTATCTTTAGTCATTTGGCGAAGTGGATCAAATCACGAGGATGCCTAATGGCGATCTCCATGTGAACTTCCACAAGGCTGAAGTTGCAGATACTGTAAATAGCTTCCACAGTCGTCTTACCGTCGGAGGAGCTAATTCAGTTCTCCTTACCAGGTGTGTCGTGTGCGTGCCAAAGTCTACATCGCGCGTGTAGGCAGCGTACATCTTTCTTGGTATTCCGGAAATAAACGACCTTAAGATCCGTCACCGCCCTCAAACCATTATCGTCTGTTTGTAAAAGGTGAGATCAGTCATGGATCGTCAGAATGTCCCCAACTTAACTAGGTGCCTTCAGTGTACAACGCTGGAATTACGTTCTACACCCGCATAATTTGACAACTATCCACTCATCAAGGCCTCTGGTCACTAATTTCGCTCTGACGATTTGTATCGATTCCACGACCACATATGCGTGCGTACATGTTGCCCGTTCTTGTCTGACATCCTACATCGAACTGACACTGCCATGCAGATGACCATTTATGACCTCATTTGAGCATTTCATCTTATCTATTACCTATATACCCCAGTATCCCAGCCTCATTAATGCCATCTGCCACGCATTCATTCGTTTATATCCCTTTGCTCACGATACATACCTTTCACATCGTCAAGATGACCCCTTCATAAACTGGTTGCTTGGACAATGTGTTGGACGAGTAGGTACTCGTACTTGACGATATATCTTCCGCGGACATATTGGAAGCGTCCGCGCTCGATTTTGACTCATTCTCTCGCCACCGCTTCGGAGAGTTTTCAACGAGGCCTAGGTGATGTGATGTTATATTTGGCCAGATGTCACGTGCTACAAGAAACGCCTTGAGCGCATTAATACGCGCGTATACTAGTACTGGAACCTAATTCACGACATTTACCTTGGCAAGGTAAATTTCGTGGTTTAAATCGACTTATGTCTGTCACTCGAAGCTGGGAAGGAGCCTGACTCTTGCTGCGCAATATTGTAGTAGTAAGCCTGGGCCAATCTCTGAGGCTAGTCTTCTTTGCACCGCCGTTCGTTCTTGCACGTTGGTCGAGCCCGGGGCGGCCTTGGCCTCCTCATGTTTCTCGAGCGCCTCAGGTGAGGCCTGGACAATTAGATTGGTACCTTCTCGAGCGCCTTAGGTGAGGCCTGTCCAATTCAATTGGTATCACGCGCTGAGAACTCAGGTACAGTGGTACAGTATTAGGCTCGTTATGGCGCTGCCTAGTCTCCTCTAACCAGACCTTTGGGAACGGAGGAAGATAGTTGTTTTTTCTAATAAAGGTCTGCTTCTGATGGCAATAGGCGCTTTCCGTCAGGTTAGCTAGTCTCCCGGGTGCCGAGCGCCACGAGATGCGCTCAATCGTAGCAATGAAGGATATCAGACCCTGACCAGAGCGCTTGTCCTTGTCACTTGACCGTTATTACAGCCTATATAATCTACCGTGACCGCTCCTAGTGCGCGGCGTGGGTCAGCACGGGCGCTGCAGCAAGCCACCTAGATATATAAGTATGCGCACTGGCTACTTTCATAATCCGCTTCGTGCATCTCTATCGCGGTCTCTTAGTAGCACTCTGCTTGGTCGTTAAAGTGACAAAGAACACGATTCTCTAGTACTAATGGTCACGTCAATGAGGCGATCTACAAGCCAAAGTAACTCGCAAGATGACAGGAACCATTTGTGAGCGAGGTTTTTTTTTGGTCCAAAAGGCGTCCTCTGACCAAGTCAATTGGCTCATCTACTAGTACCCGAAAGGACATTCCACGATCCCCTCCTTTATCAACACCTCAGCTACCTGAAGAATTTCAACGACCAAGTGTACTACCCGAAGACGACGAGTACGTTTCGATTAATGTGGATATTCAATGACTGATCAATTTCCAACAGTAGAACACAGCAAATTCTACGGCAAATCCTCGAGACGCTACAGGACTCGAGTATCGCGGAAAAAGGAGACAAGGACGTACGGACTAGGTTCTGGGCGACTTACGGCCAAGTTGCCAAAGAACACGATGACGAGTTTTTAGAGCGCAACAACAGTGATATGGACATCGTGCTCATTTTCGTAAGCTACCGAAGTCTTTGGTGCATTCACCCGACTGAGAGAACATCGTAGTCTGGTCTCTTCTCTGCTATCAATACCGCTTTTATCATTTCCATGCAACCCAACTCCACGTCTTCCACTGCATCAGGCGCGAAGTCCCCCAACGACACGTGGTTTCAGGGTTTGGCGTATGCTGCATTGTCGTTCAGCCTTCTCGCTGCTTTCGGGGCTGTACTCGGCAAGCAGTGGCTCAGCCATTATAAATCGAACAACATTCGTGGTTCCCTTGAAGATCGCGGAAAACACAGACAACACAAGTTAGACGGGTTGGAAGCATGGCATTTTCACGCCGTGCTGCAATCATTTCCCGTTTTACTGCAAATCTCGCTCCTTTTATTTGGGGTTGCTCTCTCGGCCTTCGTATGGTCCCAGCAAGGAAAATTAGCCATCGTTGTCATCGTGTCGATGGCGTTCGGTATACTTTTTTACTGCTTCATCGTCGTCGCTTCCTTGAAATCTCTGCAGTGTCCTTTCCAAACTCCTATTTCAGCAGTTATCCGCGCGCTCAGGAGGCGCGTATACACACACGCCAATGACCTGCATATGCATGAGAATGTCGAGATCCCATATGACCCTAGAGAGCTCTCTGAGGTACCGTCGATGAAGTGGATATTCGAATCGTCTACAGATCCAGAGGTCATCAGTTCGGTCGCCTGGCTGTTGCCCACCGTCAAATGGACCCCCGAACTGCACATGCCAACTATATGCTCGCGCTTGCTTAGCACGTTCAAAGCGTGCTTTCATACCGGTATCCAGACCTTTTCGGCACGCCGAAGAGCTCTTGCGTGTGGGAGAGCCTTGCATCACGTCGTATGCAATGAAACTATCCAGAGTCATATTTCCTCGAGCGACATACACCTTGATTGGGAGCCGTTGGATATGTGGTCTCAATGGCAAGACCTCAGTCTTCCCTGGGGACTCGAATGTTGCGAAGCGTCTTTTGTCCAGTACGCTACAACTCTAGAGAACGATCATGAAGATGAAGCGCGCCATGCCTTGCGCCTCGCTATCGTGACTGGCTGCCCAGGATTTTTGAAGCCAACCGATGCTACATTAATCTGGGACGGCGTTTTCGACTGGAATGATGACCAACGTAGTCTAGAAGACTTTGATTGGCTCGTAGACTTCCTGGTACACTTTCGTAAGTCCTCGGCGAGGGACTACGATGCCATGGGAGATGCACTGCTCGCATTGAGTGCTATGCGGGGTTTGGGAAGTTTGACCAGACGAGACAATTACCTTGACGCCATCATCTTCGCCATGGAAGCAGATAAACCATCCCGGCTTCGTCATGCAGCCCTTCGAGCTGTATTCGATGCCCGTTTGCAACTAGTCGACGTAGTTGATCAGGAGAAGGGAGAATTCCGGGACAAGTTATTGAATGGGCTCGCGCCAGCTCTGTTCACCACAGCCAAACCTATCGCGCCACAGCGATCTAATGATGAACCGGACGCTGTCTTCAATCCCGGACGTGACGACTACTATCTACGGCTGATCTTCACTTTGGCAAAGCAAAGTGATTGGCGTGCTCATTTAGGGAGAGCCGGTCACATAGAGCGATGCACATCTCTGCTAGGCCACGTCATCAAGAACCTGACTGATTCATCGCAGCCTGTCACATATCATTCTTACTATCTTGCAGGCATATTGATACGGATGAACGCCTCGGAAGGCTATCGAAGCCCGGCGGAGCGGGCAGTTGCTCTGGCCTCGGCTCTTGACTCTACGAACAAGGAAGAATCCTGTTCCACTACAACCCCTGCAGCCACGCTATCCGTAGCCCTAAGGGCCCCTACTCCTACTTCACCGGACTTTGCGGACGCTATATCTGAGCAGGAGTGGTGGAAGTTGCTCAAAGGAGCGTGGTCGGCGATGTATTGGAATGACCTCCACGTTGAAGAAGAATCAGTTGAAGCACTGCCTGGGATTGTCACGTACACTCTCGACCTCCTGAAAACACCGACTGCTAGATATGACGCGGCTAGCCTCGTTCGATGGGTGGATCGGATATACGAGTCGCTCAGTGAGGATGGAGCGAAGCCGAATATCCTTTCTGCAGTGAAAAGTTTACAGGATGCGCTAGCCAACAACGTAGCATAGTTCATCACGCGCAAGCTGAGTATCAATTAGGGTCATACGATGTACAGTATCACTTAGTCTCTCCTATGCAGACCAAATGGGGGCATATCCTTCTTTGTTGTAATTATCACTTGATCAATGATATACAGGCGCGTTGACTTCCGTCGTGAATTTTCACTTGTTGGTTTTTGACATATAGACGATATGCTATTTTCTTGCGTGGAAGATCACGTTTACGCAAATCTAGGCTACTGGTTTGAAACGAAATAGATATTAGGATGATGCATTTTCGCCTGCGACGCCACTTGTGCAGTGCTTTATTCTCCATGGACCGTTCAATCGCACTGGAATGCGTAAGTGGAACAAAAGAAATGGCTGACAATCCCATACCACTAGTGATCGTGGAAGGATTCCTGGGCAGCGCCGGCGCTGCTATGGGGTCCAAGTTCACAGAATACCTTGACAGGGGAAGTAAAGAATATCCCAGTCGAAGAACTTTGTTTGCCAGGCGAGTAAAGTCGAAGCGCTTAGCGGGCGTAACAGGATCAAGGGCTGATACTTATCTCGAAGTGTCGGGCCAGTAAGCTCTTTGCATGACAGGGCGTGTGAGTTATTCTACACACTTCTCGGTGGTGCAGGTAGGTCACTCACTTTCGTAGTATATCAGAAATGTGCGATTAATACTGACTTTATTGTCATAGTCGACTATGGAGAAGGCCATGCTGAAGCTCACGGTCATCAGCGATATGGTCGGGTTGTAGACAACGCTCTGTACCCTTCCTGGTCACTTGACAGTCCGTTACATTTCTTGGGACATTCGATGGTAAGTCCGAGTCAACCGTTTCTGTATATTTCTCTTACGCAATAATTCAAACAGGGTGGGCCTACGATCGTCAAGTTGCAATCGCTTATGGCTGCAGGCTTTTTCGGAGATCGTGGGCATCCTGACATGGTGCTTTCTTTAACAGCTGGTACGTTCCACGGTGCTACATCACACACCGTTCCTCATTCCGTCAAGTTTCTGCGCCGTTTCGAGGAACTCAGTTGGTATATGCTCTGGGAGAACGTACCGACACAGCACCTGCCGTCCGCCCATTCTCAGCTGGTGCTATTTTGTCTAGAATCATTCATGTTTTGTCCTATCTATCTCCTCTCCTTCCTGCAGCGCTGGATTTGCATGCTGAATCACGCTGTTTGTCGTACCGGGACGCGTCTCTTCCTTGCCTATGGCGGCAACTCTGCAAAAGCGATTGGGCACAGAGCCGGGATGCTACTCCTTACGATGCGACCTTTCAGGCAGCGGAAGAACGGGAAGTAGATGGGGAAGGTCAGCCCCATCAAAGGACGTTCTATAGATCATATTCTGCTTCCTTGGTATGAGATTATCCTTGTTCCATCTGCACTCATGAGAGTCATCTTAGGGCAGCGCCACACAGAACGAGACAGATCCTACAGAGATTTCATTGCGAACATTCTTTCCCCTCTGTACATTTCATCTCTTATCATGTCATCGTTCAACTTTTCTGTCCTTCAACCCACTACTCTAGCGATAGTCGCTTCAGTATCCAGTTCCGGTACAGAGGCCAGGTATCCAGACCGCCCCCCCGAAAATGACAGCCCCGGTCGTGAGCACTATTATTGGGAAAACGATGGCGTGGTCCCCGTGTTTTCACAATTTCATCCATTCGGATGCAGGTGCGTTCCGAAACAACTAATGTGTGCCATAACATTGAAGTTCATATACAAGCACTGCGCTCTGTCGGCATCATTCGAAGAGGACACATACTGTAACCGGTAGACCGTACCCTGGCATCTGGTGTGTGTATGCATTAGAAGATGCGAGCCATTTTTCTATCGCTCCTTTTTGGTGGGGATCTAGACGGCAGAGAGCGTTTTGGCTGGAGCTGGGAAATTGGTTGTGGGCAATTGACCACCACCGGCTAATCTTGTAGTGGTGTCTGAATACTCGGTGCGCAGGTATCCCATACTCGGGTACGTATTACACAAACAGATAGTTCAGTAAGGACAGTGACGACATAAGGAGTGGATGATGATTGAGAAACGGTGAGAATATGACTGAACATGATGCGCAAATCTATGGGTGAATGAATGTCGTTTTTGATATTAAAAATTGTGGATGAGGGAGACGAAAAACGTATGTATATATTAGACTGATTGGTTTGAAGAAAAGAAGATAAAACGAAAATGTATGTGTACAGAGTGACAGAGAATTCAAACCATGCCCAACTCGAGAAATGTCAGTGCAGCTGATGCAATCACTGGCTACCCTAATGGTTCCATTCGGGGCCAGTGACTCTGCACGTCTCGTTGGGAGCTAGTGAAGTGGTCAGGCCTTGGAGCGGGATGAGCGTTCATCATCGGTACATTTGGCGCAAACGATCCGCGAGGGTAACGCCCAGGGTGACCGCGACCCCCATTCTTAAAATTGGACTGATTGTCCCTGCGATGTTGGCGACGAGGAGGGACATTATAATTGCGCTGCTCAAACATCGGCTGCATATGTGCACTACCGGAACCTACAGAAACATTTGACGGGGCTTGCTGGTTGATGCCGAACGGGGCATGATTTGGCATCCAGCCGTGGGGACCCATCATCGGAAAAGGTCCTGGGTTTGGGTGCTGAATCCCTGGTGGCACTGGTATGCCATGTGCAAACGTAGGTTGAGGGTATGGCCTCCAATGATTAGGAGGTTGGGCTGGGAGCGAAGCAGGAACAGCTTCTGTGGAGGTCGAGGCTTGTTCGCCTTGAGCGCCGGACATGTATTGATCCAGAGCGTCTGGAGGGTAAACAGGAACCAGAATACCCTGATCTCCGTGAATGAACCCCGTAGGTATCAGTGGCGCTTGTGCTGCGACAGGTGTCTGTCCCTGGCCTTGCTCTCGCACGGGTGTTGTCGCGGGATACGGATATGGAATGAATGGCTTGAACAGCGCGTCAGCGTTGCAGCAGGAAGCTCGAGATGGAATGAACGTACAGCATACATGCCTGGGTGGACGATCGGAGCAGGTGTTGCTGAAGGTGTTCCACGAGCATCAGCGCCACTAGCTGGCGGAAACGATTGGCCCATCGGTGACGGAAGAGGATATCCAGGGTATGCCCCCATATACTGCATGTGATAGGGCGGGAAACCAGCTACCCATCCTTGAGGATGATAGTACCCCATTGTGGGTACGGGATAGGCCACATGTTGGGGAGGGACAGATGTTACCGACGATTGTGATGTGGAAGGTGTAATGGAAGCGGCCTGAGGCGGGACGGTGTCGTCTAAATTTACGGCCTGTACGTCATCCGCAACTGGAGAGGAGGTTTGTTGAAGTTCAGAGGTAACGTCAAGATTTTCTTCTGACTGCTGGACGTCGGGCAATGAAGCTTTGGCGGCTGTCTGGCCGATGTTCAACTCCTGCAGCCTCTCTTCCAGGGCGATCGCAGTTGCCTGTTGAAGATTGGGATCCACACGGAAATCGTCACTGGAGACGAGAGACGGTTCTGAACCATGGCGGACAATGCTCCCTTCATAATTTCGCACGCGGTTACGATTGGATCTCCAGTTCGTGCGGTGCGGAGGGTTCCAGTCACGGAGTTGAACGCGTATTGGGCGTCCGTCAAGGATCCTGTTATGCTAATGGTAGATGGATTAGACCGGGAATCGGGGTGGAGATGTTGTATCGTACCTCTTCACTAACAGCTCGAGCGGGAGAATCCTTGTTGTTGAATGTGACAAAGGCAAACGCGGAACGCTTGTTGACTACAAAAGATAATCGTTACTGAGAGAGGACAACAATAATCAAAGCTTACCTGGCCGGATGACTTTGACATTCTCCACGCCGCCATACCTCGAGAACAAGTTACGGACGCGTTCTTCGTCCCAGGCGTTTGGGCCATACATCTCCAATCCTCCGACGAATATGGTAGTAGGATCCAATGGACCTTCGCGCTTTGCATCCCATTGCAAGACATTCTTCGTGGCGAGCTCAGGTAAAGATCCGGAATGAAAGTCGCCCAGGTAACTTCCAGTGGTAGGAGTGCGAGGTACCAAAGACACCGGCGTTTTGGGGGTCATAGGCGAGCTCCCAAATTCGGGAGTTGGAGGGATGCCAACCTCAAGCTCGTAAGATCCCTCCTGGTGAACTGGTGTGGTATTGAAATGCGCCGTAGAACTTGCAACATCTGAAATACCCGTCATGGATGATAAGGGCGTCACGATGCTAAAGTGAGTTGTCCTCAGTTGAAATTCGAAGTCAGGGGAAACAATAACTAGCCTCGGATTTTCGTCGGCCTCCATTCGGTCGCTCCAATACTTTCTCGTTTCTCGTTCACGGACTGTCTCAGAGATGGGCGGAAAGTCTTTCTTGTCCACACCTGATGGCTTGTGACTCAAGGACAGAGCTCGAGGACGTTTTGGTGTCGTGCCTTTCGTATCCAACGCGACATTCTGCGAGGACCAGGCCATATCGCACAATGCAGTAGACGCTCGGTTCAGATTGCGTGATATGTCACCAAGGCTAACTGACGACGGAGTCTGCTCTATGCCACGATGATAGGGAACGAGTGAATCTGCGGATGAAAACCGGTTTGGAAATGGGAAATGAGATGGCACCGTATGCGTGGAGCTAGTCACTTGAGCTTGCCAGTGGTGCTGGGTAGTATGCACAGGCTGGGCGCCATGGTGTGACATCGACTGACGTGGGTGAGCTGGATGGTGTGCCCAAGTCACGGTCAGGTGAGGGACTCGACGCAGAGTCTAGGAGTTGTGTGTCAGTCTACGTAGCCGCTTGAAGTAGCTTCGAAAATTCACCATCAGAGCGCCAACGCAATCATCGCGGTGGCACCATTTGATCTCCCAGCACCCCGTCTCCATTTCTACAGAGCGGGGTGCATTGTGCGGAGGAGGATATTCTTGCTGAACACCTGACTCGAATTCGTGAGGGACAAAATGTTCGATGCCCCCGAAAATGGTTGATATCTTTCTTAGAGTCTAGGGCAAAGTTAGAACCCACAATCACGGTCATAAATTAGGCTACGACTACTTCGGCGGTGTAAAGCAGGGGGTAAAAATACGCCCCAGATTCATCTGCTTCCCGATCGCTGAGAGGCAGAAGGCCTTCGTTCTCCGCTGCCGCACGCGCATCTGAGTTGTACAGGACTGACAAGTGCCTGGCGATTTTACTTGAGTCAAAGAGAACGATGGAAATTGAAGAACAAAATCTACCGGGAGCCCGGGACCCTAGAAATTTTCATCGCCCAAGGTAAGTCAAGGTCAACAGGCTCACCACCCTGAAGGTCGCCAAAGCCTGATTTGGTATCTGACGGAGGCGCAAATTGTCGTGGTGTACTAGAAACCGTGTTAGAAGGTGGTATGCTGCATGTATGCGCGTCTTCGAGCGCATATATGCACCTATGAGAGCGCGTCTTCGTCAAAACTCACCGGTAGGATATGAGCAGTGTTCTCAAGGCTCGCGCGGGCTCATAGCGCAAGTAACGCCCCATGAATTGTTTAGGGACCGACGAATGCAAATGTGTGATTAGCATTGCCGCTGTCTCGGCGTCCTGGTGAGAGTGCAGCATTAGAAATATATTCGGAATATTTAGTAGCGAAGACAGACCTGACACTGGATGAATGCGCAAGTGCCGCCCTTTGAGTCACGAACGACCTTGATGGTCTGTACCTCTGGATGATCAGAAAGATGATCAGAGAGCATGCGAGTTAGCTCCAAATGCTCGATATTAGTTGGTAGACTGGGAAAAGTGTATGATGAGCATGCGAACTATTTTGTGCCTAAATAACGTACCTTCCGATGAAAATGCTAGCGTCTTGAACTATCTTGTCTGCAGACTTCTTAGAGTCGTCAGATGGCTCGTTGACGGTCAAGGGGCTGTCTTCTTGAGGGGTGACATTAGCATCTTCTGCTGGGGGGAGAGAAGCAAAAAGTAATGTGTCAAAACGAGTACCCCAAGATCGCGCCTGGACATGCTGAGGCATGTCTATAGAATGAACTAAGGGATAGTACTTGTTAGTGATGGTAGAGGTTGTGGGTGGAGAGATGGGTGAACGAGGTCCAAAACAGAGAGACAAACAACCGTAGCTCGCGTGGGCAGTATACCTAAACTGCACTATGATATGTTAAATAAAACAACAACAATTGTCAGAACCAAATTTCCTGGTTCCAACCAAAAAAAAAGAATTAAGTCCTTCTTGGATATCCCTTGCCTCTCGCGGTCGCTGTAGAACCCAGAAGGTATTCAGATTCGGAACGAATGATTCTTTGTGATTGGCTCACATGAAATATTGAATCTGCAGCACCATGCATAGAACAAACGACAATCAATTTACATCTAGATGATTTATTCAATTGATGGATTGCGTGTAACACGAGCCCCGAGCTCGGAGAAGGCACCCGCGACGCCTAGTTAAGACGAAACAAACTCCATCTCAAGGGACGCGATAATCATCCATCCATCAGATCAGCGACCGGAACAGTGCGAGGACAAGATCTGTCATGTTCATACACGAATGAGAGCTCGTGGACTATCTCAGCTTGGAAGCTTACCCCAGGTAGCTCAAGAAGTACAGCCGCGCAACGTGTATCGGAATATCTGCAATGATGAGATGTATTGCATCAATGACTATTATAACGCAGGCGAAGGCTGCACAGGTAAAATACATCAATGGATGCCGGACCGTCAGTAACAGGGAAGCTGCAGGATCATCTATTAGAATTTGCGCTATTGAATCGATCAAGATAAGCGCACCATTCCAGGTTGAAGAAGAACCAAGTGATAAGATATAAGGGAAGCTTCAGCCGGTGTTTCATTGATTGATGGGCCAGATAGCGGGTCCCAAATGAACATCCCTGTGACTATGGAGACATATGCGCGACTCTCCCAGTGGGTGTGGACAACCGTGACTAGTAGAGAGCATTCATGTGGAAAAACAAAGTAGCAATAGCGATCTATCGCATTCCCAAAGCCTCTGAAACACGTCACTCTGAATTTTGATCAAGCGCAAGTGACCAGAAGGCAAAACGACGTTTTACAAAGTTTCGACGACCAACGAAGGTTTGGAAGAAAGAAGTCATCGATTATGTAAGCCTGCTCTGCTTCCATGTATTCGTCCAGAAATTTGTGTCCTTCATCTTGCATCTCAGGATCGACCGGTCTGCTTCCTTCACCACCTTAGACCCAGTTCAGGATGTCCGACGATGGCTATGGCGGTGGCGGTGGCGGCGATGACTACGACTATGACGGTCCCAGGTATGTTTTGATTCCAAAGTCATCCACAAGGAAGTTCTGATATGTTATTCTAGTTTCAACGATGGTACCTTCGTGCGTACCTGGCGAATCATACTGTGATCAAACTTTTGACACTGCGTGTTATTCAGGATGAAGGCTATGATCTACTCGCACAAGAACAGGAGGGTGAACAGGTAGAAGGGGAGGAGGCCAATGGCGAAGTCTCGCATGTCAATGGAATCAATGGGACAGAGCATGATCAGGAGATGATGAACGGAGAGGAGGGCGCACAACAACCTCAGCAACCGCAGGCAAACGTAGGCATTCAAGGCGAGAGACAGGCAAACAAAGTCAGAGTAACAACACCGTACTTGACCAAGTACGAACGAGCACGAATATTGGGAACGAGAGCGCTTCAGATTAGGTGAGAGGTCTCAAGCATCTTGTATACATTTGATCTTATGCAAGCATGTCATCACAAGCATGAACGCCCCAGTGCTTGTTCCCTTGGATGGCGAGACAGATGCTCTGCAAATCGCAATTAAGGAGCTTTCGCAGCGAAAAATTCCCCTCATCATCCGACGTTATCTACCCGACGGAAGCTTTGAGGATTGGAGTGTCTCTGAGCTGATTAGCGAATGACACACTCTTGTTGACCGCGTTTTTACCGGGCTTTCGCTTCGGTTGTTATCTTGTCCTGTTTTACAATCAACACTAAAACGATCTTTGCAACATGCAAAGCACTACCGGAAGTATATCGACAACGCAGAGGTATATCACACATTAATTTACAGTCGGCTATGAAATACTAGGTTTCTTCGCGATCTCCACCCACACCTCCGGTCTTGGTTTGGCAATCTTTCGAGACCGAGGATTGCACTCCTTGGAGACGACCGAGGCGTTCGCTCGGCGTATCTTTACTTTCGAGGGTTGCAATTCTCCCATTACCAGGTCTTCTCCTCCTGCATTCTTGGTTGCATTCGTCGCATCTGCAAATAATATGCACCTCTCTGACATGTCCAACCTATCCATACCATCCGCGATTTTGGCGATGTCGCGTCTCTTGCGCGGACTCGACTCCACGTCTGAGTAGTGTGACGCAGACTGTCGCCGCTTGCTTGGCGATGACGGAACACTGGCGGGTTTTTTTGATGGTGAAGCTGGTTGTGAGGGAAATGGATCATCCATTGGCACATTCTCGACGTTCGGATTCCGCTTTGGTGCAGCTATCGAATTAAAATGAGCGGCGCACTCAACGCGGAAGTTAAGTTCACTCTCACCTTTGCCCTTCGTTTTGGTGGCAGCCTCTTTGACGACTTTGAACCCACTGGATTCATCGGTGTGATCAAGCGTCTGTTGTATCTCCCAGTCTGATGGTCGCGTCTTCTTCCAGTCTTCCAAGACCTTGTCGACCCATGCATCGGTCTCCCCTGCTACGTGGTAGTCGATAATGTCGGACCACTCGCTGCCAGGTGGAGTCTTATTCACGAAGACGACTTTTCCTTGCCAGCTCTTTTGTACTTTGGGAGTACCATTAGGTGTAGTTCCAGTCCCAGTGGCGCGCACGACCTTCGCAAAGTCTTTGACGAGTTTTTTAAGACCGTGAACCTTGAGTGAAGTGCCCATGATAATGAGCATATCGGGTTTGCGGGCGATGTCCATAGTTTGTATTGTGCCTATGTCATCCCCAAGAGGGTGTGGTTCGTCGTAAAGTACGATGGCTGGGCGAAGAGTTCCAATTTTGAGGGCACGTGCAGAACGAGCAACTCGTGCTTCAGCTACCAGAAACTAAGCAAAGCGCGAAACGAACCTAAGAGCTGACTTACATCGTAAAACGCATTCTGGGCAGTTTGGAGCTTTGCCATTCTTGAATGCGTACAAATGTTCTTCGGTACAAGGCATTTCGGCAGAGCAAAAAGTGCACCGTACGCGGTGGATGTCGCCATGCAGTTGGACGTTCCTTACTTCCTTGACTTTTAGCTTCGACTTTTTCTTCCCACTTGTCCTCGCTTGCTGACTGGAACTCCCACGCAGCCCCACCCGCTCTTCCAGACCATCAATGTTCTGGGTGTATGAGCGTACTAGTTTGTGCTTTGCGTCCAATGTTTGAATGAATCGGTGTGTAGGAGCGGGAGTGGCGTCATCGATGGAGCGCTTGAGCTGTGATATAAAAGTGTAGAAGACAGATGTAGACGCAGAGTCACGGAACAGAGACGCGTCAAAGAGATCACGCCCTTTGAGGACGATGTCTGGGTATCGCTCCTTGACAAGTGAATAAAGACCATCTGAAGACCGGAAGTCCTATACCGAGAAAATTATCAAGCCATCGCATGTGCTACGTGTGCAGAGGACTTACCGGAATGCCACATGAACATGAAATACCTGCTCCGGTGACAACTACTATCTTTTTAGATTTGGCTACTGCCAAAGAAATGTCAGAGAGAGCCCTTCGCGTGCTGGACTCTCCAGACGCCGCGTTAAGCTGTAGAGAAATTGTCATGGTGTATGTGCTGACGGTGGTTGGAGGTCAGGATGAACGTAATTGGGAATTACGAAGGTGATGACATGCGCCAACTCAACTGAAATTCAGGGTGAACGCCATTTTAGGCGAATGTTTGTTATCATATATTTGTGGACGTGTCGCGTCGCGCCAGTCACGTGACTAACACGTCCTTAACCCCATCGAGGCATCCACATAGCTGACTTCCGTAGTCACAGTTTAAAATTTGACGTAGAGTACTCCACAATGTACACCTTTGACTTAATATGAAACAGCCTTCTCGGAGGTTGCAGTTCGCTCATAATACCAGAGTCCAGTTTCTGCGCAGGTCACTGGGGCAGTGGAGTTGAGGGTTTTAAAGTGACCGTATTGCTCCTAGGCCAGGGTTAAGTAAATAAAGGTACAATCATTCTTAATGCGACATACCGTGCCCAGCACATGGTGGAAATACCAGACCTCCTCCAAAATAGTGCCATTAACATCATAACAGCCAAGAAACGGAACTGCACCCGTCTGGGAATAAAGGGCATTCGTAATCTGTGAGCGGGTGTATGTCGTTGTATTGGAGGGAAGAATTCCTGCACTATTTCACCAAAGGTCGTCAGCAGTCACAGACTACAGCGAATAAACTTGAACAAACTTACGCAGCGAGCATATTGTAGGTTGGATACAACTGGAAGACCTTTGTGACAGTCTCGTAGAAGTTCACAACTTCCTGGTGTTCCTGGTACCCAGGCTCATAGCAGGCAACGTCGAACGTGGATGTGCAAGTAGCATGCTTTGAGAACTGATCGCCAATTCGTTAAGGGCCCTCCAGGCAAATTATATTAGCTCACCTCGTGAGCCCAAAAGTCCTCATTAGGTGCGCCCTGGTTGATCCAGAAGGTATCCACTACAACGAATGTTGGATCATTCACAGACATGTAACATTTTGTTCACATACTGTACTGCAGCAAGTCGGAACGACCGAACTCCTTGATAAATGTTCTTACGCTCGGTCCTTTGTAAGGAGTAACAACCGCCCCATCGGGCAAGGTCGTTGGCGATGGCGTAGGATCATACTGCCTGTTAAGGTCGCAGTACTGGCCAAACGAGCTACACAGGGGGGAAGGTATTCGTCAGTAATCGTGACATTTACAAAACACGACCTACCCGTCGCAGTTCACTGGCAGTAGGCCATGAATACTCCAGCTGCCTTGTGGAAGCAGTTGACCCTGAGACTCGAGGCCAGTATATGTGTCCCAGTACTGCGCCTGTAGAACGAGCCCGCCTTGTACGACATTGCAGCATGAATCTGTCACGACCGTTGTGTTCTCGCAAGAGTACTGCACTGGGAGGTCGACGCATGTCTCGATATTCGGGTACGTGGGCATCTGAGTCGACGGGGAGTGGAATTTCGCATGGACTACAGAGACAATGGCTACGAGACCGACAAGGGACAACATATCGCTGAGGATGCGCTCAAGAGAGGTACCTCACGGTAATCGACGATCATGTTGCCGACATTTATACTTGTAACCCTTGCCTGCTACAAAAACGAAGCACCAGCGCAACGGAGCGCAAGCGGTCGCAGAAGAGAATGGAGAACACAAGTGTTCGCCACGTCAAAACATCAACAGGGGGTCTACGTGGCGGTACACTCTTGGTGCGTCCCACCTAAAGAGTCGCACGCGTCTCTGTCAACTGACTCTTTGGAGAAGTTTTCACTCGCTTATGAACTTACTTTTAGTGTTGGCTCTCGACCCCTGCACTGTCTGATCCGGGCTACATTACGATTCTGTTGCCACCCGGTTTGAGCAAATACTAACCGCTCTAGTGCATTCCTCTCCGGCGTGCGAATAATGCGCATACTGTGGGTGATTTGAAGTTGCGATTTGCCAAACGTCATAGCGATTGAAACATATCTGCCAATGCCCGGCCTTTGAAACCATCTGTTTTGCAGGTGCTCATGCAAGGCAACGAGAGAATCCATGCTCCTCGAGGACGAATATGGTGCTTCGGCCGCGACATAATGATAGGCTTACCTATTTCTAGTATGTGGGTGCCATATGAGCATGTCGGCTCACTATGCGTCATCTACGATGGACGACGATCCCCTAAGACGTTGGTGCAGTGACCGCATGAGACCGCACCACGTTTTGGAACCTTCCGTTCTTGGTGCACGAAGCTTGCAGAACAAAAAACGACAGATAGGTGACTGTATGTAAAGGCATACGTGACCTTGTAGAACAAGGTGACGATTTGCATCTTGCATTTGACTTAATATGAAACAACCTGCTCCGATGTCGCAGTCCGCTCGTAATACCAGATTCCAGTTTCTGCGCAGCTCGACGGAGTAGTAGAGTTGAGGGTTTTGAAATGACCGTATTGCTCCTAGGTCAAAGTTAAATAAATTCTGCACGGTCATGATAACCGCGACGTACCGTGCCCAGAACATGGTGGAAATACCACACCTCATCCAAAATAGTGCCATGGCCGTAACAGCCAAGATATGGAACAGCACCAGTCTGGGAGTAAAGGGCGTTCGTAATCTGGGAGAGGGTGTATGTCGTTGTATTGGAAGGAAGAATTCCTGCACTATTGTCGGCAAAGGCCGTCAGTAGTCACGGACTACGGCGAATAAACATAAACTTACGCAGCGAGTATATTGTAGGTAGGGTACATCTGGAAAACCTTTGTGACAGTCTCATAGAAGTTCACGACTTCCTGGTGTTCCTGGTACCCAGGCTCATAGCAGGCAACGTCGAACGTGGATGTGCAAGTAGCATGCTTTGAGAACTGATCGCCAATTCGTCAAGGGTCCTCCAGGCAAATTATATTAGCTCACCTCGTGAGCCCAAAAGTCCTCATTGGGTGCGCCCTGGTTGATCCAAAAGGCATCCACTGCAAATAATGAATTATACACACTGACATATGATTTTCATCCACATACTGTACTGCAGCAAGTCGGAACGACCGAAGTCCTTGATAAATGTTCTAACGCTCGGTCCTTCGTAAGGGGGAACGGCCGTCCCATCGGGCAAGGTTGACGGCGACGGTTGAGGATCATACTGCCTGCTAAGGTCGCAGTACTCATCGTACGAGCTAAAAGCATCTGTCATTGATCATGAGATTTACAAAAATACTTGTCCTACCCGTCGCAGTTATCCGGCCATAAGCCGTGGATAGTCCAGCTGCCTTGTGGAAGCAGCTGGCCCTGAGACTCGAGACCAGTATAGGTGCTCCAGAACTGCGTCTGTAGCACGAGCCCGCCTTGTGCGACATTACAACATGAATTCGCCAGGACCGTTGTGTTCTCGCAGGAATATTGCACTGGGAGGCCGACACATGCCTCGATGTTCGGGTACGTGAGCAAATTCTGAGTCGACGGGTGGGATTTGGCATGAATTACAGAGACCATGGCTGCGAAACCGACAAGGGGCAACATCGTGATATCCGAGAGAATGAGTTCGAGAGAGGTATATCATGCTGGAGGATCATGTCGCTGACTTTTATACCTGTGACCCTTGCCTGCTAACTAAAACCGTAAACAAGAACGTGCTTATCGGGAAGCTGGGCCACATGCAACAGTCGCAGAAGAGAATGGAAGCGACAAATGCGCATGGGTGGTCCAGGATCACGCGGTTACTACTACGTACAAGGCCCGGGAGTCCTAATCAACGTTCGTGAACCAACATTCAAAGTGACATATGTGCTCACAAACAACGAATTCCTGTGAGCGATGTTTCGTGCACGAAGCACTTGCGAAGCACTCGCAATTGCAAAGGGGTCGACATGTTTGTTGACGCTTGAGTGAAAGTGAAAAAGGTGTCGGAACTCGGCTATATGTGCTGCCGAAATCCTGCCGACCACCAATACCTGCGGCGGCCTGATTTTTATTTGTTTTGTTTGGACTTTTGGATTCTCAATAGCAGGATATCTGCAGCAATACATGCAACACGAAAGTACAAAGCAGATCAAAACATGGTTCATCTGAGGATCGACTAATAGGTCCAGAGTCGAGCAAAAGTCCAAGAGTAGCCAGCCAGTAAGCACGCAGATCACACGTCGGTCCATCCGCCTTCGTCCAGCTTGTAAGAGGCCTCGCTTTCAGGACGGTCGGGGCTATCCACCAGCTTCGCGACACGTTCTTCAGCCCGTCCTGGAAGTTAAGTGGCGATGTTAGTACATTTCCCTTTCGATATTAGACACTCTCTGGATAACATCGTGACCTGTGGAAGCGTCAATGACTTGCCTTTGCGAAGAAACATCCGAGTAGCTGAGGAGTGCGATAGAATATGTCCGCCGATGGGCTTGAGAGCCCCGCCAGCTACGAACGTCATCGTTGCTCCTGGGTCAGCTGCGCCAATAGGATGAGCTGCTATTCCGGAGTATACAACCAGTAAAACAGATACATTGCACTTGATTGGTGATCAAAACCGCAACCTGTAAGAGACGTCAGTCTTGTGTGATAGTCTGACAACAAACATCAAACATTGAATTCTTCAGAAAGCTTAGTGAGCTTCGACATCACCTAATGCGAATGCATCGCGTCAGCAAATATGATGAGGAGACATTGTGCCCACTTGTGCTAGCTAAACTGCAGTAAGGCTTAGCATCCGACGACCCAGCTCAAAGGCCTACCTTCTGTTGCCTCTCGCTCAGTTCACCACGACCAGAAAAATCGACGCGAAAGAGAGCCATGATGGAGTCCACGATCTAATTAACGAGTGAGCAACTCCGGGACGGAAACCATAAGACCTACCAAAAGACGGAAGTCCTTGTCCTCCGCAAAGCGCATGGAACATTCGCTGATAAGCTCCATCTACAACATGTTAGTGATGGCTGTATAACAGTAGAGAAGGGGAGCGACCTGATGTTCACTGTTGAAGGCACGCGCTGCGGGTGCTATGTCTCAATGATGGGAGGTATACAGCCAGAAAAATACCATAAAGGATGTTCTCGAGCGCCATATTCCCGTCCACGCCAAACCGGTCAGCGATGGACCTGATGCGGTCTGGTCTGAATGTCCCTAAGACGACAAGAGCCTCGGTGATGGGTTGTTACTCGTACAATAGCATTCACTGCACCTTCAGTATCGATATATGCGACCTATTTTTCTTAGTTGACTTGACTTTTTTGCAGAACAAAGACTTTCTCACCTTGCCAGAAGCCCCACCCATCTCCGGAGGGAGCTGAGTGACGACGGACATTGTGTGGGCCAGTTGTGTCTTTCCAGTGCGGAATTCACCGTAGACTGGTTTAAAAACAGCTGAGTGCTAAAGACGCAAAAAGTGGCGGGGCTAACTACCTTCGGAAATTGATTGAGACATTAGCCCGCCTGAAAGCCAGTAAGTATGATCCGCGTCGGAATGTATTGGTTTACCCACCACCTAAGATTGTGTCTACTGACTTGCTTCCAGTACTGATAATAAGCACGCGCTTCCTTCGATCCTGGACTTCAATACCAGTTGCAAAGGAAGATCCCTTGTGGAGTATTATGAGTATCAGAGGACAATAGTGATGGTTGATGGCCACCGTGATTTTCTGTGCTGCCTCCTGTGCAACATCCCGGGTTGAGAGCGGAACACGGTCACTAATATGAATTTATGCGCACCTTAATTTTCTCGACCTTCGCTTCCGACATACCCTACAAAGAATGATATCGAATTCACCAGAGTCCCTCTGGAAATATTGTAGTAGAACTATGCGAACCTTTATTTTCAGTAGGTGACGACGCGTAGTCATCACAACACCAGACACAGTATTGATGGAGGCACTCTAGAGCCTCGATAAGCCTGGTAGAATGCGCATATACTGGGTCATTACCTTGAGTTTTAAGATATCTTGTACGTTTATGCCCTACAAGATGTTACGAATCCCGAGCATATATTATCCGCATGAGAGGCACTAACGTGTTGCTGTAATTCATCCACATTATCAAAGAATGGCGACTGTAACGCGTCGCGTACGCGTGAGCCTCACAGCAGACATCGATGGCTGCAAGGAACCTCACCTCTTCGATTTCTTCACAACCTGGACTTGATGCTCGGCTGGGAGGAGGCATGCTTCCTTCTGGTGCAGCTTGTCGACGAGGGGCCATGGTAAAATGAAGAGTCTTAGATTCTATTGTATGTGTTAGAAAAACGAATGGTAGGCAAGAAGAGCCTGGAGCCAAACACCAAACACAAGTGATCGATGCACAGCCACCGCTACGACTTGAAGTTGACAGAATTATGCGAGCTGTGCTCAAAAACAAGGTCAGCCATGCCCAGATCAAAGTACTCGTCACGGCGCGAGTATCTTTCGTGACGGTCATATTTTATAATTAGGTGGGGAGCGCAGACACGCAGACTTCTCGCTGTTACTTCATGTACTAGTTGGCATTGATAAACCTCGAGCTAGTCGACTCGGAGAAACTGTCACGAAGATAAAATATTGATTCATCGACCGTTACACTGGTTTGCCTGCTATATATAATCCCTGTTGTGTCACGGCTCGTGTGTTTATTCACGGGCAAGCCCCAAGGAGCATGTTCATCTTGCGCAGAGCACTTCCAGCATATGAACTCTTTGTGAAAGTCAGACTCATGTTGTAACGATCAAGGAAGAGCACATACTCCAAACAGGATTGTGTGGTTTAGATAATGGTAGAGCTCGTAAAGGTCCGCTCTGAGTTCGTACTGATCCACAGGGTCGGTCTTGGGCAGGTGTTCATGATACTTTTCAAAAAAGCTTCGTGGAAACCCGCCGAAGATACGAGCGATAGCCAGACTGAACTCCACACATGTTAAGATAAAACTGCGGTTACTCCGCCTTCGCGGATGTACTCACTCAGCTTCGTTGTGACCATAGTAAGATGATGGATCGAAGATGACAGGTTGACCCGATAAATTATCTATGCCCGCATTACCGCTCTGCTGTTATCAGCAAAAGAGCTGTGAATGCTCAACAGGAAGCTCACCCACAGATCACCATGCAACAGCACTGGCTCAATCTCGAGGGGCCGAAGCAAGAATGGTATCGCTCTGCATTGTTGCAGCAGCCGACTCTCGTCATAAGCTATCATGCACTTACTTGGACCTCACTTGTTCTCCTTTGGTGCAAAGTTCTGAAAACCTGCCTGTCTCGCGAAGCTTGGAGAGGAGACTTCCTATCATGGCGCTGTAACATTCTTCCCAGGTTTTATGCCAGCCATTGTCTTGCCGAGTTGCTCCACAGAAGGTAGGCACATGAAATCCAAAGCCCATGGTACTCTTGTACACGTGCAGCTCCTTGGCTAGCCTCGTCCCAAGCTCCTCCCCTGCTTTGTAGTTTGAAGCAAGGCTTGTGATACTGCGATATTCCGACAGGAAATAAGGCGGTTCAGATGTTGCAGCAGAATCATCTGGACCGACCGCTGCGAGCACCTGAGGAGCAAGTCCTGGTGCAGCATTGTGTATAGCTCTGAGCGACTCTGCCTCTCCCACGAACTGCTCTCGTTCGTTGAGTGAACCTACTTTGGCATAATACTTCTTCCCAAGGGACGATTCTATGATCGGAAAACTGAATTTGAACTGTGCATGAGGTTCTATTTTTTGAAGGTGAGGGAGAAATGTCTTGTCCATTATGTGGTAAGTATCGAACCCGTAAGTGAGTGTAACGGCGCTTGATTAGTAACATCTCTTTCTGGGAGGGAACCTGAAAGTTGGAAAGTTCCGTCCCACCCGTCCGGCCCGTCCCGTCCGTCCCGACCGTCCCACCCGTCCTATCTGTCCCATCCGTCCTTATCGTCCGCATCGTGCAACAAACGATGATAACTCTACAACGTGCCGCTGCTAGTCTTGCGGGTATCCCTAGCCTAACGTTAGATGGAATGTTCGTGTTTGCCTCGTTGGCAACAGGCCTCAAGGACGACATAATACTCACGCAGCCAGCTTCATACGACATTCGCGAGCCTCCATTGTTTCTTCCTCCTAGCGTTGTTGCTTTTCTCGGCGCTGCGTGCGTACTTTCACCGGCATACGTGAAGATGTGTTGGAGTGCGCTGAAGAGTAGTATCTGGGCTGGCAATTTTGCCATTTGTGAGAAGATGAAAGAACTGTTTGAGATACACGGACACCCTCATGGCCTCAGTACCGTAACATGCTTTTCAACTCGGATCTGTGAGGCTGAACGCACCCGTTTCAACAGCGCAGCACACATTCTATCCGCCATTCAAAACGTGTCCCAATTCTACCTGCGATCGCACTCGAAAAGGCTTGTTGCTTGGCAAGGCTGAACAGCGCAAGGCGGTCTACTTCGGCCTCTCCGGTACCCTCCCTGCCTACAGTGTTCAGCTGTATTGTGAATGTGAGTGCTACATCTATCCATCAACGTTCCGACGCCGCCGCTAACCCCCCGTCAGCCTGCAAGACAACCTATCACACGAACTACAAGGTTGTTGGTGACCGGCGCATTTACTACGATTACACCACCAAACTGCCAGACATCGTGCAGATCGCGGATCACTATTACGTCGACTATCAAGTGGCGAGATTATGGAAGGCCATGATGCATGCCTCCTGGTATGTAGTGTCTGCACATTCTGGGTCTTTCCCTACTGACCATACACTCAGCACGTCAGCAACCAACTGCGCGCACATCTACAACATTGCACTTGCAAATGTAGAATCCGCGCAGTTCCCAGGTACGAAATGGTTCACCAAGGACGCCACGATGGACCACGTTTGGAACGCGTTCACCATCTGCGTGCTGCTTGAAGATTGCCGTGAACGCCATTGTGTCCTCGACGTTGGTCAGACCATCAACCAAAACGAGCGCTTCATCGAGGCAATGTCAGACAGGAACCGACGCATGCGGATCTACAACCAACCACTCGCTCGTCGGCACTTTTGTGCTAAGTGTACCCGGGTCTACAATCATGGTGATATTGGTATGTACGCTTCCTGCGGTGTTGTTCTGCGCTCACGTTCTTACAGCTAACAAACTCGTTTCTGTCATTGTGGTGGATGGTGTCGTCGTGAGCCGTCCGTGCTGCTCTGTTCCCAACTGCTGGGTACATCTCCGTACCCCACAAGACCGGTTTTGTCATGCCCACTCCGCCCACCTCAATCAATGTGCGATTAAAGGCTGCGCACAATCTGTCGTGTCAGGTGGCCTTACGTGCGACATCCCCGCACACCAGGAGTCTGAAGCACTGCACACTCTGCGGGGCAAGTCTCGATTCCGTCTGCACGAACGCCTTGAGCGTTCACGCGCTATCCATGGGCGACTTGCAAATGTCCAGGCTGGAGCTGACGACGACGGGGACGGTGACGGTGACGGCACACAAGCCATCGGAGAGGAGGAGTATGACGTGAAATCGGGAAAGAAGAAGAAGCTTCGTGCGCAGTTCACGCGCAACTATACTCATTGCGAGGAGTTGATTGTTGCACCTTGCGGGATGATTCATGCTCGCGAGACCATGCACAATGCCGAGGGAGTAGGAAGTGTCGCAGAATTTATTCGCCGTGTCTTCCGAGACCCAGAGACACGCCCAACTCACGTATTCTTCGATAACAACTGTCGACTCGCCCTGCATGTCCAGAACGACCCGTTCTTCCAAGACATCGGCCTTTCTGTCGACGTCTTCCACTTCGAGTGCAAACATTCAAAGCAAGACACGTTCTGCCAAGAAAACTGTAACCCCGCCGCATTTCCGGAGCTGAAGACGGACGACGGGGAGTGGTACTTCAACTCTTCGGCTTGCGAACAGACCAATTCCTGGTTTGGTAAATTCAATCCTATCACACGAGGCATGAAGCCAGTAAAGTTTGACTTCTTCCTCGACGAGATGATCTCATGCAGGAATAAGGAGACCTTGAAAAACTTGGAGAAGACTGGCAGGAAACCCTCAGTTTGGACGGGGACAGGTTCATCTGTATTGTAGCACATTTTTTCTATAGTGGTGTAGAAGGTGTAGGCATAATATATAAAATCTTGAAGGAACGAGCGCAGGGTGGAACAAGTGCAGAGCGCAGGGTGGTGTAGAAGGTGTAGGTATAATATAGGAAGAAGGCGGTCAGCTCACCAATGAGATCATCGAAGATGAAGGTGATGAAGATGATGGCCACTCCTTGGGGAGACGAGCAAGAGATGGAGTCGACTTGTGCGATGTGCCGTTTCCTTGTCAACTGTTGTTGATGGGTTCACCTGTGAGTGGAGGGTTGAGGGTGTACTTGACGTGTGAGTGGAGGGTTGAGGGTGTACTTGAAGCGAAAGTGATGCGATGGCTTGAGGAAGATCGGCATGAGCGCGAGGAAGAGGAGCGGACTGCAAGACGTGATGTAATTGGCATGAGACGAGCTAAGACAAAGAGATGTGGACATGCAAGACAAACTAAGAGACATAAGAGACACGAGACGGATGAACTATGCGAGATGAACTAAGAAAAATGCAGTGAAGAACCCTAACGTGTCTCTATCATAAACTTCGACCACAGACCCTCTTCTGTTCGTCCAGCCTTAATAAACTTGTCCGTGATGTTGGCGGGCGCATCTGCCCAACGCTTCTTGTGAGCATGGAATGTCGTGCTAGCGTAAGGGACTCCGAACATCTTCTGGAACACAGCGCCAACACCTTGGCGGCGCTTGCTGATCGTCTCGCAAAGTCTGAATCCTTTGGCAACATCACATGCGTAGAAATCACCCGGCCAGACTTTGACATCGTCCACGTCGATTGGATCGGAGAGCGTGCCTCCGGATATGGAAGGATGTGCCGTTGAAGAACCTACTGAAGGACGTGCAGTGGCCCGTTCGAGGGGTTTGCGACGAGTACGAGGTGGGCTGGAGCTGGGACTGCGTGGACTGCGACGACGGCGAACAATGGAAAATTTCGGGGGCGGAGACGGTGTGCCGAACGATGGAATGGAATATCCTGAATATGATGCGGAGGGTTGTCTGGAAGGAGGAGGACTAGGTGAGGCTTGAGAGGAAGGTTTGACTTTACCCTTGCCCTTTGATAGCAACAGGGCCTCGACCTCCAACTCAGACGGCAAGGTGCCCATCTGTGGCTGAGGCTGAGAACGAGAATGAGCGTGGAAGAGAACTTCGTTGGGTGCGGGCAAAACGTTATGATGCTGGCGCAGCTCCTCACGGACTGCAGCGCGATCGGCAGCCAAGTGAGAGCGAAGGTTAGGTGGGGAGTCGTTGATGCTTCGGATACAGCTATCGAGGTCCACACACTGAGTTACGTTCGTGTTCCTGAGGAGGACAGGCTGGCCTTCGATGACAGTGACAAGGTAGCCTGGCTGCACACCTCGCCACTCTCGTCGCTGATGGTTCCATATGTGAATGATGGAGGCGGCACCCACCCCTCCATCAATGCTGGCAGCGGCCAGTCCCATCAGGGATATGACTCCATGATCGAGTGATAGGTGGGGCCATGTGAACGATGATGTCCCTGACTGGAACTCGAACACGTTCGGTTGAACGCCGTCCTGTAAGTGTGATGGTCAGCGTCTACAGCGGGGTAGCAGAGAAGGGGCGACGAACCTTTACCCAAGAGTAAACAACTGTATGGTACCGCGCACGATTCTGCGCCTCGATCTCATCAGCACGACGCTGGCGTTGTTCTTCCTCGCGTTTAGACGTTTCTGCTAGTTGCGCTGTGAAAACCTCTGGCATCTGCATGTGATAGCGAGGGCCTGGTTCTGGGGAGGCGCGAGAGCGTGTGGGGACAGTTCGAGCCCTCGACGGCTTCTTCGCTTGTGGGATATCATGCGGATGGTCAGTGTGAGCCTCAGCCTCAACAACAGGTGCGACAGTAGGAGATGGTGAACGTTCAACGGGTGCGGGGATATTAGGCTCGTCGCCATCGAGGTTGGTGTTGTCGTGATCGTCGTCTTCAAGCTCCAATTCTTCAGCGCCGTTTGGGTCACCAACGTGGTCAAAGAGGTGGCAGCCACCCAGGCGCCTGCAGTGTTTGCGACAAGTCGACCTAGCGCAGTTCTTGTTGATGCGCGTGCTGCCACAGCCGACGACCATGCACACACGGCGCTTCAGCACTTGTAGGTTAGAACTTCGGGTTCGAGTACGAGCATGAGCAGGAATCGTTGGAGAGGATCGTGGTGATCCGAAGTGCACAAAGTTGCACTTCGTACCATCCTGATTTACATCAAAACACTGTGCGTCCCATTAATATTGAAATCAAAAAAGAGGTAAGAAAGAACTTACGATCGCTTGCCAACGTCCACGGTTTCCATGTTCATTGGACTTGCACACCGTCCATTGACATGGTTTATCGCATGTCGTGCATGAGACTTCATAACCGGGACGTGGGCCTGTGGGGGGCTGAACTGCGGGGCGTGGCATCACAAGCGTCCAGAGATGGTGACGGTGTTGGGGGAGCGACAAGACGGCAACAACGATGCAGAGCGATGAGAGAGAATTGAAAGGTGGCGGGGCAGTGAATGACAGCGGGCTGGTATTGATGAGTAGGGCCCTTTTATGTTCGCGAGGGCGGGGGCATAGTGTGGGCGGGGGCATACTGCCAGAATGCCTGAGGACGGCACGACAGACGGCTCTAGGTTGCCTGTAAGTTGAGCGGCACCCAAAGGAATCCATGAGCGGCGATGAGCAAGGTATCATGCCCATTGCCCATGGTGCGCCCATATAGAATCTCCGCCAGAAAGATTTCCGAGAAATTCCGAGCCGTTCCGAAACGCCAAATAGGGGGTGGGACGTATGGGACGGTACGGACGGACGGGACGGTACGGACGGGACGGACGGTCATTTCCAATTTTCCGGTATATACCTTTCTGGATACTTCCGAATCGGGAATGGCGGTTGATCACACGCCTTCAAGTTACTCGCTTGCCCAAATACTGCGATGAGGGCCTCACCGAGAATTTAATACTGTGGTATTCAGAAACCTCTGTCAACATTTCACCATGCGTTCTTGGACAGGTTTCCGCGGCCAAAAAAACTTGGTCGAAGCTGTTCTACTTTTCGACGGACACTTTCCGTTGGATTCCCGGAGATGGAGTACGTTTTCAAGGACACCAGTGTAATCTCCGAGCATTCTCCAGCACCCAATTAGCTAACTGACCCTTCCCGCATCACGTATTGCAAAGAAATCGAGAACAGGACCTGTTGTACATCTGAATTAACTGCGCTTCCTTCGGACTTTGCGCTATTAACGTTTATCAGTCACCAATTGCCAATACAGATGAGCTAGCCAGCCCGCTACTGACTCGTATATTTCTATCATGCAGTATGGTCTGATCTTAATGTTGTCGCCTGCAGTGTTAACAGAGATATCGCTCGTGACGTGAGGGTACTGTGTGTCGCGGAGGCGACCCTGGATGCCATATCTCATAAAGTTGGGGTGCGGATGTTTCTCTTCTTGTTTCTCGTGGACTCACCTTTACGCAGAAGTCGTGAAAAGGCCGCCAAATAGAGCGTTACAAGAAGTCTAATCCAAGCGGTCGATTTCATTAAGATTCAAGCGTATGTGTCCTCATGATGGTCTTTTTTAGCAGAGTTCGCTGGAGAACTGGAGAATTCAAGGTAGATCTCGTCTTTATCAGCGGCTGGACGAAGAACGAACAGTGACAGGGGCTATATAACTTGCAATCCAATGTGACACACAAAAAAAACACAGTCGTAATGGTAGGCCACAGGAACCGATTTTTAATCATCTCCTGGTGTCAGTAGTGCAGGAATACGTCGAGGAAGACATCCTATCTGTTTTTGGAGCCGTTGGTTTGACCACGAACTATCAAGAATGGGAAGGCTGACTTCACATTGCCTCGTGAGCTCATGAGAAATCTTCATTGGCTACTGATAACGGTACGCGCTTCGGTAACACGGCCAAATCAATATTTTGAACGTTACTGGCCTGAGGAGATGCTAGCATCGGACTAGATGACAACCAATCAGGCATTTATCTTCCCCGATACTCATTCTACATTACCGAGATACAGGAATAATAATTTAGACTCTGGATTTTCTAAGAGTGAGGCGACTTCAGCATTTGTTCGGCTTCTTTGTATCTTTTTCGAGTCCCCTCGATGACGGTATCATCAATTTTCCATCCCTCACCGTTTCCGTTTGGACCACTCTCTAATCCTTTTCTGTATCCCGCGGCAGTCAATGCATTTCTGACATACTGCTTATCAAAGCTTGGCTGTCCTTTGCCAGGTTTATACTGGTCTCGGGGCCAGTATCGTGACGAGTCCGGCGTAAGGACTTCATCCACAAGGATGAGCTCGTCTTGCCCACCAGAAGCAGAAGGAACAAGACCGAATTCAAACTTCGTGTCCGCGAGGATAAGTCCACATGATTCTGCGTATTCAGCAGCGGCCGTGTAGAGCTGCAAAGACGCAGCATTGATACGGTCGAATAGATCTTGGCCAATGAGTTGAGCAGCTGATATAGCGTATGAGTGATTTTGTGTAGAACAGCGTTGTCAACAATAGCACCTTTTTCAGGCGAGATATTCTCGTCATGGGCACCTTGCTCAGCCTTGGTGGATGGAGTAAAGATCGGTGTCGGGAACTTCTGGGATTCTTCCATACTTTCCGGTATTGGGATACCGCAGACCGTTTGCGTCTTTTGGTACTCTGCCCAGGCGGATCCTGTTCACAAAGTCATCCCGGCGGCTCCAGGAAGTTGTCAATATAGCGAATCAGCTCACCAGTGATGTACCCTCTGACGATCGCTTCCATGGGTACTATTCTGGCCTTTCTTACAAGCATAGTGCGGCCCTCGAGTTGCTCGCGGTACTGCCGGACTTCTTCCGGCATCTCATCGATGTTGACGGTAACAAGATGATTAGGAATGATATGCTTCAGCTTCTCGAACCAGAATAGCGAGATGCTTGTGAGGAGTTTGCCCTTGTCTGGGATACCCTAAAGGCAGAGCACATGAGATCAGGCAGAAAATGGTTCAGAGATCTACGGACACTGTTGAGGATGACATCGTACACCGATATCCGGTCGGTTGCGACAAACAATAGATGATCAGGCGACGAAGTCGCATAAACGTCGCGGACCTTTCCTCTTGAAAGGAGATGGAGATCTGGCAAGTCCGTTTGCAGCAGCGCTGCCATCGCGGGAGGGTGAAGAGGAGATTACCTTTGAATCTCTGATTAGATCAGATTCCGACCCCTTACGGATCAACGGGCCACTTCGGCGATCGCAATATTTGAAGTGGTGATGTACTCTAAAGTCTATGTAATATGTATGCATGCGTGAGTTGTGTCTATATTCCCATTATTGCTATTATGCTACAGGACGCCGTGAAGATATCTTTGAAGACTCCGCGTCATACAGTCGGGACAAGCCTACAATCGCTGTCAGTATTTGTACCACGCAACCGAGGGTCAGGACACCAACAAGTCATATTTGACCAACTCATCAACATCAATGAATGCTGCCGAGGCCATTTGACGAGCTTCTACCCACAACCAGACCTGTCTCGATGATAAGCATTTGTGACGAAAACGAAAACATTCAGCGAGTACCTTCAACAACGCTCCAAAGTTACCTGAGGGTAACTGTGTCATCGATTCTTGAGTTGTCATCTGCCGTCCGAGCTGTCGCAGAATTGGCAATGCGCTCTTGAACAAATCTAGGCTCGGATCCAGTTGTCTTCCAATACCTTCAAGAAGTAATATTGAGATAACCGTATTAATGAAATCCGCCTCCATCTTGACATGGTGCTGCCGCACAGCCGTTAAAACGTCGGTCAAGATGTCCGAAATCTTGATCTGCCCAAGCGAGAACGTCTTCCGCTTGATGCTCAAAACGATGTGTTGCATCTTCAGCGCAAAAGTCTCGGTGTCAATCGCAAGTTCGGGAGTCCGGCAACGTTCGACCATCAGCTGGCCAGCCCTGTACCCATCGAACTCGGCGACGGCCCTAAAAAGGTCGAGGAAGTTCTTGCGGTTTGTCGTGTTAAGCGTTGTCACGAGACCAGCATCGATAAAGACGATTTCAGGAATATAACCTTGCTCCGATGAAATGTTGAGTTCCTTTCGCCACTCCTCAGGGGAATGTCTGAGGGAGCGTAGTCGAGCTACTAATTCATCAGATTCCAGCGGGTGCTCGACGAGAGCTTCGGGGGAGCCCTTTTGTGGAAAAAATGAGGAATACATGCTCATAAGGAGGTCACGGGTGGTTGGAGGCTTTGTGAATTTGATCATGATGTTGCCTGGATGAAGATCGGAGTGCACGAAGTTGTCAAGCAAGAGCATGTTCTGCGGGATAATGAGTAAACGAAAACTCGTGGGGATAGTTCACGGACCAAGAAAGCATCCAATCCGACGGTAGCCAACTGATCATCAAATGGCCCACCTCCATTTTTCAGAAAGTATTCCATACGCAGAGCATTCTCGTATTCCTCGACAAGTAGGTCGGCAGTCGAAAACGTCTTCAAAGGTCGTGGAAATGACACGGGCACATTTCTCGGAGCAAAGTTATTCTCAAATGTCAACAAGTTCTCTGCCTCGATTCTGAGGTCGAGTTGTCGACGCATCATTTCACCAAAGACGCTAACCTCCTCTGAGAGTGATAACCACTCCATGCCAGGAAAAAGGGTAATGACGCGCGCAAAGAACGACATTATGGATAGGTCGTGCGCAATGTCCTTGGCGACGCGGGGATGTAGGACTTTGATGGCGACAGATGCAGTAGGTACTGAAGGTGGAGGGTCTTGCAGGATAACGGGGGCTAGCGAACCTGCGGATGACTTGGCTTGGCGTTTTGGACCAAGGTAAGAGGGAGGTATAAGGTCATGCTTGAGAGTTGCCCGGTAGACCTACGGGCAGCGAGTCTGTTAGTAGTCCACAAAAGCTCACATCAAACCCACCTGTGCAATGGCGCCGACTCCTATGGGATTCTCATCAAAAACTTCGAACACCTCATCGAAGGGTCGTTCAAGAGCCCTTTCAATGACCTTTTTGGTATGCATGAGTGAATGAGGCTTGCCGCGCGAGTGCAAGGCCCCCATTTTCTCGCAAAGTAATGACGGGAAGAGATCAGCACGCGATGCCGCCCATTGCGCAAGCTGAATAGTCAGAGAGCGAGATAGAAAGGGCGCTATGAAATGAATACCTTGATGAACGTTGGCCCGGCGGTCTGCATTCTCTTGACAAGAAATCCGTACCACCAAACGGCACCCCACTTGTCACCCTTATACCTACGTTCAGGCTTCCCCACCAAAAGCATAGGCATGGTAATGATGACAGGTATGAACAGATAGAAGAGGTGAACGAATCTTCGTGCCGTTAACAGAGGTTCCCACAAGTGTTCCTGCATCAAAGATAATATCCGCGATGGAATAGACATATGGGGTTCCGCTGGTGATCCAATTATATGTTCTCTTGCTGGTACGTCTAAATCGCGTGTTGTACATGGAATAAGGGTTGGCGAGGAAAAGATGGAAGGAAGGTGGAGCTGTTGGCTAGGATAGAGGTAAAGTGCGACACCGCCAGTCACGGGAATGAGCCATGCGAGATTACGCCATAGCCGCGTGGGTGGTTTATTGCTTTTGAGCGACTGTAAAACAGAAGGAGCAGTATGTTGTGATCGCTGGAAAGTATGACGGACGGTCAATCCAGTGCCACGGACAATACTGGGACGGTAAGATAGCACTAGCAACCGCATTTGGGAGGGGAGTGCGTGTATGCGCTGAAACTGCATCTTCCGTAGTGAGACAGGACTTGTGTATTTCTACACCTGTGTTGGGGAGACACCAGTGTTCTGCAGAGCAAAATTGGTGACTTGGCAGTATTTTCGGAGTGGAATGAACAACTCACCGTTATCGACTGGAATATTGAATCGTACTAACCAAACATTAGCGCTACGCAGTCAAGCACAGCTGTGGCGGTTCTGGAAGACCTAGCCTGCGATGTCAGCCTGGTCCTGACCTGGTCAAACGGCAACTGCATTCGACATCGCGGCTGCCGACTCCCACCCGAATTAGAAATGCATTCCATGGCACGTGATTGACGTGTCTTTTAGAGTGCGGTGCGTCTTGTTCACAATACTATCACTGGCGGGGTTTTTCAAAATGGGTATTGGGTTTCAAAATTCGCTGATCATCATATCGCGAGCTACACACTGCACAAAAATATTCTGTGATTTTAGCCAGTGTTCTCTAGTGTCTTTAGAATACAGCTGTGAAGATCCCATAGAAAACATCGAGCAGTTGTGTTCACAATAAATCATCCATTGACATATGTCACACCACTGAGCGTTAATGATTGTAATGCTACAATCTGTATAATTTTTCAAACAGGAAAAAAACCAAGGGAAACCAATATCTGTCCCTATACAAATGATACTTACCACTGCGATTTCTATATCGCGATTGAATGAGGGCAGAACCATGTTATCAGTGAAGTTATTGAAAGAGTGTATGCTGCACCGTGACTATAGTGCAGCATCAATTATAATCTCCGCTCAAAAACTGTACATGAACACTCGTTCAGATATCGAGATTCAAAATTCTACCGTTGCGGAGCTATAAAACTCCAGTGTGACATTGCTGTGACAAATTTTGAAACAGCTTAGCCAGTCCCTGCCAAACTGACATTGCACAACCGGATTCCTTCCGACACTCGAACATCATCGCAAAAAAATCAGATTTTACCTGGGTGTGATAGAGCACGAAATTTCCCACAGGTCTGTCAAGAAGCGGAAAAAAAAAACCTCTTGACGAGTGTGCTACGCATCAAACATTGAAAACCTTTGAAAAACCCCGCCAGTGATAGTACACAAACGCGACAAAGTAGGATGCATCGTATTATAACCTTGTTCGTTTAACTGTACCAAATGTTGTTGTACTTGGTGTGTTTCATCGATTGTTGGTTGCAACTCGCATGTCATAACAATCATTATTGATATCAGTCACGTGACCGGGAATGTGTTTTGTGTCTCTGCTGCCGGGCCACCACTAGACCTCCCTCTCCATGCTATAAGATCACTACCAGCACCGGTATTGCACTGACCAGTGCCCCGAATCATTCCCTTGAAAGTTTGAACGTTAAAACTTTCTAAGTGTTTCATTTCCGCGAGAGATTGGGAAGAATCTTGCCAGTGCACCTGTACGTCTTGTTGCAAGTAATCACAATCCGCCTGGTCACTTCTTCTAGCCAGATACGCGCGCTCCGAGTTACTTATAATCTAAGATTTTATCGTCGTTCATTTGCTTTTCTCACTCGTTTTCATCTGGTTGTGAGTTCCGCAAAGTTCTCTCCCGATGAACACTTGAATTACTAACTTCATCTCTCCAGTGACAATACCGCGTCGCCTCCGTCCTATACGAAGTACTAAGGTCCCCATCACACGCGTTTCATTATTTAAGTACCCCGTAGGACCGGACACGACTCACGATGGTCAAACCAACGAAAACACCTAAAGGCCAACCGCCGCGCAAGCACAAGAAGCGGCGTCTCTCCCATAAAGATCACTTCGCCCGTCTCATGAAGGAAGCAGTGGAATTTGCCCCCGAAGAAGTTGCTTCAACCTCGTCCTCGTCTCCCGACTCTACTTCAACCACTCAACCCGCTCCCGCCCCCAACTACTCCAATATCCTCCTCATTGAGAAATTCCAGGATGCTCTCGACACTCGAACAGCTGTATGCCGTCGCCTCGAGATCCTCGTGCGGAGCTCAATTTTGTACACACCATCAGCACAAGCTCGTTTGATCAGGTGCTTACGAGATGACTACGTCCGGGGGGACAGAACGCGGAAGGTCATTGACAATCTGCGACATTCTGATTTTATCAGTGCTACAAGCATGGCAAATCAGGATGCAGAATTTATACGGAAAGAAGTTTTGGAGAGCACGAAACTGTTTTTTGAGGGAAGCAAGGAACTGCAGGAAATAGGAGATCAAATCGCAGCACAGTTCTCATAGTGAGTTTCCGTTTCAAGCATAGTGCTGTATTGGTGGGTCTCACTTTCTCTGCAGGTCACGCGTTCCGCATGTTTCTTGATGTCACTTTTTTGCACCAAGTATTGTAGCATATATTCTACTTGCACTGCCCGTAACCTCCTTTCTGTATGCACCATACACCATAATCAAGCCGCAATACTGCGGGCCCGTCGCTTTGCACGACAGCGTGGACCTATCCGAATTGCAACCCAGATCATTGAAGAGCACGCCAGGCATACACCCGCAAGCAGTACGTAGGTCCAACCAGCACCTATCGCGCTGACGATCAGGTCTATGACCGAGACCATTAAAGCACCCAAGGAACATCGCACTAAATTATTCTAAAACGAAGTGATCAAGAACGTTAATAAAATAACGAGATGTAACTTACACATGCCGTAATTGAAGAACTCTGTGATGGTAGTAAATCAATGAGTAGCGTCTGCACACTGATCATAATAGCGGTGACAGTATAACCAACTGTTGATCTGCATGATTAAGTGTGTAGGGGGAAGGAAAGTCAATGACGTACATATAATCTGTAGGATCAGCGGAACTGCGATATTTGTCTTTCGCTCAAGCGACCATCCATAACCAGCGCACGTCAAGACAAAAATGGCGGTAAATATGGGTACCATCCTCAGTCTGGCTCTTTCTATTGGGAAATTCTCCTCCTTGGTCACGTCCTCGGGTCGTATGCGCTTCTCAGGATCTTCCTCAGCCTTCTTCACGAGCCGTGTCTTAGTTCTTTGATAATCAACATCTAGCATCTTGCCGGATACAAAAGTGCCAATGGTCATCCCCCCACCAATCGCCAGGAAACATAATCCTATATCTATTTCGTTCAGGAACGGGTACCTGGTTGCGAATAGCGTGGATATCGTGGTATTCACCGCATAGAAGACGGCGTATAAAATTGCATTGAAGACGAGAAGGTTCAGAACGTCCAGGTAGAAGAAGAGCCGTAGTGGATTATTCAATGTGCGCTTCGGAGGCTTTGGGGCATCACGATTCACACGTCCTTTCCCAACAAGCGGTACGAGGGGACGGTAGAAAGGGGACGGTATCACACTACCATCGCCCACCAGCCGGCGGAGTGTTTCAGGTAGGAACCTGGAATGATATGAATAAGGTCAGAGAAACGGTCTAGAAAATGGATTGCGTACATGAGCATGAGAGCGAAGCACGCGGCGGACATAATACATAGAAACCAGAAGATAGACCTATAACACATTCAGCTGCATTCAAAGCACCAGATAAAAACTTACCTCCATCCGAGTGTATCAGCAAGGACACCGCCGATAATAGGTCCAATAGCAGGTCCAACCTACGCGAGAATTAGAGTTCATAGTGCAATGGAAGGGTTTCGGCAAGTACTTGTGGTCCCACGGTAAATAGGCCAAAAAATCCTCCGCGTTCTGCGGGAGTGGCTATATCTCCGATTACCCCAGCACCTGCAGCTCCGGTAAGGTGAAAAAGTATGGCGACGAAGTTCACACATACCCAGCGCAACTGTACTGGCAGAACCGGCGGCCTGGATGCATCGCAAGAGCATCAATAACCAGTACGCTGAAGTCGGGACCAAAGCCAAGCCGATACAAGATAAACACAGGACAAGGAGACATGCGAGAAAAACAGGACGTCGCCCAATGCGGTCCGCCATGGTTCCCCAGAACATAGGAGCTAATATGGTTTAGAGGTAAGCCATCCTTCAACAGACGGCGAGTCATTCGCTTACAGACGCCTTGAAGGACCATGTAGACAGTCACGCTCAAATTTATTGATTCTATAGACGTGTGAAAAGCTGAAGCAATTGTCGGTATTGCAGGAAAGTACACATTTGCAGTCAGCGGGCTAAAGAGATGTTCAGAACGTCTTTCTGGTCCAGATGCGGATGAAAGCACTGCACCTAAATAATGCAGCCAAAGAGGCGACCACTACAATGAACCATTTTTCCCGGCGAGTGTATATGCTGTATGGCTTTTCTGCAGCCTCCGATCTGCCGTCCTTCAGTTCCTCAGGTGCTTCATGTGCCACGGCGCCTTCTGTCTTGGGGGACTCGGAGGTTGCTGAGTTATGGTGAGTTTGACCTGGGTGAACCATGATCCGTACAACAACAACCCCGCTAGATTGGCAAAGTCGAGGCTTTGCTAAGGCCGGGATGACAAAGGAACTTTGTCAACAAGGCTAGCACGGGACCGTTCACTATTTATAGCTAAAAACGACAAGTCATACGTCTTGACGTCGGGACCGCTGGATGACATCGATGAGCAGTTATTACTAAATTTTAGTCAATTCGACCTGCAAATCGATCGTTCCGACTTTGCAAGCGAGGTCGAGGGCTAGCGCTGATAGCGCTTGCTAATGGGCATGTGAAAAAATGCTAGCTATAGGGTGTATAACGTGTTTAAATACTATTTTGTAGGCTGCCACGTCTTCGGAAGAGTTATTCGAAGTTGTAGCTCCTTCGCTGCCGGCTGAAGAAAAATTGTCCCCGTGAAACGTCGCCCTTCACTGCCGCCAGCTGAAGAACTTGCCAGTACGTCCGTTAAACGTCGCCGGGCTTCATAGAGTGTCCAGAGAGGGAGGAAAAGAAAATAGTCATCGGCTGATGTAGTAGCTACGTGACGAAGTAAGGATGAATAAATAGCGAAGGAATGAGCATGGATTCAAAAGCAACTTCCACTGGCGAGTCGCAGTGGCCGCGTCAAGGCTCGTCGTCACGACCTTCACGACCATGGCAGGCGCAGCAGGACCGCGTCAAAATAGTCACGCCCGCATGACGCATTATGGAGGGCCTAACTTGACACTACTATATATAGCAGGTATCCGGTCATTTGAAACTCTAATGTACTAGAAAATTAGATTACGAGTGTTATGATTGGACCGGCACATCAATGCATCAGCAACAGCAATAGACCCATGCATGCATAGCAGTGGAGAGATGTCGAGCTTTTATCATCGTGATAGCAGCGGGCACCGTTTGACAAGCTATTTGTTCCCTCGTTGGCATGCTGTCTGCTCTCGCGATCGGACGGTAGCAGTCAGCTCATCCTTGCTATCATTGTCATCACTGTATACCTACGTTTCAAATCAGTTTTGACCATAAAAATTGATTAGCAAAACACAAAGGCATTGAAAGTTCTATTACGACCAAAATCTGCGCTCAAATCCACTAGGCTATGTCAGCTTGTGAGATCATACCCCTCCATGCCTCTCCAGGCCCATATCCGAATTCTGACCCATACCCTCATCATCGAATCCATTGCGGAGGTTAGTTTGAATGACCGGATTATGGGATAGAGTCGAAATGGTCTCATGATCGTCTGTGCCGGGTACTTCAGGAGGTTCTAAGTCGAAATGTATGGATGAGGAGTACTGCGAATTTTCAGGTTCTGATTGCGAAGCGCCCATCGGAGCCAGATCGACGTCTCGCTCGCTATCATCTCTTTGCGTTATTTTGTTCCCAATGAACTCTATGCTCTGTTCCCAAGCGGCAGCCAAACAATATAACAATAATCCCAGCATATGCAGCGGTGGAGCGGAGCGACGTATCGGGGTTCGGACGGATCAGGTTGGGAGATAGCGAGGGAAGCAGGTGTAGCATAGGTGTCAGAAGTCTAGGAGGGTTCGGGGTCACGATAGTACATACTACACGCATGTACAGCACTCGGACGATCATCATCATCATCGTTGTCTAGCATCTTCCTTCGTTCGCTCCTGAACATCGTGCCTACCACTCCAGCGGGTGTCTTCCTCTCTTCGTCCGAATCATACCGTTAAAAATCACCATGAATACGACCAGTGCCACGAAACCAACGACGGCTCTGGAAATTGTATCTCCATAAAGCCACCAATCGACCGAGAATGCCGCATAAAAGAAGAACATGCTAACATCTTGTGATCAGGACCCGACCTATTACACTAGGGTGCGAACTCACCCCCACATCAGCAGCGCCTTGGGAAGACTGTAAATGATGGCCAGCTTTTCAAGTCCGTGGTCCTCGTTGTGAAGTGTTGTCAGAAACGATGTCTGAACCAACTACCATAAGAAACATTGCAGATATACAGCAAGATTGACAAACTATTTCTGAGGCTGTATGTTCTCCACATGTTCGATCTTGGGAAACCAAGGACAAGCCGAGAAATATACTTCCCAAGCTCGTCACAACGGACATATAGCTCGCCATCTGAATGACAGATGTACCGCCCCTGTCAACAGTGTTGATAGCCAGAAACCCGACATTGGCATTGAGCAAGACAGTGGCCTGGCTCAACATCAATCGCATGCAAGTACACGCGACGAAAATGGGGACTCGCCATGAGATTGGAGTCATTAAGCTGCCCCCTGAATTTCAAACTGTACGCATCCCACCGGGGCTTGTAGGCTATTTTGTCAGCAAAAATTTTGTGCAATTCTGTGATGTGGGTCTCGAACTCGAAGAACAGGAGGGGCGCGAAAACAAACAACAATAATGATGGTGTGTAGAACCAACCATGAACTGTCTGTTTAAAGGACAGTCTCGCGCAGTCTTCTCCGTGAAAATTCGTAAACCGATTGCGAGCTAGAAAATCACCATAAATTACAGCCAGGTAGGTGAATGAGCTCACTAACCGAATGTATGCATTATCCGGCCTTGAATAACAATCAACGTCGGGAAGATTAAAACACAGTTTTCAAGCCTCACCGATGACAACCGCAGGATGACACTGCTTACTCTGATCCTCGAGGGTATAAACTTTGAGAAATGTGATTAACACATGATTTCTGCCAGCAGGCATTGATGTATCGCACCATTTATGCTGTCTACCAAAGAGATGTAATCCCTGAGCTGGATGAGATCATATGGTGCAGAGGACTGCCTCGACACCATGTGGTCTGATTGTTATAACCGAACGCATTAGGTAAACGGTATTAAGCCTAAGAGACTACCTACCACATGTCGCATACACCAACATATCTTTAACCTCATTGACAAGGTTCTGTGTGACCGAGCACAAGCTAGGGAAGTAATCCCAATGCCTCCTATGTCGCATATTACATTATTTGCACATGGATGGACCTGTGGTTCCATTAGAAATGCAATAGTTGCGTGTATGACACCATGCGGACCTTTTGATTGAACACACCAGTATTGTGCTTGGACGGCAAGTTCTATTTATGAAGACCAGAACAAATTGTCAGATCCTGACCCGCTGAGAACTATCAACCACCCACGTATGTGCGAAAGACTCTCGACGCCTTGACAATTGGATAAAATCTCCTTGGGATTGAACTCATCCAGCCAAAAGAGGGTCCTGTCACGATGATTGACGAAGTAATAGTGAAAAACGACGAAGTTTTCGGAGTTTTTCTTTGGCTCTAGCACAAGGTCTACCTGCTTCATGTCAAGCTGAAGCTCTTCGCGTGTAAGGATGGCCAACTCCAATTCCCGCAGGAAGTAATGCATGCAGTATTCGATGTCTTCGCGTATCTCTTCGTCACAAATATTCATTTCTGTGCACGTTCTCTGCATAGGAGAATTCAAACTCTAAACCACCAGTCTTCAATAATTTGAAAATTGACGCACTTTTTCCAGGTTCACAAAGTAGCGAGAACCTTCTGGATGCACGACTGTGATCCATCCTGGCGGCACATCCATGCTTGAAAAAGTTGAGGAGCGGCAGAAAATGGCCAAAGCGTAGCTTACTCATGCACCGGAAATGTGGCTGTCATAGGAGGGATGGTAATTCTGCAAATGTCGGTGTGCCTTTGGCAAGGTCAGCTCTCGAGCATGGATGGGATAGAAGATTCAAGTTTACCGGGGAATGCGCCTTTCGTACCGCCTGACCCCATCTGCAACCATTTCAGCTATCAATGGGCCGTCATGGAGCGTAAGAACGTCTGAGCCCGGTTGTCCATCGCTGCCGGGGGGGACAGTTAAATGAATATGATGGTCGGCAGCGGGATCTAGTACTGTTCTTGCTCGGGCGAGCGAATTCAATGGAACAGGAACCGTTTCTGAGGGTAGATCCGTGATTGAACTGACGCTAACCGGGCGGAGATGAGAAGGTCCCGTGTGTATTCGATATGGCGTGAAAAAATGTAATCTGGGGAACTCATGGGAGCCTGAAAGGGGCGATATGCCTAAACTGTGCAATCTGTTGCTCGCCGAAATTTCTCCAGTACTAGTCTGCTGAGACAGGGGCAAACTTGACATAGAGCGCGAATGCAAAGGTATCGCTGTATTCTTTCGCAAAGGTGGTAAATGAGTCCCTGGATAAGGATTATCCGAAGAAGAAGATTGTGAATTTCCTGCAACTTCCAGCGACATTGGAGGTATAAGGCTCGAGGAAATGGGTACATCCTCTTCTGCGAAGTCTCCTTGAGATCGCGGGAGAGCTCCAGGGGAGAAGCGAGGTCGTGCGGTAAAGCGGCGAAGTAAGGACAATAATAATAAGAATAAACTCGCGGAGCGGCGTGCAAGCTGTGGAAGCGATTTCTTCAGTGTGCTGAGAATGTGGGCGAGCAATCGCGCTATCATCATGATGAGTGGGGACAAGCAAGGGAGAAAAAAGGCGTGTATGCCATAATTCCGTCGTCTGGTTATCATTGAAGCGCTAACTGGGCGTAAAGTGATGTACTTAAATAAAGTGCTGTGCTGGAAGCCTGGAATTTCGAGAACCAAGCCGCAAGCGTGAAGTTTATTTCAGGAACATGAAGGCCTTCTGATCAAATGTATCGCGTGTGGGGGGATGATACAAGGACCCTCCCATCAAAAAAATGCTTGGGTAAGTTCTTGCCTTTCTTTCGAGTTGCAACTTGCGCGACAGCTGTAAGTCTGTATCTGCCAGGCCATCAGGAAAAACCTCCCCTCCGAAATCGAGGTAATTTTCATGTTTCCGGAATCTGTATACCGAATGTGTTGAAACGTACCATTTCTTCTTCCAGAACCGTTCGCTGGAAGACCACAGCATTGGATTTTACCAGTCTTGCTATGACAAGGCTCACGTAGCGGTTATAAGTGGAAGTTCTGGAATGAGACAAAACGATAAGTGGTCATTAAAATGGCAAGCAAACCTTAGTCAGACTCCTGGAGTGTTTCGTCGACGCGAACGACGAGCTCGGGATATGCAACCAACAGTCCCCAGACGTGCGTCAACGCTAAATTCTGCAGCACCATTGTCTCTCATAGGTTATACGGCGGACCTATACTCAGACTCGCGCAAGCACGGATACCAGGGACCAGTGAGAAATGTCCGCTTACACCGTGCCACCACCAATAGCGGAGGAACGATAGCGAAGAGTGAAGATGGTCTAAGATGCGTCGTTGCAGGACGAGAATGTGAGTCACCTTTGAAATATTCTGCATAGCACGAGATTGGCGCGTTATTAACGCTATCGTTAGCTCTGCGCATCTTGCGTCTGTCTGATCCAGAAGATGTTATCAATAATGACCATAAAGCCTCTTTTGGTCGCGGTGGACATCGTATCGAAGCGTCGCGGAACGTATGGGATGGATGTGGCTTGAAGATCGATAGTGCAAGTACTGATGTTGCCTGGTGCCCCACTTGCGGCCTGCTGGGAGTTTGTCACCACAGATCTTGTTGAGACAACTACACGCACCGTACTTGGCATTGCCAGCCCTGTTGATATCCCACATAATAAGATCCCCATTCCGCGCGCTTGTGAGAATCTTGTTGTTATAGCCTTCAAAGGAGAATGAAGCACTGAATGTCGGAGTATGGGCAGCTGCTTACTGCCATGGTTGCTATAGTGCCAGCGAATGTGTATGTATACTCACAGACGAGGGATACTGGTGGAAAGGCGAGAACTTAGTAGCAAAGCTATCGAGAACACAGCCAAATAGTGTGGTGACAACGATTCAGCGTTTAATTTACAAGACAAAAGTACATACACCAACCACGATGAAATCTCAGTCCGCCTCGGCAACTAGGCCGCCTCTTCCCCGTCTGAGCCTGTCTTCTAAACCACCCACGCCGCCAAAGACTTTCTTCTGTTCTTGGCCCAAGAAGCCACCCATGCCCTTTGACTTTGACCGGGCTTGCTCCTCCGCTTCCAGGTCAGCCTTCTCTTTCTCAAGCAGTGCCATCAGCCGCTGTTGCCGTTCCACTTCCATGCTCGCGGCACCCGACTGCATGGCGGCCAATTTTGCGGCACGATCTTCCGTGGCATTGGATGGCTGCCTCTTGACGGAAGGTCCGGGCCGAGAATCAGATCTCGGAGGACTGTAGCGTGAGCGCTTGGGATATGAGTTACGATGCGGGGGACTAGGACTGCGTCTGCGTTTCCTATCATCTTCTGTGCGTTTGCCACTGCGCTCGATGCTTCTACGCCGCCCATAACCATTGTCGTCTGATTCATCCGAACGGGGCCACGTTCGAACGCCACCGTCAAGAGAGTCACGACCTCTGCGATAGCCAGGAGAGCGGCTTCTGCTTCGTCTCCGATAGTGGCGATCATCGTCAGAGCCATGCCGACGATCGTTTCTCTTGTAATCCTCAACAGGACTCCTCGACCTCGACCGGTCACCTCGTTCCCTGGCTAACCGTTCCTTCTTTTCCTTCTTCTCTCGCTTCTTCTCTTTCTTGTCTTTCTTGGGTTTGATACCATTGCGTTCCTGCATTTCACGAAGACGGAGGGGATTGGACATGAGTGCTTGGTATGCAGCCTGTTCTTGCTGCTTGATAGCGAGCAGCGGGTCTTCACGGATCTTGGCAGCAATGTCTCGAACATTGTTGGCATTCTGAATGGCGATGAAGTTCTTGTGAGCGGCGCCAAGCTACAAAAACAACTTGTTAATCCTCAAATGAAAGCCACAGAGATAACAACACACCTGCGCGTTCTCATCGGCCGTCAAGATCTTGTCAACCCGCTTTTTACCCAGCAGGTAGTCCTCTAGATCATTTGGGTTCTGATTTATCCCTGTCGCAGGTGTCGTATACATCCATTCAAGCTTTTCAGTCCTTCTCTTCCCTGTTTGCTCTTCTTGTAGACGCTGGAGCTCCTGCAGCTGCCTTTCCTCCTCCTTCTCTTTGCGCAGTTGGTCAAGTTTCTTCTTTTCCTCGAGCTATGAAATAAAATCAGCCAAAGATTGATCCCACAAGCACTTATGGACACTCACAGCCTTCTTCTCCTCGAGCCAGACCCGCTCCTGATTTTTAAGCAGGAGCGGGTGCCAAGACTTCTTCATATTCAAGTCTCCACCACCCATCTTAGCTAGATTTTCTTAATCCAAGGTTAAAGGAAAGGTTTTCGGTGATGATGGACAGGGGACGCGAATGGATTGCGTCCAATGGTTGTTAGGTCCAAATGCAAGAGCCATCCTCGCTTACATTGCCTTTATTTGGAGTTGTTTGTGTACACTGCCTATTCTGCCCATTATTGCTGGTTGCACGCAGCAATGAGCCCAATCATACCACAACCATAGTAAAAGACTGCTCTGTCAACCTTGTGTCAACCATGCCAGACGTGTACGAGTCGGCGGAGTCGGATGCCTTGAACGACAGCTCGAGCGGTGCAGCACAACCTGTGTACGTACACACTAAAGTAACGCGTATGCTGGTCTGCTCATGTATTACTTGATACCTGTAGCCCCACGCGATCCATTTATGCGCTGACGCGCAAAGAAATAACACGAGGAATTGCGAATCGCTTTGTGCACTCGCACACGTACATATTTCTCTACTTGTCTATGGCAGCACTGTCCGTAACAACCGTCGTGCTCAGTCTGTCCGACGGATGTCCAGGGTTGTCGTTTTATATCTTGGAGATAATAATTAACACGAGCATGATCTTGGAGGTCGGTGTGCGTTTGGTTGCGTTTGGTCGGGTGCGTATTTGTTCATCCCTGATGTTTTTGGTCGCCGGGGTGACCTTGAGATGAGCAGCAATTCTGGAAATCACCGTTTAATGTGTTGGATCTTATACTCACCTTGTTCTGTGTGATCACTTTGTTGGTGATAACATTTGCAGGATGTGGAGCGGGGAGTAAGGAAGAAGAGTTGTTAGACACTCTACTGCTTATTGCACGTAATGTGCTACAATTCGGCCGTCTAGCAGCAGTCATGCGACAGTGTGTTTCACATCTTCACTTTGCGCCTCCTATATTAACCTCAAAGACAGGTCCGGCCAGTCCATCTTTTCCAGGCCAAAACCGATCGATATCTCCGCAGTCAGGAGAGCAGGCTATACTAGCCTCGACCTTGATTTGGAAGACGACAACGAATATGATGATGATCCAGAACTGGGTCGACCGCTGGTACAAGATGTAGTATTATTTGATGCACAAGACGAGGAGCAACCCGCTCGCATGTCAGATATGCCACGCGCTGCGCAGGCTGTGTACGACCGCGATGATGAGGACGTCTGGGCGGAGTTGGGTTGAGGCGAGAGGCGATCCACATTCTGTGTCCTTATATATTCCATTTCATTTTCTGCGACGCACTCTACTCGGACAACCTTGCCATTAATTCTATCCTCGCAACTTGCTTTTTCGAAATGGGATCTAGGCCAAAGCAACGGTCGGCACGGATTATTCCGGTCGGTGCCATCTAGCGATCTCCACCTCAATTCGTCGTTCGATATGGCAGGTCCGACTTATATTGCGATACGGCGGCTATCAGACGTGTTGAAAAGTTACACCCACTTGACATGGTTATATCGTTATCATGGTTGACGGAATACTCAGATGAGTACTCACGCCTCATCCTTCTCGTCGTGGGCGCATTCTTTGGTACTTCTATGATATGCACACCGAATATTCTAACGCTCATTATAACGTAGATGACCAGCGGCATATCAGCGGCACCGTGGTAAGTCGCTCGCGACGGGAGCCGACGTTGGACAGCCTGTGACCTCATTTCACCTCATGGCTGATCATTTCATGAGCAGTAATGAACTTGGTTGCCACGTTCTCACAGGTCCAGCATACGTATACCACAAGTCAAATTTGAGGTTATGCATGTGGACCTACCACGTTATTCGCTGAATCAATTTCAGTGCGGCAAATCTGCGCTAAGAGATTATTTGACCCTATGATCTTCCAACTAGGTCGAGTTTTCTCAGAGACCCTGCACATGGTGACCAATATCGAAGTCTTTGCAAAGCTTCCTTCCGTGTTACGATGCAACCATCGCCCCAGCGAAACGGCGTTATTCCCTGGTGATGCGGCAGCGTACACACGGATATACATGAGCATGCCGTCTCTGATGAAAGATGATCAAAATGTGTCCAGAGAACTGATTTCATGAGACACTTTGCGTATGACGATCGTGTGACATTCTGTGACAGAACGTTACGGAAGGTTGTTACGTGAAGTCAAAGCGTCCGTTTGCCTCCGCTTGTCCGACAAAATATTACACGGTCTCTACGGAAATCAAACGTTCTGATTGCTTTACTAGTGCTTGCTTTTTTCACTCCTTCAATCATCTGCTCCTGCGGCAGGAACTTCAAGGCAGCAGCAGTGTATCACTGGGATTAATGTCCTCCGTCCTTTCAAGTCTGCTTGTATTCTAACAATCAAGATTATTACCCCTCAGGACGCTCTCGCTGTATAATTTATACGCTGGCAGGGCATAAGCAAGCCCTCACATTCATTTATTTCTCCTCATGTCTTCCGCCCGACATTGGTTTTCAAAACGTGTCAATCATTCAAATCCAAAATCCCCCACTTCCAATGATTTCGGCTGTTCAGTATCCACTGAAAAACTCCCAGTGCATATCGAAAATTCAAAGAATTCAGATAGCTTCAAGTTCAGTCCTTTTGCGTCTGTCATGGGCAGAAAGTCCAAAAAGCCGCGTCCGACTTTAGCTATTCCTGATTCTCCAGTACCATCGCTCGTTTCTACCTCTGCAGTCCATTCATCTCCTCATCAGTACACTAATAGACCTTCTGCAAATTCCATTTCATCCACTGTCCGCTCCGGAGACGACACCCTCGAACCTAGGACCCCACCTGATATTCATAGAGACCGGGTTTCATTCCCCCGCTCGGTTTTGACACTATCGGACCCTGATCCTTTCGCATCAGGCGGTATCTCTCTGCCCCGAAGCATCTTAGACCGGGGTGTACCGTCCGTCTACTCCAGCACTTCGGGATATGATGTGTATCCAAATAAAGACGAAGTCCATTTTTTGCATCATCCATCGCATCTCTCGATGTCCTCGCTGTCTCACGGTGGCAGTAATGCGACGCCGTCATTGGAATCTGCTGGGCCTTGTTTGTCTCCTACAGCAGACGGCCGTGGCACATCGCCTAGGTAGGGACAATTAGCTCTTGCAGAAATTTTCGTCCTCAATTTCCCCAGTAGAGATATGTTCAAGAGAAACGAGATAATAGACGAGCAGAGAACCCTCGAAAGCCCTGTGCATTGCAGCTCTTTGGATAAAATGTCAAAGCATGGATCTGCGGTAACCTTGACTGATCAGAGTCACAAAGGTCCCCCAGATTCTCCTGCTGTTGCACGACCCACAATTTTTCCAAAGGGTTATACAGCGCCCAGCCCGTTCCAGGGTGTAAGCGCCGTCTCTCGGCCTCGAAAAGGATCCGCTGCTCCGCCCGCTGAAGTTTATGTGCGCTCTCGTACCCTCAGCCGTCAGCAATCCACCTCTCGTCCTGCTCCGGCTCGCGAACTTCCCCCACCACCCTCGACGTCACATATCACATCCGCCCCCGCGGACTGCGGTGCCGAGGACAAATTTCCGTTATCGGCGGGGAGTTCTTCTTCCGGCATATCATCCGCTTCAGCCAACTGGCGGATCCAAGACCTAGCAATTGAGGAAATTAATGAACAACGTTATCGACCATATAAAGAGACCGGCCTAGGCTTTGATCGCAACTTCGAAACTCAGCGTCAACCGGTAAAGGAGTCAAACTACATTCATGTCACAGGTGTCACGGGATCACCACCGCCGCCAGCTTTCCATCAGCTGAAGAAGTCTATGTCGCATTCAACCCTGCAGAAGGCCAAGTCAGGTTCCAGCGGTACGCAAGATTTCCTCAGAGGAGATAAGGGATTGAAGAAACAACACTCCTTCCATCGTTCACGTGTCCACACACCCCCTACGTCTACACCAGCCTCCCCTTCTTCACCACCCAATCACGATCCTTCATCAGTTGAAAGCCATCAACCACCTCTCCCACATCCTTACCCTGTCGTGCAAAAACGTATGTTCTCGGGCTCTAGGAAACCCTCAACGGCAATGACAGAGGAAGATTTACGTTCGGTATTCAGTCTTCCAACAGAAGCAGGACGCTCCTACTTAGCGTCACCCAGAGGTGTTGTGTCCCTCCTCGATGAGCCTTCTTCAGAACCGCTTGCATCTGGTATGGTATTCCCAGCTGCGGAGTTTACGCCGCAACATATCATGTCCCCCGCGGAAATGCTGAAGGTGGAGGCAATTGTGCAGGGTGAATTTGACGCGAAGTACGGAGAGGCTCTACGAAATCCTCAGCGTTCCACATTTGCGTCGACGCCTATGTATGGTACCATGTATACAAAAACAGGCCTGAGGACGGCTCCGTCGTCTTTTCCACGTTCAGCCCCCACTCGCAGCACATCGGATGTTTCCAAAGGACCTACGCCCAGATCATTTCCACGTCCCTCCACTGCACAAGCGGTTTCTTCGACGTCGATGCGACATTCATCATCCACCAAAGATGGTCTATCGCCCCCACCACGAACTCGTCCACATACCGCCGAGACGATGTACCATGAAGATTTGTTTAGCAGGCGATCAAGTAATGTCCCATTCATCCCTTTATCGCCGCCCCCTCCGCGCCCGAAGCGTGCACTTCGAATACCATCATTCCTGGGCGACACAACGGTACCGCAACGATCCGTAATTCGGAAGCCCTCCTTTTTGGAGATCGCAGATGATTCCCATAACTGTGAAGGCAGCTTCCTGGATTTTGACAGCGGTAAAGAGTCGCTCGACCTCTCCCGGGATTTCGACTATGACGAAGAAGATAGGAATCCTTTCCCCATTTGATGCAGTCATTTCCCGATAGACACGTTCTTTTAAATTGATTATTCAGTCCATTATTGTTACGCTACTTACCTTACTGCTCGAATATTAATATACTGACACACCTTCAAGGCATTGTTTTAGTAGTTCAAGCAGTACTCCAGTTTTACCGCTCCCCGTCCTTACCCCTACCAACCAATATTTCAACGGTCCCTTTTTGTTACCGTCGCGTACTTTGCCTATATGTTTTCGCTGGCAGAAGTGTTCGACCAAGGATCCTTGGGGAGTGAATCATGTGGTGTGGTTGATCTTCCTTAACGATTCCACAAAAATTCCACAAGCAAGTAAATTAGAAGGATACTACCTAAGTGATACATCATGTTCCGATTGTCCATCAGTCCGTTTCATCAGTGTGATAACCCGCACGCCTCATCGCGCCCAGACGATGTCTCGCTGCGCCAAGGTCCTTCTCCAGTTTCAAAATCTCGACCTGCTGCTCCATCTCGCGTCTCTTATACTCCAATACGGCCATGTTTTTGTAGTCCATCTCCTCTTCAACTACTTGCTTCGCTGAGACTGCCTTCACTTGTCTGACAAGCGCTTTGCATGCTTCCGTCACCGCTTTCGCAGCAAGCTCGAGGCGCTCCTGAGTCTTAGACATCAAGTTGGCCTTGACACGAGAGGCTGCTACGAGTTGAGCGGTGGCTGCCGCAACCTCATTCGAGGCCACGATCAGCTGTTCAAGAGAATGTGTGCCTGATAGGACACCGTCCGCGCTCTCTATCAAAAGACCGGTAGCAAACGCCACAGCTTTAGCAGCTGAAATAAGACCCTCCGTCCATCTGTTGTTCCGCTTGTAGAACTGCTGGACTGAGCTTGAGCCCTTGCCTTGAGCAACGATTTCTTGCTGAGACTCTGTGGCGGCCTTGATGAGTCTTGCGATGGCACTTGTGATTGCCATAGCGGCGGACAGGATAGAGTCGTGGACTTGCAGATCGACTGCGCTGAACCGTGCAGAGTCGCGTGGCCGAGACATGAGCTCCTGCAAACGCCGAGTAGCAGCTTCTATGGCTGCCGCAGCGCTCTGCATTTCTTGCTCGACAATGTCACCAATATCGCCGTTGGCCCGTGCCAAAGCACTACCCTTGGTACCTTTTGGTATGAGCGTGTCGACGACTTCCGAGAGGCGGGTGAGGGCGGTTCGCGCTTCACTGTTGTTGCGCATCGAAACTTCCTTCCGCTGCACGGGTTGCAGAAGATCAAGCTTGTAGGATTGCAGGTTCAAGAAGAAGCGCAGGCCAACGTCACCGGCGCTCTTAGCTACTGCAACGATCTTGTCCGAGGCATCGTCGTCGTTAGCGAGTCGCGTGACGCCTTTGCAGTTGATGAGAACATCTGAAAGGACCTGTGCGAACTCATTGGCGCCCTTAATGACGTCGACGTAATCCCCTCCGACATCGCCGCTGAGGTGAAGATTAAAGACCATTGCGAAATCCGTAGCGTTATTGATAGCCTTCTCGATCATTGACAACGTGTACTCGGGTGTGGAATTGATATTGCCAGCTTGGGTGGGTGACTCAAGTTCGTAAATGGCGTCATCAACTTTCTGCACGCAGGCCTGCAGGATTGAATCTGGGACACGAGTGAGCTTGCTGGGAGGTACATGTAACACTCGAACGATACGAACCAATGACCTGGTTGAGCTTCTTTCGGTTGTCGAGAATAAGGGTGTCGATTTGGGCATTAGTTGCTTCATCGTTGAGGCCCTGGTTCTGCAAAGATACCGTCAACATCAGTAAATGTAAGGCTGGGACGCCAACAGACCTGCTGTGCTTCAGAAAGCGATTGGATTGTGCTATCCATACCCTCTTGAAGAATCAAGATCTCTTGATCCTTCTCATCTCTGAGACGCTCCATGTCACCACTAGCGTTGTTGAGTTTAATGAGCAGGTCATCAATTTGCATTTGCTTGGCCTACAACAACATATTAGAGAAATCGGAGGGGATGAGCATAACATACCCGTAATGAATCCTCAAGCTCTGTGAGCTGACGGTTATACTTGCCCAACACACTCGATACCTCCGAACTCTTGGAGCGTGTGGCATCCTCAGCGCGCTCGTTCGCAAAATTGATCTCACGGCGCAGGCGGTCGATTTCGTCTTTGTGCGAGGATTTCTGGCGATCGATATCAAAGCGTGCCCGGTCGCGCTCGCGAATCATATCAGCCAGTTCTATATTTTTAGCTTTCAAGTCGCGTTCCATACGCTCCATGCGGTCTACGGCTTCCTGCGCTGAATTAGCCTTGAGTTGCAGTTGCTTGAACTTGGAAAGCATGTCCAGGTGCTCGGTCCGTAGCTGGCTGTAGAGTTTTGCGAGTGCTTCATATTTGTTCCGCCAAAGGGTCACTTGGTCTTGGAGTTGCTTGATCAATTCGTCCTTCGATGCCATTTGTGCGTGGATGTTGGACGTTACTCCGCCGAGCTCGCCCTCAAGCCCTTTCACTCGCTGTCGAATTTATGAGCATGCGGAACAGAAGTCACACATACGACTTACTTGATCGTATTGTTCCAGAAGCAGCTGGTCTCGCTCGTACTGCCCCCTCATAGCCAGCAGCTCGCGCTCATAATCACTGACCTGCTGAGCAGCTTGGTTGTTGTACTGCATCATCTGCTGCTGCATAAGTTGCTCCTGTGCAAGGCGCTCCCGCTCTGCCTGTTCCCGTTGCCGTTGTTCGAAATCACGCTGCTGTTGTGCCTCGAGGTCCAGCCTCTGACGTTCTTCAGCTTCACGTTGTGCGCGTAAAGCAGCCTGCTGGTCTTCATATTGTTTGAGCAGACGGGCCTGCTCATTAACAACAGCTGCATCAGGTGCAGGTGAAGGTGCAGCTGGGGGAGGAGCAGGTGAAGCAACGGCAGTTTTGGGTCTTGCAGGGAGGTCAGGAGCACTTCCAGTATCCAATAGGTTCGGAGGTTCCTATCCGGGATATCAATTTGGGACATGGCGGGAGCCGTCATAGCGTACCTGACCCAGTTTAGGAACATTGATCAAGCCGGTCAAATATTTGAGATTTGAACACTCGTAGTAGAATTTTCTTAAATTGTAGTGCTGCGCGTTGAACCGCTGGCGGAGGGGTTCCAGTGCGTCGTGGTCATTCGTTCCTGAGAAGTCGATCAGCTTCAACTACACAATGTTGTGACGTCCTTACTTCGGTGCATGGCGCGAAGCATGCTTGTGATGAATCGATATATACCCCAACTTTCCTTGACCAGGGGCACCAATGCAGAGATACGACATTCATTGTTGGCAGAATGCCTGAAGTGAGAGAACACCATCCGCTGGAACGATTCGATTTGGTCCTGAAGGCCCATGAGGTCGGAGATGGTTTCATAACTATTCAAGTTGTCGATATGTATTGCCATCCATCTGGTGACAAGTGAATTACTCACCCCTCATTGGGGTCATCAATGCCTTTCAAAGAAATGTATTCCTCGTATTCAAACAATCCGTTAAATTCTGGTCTCAGGCGGTGGAAGCGCAATTTGGCCAGAATAAACTGAACATAGGTTTTGATTAAGGCCCCATAACCTATGGACAGGGTTACATGAAATAGGTGACTCAAAAACAGAAGCCTTACCACGTTGACCCTCTGTGGCAACAGTCCTGGCGCAAGTCTCCAACCATCCCGCTTGGCCATGAGCCTCTTTGATTGTCTAAAGGAGAACCGAAAGTTAGGTGCTGGCAGCCATCGGTGAATAAGCTACACACCACAGGATGACCTTCCTGCAATACTTTGTGTACAGTAATGAGAGCCTTGAAAGATTGAACTTCGTCAGACAAGATAGGTTGCACTCGTAAACCGCTCCAGAAAGATATTGAACTATGGTAATCCCAAGTGTAAACGATACATTCTTCGGTGACGTTAGGGAGACTGCTGATTGAGAATAGAAAGTCGGACACGTACTTCGGACATGCTTCTGCTTCGGAGCTGTCTCCTCTGGGCTTGTAGCTTTCTTAATATTGATCACAAGCTCGTTCTCTGCCTTGTCCTTGTCGACCGGCCTGGTGGGGTAGTGGACCTCATCACCATCAATATCGAAGTTCGGACGTCGCCTGGAAGACCTGCATGATCTGTGTTATGAGTTGTTTTAAGATCGTGACTTGGTCAGTTTCCACGTACATGTATGCCCAATACCAATAATTAGATTGAGGAGAAGGAACAAATGAACTTTGGAACTCTGACCAGAGAAAGCGCAGCCGTGTCAGCAGCCGTGAGAATTGAAGCCTACTTAGTAGTAGTACTAGTACTAGTAACAGGCTTCTCTTAAAAACATGCTGCAGCGGTTGGCTGCGTCGAGGTCAAGATGGCAGGCTACTATCATGAGATCGCGTCGATGGCTTCACAGCGAGGACTCACAGGCAGCACATTCTTATACCGCTCGCAAGAATTCTTGGTATAGCCCGACAATATTCGTGCTAGGATTTATTCCGATTTTCACCTTCGCCTTGGGAACTTGGCAAATGCAACGTTTACAGTGGAAAGTTGCCTTGATAGACGAGCTTCAGGAAAAACTTCATCGAGAGCCGATCTTTCTTCCCAAACGAGTAAAGTGCGTACATCAAAGCATCATTACAGAGTCGAGGCTGAGTAGGTCGCCGAGTAAGTCTGTCTGTCGTGCCAGAGTTTGTCTATCGTCGAGTGTTGCTCCGTGGTAGATGGGACCATAAACACTCGATGCTTCTAGGTCCTCGCGTCCTCGAGGGCTCGCATGGATATCATGTTGTCACACCATTGATCAGGTCTGACGGATCAACCATCCTCGTTGACCGCGGTTTCATTGCAAAAGAGTTCGCCGATAACGACAACTTTGCACGAGGAGAACCAGGCGAGGTCGAAATATTGGGGATGTTGAGGACATCGCATACCCGAAACAACTTTACCCCAGACAACAAACCAAGTGAAGGAACATGGCACTGGGCTGACGTTGAAGCTATGGCAGACTATGCTGGTGGCGAAGCCGACCATGTGCAGCCTGTATTCATAGAACAGATTTATGGTACGCACTCGAGTCTCCGATTGGTTCCAGCGATCTATATTAGTTTTCAGAGGGCTCCTCTCAGGACGCTGCGTTGCGCCTGAGTAAGGGTATACCACTTGGACGCGCAGCCACTGTTGACGTTCGCAACGCTCATCTTTCATATGTTATCACTTGGTTTGTCTCAGTTCGAAACTGCATATGCAATCGGTATCCTGATGAGCTATAATAGGTTTTCTCTCTCTGCCTTCACTACAGCTATGTTGGCGCGACTTGTCATGAAGCGAAGAGTTCAAAATCGCGCCCGTCCACTACCAAGGTGATGGACATTGTACAGACGAGCACTGCAGGCCACGAGCTATAGTTTGCCAATTCCACATTATAACTCTCCACTCATCACACCTCGTTCAGTGTGAGATAATCAAAATAGAGTTCCTTTCTATGTATTGACGTGAACACTGGTGGAACAATGACTAACTGTGGGCACAAGTACCGGCCACTACATGCACTTCACAAGGGTGCTGCATCTTCGCAGGTCTGTGGCAATTTACATGCCTTTGTGCCACTAAAGTGTTGCATGTGTTCTCCACCGCCCACTAGTGAGTTACCACTGTTCAAAGATGTGGACCATCATTCAGAAGTTGTGGATGGATGCCACTCGCGTGTGCGCTTGCCATTGCTACTCACCTACTTAAATTCCCTGTTTCTCTGCAACCCTGTCATCATATCCCACACCCTCCGGTTTATCATATCCATCCCTCTGTTATTTCTATATCATCTGACCGCTACCATGTCTTTCAATACTGCTGCCCAGTACGGCTATCCTTCGGTTATGCCACCCCCATACCCGGGTTGCTATGAACTACTTCCCCCCCGTCGGCCGCGCACTTCCACGGTGACACAAGATACAAGTACTCAATGGCATCATGACGCACAGCGAATGCCAGGATTACACGCGACAAACAACTTCCAACCACCTGCGCCCAGCAGGGATTACTCATGCGTGCGGAATCATACCGAGGTTCAGAATGATTGGGCTATGGCGGCCAGAGAGCAAGGTCTGTCTATGTTTTCACTTGTTCATAATATGTTTGCCTAATCTGATGACGGAATTTAGAGTTGGCGTGTCAGCTGCAAGTTGAGCGTTCTTCCAATTATCAGCAACACGCTCGTGAACGTAAGGAACGCAAACGCGTCTCGTTTGATACGGGTCGAGAGCATCGCGCGTCTGTTGACAGAAAGCACGCTCGGCATGAATCTGTCGATCGCGAACGAAGGTGCCGTGCGTCTCTTGACAGACATCGAGAAAACCCTACATTTCTTGATTATGAGCGAGAATGTCGTCCATCTGTTGACCGCGAGCGACAGCAATCCATTGATCGCGAACGAGAGCTTCGTGCATTTATTGACCGTGAACGATATTTTCGTGAATCCGTTGATCGCGAACGAGAGCGTCGTGCTTCCATTGACCGGAGACACGGTCTTTGCGTTTCAGTCGATCGTGAGCGCCACACGTCGATTGGACGACATCACAAATATCAATCTGTTTCTAAGACGTTTCCCCGTCCACCAGTGTGTGCTGTCTCCTTCAAGCCTCCTACCACGGGTCCCCAATGTCGTCGTACTCGTCGATCTTCGTTTGACTACGCGACTGCTCGTGACTACTCTGGTGAACGTCATCCCGTTTATGTTTTGCCTCCACCTGGTGCGTTTCATGGTTCGGTGCAAGGCTTGTTCTAATTTTTCCATCCTTGACGTCAAGCTCTGGCTCCCCAAGTACATCTGCCTCCACGACAACGCGACCGCACCTCGATGGAGGCGGTTCGTCGCCTTCCTTTCCCTAGCACGGAGGTCCCTCAGGTTGAACGGTCTACCGAGTCGTTGGGGCTATCCCGCTTCAATCCCTTTAACAGGGTGCGCTTTGCGTCAATGTCTACTTCGCAGAAGAAGCCGTCGATGCTCGAACTACCAAAGGTCTACTCCAATCGTCTCCGCCGCAAAACTGCTGGTCGAGCATGATCTTGTTTTGTGTCCCACATTGTAGTAATTGAATACATCAATATTAGACTCGCAAACTACATAGACTACTTCCCCAACATGATATATCCATCACCATAGACCATAGAACTTTAGATTGTATTGTGTACCCCCTGACCTTCGTTATAATCACACGGAAAAATCTTGGCATGTATATATCACTTTGTTTCCATACAAAGCAATTCCTGATGGCCAACCGCACTGAAATCCGCTTCTGCACTTCATTCCTTTCGTAACGTTAGCCCCAGCTTGCTTTGAACTCAGCAAGTGAATGGCAGAACCAGACCCGGGTTCTGCTCTGTCTACAAGCTTCAGTCATACAACAACTCCTAACCACAACACTTCACCCCTTCCTCGCATCCGCTTTCCAGACCAGTTCCTTGCCGCATCATCTCATGGAGAGTCATCACGTTCATCCATGGGGTCTCCTGGTCTTCCTACCACACCAATAACGCCAGACGCGAAAGATCCAGGTGATAGAAAAGGTCATCTTGTTTCCAAGGACGTCACTCCTGGGATCCTCCCTGAGATATCTCCCTCGAAGAGATTTTCATCTCGCAGCGCTGAGTTGCGACGTAGGTCCAAGAGAATGAGTCAAAGTAAAGGCTTGTCTGCTCTCAAAGACCCTTTTGTCGCTGAGTTCGAACCATCGGCTTTCTCAGACGAATATGACTTGTGTGAGTCCCATGTTTCTCCTTATATCTTAATACTAACAATTCCCATTCATAACGTAGCTCATGAGGGCAAGTAGAAAAGTTGTTAGCTGTGTGACTACTCATGAACGTCTTCATCTAGACCCCAAGATTCTTCAAGATGTTCAGCGAGCTTTAGAACTGCAATCTCGAAGGCGAGATCGCAAGTCATTCACCCCGTCGCAGCCAACTGTAATAGAAGGTCAAACTCTTGCCGAGCTGAGGCAGGATACATCTTTCCAACACTCTCCTCCAACATCTCCGCAAACTTTCACTCATCCTCATACTCCTTTGGACATTGATTTTAGCCCGTCTGTCCAGGCAGTTCCCCTTCACCCTGTCCCAGTTTCTTCGAATGGCGGTGCTACTTTGGACTGGACTGGGTCCCAGTCTGACGAAGAGAGATTCGAAAAACGCTGGACTTTGAGCAAACGTAAAGGCAAAGACAGAGCCTCGTCTTCAAACAAAGCCGTATTGGAAAAGCAAGATACTCTTTTTGCGGGTGAGTTCTTGGAAACGGGTGCCACATAATCACATGCTTATGCAGTGCACAGATAGGATTTCTAGGATTAGATCCAAAGCGAAACAGCCCACATTCCGCAAGGCGGCTATTGTTAGCGACCAATTAGGACGGAGGTATAGCCTTGTTTATAATTCCCTTTCGAACGAGGACCCCATCAACCTTGCGAAGGCCGCGCGGTGGTACGCTGGCTCTGATCCGGGCGCGCAAGCCTGGCTAGATAGCGCTGAACCACTCACTTGGCTCAAACACCTTTTAGACAAACATGGGGGCAGACGATCGAAACGGCATTTGTCGGCGTTGATCGTGGAAGAATATATCAAATCCGATAGGATAGATTCTAGTCTCGCTTTCTCTCGTGACGATTCTACCTCTGCTCGTGGAGGATCACTCCCTTCAGATGTGTCACTAAGCATTCCTTCATATCCATTTCATCCAATCAGATCCTCCCCCTCACTACATCATTCTTTGGGAGATTCACTCAGAAGAATACGCTCCTCAGATGGCCAAATATCATTTGAGCCCAGAATTGACTCTACACGCAGCTCGATAGACGGCGACTACAAGAGCGGTGATGAAAAGAATCGAGGGTTGCGCCATGTTTTACCGGCTCTCGTTGATGCTGCCCACAGTATCACATCTACTACATCCCCCTACCGTCGTCAGAGTTCTCCAGGCGGACTTTCGCCAACTAGCAGTCGGCATTTTCCATTTGCTCAACGGATACGACGTCGGCAGGTGGAGAGTGATGAAGGATCTTCCTCTGTCATTCACTCACAGTCAGACGACTACAGTGGGTCGCTCACTGGCATTAGTGGTCATCGTCGCAAGAGGCGCGATCGGAGGCAGCCTCATGCACCTTCATCATATCTACAGTCACCCCGTGAGTCGGGGACAGAGACCAATGCTCCCGGCGAGACGTCGGATGTACATGAGGCGACTTCTGCACCTGTGGAGGATCCTTTGCCCTCTGAGCTGGCATCAGAACATGGGGTTGAGCCGCTTCCTAACAAGCTTGAATCTGAGGTTTCTGCTACTCCACCACGAGTAATTCCACGTCAGAGACTGATCCACCGGATGTCTCTCCCTGTCCCCGACGTAGCCAAGAGAGAACAACAAAAGCAGCGAGAAGAAGCTGGGGAGGAAGAACTAGAGCATGAATATGAGATGAAGTCGCAGTACGTGTTTCTTTTCAATTTGAACACGTCTATAGCTTAAAGGGTCGATAAGGATGCTAGATGACCTTAAGGCGCAGAACCATCGGGTGCGCCAGAAATTACAAAGGATCGCTGCAGAGGTCCGGGAATACGACAACCTACAGGCAAAGCTGGCCAATACACATGGTATTCCCCGTCGCGGCCTGCCTCCAGAACTTCTAGAAGCTTTTAACCAGGATCCTTCGTCTGTCACTGGCGGGACCCGGGAACGGAAAGGGTGGAGGGCCGTTGAGGACGTACATAATCGCATTCTTCGGCAACAACAGATTTTCAAGATGTACCTTTCCGTTGCCGACAAAGAAGTTGTGCCAGATAGCTTGCTCGATGAGCCTATATCGTCGCTTATGGACACACTGAGTGAACTAGGACATAAGAGGGAGGCCCTGGCGCACAAGCAGTTGGAGGTGGCTAGCGCTCTGGCTAAAGTCAAGAGTCTGCACACCCAAGTCAAGAAGGAGTACAACAATGCCCTCTCGCGCACCTCACTTGCATACCCAGAGGTAAGGTCAAATTTTCAATTGTTTCGTCAAAAATACTGAGCATCTTCTAGCTGTCTCAAATCATCGCACTAGAGGAAAGCTACAAGGATCAATACCAACATATCTGGGAATTCGGAATGGACGCTTTAACGTTTATCCTCGATAATGTCGCACCGGTTTGGAGAAATTACGGGAGAACCATCGGCGAAGATATCACAGAATTCCTCATCATACCCTGGTACCGGAACGAGTTCACGGGAGAGCCGAAGCGGTACGATATCGCTTCGTTTCCTCGCCGCTCCATCCGTCACTGGTTTGCATTATTCTTCCTCTTTTTGTTCACACTGGTCATCACCTATCTACAAATGCGCGCAGCCATCTTTTGCACATTCATGTACAGGCATCCTTGGATCGACAATTCGGGGTTTCGATGGTTGATCATGCCGTGCATATGGATCGCTTTCATCATTCATTGGTCTGCAGTTTTCTTCGAGGTTTGCATTGTTTTTCTGCAGCTTAAAGTCGTTGGTTGGTGGTTGGGTTGGTCAATGGGGCTCCTCACCTGAGCTTCTATTCTGCTAATTATGTATCTGGGATCTCGGATTATGGACCATTTGCATCACTGTAATCGCATATCACAAACGCACGTATTTGATGTACACATAATTATCTTGCTAATGATACCTAACTCTGCTTGGCATCGGGCGTCGGCACATTACTCGTCTGCTCTGTCGCTTTAGGATACGGAACAAAAACCGTATGGGTCTTTGAAAGAGTAGCGGACTGATGTCGGCCATCTGGAGTATGTGACATGCTGCCTTGCCTAGAGGCCTGTGCAGAGGATAGGTATGTGTAACGGCTACTGCCTACTTGCGGTATGTCATCTATTGCGCAGCCAGCTTCAACACATGGACGACAATATCCTAGATGTCAACATCGATGTTAGTGCGGTAGTTCCAAATCCCATAGTAAGAGCGTGAAAACCTACTTCCGCCCATGATTAGAGGGACGTCTGTTTGGCCGCAAGCAAAGCAAGCTATCTTTGGTAACGGCGTGGGTTTCGGCTGCGTTTGGCGCTTTTTCTTTGGTGGAGGTGGAGCTGGCTCTCCACTTTGTTGCGCAGAGCCTGCCTCCCGAGGTGGAGGTGGAGGCTGAGACTGGGACTGGGGCTGGGACTGAGACTGAAACTGAGACTGGGACTGGGACTGGGACTGAGGAGGTTTACGAGGTGCGGCCTTGCGTTTTGGTTTATTGCTGCTCTCAGCGGCTGACCTGAGGAGCTTCGTAGAGAATGATGGAACTGCAGCCTGCGGACGGTTACACTCAAAAGAAGAATTATAATTGTAGTGTGCTTACGTTTTGAATTTGCACCAGCAGAGAGCTCTCCGCCATTCTATGTGCCAAGTAAACGCGTCGAGGTGTATTCTTGATGCGACAGATATAAAAAGACTGTACGTCACAAAGACGGAATGCTCACAATAGATTCGAGTATCTTGCGGTTTTCCTCTGCCTTGTCTTTAGAGCCGATCCACCGTAATATCGAATCCCATACGGGAACGCCTGCCCCGCTGAAAAGAAAAGTCACCACTTCCTGGGGTTCCGGTGTCTTCGATCGAAGTTGTCCATCAGGTTGAGATTCCAAAACTACTTGAGTCCGTTGTTCAAACGGAACACGCGTAGACAGAGTAATTTCGCCATAGCCTCCCATTGAACCCGGCGCAGGAGTGAAATTCCCTACGGCAGGACCACGAGGGAAGATCCAACGGTCCGTAGGACACTCACGGAATTCAATTACGATATCAAAATCCTTGGTTTGGTAGACAGGCTGTATAGAGGACGCTGCACCATTTGCCACAGCTGTTGCCGTGTTCTGTGCCTGTGCAGACTGCATTGAAGTAGCATCTAAGTTCACCCCGGATGAAGATGCGAGTTGCTGTATCGTTACGCCAAGGTTTTTGAGTTGGTCCATGGATGCGTGTCCTGAAGCGGCCAATTGCAGTAAGTTTGCCAATGTCGGATTGGAGAGCGCAGCTGCGTTCACTTGGTTGATAAGGGTCGGCGGAATACTAGGAGAGTTTGGCAGTGTCGAAAGGGGAGCGGTAGATGGTCCTTGTGAGACAGAATTGTTAGTACCTGGTTGTTGCGCATAAGCAGGTCCGGGTGCTGCGTGTACAAGGACGGGATGATAGTGAACTTCAAACATGGTGGTTTCCGTGAATATGTGAGGACCAATCTCCAAAGTGCACCTGCCGCGATTGTACATCGTATGCGGCGGAGGAATAGCATCTGCGGGCTGTCCTCCCCTTGAGCGGCTGGAGAATTTTGGAAATGTTGAACGCAGCCATTTCTCTCGTGCTGTAGATAGTTGTCAGTCTGTGTAGGGAGAACACCAATGCTATCATACATTGCTTGAGGGACTGTAGGATGACAAAACTGCGAGGATATTAGGCGACCGTACATAAGAGAGAAGAAAAAAGTGACCTGTCTGCTGTGCTTTTGAATTTTTGCTCAGTGTTGTCTATCTCCCGGTCAGGCTCCTGAACTACGGGCAAACGGATGATTTGGCTGCGATTCATGAGGCGTTATTTGTGTGTGTTTGGCAAAACCTTCTGGAGATCAAACTTCTTCACTTGTTAGAAGCGGGCAACGCATCTAATCTAACCAAATATTATGAGTCAACGAGTTCGTGAGTCCTTTCGTCATGTTCATCTGAAAGCTCATCATATTTTATATAGAAAAGGGAAGTACGGTATTTAGACCAGTCGCCAAAGCGCGACCTCGCGCACAGGAGGCCAATGTACCAAAACAACCAGCCTCAATCCCTGACACCCGTCCTCCAGTTCCTCCGCCTTCGTCACAACAGCATGCTCCAACTGTGGTAGCTGTGGCGCCCCTTCCTCCTCCCGTTGTATCTTCTTCCATGCCTCCGCCGATCGTGGTCCCTGTCAGAGTCCCTATCACTACTGTGCACCCTCCTCAGAGACCTCCGATGCCTATAAACACTCCAATACCTCTTCCCACTACTCGAGATCCTCAAGTGCAGATGTCTCAGCCTCTGCCTGCACTCCCTGTCATCCACGAACATCCTGTTGTAGTTATTCCCCCGCCCGCGGAGCCCGAGTCACAAGCATCCAGCTCCCGAAAACGTAGGTCTCAATCTCGCGCGTCTTCTGAAGGTCCGAAGAAATCTCGCAAAACACGTGCTCCTTCTTTGCCCTACGATGCCAGTGTAGACCCTGGCGAAGATTTAGATCCGACTGCTGTGACTATGGCTACATTATGTGAAGATACAGGATGGGGTCGTGTCAGCAGCAAAGCATCACAAATTGTCGATAATCACTTGGCCTGGAAAAAAACTAACCGGGAAAAGAGAGCGCGAATGAGAGTTTCTATGGAGGCGAGAAAGTATGGTCGAAATGAGGATGACACTGCGCAGCCTGGTCAAATCAGCTCTGGGCCTGAACAAAGTGCCGTCACAAATGGGGCTGCGATACCTGCAGGACACAATCCTGTGTCCGTGAACGGAGGCCAGCGCGAAGGCGCCGTCACAGACACGAGTGGTAGCGGATTTGACTATTCTCAAGACGTCGCTACCAGTCGATATAACGTTCAAATCCGTATTGGGCCTAATGGAGAAACCATCATCGACGAAGAGTCCCTGTTTGTGGACAGGAATGCTGGGGACGAGACTGCAGACTACACTCATGTCGAGGAGTCCGATGTCTCCAAATTCGTGAATTCTGGGACGTATGGGAGGCGTTTCCGGGGTTCTCGCTGGAGTGCAGAAGAGACGGAGTTGTTCTACGATGTAAGCAATAAAGTAAATGCAGAGGGTGTTTTGCTTATATACGCCTGCAGGCGCTATCGCAATTTGGCGAGAATTACGAATTAATATCTTATGTGCTACCTGGCCGCGACCGCAAGTCATGCAAGAACAAGTTCAAAGCAGAGGACAAGAAGAACTCGGCAAGGATAAATTACTGCCTAAATAACCGTCAGCCATACGGTGAGTTCCCACTAACCCCTTGCTTAGGAAGCGGATGACGTGACAATTTGGCTAGATATACAAACTTTGTCGCGAATGACGGGAAAGGACTTTAGTGGTCCAACTCCAGAGATACGACCGCCACCCGTTCTGACGCTTGCTGAAACGGAGGGGGATCCATCAGTCGAAGAAGCAATTTCGAAGAAACAGAGCCAGACCCCCGCTGTGGAAGATGATGGGGAGGAGGTTCTTGGTGATATATCCAGTTACTTGTGATTTTGCAAGTAGAGACCTGAAGCCATTCACACCTATTGTTGTACAATCAACTCCTTCCGTCATTAGCCGGGGTAGCTCAGCTGGGAGAGCAACAGACTGAAGCAAGCGACTTGGTTTCTGGAGGTCCCGTGTTCAATCCACGGTCCTGGCATATTTTTTGTCAAATTTGGAATCGAGTATTTGTAAACAACATCGGTCAACAAAGCTCACTAACGCGTCTTGCTCACCGACGTCGACGTCCAATTCATCATCCCCCCTCTCCTGGCCTTGTAATTTTACCAACTGCATTAAAAGTCGACCTATCATTGGCTACGATCACTAGGACTTGCGTCCTAAGTTCAAGAGCTCTCACTGTATTGTCGTTTCTCTGTCTGAATCATGAGCCAAGGTATCTTCACTTTCCCTTCACATCCTTGTTCTGACTGACATTCTCTCTCCAGAAATTGAGCCCTCGCAGCCGTCACTCAATTATGATGATCCAAACTACGGCATGGAAGAAGATGAGGAGGAGTTTGAAGAGATAACGCAGGAAGATTGTTGGACCGTCATTTCCAGCTTTTTCGAGCAAAAAGGTCTCGTCAGACAGCAATTGGATTCCTTTGATGAGTTTGTACAAAACACCATGCAAGAGCTCGTGGATGAGAATGCAGATCTTATCCTCGACCAGGCGGATCAACATACTGGCCATGACACGGACATGACGCGACGCTACGAGATCAAATTTGGCCAGATTTACTTGTCGCGACCTACTGTCACAGAAGCGGATGGATCTGTAGTTCCAGTCTTTCCTCAGGAGGCCCGTTTGCGGAACTTGACGTATTCAGCCCCGTTATACATTGAGATGAAAAAGAGAGTCCTTCTTGGGCGCGAAGATCCTGATGGGGCACCCGGAGAGATTTTATGGGAGGCAGAGCGACACGAGGCACCTGAAGATACCACGAAGGTCTGGATTGGCAAGGTGTGTTACATGTTAATAAAGGTCGTTCTCGTGACTTAGCTTGATGTACAGGTCCCCATCATGCTCCGCTCGACATTCTGTATACTTCGAGACTTGCAAGACCAGGACCTGTACGACTTGAACGAGTGCCCGTATGATTCTGGAGGTTACTTCATCATCAACGGCTCGGAGAAGGTCCTCATCGCCCAAGAGCGTATGGCGACAAACCATGTCTATGTCTTTGCCAAGGCACAGCCATCACCCATAAACTTCTTGGCCGAGATTCGGAGTGCTGTGGAGAAAGGTGGTAAGACTATCAGTCAGTTCCAAGTCAAAATGTTCCACAGAAATCAGGAGCGATCGGTAAGCACAGCTCAATGTTTCCTGGGTTCTCTATTCATCTTAGTTTCAAAGTTGGGCAATGTCATGAAAGCAACCATCCCTTACATTCGTGTCGACATTCCCATTTGGGTCGTTTTCCGCGCTCTTGGTGTCATTTCTGACCGAGACATCCTGGAGCACATCTGCTATGACATGCAAGACGCTCAGATGCTTGAAATGCTCAAGCCATGTATCGACGACGGTTTTGTCATCCAAGACCGCGAGGTTGCTCTAGATTTCATCGGAAACCGTGGAACCACTACCGGTTTGTCGCGAGAGCGGCGTATTCGTTACGCTCAGGAAATCTTGCAGAAGGAGATGCTTCCTCACGTCTCCATGTCGGAGGGCTCAGAGTCAAAGAAGGCCTACTTTTTCGGATACATGATCCACAGACTACTGCTTGCCGCTCTTGAACGGAGAGAGCTGGATGATCGTGATCATTTCGGGAAGAAACGTCTTGACTTGGCTGGTCCTCTACTTGCTGGCCTGTTCCGCATGCTGTTCAAGAAATTGACGAGAGATGTATACCGTTATCTTCAGAAGGTACGTCACCTCGTCGAATTGCGCATTTGCCTATGCTCATAATTATCTCAAAGTGTGTGGAGACGCACAAGGAGTTCAATCTCTCGCTAGCCGTCAAGCATCAGACAATCACCAATGGTCTCAAATATTCACTCGCTACTGGCAATTGGGGTGACCAAAAGAAGGCCATGTCGTCAAAGGCTGGTGTGTCTCAGGTGTTGAACAGGTATACATACGCATCCACTCTCTCCCACTTGCGTCGAACCAATACTCCTCTCGGTCGGGAGGGCAAGATCGCTAAACCTCGTCAATTACACAACACGCACTGGGGTATGGTATGTCCTGCCGAAACCCCCGAAGGGCAGGCTTGTGGTCTCGTCAAGAACCTTGCCCTCATGTCTTGTATTTCCGTCGGTTCTTACTCTGCACCCGTCATCGAGTTCTTGGAAGAATGGGGTCTTGAGTCACTGGAGGAGAATGCGCATTCGTCGACCCCATGTACGAAGGTCTTCGTCAATGGTGTCTGGATGGGTGTTCACCGTGACCCCGCAAACCTCGTGAAGACGATTAAGAAGCTTCGTAGGAAGGATGATATTAGTCCTGAAGTCTCTGTTGTTCGCGACATCCGTGAGCGGGAGCTGCGGTTATACACGGACGCTGGTCGTGTCTGCCGACCGTTGTTCATCGTCGAGAACCAACAGCTCGCCCTTCAAAAGAAGCATATCAAATGGTTGAACCAGGGTTATCGCGAGGATGACGGAGAGGAGTTTAAGTGGGAGCAGCTGGTTAAGAATGGGATTATCGAGTTGTTGGACGCAGAGGAAGAAGAAACTGTAATGATCTGTATGACTCCGGAGGACCTCGAGAACTCCAGATTACAGTCAGCAGGAATCGATCCTCACCAGAATGACGCTGATTATGACCCGGCTGCACGGCTGAAGGCAGGGATCAATTCGCATACTTGGACTCACTGTGAAATTCACCCAAGCATGATTCTTGGTGTCTGCGCGAGTATCATTCCTTTCCCTGATCACAACCAGGTGAGTAGTGCGCTTTTTCTGTGAATGAAAGCTGACCGTCTGTAGTCTCCTCGTAATACCTATCAATCCGCCATGGGTAAACAAGCCATGGGAATCTACCTCACCAATTTCTTGGTTCGTATGGACACCATGGCCAATATCTTGTATTACCCTCAGAAGCCTCTCGCCACTACGCGCTCCATGGAGTACCTGAAATTCAGAGAGCTTCCTGCTGGTCAAAACGCCATTGTTGCCATTCTCTGTTACAGTGGCTACAACCAAGAAGATTCCGTCATCATGAATCAGAGTTCGATCGACCGAGGTCTCTTCCGGAGTATATATTACCGCAGTTACATGGACCTGGAGAAGAAGAGTGGTGTACAGCAGCTGGAGGAGTTCGAAAAACCTACTCGTGATACTACGTTGCGGATGAAGCATGGCACGTACGACAAAATTGAGGATGATGGCCTGATCGCTCCCGGTACCGGTGTCTCTGGGGAAGATATCATCATTGGCAAAACTGCACCCATCCCCCCTGACAGCGAGGAACTTGGACAACGTACTCGGACGCACACGAGACGAGACGTCTCGACTCCATTGAAGAGCACAGAAAATGGTATCGTTGATCAAGTGTTGATCACGACCAATTCGGAGGGTCAGAAGTTCGTCAAAGTTCGTGTTCGGTCGACGCGTATTCCCCAGATTGGCGACAAGTTTGCGTCTCGTCACGGTCAGAAGGGAACTATTGGTATCACTTACCGACAGGAAGACATGCCTTTCACTGCCGAGGGAATTGTCCCTGACATTGTCATCAATCCTCATGCCATCCCTTCGCGTATGACCATCGGTCACTTGGTCGAGTGTCTGCTCTCCAAGGTGGCGACGTTGATCGGTAACGAGGGTGACGCAACTCCCTTCACTGATCTCACGGTCGAGTCTGTATCGACCTTCCTGCGCCAGAAGGGCTACCAGTCTCGTGGTCTTGAGGTCATGTACCATGGCCACACAGGGAGGAAGCTTCAAGCGCAGGTCTATCTCGGTCCCACGTACTACCAGCGTCTCAAACACATGGTAGATGACAAGATCCATTCGCGTGCGAGAGGTCCCGTGCAGATCTTGACGCGGCAGCCGGTGGAGGGTCGTAGTCGTGACGGTGGTCTCCGTTTCGGAGAGATGGAACGTGATTGTATGATTTCGCATGGTGTCGCTGGCTTCCTGAAGGAGCGCTTGTTTGAGGCTAGTGATGCCTACCGTTTGCATGTGTGTGATATGTAAGTCGTTTGGTTCGTTTGATCTTGTTTCGCGGGCTCACTTCAAATTTTCAGATGCGGCCTCACTGCAATCGCCAATCTTGTAAGTGCTTCCCACGTCATGAATCGCCGTTTGCTGATATCCGTGAAATAGAAAAAACAAAGCTTCGAGTGTCGTGCATGCAAAAACAAGACGGCGTGTTCGCAGTTGTATATTCCTTATGCTGCAAAACTATTATTCCAGGTTCGCATTCACCTTTAATTGATGGTAGAGTTCTGCTGATTTCATACTGTCACCAGGAATTGCAAAGCATGAACATCGCAGCTCGCCTGTACACTGTCTCCACTGGTCGTGTCAGGGATGGAACTTAATTAGTTGTCGATTCCCGTATCACGAGAGACCTTGTAGTCTTTACATTAATCGTTTGTTGGACAATAAGGACGCAGTGTGAATCGAATTCAGTGTGAGTTAGGTACGGAAAGTTGTTGGACAATAAGGACGCAGTGTGAATCGAATTCAGTGTGAGTTAGGTACGGAAAGTTGTGGGAACATCATACGCGTGTCTCGAGACGCGATTCCATGGACCACGTGATTAGTACTAGAAACATTTGTCTGGGTTACGCGTCCACTTGCCACCAACCCCTGTATATATTCCACAAACACGAATCGAATCGAAGTGTTTTTCGTTCTAAAGAAACACTAAACCAAGATACCAGATTCCAAGACGCATCATCAAAATCTGGTCTCGAGCACAGGTCATGTCAGAAACACCTCTCACCTGGAATCGTGAGCCTGAGCGCATACCTCCGCGTTCCTCAGAAATCTCTGACGAGATAAAGTACAGAAGCGGTGAAAGGGATCACTGAATTCAGTGAGCTTCTTTAAACGCTCCCATGACCACCATCTAATCAACATTCAGTCGAAGTCGCCATCCATACTATCCTCTACGTCAGACAAATATACCCAGCAGATTTATTCGTGCGACGCAAGAAGTACGACACGCCCGTCTTCCAGTCTCGCCATCCCGCGTTAAATGAGTACATCTCCGGCACTATCAAGGCTGTTTCTGATGAACTTGTACTCGTGAGCTTTTAGTATCGGCTTCACATTTCTCCTGCAGTAAAGTCTTCGATAAAAATAGGGTAATGTCGACAAGGTGGTAGTCGTCATAAAGGACAGGAACCAAGTTGCCCTTGAGCGCTTCATCTTTTCAGTCCGCAACATGATCCAGATCGAGTCCTATGATAAAGATACGAGGTGCGCTGCACCCTTCACTTGCGTAGGCAAGCAATGACGTCTACCTAGCGTGCAGAACGCGATGTCCTCCGCGAAACTCGGCCAGTATTTTCGCTCCTTTCTCATCAAATTGAATATGATCGAGTCCCAACTGGGGCTCCTCGAACTTCCCAGTGGTGGTAAGGTCATCTCTTCGTCTCACAATAAACTTCCCACCTGAGCTGAGGTAGACGAGGCCTCATTTGCAGTAGTCCTTGAACTGAAGGAAAATACAGTGCCCACAGCTTCCAAGGACAATGTAAGGAATCCTGGTCAGATGTCAATGGCAGAAAGTTTAGCTTTCGACAGGAACCCCCACCATGGGTACCCGCAGATCGTCAACACACAACCTCTGGGGCATCTGAAGAAGCCCAGTTGCACCTCCTTCGGGCAGTGGACACAGGTATCATCAATGTACGCATATTACGTCGACGTCAGATTCGGTCTCGTCATTCACAGTACCACAGATCTCTCTTGCAGTTCAAGAATCAAAACAAAAGCTTCAACGCACCAAGGACCCAGATGATTCCGCGCACGATATCGAAGGAGAAGGAAACGCCAAAGCTAGCTTCCCAGTTGACATCCTTGATCATAATCTACTATAAACTACTAGTAATACATTGCGAACGAAGTCCTTGCATGACGTGCGAGATGACAGCAAAACGGAATATGAAAATATTAGATCAGGTTAGTACTGAACACTAAACGTCCACCCGTATACGTTGAATGACAGGTATAATTCGTTCCCACTCCTCCATCGCCTGAATAAATTATGAAACTCGAGGACTAGACTGCTTGAAAAAATGACATACCGATTGATAAAATTCAATTTCACCTTCTGCAAGGTTGCCCAGCATTTCTTTCATCTCCGCTTCCTTCGTGTATTGGAATATCGTCTGCTCTCGCAGAGTCTCATCACTGAACGCATCTGATGTCTCGTGTGCTGTTGTTACGGCGTCTTGCAGCTAACCCCGAGGTTGGAAAAAAGCAGCGTGAGCATCACAGCAGGTACACGCACCTCTTTAATCTTAACATCCAACTTTCTCATCTTCTCAACTCGGCTCCGATCATCATCTGCGCCCCTGAGTGAGTCTACTTTGTCCTTTAAGTATGCGCTCAGCCCCAGCCCGGTACTTCCTGCGTGCCCTGAAATAACGGCAGATAGCCGATCACGTTCCTGTGTTACTCCAGAGAGGTAATCCGATAATTCTTCAAAATCAAGTTGCTTCTGATCACGAAGTTTCAAGACCGCGCGGTTTGCATGTGAGTAGGTGAGTAGTGAATGAAGATGGACGAGGAAAGGGTCTGTGGTCGTTTGAGTCTGGAAAGAAGCGGTGAGTAGGTAACTCGGATATCATTGAGACACCATACCTTATGTCTGAGTAATGCAGAGAATTCGAGCAGGGTATTTGAGAAGTGATTCAATGGATCCGTAATCCCTGATTCCAAAAAACCAAGTCCCTGCACGGCGACCGCTAGATCGTGATAGTCCGCTGTCAGATCTTCGCCAGGAGCGAGACCGCCACCTCGTTCAGCCTCAGATACTCCCTTACGCTTGTATAAAGTAGGCTCACCATTTGTGCGACCACGGGTACGGTTCCATAGGCGCTCGCAGATAACAAGACCATCCTCGAATTTGTCGACAGACTCGCGCATGTCGAGAAAGCGTTCGTCGGGCTTGCGTACTCGTGCAAACGCGTTGAGAAGGGTGTCTGAGATGTTATCGATGAGTCCTGGTGTGGGTTCTGGCCCTGGAGGGTGTGCGAGATGTTGGTGCATATGAACGTGCTGGAAGGCGTCAGGGGTGTTTGGACTGCATTGAAGAGACATACCCATTCTGTTGACTCGAAGAATGCACGGACGAGGGTACTACGTTGTAGGGTTGGGTGTCGGGATATCCGTTCAAGGAAGCGGTGAAGGCTGTCAAAGATGAGGCGGTGACGAGTCAGCAAGCCACACATACGCACTCTAGTCTGCGGCGTTCCATAAACTCCGGGCTGAAGCGATCACCCGTCAGGTATTCTGTTCATTGTCAGACCAGAACGAGTTTACAAGGGGCAACACATACCTAACCGGTGCTTGTCAGGGAGAGCGGGTACCACGCATGCTGGGAAATCCTTTACGAGGTGGTCTCGCAGAAATACAAAGTCCTGGAATCGTCGACGAGAGAAAGGATTAGGAGTAGAGAATATTGGAAGATTGGTCTGCAAATGATTTTAAATATGCACAAGAGCTTCAATTATATTACGACGTACCTTTGCCGAGACTAGGTAGGAGACGTATGCGTCTTTAGTTTCTGCAAGCTCCTTTACAGGATCCTTGACGGTGACAATAAGATAACCCTCCCACTTTGGATCGTGTGGGCCTCGTTCATCCTCTGTCCCTGCCGTGCTCTGCTTGAAACCTGGGCCGGATGGTTGGACGGTGTGATCGGCGTCATAGGGTGCCGAAGGTGACTCCCAAGTGACACTATCAAAAACGTCCTCTTCGTCGCCGAGCATTTTGGGGTCAGTGGTGAGCAGCTATTGACTTTCGAGTTCACCGCTGATGATATAGACCAGTGCTTCCCGGTTACTTATTGAAACTGAGCGCAGTAATTGGCGTGGACAAGACAAAGACGAGAAGCCTTCACGAAACAAACCACAACAAACGCTTTCTGGATGCGCCAAAATTCGAAGCTGCAGGCGATCGCGCTCGGTGTCCTGTCTGCTTGCTCCCTTGCAGCAGGATATGAGGTGAAGTTCTCGGGCTCGGACTATTCCCGCCAAGTATGTTCGGGAATGTGGGCTAGCCAGTCCACTTTCATCAACGGTGCGCAGCACATGGACATATGTTCACCAGATACTTACACGACGTGTCATAGTCACGTTTGATGAAAGCTCTTCACAAGGACAGGTAGCAATGGTTATTTATGAATGGAAAGATGTTAAGTATCTCGGTGTCCCCACATCCATGACGGATGACTCCCTACCCGTGAGCAACCCCTTACCACGCGGTTTGCCGCCGAGCTCAATAATATCCCCAGCCGATCTATGTATGCACAACAGATGCGGTCAGACTCGGCCTCTGCGCATATGAGGATGTCGGAAAATTCATATTCTGGTCTGATGACGGGACCACCGTAAACCAAACTACTTTCTGGACTGCCAGTGTTACCCTTAACCAGACCAGCGACTCATCCTCTGATTCATCAGGGTTGCGGGACAGTCCTGGGGGTAGCCCTACTTCGCGACGGAGTTCACGAGACCTTCAGCACAGTCCTCGGCAATCGAATGACCCCCTAAACCCAAGCCCATACGAGACCATTGCATATACACAACCTATACAGTATCAAGTCCGCAAGAAAGGATATTATTGCGTAGGCAAGTCCGAGTTATACTGTCTTGCTTCCCCTGGCTTATATGTGTCGCAGCTATCGTGCCTGTCACGGTATTGAATCCTACTGCCCGCCAGGCACCTACAGATGTCCCGTTTCATCCCACATACAACGGCGTCGTTCTTTTCCGGAACACTTTTGATGGAATGCTTCCTGCTACCGACTATCCCAAAGTTAACGTGAGCCGAAAACGTCGTCCGTTGTCATTTCTCTAATCACAACGCCCAGTTTTACCTCGCCATGTTCTTTGTGTATGCCATCGCAGGCTCTGTGTGGGCATGGCTCTGCTACAAACATGTTACGGAACTATTGCCCATTCAGGTTTGTCATGTTCTAGACACCTTGATCGATCTAATGTTTATCCCAGTACTATCTCTCGAGCTTGGTCGTGTTCCTTGTCATCGAAATGGTCGCAAATTGGGGTAGGACGTTTTTTCATGACATTACCTCAGAGCTGACCATGCCTAGTATACTACCGATACCTTAACGCACATGGGAGGACCGCGGCGTCCGTCGTCTTCCTATTTGTTGGTACGGACAATCAATGGAATAGCTTATCAGTCGCTCACCCTGTGCAGTTGCCATCCTGGATGCGGGACGCAATGCTCTTTCCTTCTTCATGCTTCTCGTTGTGTCGCTCGGGCTCAGCGTCGTCCGTGAATCTCTGGGACGTACGATGCTTAAGTGTCAGATCCTTGCAGGGCTGCACTTTGTCTTCGGGGGTAAATTTGCATCTTAAAAATATACGAGTTGTAATGACCGTCGTCACTAGTACTCTATGCCGTGGGTATAGTTGAACTGGAACTCGAGTCGACGTCAGCGTTGATACTCCTGATGTTCATCATACCACTGGCATTCACGCTGAGTGGGTTCCTCATGTGGATCCTATACTCGTTAAATGGTTTGTCCAATCCCTTTTCACCTTGTATGCTTTCTCATGTATCTGTTTTAGGTACGATGACGCAGCTAACCGTGCGGAAACAAAGATACAAACTCAGGATGTTCAAACGCCTGTATTATATCCTCCTTGCCACTGTGGCTATTATCGCCATATTTTTTGTTATCTCTTCGGTGTCGTTCTCTGATAGGCTAGCTGAAGGTGTGTCATTATCTATTTGTTAATTTGTTATTCGTCTCATGTGGTTTGTAGATTATGCAGCAAAATCATGGAGAGTCCGCTGGTGGCTCCTCGATGGCTACCTCGCTCTCCTCTACTTTTTCTCCTTCTGGAGCATCGCGTACCTTTGGAGGCCATCGGAAAATAACCGCCGCCTCGCCATGTCCGACGAAATCGCACAAGAAGATGAAGATGCTGAGGATTATGACCTCGAGACGCTTCAACGACGTACGGTTGCCCGTGAAGATGACGAAATCACACTCGTCAACTCACGGCGAGAACCCGAAGCGCTCGCGGAGGATCATGTGGTGTTTGAGATTGGCGACGAGGATATAGGAAGCGACGATGAAGGTGAGACGGCCGCAAAGAAGCGGCATGGTGGGGAGCGCAGGGCATCCGGCGATAAACAGGACGGTGCGGATGAGGAGCGCCAGGGTCTTATGTACAAGGACCGAGACGAATAGACTATCGCCCAGCTTATTCGTGCATGCCCTACTTTCTTTTTGGAACCCTGAATTCTTTGTTTTGTACATGGAGTTGGGCTAGACTTGGTCGAGGCTAGGGTTTGGTAAACGAACTGCTGGATGGAGGAAAATGACGTCTGTAATCTATTTATGTAAATATTTTAACTTGTAAGTTTTGGCTCCAAAGCAACCGTCACACCTACGATAAGCTCTGTTGGTATCTTTATTTCCTTCACCTAGTTCCACTAAGTTATACCGTCTGACGTGTCCTTGTGGCCCTCAGACGCGTTTAAGGCGTTTCTTGCCGCCGTCAATGTCCACTCATTTCGCTTTCGTGACTCTCGTAACTTCAGATTCCTATCTCCCAGGCGCACTCGCCGTTTTGGGTGCTTTGAAGGATGTGCATCAGACTCAACCTCATGAGGTCAAGTACGACACAGTGTGCATGGTCACACCAGAAACCCTTGATATCACCACCATCAAACTGCTTAGAAAAACATACGATATTGTCATTGGTGTTGAGGTCATAGGCCAGTCCGATCCTGCTGGACTATATCTACTGGGTGAGTCGTTGCCGTGTTGACTGGGTTGCGTCTGAATGGCATCAGCTGAGGGCACGAAAAACTTCTCCGTTGGAATATCTTTGACAGTTCCCAGGCCAGTTACTGTATTGTGCCATATTGCGCCCCACATGTGGGGTATGAATACATCGTGTCCAAGCTTCTCCATCAGCAACCCAGCTTTTCCGCACGCAGTGGGAATAGCCAAGCTAATATCATGTTCATTTGATAACAGGACGCCCAGACCTTGATACGGTCCTAACGAAACTACACGTATTCCGCCTCACGCAGTACTTCAAGGTAATATTCCTTGATGCGGATGTTCTCCCCTTGCGCCCCCTGTCCCACCTGTTCCACCTTGACCACGAGTTCTCTGCGGTACCTGACGTAGGATGGCCCGATATATTCAACTCGGGTGTAATGGTACTTACTCCTGGTGAAGATAAGTTCAAGGAGCTTCAAGAACTTCTAAAAACAAATGGAAGTTGGGATGGCGGCGATCAAGGTATCTTGAACGAGTGGAGGGGAGACAACTGGAATAGGCTTAGCTTCACTTACAACACGACCCCTACAGCTGCTTATACGTCAGTAATATTATATCTTCTTTCGCCCGTATGGTTAATGACATACTTATTACGCATCAGGTATGCCCCTGCATACGAACGGTTCGGTTCCCAAATATCGGTGGTGCATTTCATCGGACCTAATAAACCTTGGCATTCCATTCCTTATCGCGCCCCAGGATCCTCCACCCAAGTACCATCTGAGAAGATGGAACAGCAGTCTCCAGAGTCAGAGCTAGCAACGCAACCTCAACAAGCCTACGATTATGGTTCACTCGTCGATAGGTGGTATGGTGTTTATGACAAGCACTTTCGATCAAAACCCATCTCATCGGATCTCGAGGTTCCTGTCAGCAAATACGTCTCTGCATGGGAAGATGAGACGAATACCCGTGCAGGGGTAGAGTCTGCAGGCACATCGAGTGGAGGTCCACTTGGTCTCGACGTCTTACGTCGTTTGGCTCTTCAGGGCATGGGTGTGATGGGCTTCCGTTCTAGTGATCGATCGAAAGGAGAGGGCGAGTACAAGAGCATGCCCCTTGAGGGGCGTTTGGATCTTATGAGGCCACGCCTCCCGAAGCAGAAGAAACCTGAGGAGAATGATCCTCACCAGTCTGCCACTGAGCCTGCTGATTCGATCATCAGCGAGGCAGTCGCTGAACCCACAACACCCGTTCGACAGATAGTGTCGTTATCATTGGATTCACCCGTGAGATGGGCTACATTGCCAACTCCAAATATCGATGAGGTGCCTCCTGCGCCACAAGCGCGCCTGCTATCTCTCCCTCCAACACCCCTCCACTTTGTCTCCCCGCCCTCCAAACCAGTTGTGCGCGGAAATCAACCAAAGTCGCCCCTTTCGTTGCAAGAACGAAGGATGGAGCGATCGCGCCCTACTTCCCCACCCCTTCTCTCATGGAATGCTGCGGTCGAAGCGCCTCCAAAAACGATTGCTACTCCCTCCGCACTTCCAAGAGACACTTATTTCCCGAATGCCTGGGACGATTCTCCCACCAGAAACAAAGATCCTGCATCATCATCAAGGTCGTCCTCGAGCACGTCCTCTGAGACAGATGCAACGAGCACAGAAGTTAGCCCCGTCCAGGCAGACCCATCACCTCAAACACTCTTCAGCCCACCACCTGTACCAGAGATTCCTCAGATGCTTCTCCAGCTGGGGCACTACCGCAATGTCACTGGGCCTTCCTCTGGGGGTGGCACCGCGCCGCCCACCCCTGACCGCACCAAGGTGAAACGCGTCTTCCCGTGGGAGGAGCGCCCTCGTGTTGCTCCTGCACGTGTATTCCCAGAAGGCGAGCCCCGCCCACAAGGGTTGATGTTCTTACAGTCCCCGCCTCGTTCTGCTGCACTTCCATCTACTCCTGAGCGCAAGCTGAGCAGGGAGTTTGGAGCGCACCAGCCGATGCCCTCGCCGTTAGCAGGTTTCCCATCATTGACATCTGCGAATATGTGGGATGCCGTTCCTGGCATCCACAAGTTTGCTTCGAAGCTTGCGCGCCCTCCAGGGCCCACTCCCCTAGCAACCGCATTCGAAAACCCAAAGAAACCCTGGGAGGAGAAGTCAGAAGCCAGCAGTCATGATGGTGATGTAGAGGATGAGATGGACTCCGATGAGGACGAGGGCAAGCAGACAGTGACAGAGGTACGATCTCGCAGTTCTAGCATCGCAACCGCTGGGAAGAAATACCAATCATTTGGAGTGCAGACGGATGTGAAGGAAATGTGCAGCCAGAGTGTGCAGGTTGTTGCAGAGGAGGATGTCGGTGCAAAGCGGTCATTGAGGGCGCGCAAGCCTAGCGGATCGACGAAGAAGCAGTGGCACCCTTCATCAAGTCTCAGGGTGTTGCCGCCCGCAATGGATGTTGCTGCGGGTGCTGAGCCGAGTAGCTTGTTGTCCCCTGCTATCTCGCAAGTGTCAACGCCGCGATTTTCCGTTACTGCTGTAGCGGAAGACACTGATGGAATGATTCCTTCGGCTGTGATGGGTTCTCCGGGGACACCGCCTCCGCAGACGCCCGGACAGCCAGGCGAAACAACGCCGAGAGCAGGAAGGAGTACAACATCGAGTCCACTGTCGTCCCCTTCTCGACTGTTCTCCAGTGAATCCCCGACTTCATCATCTCTAGGACCTGCATCACCGTACGAAGGGCGGTCTCCTGGTACTCCTTCTCGAGCATCCCGTGTCTGGGATCCTGCTCGAGGCGTAGACCTCTTCAAACGTGGCTCGGAAGAGGTGCTTGCTCGATTCCTGAAGATCAGCTCACGAGAGGAGCCCACACGTCGGATATAATGAGTTCCAAGTATTACGTATCTGTTATGAACTTTCTCTTTTCATGTTCTACGTTTTATTGATCACGGACAGAATCTCTCTCATTTTTTTCCTCCTGTACGATCATGCGAAGTCTCTGTATACCCGCAACCTTTCTTGTTTCCTTTATTCATTATCGTCCTTCGTCACTTTCTGTTCAAATTTATTTAGCATCCGCAATGCATAGCTGCTAATCATTCACCGTGGTTCACGAGTCCCTGTGAGCGCTAGCTGTCAGTGCTGCAAATCTTAGGCACGGTTCTCTAACTTTAGAGTCGAACGACAAAAGCTCAAATATGCATTTCTGGACAGAATTAGCTGAAAATCGTACGAGCCCAGTGGCGAAAACCTTTGTGACCGGCCCGAGTGGCGATGGGAACGAAAGTGGTGTACACTGGCACCCACAAGCCTCCCAAGAAAAGCACATGCTGTGAAGAACAGTGCAGCTGGATAGCCAAATATTCCAGATCCAAGATTTGTGGAGCCCGGTTGGAGTTATCTTGATATCTGATCAATATCATTTCATGTATATGAATAACTAGCTTCTGAAGTCACCCCAAGTTGGACCTTGCCTTTGCGATGTGACGGAATTTCGAGGAGGAAGTGCCGGAAGTGAGAGTGGCTGAATGGGTAATCTGTAGCGTAGAGAAAGCCTCATCCGCGACTGCCTCAGGAGCCCCTTATCGACAACGAAACTATCTAGACCAAGGAAGCTCAGAACGAAAAATGTCGCTTCCAGGAAGACCCTTGCAAATGCGAGCAATGGTGTTCTTAGAGCGAAATGTTTCGCTGCGAGTCCTGGCGCAAAATGTGCGATCCGCACATCCTATCGATACAAGGTGGAGCAAGGTAGAGCAAGGTAATTGGGATGTTGAACAAGCACTGGAGCCGACGTCATCACGGTGCTCCTCTGGAGAGCTATGACGTCATGGAGTGCGCAGGCATATAAGACAGAGAATAAACCGATGCGACAGTCTACACCGATTAACCATGTCGAATACAGAAAACAAAGAAGCATTTTTTGATGTTGAGGAGTCTCAGGGCATCGAGTGAGCAATTTTAATGTAGATTCCTACTAGTAGGTGTGACACTGACCCTAGGCTCGTAGGAGAGTTCGGCATGAGACAACAGCCGCTTACGCCCAGACTGAAGCACCCAATTCCCGTATTGCACACGAAGTGGAAGAGAATGCAGAGCACGTTCAACAAGCAGCAGCTAGGGCAGCTCAGGCTGCACAGGTAAGTGACCACTTATCCCGGCGAGATTGTCTTACAAGATGCAAATTGTAGGGAATGGGGCCTGATCTGACAGGAGAGAGTAACACTAGTACTGCCTTTGATGTCCTCAAAAACGCAACGGCTCAGAAGACGAACGCCGCAGCCTCAGAAGGGCAGAGGGATGTTCATATGGCTAAGGATGCCGGCGCAAGTTATCTAGACCAGGCAAAGACAATGGTGGAGAGTATTGTCACTTCTGCTCAGGTAAGATAACGATTTACGTTGCCCCTGTACTGGAATGACCATACTTTTCGTAGGACTATCTTCACGGCAGCACGGATTCCCGATCTTCAGCTGGACCAGCCACTTCAAGTAGGACAGGAGGTGACGTCATATCATCTTTGCAGACGTCGGCATCTTCTGCTGTTGGAACCGCTCAGCAGTATCTTGCATCTGCACAAGCTGCCGCACAGCCGCAGGTCGACAAAGCACGTGAGACAGCAGAAGGTTATCTTGGGATGCACTCTGGCACCTCGCCTTCTAATGCAGTTACCCCACCCGGGTCAACCACGCGCCCCACCACTGGCGTGCCCTTGAGTGGCGCTGCGAGTACGCCATACGCATCTTCGAAAACCCCTGGTGCAGATGAGAGAAAGATGAAGTCAAATGTTGCGTAGAATGTTCATAATACCGAGGAACTGCGTACCCATGGCCCATGTATTATTTATGCGCATCTGTTGTCTTGAAGACTCACTCTTGGATGACCGTGAAGGCAACCTTTGTGTGAAAATTTGAGCCTCCTTCAGATCGGTGGCGTTTGCAGTATTTGATTCAAATTTTACAGTCCCTGAGAGGTCTTGAAAACACACTGTTATGCCATCATCAAAAACTATGGAAGAAAACATTATCTTCCTTCGTTTGGTCTGCCTAGGGGGGAAGAAGATCATGCAATCCTCATGAGCCTCTGCACCGATCGGGGTGTAACGTTCTCCTAGCATTTGTCTTCCTGTCATGCCCATTGCCTTGTTAGTGATAGATGTGATCGAACTGGGTAAGGACACTGACACGTAGAACTAGGTTTCTTGAAAGAATAGAGGGAATAAATTATTTGACAGAATCCTCTACATCGCCGAAGGCGCGGAGTGATTACTTGAAGCGCGCATTTGAACATGGGGTTGGGTCACGGATGACGAAGTATAAATGTCAGGTTTCGGAAGAATCGGTTCAAATTGTCAGGGAAAGATAGCATCCCCCGGCCTCGGCTGAAGACGCAGTTCGCCGTTGGCACATCGGAGCTTCAGTAAACGTCCGGGAATGTCAATTCAACACTAGACGAGTGAATGCAGCCGGCAGTAAAGCCTAGCGCACTGGTCTGCTTGCCGATGTGACGCTGTTCAATCCTATATCGATAACGCCGTGGACGAGACCGTCATACCCATCGTTTGTGCCGGCTTTGCAGTGTGGAAGTCGCTGTTTACTACTTCGCAAAAATAGCGATATAACGAAATGACCCCGTGGTCTATCGATGCAGAGGGTCCATAAGGACTGAGGCCGAAGAGGACGGACCCAAATTTCAATCTCAAACTGTAAATTGCTGAACTGAGTTCCACGAGGTGATGCATTACGCACCAAATTCACATCGATGGTAGGGCCAAGTGACAGCATGATGATGGGCTATACACTCACCTGGTCTGGCATCAACGTATTTTTTAGTCTCGAACCAGCCTCGACTAACTGATGGTCTATTGACAGGGAACGTTCTAACCCTGTCAATTCGAGACTAGAACCAACCACCCTGTCAAGGCGAACGTTGACCGTGACGATGAACGATTTTAATTCAAGGAACCGAAGTGGCTGAGATTAGATAAGAACCGGCTAACTGCGATCGCAGTCAAAGCCGGGGTGATAACGATGGGGCTGTTGCAGTGCCCCGGATCTCTCGAGTCTCAGATAATACGCCTAGGCATCAGCTGCTTATATCTACCACTCAAGCTCCCATTAAGCTCCCATCATCATGGTAAGTTGCTTTGCGCTGTACAAACTGATCATCAATTGATTAGATCTATAGGATACTTTCATTAATCTCGCGAAGCAAGGTTACGAGACATACTCTGAGTCTCAGCAGTGTAAGTAGACTCATCTATCATTTATACTGGGGGAGGGGCTGAAACACAGTGACAGCCCAAGTACACAAGACTGGAGGCCGAGAGTTCAACTCTCCCGATAACCGACCTCCTCAGTCTTCCAGGCCGTCGTGTATGTCGTTTACTTGATCATCAATCACTCCCGTGGTACTCACAAGCAGACAGACGACTCGGACGAAGTGAGCCAGCACGTCGACTCTGAAGACCATGGCTACTTAAGCCATGCGCTCTCCCATGCGCACAAAGTTTGTTGTTCCCCGAACGTATTTAGACATCGCTTCCTTACTGTGAATCATAGTCCGTCCAGCAACAAGGCGACATCGACGAGGATGGCGTCCAAAACCTCAAGAATGCTCATCACCAGGCATTCAGCTCTGAGGGCGATGGCCCAGGAGGCATGGCACCCGATGCATTGGGTGGAGCTGCAGCCTTCAAGGTAAGCCATTATCAAAGACGATTAATATTGCCTTCACAAATGCGCATACAATTGCAGGTGTTCACAGACATGATGAGCGGCGGCGGCGGCGGCGGAAGTGGTGGTGGAGACATAAAGAGCAAGCTTATTGGCATGGCCATGCAGAATGCCTCCAAGCTCTTCGATCAGTCCGGTGGAGGATCTAGCGAGGCCAAACAAAGCGCCATGAACAGCGCTGCTACTTACGCTATGCAGCTAATGATGAAGAAGGAGATGAGCAGCTTCATCGGTGGTGGCAGCAGCGGAGGCCTGAGCGGAATCATGGGCATGGTACATCAATTCCCGATTTAATCTTTCATGACGTCTGACCCTGTCTTCTAGGCAAGCAAGTTCATGTAGATGCGTCGAGAGGAAAGAAGACTGTTATAAGTTTGTATCTTGGGTGAAGCCGCCTATGTGTGAACTTGCTTTGTAAAATCTAGTGCTTACCTACGAAGTTTTGTAAAACCCTTGGACTAATACCCAATTAAAGAGAACTGTTTTTGCTTTTCCTTACGCTCGGTAGCTGTGATCGGTTTCGTTCAGCTCAGTGACAACAATACATCCAGTATCCAGTTCCAATTGTTCATAGCATACATACAGCAAGTACAGATCCATATAACAATGACTAGACAACATCGAATGAGCAAAAAGCAAGGATATTGCGAGAAAGGGAATATATACTAGAAAATGCAAGAGCAGTGATTAGACAGCAGTAAAATACAGCATAAGTCAAGATGCACTATCATAGACATAGGACTTGTATTGGTTGCATAGGATCCGCTTCAGGGTATTAGATGAAGTAATGCATTAGGGCGCTGCCGTAGCCCTTCGTCACCGCTGGATGTTCCGCAGCAGTGAGGCATGGCGTGCCAAAGGTAGAAAGCAAGCTCTATCTGGAGCATGCGAATATGAAGTCCGTGGACACCTTACTACAGAGCGGCTTATGACCGTGCGCGAACAAGATTCGCTGCCGGGGGTGCACCGAAGGAGAAGTCAAACGTTGGTGACTTCAGATTGTGCGCATCCCCAAAAATGCTTGAATTAAAATCAAGCTGAAGTCCCTCGGCCGGCGAGGGAATGCTTTCCAAGGCATCGCCGAACAGATCGGCCATATTTGAAGAGAAATTGAATGATGATGCTGAAGGAGACCCGAGATGCATGGGAGGTGAGGGGGATGATGGTGGCGGCGTCATGAGACTAGAGGAACTGCTTGATGTGGAGCTTGTGCTTGAGAACAGGTGGCTCTGCGAGGAACTCTCAGACCCAAATGAAGACGAACGCGACGACGATTGCGAAGGCGAGGCGACAGATGCCTCCGAAACGGCTGGCGTGACTCCACGATGAGATATCGGGTTCCCATGAGGGATGCGTTTCGGCAAAGGCGCCATTTTCCGGCGGCGGACCTTCTGGCCTGTTGGGGCCTCGGATGCCGGTACCAATGTGATAGGTCTTGATTGCGGACTGGGAGTGTTGAAAACATGCCGACGAGATGCGGTTGCGGGAACGGAAAGTAGGGGAGCGCGGACGGGTGCGGTATGCATAGCTGTCCCCCGAATGAGGGCAGGCAGAGGTGCAGGGAAGGGTACAACTGTAATGGCAGCTACAGCTGCACATGAATCGACGCTGCCGCGTGAACGCGAACCAGAATCATCCAGAATATTTATCCTCGAGAAGTAGTCTACGAGCCCATCAATGTCCAACGAAGGACGTCGAACAGCTTTGTTACTTGGGCGCCGGAGCCATTCTGGCGCACCAAAATTCGTGACGCCATTCCTTGACGGGAAAGGATCATACGAGCATGAAGGGGGATACTCCGATGGAAATGCGTGCAAAGGCGCCAGAGACTCAAGTGGGTTGCATCGGTTGTCTGTTATAGACATCTAGACAAGACCTTGTGAATAAAATGAAGATCAAGGGGATACTGCACTTACCATCTCGTCTCCTTGCTTGGTAGGAAGATCTGGAAGACTGGAATGCGCCGTGTGCGCCCTCCTTTCTTCCGGTACGATGAATTTCTCCATACGCTGGTACAGGTTATCCAACGGAAGAGTGGCACCCTCAGCCACTGGTTTCTTTCTTAACACCTGACCTTCTTTCTTCATTCTGTTACGCCTATTTTGAAACTTGGAATTTTCAAGATCAAGACCCAGTGTAGACCGATAACAATTCGTACCCAAACATGAATTTGACGATATGACATTGCTGATTTCTTTGCAAGGAAAGCTTTGTCTGCCTGAGTTGGAAACGGGTTCTCTGCGAAGAAGTATTCAAGCAACGGAACATATTCCTGTTACGATAAGATGGACAAAGACATTACACAGGGCTGGACGGGCGAAGGTAGAACACTAAACGCACATGATTAAATTTTGTGGTACCACTTGAACGTTGTGCATTGTCGACTGTCGATGAATGTTTAAGATACAAGACGACACAATCTTCTCTCCAAGCGGCAAGCTGTCTGAGGTATAGCTCGGTGAATGCGGGTAGGAGTTTTTGTTCGGGGACATAGCGAAACTTGGGCGAATACTGCGCCTGATTTGAGCATACATGGCCTACAGTTGAGTGACAGAAAGCTCGCAATTCAGCAGCCCGTTTCTGGTATTCTTGGTCCATCGCCAGTGAAATTTCTGGACAGGCACCAGCAGCCATAAGGGCAGGCTGTAATGGGGGCGGGTCGGGGAGGGAAATATTAGCAATAGGTTGTTGTGGAGAATATAATTGAGGTGTAATCGAGCGCGACGATGTTATAGATGGATGAGTACTGGTGAGGCATTGGATGTCTTGAACACGAAGTAAGATATGCTTTAGGATCGAGTCAACAGACGTCATTTGGTCTGTCGGAAAAGTTGGATTCAAGGGGTATGGTCGACCAGGTTGAAATATATCTTGCGGACAATGAAGATCAGTGTTTATTTTGCTGATTTGGTAATAAATTGTCAGTTAGCAAATTGAAATCCCGCATTGTCTGTCAAACACATACATACATACTTTAAGTCCCAACGACCGAGTCCACAATCTTCATCTCTCCATCAAATTTTACAGGATGGAAAAAGACATACGACAGCGCTTCCAACAAGCAGAGAACTCCCTACTTGATTCAATTTCGCTCGGCGAAGCCTCCTTGATATCGTTCCAGTCATCTTGGGATTCATTGCATGCAGATTATTCCCGTTGTCTCTCCGCAGGAGAACTATCCAACGACACCATATCACTCGCGAGCGCGGTAGCTTCAAGGGTTGTTCTCATCTCGAGCTGTTTTTCTGACTTACACAAAACAAATGAAGAATCAATGAACCTATTTCTTAATGACTTGGGGAGCATTCTACATGATCTCAATCGTGTCACTATATCGCCTTCATCAATACTCCCAACACAAAATGCACAATCAGCGGAATCTTCCTTACCCCCGTTCATCGAAACAGCTTACAAATGGCTGCTCGCTAATATCGACAACCCTTACCCATCTTCTGATACAAAAACAAGTATTGCCAAGAGCTCTGGATGTTCCTTGAACTCCATTTCTGTTTGGTTTGTCAGCGCTCGCCGTCGCATTGGCTGGACAACGATCTGCCGCAAACACTTCAACAATTGTCGAGCCGACACTGTTGATGCAGCTTGTCGTGCTCTGGTCAAAGAAGACCCTGCCCGCGTCCTTCCGCATCCTGTCTTCCACGACTTCCTGCAGATGAAGGCCGCCGCACATGACCTTTATGCCTCTATTTTCACCAAGAGCGCCCTTGCAGGCGACCTTGACGCAGTGGTTAAGGATATGACAGAAGCGGATAGGTTGCGACTGGACCAGGAGAAGAAAGAGCATGCACAAGAGGAAAAGAGACGACGTGAGGAAGACAAGGAGATGCGGAGACTACAAAGAGCGTTTGAAAGGCAGGCCCAGAAGACACACACAACTTCGTACCCATCTCCCAGTCATTCACGCTCTCCATCTCCCGTTCCTACGCTCGAACAATCATGGACAGACGAGAGCGAAGACGAGGGAGACGATTTCACTCCTCCCGTACTCGCTGGCCGGAAGCGGCGTGCCTCTACATCGCCTGAATCAACTGGTTATAGCCAATTACCATGTGCAGATCGGCCGATGAAACGCCTTCGGTAAGTCATCGTTTTTTCTCCAGCCAGCCATCACTGATTGTCATTCGTCAGGTCTAGTGCAAAGATCCAGACCCCTTCTGCGGAGATTCTCTCCTTACCATCACCCCCATCAAGTAGCGATGGGCTGGATGCCAATGATGGAGTCGAGATTGTGGCTCCGCCTCAGCCATCATCAGGGTCTTCACGAAAGCGAAGATTATCAGACACTGATACTCACGCTGTGCCCAAGCGTCCGAGAGGTCTCCTTAATGGACCCCGTGTTCATGCCGTGTCTGATCCTCTTCCAAGAGCATCCGTTCCTCTCGAGCCAGGCATCGATGACTGGTTCCAGACGAATTTCTTCGAGATTCCTGGTCCTGTCGAGAACGTCAGTTTCGATCAGTTTGCCCCTCTTGACATTGAAGTCTTCAACGGATACACATTCCCTGACACGCAAATAAATTCCGTCCAACAACCCTCTGAACAAAATTACACCCTGCCCACTCTGGTAGACCGTACGTGTTCTATTATATCCTAAGATCCCTGCTCATGAATCGACAGTTCCATTGTTCGATGAACATTCCCACGTTCCCCATTCTGCGCCACCTGGTGGTCTCGATCACCTTGACAATTTCCTCAACGCTTTATCTGCAATTGCTCCCGATAACTCTGGCGAGGCAGTTGCACCTTCTACAGCATTCAACATCATCTCGCAGCCCTCAGTTGACCTTGTACCTTCTAATTGTTTCAGTTGGACGGATTTCTTGAACACTGATCAACCCTTCCTGTCCGACATGGATCAATTTTCGCTGCCATCGTCTTGCGATGACTTCTCACAACTATTACCAGAGATTGATCTCTCTGCGATCCAGCTCCCCCCGTTATTATTTGCTCCACAACCTGAGCCTCCCTCGTCTGCCGATTGTGCTCGCTTGGCGAAGCTGGAGCAACTCCAACATCTCAGAGAGCAAACGCGGCTACTGGAGCAAGATCTAGCAGTGTCTGTGTAAGTGTTCTTTTTCTTTGTTGGTTGTTTTATTTACTCATTCCAGAGTTAGATGATCACCCATATGCTGCCCATATGCGTTATCCGGTTTATCTAGATATAAGTATTATTCATATCATATCTCTGCTCATCATCGTGCACATGGCACATTGCATAATATACCCTACATCTGCATCATCCATTATGTATGACACTCATCGCGCATTTACATTGTCTTTAGCATGTACACAATATTGTTTTCATTGGCTTTGCATTACGCTGTATGTACCGGAATCAATCAAAAGAAATATGTTGTAATTCCTGCAATAACCGTGCTCTAGGATCTAGTTTGAGAGAAAACATGCAGCGGTGGATAGTTTCATGTAACGTAGATCCTAATGTCTTTCCGGAACGACTCCATCTTCCATCCTCCATCTACCAACTTCTCGCATCGCCTCTGCGTCGCCGACCTCTAGCTCAGGTGCATCGAGCAGCGCGCTGAGCATCATCCAAGGGTCCCTCCCACCACCGTACCTCAGCACCTCCTGCTTGTATTTATCTCCCAGCTCGCGGTTGAGTGGGTCAGCAGAAAAGATCTTCCGCCACACGTGGGATGCAATAGCGCGATCGAAGTGATACGAGTAATACGTTGCACCGTACCCAAAGAGGTGCCCAAACTGGGTCTGGAACGACGTCCCAGGTGCATGCGGGATTAGCCCACGAGTGTTGTACAAGTTTGCGAGGGCGGTCGTCGAGTCGAAGCCCGGCTCAAGGACGGAGGGGGAATGGTATACCTGATCAAGCAGAGAAAGCAAGATGTGATTATGGGTATCGATGTACCGGCAAGGATCTTCGTGGTGGTTTCCGGTTTGGTTGATGATAGAAGAACCGTCGGTGTCGAAGAGGGAGAGAACTTTGGGGGAGTTGAGGAAGTGTTCCATGAGGATGGAAGGCAGCTCGACAAAGTCGGTCGCACAGCGCGTCCCTGAAACATTGTGGTACTCAGTCCGACCGATCATGGCTTCAAGTTTGTTATCTTGTCAGTAGTCATGAACACAGCGAGAATGAAAAACTCTCACAATGCATAGCATGTCCCATTTCGTGGAACAAAGTCTGGACTTCATACCATTCGAGAATGGTAGGGCCCCGAGCAATCGACGGCGATACAAAATCGCAAAGCAGGACTACCAATGGCAGCTGGAACTCACCATGCTCTCCGCGTAGTCTGTGCCGCTTAGTGGCTTCAAATTCGATAGAAGGACGAACGAATTCATCTGTTCCGGATATTCGCAGGTCGCCAGCTTCATCGTCATCGTCAGTTCGTCTTGAGCATCTGACAGTGTAATGAGCGGCTCCGCGTGACTTCCCGCTACGGGCGAAGAGATCAGCATATATCCAACCAACGACGCCTCTGTCTTCGTCAACCACTTCTAGTTTGTGTACGTCAGAGTGCCATACTTCGGAAGATGCGACATCAACGGGTCGTAACGTTATTCCATAGAGGTGTTTAAATAGCCGTGAAAGGCCCATAAATACACGCCCGAGTGAAAGAGGGGGGAGAGGAACTGGCGGTGCTGGCGGTTCGGGTGGACAATAATAATCCCTATCCCATGCCTCTATGATTGGGAGGTTCGTCGATTTAATATGCGCTTGCTTCCGCAAACTCAACGTATGCAATGCTTTGCGAGCAACAAGCGTGGTCCGATCCAAGAAGGTACCCAAAAAATGATTGACATTTTCTACGTAACTCGAATATCAGGACTAGCCGATATGCTACCGCACGTAACCGCTCACCCGGAGTTTTCGCCATCTTGTCGCTGAGCGTCATGCTGGCATAGCTGTCCCAGCCCACCAGGCGGCTTAGCTGTGCACGCGCGTGCAGTAACCGCTCAAGGCGGTCAATTTGTTCCGCACTGCTCGTATGACCTGCCATGTACACCTTTCTTCGTGGTTCTTCATGAGGCGCCGCGCGCATGATCATATAGGCTTGATGAGAGCCCGGATAGACTAGTAAGTCCTTCTGCGTAAAAAATGCCTGTCTTTTAAGACGAGCGCCCATCCCTTGGTCCTTCAAACCTTCGAGCTCAGATGGCTTGATCTTCACAGGTAGTCGCGGGGCAGAAGCTTCCGTGACAAACTCGTGACCCACAGACAAAATCTCGGACGAAAGGGATACAAATCTCTCCCTTTGTTCTGGGGGAAGCTTGATAGCAGACTTTTCGAAATCATGCCAGAATATGAGCGCGGTTTGAAGGGCCTCCTGACTGAGGGACTTGACGATTTCTGGGTCGTGTAGTACAGTGTGCAACACCTGGTAAAGAAGGTGACATCTTGAAGACAAGCAAAAGTGCATGACTCACTTCATATAACCCGACATTAGTATTTAGTACATTCATGAACTCGCATAATTTCTCATAACTCTCCGTAGCGCAATCCACCCACTGAGCATCAGGATGTGCATTCCGCAAGAGCTCTGCCAGGTCGATAACGCCACACAAGAGATCGCTAAGTCTGTCCAGGTTCTTGATTACTTTGAAGAGCTCGGATCGAGATTCCCTAGCCCGCAATATTCGTTCTGTTAGGAGTTGCGCGCGTACGAGGGTTGAGTCAGCGAGCGCACTGAATGCGGCCGGCGTTGTCAGTTGAGGGTGCTGAAAAATGCCTGTGACAAATAACGGTGAGGCTTTCTGCCCTGTTTGCGGTTGGTCGAAGAGAGAGACCAGTTCTGCATCGTCTGAGGACGGAGGTCTCACCAGAGTTGATGCTGTTCGGCGAACCAGACCAAGTTCGTGAGCGCGAAGATCACCACGAAACTTTGGTACAGATCGAGATATCTTCTTGAGAGCATTCTCCGCGATGCGTGCAATCATTCGATAGCGCTGGAGGTGGTCTTGACTTCTTCAAGCAAAGTCCGCCAAAGGCTTTCACGGTGAACTTTTGGTCCGATAATTGCACCCGCACAAGTACTTATTAATTATTACCTAAAAGCAATCGACCAACAACCGGAGGACACGCGCGCTCTGAATCGGCCTTGAAACAAAATCCTCCAGCTGTCATTAGGAAGGTTGGTTACACTTTTAAAAACATCAATGTCGTGGCCGCTAATCAAACGCCCATGGGGGTACAAGATGAGGTGATAAGCTTGCAACATTTTGGAAAAAAATTGAATAGATATATAGTACAGATGTGGAGGATCAAAAGTCCACTGCTTTATCATCACTGCAAGACTTACATAGGTCGGAGGTGTAAGGAGTAATAAAATGAATGATTAGACTAGGCTGATCAATGGATGAGGCTTTGCTGGTATGTGGAATATTATGGAGTGCGAGTAAAATGGTGAAAAAAAGAATAAAATGCCATGAGTCGAATGGAGCGATGAGATGGAAAATTATGCACTCCGCAATCCTTCCAGGGGGACTGGTGACAAACTGAACTCTCTCTGACCGTCGATGTCCATCTCATCTCCTTTGCCATGTGTCGGGATCGAAGTGTTACTACTGGTGCCGGAGGGGCCGGTATCTCCGTTGTGTTCATGACCGTTCAGGGAGGTTGAACCACTGCCACCAGGGGGGAGGACGTCAGAAGGCGCAGAGATCGGTTCCACAGCGTAGAACCAAAACTTGCTCTTCTTTTTCCCTCCGAGCTGTTCAACTGCAATCTCAGTTGGTTTGACAGCTGCTGCGCCGTTTGCTTTTGCCTTTGAAACGCCGTTTGAATGTTCGGCTGGCAAGACTGGGGGCCAGCCTGCAGAAGTAGAACTCATCGTGCTTTCTTCCGTCCGCGCACGTTTTAATGGACGTTCCATAGGTATCTCTTCAGAGGGGCCAAGGCGAGCTGACCTCCTTTCGCCTTTCCATTCAAAAGCAGACAAATCAGGGGAGGGTCGCTTGGCTTTTGTGGCGCGAGTGGATCTCCGCTGCGCAGTAGCCCCCGGCTGTCGACGGCCGTGTGATCGGGAGCCACTAAAGGTGTCCTCCCCGAACTGCTCGTCATCATAGTCATTGTCTTCCTCAAATTGATATTCATCGGCGTCATCCTGATCGTAAAAATAAGTTAGCAATCGAAATTGAACTTGATGCCAACCGCTTGCCTCCCCGCTTTCGGCGTCATGGTACACGTAGTCGGGCCGTCGAGTTTGCCGCCGTGTGCGAGTCTGTCGAATTTCAGCTTGCGCCATGAGTATCTGACGCTGCTCTATTTTCTTGCGGGCCCTTTGTACGCGCTGAACAATTGGTTAGTAAGCGATTCAAGTGGGAGCAGGATATATCTATTATTTACTACCGATCAGGACAAACAAATACTCACCGCTAAGTCCGCGTCAATAATGTCTATCCGACTTTCGAGTGCCTTGACGAGTGCAGTATGGGCCTGTTCTAGCTTGTTTTTACGATCGCCTTGCGGGGAAGATGCCTTCAGCTTCTCAATCACGGCAAGGTACTCTTCACGCGTTGAAGAGACTGCCTGGAAGGTCGCAGTGATTTTCCAGGGGTTAGTTGAAACGTATATCCGCGGGGAATCTAAGATAGATTACAACGGGAGTCAGCCGGAAATCGTTACAGACGGCTAACGCCGGATAACATGGGGGCCAAAAAAATGCGGCCTCGCACCAAATACACACAAATACGAAAGAGGGCGAGGAGCTTGAAATGAAAGACACACGAACCATCTGCAACCCAATACCGCTTGCGTTGTGCATCCTGGCCTAATGGAACGAGTTGCAGATTCTGCTGGCTCTTGGAATCATTGGATTCAGGAGGTGCATTTTCAGGGTCTTTCTTCTTGTGCTTGTTCTGCATCACGCCCCACGCACGATCAACAGTGCTTTTTATGTCAATGGAGTGCGTAAGCTGCAATTCCACGAGCTGGCGAAGAACTTGGAGCTGTATGGAATGTAACGTGACGCGCTCTCAGGGGTAATTCGTACAGCATGGCAAGACAATGACAAACTTTGAGATCCCAATCGGCTGTGAAAAACCCGCCTTCTAAATCGGCAAAAGGGTTCACATTCGCCCTTAGTTCGTCGTCCCAGAAAACAGTTCGCTCCGATGCCTTGAATGCGTCTGCAAGGACAGCATGCAAAGTGGCAGAGATCTGATCAAGACTGACAAAACACAACGACGGTCAAACATTCCCCTTGTGTGAACGAGCTGTAACAAACAATGCTCACCTCAAATTACGCGTCTGCGGGCGCAGATTCAGTATGAACTGTTGTAAAATCTTTTGGAGTATGGGATCTGGGCCATGCGTCAAGAGGGCATTTTCAAAGCTGTCATCGGGGCAAATCGCGTGTTCAGTTGACGCGAGTGAGGTGCATGTAGTGCGGGTGTGTGCTCACTCCATCGGTGTTTCCAATCCCTCCACCTTCGACCTCAGATTCGAGAACTTGCATATGAAGGAATACACAAATAGTGACTCCCATCTATCGGAAGGGTGTTTAGCATTTGAGGGAGGGCAGATGTGCCCTTTCTTTTCTGTCTGCGGTGCAGCAGACATGATGCAGAGAATGAACGTGAAGGAAAGGGTCAAGAGTGGTCACGGATTTATGACCCGCATCATCCGTGGCTACTTATATCAAACCAACCTATACAAATATGTGGCAATAGTGGAACCCCAGGCACTTCGCGTGTAAAATACATGAATTTCAAGCAGTCTACAAAGACATGATGATGATATGAAGATAGTCGTCGCCACTGAAATTCTGCATCGCGAGCCCGCACAAAACCAGAGTCTTCGACCCGAACACCGTGCTGAACGCGAATTTTTGCAAATATTATCCTGGACCAACCTAAAGAATGTCGTGAGACTTTGCACGGACCATCATGAAATCGTACTACACACCTTGGGAATGTCGTGGTGCTCACTGAGCGACTCAAGCTTGGCATTCAGCTCGTTAACACGATCCTTGTGTGTCTTGCGTGCCAATTGAGCCACTTTACTTTCGAGCTGGGTTTTGAAGTCAATATACGGAGAGCTTTTTTCTCGACCGCAAAACTCACCCTTCGCCTTTGCGCTTCCTCAAAACGTCGCTCCGCGTCGGTTTTTCTGTCATTATTCCCAGGTAGAGCAGGAGAATTACTCCCCGACGCTGAGCCACTAGCAAGTTCTGCCTCCTCTTTGAATAATAATTCCTTCACTCGTTCACGCTCGCGGTCCTTCGTACTATCAGATTGTGAGTTGGGTTTGGGTTTAGATTTCTTCTTTCTGCTTATCTGTCAGATGCACTGAATAGTAAGAACTGATGATACACACTTCTTGACGATACCTCCTTCAGCAACGCCGCCCTTGAACTTGAGTGAGCCTCCTGGGCGAAAATCGTAGTCTGCCATCGGGGGCTGCCTGAGCAGATGACAAGGAGAAGTAAGGAAGGTCTGCTGACGTAAGAAAGTCATTGTGCTTACAAGCAAACAGCAGCAAACTTGCAGTACAGTTTGCCCTGCGACATCGGGCTCATTCAGTGCAACAGTTTCAAGGACGCTCTCGACGACAGCCACGGTCTCCAGTACACTCGTGAGATTTGGCTCTAACTGGGATCTCTATTAGCCATACCCGACGGTCTTCCCTGATTTTACCGTGTCGCAATGGCTATCCTTTCGACGCCGCTGCAATATATCAATTCTGTACCACCAGTGACGCGTTTTTTCACTGCGGCTACCTTAGCTTCCTCGGCATTGTATCTTTGGATAAAATGGACACCAGGCTATGTCCCAACCCCATACTTGACTTTGTCGCCTGGAACAAGCCTGTTCTTTCCTTGGACATTGGCAACTTCAGCCCTGGTCGAAATCAGCGTCATCGAGGCAAGTATTGTTTTATCGATGATTGAAAACGAAAAATATTGATACTGAACATTTTTGAAAGCTCATTATCTCGCTTCTTGTCATTCCCGCTTCGTTAACTTATTTTGAGCGCCTGTGGGGGACTGTCGAAACTCTGAAGTTTATTGTCGTATGCGTGACTGGACCGAATATCATCGCGTGCGCCTTCAACTGGATTGAATTCGCTGCGACGCGTAATGCCGAGTTGTTCTTGTAAGTTTCACACACATCTTGCGACAACAGCACCTCACATCCTTGGACAACGCAGATATGGCATGGAATATCATGGTCAAATGGCACTATTTATCAGTCTGCTTGTTGCGTTTACTCAAGTTATTCCCGAACACCAAGTGCAAATTTTGGGCTTCATCAAGGCCCGCGTCAAGGTAAAAAAAATTCATCCATCACTTGCCAATCTCACTCCGTCTGTAGAGGCTTCCTATGGCATACTTGACTTTTTCGACCATTATGACATTGCTTGGCTTCCAATGCCCATATATTCTCATTCAGTTTGGCTGGTTTGTGTCGTGGATATATCTCCGCTTCTATAAGCGCAGTGTTAGCGACTCCCTAGGAGGGGTAGTGACATATGGAGACCGGAGCGAAACATTTGCTTTGACAAGCTGGTTCCCTCCGTTCCTCCAGTGAGTATCTCAATTTTTTCTTGCCACAGATACCGATCCTCTCCCCCCCCCTAGCACACCGCTATCAATGCTCGGACACACAGTGTACAAACTTGCAACACGTTTCCACCTTATTCCTACTTCTGTGCCTCATGACATTGAGTCTGGTGGGTATAGTCAGGTCCCAGGTGGAGCTCGAGCCGAAGCTGAAAGGCGACGGTCAGTGTTCGCTTCTCTTGCCCAATCAACCACGCTAACTCTTTCTTTCAGGGCACTTGCACTGAAGGCACTTGACCAGCGACTGGCCAACTCCTCCAGTGGTTCGCCAACCCAGAGTGGAGCATCTCAAGCCCAGTCTTCGCGACCCTCTCCAGCCGCGCCTGCCCCAGCACAAAATGAAAGAAAACCTAGCCCTGTGGAGATGGACGTAGCAGACACATCAGGTTCTGACGATGAGAGACGATAGTGTACGGCTTAATGATCATCTTCAGCAGCTAATATCCACGGAGTACATCTCACCTCTTCACTTTTACTTTGTCCAAATTACATAGCAATAGCCTCGTGGTTACGTAATATACCAAGACTGTTGTCCACTGGCACGACTTGTTTCCACCAGCGTGAATCTTATTGTCGGACATTAACGATCTTGTATGTATGGCTCGGCGACCATCAACCGTATCGGTTGCATCGTTTGGTTCGATCAAGAGCCTTGCAGAACCATCCCATTCGACTCCAGCATCAACATTCGCCCCGTCTCCTTTAGCACTGAAGTTCCCTCATTCAGTCTCATTCACCTATTCCTCGAGCGTGCAATCCACCAGGGTACAAGATGAAACTGCGGACATAAACCCAGATGAACTCTTCGCGAAATTTACTATTCCCGAGGTTAGGGCGAAACAAGTTCAGCTAAGGTGTGTCAAAGACATACTCTTGCCAGTCGCCTTGGCTCAAAACAAGACCTCAGATCTGATGCTGAGGCCAAGCAGGAGGAGCTTCGTGTTATGGTCGGGTGCGTGCTCTTGCGCGAGTGCAATTCGCGCTTTGACTGTACTTTGAAAGCGTAGGGAACGATATCGCGATCTCCTACAAGCCTCAACGTCCATAATTTCCATGTCTAAGTCCGCAAAGCGTGTACAAGAGGCATTCCAGGAGACTAAAGATGCTATTGCGTCTCAGCAACAGCCGTCCAGGCGAAATCCTACGTCCAATGTAGGCAAGGAAGGTCAGTACTAGTCTGCACTATGGCATTGCATGACTTCACATTCGTATTTCAGACTCGCACTTGCAAACATTACAAGTACTCTCTGCCCACATAAAGCTACTTCTTGATGCTCCAGAACATCTGTGGAGGCTTATTGAGAGAGAAAAGTATTTCCATGCCACCTGGTTATATATGTTGGCACGTGTCGTGCACCGGGCACTTTCTCATGATGACGACCAAGATGAGGAGAGTTGGTTAAATCAAGGCATCAATATCGCGGTAAATTCGACACTACGTTCCTCTCTCGCCTTCTGACATTTCGCATTCAGGAACAATTTCCGCTCATCCAGCGACAATGGGAGACTATATCTCATTTCCGTTCTCAGATTATCCATAGAGCCACATTATCTCTGAGGACACATGAGAAGTCACCCGAGGTTCGCTTTTTTACTTTGCGCGTTTTATCTTCTCATGATCCTAATCTAGGACACCTGCGCAACTATTCTGACTCTCCATATCCTCGAGTTGAGACCTTTGACAGACACTCTGACGATGTATCTCTCCCAAAGAACGCGGACTGTGCATACACTGGTTTCAAAAAACTCAACTATCATGGCAACTACAATCCTCAATGGCATTCCTACGACACAGATGAACGGTCATCCTACAGGGGTTTCCAAGCTGGCGCAGTCTACAAGCATACCTCCCAATAACAAACTTCGAGATGTGAAATCCTCGCTGTTAAACCTTGTGGAGGTCATATCAAGGACCGTGAATTGCGCCCGGAGTGTATTCCAAAGTCAGAGACCCACGCAGCTAGCCCTGGCAATCCGCGTACTGGAGCAGATGCATACTGAATCGCCCGCCGTATCTGACCTAGAGATTGCACTTCCCTCTGAACTGGCTTTGAGTACCCAGACGGTTCTTTCTGGACTTCCATCGTCGTCATACTTGGTTCTCCTTCCAGCTGGCATCAGGTCATACAAACCGTATGTTGAATTATCTTCCGCTTCATCTACCGTGCCAGGACACTTTCTGGAGGATAAACTACGAACTTGGTTTGACCAGTCCTGCTCTATACTTCGGGATTCTTTGGATCGCTGGTTGCTGGAGTTGGACAATGTGAAGAGTGTCTGGAATATTAGGTCCTCCTTGCGAAAATGGCTGCTCAAATCGGGTTTGGTAACAACGGAACAGACAGCACTCGATACTTTATTCGAAGAAGCTGTCAGAAAACGAGTTACCACCATCTGGACCGATACTGTTTACCGGGCGAAAGAGCAGTTCTTGAAGGCATTGTCTTCACTTACTTCTACTAGTGGAGTCGTTGCGGAAGGTATGTATCTAGGTGCTCTTTTCAAGAACGTGATTCAAAAGAACCGCTCGATGATCAGATTTTTCTCCTCTAAACAGCGTATATGTGTCCCGCTCCGTTCCACCCCCACCCCCAGCAGGAAATGGATCTTCAGCGTACGAACTCCCATACCAAAAATATAGAGCGGCTTTGCAATCACAACTTCGTGGTCGGACACCTCGCCTGCAGACATTTTTAAGTATTCTCGAGGAGTCTGCAGCTTCATTGCAAAAAGACTACGCTCGTATTAGCTCAGATGAGAGTAGCAAGTACGTTCACATCTTTGTTTTAATTGACGATTTTGATCAACCTGCGACATCTAGGAGGCTGGTTTTCAATCTGGTTGAGGCACATCTCCCGGAGGCGAAGACTTTCTGCTCCATGATCGCCGGCGCTCTTGCTTCAACTGCTGATGAACTGATGAACCAGCCAGGTAAGACGACACTGCATCCAAATGCTCTTCAAACTCACCAGTAGCAAAAGACACCATTAGCGCTATGAGAAACATGATCTTCCTCAGTCGAGTGGCGATCGAAATATCATTGGCATCGCCTTTCCTTGACAATATAGGTTGTGATGAGGTTACTGCACTGGGTATGCTCATCGTCATCAAACATACCTCATTGTTAACATCAAATCGTGTTCAGAATTTCGAGACAAAACCGGTTTGCTATTTGATCGAATCATCAACCGGTGGAAGGAGCACACTATTTCTTCTGCTATCTCAGTATATGAAAAGGACGCAAAATTCTTACATCTACCACTTGCTGGTCAGTTTTTTTGCTTGCCTTGCAAGACATTTTCTGACACCGTCCAGCACCCCCTGTTACAGGGCCGTCACCAGCCCTGATGGAAAGCATACATGCTTTATCAACTTCCTTGCATAGCTTGGGTCTCACGCACCATCCGTCACAACTCACCAGCATAGCGTCATCGCTCCTTAGCCTATTCATCGACACATTTACACATGCTATGCTGAACGGTGATACAAGTCGGAATGTGCAGATATTAAATGATGCAACCTTCCTGCGATGCCTTGCGTCGGCCTGGCCTCCTGATGCACTTGAGTCATCTTCGCTTGACAAATTGATCGTTGCGCTGCAGCCTGCAGTACGTGCCCGTCATCATTGCGATGTAACATCTTAATAATGGGATTTACAGGTCCAATCTTCAAGGGGCCATCTACAGCCCGATCCAGAACAAGCTGCCAAGGAATACTTGACGAGGACTCAGATGTTACTTTCAGCGCTTGTTCCGCCTTCCTCTTCCATGCAACCCGTAAAGGAAGGTGCAGATAAGATGAGTGCGCTGCTGACCTACGGTGTGCCTGTGGCAGACACCACATTTTTACCAGCTGTGGAGCTTGCCAAAGTCTCTACTCGGTTCCCTTTACTGCTGGTGGAGACTCGATAGGGGCTGAGTGGATTCATGTGACGTTTGCGGCTATTTCTACAATATGGACTTGTTTTGATTAACACATTGATATTGTGCTCTCAGGATATCATTCGACGATTGTCTGCATTTGCTCGTGTTTGGATCCTCAAACGCGTTCTACGTTCTGTGAATTTCTTGCATCTATCCCAAGCGATGTCGTTCAACTTCCATCAACCGGGTACAGATGAACGTACGTAAATAATAAGATTGGGACTTGGCCTCAGCGGCAGAGGACAGATTGCTAGATCCGCATGATATTAGCAGCTGCACTAGCGTGATGATCGAGTCACTGTCATTTCTCCCACTACAATTCTACGTGGTTGATCAGTAACCAAGCCTCACTAGCCGCGCGGGTCTATGGTCGATTTCTATGTATCCCGTAAGTGGTTGGTTTAGTGGTGAGTCTTTACTGCTAAGAGTTCTGCCAAAGACCCGACTCCACCAAACCTTAAGCATCTTATCTCTGTCTATCTCTTCCTCTTAATAAGTGGGGGCCATATTATATTGCCGGTCATCGTCACTACTGCCCTACTTCACAAGAAGTTGTGCTGGCATCCAACTTTGATAAATCTGTGCATGACTTGGGTGTTCTACTCGATAATACACTCTCTCTAGTAAGTGGCTCTAATCTTCTGAATTCCGTCAAATTGATTCTAGCATTATACATCTATCAGTCTGTACACAGGAGAAGACACACATCATCGCTACCGAACAGTCTGCATGGCGCAAGCAGCCATGATATATGGAGCTGCCCCGATGTGAGTTGTCATCTTGTGAGGAAGCTTGGTGCATGTTTCACTGTCAGCCAGGGCCACAGTTGCGGTTGTCGGTGTTGCTATCCATGTAGGTCCCTGCGGTAGCTTTCTCGCGCCATAATGTTTGATGTGAATAATTCACAGACCTGGACAACCATTCAAAATTTTGAACACCACTTTGCTGAGAAGTTTCCTCGATGGCTTTGCAGGTTCCTGGTGGGTACATGGCAGAATTACATGGATTGATTTGAAATGGACTAAGTAGGTCCATTCAGATAATATCACCGCCATATATGGTGTTTGCGGGGTTTTCCATCGGTGCATGGATTGTCTGTAATCTAGCTCACGACGGGAAATTGCGTTTTGACGAGATATTTGCAGTTAACAGAACTTCACAAGGGCTCTGCACAGCCGTTGAATGGTCTTTTCTGCACGTTTTATGTGCACTCACTGTGAGTATACATGCGCATATTTCATCTAGTGCTTTCAAGACATGCTGACCGAACCTTTTAGAGCCTTGGCAGTTCCAGCGTTCTGCGTTGCGATGATGGCATTGGTATTGTGCTTTGAAGGTAACTTGATAGGTGTCGGGACACTTACAATGACAGACTAATCGTGTATTCTCTTGCAGCGGCTATCACCATCCAATACTACCACAGATGGAAACATATCCAGAATTCATTCCCGCTCATAGGACCTAGACGACCTTCAACCTCACTCATTTTCAGAGTTGGCCTGTTTTGCCTGTATTCGTGGGCAGCTCTAATGTGTGTTGAAGATGATTCGTGGGACTTGCGGGATATACTCATAGCCTACTAGGGCAGCCATTGTGTTTTTGACTGAGCAGCCCATAGCCGAAACTTATCATATAATTCCTGCAGCTCGTGAGGAATTTTTAGCTTCATTTGGGAGAATGCGACCTTGAGACATTCAATTCCTATAGTGCCTTTGGCTTCAGCACTCGTATTTGGACTACAAAAGGTACGAGAATGAGTGGGCATGAATATTGTGAAATGTGTTCTGACGGACATAACAGGATATGATCTGCGCGTGGTTCCCTTGTCTGCGTAAGCGCAAACTGCCTGCTGAAGCAGCACCAGAGATTCCGAATGCCCGTCCTGCAGCCTCAAATTCATTACTACGAGCCGCTTCAGCTGAACCATAGCAGGCAGGGATCACATATATTTCTCTCACGCGCACGCTCGCCATTGAGAGCCACCCGCCAAGTGACTTTCAATACAGGAGTACGGAGGACCGCATCGCAGTATTCTGTGGATTAATATAGTCTGATGCATGCCTATCATTTGACAAGTGACTAGGAATGCGGGAAAGGAGATACGATACAGAGCGCCTGTCCAATTGAACCCGAGGTATACGACACGCAAGGATGGGACACATATTAACGAGAGATATAGATCATGCCCCTCCGCTGTCCGGACATGAGCACAGAGCAGCACTTTAAAAAATAGTAAAACGTACACGAGAATGTTATTTCTTGAAAAACGATGTCAGTTTGCGAAGCATGAGAGGCGACGTGTAAGACGCACATTGGGATGTGGATGAGTTTTACGAAGTATCCAATGAAACCCATGACAGCAAAGCCAACAGCGACCGCCCTGCAGATCTGAATGAATTCTGTAATTGTACTTTCAGCATCATGTGTGATATGTAGATGAAACTCAGAACGCACCTTTTTGCGTGGGTTTCGTGCAACGTGTAAGGAACTGGCAGGCAGAACAAGTCAGTAAGCTTCAAGCATGAGCTTAGCGACACTAACCTGGTTGCCGTCGCGAACGAACTGCTGAGGAATGTCGATGAACTCCTTCAATTTTTCAGACATGGTAGTAAATAAGTGAGAAATGCGTTCTTGACGGTGCTTGAACACGTCTTCTCGATAGTTTTCCCACGGCACTTTACCCTTCCTTTGCAACTAAGTTGGTACGGCTGCACTGAAAACATTTGGAATTAGACACTGACTGTCCATATTTTATCTGACAGGCAAAACTACTAGCACAGGTATCTGCGCGCGCATGAATGTCCCTTAGCCACGCTGTTGCTCGGTTAGGATACCCTGCATGCTCTTTCACCCGTTCCGTCTCGAGGCCACCTATTTTATGCCGTGCAGCACCCGCCTTTCGCGTCAAGGGGGACCAGAGGCGATTCTTGATTACCAACCACGACCCCTCCCTTTCCTATGTTGCAGATGTCGGTGTCATTGTTGACAAAATCCGGCGGTATATCCCCACAGCAAATGTTGGCGCTCTGCACCAGCAGTTTTACGGCCTATTTCGCGTGTTGAACGACGAAGGAAAGGATAAACCTACGGTTCCACCCCTCACACAAGAGGAGATCCACGACGCGCTATCAGTATTAGCTATGTCGGGCAGGCCCCATGATTTGGATATGGTGGTGAAAATCCTCGTCGACTTGCCCATGCTTTGCGGTGTCGAAGTGGGGGTGAGGGTATACAATGTCATTCTCCGCGGCCTGATCAAGAACGGCAACCCGCAAACGATTTTCAACTGGCTTATGGACATGCCTCAGAAGCCGAGAAACATAACGCCCACCCTTCTGCAATGGCACATGTTCTTCGAGTGGTGTGCTGAATCTGGCCTAGTGAAGTTTCTTCATCATAGCATCTCCAAGATGCATCGCTCTGGACGTCGTCCCACCATCAAAACATTTGAAATTTTATTCAACGCCCTCTTCGACACTGGTGCTCCAATCAAGAAAATTTATGACGCACTAGATATCATGGAACATACCTCATTGACATACGATGAGAACTTCGCGAAATTTCTCTACGATGGATTTGTCAAACTTGGTCTTGCGGATCGAGCTCAGGAGATTAAAGACGTATATTGGAAACGTTTTAGGGCAAGGTCGAGGACGACGGATCCCAAAATGATCGAGTGGACAGAGAGCATAGAGAGAGAAGCCGAGAACAGTGGTATCGCTGCAGCTGTAACTCTATGCAAGTCATTGCAAAGAGATGGTTTTAGACCCAATCCGCACACTCTCACACTTCTAGTCCGGCATACTCATCGTCTCGACCACCTTCGATATGCGGAAACTGGACTGCGCCTGAAGGCATCCGTAGTTCAGTGGGCTATCTTGATCAGTAATGCCGTGCGTATCGGCGACCTGACAGGTGCTCTGTCAATCTACGAGGAGTCCAAGGCTACTGGGATTACTCCCGGTACGCCCTTGGTACACCCACTAGTCAATGCCCTCTGCACCACTTCGAGTACTCTCGATGACGCTGCAATTGACCGAGCATTAGAACTCTACAAGGACCTTGCTGAGGCTGCTCCCATCACCCAGTCAAAGCAAGAACCCCAACCTCCGGGGCGCCGACATTCCTCGGGCCCAGATGCCAACCTCTATAACATCTTGTTCCGCGCTTTCGGTGCTTCCAAGAACGTCGAAAAATATTATCCTATTGCGCTTTCCCTTCTTGAAGACATGGAGGCCAGAAATGTTGAATTCGACAGCCCGATGGCCGTTTCTGCCCTGGCAATCGTTGCCATGCGGTGTACTTCCAGCTTCGATGGCGCATTGAAGGCCTACAAACAAATATGCAAACGTCCCAATGCGCCTCGCCTCGATGCCAAAGGCTACCAAGCCATCCTTCATACCCTGACCCAGCTCTCATTCGGAGGCCAGGAAACATTACCGTCCGTGTGGCACTATTTCGAAGTAGTGAAGGATATGCAGATGGCAGGGGTTGAGATCACAGCTCCCGTGTACACTATCCTCCTCCGACATCTCGCGTTACTCTCAGCGGAACTGCCGCCTGAGGAGCGTGATGCCCTTGCAGCGGCTGTGCGAAGGGCGCATGACCACCTAACGCTCGACCCCTCCTTCACGCCTGATACAGTGCTTTGGAACCAGCTGATGGACAGCTACCAGCGCGTTGGCCTGTTCGCGGAGGCATACCGCGTCTGGGAAATGCTCTTTATCACGGGGCGCTTCAATCAAGCGAGCGTCGCGATTATCATTGATGCATGCGGGTTTGCGAGTGCATGGCCCATGGCTGCACAGGTGTGCCTGAAGCTGTCCAAGCTCGGGTTCAAGTTTAACCTGCGGACATGGAATGCGTGGATAGAGTGCATGTGTCGAGTTGGGAAGCTTGATGATGCGCTCAAGGTTGCGTGTTTGGAGATGGGGAAAGACCAGCCGAACGTTGCGCCTGATGTTAACACGGTCAAGGTACTTCTTTCGTTCGCTGCACGGACAAATCAGCAGGACGAGGTGATGGACCGCATCAAACGGTATCTCCCTCAGCTATGGCATACGTTACCCAAGGAACTCGACGGATATTTCATCAGAGAGCACACGACAGTAGACTCAAAATGATCATCGTAACTCTATTCGTGATGGTGAATACAATAATAATGGTATAAGTGTACAAAGCGTGTGGTTGAGCATTACGCGTGACGAGTGTGTGTTCTAGAGGAGTAGAAAGACCCAGAGCAAGAAAAAGTCTAGAGATGGTGATAACATAAGAATAGCTTACGAGGACGCAAGTTCCTCAACTGTCGGGCAGTCGCACTGGAAACAGGAACGGTAAGCTTGGAAGAGCAATTAAATTGTTTGCTTACAATAAGGTTAAGGTCGCCGTAGGCTGGATGATAGAAGATAAGCCATGCATTACATACCACTTACTAGACAGCTTACCGTCGTCTATGCGAGAAACAGTTGGCCAGAACTTCTTCTCGCGGAGCCATGGCATAGGATATGCAGCCTCTTCGCGCGTGTAAGGACTACAAGGGGCGTGTCAGCCATACTACGAAACGCAACCTCGGGAGACCACCAACCGGTTCCATTCCTTGTCAGATGCAACCATGAGCGAAAGCGGATGCGGTGCATTCTTGAGCAGGTTGTTATCCTTGGGTTGCTTGCCAGTGATGATATCTTCCGCTTCCTTCCGAATCTGAATCATAGCATCGCAGAATCTGTCGATCTCTTCGAGTGTTTCGGACTCGGTAGGCTCGATCAGCATACAAGTAGAGATGGGCCATGAGCATGTAGGAGGGTGGAAGCCGTAATCCTTGGTGCGCCAGTCAGCAACAACAACACCCAATTCTAAGGACACACACCTGCACCCGCTTCGCGAAATCCGTCACCTTTAACCCTGCAGCCTTATCAAACTCCGCGAGGTCGATCAGCAGCTCATGAGCGACTCGCCCGTTCTTGTTCTTGAACCGGAGGCTGTAGTGTCCTGCAAGTCGGTGCGCCATATAGTTGGCATTGAGGAGAGCGATGTTGGTGGACTCTGAAAGGCCGTTGCCGCCGAGCATCTTGATGTAAGCCCAGGAAATGAGGAGGATGGATGCACTGCCGAAGGGGGCGGCAGAGACAGCATCGATGCCGGCATTGCCGCCGGTCTTAACAAGGGGATGCGAGGGAAGGAAGGGTGCGAGGTGCTTGGCAACACAGATGGGTCCGACACCAGGTCCTCCGCCTCCGTGGGGACTGTGAAAAGTACTTGAGCATATCTCAATACAAGTCATTGCTCGAACTCACATTGCAAAGGTCTTGTGCAAGTTGAGATGGCAAACATCGCCTCCGCAGACCGCGGGGTTCGTCAGTCCAACCTGTGCATTGAGATTTGCACCGTCCAGGTATACTTGTCCACCACAGTCATGAATGATCTTGCAGGCCTGTGACGCATACTTGAGCATTCTAGATAAGCATGGCAGATAAGGATACGTACATCAGCAATACCATCTTCAAAGACACCGAACGTCGAGGGGTATGTAATCTGTCCTGGGATGAATTTTAATCCTAATCAACACCAACTTAATATTCACCATGAAGACCGCGAGGTTATCTTTGTGTTTCTCGGCCTTTGTCTTCAAGTCTTCCAGATCCAAGTTCCCATCTGCATGTGTCTTGACCGGGACAACTTTCAAGCCCGCCATGACAGCCGACTATCACCTCCATCAGTTTTATCACTTGACAGACGACAATACGAGACACACCGCAGGATTCGTGCCGTGCGCACTAAGGGGTATCAAGCACACATCGCGGTGTCCCTCCCCGCGGGAGTCCTGGTATGCACGGATGACAGTCAAACCAGCATATTCACCTGCCGCACCCGAGTTCGGCTGCACAGAGCATGCATGGAAACCGGTGATCTTGCAAAGGTCGTCTTCCAGTTCCTATTAATAATATTAGTTGACGTATTTGTCCTGATTACGGCTCAACATCACAAACCTTGATGATCTTCCTGTATCCCTCAACCTGCTCGTGCGGTGCAAACGGATGAATACCGCCAAACTCGGGCCACGTGAGTGGGATCATGCTGCTCGTGCTATTAAGCTTCATCGTGCAGCTGCCCAGCGGGATCATTGCATGCACAAGACCGAGGTCCTTGCTCGCAAGATGGAAGATGTACCGGAGCATCTCCGTCTCGCTGTGATGCTTGTTGAATACGGGGTACTGGAGGAACTTGGACTCGCGCACGAGCTGATGAGGGAAGGCAGGTTCCTTGGGGGCGGGAAGGTCGGCGAGATTGGGCTCTGGACCCGAGGCGGCGATGTGGAACGCGCGTATGAGGGATAAGAGGTCTTCTTGGCCTACTGACTCGTCGAGAGTGACACCAACGGTATTCCTGTCGACTCTTCGGAGGTTTAGGCCCAGCAACGCAGCAGCGGCATGCATGACTTCGGCATTCGCGCAGTGCTTCGAGACGTCAATAGTGAGCGTGTCGAAGTAGGAGGACGCGTTTATTACGCGGAATCCGAGGCGTTCGACGGCAAACTTGAGGATCTGCGTGAGGAAGTGTACTTTCTTCGCGATGCGCTCGAGTCCAACGGGGCCATGATATACTGCATACATAGCGGCCATGTTGGCGAGAAGGGCTTGCGAGGTGCAAATGTTGCTAGTGGCCTTTTCACGGCGAATGTGCTGCTCTCGGGCTGCACGCCATTGATGAGAACACGGCATAGAAAATAATAGGGAGGACCTACTCTGCAACGCCAGCCTATATGCGGGGTTACCCATGGTATCTTTGCTCAGACCAATTAAACGACCAGGCATTTTGCGCTTAAGCCTCTCTGAAACGGCAAAGAAAGCACCATGAGGACCTCCGTAACCTGCAGGAACACCAAATCGCGCAGAGTTGCCAAGAACGATATCGGCACCCCATTCACCCGGAGGCTGCAGAAGTGTCAAAGCAAGAAGATCTGTCGCGACAACGACCAGTGCGCCTGCTTCATGCACCTGCTTCGTGAAATCGCTGTAGTCTGTAACGAGGCCATTCACGTCAGGGTATTGAACAAGGACACCGGCGATATCGGCGCGTAACGCGTCATGTTTAAGTGCATCAGCCGCGTCGCCGACGACGAGATTGATGCCAAAGCCCTTGGCACGCGTCTTGAGAACAGAAATGGTCTGCGGAAGGACTGCCTTGTCGACGAAGAATGTCTTCTTCTTCTGGTTAGACTGCACGTATGCCATGACCATGGCTTCTGCGGCAGCGGTTGCTTCATCGAGGAGGGACGCGTTTGAGATGTGCATCGCTGTAAGGGACATGATCATCGTCTGGAAGTTGACCAATGACTCGAGACGACCTGTTGGCACCGTTAAAAGAAATGATATAGCAAAATAAGTGAAACTAACCCTGGGCAATCTCAGGCTGGTACGGAGTATAGGGGGTATACCACGCAGGGTTCTCCATGACCTATGGACATGATCAACACTATATCGGAGTAGCTGATAGCGTGTAACACACATTCCGTAAGATAACGGGGGGCACGACGGCATTGTGGTATCCCATCCCAATGAAGCTCTTGAACTGCTCATTTTTCTGACCGAGCCTTTTCGCATTTGCATGAAGCTCTGTCTCGCTCAATGCTGGGATGGACGCGTTACTGATGGTGGAGCCAGCAATGCGAATGTTCTGCGGCACGGTAGCAGCTAGAAAAGACTCCATGGAGTCAAAGCCCAACTTTGAAAGCATGAACTCGGTCTCATTATCGTCTGGTCCAACATGCCTATCAGTAAAAGTGTCCAGTGACTCGAAGAGATTTACTGGAGACTTGGCAGTCGCGAGCCCACGGACTGACAGGACAGTGGAATGAGAGATGGAACGAGCTGCAGCCTGCCTGAGACGAGTCGAGGCAATGCGCAGGGCCATGATAAGCCAGATAACAGTGACTGTTGGGAGAAAGGTCGGGTGAGTACGGAGAAGAAAGCAACGAGTGACACTGACATTGTTCACCGAGCCAGATTTTCATTCACCGAGTAGGATCATTACGCGTTTGCGCATCTTATCGACCTCTGGGAAAACTCTGATAAAGAATGCCAGACCAACGAAAAAGCTTGCAATTTTCGTGTGAGGCATCCCATCGCTCCGCTAGCGGCCAGACGCCCAGTTAGTAGCTGCCAACAGCTTGCGCTATTCATTGATCATCGTTCCTCTATTTCAATCCTTTCAATCATGCTCGGAGACCACCAATGTCCCATTTATGGTTACTAGAAAAAACTTTTTCACCTTTGCACGTGGTTATCTAGACGCTCGAGCCAAACTCGAGGCCATCCTGGAGTACACTGTACAGTCACAGAGTCAAACTTTCAGCTACGTGTCATGATCATACATCTCCAGAGTCCCTACCATAAGAGACTAGTGACCGTCAAAACGGAAGCGGACACCCGTCGAACCCATTTCCATAGAATATTTATTTAACATGCACATATATTTACATGAATCCAATTTTATTGAGCTCATGGCATCAGTGCCAGCCCGTCTGCACACGCAACACGGATGAAACTGACGACATCCTCCGCATGTTTCCTTTCATTAATAACCAGGGTCAGTATTCGTTGGGAAAGAAGATGCAGGGCAGGCGTACAGTGGGTCTGTGTCATCCATATCATGCGCGCTGTGTAAACCATTTTGCTCGATGTCTTTTGAAACAGTACGGAATGCGTCCTTGGCACTGCGTGTACTAGCAGATGCAAGTTTCCCCTCGTAGTAGGCAACTGTAGAAAGAACACGAGCCAGAGCGTTGGACGCGCTGTCAGAACGCAGTGATGCCCCACGATCAGCAGATGTAGGTTGTCCTAGCGATTGTAAAAGCAGCGTTTGCTTCCTAATCACCGCGGAAGAGCGGACAACTTCATACTGAAAGGCTGCTATGAATTTATGACGAGATGATTATTTTACCGACGTACGATAAACTCGTGAAGGGCGGCGGGCGTGGGCAAAAATAGGTCTGCTCTGCGCAACGCAAGGTCAAGTAGCCGGATAGTCTGTCGAGTACAGTCAATCCTGCTTCAGATGTGAATTGAAAATCTCATACCTCCTGGACCAGTCGCTCTATGCCCCCAGTGGTTACCAAACTGTCTAATTTGCCAGAAAGAAACCCGAGTAAGCCGACAACAGCCTTCCACAATTCAAGCCAGTCGTATTCTGAGTAAGACAATTAAAAATTAGGAGCAGGCAATTAGGTAAAATCACCTCACCTAATCGCATTCTTTCCTTCTGCAGATACCATATGACGCGATGGCACGTCCAGATACACGTACTATCTCACCATCAACAATTTGTTTTGGAAAGGGTCGGGGGAAAAACGAAACGCACGTAAACGTGTACACCTCCAGCCGCTTATGTAAATTATGGCGCATCCATAAAACACAACAATCCAGAAGTGCGCAAATTGGTGCACGCGTGGGCGATGGTACTGGAAGGAGCGGAAGTCTCTGCAAGAATCTCAGTATTAGTTGTAAAATTGGACGTGTGCAAGCAATGACCTGCCGACAGAGCCTGATCACCTCCTTTGAGGAGGCAGGCTTACACAAGACTGACATTATATGCGTGTTCTCAGACATCACAAGAAGTGTGTTCATTGCAAGGTTTGCATAAGACAACGTACGGGATGACGCCGAAGACGAAGCATGAGTCAACACATAGGATGACAGTGAGAGAATGTTATAGGCAAGCGGGGGTACCAGTACGCTCTGTTTGTTGTTGGACGGCTTGGCATTAGGTGGAGTTATCATGTCCACTAGCACCTGCGCAAAAAGTGGATTGACGAAAAGGAACTCGAAAACGGGTAGGAGAGAAACGGTCGCCTCAATGGGTCTGTTTGCTCAGTGAGAGGGTTGCGACATGAAGCTTGATAGTTTCACGTACTGTTTCTTCAGAAGCTCTCGAGGTGGGTCGAATGGCTCCATCACCAGCGCGCGGTCGGGTCGGAGCGAGGTGAACAAGGCTCCAATGCTCTTTGTGAATGTGGGGATCCCATCGTCTGAGATTTCTTGGTATGCCCTACCACCAAGTCAGCTAAAATATTCTGTGATTGTCCAGAAAAGCGCGCACTTCACAGCAGCATCGAGTGCAAATCCCGCTGCCCAGCAAATCTTACGCATGAGCTCTATGTCTTGCGTATCGCGTATGCGCTGCAGGTATGGATTAAGCTTCGCTGCATCGGATTTGTGAAAATTTGTCAGGATAGAGAGGAAGAGAGAGGCTTCAAAAGTGAAGCGTTGGGTATCTGGGGATGTGATGACCTGTCAAAAACAACATCATTCGCTGGACCAATGACAAAACCATGAAGTAGTAATTTGTACCTTGGCGATACAAGGGAAGAGGTCTCGGCGCAGGAAATATGCCCCCGGGCTCAACTGGCTGATGCTACACGTGAAGACAATGGCTAGTTGGAGAACCTGATGTCGAAGAGTCTCTAAATCATGGTCAGTCAAACATGGCCGCAAGGATTGTTCTCAAAGCGTACCAGGAGCATCATCATCACCAAGCACATCTGTGATCATCCCTACAAACTCCTATACGTGCCAGTTAGTCTACAGTGGAAATAATGGTTATGCATCGACCGTACCATGAACACCCCGTCGGCTTCGTTCACTCTAAGGGCAAAGATTTCCATCACCTCCCAGCCTGCTAGGTTCTTGGCGAGTACAGTACGAAGCATGATAGAAAGCGTGTCAACGGCGTGGGCGCGAGTCTCTTTGCCCTTGCGGTCGGCTGCAAACTTGATGCAGACGGTAAAGAAGGCATGGAGCACCAGCTACTGGCGAAGATCGGTATGTCAGTACCATACTGTTGGGTGTTGAACAAGGTGAACGACAGACCTTGTGTGTACTGAGGCACTCGTCCTTGGGAAGTGTGGACAGAAGACGCGTTAGAAAGGCACGGTCGGGTTCCAGGGCTAGTAGCTCTTGCCAGAAGCGCTGTTCATCGTGTTCAGGAGAGATTTGTGTTGGACTGAGACCCTGTACGTCATTTAAGGACTTTCAGGACCGATGTAGTACGTGTCAGTGCTCGCTTACCTGGAATAGTTTATTGACGATAGTCACATATCTTGAGCTAATGGTCCAAGAGCTTCGCGGTGCATTCATGAATACCTGTACAATGGCGAAAAGACAATATGTAGTCTCTCGCGTCGATACTGTACAATGGTGGGTGTGGGGATGATGCGCAGCTATTTATGAACGCTCATGATATTTATGCGCGAAACAGTCACAGGGCAACTTCCCGGGCATACACCACGACAGCACTACGACCTAAATAGTCCATCGTACGCCGCATAAACCATCTCTACTATCCAACTCATCAACGTCTCATCTTTCATCCGTACATCCTCCATCATTCTCTTAACACCCACAAATGCCCGTCGCCCCCTCCGCTCGCCCTCCAGCTCGCCGCCAATATCCTCCACCACATCGTCGCCCTCGTCGTCTTCCACAACGCCAGGAAACCCAAAGTGATCACGATCCGCACGGGGGGCAGTGTCCGTGGTGGCGACAAACGACGAACGGAAGAGGATGCGGATGATGAGCAGCGCGGTAAGTGCAGCTGAAGGAGGATCGGCGACTGGTCGGGTGTAAGAAATGCTCGTTTGCCGTGGAGGAGGGGGCAGCCGCTTTGTGGGGTCTGTGAAGGGGTAAGATTCTCCGTCGGCGGTGACGGTGATCGTGTCATCTTGAGAAGGATGTTTTGCGGGTGGTTGGGAGCTTGATAGATGGGTGAGGAGATGAGGTCGCAGTCGCTGTTTTGATGTCTGTGGCAAGGGACATGTAGCCCAGAGACATGGCGGCTCGGGGTTCTCGGACGACTCCAAATGCTCAAGGAGGTGGTCGTACAGCTCTCCAGGGGCCTCAAATGGTGGAGCTGAACACTGGGAGCGCTCCCACAAACACTTAAAGCGAGGAGCAGCTTCTGTATCTTTCCGCCTGTCCACTCCACGCACGACGAAGCGCTGTGGCGGTCCAGGAAGGACCATCGCCTGAGCCTGGGGGAAAACGACATTGACGTTTTTGATTACGTCTGATGCAACTAGGACGGGATGGCGATCCGCAAAGGGCGTGAAGGCATCTTTGTAAAGAGTCCAAAAATCGACTTGAGTAAGCTCTCCGTCTGGTGTAGCAACGAACATAATTTTCATCCTACGGACAATGAATTTATCATGTTATGATACAGCCTGTGTAACGTGTACTCACCACTCGTAACACCGCTGGGGTTCAGGCATGGGAATCAGGGTCTCAAGCTCCTCTTTGGTAAGGTCATGGACGGGTATCGCGACTGTTGTTTCTGGGATGGCGCGAGTGACTGCACTGATATCCAGATTCACGGTCTCTTCTACTTGCTCAGATAGAAGAAAGCTAACAAGCACGCGAAGGGTGCTTGGCATGAGAGGATGGTGCAGAAAAGCCTTTACCATTGGTGGGTGTGAAAGATGGGCATACAGGTAGTTCAATGAAGCGTCCACCAATGCTCGGTCGACAAATAAAGGCAAGTAACGTATGGAGGCGGCGAGAGCTGGTGAGTTTGAGTTCAAACGACTTGTGTTTTGAATGTTAGAAAATAGTTGAGCCAAAAGGGTCAAGGCTGAGATGATAAGGGAGCGATTCGATGAGTGACCCGCAATTTGCAGCAGAGTGGGGAGGGGATCTTTCTGGTTTGAAGCGGGATTTGGCAGAATAATGCTCAGGGATATGGCCTGCAGAAGTTCTATGGCGTTGAGAACAAATTCAGCGTTCATGTCCGTGTCTGGAGCGAGGTTACTGAGGGTGTTGAAGAGTAAGGGGAGTGTTCGGGAATGATTAGCTAGCTCGTATGCATTGGGTTCATTCGTGGCCGAATTGCGTAGGATAAATATGGATTCTAGGGCATGCCGTCGTTTTCTGTCGTCAGCATCGGGCATAGCAAATAGTCGATGCTTCTCTGCCACTAGGTATCCTTCCGTTGCATACCATTCCGGCCATTCGAACAGTGCGTCTGTGAGACCAGGAATGGTTTTCAAGATGAATTGATCATTTGCACATAATCGATACAGCCTATCCAGTGCCCATGCAATCTCCGAGTTTATGCCTGAGCGTATGGACAAGACCATACGATTGCTGGGTGATGCCTCAGTATACCACCCTGAGTATACAGATAAATCAGTGAAATATACATGCAAACAGATACCCACTTTCATAGTCATCTGTAACATTTGGGCCTACGCGCTGCTGCATTGACACTGGCTGCTGCTGGCCGTATTGCCTGAAGACGCCGGGCGTCGTTGTCCGGACTGGGAGGACTGGGATGGCCATGAAGGAAAGCTTTGAAGGTTCGGCGCAGGGTTGGTACACGGAGTCACGCGTCGGTCACGCACCGGAAGCCTCGGTCGTCACACAATGTGTGACGGCTTGCCTCAAGATCTCTCATCCCGAGTCCATCGCAAGGAATTCTACTCATGCCTTTGATCGAGGTTTGTCCTACAGATCTGCAAGAGAATCGTGAATACTTATTCAACTGCAGGTGATTGCAAATGATCGTCTGGGTCGTAAAGGTGAGTGCACACAATTCCATGATTCCGAGTCGAATCCTAACTCGAGCAATCTACAAGTCCGAGTCAAGTGCAGCCCGGATGACACTGTGGGCGACCTGAAGAAGCTCATTGCCGCTCAAACCGGTACAGATTTCAAGAAGATCCAGCTGAAGAAATGGTGAGCATCTTGCTACGATGCTCTCCCCTGACACAGGACTGCGCCAACAACCCATCGTATGCGTTTAACACATACTCATGGCATTTTTCTTGTCAGGTATACGATCTACAAGGACCACATCACGCTCTCAGATTATGAGATCCACGATGGTATGAGTTTGGAGATGTATTAGGCCCTCTAGAGTAAGAGAGAATGAATGTGCAGAAGCAGACTCATGGCTGTTAACTGTTTCTTGTTGAGTCGACTTCCTAGTGTCATCATCTACAATCATATCATGTATCGCTCAATATCCCTTGCCAGCATTATCGACATGTATTAACAGCCTTGTGCGCCAATTAATCACTTGTTGGAGAGTTATATCATTATTTGGCGAGTCTTCGAACTCTGCTGCTATATCCTTTCCACACGCAACCCCCAAACCACTCGCGGATCATAACAATCCACCTTCCATCACACATGTCGATTACCTGGGAGCAACGCTGATGGTCTTGGACGCATTGCAGGCTCGTCGAGGATTTCTATCATCGCAGGTGGTCTGGGAAGGATCATCGATGAGCTCTTGATACGTGATGTCTGTGACTTGATCGCATCTGATTGATGTTCAGTAAATGGCTTGACGATTACCCAACTTGCGCCTGGACTCTGCATTTTTTCCTGAATACGACGACTAAGGAACGTCGTGTTGGGCGCGCTTTCGGCCTGTGGGGGTTGGAGCTGGCTCGGTGTACCTGAACGAGGTCCTCGGGGACGCGCAAGGGTATGAGGTTCTATCGCGCTACTGGAAGCCGTTAGTCCTCTGGCGAAGCTCGCAGTGCTACTGGGTACCCCCAGGACTTGATCGATATCTTCCTCAGATACGGGGTGGAGGGAGTTTTCACGGTGTTCGATGGTGTCAGCAGACTGAGAAGGCGGGTAAATAGATGCCGAATCTGCACTTGTGTTCATGTCTTGATGCTGTTCTTTACTCGAGACGGGCTCCACATCAGCAATCTCTGGTTCTGCGGCAATTGTCATGTCCCTGGAATACTTCATGCCAGGGACTGTCTCGTCGGTCTCTACAATATCTCTGGCGATGACACGGGACTTCCGATACCATGGTTCGCGATGCACAAAGTCTGGTAGGGGACGTTGCCTGTTTTGAGTATGGAGTGGCGACGTAGGTGGAGGGTCGAGTGAAAGAAAATTGACGATTCGAATGGGCAGGATGACGTGCGCGTCCGAGGAACATCTCCCGACACCTACACTTATGCGAAGCGTGTACTCAACCTCGAGCAGTCGCATCCGGGCGATAGAGTGAACGTCGGGCTACAAGAATAATCATGAATCAACTACCACGGGGGGTAACCAGAAAGATCCCAGCTTACTGGTATTATCAAAGAGTGGGCGAACTCGCTCGTTTGACTGGGAGCGACACCTGTCCACCACCCTTTTGCGCTCGCACGTCCCTTAGCGCACCGCTGTCCCAACTCAAGGGTGCTTTCCGTAATCCACTTTGTCTTCGTTGAGGTTTGACAGGCATCTGGATCAGCATCCCCAGCATCCAAGTGCGGTTTTGGGTTGAACACAGTCAGTGTTCGTATCAGCGCGATGGCAGCGCTTTTCACCAATTTCTTGCAGTCGTTGGTTACTCGGAAATGAACGGTGCAACTTTGTCCAGCGACCCAGTGGAATCGGTGAATACGGGCCGACAGCCTAATTTTTCCTGGGCCACCCATGAACACTCTAGTGGCGACCTCTGCGACCAGTGGACGGGAGTTTGGAGCAAGCGTGGAGGTAACGTCTAGACGTGGCCATACCTCACAGTCGCGGTAGAAGTGAGCGACGGATTGTTTGGATGTTGCCGTGTCCTTGACTTTGATCTCCCTGAACGATTATCAGCTGATAAGTGATAGAACACAGAAACTCCAGCACTTACGCCATAGCAACATATCTAATAGCCACTCCAGAGTGCATGCTCAGAACCCCTTTCGCCATGCCGCAGGCACCATCTGGAGGAAGAAGCATCGCGAACGGAAAGACGTGGACGCCCTCTTGCGCTTCGGCCCAGCCATCGTCATCGGGTTGTGATTTGAAGAGACCCTTCCACGATGGAGCAATTTCCGATAGAAGAGCTGAATATTTGTAAAACGTGCACTTGCTGTCCTTCTGCGGTATGCACTCAAATCCGACGACCCTAACTTTCCCCTGAGAAAGCAGCAGTGGTGTATCCTTGTTGGAGCCTTTTTTGATGTGAATCTTGACTGTCCCCTTGAGGTAACTTCCTTGCACACAAGCCTGGTTCTCGAGTATGATGTCGACTTCTATACGCGATCTCCACTTTGCCTTTTCTAGCTCGACGGGCTTGAAATCGGTGCCAAGATCTCCGCTGCTATCTGCGTTGCGTAATGCAGGACGTGGAGGGACGGTTGTACCGTGTTTCAGTTTGGAATTCGAGTTTCCAACGAGGGTTCTGATTTCTGGGCCGTTTTGGGTAGGTGCGGCATTGACGTCGAAAAGGGTTGCACTGGTACTTAGGCTGCCCATGCTTCCGAGAACAGGGTCCGGAGCGGAAAGGACCTTGCGGGGTGGTGGAGCAAATTTCGAGCTTCCAAGAGGCATGAGAGACCCCTGTGCTATGCGTTGGCCAACTCGGTACCCGGATTCCCCAGGCTTGCCATACACGTCGAACTCTACCATCGAGTCTCCGACTTCTGCTAGGAGAAGACCTCTCATGGCGCTCATTGAGCGCAAGGCTGGAACGGCCATCTGGCTATCAGCATCAACGCTGGATGGCGGCATGCAGTCCTGTTTCAAAGTTGAGTGACTGTTGGCTGCCTTGTGCTTGAAGGACGAAGTCTGTGACCGAAGGACGATATCAACGCCTTGAGGTTCGTGCTTGCTTGACATTCGCGAATGCTTGGTCCTTGCAGAGATAGAGTTACAAATCTAAATGAACCAACGATGTTGACAGATCAGCTTCGAAACCACTTCAGTTCTGACCGCCGGTCTGATTTGAAATTGGCGGGAGAATGTCGGGCGCAGCTCCTTCATTAACACTTGAATTGTAATAAAAAGGCACCATAGATGGAGCGGTGAGCATCCTGCCCCGAAAAGGGTGCTTGGGCTGAAGTAACAAAAATAAAATAAATCAGCCGAAGTGCGCAGTTTCCACATGAAATCACAGTGATTGACCTGGTCGCAGATCAAGTGTTTGCATGGTGGAATATGTGACATATATATCAATCGTTAGCCACAATGATGTGGAGCTCTGGCTTCAGCCTCCTCCTTGTGACAAGTCCGTCACTGCTATTCGGGGCCTGTGCCCTAGATCTATAATAAAGAAGGAACGACGTCTTTCTTATCTGCATAGGGGGAGACTAGAACTCCACTGACAGATCGGCACTTTAAAGTGATGGTGTTCTGCTGTCAATGACTGGGAGATTCTTGAAAAAAAGGTTAGGTTCGCACCACCACAAATTCACCATCCAACTTCCTGCAGGAATGACATGGATATATCAGCGCTTTGCCTCGAGGCTTATCGTTGAATACGGGCGTTGCTCCGAGTCCATGTCATATGATGCTTGTGAGTCGGGTTTGGGCTGGTTGATGCTCCGCCATGCTGTGGTAAAAATGATGGCGAGTTACGGTATCACGAGTAACAATGGATTGGTACTTGGCGCCGTTTGTATGCAACGTGTTTGGCAATCAGCAAGCTCCATATGCATGTTTTGCTGTGGATGTTGGATGGTAGACAGTGCAGCCAGACGCCCATACTGCCAAACAAGGACACGAATTGACGTCAATGTTCCGAGTCCCGACAACCTCGGTCGGTAACTTTGCCCTTAGAAGTCAACTTTATTGTAAACGCCTCAGCTTTGGGTTTTGTCCTCGTTGTAAGTGCGAGGCTTCGCACAAATCCAACAACAGCTTTATCGTGCGTCATTACCGGTATAAAACCTTGTAATATAAATCACCGTCCAAACTTCGGTACCACACTCGTGACTCAGAATTATCCACCGCAGCATTCGCAGCTTTAGCTTGCAGACTCCCCCTTCATTAGTACCCATAATGTCTCTTGGACTACCACCAGTATCGACAGGTCTCAAGTCTGTAGCGCCGTACCTCCAACGCGCAGAAGAACTCGTTAATAAAGAACCAGTTGTGGCATACTGGTGTACGGGTATTCTTCACGTCCGTGTTCATCACTTAGCTCACGGAAGTGTGTAGGCGCGTACTATGCAGCCCAGCTTGGTATCAATTTGAAAGCCAAGGATGCTGCATCGCGCACATTGCTCCTGAATCTCCTGAACGCACTTGAGCGCCTGAAAGCTCAGATTGGCCCTAATGATGCTATAGATATCGAGGCCGCAAGCGCAGCATTTGTCGAGAACTTTGCCTTAAGGGTCTTCCGCATGGCCGATGATGAAGACCGCGAAGGTCATGCAACAAGGTAGCCGATTACCATAATATTAATTTCCGGTAGATTAACTCACATCCATCTAACCAGATCAACCGCGAAGAAGTTTCTCGCTGCAGCAAATTTCTTTGAGGTCCTCAAAGTATTTCCAAAGACAGAGGTCTCCGATAATGTAAGCCGTCGTAACATGCAGGTGGACGGCACTTGTCTAACGTACCTTCACAGATAGATGACAAGATTAAATATGCCAAATGGAAGGCAGGTGATATTGCCAAGGCATATCGTGAGGGCAGGAAGCCTACACCGGGTCCAGCTGGGTCTCAGTTTGACCCAGAGCCCTTCCCTGCTACTTCTGGCGCTTCTGAGTACTCTCCTGGAGCTGAACCTTCCCAACTCTCCCCTTCAGGGACAAGCCAATCCCCCACATCACCTCAATCATCACATAAGCGGCAGGTCCCATCTCCGAAGATGAGTCCCGATGATATCGCTCGTGCCAATCTCTTGCATCCCCCTCATCATGATAGCGACATGGTGAGCCCTGGGAGGTGGAGTACGACCGCCACTCCAGGATTCGATCTTGCTCAGGATAGCAGCAGTGTCAGTTTGGATCAGGCAAACAACTGGCATGAGGCCCCTCTTAATGGCACAGGGAGTCAACTCCGTCAGGCCTGGGTTAGCACCGACGTGGAGGGTGCGACCAGCGATGAAGAGCTGGTCCGAGATCCAATCCTTAATGGATCATCACCTAGTCAGGTTCCGTTCTCTTCATTTGCTAGCGAGTCTCGGCCGACCGTATTCGAGTCTTCATCTCCACCCAGAGAGCGGCCTGTTATATACACACCGACAACCAGAGAGCATGTACCCCCCATCCCCCCGCATCCTACCATCCTTCCCTCAGTCTCCCCACCGAGAGGCTCGCCACCGCAAAACCGTGCTCGCGGCCCTTCAGTATCGTCTCAAGAACTTCCATTGGGATTTGTACCCTCAAGTCCAGTACCCCCGCCCATGATCCCTCCTCCACCGATGCCCACAATATATGTACCTTCTTCGCCTCCTCGCATGGTGCCCCTGCCCCCAGCTCCCGCTCCAGTTCCCGCCCCTTTACCACCGAACGACTTTCAACTCACGCCCACCACCATCGCCAAAGCACAGAAACACTGTCGCTTTGCTATATCCTCGCTTGATTACGAGGATGCTGAGCAAGCAAGAAAGGAGCTTAGGGCTGCGCTGGCTCTCCTCGGAGGTTGAACTAATGATGGAAGCATTGAGAGGTGTCGAGGCTATCCAGTGGGAACTGGTCTCTTTCCAGGAAGCAGGCTTTCTCCCTGAAACGCTCATGTTTTCTTCTTCATCTACTTGTGATTTAATGTAATATGCTAGCCAAAAGTGTGTCAACTATATCAACGCTATTAGTATCGTAAAATGTGTTCCCAAACCATATGATGTATCCAGAAGGGTATGACAGCTTACTTCTTCCCAACATTGCGATCGATAATGGAGTGTGTGGGATGCATGTCTACTGGGCTATCCACGTGTTGACAGTCATCTATAATCGTCTTCACTAGCGGTTTTACTGACAAACGAGCGGGAGCTGATGTCGTCGGGACCGCAACGCCGGTGCCGCGATCAGTGGTTAGTGGAGCATTGAAAGACGTGGTGTTGGTACGAGAGGATGCGAAATCAAGTACTGGAGTGGGTAGCGCATGAAAGGTCTTGAGTGCGCTCGAAAGGTTGTCCAACTAGACGATAGTAAGATCAGAAACGCACAGCGAACTGCAACACATGTATACCTTGTTCATGACGGCGTCAATGGAACCGTTTCTCTCCGCAAACCGCTCCGCCAGTCTTGTGAATTCTTCTTCTCGTTTCTTTTTCCCAAACCCCTCGTCGTGGTCATCTGAGTCTTCTCCTTCGGTCACCTCATCGCTCTCATCGTCATCCTCCTCTTCTCCGAGCGTCTCACTCCTCCTCCTATCCTTCCCCGTCCCGCTCCTGGTGGTGTCTGCCTTTGACCCGCGTTCAGGGCCAACTGGCCCATCACGACCCCGCGCAGTCCGAACATTCTCCATATCAACATGCATCTTCGCAATCTCACTCTGAAGCTCCAGAATATGTGATAAATGGGACCACAGCGCATCATCAACACCTGACCGCACCGGCGTTGGCACATAGTCGTGTAATCTCTGACCCGTGGACGGCTCGTACATGATTTCCTTGGCTGGTTCATGACTGGGCAATGATTCGGAGGTGAACAACGAGTTCTCGACGGCGCTGGAGCCGAGATTGAGGGAAGATGCTGGGGGGGCGTCTGCTCGGAGAGATGATTGCTGCTCGGGATGAGCACCTGAGGGCAAGTATCCCTGGAGTTCGGTGAGAATGTCATCATGCGGTGTCAGAAACCTTGCAGGCTCGGTTGAATGTCCTAGCGACTTTACGTCGCCTGATGTACTAGCTGATGGATCCGGTTTGAGCGCGTCCTGTTCAATTGGGGCAGAGTACGTGCTGGGATCATAGATGTATTCGTGGACATCGTTGTGATCGTTGTCTGTGATGTGAATTGCAGACTGTGATGAATGTCCAGTTTGTTCTACTGTTGAATGAGAGTCTTTGGATATGTCATCTGCCAGTGGTTGGCTGGGAGCCTGAGGGTTGCCGGACTTTTTGCTCAACCATGAGGGGAGCATGCTCTTGGCGGCCACTGGTAGTACGTGACGCTGACAAAAATACGCTGGAACCTGTTACATCGATCTGTTACATGTGCGTAACACTGCTGTGTTCGCCGCCAGGCCAGACCAAGGCCAGACATTAATATTTTGGTTTATGCCTGATCTGAGCAAGTACATAGTAAAAGCACTAAGTTACCGACAAGCTGGCCAATCTAGAAGCTGTCTGACATAGCCTGCATGCGGGCATTTCATATTTGTATGATACGAGAACTCCACGTTGTCGCCGTGATGGCTTAGTGATGGCATTGGACATTCCATGGGATTCCATTGATTGATATCAAGTGGGATCATCTCAGTTGGTTTGAGCCAGGGTATAGCCTGGCACAGCTATTGATCATCAACGACAACGTTGTTGCAGCACTCGCAGGATAGCTGAACGGAGTCTAGTAACGGACCTTCGATCAATCATCTATCGCTAGTACACCAAAGCGGCCAACAGGGACGGACTTGAAGTCTTCACCCCGGTGTTCTTCATCTTCGCCGGTCAAAGTTCCTTCTTCATCGGCATCTTCATCACTGTCGTCATCCAGACTCTCGACCTCATCAGTTTCATCGCCTAATACCCCATCATCCTCATCCAGTTCCTGGCCGTGCTGGAATGAACCGTGTGAGAGCCAGATTCCGTTGGCGCCACCGGATCCAACAGTCGTCAAGTCAGTTCCCGGAGGCCAGAAAGCCCACGCTATCTTGCCCTCCGCGACCAGTCTCAGCACTACCAATTATTGTTAAAATGCCGAAGCTATTAAAATCATTCGAGGATACTCACTGGCGTTGCCTGCACGATGGATATCTGGCCGACCTGCCTTTGCGGTAACCCAGCCTTTCTTGTTCGCATATGCGGTCATGATCTCTATTGCTGTCCAGTGCATACTGTTGTCCTTCGACGGAGGCTGTTTACCATCGCGCCAGGTGCGTTTGTCCTCAACGGGTGCGGTGTTCGCTGAAGGGTGTGTGAGACCGAGGATAGTCTCGAGCGGGAGAAGTTGTGCAATTTGGTGTATACAAAATGGGATGGCGGATACACGGGATATGGGTAAAATTCCACAGAGTACCTGAGTGTCCATCGGTGTGAAGGCGGGCATCACGAGGCCTGGACAATCAACAAGACGGACATCTGAGGTCCAGAAAAGAGTTTGGAAATGCTTCGTCTGATCAAGTATGTAAGATGAGACTTTGTATCTTGTTAATTGGAAATATTTTATTACCTTTCCGGGAGTCCGTGAAGCTCGAACTTTATGCGTTCCGAAGAGCGCGTTGAGAAGGGATGACTTGCCAACGTTCGGTTGACCTGGGACGAGTTATCAACTTTCAAATGTATGAAAGCACAAGAATGATGTACCGATCAAACCGACAGTCAGAAATTCTGGCTCTTGCCATTCAAACTGTCCCTCTTTATCACTGCCTTCCTGTTCTGGTTCTTGAGCATCATCTGCGATCTCCTCTTTGCCCTTTCCCTTCGGCATAGCTGCGCCTCCGACGACACTGCCTACTTTCTTGCCGTGGGCATGCAGTAAGCCATTCCAATCAATCTCGCGCTTGACTGGATAATTCCAGCGCTTCAGCTTTGCCTCATCCGAGCGCACTCGCTCAGGGGGGATTAGCATTTCTTCGTGCACTTGTCGCATGGCATCAACCAAACGCTCTCTGAAAGGAAGGGGGAGGTGCGATTCATAGACTGGACGACCTTGTTCGCCCAATTTCTGTTGATATGCCTCGACTTGGACAATAGGTAGGCCTGGGTGCCGCTTTTGAAGGTATGCAGTCCATGCCTGAGCTCGTTCCGGACCTGCAATATCGACTTTTGTGAGAACGAGAATAACTTTCGCTTTTCGATTGGCTAGTAAATATGACTCGAGCGAAGGCGGGAAGTGAAGGGGTGGACATCTAGAGTCCAAAAGACAAAGAAGGATTTGAGATATTTCTGTTACACGCCAGCTGCACACTAACTCATGAGCCCGAAACTCAGATGCATAGAAATTTAGTATTTACAGCTGTCTCCAAACTTCGAGATTGCGCTCGAAATGTGTGGGAGGACGTGGCATTTTGGGTTGAATACCGGCGTCGCTTGTGTCAGTCGACCCTGGATCAGTACCTGACTGAACTGCGTTGTTAAGTTGATTATGCCAACGTTCCACGATGGCATCAGCCTGAGTCATCCATCTGCGAAAGTAGCCTTTCTCATTGGCATCCACGTCGTCTTTTGACATGGTGTACTTCCACTTGGGTCTCCTCGGGACACTAAGTTGTTCGATCTCGAGATCGCTGCCTGACTGTGCATCAACAGTGAGGAGGGATACATGAGGAGAGATAGGCCTGGGCAAGGGCAAGGTTGCGGCCAAGTGCTTCGTGGTCTCTAGGAAGCTTGGATCAAGCTTGATGAATTGTGATTGAAGCTTCCGTGCGGCCCTGGATGCGTCATCTGCTAATAGCCTGGCATCAAGTGAGTGACCGAGCTTCGGAGGTCTCCTGAAATTCTTTTTGCGCGGTTGTACCTCAGGTGGGGGGAGATCTCCACGCTTGACTGCACGCTTGAGCTGGAGCTCAGCCTTGCGTTGCTTGCCAGACCTGCGCATTGGTAAAAGGTTCACTCCGGAGTTGCGTTGTTTAGCAATCTACGACATGACCGGGAATAGCCGAAAAGACCTCGGAGTCTCACGAGTACGTACCTGGCTTAATTTTTCAGGCACTTCAGCTGGACCTGGCGCCTGCAATCACCGAATAGCTGGAGAATGGACAGTACGCTATGTCAGCTTTCGCGCAATGTGCAATCATGCTGACGTAGTCGCGAGAACTAAACTACCTTATTCGGTAGATACACCTTCCTGATACGGCTCCGGCCCTTCTGAATCTCGAACAAGCCATCACCGAAGCGACTTACTATAAAGCACGCATCGAACCATGACGGCAGTTGCCCTTGTCTTCCGCAGTCCCCCAGCGCTATACCACTACCACCCATCCTCACAAAATGACAGGCAAAGCAGAACAGAACATAGTCATCGTAGGCGGCGGCTTCGCTGGTTTCCAGGTTGCTAAAGCCCTCAGCAAACAATTGGACCCCAAATCATACAACCTCATTCTCATCAACTCCCGTTCTTACTCCATTTCTCTTCCCGCGGCAGTCCGTCTTGTCGTCGACGCAGAGTCAAAGTTGGAAGAAACCTCCTTCGTCAAGCTTGACAGGATTTACGCAAACGGCAATGGCCAGACGAAGGTCGGTGTCGTGAGCAGCATCGAGGCACAGCCAGGCGTCCCTGGTGGTGCCGTGGTCCTCGCCTCCGGAGAGCGCATTCCATATGCAGTCCTCATCTTGGCTACCGGATCAAAATGGACTGGTCCCTGTGACATCCCAGAAAACGAAGATGATGTCCTCCCATTCGTCAACGCATGGCGTCAAAAGTTCGCGAAAGCAAAACACGTTGTTTTCGTTGGCGGAGGTGCCGTTGGTATCGGTGAGTACCCCTCTTGAAGGTATCATCGTAACGTTACTAATTCAATCATTTTCAGAGTTGGCTGGTGAAGTCAAGGATCTTTACCCGGTGAATAATTTTTTACCAGAGTCACGCGACTGCAGTGCTTACTAATAACCTAATGCAGACCAAGAAGGTTACCATCGTTCACGGTGGTAGTCAGCTTATCAACGCTACTTATGGCAACTCGCTCCGAAAGGGATTAGAGAAACGTCTTCGTGCTCGCGGTGTTCAGTTCATGTTCAATGAGTACATCGATGACATACCAGAAGAGGGTGTTGTTGGTGTCACTACTCGCAGTGGAAAGCACATTGCGGACGCCGACTTAGTGGTACGCGCGCTGTTGTATGTGCACATTTAACTAGCTCACTAGCTTGTATAGGCCTCTACTCGTGGCGGCCGCCCCAACACCGAATTCATATCCTCCCTCGGTGAAGATGCTTTGAACGGACATGGCTTCGTTAAGATTCATCCAACTTTGCAATTGCCCAATCACCCATCCATTTTTGCTTTGGGCGATATAATCGACTTTCCCGAACAAAAGCAGGCGGCCAAACTCCGCGGGCATGTTTCCACTACCGTGGCGAACGTAGTGAGCTTCTTGAATGGAGCCGCCCCGACGGCGAAATACACGGGTTCCCCTGAGATGATTGTAATCACGAATGGAAGGGTGAGTAAGAAGCAGGGGGAGTTATTGTGCCTTGACGCTGACATGGTTGTTAACAGAAAGGCGGCATGGGCTACTTCGGATTCTTCGGAGGATTTACGCTGGGTGATTGGTTTGCCTGGCTGGTGAAGTCGAGAGATTTGTTGGTTGGACACTTCAGGAAGGATCTCGGGTACTGATTCTGTCTTGTTGGACCTTAGATACCCCTTCTCATTGACTATTATATCGTACCCCACTTGTTTTTTTATATAATTGCATTCTAGTCGCTGGCTGTGAAAATGTGTGATGCACCCATGACGATCAACAAAGATGCCCCATCAACAAGTTGATATTGATGGTTTCAAAACAGCCTGTAAGTAGCATGTGTGAGGTTCCACGGACGCAATTCGGGGTCGAAGACAAGATAGCCGATCAAGTTCTCCAGGGATTGTGACGAGTTCATGTGTATCAGATGATACTACCAGGACAATTTGCCAGCTCGAGCACCGCTTGAACGAGGCTTTGACGACCATAAAGAGGAAGTTCAGTCTGTGTTCCCTGCCCTACTAACGTTAGATCTAACAGGCTGTCCCACGCCGTGTCGCTCGATCCCTCGCAATAATATTATACCCCTTCTTAAACACACGTTCCGTCTTCCATTCAGCACACGATCCGCGTCAGTCTGTATTTCAAGCAACCCAAAAAAAAAATATGAGTAACACACTCTTTGCTGCTCCTTTCATGCCCCCACCACGTCCAAGCACCGCCACAACAATGGCCCTCGACTCAAGCAGTGGCAGGCGTGTTCCTCGAAACAAGGACTTTCTCAATAAGCATGGCCATCGCCATCATTCTTATGACCCAGAGAAAGCTCCTTATCCTCTGAGTTATGATAGACAAGTCCTCGAATTGTGAGTTGCTCCTGCTACTGTGTGCCTGACCGGCCGTTAAGCCCGTTATAGGGAGAATATGGACCACAGCTTCGTTATGCATGTCAAGAAATCTGTTTCAGTCGTCGAGTTCCCAAATCACATCTCTCCGAAACGCTCTCTCGATCTTGGTTGTGGCGTGAGTCACATCTTACATCACTTGCTTTCAGTTACGTGACGGTGTATGTTTCATAGGGGGGGACGTGGATACTTGACGCTGCGAAGGAATGGCCCGACTGCGAATTCGTAAGTGCTTCCATTCTTGAGAACCGAATGTGGGGTTCACAGACGCCACAAAGGTCGGGTTTGACCTTATGGATGTACAAGTCCCGTCATCATTTCTGGAGCCAGATGTTGCGCGTCGCGTCTCGTGGGTACATGGGAACTTGTGAGTAGTCCGTTTGAACCCTCCTTGGTAAACGGGCTAAGGAGTTCCTTGACGAGTCTGACGACGAAACTCCCGTTTGACGATGACGAATTCGATCATGTTCACATGCACGGCTTAGGCCGGGGCATCCCTGAGAATAAGGTATGCCAACATTTATCCATGTCGTATGAATGAGCACATGCTGAATATGCTGGCTTCAGTGGGGTATTCTCTTCGAAGTGAGATCATTCCCGTCTTTCTGCGACTATATATTGATTGTCTCCCAAGGAAGTGAACCGTGTCCTACGACCAGGTGGGGTTGTTGAAGTCCTCGAACATGGTACGTCGTTCTATTGTCCCCATGTTTCCCTGTTAACCATCCCCAGATATCTTATTCCCTACGCTACCAACCTGGTTTACGGCACCTTTGCGAGCTCGTAATAAGCGCTCAGATTCTGTACACTATCCCAACGGCTCACATCACCGCATTGACAAACCGTCCTCGTCACAACCAGACATCCCACCCTTGCCTCATGACCACGCACTACTCGAAAGCTTGTATTATGCTGTATTTGAGAACCGATTTATCAACTTACGACCAACAGGTGGGTTGCACTGTATGTGGGCAATATTGATTGCATCTGACGCACATCAGCTATTCTCCCAATATATTTCACCTCGAATTTCCGCCGAGTAATATCTGCGCCCATTGTCCATTTCCGCATGCCTGCACTACCCCCTTTACAAGCATTACCGCAACCGTTGCCACCAAATGCGCTTCTCATGGAAGCTTCGTTATCCTCGGATAAATCAGAGACCACCTCACAACCTCAATTGCCTCCCACGCCCCGCCCCCTCGCCGTTTCGTTCTCGTCTACCCACTCCTCCGCCACGAGCAAATCAGCATCATCAGGAGAATCCTCGTTATTCAGTAGTATAGATGGTTCTATGCTCTCATACCCGACGACGAGTCCTGCAGATTGCTCACCGCAATCACCATCCCTCTCGTGCGACACAGCTAACACCTTGAACTCTGAAATAGAAACACCCCATGTCGTCAAAAAACCGATTTATACTGTTGATTGTTCGGCGGCCGAGAGTACATCTCTGGGCGTTGCACCTTCACACTCCCTGATTCCTCTCGATGAGATCGACAAGCTTAGCGAACGTTCGCTCGCTATGCAATTATACTGGTCGTATCAGAGTGTACTGGCGTGCCAAGAGGCTATGTACGAGGAACTATTGGATCGCACGAGGAACCGAACAGGGCAATTGGCAGAGTGTGGGTGGGACACCGATCAGGAGCTGTCCGAACTCGAGAGCCGGACAAAGTTCGAGATACTGGTAGACCGTTATAAGCGGTGAGTATCACTTTATCTGCTGCATGCTTACAATTGCTGAACCAGTTAAATAGCGATATGCAGGCACGAATATCTTTGTGGTGCTCACTTGCTGAGCTGGGGTGGTCTGTCCCTCCACGGGAGGCAATGTCGAAGGCAGAGCTTGTGGAGGAGGAGAGACTTTACCGGGCTATGCTAGAAGCGCGACGGTTTGCCCCTGAGGAAGACCTGTACACACCTTGTCGGTCTGTGCGAATATTCGTGGGTTACAAGGACGTATAGTGATTTCATTGTTTCCTGCTCTGGACTTGCATTTCAATTATCATTCGTGTTTATTGCTTAGGTGTTTAAGTATGAGGTTTGTGTGGTGCACATACGAGATTAAAAGGCTGTTTTTGTAGCACTACGTATACGAGGTTTTGTAGCGGCATCGTGTTCTGCTATAATGACAGGTTCCGACTGATTCGGAATTCGGGTTTAAAAATGATATCGTTTTCACGTTCCACCGCGTTCCGATTGATTTCCTTTTCGGGACATGTAACGGCAAACGCCGCCGAAGTGGCAGTGACATTTTTTGCAAAGGTCCTGTGAATGCTTCGCGATCGCTCGAAATCTCAGAACGCTCATGGCCGCGGTCAAGGTCATAAATCACACTCCTTTCGTCCCCCGTCTGCCAAAGGATGTCCCGCTCCCACCAAGTCCCGCAGAATCCACAAGTCCGCCACCCCCAGTGAAGAAGAAAACTAGAAAGAACAAGACGAAAGAGAAAGAGAAGGAGAAAGTTAAGGAAGGCGTGCAGGGGACGAAGAAGCAGGGAGAGCAAGAGAGGGAGAATGCGAATGAACAACGCGGAAGCGGGGTGCCACAACTAGAGCCACTAAAACCTCTGACATGGACATCCCTGACTGATTCGAACTCCAATTCACATCCACCAATATTCACGAAAGATGGGAGGTGCGTAGCCTTGGTGGATTTATCATGTTTTGCGATCTAATCAATCTGTTTACCCTCTGATCAGCCACTTCTTTTCCATCGTCGGGGAAAGAATTAAGATACATTCTACATCATCTGGCAAGGTGGTTTCTACATTACCAGGGCCACAGGATGATGGTCACCAGGATATCATCACATCTGCTATCCTCAGTGCACACAATGCATTTCAACTCATCACCGCTTCTTTGGACGGCACTCTCAAGATTTGGGATTTTCTCGAAGGCATATTGTTACTCACGATCAACCTCGAGCAGCCTATCCATCACGTGTGCGCTCATGAAAAGATAAAAGATTACGTTTTTGTTGCCACTGCAAAAGCGAAGAAGGGAAACGGAAATGCTGATGGTGAGTGCTGGCGTCTCTAACCTACGATGAGTTTTTCATTCGTGCTACAGAACAGCCAAAACAGAACCGGTCTGCGAAGGCTCCATCAGAAGAGAGCTGTATCATCTTACGTGTGTCGCTTAAGCCTCAAAATCCCGCTTCAGGCGCAAAATGGCACAAGTCATCTCAGGTCACACCGGTAGGCAAGACCAGGTACACAGCAGGGCTTGCAGTATCTGCAAGCGGTGAATGGCTGATTGCGGTCGCGGGTCACAAAGCCTATGTTGCACAAGTTTCTGCATTGAAGTCTGGATTTACAAAATACGTTTCAACCGATGCATTGACATGTTTGGCGGTCCATCCATTAGAGGACTATTTCGCGACGGGAGACGCAAAGGGTGTCGTGCGGCTATGGTACTGCTTAAACCAGAGCAGGCCAGTAGTTGCTAACGTAGAAAAGCGATCGCAAACCTCTATGCTTCATTGGCATGCCCATGCGATTTCATCTATTGCGTTCACCACGAACGGGGCGTATCTGCTATCCGGCGGTGAAGAAGCTGTTCTCGTGATATGGCAGCTACACTCCGGAAAGAAGGAGTTTGTGCCCCGAGTTGGCTCGGCCATCAAAAGTGTCGTGGTCTCGCGCGGTTCTGCTGCTGAGGAAGAGTACCTTCTTGGGTTGGCGGATGCAAGTTTTGCATTTGTCAGTTCTGCCACGCTCAAGCTATCGCGAGTTTTTTCTCGCATAAAACTAGGTGCGTGCCTTTGCATCTGTCATATGAACCTGCTTGTGTTTACCTCTTGAACTTAGACTCCGTCACGTCAAGTGCCTGGGCATCCTCGTCCTCCGCCACACCACTTGCAGTCCATCCGTTATCATCGACACTCGTTCTTCCCTCTTCTCACCCTTCTTCACTACAAACCTACTCTCCTTCGTCATCCATGCTCGTTGCAGAGCTCGAGGTGTCACCTTCGAACCGAGTGTCAAGACAAGAAGACAAGATGTTGGAGCCATCGCGAGTAGAACGTGTGGTGATCTCGCCGTCAGGAGAGTGGATGGCGACTATTGACCGGCGAGAAGGGAACGAGTCATTCCGTGGCGAGATATACCTCAAGATATGGTGGTGGGACAAGAAATCCGCTTTTTGGATATTGAATACCAGAGTAGACCGGCCGCATGGCCTGAGCAAGGTCACTTCTCTGTCTTTTAGTCCTTCAGATGACATCCAGCTGGTGACTACTGGTGAGGATAGAAATGTCAAAACTTGGAGAATACGGAGTATCAAAGATAAGAAGGGCAATGTAGAAGGTATGTGCAGACGTTCTATGCGCAGCCGCAGTTTTGTGACTGCCCGTTAGTTTCCTGGACCTCAAGATCGTCTTTCGGTTTCCGTTCTGAGATGCCCAGAGACTCGGCTTGGTCTCCGGATGGCTCTCTTCTGGCTGTTGCGCTCAACGCCTCTGTGGCGTTGTATGATTCAATATCAAACGCACTTCACTTCACTATAGTGTGTTCGGAATGCCCAAAAATATCGTCCATACACTTCATTGGGCATCATGGCCAGTATATTGCGGTCCTTGGCGGCCCCAACCTTGTTGTCTGTGATATTATTAATCGATCTGGTGCGTCTTTCCACTCAACTAACGATCTACATCGAATTGAACATACTGCACATACTGCAGTACGTTGGCATCGTCGGCACGACTACCCTTTTGTCACTCTTGTACCCCATCCTTATCAAGATACCTTCGCAACGATTCACCATTCGCCGTCAAACACGAATAATGGGCTCATGGTCTACTCCATATCGTCGTCGGCTCCGCAGCTTTCACAAACGTTACCGTTCGGGATACGGAATTTAGTTTGGTATCCAGCTTCAAATCGCTTCGCTCGCAGCCGGACGTTTTCCCTTGTAGGAATTACGCATGCTTTTGGCGTCGTGCTTCTAGGGCACGACATCAACATAGCCGATGAGGCAAGTTCGTCAACGAAGGCGCTCCAGAAAGGGCAGGCGGTACCTAAGCGATCTCTCTTCGAGGAGATGTTTGGTGTACCGGCTCTTACCAATGTCTCCCACAATGTTGTCTCGTCGACAATTGACACCTCCCTCCCCTGGAAAAGCAGTGAGACGGCAAGTGTCTTTGATGCCGCTGCTTACCTCATGCCGCCGATGGAGAGTCTGTTCGAGCCGTTGATCAACGGCTTCCTCAAGATGCGCATGAATGAAAATGTGGACGAAGTGCGTCAGAGTGGCGTCCAGGATGCTGCTGATGAAATGTCCGCTGAACCGACGGACACGGAAGAGCCCGCTTTTATAGAGATGGGCAAAGTTTCGAAAGATGAGATCCTTGACACATTTGTACCATTCTTCAAGGACATTACAGGTAAATAATCCCTCAGTCGTCTCTGGTGTATGGTTACTCAACCGAATTTTCCGAAGGTCTACCTGATTACCCGTTCCATGCTGACAATTGTCCGGCCACATTGACACTCCCGACTACTCCTTCCCAACATGCGAAACCTCCACCCCGAACAAATGCATCCCAAAAGGTGAATCCTAATGCATCGTCCAAAAAGCAGGTTTCTACACCATCCATCCCCGCCAAAACTGGCAAAAAAAGAAGTAGACCTTCTCTAGCTTGAATATATAACATCTATTATTGGGCACAAGGTGTAATTCATCCAGCCGCGTGGATTTATCATTGAGATTGTTGTTTCAGCCCGTCGCATTTTACTTTTAAGCCGTTGTTGCATTTTAACGCTCCTTCGCATCGCCAGTACCCTCACGCCTTGCATTGTTGCCAAGTTTCCATATTGTTGTTGATATAAGAAATAGTGTTGTGCGTCATTTCATGTTCGTGTGATAAAACCATTGCTTCTCCGCCATACTACACCCGCTTCTTCCCAGTGTCGCGTCCTCTCAAGGAATGCTTGAAGCTCAACAGGAGGGAAGCTCCGCGCATCACATCCTGTGAAGGAGCGGGGTCGGCGGACAGAGGCGTGCTGACCTTTCCTGCGGCCAATGAGAGTAACGAAAGTGCTGAATTGGTGTGTCGATCTGATGACCCCAACCAGAGCCTGCTCGAATTGTCGGTGTCGCTACCGTTGTCTTTTCCTGCACGTCTGCGTTTCGTCTGCCTGTCGCAAGCCCACTCGAGTGTCAGGCCTCTCTTGCTACACGGTGTGTCCTTTTCATCGCGGGTAGGGCTATAGGCCTCGCTCCCTCTGTCAGACACTGAACTTGGAGCTGTTGGTGATGAAGGGAGGTGTTGCCAGAGTTCCTGAGCGTTGGTTCTACTTGTCATCGTTGGCCGTACCTGGTCTTTCTTGGGCGATTTCGAAGACATAAACGAACCCAAGGAGCTTAGGAGAGGTTTGACCTGCAGTGACATTTTCGACGGTGGATTGTTGACGTCTCTTTCTTGCTTTTCCGGGGATGGCGTTGTACGTGATTTCTCCAAACAGACAGATGGCAGAATCACAGGCTGTAGAGTATCGTTCACCGATGGCGAAGAGACACGTCGGAGTACTGATAGAGATTGCACAGGAAGCTGGTGATCCGGAGTTTTTGAAACACCATTCCTCGGCCGAATCTGAAGTGGTGAGGATGACACACTCGGTTTACTACGTTTTGCGATTTGGCGCTTATTTTGGAACCAGATCGTGATAGTTTTGCAGTCCCTGTTTACCAAAGTAAGTGGCTTGTATGGCGAGACAATTCGCTGACAGCCTCCTACATCCCAAGTTCATCTGCAAGTTGGTTCTTCCTGTGCTTTGACGGATGTGTGTCTTTTTGATAGAGCGATTCTAGACACATTAGCTGTGCGGATGACATGCGATGCCTCTTCTTCGAAGAATCCCCCCGTACTTCTGGCGGTGGCTGGCCAGTGACGTTGGACTGCGGAGTGACTGCCATATTTTCTTTCGGGTCTTGATTAGGAGTTGGGGTCGTGGGTCGTCGCGTAGAACGAGTGGCACGGGGAGTAGATATCATAGCTATGTGTTATTAGAAGTAAGATAGGCTGTGAGGGAGATGTGAGAGTAGAAGGATGTCCAAAGAAATGTGTAAAATAGCGACACGACCGAGCGGCTAACAAATTCCAACGCGTCGTGGTCACGTGGACAAAATCAATCGCAGTAATAACTTGAAGTTGAAACCAGCTGCAGTGCAACGGTTGCAACCCAGTCTCCTTTGAGTCTCCCCTAAGACTTTAGTCAAGGAAGACAGTGGTTCCTTCATATATAATATTTGATGGTTGGAGCCAGCTGCACAGGGCAATTCTCCACTTAGACTGAAGGTGTTTCGTGACGGGGTCAATGCACTCTTGCAGCAAGCACAAAGACCTATCATCGAATCTATGGCCGATGACTGCAAAAATATCGACGCGACGACGAATAAGCTCGGATCATTCTATACATGGCATGGATGCAACGGTATGATGTGGTAAAGCAAACGTTTCGTAGGTATCTAATAAAAACCAAATAATGACTGGAATACAACAACAGGTTCCTTGATAGGTGCACACGAAGAGAAAGGTATAAAATAACTGAGAACGACATGCTGTTAGGTTAACGACGCGCCATAAAACCAAGGAGTGTCATGGCAGCTTCGACATCCTCTGACTGGCGAGGTTTGCTCAAGTCAGAAAACAGGCCCTTGTTGTCCTCTTCTCCACCGAAGCCTTGACAAGAATTGCTCTGGGGAGAGAGATTGATGTTTTGGACGCTAGAATCAGGAGTGAGGGCCTCATATGACCCATCATCTGAGCCACTACCGTAACTCAAATAGGGGAGACAAGGGAGGTTGTCTTCCTCTTCTTCACCGTCAACCTGCCTGCCTCGCCTCGCCTTGAGACAGGCCCATTCTAACGAACGCCAGGTCTTTGATCGCGAGGGAAGGCCAGCCAGCCTAGCTTCCTCAGCACCTGGTGAGGATTGTGGAATAGCGGGGGATGATGGGATATGTTTCCATAACTCTGATGGGCTTGGAGACGATGGGACACAGACGTTGGTAGTCCGCGGAGTGAGCGGTGCTTGATTGGCGGTTAGGAGTAACGACGGTGATGAAGGTCTCTCAGACAACTGAGCGATTTTATCAAGTGAAACAGAGAAGGACGATATTGATCCGCCGCTGGGGTTACGCTGTTTCAGACGACGCAATTGAGGTGGGTGAGTTTTGGGAGGATTATTCTCATTCCAGACGAGAGATTTTCTTTTCTCTGTCTGGCGTCTATTTTGGAACCAGTTGGTCACAGACTTGAGCTCCCTGATGTACAAGTCAGTTCGAGGTGCGTCGCCAATCATATCGTGTCAACGTACATGCCGAGCTCTACAGCCAAAGCTAGGCGCTGCTCCCGAGTTGGATGGACCGTCAATTCAAGCAGCTGCTGGAGAGCCTTGAGTTGTTGTGGAGTGTTGCGTCGTCTGATATAGGGTACATGTGCAGTAGGAGTGTTTGATTCCGAGATCGACGTATCAGCAATAGACGTGTCTGAGTGAGTTACAGTCGAGATTGTTGAGGAGGAGGCAAAGCGCTGGAGTGGGGGCATGATGATACAGAGGGCGGCGGTGTACGATGTGTAACTATGTACTTAGCACATACGTTTGCTGTGTGCTGGTGGTGGTATGAACTTAATGTTAGGTTCTCAATTCAACACGCGTTACGTCAAATAACAACGCGTCACGAGGAAACCACATGACCTGAGAGTTGAAGTCACGTGTGCCTCCGACGCATTAGAATTTAGTGCCAAAGGAGTCGGTGACTCACGTGAGGACAACTGCTTAGTAATTAAGCTGAAACAGCTGGACACCGGTTGAAAGGAATCAGGATTAATGAGATTGCGATAATATGCGGTAATTGGTATAAGTATTACAGATGTTTCCTACATATGCATGCCATTACAGAATATATCTTTCCAATAAGTATCTCCCCCTTAGCTAGATCGTCTCTCCAAAACGGTCGCAAGTCGCCAACGCTCTCTCCTCGGGAGTTGTGGACCCCAGAGGCGCGATGAACAGACCCACGATCTCCTGGATTATGCCCGCTTCTGCAGCAGTTATCTGGCTGACGTATGGAGAATTCACATAGGCCCTCCTCAGCGGGGCGCCTAGCTCCTTCCTCGTGGCCGCCCATTCCGCTATCTTCGTTCCAGACATTTGCTGGAATTCTATCGTCTGAAGGTTCGGACAGAGAACTGGCCGGTTCTCTGGGAGCGACTGTGTGGCTGTCTCTCTCCCCAGGCCATATTCTCGTGGGTCTTCGTTAAATGCCTCGATAATGTGCCACTTCATGGAGGCGATCCGCAGATAACTCAGGTAAGGCATCGCGTTTAGGAACCTCACCATCGCCTTTGTCCCCCCCTCCGTGGGACTAATGTTGACCGTGTAGAGCGTCAGGAGTCGTAGCTCCCTAAACCGGCCGGTTATGGCAGCGATCATTGTCGTATAATCTTCTCCTGTCAGGTTCATTAATGTCAGGTCCCGCACGTTGGGTGCCTTGAACTGGGATAAAATGTAGCACGAGTACAACATGCTGAAGCCGCCTATGATGAGAACCTTCAGGTGGGGAAGGTTAATTGGAACGTGATCAGGCCTTCTAGCGCTGGGTTGCGGGCCTGCCCCGTCCAAAGACAGCTTCTGCAAGCGAGGGCAAGCAATGAGGACCTCGCGAAAGCGATTCAAAGTCGGCGCAACGTTCATCGCGATTTTCCTGAGGTCGATGGTAGACAGGTTGCTAAGTGGGGTCGCGTTCCAGTCAATGTGAACGCCGGAGAGGCAGAGATATTTCAAGGCCCGGGTCTGGCCACCGAAAAGCACAGCAGGTGAACGCCAGCCTGGCCCGAGCCATACGAAAGGTTGTCCCATCCTATGAATTTCTAAACGTTCCATGTTGATGATCTTCCCAGCCTCGGCCGCTTCCTGCAGCTTTTGCAAGACTACGAGTGCGGGGGGCCAGTTGTCAACAACAAGCACAAGCATGCGAATCTGAGAGACTTTGACAAAGATTTTGTCGATGAGCTCTTCCATCTGTTCGGCAGTGAACCGATGATCATCCTCTTTATATCTCCAATCATCATCTTTGGACTTCCAGTCGGCATCGTGTTCGTTGATGCGGATGTCCAGCGGTGCACCACCTGCTCTCTTAAACCACTCCAGTGACCGTTGATACGGAGGAGGATCACGGAACCAAATAGCACTCCAAAGGGTGCAGTCTTGGATCATCAAGCTGCGCCACTTGGTGCACACCGATGTAAGTAACAGGCGAACGTGTGTGCCATCGGCTGGGGTACTGGTTGACCAAGCAGCGATGCGGAAGATGTGCGTAATGATTTCGGGTGGCAAGTCATTCATACGGAAATTGCGCCAGTAAAAGATGTTACGTTTGAAACGCATGTCGTCGTAAAGGTAAGTGTAACGGGGATCATCTTTCGCGGCCGAACCCTGAAGTTGTATGATGTGCTGAATTTGCGCCATCTTGTGCATGAACATTGTAGACAGCGACATATCTTTAGCAGACGTGTCTCTTGTTCCAGGCGAAGGAAGCTTCTTCAGATGGTCTGTCATGAGAAAATCCTGCCGTTTCTTGTAATCTGCTGTGCCCATGATGGCATGTTTGGGCCACTGGTTCAAAGGCACGGGCATGTGTATTTCGACGGCATCAAGAACGGGATGCTAATTGCACACCTCGTGAACAGTTCAAAGAAAGACAATGAAGTTACGCACCAGTGGAGGCCTAACTAGCACGGCAGGTCGAGCCGGTTGGTTAAGGTCTGACATAACGGCGCCAACTGTATTGTCGGCTGGTTTTGTGCTAGATGACGGGGAGAGATGGAGAAAACGAGCAGGGTAATATCTGAAAATGTAGCGGTTGAATGACGAGGAGACGCAGACGGTGTGGTTTTATGCGGTCCACAGTGGCACGTTGATTTTCTTGTATCATTGGCAATCGATATGTTACCGGGTTGGTGGCCTGTTTCGCAGGCAAAGCGTGTTGTTTGTCCTTGTGGGCGCCCAAAATCGCTTTATTTGTTGCTGGATTACGCCTTTCAGTCTACATGTCCACTACCAAGAGAAAGAGCGGTACTTGCCTGGCAAAGACGGTCATGCAGGACGTTTCAAAGAGCTCAATACCTGTGGATGCCAGGAAGACACGACCTATATTCGTTGAAAGTACCACGATGATGATAAAGGAATGGTTCGTACGTTTGCAAGTTTCCACTGGGCATCCCCACAACATAGCAGGTTGACACAAGGCTATGGGCAAAGCCGACGCTTTTTTTACTATAGGTGCCCATTATCACAGAAAGGGGAAAGGGCGCGTGCTCGTCACGGAACGTCCCACCATGACGCGCAATTACTGACAGGATCCGTCCTAGTTAGCAAGAGGCACTCACATTGCTTTGTGCCCAGAGTTCGTCCGTTTCCGAAGGAAATGAATTGTTTTCATTCCCTGGAAAGTGACGAGCAGCACAAAGCAACGCTCGTCGGCAATTTGCTTCCGTCGCCCGCCACCGAACTTGGCAACATTTGCTTCCGCGAAACAATTCACGTCCGCAATATCAGCTTGCATCTCGTGGGGGAACCGTGCTCTTGATCGCTTATTTTTACGCAGGATTTCTTGTAATTTTTCAAAGTACAAGTTGCTTTGGTTGGGATCGACATGACGGACGGTTGAATTTTGACGCTGTATTTGCCGAATTTGCCTTCGCGACGTCGATCGAAGATTGTAGCTCGCCATTTCGCAAGCCCCCGCAAGTCAATGGTTTGTTCGGCCCTATCGCGGCCTTTCAACATGCTACACGAGGTAGCCCAGTATTCCTCTGTTCACGGACACCGCATGCGTTGTCCACGAATACCCAGCGACCCGTTGTACACTGGCTCGCATGACCATTGTGAATTCGGGGATAAAGTTCTTGTTGTTTGCTTGTTCTTGTCAATTTCTCCTGACTGACGTATTTATAAATTTTTCATTGAGCAATGCCACAAAACCGACAGTATTCATGACAATCACACCAAGAAATAGGAGTCACAAACGTATGAATTTACAATACTGTACCAACGACATAACTTTGACATAAGTAATCAGAATACAAGAACTTTTAATACAACACAGTCAGAAAGTCAGATTAAAACCCCAAATTATACAGTCAAGAATCTGCCTCATACATCATACATCACCGCATCTTGCAATTAGGCCCAAGCACCGGGGATGGGTTCCCTGGAGCCGCTAGCCCGAGGTGCGGAAGCGGAAGGAATAAGCTCCTCGATCAAGTTGGTCACAATGTCATCCTCGCCGTCTTTAGTAGTGGGAGGATGGGCAGCCATTTGCTCCGTCACCTTGGCGTTCAATTTGGGATACGTGCCCTCAGTAAAACCCATCTACAAAAGCTCATCATAAGATATTACAGAGACAAACAAGAACAAGGAGCGTACCTCAGACAATTTCCTCATGATGCGATTCACAGAACGGTCCTCGTGATGTCCAGGGCCACGACGTGGAGTGTGTCCAATGGTGTGGCTGCGCCTGGGGACGCTGAACATCTCGAGTTGGGGGTACACGCCCCTGGCATTGCTTACAATATGGACCTGAGGTGCAGCGGGTGTAGCAGGCTGAGAGGGCGCGGGCGCGGTTGTGGGAGCGGGGGATGAAGATACTGTCACCTCAGGGACTGGAGTCGCCGTAGGAAGCCCTTGAGACGCAGATATATCTGCGCCACTCACTGTACCAAAAATGATAGGATGGCCAGAAACATCATTGCTACAAATGTGAGTCAATATCCTCTTGATCACTACGAAGAAAAGTAAAATACCTTCCGCTAGATTCCTGTCGTTGTTCGCGATGCTCTGCCGACTTCCTACCGGCCCTAGCTTGACGATACCTCTCCTTGCGCATCTTATAGTCGGCCTTAGCGCGTTCAACATCAGCCCTGAGCTCCTCTTGAGTGGGTGAAGGGCTCCTGAACAGGCTGGAGTCAGACAATTCGCCCTGCATTTCATGAGGTGGTACAGCGCGTGCAGGTGGCGCAGCAGGTGCATTAGGAATGGGAGGCGGGTTGACCGGTGTGGGTAGCCCTAAATTTCCCAAACGCCGGTTGCGTGCCTCTGCTAACGTGGTGCGGATGTCGCTCATCCTTGCACGGCCGTGATGATCCACATGTGGACCATGCTCCTCCTGGCGCCCAGTTGGAAGCCCCCAAAATGGTGGAGGCGGGCGGGGCCACCCATGGCGGCGACCAGGCGGCGGCGGTGGCGGGGGCGGGGGAGGAGGGCCCCAGCGATGATGAGGATGCGGTGGTAAATGGCCTGGAGGAGGTCTGGGATATGGGATAAATCCGCAGGGACGGACGCATTGAGGCACTGGAACAAACTCCTCTTGAGCAGCGGGTGGCCGGAATGATTCAGTCGCTGTCCTGGCGGTTTGGACAGCATCGCCGAAGGTACGGAAAATCCCACCAAGGGCATCTGCAACCCTGGCGCTAGCCTCCTCTTCAGCGTTCTGAATCTCTTCTGCGGTCTTGCCGGTTTCCTGTTGAATATTCTCCGCAGCACGAGAAAGTGCATCACGATGCGCAGTCCAGTACGTCCCGTTTGTGGCATTGGCGACGATGTTACGAACACCCTCTGATAATTCTGGATGTGAAGAAATGATGCCAGAAATCGTCTTCAAGAAGGCTGCTACATCATGAGTGAGTGATTGTTGTCCGGTGCTGCTGTTATTAGAGTTGTCCAGAGTGGGGAGGGCGGGATCGTCAACGAAAGCTGCGGTGGATTTCAGCACAGCCTCAGGAAGAACCTGCCCAGAAATGACAGGAGTGCTCTGAGCCTGGGCTGGAGTCGCTGTCCCACTGGCTGAGACAGGAGTCTTTGCTTTGACACCGAATGTGGAAGCTTCATCGGAATCATAAACACGGGCCTGTGGCTGCGGTGGCGCATCATCACCGAAAACCGAGTCCGTGGATGATACATCGTCCTCAACTGTAGGCTGCATCGCAATGCGCGACTTGCCCTTATCTGTGCGGAAAGTAGGCATTGTAAACGTCACATCTGATCGGGTGATGTCTCCAACGGAGAATTCTTCGTCCGCGTTGTCCGACTTCTTGGACCCGCTGACGTCACTCTCGAGAACCTCCACGAATGCGTGTGGGCTCTCCGGAGAGTCACTGGACAAGAAAAGATTGCCCAGGCTCCCGGGGAGACGCTGCCATTCATCATCGACTTCGAAAACGAAAGGCAGCGAGTCGTGTTCTCCAAATGTGTTCCGGAAGTGAGAGGGGGGAGCGGTGAGGTTGCGGGAGGGCGCTACATTAGTGGACCTGAGGGAGCTAAGGTCCTGTACCGAAAGCCTGATAGGATTGTATTTATCACCACCGAGGGTGCTATAGTAGTCCTGCAACTCCTCATCAGAACTGAGAGTTACTTCGTCCCCATCTTGGTCAAGGTAGGATACCCCAACGTTGTCGGTTGGAATTCCGAACGTCGCACTAATCTTGGAGGATAGAATGGCCCAAGTAGGGTGGGCGAGGAATACCAGGCGACGAGTGAGCCCGCCTGGATTTGAAATCTTGAATTGTGCAATAGAGCTATTAGCCATGAGGGATGAAAGGAAGGCGCTAAGCGAAGTTAACTATCAGGAGATAAAGCGACTTTTAAAACTCCGACGCTTGCTGCGGCTGCACAGCAAACAAGTCACTGCAAGTCACCGCGCACTGCGCAGAAAGCAATATGATCCGTCATCTCAATTCTCGAGCATTTTGGACAGTAGTATACATTCATCGTATGCTCTTTCTACGCTCATTACGTCTACGCAATACACTTCTATGCGAAGATGGCCAAGCGACCATCGATGTCAGCGGGGTCATTCAACTGCAGAGCGAATTTAAATTATTTATCATTCAAAAGTCATGAATGCGCGCGTACCCTGAGGTTAATGTTCAATGCACTCAATGCTGCAAGCTCGGATTCTGAGAGGTCAAAAGAGTTGCAGTCCAAGTTTGCTACCAATCTGCTAAGATCGTTGGACTTTGGAATGACGGCAATGCCTCGTTGCGTAGCCCAACGCAGCAAAACTTGAGCTTCGGCTGTGAATCATCTTGCGTCAAATATCGTCACAGATAAATGATGTTGTACACCCACTCTTTCCATGCGACTTGGCCACAGCGGAAGTCACGTCGTGCTTGAGGAGCGAAGGAGCACCCTTGTCAACACCAAGTTCGACGTAGGATTGGGGTCCAAACGAAGAGTAGGCAGTCACGGCAATGCTGAACGTCTTGCAAAGTTTGACGAGGGCTTCTTGGGTAAGGTATGGGTGAAGCTCAACCTGCAACACCTGTGGCTCGTACTTGGCATACCGGAGAACGTCAAGGATCAAAGATCCCTGGCAGTTACTGGACGGTATTCATGAAAATGCACTGAACAACTTGGTTCACAATAATCACCTCAGGCCAATGTTTTTGGTCAGTTTCTCATCAACGAGCTCCTCCATTGCACCCCAAGTCTCGTGCATAGGGGTGTTTTCTGGGGTAAGAAAGTGTGAATCGTGGATACGTCCATTGTAACCCATGACTCACGAAGGTAGACCTTGCCGTCATCACCGAACCACTCAGGGGGATAGCGGTGGCTGGGATCGACATATTTCAGGGCGATGGGAAAGTGGACGAGGAACAAGTCGAAGTAGTCAATTCCCCAGAGGCCAAGCTGCGTCTTGGTGATTTGTTTGACCTGATTCGTTGGTCAGAAATCAGCTGCATTTCAAGCTACTCAAAATGACTGACATGGTCATGGGCATGGAAAGTGTTCCATAGCTATGAAACAACAATACACTGAGCTATAATCCAATTTGTATAGGAAGGTGTCTTGCCTTAGACGTAATGACTGATTCATGAAAAGCAGATCAACTCGTGAGCTGGTTCAAGGGCGAGAAATACTCACAGAGGTCCTCCCGCTTAACGAGGCCATCCGCGATAGCCCGACGAACACCCTCGCCTGCCTCTTTCTCATTTCCGTAGTCACCGGCACCATCAAGAAGACGGTATCCCGCTTTAATCGCGTTGTATACGGTCTAGAAAACATGATAAGAACGCCTGATCACTTTCAAAGATCTGGAACTCACGTCAGCGCAACTGGACTTGGTAACCTGGAAAGCGGGTCAGCTCAGGCCTTCAAATTAATTTGAATAAACTTGCCTTCCAGAGCCCGAAGCTAAAGAGAGATTGGGGTCAATGCGTTCTGTTCCGGCGTGCGATCGATAATCAGTACGTACCCGACTACGGGCATCTGCATGGATTTACGGAGTATATACGATTAGCATTTGATCTACACAAATCGTTCCATCGCTGACCTTCTGTTGAGTTCTCTTCAAAACAATCGAGGCCATGACTAGTGAAATGCAGAAGATGGAGTGGGAGTAACTATGGGATCGGTGAAATCGATGGATGGGCTCGTCGAGAGGCTTTTAAATTTCTTTTGAACGGTCCGAAACTTAACCTTGTGATGGGAGATTGTGCTTTTTCAGGAGACGCAGCGTTCTCGTGACTCGAAAAGGTGCTGGATTTTAATAATTTAGGGTGCCGTCCTCTAAGCTCACTGTCGCGAGTGCGGCGCGCCCAACCGCTTAACGGAGTTGGACGTCAATCACTTGAGTTCACGTGAGCTCGCGGGAACAAATAGAAGTGTGCAAGTTTTCTTGGGGTTTCCCCGACATTTAACCTCTAAACGTGGCAAGCGACGACGACGAAGACGTTCTTTTCAACGTTGAACCAACCTTGCACGGTGGCTTGGCCACAGTAATTTGTCGCGTAGCAGTCGCTCACATCACGAAATTCTCCTTCTCCCGTCCAGTGCGTCTGATATTCGTTATTTTATTACGAATGACACATGAACTTTTTACCGTCAGCGTGAATGTCCAGCCTGGCACCTGAGGAACTAAGTATTATCAGTGACATGCGTTTCTACGTGCTCGGGCTCGGACCCATTGGCTGTCTCCTCGCTCATAACTTACGATCAGTTCTTCCACGCGCCCACCCAGTCACTCTCATCCAAAAAACCGCCAAGCAGGCGTGGAAGCCGCAGAATGCAGCTGCGAAAATCACAGTTGAAAACCAAGGTGTCCGACAGTCCACAGACGGTTTTGATATCGAGGTGTTCGACAAGTATAGCGGATCGGGCGGTGGAGTGCGCTTCAACCCCAAACTTTCAAGGGAGGAGAGTGCCGTATTCACCCCCGGCGATGGAGATTTACGGACAGAGCCCATCGAAGCGTTGTTCATAACGACCAAAGCGCACAGCACTGCGCCTGCACTGTCACACCTAGCTCCACGCCTCACCTCTCGCAGTACCATCGTACTTTTACAAAACGGCATGGGATTATATGAAGACCTGGTCCAGCGAATATTCCGCAACCCAGAAAGCAGACCACACTTTATCCTGGCGTCAAACACCCACGGAGCATGGCTAAAGTCGGCGTTCCATGTAGTCCATGCGGGGCTTGGGGATATCACATTTGGGATTGTCCCAGATAGCCGCAAGCGCGATTTCGAAATATCCATGGCGGATGAAAGCAAGCCGCTGTACGAGAGATCACTTGTTTTGGACGACATCACACGCCCCGATGATCCTTCATTCGACCAGTACCGCAGCCTACGACACACGGTAGCAGTCTTACGATCTCTTGATTATCTTGGATGCAAATGGAGTCCTATTGGAGATGTTCAACTTGCGATGCGCAAGAAACTCATCGTAAACGCAATTGTGAACCCGCTCACAGCCGTTCTAGGCTGCCGAAATGGTGGTCTGTTCAAGGACGAGGCATCACATAATATGCTGCGCAGCGTCTGCGAAGAAGCTGCCGCAGCTTTCCGTGCGCAGATTGAAGCGGACACACAAGCATGGCTCGATTCTCTAGATCCTAGCGTGGATAAGACACAGGTGCCGGTGGGGCGTGTTCCAAAAGAACTGGGGGCGGATGCTCTGGAACGTGAGGTCCTGCGTGTCACACACGTAACAAGAGGCAATATGTCATCTATGCTCTCCGACGTAAGGAAGAACAACCCAACGGAAATCGACTTCTTAAATGGCTACTTGGTCAGGCTAGGGGAACAATATAATGTCCCTATGCCAGTCAATAGGGCCCTTGTTCAATTAGTCAAGATGCGGTGCTCTATACCCATCGATCAGACGTTCTGATTGACAGCCGGAGTGTGTTGAGTGCGTCATACTGTCTTGTCTTCCATCTGCTTGCTTATTTCCGCAGTATAGATTGGCATCTGTATATACTCAGTCGGCGGCCTTAAAGGATGAGGGTCCTTGATACACTATCAAGTTGGTACAAGGGATGGGGTACGCTGCATCGTCAGGCAGCTTACCGGCAGCGCTCTAACCTGCCATGGCATCCGAGGATGGAAGTCCTTGCATTTCATATAGTGGCTGGCGCATGTCAATCACGTCTGGACCGTGTACAATATGCGCATTATAAATTATTGGTATATGAGGTGTGTCCATACGAGCAACTTAGATAAAAAGTCTAAAAATGCAACGATAAAGATCATTTCACGTGCGGCGCAAGATCATCATCTCCATTCCACTAGTCCAATTATATCAATGGTCATCAGCGTCCGGCGAGCCCCATTTGACTACCCGGGTTGGTCCACCATGCCACGACTCCACTCTGCGGCGGGCTAGGGTGGTCATCGTGGAGCCATGAGTGCCGACGAAGCCAGCTCCATTTGATTGAATGACAGCGTCAATGAACACTGGATACCTGGCAACAGAAGCAGCTTCTAGCATCAGAAGGAAAAGATGGCATCTAATCGGCTCACCACTTTCCATAGATCTCCTCTGTCCGCTCTGTTGCATAATCTACCCTATTCCAGCCCAGTGCCCTGACCTCAGACCACCATTCTGGGTCACGCTCGTCGCTCGTCATGATAACTCTGGTGACCTCGATACCTTTTTGTGTGCGAAGCTCCTCTTGCACCTCGGACACCCTGCGCGCAATAACAGGCAACGAGGCGAAACACTGATCCACCGGAAAATCATTACAGTAAACGCGGAAGTCGCCGTGCCGCATGTGGATGGATATATACTGTCATAATTTAAATCCATGAAGCAACCTGTACCCGAAGCTATCACTCACGAGTGGTGTTGGTTCATTTTCTGGTACATTCATAGCGCGCCGGGCATGCGCATCAGCAAGCCTTTCAAGGCTCGCATTCCAGCGCATGTGTTGGCCTACAAATCTCCATGCAGGAGAATAGTCCGATTCCCATTCCCATGCGTTCTGGGCGCCCACGTAGTAAAGATAATCGAAGCATAGTAATTGATCATCCGGGGGAAGAGAAACCTCATGCTGAGGAGAAGGATGATTCGTTAATGCCAGGCTATTCGAGCGAGCCTCCGGAAATCCGAGTGTTGCAAGAGACCAAAAGGAAGCATGATTGTCTTCTATGCCAGGAGGTGTCAGCTTGACCCAATCTGGGGTTCGCGTCCACGAAATATCTGTGATCGATGTGCGGTTAATCACTAGCTAGAGATGTTTAAAGTTGTCTCACCAAGCTTGAGCCAGTTCAGGGAGGGACTTCCCCGTGGATGGGGATCCTGCTTTTGAACGCTCTCCCAAACACTCCAACAACCAAGATCGTCGACAACCTGACTTTCCGAGTCCTTTACTTCGTGCCATTCAAGCAAGGGGATTCCTATGGCTTTGCTAAGCCGAGGGACGTCGATCACCTCCCCAAAGGCAAATGGAGGTGCACTGTTATCGACATGAGAAGGGATGAACTTCGCGATTATGGGTATGCGCCCTGTTATGAGTGCGAGGTAGATCAAATTCCCCTAGGTTCTGTGAGCAAGCGGGGCCGATGGCAAATCCTTGACTTACATAGGTCATCACGTCATTCGCTAACAAGTAACTGCGGAGTCAGCGGTGCAATTGGCGGGTTGGCTGGGGTTGACGTACTCCATCCTGCAGAAATCCACGATGTAATGTAATTTGTGTCATTACGAAGGTTATCTGAGTCCATTGTTGTGAGATCTGAGAGGCATGACTGTCGCGAATTGACTGACCTCGAAAGCCTTGTGTGGGCGGGCCTCGAACGTAAGATTGAGAGTTGAGGATAGCGGAATGCGCAGGCGCATCCTCAATGTCCCAATAGCTCAAAGGCTTAAGCAGGACAACTGCAAAGCTGAGTAAAGAGACAGCCGCCAGAACTGTGCATAACGTCCTGAGAGGTCGATTTCTGCCTTGAGCTGGTGTCAATGATTTGGCACGGAACATGGGGATAAACGGGCTCTCTGGGTCGTCGTAGGCGTCTTGTCTTGAACTCTCTCCTAGCAGGCACTCATCTGATCGTCTATCCATGACACAGACAAGGGTGGGAGAGGCTCAAATCAATATTCGTTATATTTGTATGCTAGGGGGTTCCGGATATGATCTCATTGCGGTTTGCTGTCCGTGCGAAAAGCAGTCACGGTGACGCGGTCATGCCACCCCGTTCTGCCCCTTACCATGATCTGCAGTTACCATTTTGGATGGAGGCTCGCCCGCACGGTGAACCAGCTCACTTTGGTAGATTGATGGCATGATCTTTTCCACGTTAAAACCACAGAGCTTGATCCATGCGCTCTTCCAGTAGCCCCCGTTCACTTGGAGAAGATGAATAACAGATATTTCGATGCGAACACACCAAAGGTGGCGGCGGTTGTGGGCTTTTACATGTCCGCCGCACTGGTGGTGAGTACCAATGTGCGCGCATAATGTCACTTCAGCCCCTGATGAATACACTGGCAGATGGTTTTTGTGTAAGGTGGTCTAGCTAGAGTGTTAATGTTAACTCAACCTCTGAGGACAGGAACAAAGCCGTCCTTAATAGCTCACCAGATCTACCGCTGCTCTTTCTCCTGCTGCAGCTGCTCATCGCAGTCTTGCTCCTCCACGTGGCAGCTATGTTCATCCCGCGTGTCGAGATACCCAAGATCGAGCTCGAGACCGCCAAGAAGCTCGCACCTGTAGTCCTTGTCAACATCATTGGACTCATTTTCAATACGTTATGCCTTCGTGATGTCGAGGCCAGTTTCTTCCAGGTGTGTGGTATTCTAGAAATGCAAAAACTGCTGTTTAACTCCACAGATTGCGCGTGGCCTTGTCCTACCTCTGACCATCCTTGTATTCTCCGCGCATACTCACACTGTGCCTTCTGTTCGAGTTGGAATTGCTGCCGGGACAGTTGCCATAGGTTTCTTGCTCGGCGTGGCGCCGTCTGCCATGGTGCCGGCCAACGCTGCGCCTTCAAGTCTTTCTCTGTTCTACGGCTTCCTTTCGTCGCTTTTCATTGCTTTCCATGCTGTTCTTATCAAGTCATCCCTCCCTTATTGCAACAACTCAACCATACAACTTGCATACTGGACCAACTTAGGCTCTGCAATTTTTCTTTTCCCTTTTGTCTTGCTTTACAGAGAAATTTCCACTCTTGAGGACCTTATGCACGATTCGAACTGGGACGGGCGTGTGTTTCTATGGGGGAGCATCGTGACCGGCATTTTCGGTTTCTTACTTTGCATCGCCGGCCTGCTGAGCATCAAGGTTACAAGTCCTATTACACACATGTTCTCCAGCGTGAGTCATATTCACTGTATACAGAGAATTAATGGGGTCATTTAATTGCCGCAGGCTTTAAGATCAGTTATCCAAACCCTGTTGGGTGTCTGGCTATTCAAAGACATAATGACGGTGTATGTACTCGCTATTGATCCGTAAACTCTCCGAGATGAACTCCACCTTCGCACAGCAATCGCGCAGGTTCTATTCTCGTTATCATGATAGGCACCATGTACGTGCTTGTGGTATTGAAGTTACGATCCTGCAGGAGTACTGATGGCACATTCTTTCCTGGTAATTAGTTATTACACCTGGGTCAAATCATTGGAAGCCGCACCTCCGCCGCGCAAGGATGTTGACCTCGAGGCTATAGGAAATAGGAAGCATCAGGAAGATTCTGATGATGGCGAGGTTACGGTGGTTTTCGGAGTGCCGGAGGAGGAGGAGAAGGTGTAAGAAGTTGTCCCTAGACACGAGTGTCCTTCTAATAGACACGGAAAATTGCCACGAGTGATCATCACAGCGTGTACGTTGCTACCCGAGACGATTCTTAATGGACCACGTACTACTCTTACTTACCATCAATGCACAGTTACGGACACTTACAGTCTTACATACTAGTCGTTAGCTATATCTATTTTGTTTGCGTGCCTATAATCAGGTCGGTGATACGTCACAGAAGACTAGGTGATGCAGATGATATCAGTCCCTCATAACGTGAAAAGTTGTTAGAAAGGATTGCGAGATGCCGCAGGCTGTGTCTGTCGGATATTTTTACTGACTTGAACGTTCGGAGTCATCAGGCCCAGGGACAACTTGATCTCGGCGGCCGGGCGAGACTCGGGATGGTCTTCACCAGTATATTGCAGCTCGAATTTGCGTTGATCATCATTAACTCTAGTTTTATGGCGTTTGCGGTCGAACTGAGTCGAGTCTAGATCAGACAAGTTCAAGATACCGTTGCTGCATAGTACGTTAGTCACAATGTTGACCCGAGAGCCACTGGCCTGGCCAAGGAATCACATTATGGAAGTTCCTGAGATTAGTTCCTGGTGGATAAAAGTTGGGAGTCGACAGGTGCAGCTGTTTGACGGCCGAGGCCTGAAGCAAGGACGTCGGACCTGAGAACCATGACACGAGGAGTGACATGAATCGGTCACAAGATATCCACCAGTGCCTCAAATGCCGCTTATCGCCATTTTGATATTGTGTCGGCCGTGGGCGATTTTTGTCATGGTCAAGGATGCAAGCTGTCGCGGCCACCCTAGTGTGCCCTAGTAGGCCCTAGTGTGCCTCGGCGGATGCGGTGGCGACGTGACAGTGAGGTTCGTTCTTTCACCCTGAACAAACTCCAAGTTGACATCAACGTTGATATTCAAATAGTAAACCAGTTCAATACAAACCGAACTTCAACGAACCAGTTGTGATCAATTCAAAGCACTAAACCGATCGCGCGGTTTGCAAATCGAGCAAGCAATATGAAATGCTATAAGATGTCCCCACATTTCTCCTAAGCGGCTGAGAGGATATGGATTCCTCGTCTCCAGTGCTGCTGGATCCCTCTTGCAGGGTCTCTGACGAGGATTTGGATCCAAAACCTCAAGGAAGTTATTGCTCATCTCAGACAGCTACATGGAAGGTGGAACGCCCATTGGGCGACAGCGAATTATCTTACTTTCTTCCGTCTCGCGCAACTGGCGTTAATGACATGTGAGCTTTCCCGAAAATTTCTTCAATATTTGAGGATCTCATGATGGGCTGTGCCACCACGTAGGTACCTTCACTTGGGCTTCGTTGCTCCAGAACACGTCGTTCGTCGGGCCCGAGTTCGCATGGTGTGGGCAATCCTTCGTATTCGGCATCCACTCTTGGCTTCGAAGGTCGTCATGCACGATTACGACGACGTCAGATTTGTGTAAGTTGCAGTTCCTCACTTGATGCTTGCAACCACACAATTTTATCTCCAGGTTTACCCCTCCACAATCTGTGGAAGATGCTTTGGTTGATGCGGACCGCAATCTGGAATACAGAACTTCGACCAAGGATGGTACGTCCTTGTCAACGTCCTAATTTTGTGATGTTTATGTAAGCTTTAGAACTCATCGATTCGTATCTGAATGGAGACCGAACGCTGTCGAACGACCGTGTGTCCTATCTTGTCGTGTCTCAAGGAGGCACATCTTTACCTAGCCCCCCTCTAACGCCCCGCTCTACGTCATCGTTTGACGAGCGCGAATCTCCTTCATACAATCATGACCTCATGATTTGTGCTGGTCACTTTTTGGGAGATGGTATGGCACTGCATCAATTTGCAAACGACCTTTTTGGGTTGCTCGGCAGTGACAAAACCATTTCTGACCTTGAAGCTCAGCTGAAGGAAGAGCTCAGCTCTCGTTGGGGCACAGACTCTACCAAGGTATGCATCTCTGTTGTATGGTCTCAAATCTAGCTGAGCAACAACTCCAGGCTACTGCTGTATTACCGAATGCCTTGGAAGACAACTTCACCGTCAGCCACAGTAAACTGCGCAGTGCAGTCGAAAAGGTCGACTTCCAGTTGAGTCAGCAAAGACTTGTGGTGAATATTGTGCCTTCTGTTAACGGGTAATTTGTTGACAACTTGACAGGGCGGACATTCGTTCCGTCGACAGACAAAGAAGCCTAGGCATACCATTGTCCCTACTGTTTCTTATGATCCAGAGCGGACAACAAGCATTCTGAAAAAATGCAAAGCGCATGGTGTATCCATCTCCGCAGCTCTATTTGCCATTTGTAACATTGCTTGGGCAAAGATGTGCTCTGAGAAACCGAACTTGTCAATGCAAGTCAGAACAATTTGGTTGTGGCTTACGTATTTAACCCTTTGAGCAGGATGATGTACTCGGCCTTAAACCTGCGCCCGTATTTCACGGTGAAGCCAGCAAACGATTCGTACTGGTTCCTTGCTGTCGGCTATTTCAACGTGATCCTTCCAACATTTATACCTCGGTCGATCGAATTGTCTTCGGTATTCTGGCATCGGGCTCGGATTGCAAAGGAGCAGAGCACCCGAGCTGCCAAAAACCGGATGATCGTGTCACGTAGTCTCTTGATGGCTGAAGAGAGGGGTCAACGGGCTCGTCTTTGGGCCAAAGAAGACGATGAAAGGGAACGTGGAACTTTTGTCCCCCCTCCTCCTGTTCCAACTGCGGATACCGCACTACGGACGCCATCTGCCGCATTAATTGGCTTATCGCTTCTAGGAAACCTTGATGGCATATATAAACACGGAACATTCCCCGCCATCAAGCTCCATACACTGACGACTGGTTCGCGACAGCGATCTGGAGGCATGTTGCTATTTGGGTATACGTTCGCCGGCAAGTTATGGATCAGCCTCGGATATGATGTGAATGGTTTTGAGAAGGTAATGGTGGAGCAGTTCTGGGAAAACGTGCTCCAGACAATGGACGACTTGCTTGTGCAGTAACACTAATATTAGATACATCATGACGGGGGCGAAAGGGAACCGGACTGTGCGAACTAAGCTAGTACCCCCAAGAACTAGTACCTAAACGGATTTATCTTTAGAAAATGCGTTATCGATGTTTGTCCAAAGCTTGTATCTATATTTAATCCATACCGTTCTATATATACCTTGTCATCTTATCTTATCTTATCTTATCATGGGGTTTTTCGAATTTGAACCACTGGCATACTTATCATAGAGGTCTACCACGATGACGACACGGGAGCTTCCCTTTGACCTCTACGTACATATTCTCGAGCAGTTGACCCCATCTACAGATTCTGATGAGAGCATTACTGTGCTCATTTCTTGCTTGAAGGCAAGTCCTTCCTTGAGGGCAGCTGCATCTGTTTCAGGACTATGGGAGCCACATTACCGTGTCCGATACGCAATATGTGACCCTGCGAAAGAGCAATCGCGAAAGCGGTCTACAGGTGGCGACTGGCGACTGATGTATCTCGAGAGGCGGCGCATAGACCTCGAGACATTGGACATATTATCAAAGATTGTCGCGGAACGGGGTGATGGAAGACTGGAAAAAGCGCGAGAGGTCAATACCATGTTCTCGTTTGATGCATGGAATGTCCTCGAGACGGCTGCAAGCTATCCGCTTCCGGAGACATTCCTCGACCCAGGTGCCGCTCCGAGTCCAGAGCGGAGACCCGTCCCCCCTCATGCGGTTCCCACTCGCTTTTGGGCTCAAATGCTTCTTGGTGCTATTGCTAGAAGTCATGCTGTCCGCACCTGGGGGAAACTTATTTCTAATGACACACCCCAAGCGTTGGAACTTTCATTCGCTTGTGTGTCCAGCTTTTTCGTATACCCTCCCATGAAAGTTCGTGGTTTCAGCTGACTCACTGCTAAAAGTTGCTAAGCTCCTTCGAGGTCTTGTCCCAGATTGACGAACTTGCGGCGCTCTGCAAAGCCTACTTTATTGAGCGCCAAATTCCCCTCGATCCGGCTGAATTCAACAGTGATGCTGGAAAGCTCAGACTTGTCTGTTCGTCCATCTGCGACTTCTTGTGGAGTTGCGGTTTTGAAGCTGCGGATGGTGAGCTCTCCTCAAATATGACATTGTATTTTCCAACAACAATCCAGGACAGCGGTTTCACATGTTGCAAAACCGGTTTCCCCACCTTTTCTTGACTACACACAAGGCAACTATTCCTATATCACTTGTATACGTTTTCGTGTGCATTGCACGAAAAATGGGCGTCACGACAGCACCTGTCGACTTTCCTACCAGAGTCCTGGCTGTTGTGTCTTCTCCTGACCCAGATGTCCCAGATATCTTTGTCGACGTTTTTGGCTCACGAACACAGGCCATTCTGACACTCCAAGACGATATTCCACACTTCCTTGTTCAAGCAGGAATCACTGCTACTTCGATGCTCCGTTATATTACCCCTGCTTCATCCACGTCTATGCTCGTTCGGGCGTCCCGGAATGTCTTAGCGTCCTTCTCCAACTTTCCCGCAGGTGCAGTTCCCGAAGTTGTGCTGCACACAGCATTCTATGCCAGCCTCGTGGTCAATGTCATCTTTATGAACAACCACAGGTATCTCTTGAATATAATGAAACACATCAATCGGTTCCTCCTCGATCTGTTGCCAGTCCTTGTCGACTCATTGACCCCTCTTTTAAACCCGCGTCTCCAAGAGCAGCTCACGACGCACTGCAAGGCTGTCATGGAGGACGAGAAGGAAGCGGCCGCTACTTGTCACCCTCGGTCTGTATTCACACTGAATGTGAAATTCTTCGTTGGCATGGTTTTCAAGCATGCAGCCCACGGATACGTAGGATATATATACGGTTGGGATGTGGGTGTTGAGGCTATTTTCATGATGAATTTCATCGCTCACTGTATGTATTCTTTTGCCAGCCCTCCTGTGCAGCGACCGAGGACTGGATCCGTGAGATGGGTGTTGATTCACTCTCGAGAGGGCGCCATCAACCCTTTTATCACGCTCTTACTCAGAACGGTTCCTCACGCTGTAGGTGTATTCCCTACATCTTAATGCCAGGGCTGACGTCTCTGAATTGCCCTGCGATGTCGCAGATGTTGCAGAGGACAACATCAGAACGACCTGCCTAAAGTCAGCGGATGTACTTAGAATTTTTGTAGATGCACCAGAGGCAGGGAGGTACTTTGAGGACTTGACACAAGATGACGGGAAAGCAAGGTTTCTGTTGAGCCCAGAACTGAATGCAGCGTATCCTGACGACGAAGCCTTTGGTGACCAGTGGCTCAAACAACGAGAACAGTAATTATATATGTATTTACATCAGGTAGGAGATATGTACAGATAAGTAAAGTACTCATGCTATGGATACAAAGTTCCAGGTGAAGTGTCATGATACAGACAAGATGCAAGATGTTAGAAAGACATGTAGGAGACCATGCGGAGCGATAAAGAGTAGAAATGTATGCATAAAAATCTACCAGTGACCGAGTTCAACTTTGGCCTGATCAAAACCAAGTTCAAGCCAGCGCTCCGAGGCAGACCCAGGACGAAGATCCTGGAAGCCCACGCGGCTATACACCTCCTTCGCGGAGTTGTCAACGCCGACGTATAACACAAGTTCCTCGTACTTCTCCAGCAACCTATTCAGAAAGAAGTGAGTGGCGTGGTGCAAATCATAGCCAATGATACGTACTCGATGCAGACATGGCGAACCAGTCTCTCGGCACAGCCTCTGCCCCTCCACTTCTCTGGCGTATAGACCTTTGTGATGGCAGCAACATCCTTGGACTTCCGCGTCACAGCAACGATAGTCGCAATCTCAGGTTTTCTATTGGGCTTTTGGATCTCGTGCACCCAGACTTGCTTGTTTGCAATCAAGAGCATAGCCTCCTCACGGGATTTCTCGGTGCTGAGAACGAATGGAGGCTACAGGGACTTATAAACGCTTGTCCTTTAGAGAGGGTGCAAAAGACATACCGAAGTCGCAGCAAATTCCTGGCATAGCACAGTCATCTGTTCGACATCCTGCTCTGAAGCAAGGCGCGGTGCGAGAGCCACATCCTCTGATGGACGGGGAGCTCGCTGCTGTCGGACCAATGTGCTTTTGGTACACGTCGAGTAAATTGAACTGTAGTATGGCTCCTTGATGCGAGCAATCCCTGTGAATTTCTCCCATGCGAGAGCGAAGGCTTCCGTGACCGGCTCAACGGAAAAGGCGGAAAACACCCTCTGTTTCCTGAAGCCAGATTCATTCAGAAGCGCGTTGCACAGCGCCTCCATGGGGCTTTTGAGGAACTTGGGTGTCAATTCAGCGATGGGGACTGTAGGGACGATGAACAGGGGGTATTTGGCTTGTGGCCCTGTCGTGAGGGAAAGAATGAATTGGATTTCGGAAGTTCTAGGATTCAAGTACACCAGCCAAAGCTGCTCAGTGGAACTGATTTTGGGTGTAAACCTTTGGCGACCGAAAACCTTCTCGGCGTGGGGAAGGATAAGATTGGCACGAGCAGCATTGGCATATAGAATGGCCCATACATCTTCTGAGATGCCCGTAGACAGGTCGAAGCGCTGTATAGACGAAAGCAAGCCAGGCATGTTTTATTTGAGGATATGAGGGCTTGAGTGCTTGAAGGATAGAAACTGGGTATGAGGATAGTTGGAACCTCGAGCCAGTTTCTACTTTATAGCCTACCATCCTAGTAGATACAGCACCTGCGGACCTACGTTGGGTCTCAAGGAATTTACCTAAACGTTCCGATATTCAAGTAGAGCACAGGCTGGATAAGAGAGTCAACGTCTCCGAACGTGAAAACGTAAGACCGTGGATAACAACTACGGGGACAGGCAAATACAATGAAAAACGTTGCACGGAGAATGGAAAACTTACCGTTCGCCATCCTGTATCTATAGCCAGGACCAACGTACTCGCCTGCCAGATGGCTCGACCATGCAAGTATTCGGTGAATTATACTCACCGTCTGCGACTCCGATTGTTACATTAACATACAGCAATATGATTTCTGTCGTGGCTGACGAACGACATTCGAGTCTGGCACAGGTATTAGCCTGCCAGTGGTACTAGCTTGCCATGGCCATCCTGTGGTGGCAGCGCAGAAGCCTGGCGTGGAGTCACAACAGATACGTTGTGACATTGTATTCGTTGATGAATTTTAGCTCGCGTGCAACGTACTGGCGACGTTCTCCACGTACTTCAACCTATGCACGCAAAAGAGACATAAGGTGCTGATTCCACGTTGAAGAACTAGCTGTTCAAGATAAGCGGGAGCCTGAAATTTAAACGTTTAAACTTGGTCATTCGGTCAAAAATTGTCACCTGAGGCAGAGATTACTTGGCACGAACATGCCATAATGAATTTCAGGCGATTACATTTCATCGGAATCGGTTGAGCTGTGGTCGTGACTCGTGGCAATAAATTTCATGAAGAACGTCGATATTTTAAGGAATCGGAGAAAAAAAATACATGATACGTATCAACAACTGTCTACAAGCCATTCTCTAAGAACACTTTCTCCACCACATTTAGCATAGCTAACAACTTCTCCTCGTTGTGCCTCCGACCCACGAGCTGTAGACATATGGGAGCATTATCATATGTGGCAGGGTTCCATTGACTATGAATAAAATTTTCAACATCATTCCTTGGAAGTGGAAGAGGTGGGTAGGTGGCAGCTGCTGCGGCTTTGAACCGGTCAACGGGAAAGACAACGCCTGGCAAGTCCAATAGGTTCCAATGAGACGTATAACCCCACCAGCTGGTCGTGTCGTGGGGTGGAGCTAAAGTGGGCGCAACCGGACAGAGGATAGCGTCCACAGGACGTCCACTAACAGTACGCTGGCGAGAAGCATTCCAGTGTGCCAATGCTTTGGAACGGAACGCCTCCCGTTCTAAGTTGAGCTTGAAAATTTTTGCGGGTGTGTACGGATCACATCCCTGTGCGTGTTTGAGGATCCATTCTGTTTGAGAAACCGCGGACTCTCCACCTGCTCTGATGGTTTCGTGATACTCTGCTCCGCCGTCTAGTAAATACAGCTTTGTCTACATGAATAATAAATCCATTAGATTTAGTACCGGAAAACAAAGGTATCTCACAATCAGATCCCATCCATGCTGATGATCCACCGCTGACCATTCGATTACCTCGTGTCCAGCACGTTCTAGGGTGTCTTTGTATTTCTTCAAAGCCTGTGTGATTGGAGGATGGGGTGCAACAACGCCATCGTCAAAAAGGATAGCAATTGCAAGTTTATCTGGTAACCCTTCCCCGTTCGCTACATCTTGTTTCCAGGGCATTTCTAGGAGTGGAGGTTCATTGAGCCACGGCTTTGCATCAAGCATAACTCGACAGAATAACTCGAGGTCCCTTGCAGATGTTGCCAACGGCCCGACACAACCTATGATTGCATCCATCCCGTCATGCGAGCCCAGGAGACCAGAATGTGGCAGACGCGCGACTGATCCTTTCAGCCCGTACAAACCACAGTGGGCTGCAGGGATCCGAATACTCCCCCCGATATCAGTTCCAACCCCCATAGGGCTACCGTGACATGCTATAAGCGCCCCCTCGCCACCACTGCTTCCTCCAGGAGTCAAGTTGCGATTAAACGGGTTGATAGTCCTGCCGAATACGTTATTTTCGGTCTCGAGTGACTGAAAACCAGGTAAGCGAATGCACGAAGATGCATAGAGCGTTACTAACAAGCAAAGTTTGCGGAGTCTGTGTTTTGACATATAGAATTGCACCGGCGTTGCGTAGAATTTCTACCACCAGCGCGTCACTGTCGGCGACAGTTTTGTACGCCCAGCCTTGATTCAAAAAGCGATAAACAATTGATTTGGGTAGAAAACATAGGTCTCACCAAGATACCCTGACGAAGTATCCAGACCTTTGATTTTGATGTGATCTTTGATCGAAACTGGTAAACCGTGTAGCGGTCCCACGACATTTCCAGTTGTCTCCAGATATTGATCAAGCTCTCTGGCTCGCAGGAATGCTTCATCGAGCAAAACTTCTGTGAGACAGTTTGTGATGTCTTGGGTAGCCACCGCTACTTTGACGAAGGCCTGCAGAACGTCCTGGGCAGTATAGACTCGTTTACGAATCAAATCTACGATGCTGGTTGCATCACATTTGACGATAGCACGCTCCGTCTCTGTGAGCTTGCTAAGCGGGTACTGTGAGATGTCAATGGCATCATTTGGAACATGAATGCGCCCTTTGCGATATGCGGATAGCTTTGCCTCGCGCTCCTCTTGTTTTCGGGAGGCTATATCTTGAATATCGACGGAGCCCATCGTAAATAGATGGAACAACGGTCAAGGCGCCGTTGATAAAATTTCAGCAGCCGACTATGAGCGCACCTTTATCTACCTTTATACGTACCAGGGAGGAAATATGAAAATACACATAACATCCAAAATGAATCTCGAGAAGACGAAAAGGCTATGCACGATAATGCACCTAATCGACTTGTGGCTGATCGATTCGTAAATATCGGTTTGCGAAGCCCACGAGAGCCTGTGCAGATAGCCACAAGAAAGGTAATTGATGGGCCGATCGACCGGCATGGAAGTCGGACATTCAAGAGCAAAAAATGAGCAACGCTGTCATGACTGAAGCGTTTGGCGCTCATACAGCATTTCTGGGTTTGACATGATTCCAGAAGGTAATTCTGTCAGATGACCATCGGATTGCGTAGAGTGGGTGTCAGTTGTTTGTCAATATTAATGTCCTGCGATGCACAAAATACCAAACACGGCCAAACACATGCGGCAGTGCGCACTGCCCTTGTCAGCCTGTGCTGCTGAACCGTCAATTTGCTCGTGATCAGTCCTTCTTCGCACTGCCATTTTATTGGCTATTATGATCTCCCGCCTAACACATGCAGGGGCAATCTCACTTCTCCAGACTTTACGGAGCACTCAAAAACATTCAAAGTGCATGGTCCGGGACCATCTCCGTTACGGTTTGACCACGCGACCACGAAGTGACGACGGGGACTTGAATTGCAATTTGGATTCCCCAAAACTCGGTTAACTTACACAACACCGCGTCCCCAACTTCGATAGCTATCGTCTCAGTAATATTTATGTCGTTCCGATGAGCCAATTCATTAGACCACGTTCCTCACCTAGATCCGGTTTTCAAGGAGCTCCTAGTCCGAGTCTTACCAAACTTGAAGGGCTCAGCTAGTAAGCCCGCACTTCAATCATTGGTCCGAAACTGCTCTATCATGATATAAACGGTCCGAGTCGTGGCACTCGAGACACGAAGGGCTGCACAAGAGCGAAAGAGCTGCGGCTAAAATGACTAGAGTTACGTTCCATACTAAATCACGTGATCAATTTCCGTTGCGGATTCAGTTTACGCCTCCAGCGGAACGTATTCGTCTGATTACACCTTCTACTTTATCTTTCGTGTGTATCGCGCCCCGATGTTCATTGCTATCATCGGTCCGCGTTCTTCGGGCAAGTCTACTGTCGAAAGTTATCTGATTGCTAAAGGTTTCACGTCTGTCCACTTGCGCGACAAGGATGTAGAGGCAGGTTCTGCTAAGCACCCTATTCCCTGAATTCAGAATATCAACAATGGTCCCCTCAGATCATAGAAAGTGTTAAAAATCCAGTCATCCAGCCGGCCTTGGAATTGCCCCTGCTTCCGGTGCAAACCAATAATATTAGTGACGAGCAGGGACGCCTCTTGTCATTGGACTCGCCCACGTCTCCCTCTCCCTCCCAAAATTCGAACCTGAAAACTCTTTCCTTTGGCTCACCGGCCCTGTTGCTGGATCACGTCACACAGCATTGGCGGTCAAATTTCGTTACGACTGACCTCGACTCAGATAGACTAGTGAACTACTTCATCAGGCGCCCCTTCTTCATGTTGATTAGCGTAGACGCGCCTACCCTACAACGTTATCACCGCTGTCACGGGCATTTATCTGGTCAGCTGGTGTGAACGTCTAGCTGAAACCCAACCTAATCTGATACCAATAGTGACCCTCGAAGAGTTCGTGCGGGAACATGACCGCGAAGTGTTTGGAGACAGATCAGGGCCAGACTCTCCCAGCGGATTTTCACTCCTTCACCGCGCAAGCCCGCAGGTCAAACTCAGAATCGTCAATTCTTTCGATTCTATCGCAGAACTTCATTGTCACCTGGATTCTTTAGATATCACAAATACAAATCGACTCAGACCGCAATGGGATACATATTTCATGGTATGAACGTTGTTCTACGCCATTGATGGAATCAGATGGACTAGATGGGTTCCAGACGCTCGCAGATCTTGCTTCGCAACGTTCCAACTGTATGAAACGCCGCGTAGGCGCTATACTTGTCCGCGAAAACCGTATTGTTTCCACAGGGTACGATCGAATTGCAATTCGGTCTCCTTCGGGCACTGATTCTATTATTTCGGTTCACAGTTACAACGGCACTCCTCGTGGCGTAAAAAACTGCAATGATGGTATTTGTCTTTCCTTTCCCCCCGTTACCTGCTAATTATAACACAGGGGGGTGCGGACATTGCAATCGCACATCGGCGACCAATGGTACTGAATGCCTTTGCCTACATGCTGAAGAAAATGCGCTCTTGGAAGCAGGAAGAGATCGGGTTGGCGCGAATGCCACTATGTATTGCAATACGTGGGTACCACATTTCTGTTTTACTTTTGAGTTACATTCTGGGCCTAGATGTCCGTGTTTGAAATGCACTATCAAGATTATCCAAAGCGGTGTTAAAAGAGTAGTCTACAATTTGAGCTATAAGGTGTAAGTGTGTCTATCTCTTATCCTGCATTTCTCTCATTTTGTTTTAGAGATGAAGCGTCCGCACGACTGTTTCAGGAGGCTGGAGTAGAGATTTTCCGACACGTTCCACCCCCAGAACCATAAAAATAGCAACGGAAATTGGTAGTAAGACTAATACGATACCAACCGAAGATATGCTTTACTCGTTCAAGATTACACGGACATTATCTTGTATATCCCATTTGTAGTCTCTCAAGAAAGCGACCTCCCCAGTCAGATGCCCACACGTCGCCATAAGGGCTAGCCATACGGCATCTTCATTACCCCTGCCGAGTGCCACATACAACTCTCTTGCACAGGCCTGTAGTTCCTCATGTGCCTGTTTGTGCAAGAAGCGCCTGAATGCAAGGATGACCTGCCAGCCGGATGTGTCTTGCATATGAACGCCGGTCACGGCAGCAGTCATTGTTCTCAAAATGGAGCGGTATAAGCGGTGAGAGTGAGTGTATGCTGATTCCGTTCCTACCGCTCCATAACCACGGCGTGCGAGGGCGTTCTGATCATCGGAAGCATCTAGCTTTTTTAGAATGCTGGCGAAACGGGGCCAAACATCGTCCCATACTCGCCGGCCCATGTAATTGCCAACGTGGGTCACGAGGGATTCCACAAGACCAGCAGCCGCACTGACTACAAATGGCTCGGCATCATTGAGGCGGTTCAGGATGAATGGCCAAGCTTGATGGATAGATGGCATCAGGGCCGACTCAGGGAGAACAGGGGTAGCCGAGCTTAGCAGTGTCAGGATCCGAGCTCGAATGATGGGTGACGGGTGTGTGAGGAAATAGATAGATCGCGAAACCATCTGTTTAGTCAAGGCTTGTCCCGGTGTAGGCGCAGGCTCGGCGTCCTCGGCGACTTTCGGTTGTGTGGTTGGACCATCTGACTGTTTTTCATCTGATTCTTTATCTGCCTTGGCGGCACCCCATGCCCTCTGGGGGGCAGGACCGTAGTCGGTAGTGTCTTCATGAGGTGGGGGATCGTTTCGATGAGTGAGCCATTCGAAGAGTGGCTCCAATGAACGAGTTATCATCGACGACTGCATGTCGTCCTGACCTTCCTTTTGGGGGGGAGGCTCTTCAGCCTCAATGACCTTGATCACTTCTCCTAATACTCCCACCAAGCCTTGAACAATGACTTCGTACCCGTGATACTCGTCCAAACGGTCAAAGCATTCTTCAACAACATCGCCAGCCTTCTGCACCACATCAGCTCCTACGAGGCGCACAAGGACTGCCATCACTTTCGTCGCATCAACGTCAAGCCATCTCCGGCTAAGGCGGCGAGAAACAGAGTCCAATGCATAGTCAAAGTTCGACAGGAGGAGGTTGGCTGGAGAGGCGTACGACATGACAGCCGAAATAAAATGCAGCGTCGCAAGGCCGGTCAAGGAAAGATGGGGCGTGGGCGACACGATCGAATGTAAAACCGGATAGAGGACCTGGATGAGAACAGAGGCATAGCGAGCCTGCAAAATGCCTGCACTAATCGAAAGCAACTGCAAGCAAAATATCTTATGCAGTACGGGTTGATCTTCGGATAGAGTAGGAAGTGTAGCTCTTGGCTCTGCTACCTGCAGGCTGGCACGAATAGTTTTAAACCCCTTCGTGAATTCCGTCTTCAGCAATGAGTCATCCGTCGGACGATCCGTGCGGGGAGCATCAGTCTGGCTATTGAAATCGGGCTCTTCGTCCCATAACTCGGCGAGATCACGAGCTAAGCCTCTTGCAAACCGCTCCAGTTTCCTGCTCCGGGGCCCGCTCGAAATAGTCATGCCGCCTTCATCCAGACTAAAGCCGCTGATCCCCTCAAGGAGGCGAGCAGCACACCATAATGCCGCAACGGCATTGTTGGTTCGTGAATAACGTCCTGTACTGATGAACCATTCAACAGCATAGATACTATTTTCGCCGCTGCTTTCCCCCAAAGCACGTAGCATGCGAGCCAGAGCATCGCGTGTAGACCTTGCGAGGACATTTTTTAGCATTGCCTCGGGGAAATTAATTGTGTCCGGGCTGTCCGCATTATTCTCTAGTAAGAGTTGGGCGACGGAACCCTGGCTGACAGTCACTTGTGGACTCGTGAACTCTAAAACAGAAAGCAGAGTAAAACCCCACTTCTCAATTCCGCCGGTTGGCCCTAATAGCGCGTCGATACCCAAAGAGATTGATGTCAGACCGAGGCCGGTAGAAGACGTGCTACTAGACGTAGCCAACCGGCAGATTGCCTCTATCTGGCCTGCAATGTGTTCTACCTTGTTGTCATCTTGGGAAACGATTGATCGAGGCAAAGAACTGAGGTTCTCTTTTGAAATTTCTAGAAGTGCTTGGAGTAACGGTAGTCTCGCATCCGAAGCAGCCGTCAGCAGCTCTGATAGGGCATGGTGGGCGGCTTGCGAAACCTCCCGGAAAGGACAGTTCGATAGTGACAAGAGCCAAGATAACAGAAGAGGTCGGGATTGGGGAAGAGTCAGATGTGTGGAGGCAAGGATGTCCCTTGAGAAAGACGACAGAGCAACCAAAGCAAGCGGAGTCGGATGATTCACGAGAAGTGTCAAAGAATTTAACGCGATGTGCAATTGGGATGCCGACGCACGCAACCAACTCGAAGTACGTGGAGTCAGATAAGAAGGAAAGTCGGGTGGTTTTGGATTCACTGCAGGAGCGTCTGCGAGGTTGATGAAGTCTTCAAGGTCCACGACACTCCGAACGACACCCTCTCGGATAGATACATCGTCTCCTAACGACTTCACGATTATAGGCCCCAGGGTCTCAAGGCTCAGAGCGACGATGTCTCCATTGACCCATCCCTTCTTGCTCGACATTCCAAGAGCAATTCTGGTCATGCTGCTCACGACACCAGGCAAGATGGAAGGTAAGAATTGCTCTGAAGCATATACACTGATGAGTGCACGAAGATTTTTCAGCGAAACGCGCTGCAATGGGAGATGAGGAGACTTTGCAGTGAGGAGGAGCGTATTGATAGTCTGCCCGAGAACAGGCATGAATTGCAGGCTTTGAGAATGCGCTCGAAGTTGCGAAACACGCGTGCGCAACAGTTCCTCAGGAGAGTCTTGCGGTGCTTCATCTGCGCGACGTTCCCGAAGAATAGCCCACAGGCATCGTGCTGCTGCTTCTTTGGTTTCATCATCCCTGACTCTGCCCTTGCCCTTGCCTTCGTCACTCCCGATGATAGAGCTGCAAAGCTTGAATATCTGATCCCATATCTGTATGTCAAAGGACCACCACCATGTTTCGCATAGAATGGCAAGAATGCGAAATATCTTCTCCATAATTTGGTCTGGAATGGTAGACGGCTCATTCCGGCGGAGGATCGTGGACAATGGGAAAAATATATACGAGACCAAGGACTGAGACAGGGTGAAGCTAGTTTCACCAACATTGAGTAGTGCGCTTTCAAGGCTGGAGAGCAGAGACAAGACAGCTGCTACGGTCCCGGGGGATAGCTGTGACTTCTCCAGTAACGGAACACATATGTATTTGAACTAATCCGATAATCAACTCAGTTTCAGATAAGGATCTAGACTGTTGCAAGCACCTTTGAGAACCATTCTTGTGATAGACTATCGTTGCTTCGGCCTGACATGCCACTGTCTGCCATCTGGTGGCTCCTGGTGGTCGTACACGAGGACCGGCAAATCGCCGAATCAGGCGATTCGCTATAAACACCGTCCCGAAAGTTTCAGTGCTTGTAGCCTTCCCGCTCAGCTGGGTTGGTCGGATCCGTCATTCAAGATTCGGCTCAATTGAATATTTATGTTATACTCATGAGACCCACCTGTTCGGTTTCCTCTACCTTATAAGCAGACACCTTGGTCTCTCGCTTTCCTTTCCCCAATTTCTTATTTTCCCGGTTTCTATCCACCTGTTTTCAATGAGTCCTGAACCCCCGAGGATTTTGTTGGTCGACTCGTATGACTCTTTCACGTACAAGTCAGTCTTCTTACTCTTTCTGACGAATGCGACTTGACAATTTTCAACAGCTTAGCAGCTTTGTGTCGAAAGGCTATCCCAAACTGCTACGTTCACATCATCAAGAATGATGATATAGAGCCTAAAGTTCTGCTATCATATCTACCCTACTTTTCTGCTGTCGTCGTCGGTCCTGGCCCAGGATCTCCCGATATTCCAGAGGATATTGGTCTCGTCAAAGACCTTTGGAAGATTGACGAAGCACATGCCTTGCCAATTTTTGGCGTATGCTTGGGCCTTCAGAGTTTAGCTCTTGAATATGGGGCTGTCCTACGCAGGCTCTCTGTCGTAAAGCACGGTCAAGTATCTGCTGTCGAGCACACTGGCACAGATATATTCAAGGGCGTCGGTCCTGTGGATGCCGTTCGTTACCACTCCCTCCACGTCGAGCTGAGTGGTGCCAAGAACATCGAAGAACTCGCATCGACACATGACGAGGGGAATGGGAGGGTAGTAATGGCCATTAGACATCGCACCCGACCCTTCTGGGCCGTTCAGTATCATCCGGAATCAGTTCTCACACGCGGTGGTGGTATTGAAGTCATGTTAAACTTCTGGCGTTTAGCACGGACCTGGAGTTCTTCTTGTGGGCGAGTCACACGCCCATGGGATCAGAAGGCAGAAGGAATCTTTGGCACTCCATGGCCATACGTTCGCCCATCTCCAAGCACTCCTCGTATCAACACGCCACTATCAGTTTCCACGATAAAGTTAAGCATCCCAGGCCTGTCTGCTCCTGACATTTGTGAGGTCTTAGGCGTTGACGATGACACATCTCCCTTCGTTATGCTGGAATCTGCTGCACAGCCAGGCCGGTTCACTATCATTGGTTGCTTGACTTCCATGTCCATGCGAGTCACATACACTATTGGAGATAGTTTCGTTCATCTGGAAAATGGGGAATCATGCGATCACATAGATATGGGATCTCAAGACGTGTGGTCCTGGCTTACTTCTTTCATGAACAAGCGCAAGGTCACCGGCAGTTCATCAGAAATCCCATTCTGGGGTGGCCTCATTGGCTACCTCAGCTACGAACTCGGCATTGAATCTCTCAGAGTATCACCCCATAGGTTATCCAGCCAAGCACGACACCCCGATGTCAACCTCGTGTTCGTAGAGCGCAGCATCGTCCTTGACTCGACTTCTGGACACATTTATCTCCAATCTATCACGGCAGACGACGACGAATGGCTGACGGCAATGGCCGCACAGCTCCAATCTGCAGCCCGTAATTATTCAACATATTCTTCATTTAATACTACGCCTTATCCAACCAAGGCGCGACCAAATACGTCTGCTGTCATTTTACCAGACCAGAACCTCTATAAATCCCGCATCAATCTTGCGAAGGAGCACCTCTTCGCCGGAGAATCCTATGAGCTGTGTCTTACAGCTAATACTCGCATCACTTTGAACGATCCATTGGCACCGAAAGCTTCGTCAACCAATTCGCCGTCCTGGCAGCGTTATAAACATCTTCGCGAGCTCAACCCCGCTCCTCACGCTGCTTACCTTCGGTTGCATCCAACAACTTTACTGGCCTCATCACCAGAGAGATTTCTCTCGTTCTCCCGTCCACCTGGAACCACGTATCAACTGCGTCCCATCAAGGGCACCGTACGGAAGGGCCCTCATGTTACCCGCGCTGTTGCTGAGCAAGCGCTCAGGGGTAGCCGGAAAGAAGTTGCTGAAAACCTCATGATTGTCGATCTGATTCGGCATGATCTACATGGAGCTGTCGGAGAGAATGTAGAAGTCAAACAGTTCTGCACTGTTGAGGAATACAAGACAATATGGCAGCTTGTTAGCGTCATCGAAGGCAGTTCGGCAGACGGTGCTGATCAAACTGCCAGTCACTACGCTAACGGGGCGCTAGGGTGGGAGGTTCTTAGACGCAGCTTACCCCCGGGTATGTCATGTAGAGTTGTTCCTGATTCAATTGTTACTAATATACTTCATAGGTAGCATGACTGGAGCCCCGAAGAAGCGCAGTGTCGAGATCCTCCAATCACTGGAAGACGAGGAACGCAATGTTTATTCCGGTGTCTTTGGTTATTGGTGCGCTGGCGGAGGTGGTGACTGGTCTGTTACCATTCGAAGTTGCTTCAAATACGATGACCGGTACGAATGCGACGCTCATTCGTATACGAAATTCAATAACTCCGACTGCTACCCTGGTGTTCACGAGCCAGAGCATTGGGTTGTTGGCGCTGGAGGGGCCATCACCGCACTGTCCGATCCTGATGCAGAGTGGGATGAGATGCTGGTGAAGCTTCAGTCGGTCCTCCGCGTTTTTGGCGCGGCTGTACCTCGCGGGCATTAGAAGACCTTCATGTTATCTTGACGGCTACTTGCTTCATCGCCGGTGTGCATTGTCTTACTTAAAAAGTACTATCTACTGAATTCAACTTCACCGCCTCTTCCTAGTCGCCGAAGAATCTCAGTCACGATTGGCTTCTTTGGTGAGTTTGCATCTCAGCCTTTGATGTTGTTTCAGCATCAAATTGTTGTGGTCGCGAGTCTGGTGGCCTACACCAGTGACTATGTATGAGCCAATAGCTGCAAGAGGGTCAACTGTCAGACTGTACTTCATTGTCTGCAGACAGTATTTATGTACATTATGGGAAGCCGGCAGTACTAACGCATGCTCTAGTGGTTCAGGCGATCTGATCATCTCACGCTGTCTCAGTCAGATTTGTACGTCTTTTCAGCCGACACCCGATGGTCAGCCTATCTGTCAAATGTGTACTCTCGTGCTGAACTTCTGTAGCCAAATGTCGCAGTACGAAGTCCATGGTGCATTATCATGATATTGATTGTTTATATATGGCCAGTCTCCCACTCCGCTCAGCATCAACACTAATTATATAGCCTTGTTTATAGATGGAATCACTTTTTGGATGTGCTCAACTTAGACCATTTCATTTCTTGGATCCAAATACACTGGTACTACAGCTTTATTCATAAATAGAGACGGGATATATAACTCGCGCGCTTAGCCAGGTTGTTGAGGCTCGACCTTGACTTTCAACTTCGCTGTAAGGCATGTCGGACGCTTTCTCCATAAGGTCCACACAAAGTGCACCTCCAAGGTACGTGTCCTTTTAGTTCAGCTAATTCTTTCGATCCACCATCCTGACTCTTGGCTTCCAGTTATGACACCGCAGTTCAGCAATCAATACCGGAAGAAGAACAACTTGAAGAGCCCCCACTGGCAAGAGTTGTAACGGCAGCACCATTGGTGGTATTAGCTCCCCCGACCAATTTATCGTCCGATACTCTCGTTGAAGCCACCGCGAGGTCTTAATTGAGCATTCCTAATCACCAACTTAGTCTCACATCCCCACAGAAACTATCTAACTAACGTAGCATCAAGAGGACCATTTTCATCTGACGTCGAAGCAACAGGGCCATTCACATTCTCACCCTTCGGTCCAAACGCCATGCTGCTTTTGCCCCATGCGCTCTCTTCGAATTCTCGCCCTCTATATCATATCTCTGTCTCGAGCGACTGCTTCAGACCTCATATATTTACCACAATTATTCGCAGAGGAACAGAGAAAGGCCAAGTCATTGCACAAATCCAGTGCGGAACTCCGAATTTCCCTCGACGATCTTCTGCTGATGCGCCTTCATAGACGGTCCACAACACAGAATGACGGTTATCGGGGGACTGTTGAATACATAGGCGCAGGGCGGCCTAAGATGGCTTATCTCGATAATATACATTTCCAATTGGAAGCACGCGAAAAGGTAAGTCGTGGCCTCATTCAATCAAATATCATGTTTGCATGTTATACAGATGAAATATGAGTGGCATTTTGACAAAGACATGCCTCTCGTGTGGCAAACAAATTGTCCGGGAAGAACAGTGCGACTTCTTGCATTTGTGCAAACGAGCGATTTTTTGACAGATGTTCCGGGTATATAGGTGCTTTCCGTCCTGTGTACTCAGTACGCGGTGAAGAACTCTCCGATTCTTGCTACATTCCATCCAAGCAAAAAGATGGGGCAGCTTCAGACATTGGATATTACACCGGAGGGGCGACCCTACATGGATAATATCGTAATTTCATGCCTTGCCACGGAGGGGAGAAGAACTACCAGGTATGATAGGTGAAGCCAGAGATACCCTCTCTCCATGCATATACTGCTGGTATATACCCTACACATCTACACTTATTGAGCATGTGTGTCCGACGGCACGGGTGTGCTGTCGTCCACCCCGTCCTGAAGATCCCTTGTCATGCATACTGCCGGAATATTCCATACACATATGTTTGAGTTCACTGGCAGATATGAGTACTTAGATCTCGCTTTGAGATAGTCAAATTTGTGGCACTCACTTCTGAACCTGTTGTCCCACCTTCATCCGTTCATAAACCGTACTCTGATAGGCCGTTTGACTCGGATTGAACGCATTTGCACGTTCAGATAGCTTAGGGATCGGAACAAGTTCATAATCAGATGAGAGGTGCCAGAAAAATGTTGATGATATACGAATATTCGGCCGGTCAGCGTGACTCTCCTTACGCCGCTCGACAACCTAGAAAAATGGAGTCAGCTCTTCACTTGCACTGTAGGTTTCGGTAGTGTATAACCTTTAGCGTAGCCTCGTTCACGACTACTTCATGGAACCCAGCTTTGATAAGGCCTCCGGTCAGATGTTCGATCTGCTTTCCTGCTTGCACGAGTAGGTAACGTCCAGTGGGTGGGAATCTAACGGGGATGCGCTTTCCAGTATTACGTGCCCAGATGTTGAGTCCAGGATACCGTGAACGACCGTGGATCGTCAGGCAGTTGAGGTCTGTATGAAAGCCGGCAAGTATGGTATCCTTTTGCCCATACTTCACCAAATCTGAAGCCGTTGGGCCAAGTAGATGTGGGCTATCCACGCCGCACGGCATAAATTAAATATTTCATAGAATGATATGGGTATTATACGACATCCACCAAACCCTAGTGGACAAAACCAACACAAAGATTGTTATAAGTCATTAGCAAAACGGACTCCATGACTTGTGTTTCTTACCCCAATCCTTGTGCACATATGCATAACTTGTTTAGAGGACGAAGGAAAGAAACTATACTACAGACACAGCCGCCTGAGTGCTACAGTGACGAAACATAACAGCAACTCTATCCGCGCATCTAACAACATTTGCTACCAGCTGCGGGCGTGGAAGAGTCAATCGCTACAGGGATAGTGTCACTAGTGGGTCCCTTGATAGGGTCAGCAGACTGCTCAAGCGACTTGCTCGAGACGATCCGGTAGATATCTGGGAGCACATTAGTGAGCCGTCATTTGGTACATAGAACAAAAATACCTGTTAAGATGGTTTGGAAAGCGGACTCGACATTTGATGCGTCCAGAGCCGAAGTCTCGATAAACGAAAGTTCGTTCTCCGCTGTTAGAAAATTAGTACATGAGCGATTCAATCAATGTTTGACATACCTGCAAAAGACTTTGCCTCCTCGGTAGGAACAGCCCTCAAGTGCTTTAAGTCACTCTTATTCCCAACCAGCATTATAACGATGTTGGAGTCTGCATGATCCCGGAGCTCTTTCAACCACCGCGTTACGTTGACGTACGTTGCGTGCTTAGCGATATCGTACACCAACAAAGCACCAACAGCACCGCGGTAGTACCTGTGAAAACATTAGGCTAAATACAACACCGCGACTGCGGAGAGCGACCACGTACGCAGAGGTGATCGCGCGGTAACGCTCTTGACCTGCAGTATCCCATATCTGCGCTTTCACCGTCTTGGCGTCGACATTGATCGAGCGGGTCGCGAACTCGACACCGATTGTTGATTTGGACTCCATGTTGAATTCATTCCGAGTGAATCGAGACAGAACTAGGGAGGTAGGTGAGCGTTCGCGCGTCCCATGATAAGCACTATATTCCTTACGGTTCCTGTAGGTTACAGTGAGCTAGGAAGCGATGAGTGGAACACGAAGCATGCTTACGATTTACCGACTCCAGAGTCGCCAATTAGAACAACCTATGGAGGGGGAACTGGTGAGCGCCGGGAAAACTGTTGTGTAAGTTGATTACGAACCTTGAAAAGATAGTCATATTCCGTCATGTTGAGTTGTTGGGAGCGTGGAGTGGTTATACTACAGTCCTTTGCATAATGATTTAGACAAACCGAGCGACTTCATACCATATTTGTTTCTGTTTAGCAGGAACCAAAGTGTGACACTGTCACGCTACAACTGCCGTTGCACCAAAGTTCAAACGTCCGCGACAATGCCTCCAGCAACGTCGACTCGTCTACACAGCTGCGTGAACGTGTTATCATCTGGTACCATGAGATGCGTTGGTTCGACGGTCGTATAAGCAGTGGTCGGAGTTCGAAAGAGACTCCTTTAGGTAAGTCGTTGCCTCATTCAATCAAATATCATGTTCGTATGTTATACAGATGAAACATAAGTGGCATTTGGACAAAGACATGCCTCTCCTGTGGCAAACAAATTGTCCGGGAAGAAAAGTGCGATTTCTTGCCTTTGTGCAAACGAGCAATTTTCTGAGAGATGTTTCGGGTATATAGGTGCTTTCCGTCTTGTGTACTCAGTACGGGCTCGAGGTGAAGAACCCTCCGATTCTTGCTACATTCCATCCAAGCGAAAAGATGGGGGAGCTTCAGACATTGGATATTACACCGGAGGGGCGACCCTACATGCACAATATCGTAATTTCATGCCTTGCCATGGAGGGGAGAAGAACTACCAAGTATGATAGGTGAAGTCAGAGATACCCTCTCTCCATGCATATACTGCTGGTATATATTTTACACATCTACACTTATTGAGCATGTGTGTCCGACGGCATGGGTGTGCTGTCGTCCACCTCGTCCTGGAGATCCCTTGTCATGCATACTACCAGAATATTCCCTACACATATGTAATAATCAACAGACGCTGCCGTGTTTATGCCATGAGAGCAATATGTTTGAGTTCACTGGCAGACATGAGTACTTAGATCTCGCTTTGGGATAGTAAAATCTGTGGCACTCACTTCTGAACCTGTTGTCCAACCTTCATCCGCTCATAAACCGTACTCTGATAGGCCGTTTGACTCGAATTGAACGCATTTGCACGTTCAGATAGCTTAGGGATCGGAACAAGTTCATAATCAGATGAGAGGTGCCAGAAAAATGTTGATGATATGCGAATATTCGGCCGGCCAGTGTGACTCTCCTTACGCCGCTCGACAACCTAGAAAAAATGAAGTCAGCTCTTCACTTGCACCGTAGGATTCGGTGGTGTATAACCTGTAGCGTAGCCTCGTTCACGACTACTTCATGGAACCCAGCTTTGATAAGGCCTCCGGTCAGATGTTCGATCTGCTTTCCTGCTTGCACGAGTAGGTAACGTCCAGTGGGTGGGAATCTAACGGGGATGCGCTTTCCAGTATTACGTGCCCAGATGTTGAGTCCAGGATACCGTGAGCGACCGTGGATCGTCAGGCAGTTGAGGTCTGTATGAAAGCCGGCAAGTATGGTATCCTTTTGCCCATACTTCACCAAATCTGAAGCCGTTGGGCCAAGTAGATGTGGGCTATCCACGCCGCTTGGCATAAGTTAAATATTTCATAGAACGATGTATGAAAAACTGACCCATATTTCCCTGCGTCCTTTATAAAGTCTCGAGGAAGTCCGAGGCCGATAGCTGTCATTTCGGCAATATTCTCGACACTGTTGTTTGTGTTATTGGCATCCTCGGCCAGACAAAGAGCACGTATGCAGTACTCACGCATTCTTCATCGAATGCCCCCATTTCTCCATGGTGGATTCCCACTTCTCACTAATGCCAGGTGCCTGCGGCACGACATTCGGAGCATTAAGTGCTGGATACTCGGTCTCATATGGAGGGGGAACTCCCATTTTCCAGAAGAACCTGCATTTGGGGTCAGGATGGTGCCCGGAGATATCTAATGGGCGTTCGGCTGGATCCAAGTCGGCGATAATATCCAAGCATGGCTCGTCCACGGCACATTTGGGCTTCTCAGTATTCTCAAGGGTGACGCCAACCTGATAATGAATTTCTGGGCGCTCATCCTTCTGTAAATCCTCGATAGGCTGCGCGAAATAGTCCTCGATGAGATCGAGGAAAGTGTCATTGTCTTCCTCTGATACACGAGAATCGTGAACAAGAAGTGCCCCATATGTGATCAATGCATCAGCAGCCTGTAACTTTAGTGATCAGAACCAGCCAGATGATCGTCGATTCACAAGTGACAAAAGGCAAACCTTGCTGCATTCCTCTTGTACTCTGACTGATTGTGCAGGTTGAGACAAAAAGACATCAAGGTCAATGACTGGAAGGCTTTCTGATAGCGTTGACATGGTGGAAATCAGCTTTGAATGTAATGATGATCAGATCTTTATAAAGACAAGTAGTCACAGGTTCTAATCGCAGTCAGCTGGGCTCTTGCTCTAAGGGCAACTTCAAGGTAGGACCCATCAAAGGATACCTTTGTCCATCCAAGGCCATCCCTAATTCAAGCCGTGCACCGGTCCTGGGCGCTAACGGTGAAATTATATCTGTAGCCAATGTTATTCTATGTAAATAGGCCGTTGGAATGTGAACCGTTTCCGAGCAACACGACGTGAATTTGGTGGCGAAACTCTCTTTGGCGTGAAAACCAAACTCTTGTGATGGTCTTTTTACCACTAGAACATGAAAGCTGTTAAAAATGTACATGAGGCCTCGGAAAGGCCTCGAGGAGACTTGTAAGCGAACATGAAGCCGCTGTTTCGGCACATTCCGCACTAGTTCACCCTGTTCCCCCATCCGCCTCCCCCGTGTACGTAGGCACTTTCGCCACAACTATCACTTGTACACTTCCCTGTAGACTGCCATCATGATCAAGGTATGTACATCGCACCAGGGTGACATATTGTAAGCCCAACATCTTAATGTGCTTAGATATGGAGCATGAAGAAGAATGAAGATGCCGCCACGAAGAAGAGGCCGAAGACAAGTGCTGCCCAGATACGAGTGCAGAAAGGTCCGCGCCTACTTTCCATCTGTTTCCTAGGTTCACATAAATTTAATGCATTCGATGTTAGATCTGACCGAACTCGACCTCCCTCCCACCATGAAGACTAACTTCCCGGACCCCACCGACCTCCTGAACTTCACTCTCACCATCACCCCTGATGAAGGTGTGTCCGCTGGATACTGGAAACACTTGCCTCACTGACCAAACTTGTCAGGCATGTACAAGGGTGGTGCTTTCACTTTCTCTTTCAACATCAACACCAACTATCCACATGAGCCACCCAAGGTCAAGTGCATGCAAACGGTGTGTTCCCTTTACCTCGAACTATAGGCTACTTAACTCTATATGACACAGATATACCATCCAAACGTCGACCTCGAGGGAAACGTGTGTTTGAACATTCTCCGAGAAGACTGGAAACCTGTCCTAAATCTGAATTCGGTCATGGTCGGCCTTCAATATCTTTTCTTGGAGCCCAATGCAGATGATCCGCTGAACAAGGGTTCGCTAGCTTTGCTTCCAGATGTATGAGCTTGTCTGACTACGTTTCACAGAGGCAGCAGAAGAGCTACGAAAGAATCGCGAACAATTCTTGTACAATGTTAAGACATCCATGCGCGGTGGTAATATCAAGGGCGTGTCATATCACAAGGTCCTTTTATGATGTTTGTTAGATGCGTGTAGATGTTCTCCTCTGTTCACCATGATCATTGTTTTCCACTGGCATTATTTGCATTTCGAAGGTTGTCAAGATATTTGGATATTGTGGGGATCATTATTATAAGAAGGTAACGATATGGATATGATACAATGTCTGTTTGGATCACGGATTGTCCCAATCGTTTCATTCCACATACACTCAACTTCCCCTGTAAGTGGTGAAGGAATACGGGCTAATCAGAAGTGGGATGTGGTAATGTTCTTCTGGGTTTTCAATCTCGAAAGTAATCTGCGCACATGAGTAAGATGATGTGATCCAGGTACTGCCTGGTGAACCAATCTTACCTCCACCCAGGGATAGAAACATTTTCTGCCTGTCTTTTCAAAATATTCCTTCGGCTTGAAGACGATCTTGTAAGTCCCAGCACCCACTTGTTTATTCTGCGACGTAGCCTCATCGGATCCTCGTGGGGGCAGCATATTCAAGCATCGCCCATCGGCATCTGTGACACTGCAAGAGCACGATGGTCAGCGGGCAAGCGGGTACCCAAGATAGTGATCAACGTACCCATGTGCAAACGGACTGAAGATGTCGACATTTCTCTGCCCTTTGTGATAAGTCTGAATGTTGACCTCCACTCCCTCTGCTGGTTTTCCAAGAGAGACATCGAGGACTGCAGGGTGTCAATGAACACTAGCTGCATCTTCCTGATAGCAATGCTCACCATGACATGTGATGGGTCCCTTCGACATAATGACGCAGACTTGGAGTCTCTTATCTGCAAGGACCTTTATATATAGTCTTCAAGCTTTAAGAGCCACGTGAGAGAGCTCCTAAACGCCAAGAATACTCCTGCCCGTCGCCGTCGTCGATGAAAGGATTGATGATCGCCTGCTCCCCTGTCGGTACTAGTAGTAGGTCAGAGACTCAGAGTGCTTAACTCCTCTTTGGCGTGTGGTCACGTGCTCAGTCAGGCAATCTTGACTCTCAAGATTTTATGACATTGAATTCATGTCTGCTGCGTCCGCTCCTGCCGTCCCGCCTCTGGGCAAATACCTTGCCTCCTCAGGTGTGCTAAAGAGAGACATATAATCACTCTTCTTTGCTGACTTCATGCAGACAAAAAAACACGGGACAAAGCCGTGAAAAACCTTGCTGTTTTCCTATCCAGTGACTCCGAAAATGTATTGCCAGATCTTGAAATGGCTAAGTTATGGAAGGGCATATTCTACTGTATGTCCCCACATTCATCTTCAATCGTCGGCGTCATCTCAGATGTCATATACCAGGTTTCTGGATGTCAGACAAGCCCCTCGTTCAGCAGGCCCTAGCAGGGGAACTAGCGGAGCTCATACTTACGATCACTGACGTACCTTCGTCACTAAATTTTCTGCGGGGCTTTTGGACGATGACAGTTAGAGAATGGAGCGGAATTGACCGTCTTCGGTGCGTGTGGTGATTCACCGTATTTCAGATACTAATATTAGCTTTCAGGATGGACAAGTATTACATGCTCGTCAGGAAGTTCGTGAATGCGAGCTTCAGGTTTCTCGTGCGAACAAAATGGGACAGTGCCACCGTCGAGAAGTACAACTCAATATTATCTGGCCCCAATGGACCGCTATGGTGAGAAGTCTTTGTAAAAATATCGGAAAGCAGACTATAACTATCTTTGCAGTCCCAACGATATACGCGTGCCAGCTAGTCTTGCATTCCACTTATCGGAGATATACTTCGAGGAGCTTGAAAAAGCGTTATCAAGCTCGGAATCACCGCCCCCAGCACCACTATCCACGCTGCTGTCGCCTTTCATCGGTCTCGCCGCACGAACGCCCACAATCACGACTTACAAACACATTCAATCGTCGTTGTTTGAGCCTTTACGCAATTCGCTGAAGTCGTCGTCAAATCCTCCAAGCCGCAAGAAAGCACGCACATCATCACCTGACTACTCAAAACTACTGGCCAACGCCTGCACCTCCAGCTCGGACAGCGATCCAGCGATGGATACAGATGCTGTACGTAAGTCGATACTGCAAAAGATATTCGATATAGCAAGCGAAACAGAAACTCGGGATGCAAATCGGCGGAGAATGTATGCGTTCTACAAGGATGCCGTCGACGACGACGATGAGGATAGTGCTGGGTAAATTCATACAGTATCTGTAATGTTTCTGTTGCGCTACGAATGCACTATATCTTCGATGAAGCTACGAAGCTAGCAGTTTCCGCTGCTCAGACGTGTACATACACGTCCTTGCAAGTGGCTACTGGATTGATGTATGGAGAACCGAGCAACCTCGCCGGTTGGGGATCCTGCATATTTGATGTCCCGAGCGGTCTGCTCTGCACATATTTGATTTAATAACATTCCCTTTCCTTTCGTCGATGAATTTATTTGACCGCTCGCAATGTTCTCTCTTCGATCTACAAATCCGGCAGTTCTCGCTGCGTCAGACGTTTCCATGTAGACTCCCTCCACCACTCTTCCATACTATCAATGCGCTCCCAAAGGGTCTCCTCATCTACGCCGTAAATGTCATATTTTGCACCGTCCAGTAAACGGCCCTCCCGTTTGGCTACATCTAGCGCAGCCTTATTTTCACCTCTATAATGGCAAGACTGACTTTGAGCAATGAAACAACAGAAATAAGAAGTCGCTTACCGGAGGAGGTCTAGAAGCTCCTGTCGATCGGGGAAGAATAGCCGAGGTTCAAGGACTGCAAGAACAGCGAGAGCAGCACGAAAAAGAAAAGAGTCCCCTTCTAGTAGGAGAACGTCCCACAAGCGTGCGCATGCTTCGAAGGGCAAGTGGTCCAAGAATAGCGGGATAAGCCAGTCAGGGAGATAGGCACCAGGTGATATTTGGTGCTGCTTGAAATTGAAGTATACTAAAGAAAAATGATATGAAGCCGAAGGGGTAAAAGATGATATTTGAATCCTTACTTTTTGGCATACAGTCAGCCAAGAGTGTGTCGAATATCCTGGCCACAGTATAAACACAGGCGTCTTTACTCATATGTCCTTCTGCTCACCGATAATAAGCTTCGACCTAAAACACTGTGATTCAGTCAGACTCTGATCCGAACCAATCTGCAGCACTCACGTCATCCTTGGCAGCAACACTGCCATATAATGACCTCATGCAATGCCTCTCCAGGAGATTTCTCATCACTATGAAGCCTTGCTGCGGCTTCATGTTTAGTAATATCATCGCAGCGATTTTGGCAGTCCCGTGCACGTATCCCAGACCCTCGTCCGCACGAGAGACGACCCATGCGCATAGCATATCCCTAAGATCTTCGTATAGCGGCCCGGTTCCGGGGTGGAAGATGTGCAGGGAGGGAAGGGTGGATAAGACGTCTTGCTCGATGGCTTGTAATGTTTCGGCAGGAAATGAGCCCGACGAAAGTGCGCGATTAGCTCGACTGAGACAGTTTTTGTAGTTATCTTGAAACACAATCAAGGCTACCGTAAAATATACGGAAAAGATGTGCATATGCGACGCCTACCTTTGCTCAGAGCGAGTGCATTACCAACAGCCTGCTGCCAGAGCGAAGCGCGTAGTTTAGTAGGCATGCCGTTCCACCAAAGTCTGCGGAGATTGGGATTCTTGTGAACAGCTCGCCAATCTGGGAGTATCTCCTTCTGCCATGTGTAAATAGACTGCTCGATCTTGAGCTCGCGAGCTAAGCGTCGTTCTTGTAGTGCTTTCCGCCGTTTCTCCTCTGATATCAATCAGCATATAGCCACTATCAATGCGACTATAAAATCACCTGCAGCGCGACTTTGTTTCATCATGGCCTGCCAGTCCGCCATATGTTTCTGGTCTTCTTGGCGGTTCTTCGGAGGTAGGAAATGAGGGCGCGTCTGGCTCAGTACTTTCTGGAAGGCGCTTGGTCCTGCTGAGTACGTTTGTCTTCTATGACTTGTGGTCGGGGTTGTTGGGCTTCTGGCCCTGGGTAACGGGGAAGATGGGGATGTAGGTAGTGGTGGAATATCAATATCATGACTAGGCGCAGGGAGGTGGGAAGAAGACGCATTCGACTCGGAGACCGTATGGACCGCTTCATCTTCCTGACGACCCTCGCCATTGTTTTCTGTGTTGGTACTCATGGTTACACGACTTGGCGGTGACCTACTGACGTCGATGTGAATGGTGGGATATGAAGTATCCCCCGGAGGGGATGCATCCTCGTCTTGGGTATCTGCGTCACTAGTGGAGTGTCCGTTTGTACTGTGTCCATGTGTACTCAGTTCTTCTGAGAGTGTAATATCAGAGAAGTCCTGAGGAACCTCCTGCTCGTCCGGCTGCTCTTCCGCAGTCAGCGGTGGTGATGACGGGGAAGAAGATCTAGACTCTAAATATGAGTTGGAACTACCATCAAGACAAATCGTTGATATCGACGTGTCATGGTCGCGCGCAGAGCTATACTCTGTCTCCCCGTCATCTTCTCGGTCATCATTTCCGACCCAACTCGGATTCTCGGCCAGATGTTTCCTGATGGCTGCAGAGCTGAATTCGAGGTTATAATCATCTTCACCATCGGAGAACGCATCGTCGAGGTCGAAGTGGGCCTCAATTCCCTTGCCGACTTGACGCTCTACGACTTCGTGGTCGTCATCCGCCATGGTGTAAACGTTTCAAGGTTAGAGATGCCGGCCCGTCTAGTGATGATGGTCACATGGTCTAATTTAATGTTAGCTCAACCAAAGTTACAACTTCCAAGTCTTGCGAGATTTAAGCCTTCATTCCAGTGAATTTTGCTTGCTTTATGTCACCTCAGCTCTCAGCCGAACTGACGTCCAGAACTACCTTGACATGATTGCAGAGGTCCTGCTAGTCCTCGCAGGCCACTCTTCGTCGCTATTCCCAACAGATCACAATTTACATCCTGCATTCAGACCATTACTACATCCAGGCGAAGAAGAATGTCTTGAAGCCCTTGGACAAATAGCTTTCAGATACCGCAATATAAAGAAGGCCTGTGCAACCCTCTCCCGGTCCAAGTCGCGTTATGTCTGTGCACTCTGCGCGACATTAAACCAGATTCTGAAGGACGAATACGAAAGACTTGTGGTAGATACAGAAGCCAAGGTCTTGAAACGCGATCCTGATCTTGTTGCCCACGGGTCTTTCGTACCGCTTTCTGCTGTACGCGCGACTTTTGCAGAATGGGACTCTCCGCTCACAGCGCTAGAGACCTTGATGAATCAGCTCCAAGCTCAGAAGCATTGGCAGCCCGGTCCCCTGATTGACATGCTGCTTGTCCGCTCAAAGACTGGCGTCCACCGGATTGCGGATATCATATCACGCCTTTCTGTCGCCGTCCAACGCGTGTGGCGGAGCCAATTGTCTGCGTTCCTGGTACACGGGTCTCTTGCTTCCTCTGATCCTTTAGCATCAGAAAATTTCACGCTTTTGGATGGCACTATGCCCTCCTGCGTCTCACCCCAAACGAAAGAATCCATCGTTTATGTGGGTCGAGCCATCGCGACCATAAAAGCCAAACAGTGGCAAAATCAACTGCCGCGCGAACAGGCGCTTGAATATGCCAATCTGCTGGAGACCGTCTTGCCCGAAGATCAATACAAATTCGACCTTGTGATCTCGCAGATCCGGACAAATGTCAGCGAATGGCTATGGCTCAACGTTCTGACACGGAAGGACGTCGAAGACGCCGTTATATCGCTGTACGTGATCCTTCCGAGCCCCTCTTTTTGAATCTGGCAGCTGACAGTCGATGGATAGGGCCAGCTACTTCCTCTTGCGCAATGGCGAATTCAGCCTAGCGCTCATCCGTGAGATCGAGCGCTTGAAGATATCGCGGCTCACGACACGGTCAGGAGCGGCGTCAGTGATTCGAGAACAAGATTTAAACCTAGCGCTCCTCCGAGCGTCTCTCGGAACTACCGCTCAACATGATTCGTCCCTTTTACACCTCCACTTCGAGCTCCCTTCTGGGCCCCTCAGGCCCCTCCTGCCGTCATTGGCAAATTCCAAAGCACTGTCTTCATCCGTTGCTAGTAATTCACCCGAAGTCACGTCATTTGATGACCTCCTTCTAGGCACGAATCTTATACTGTCGTACAATGTCACCTGGCCTCTGGATCTCTTTTTGCACCCCTCGGATCTTCAGATATACGCAGCTCTTTTCAACTACCTTTCTTCTTTACGCAAAACCCACATCCGAATTCATACTTGCTGGACCTCACTCTCCAACGCACAACGTGCGCGACGGCGATGGACAGGTCTTGGAGAAGGTGGTACTGCCGAAGACCTCGAAGTGCGTAGGGAACTGTTACGCTGTGGCTGGGGTGTTGTGAGGGATATGGGATGGTTCCTTGACACGCTCCTCGGTTACGTCATGGTCGATGTCGTGGACGTCGAGTTCAGAAGACTGAAGGATCTCTTGGTAAACCCAAACCGCGGACGCGCAGAGAGCGTGGGCAAGCACCCCAGTTCACAGAATATTGCCGCCCAAGCCAATGCAGACCCCTCAACATACCTCGATTTCACCACGCTGCGAAATATCCATACGACGTATCTCGAGCGGTTGCTGACTGGGTGCTTGCTGTCTAATCCCGCTCTTAGCGCGATCCTTCGGCCTATTATTGAGGTGTGCGAACGATTTGTTGCACAAGTCGAGAGATGGGGCGGAGATGTCCTGCCTGCGTTGTTGTTTGAGGGGAGTTTATCAACTAGTGGGGCTGATAAGGTGGGTGCTATGGTACAGGAGCGGTTTCAAGTGGTGTCAGAGATCAATGAGGTAGTATTTTATGTTCTCAACATTGACTATTAAATTCTGATTGTCTCATAAACCAGAGCCTTCATACGCTGCTTAATTTATTTTACGAGCAGCTTTCGCTATCAACCTCTCAGCAGCCCTTCACGGCCACTGGGGATGCCTCGAAATCTATCCTGATGAACGCTAGCGTGGCAAATGCAACGACATTACAGCGGACATCCATCCGAGGAAAGGGAGCTAAAGGATTTGAGGGAGAGGGAGAAGTTCGGCGGCATGTTGAGAGGCTGTTACTTCGGCTGGACTTCAATGGAGCATTTTCGAAGCCCAGAGCTGGTGCCAGCGAAGAGATTCGATGGGAAGGTGATATCCTTTAATATTTGTAATTCTGGAATAGATAAGATTATGCACGGCATGAGCGCTAAGGTCGTGATGTCTCCGATTTCATCTTCTTCCTTCTGCTGGCAGATTGGTGGCAGCCTCGATAGCTTTGCTGGTCCTGTCAGGTCCTTTCAGGTCGTTCTGTATAAATTATCGTTGTTGCGGGTCCAGGTAAAGCCTACTCCCACGCCCAGGGAGTCCCAGGATTAATTTCATAATTTAATACCACAAGTGAACTTTTATAAAGCAGGTAAGTTAAGTTGACGGATATGACCGGAGGATCGATAGTAGTTCGTCGTCTCTCCCAACAAGTTAGACTATTCTCTTCGTCAGGTCCATCAATGGTCGCTTCCCGTGCGTTTTTCGTCCTCCAAACCTCCAATTTTTGCTTAAACCCTTCTAGCATTTGCTACTCGCCTCGTCGGCGCACCAAACACCCTCGGTGAGTGTGATCACAATCCCAATTATCATGCCAGCTGATCAGATCGCGCATGATCAGATCACCGAGTGTTCATCGAGCATAATGGTGCTGTCATATCCTCTTTTCACGACGTTCCTCTTTTTGCCGATCAGAGCAATGGCATCTTCAACATGATCGTCGAGGTCCCTCGTTGGACCAACGCGAAGATGGAGATCTCCAAAGAGGAGCCCTTCAACCCCATCAAACAGGACATTAAGAAGGGTCGCTTGCGTTTCGTCCGTAACTGCTTCCCCCACCATGGGTACATCTGGAACTACGGTGCTTTCCCTCAGGTGAACACTTTTTTCGCTTTTCGCTCTTGTTCGGTTAGCTGAGTACAATTGACTATTGTAAGACTTGGGAGGACCCAGCTGCTCTCCACCCTGAAACTAAAGCCAAGGGTGACAACGACCCATTGGATGTCTGTGAGATCGGTGAACAGGTCGGCTACGTCGGTCAGGTTAAGCAGGTTAAGGTTCTTGGTATCATGGCTCTGCTTGACGAGGGCGAGACTGACTGGAAAGTCATTGTCGTTGACGTTCACGACCCCCTTGCATCGAAACTTAACGACATCGAGGACGTGGAGCGTCACCTTCCTGGTTTAATCAGGGCTACCAATGAGTGGTTCAGGTATGTCCTTCATCTTGTCAGTTAACAGAGAAGCTATAGCCTCTGCTAGGATCTACAAGATTCCCGATGGCAAGGGCGAGAACGCCTTTGCTTTCTCTGGTGAGGCCAAGAACAAGAAGTACGCAACAGAGATCATCCACGAGTGTAACGAGGCATGGCGTCGTCTCATTTCCGGCGAAAGCCCCGCCAAGACTCCTACCTACGATCTCTCTATGTGCGTCGACTCTCCTTGTTTTGTCCTAGTTGCCAAAAACTAAAAATTCTCTAAAGCCGCAACCTTTTAAACCCGAACTCGCCGGGTTTCGTTACCCGTAACGACCCCTCGTACGCCAACATTCCTGCCGACTCCAGGCAACCTCCTGCACCCATCGATCCTTCGAGTAAGTGCTTGTTTCCTCCCTTCGTCCTGCGTGGTATAACTTCTCTGTCCTACAGTCTCAAAGTGGTTCTACATCTCGTCCGTCCAGGTTTAGAGGAAGGACGGAATTCAAATGTAAAATCAACCTTGTATTTAGACTCCTACATATCCTTAAAGCAACGCTTCTTTGACGAGTGGTGGGGAAAATCTTGTAAGGCAATCCAGTCCCTCGCCCTCACCAATATCCGTGGCTGGTGACGAGACACGATTGAAATGTTTGGATGCTATGTTATCAGTCTAAAGCTACAAGTGTCTACTGGCATGAGATATACTAAAATCAGATAGCGTTCATATCTCAGAGTCTAGTGTCGTGTCTTTTCTACCACGCCATCTGGCTGTGTGGGGTATCGGCAGTAACGATCAGAGATGGATGTTACTGTCCATGTCCCTGCAACAACGCGCAGGTTAGCTGTGTATATAGCAGAATGAGTAGAAACAGACCTTCAAGCGCGGAGAATATAGAGTATTCGTGCGTGGTGACACCCGACACGGTATGCGTCTCCAGGACTTTTCCTGACTTGCCTCCTTTCTTGGGAATTGGCTCGGCTCGTTGGTAAGTGAACGTAAATGGTGGCTCTCCGATCAGTGTAAAGATGATCTCTGCTTGGTCACCTGCACGTATGTCAGCACATCACAATCAACATGTATTGAAGCTACAATCACCTTCATGAATATCCTGGAATATCCGTTTCCCATGACCGACCTGGGCTGCTGGGAGAGGATGGACGCTGAACTGCAGGTCAGTGACTGTAGCCTTGCATAGCTTTTGCTGCTGCGACACGGATGTGACCGTGAATTCCCCCGCTTGCTGATGCATGAGGGAAAATGGGGACTTCTTTGATTCCTGGGTGTAAGACTTGCCATTGATGCGGTATCTATAGCGCCGTTCACGTCAGAAAATCAAAATGTGACAAATCACCGAACACACCCGATGGACCAAGGCGGCGTGCCTTCGAGCTGGAACTGAGACACATCACCGACACAGAAATCTACTCTCTTGTCGACGGGAGTGATCGCAGCGGATTCTGCAACGTCAACCCATATAGAGCGACGTAAGGGATGGAGCTCTTTCTGTTCGCAGTGCGATGAGTCCTGGACGGACTCGATTGTGATTTGGTGCGGGCCAATGGACGTGAAGTGATAAGAGGGAAGATCAAGCATCCAGGTCTTGTCGTGCACCTCGATTGTTTCCTTGTGCACCTGGCTCGCGGCAAGGTTCCTGATGGACAGCGCGAGCTGGAAAGGCGGTGTCCCTTCCAGCTGAATAACACCGCCATCATTTGAGATAGCCTCGCGAGAGGTAAGTGCATCATTCAGGCAGAAAAGTATTCTGTTGTCGTTCTTAAACTTCGCTGACGGCCTTGGCATTACCTCTTGCTCGAAAAGAAGACGGTCTGAACGAGGGATGACAGAGTTCTTGTGCTTCGCAAGAGGATATGCGCTGTCCCCGATTTGCTTGACTTCATAATACTTGCGCCCGACGATGGACGTGTGCAACTGGAAACGCGTGTGAGGCTGTATGCTGCTGAACGTTGGTTGGTCGAGAACTATTGTGCCCCCTGCTTCGTCGTTGCGCGCAATATTGTACATAATCTGGAAGGGAGGTCGACCTTGGAAACGTTAGCCAGTGCAACATACTTCGTTTTAGCGGACATACCCGTGAGCTCGAGGTCGACGTGGGCATCCTGGCCTTTGCAAATCGGAGGAAGTATGTGTGACCTATTATATGGCTCGAAGGTGCATGGAGTTGCAGGATCCAATCGAGCATATGGTCGTGGAACCCAGTCAACGGTATAAGTACTCTCACTTGCGATCACAGATCCAGGGCATTGAGAGTCCATGACCTAGAATAAACATGTTGTGTGAACAAGATATCCCGTGGCTATGAAATGAATCGCTACCTCGAGAATTTCATAAACACCCTTTTGTGTGACATGAATATTATCATTAGGTGACTTCAGTACAACAGTGTGCATCCGATCTGGGTTGCCCATGTAACGATACTTGACTTTCCATGGCTGAGATAGGTGAAGGTGAGATCTGCTCGGTAGAGTCCAGTAATCTGGCTTACCCCGTCGCCTGTCAAACGAAGTGGCAGGTCAGCACCATCGTCTTCTAGAATAGTGATCTCCCGTTGGCCATGTTTGCCGTAGAACTTGGCGGTTGGCTGAACGCGCGATCAAAAATTTACCCAGATATCACGGTGATAATAACTTGCCTTCACTCTCCTGACATTCACAGAGACACCAGGAACTGATATCGATCGTCTGCATCCGTAGCTATCCACGACGCTCACTGGGTGAACGGATTAGCTTCGCTTCGTCGAACAACAACCTTCCCTACCTAATTCAACGTCGAACGTTCCGCCCTCCTTGTCAATAACACTGGGTATCGGTACCGTTATCCTTGTGGGTGACGTTTTGATATCGGTGATTTCCAGTGCATCCGTGCTACGCGGACCCACAACCTGCAACTCCAAGTTCCAAGGGGGCGTGCCCTATGGATATGTATCAGCATCAGCCTATCGAACCCAACGAGACTGCCCACCCTCAAATCGACTTCAATGTCCACAGTCGCACCCTCACAACTGCTGACGACCCTCCGTCCGCGACCGGCTACAAAATCTGCTGCTGCTAGAGGATGGACGATTTGGTCAATGCTCGGGCCATCAAGCGCAACTTTTTTGTAGTAGGCGTCACTGAGTTGCAAGAAGGTGTAATGGTAGTGACCGCTGTGCTCCGGTTGCAGAGTGAGCTCGCCACGGGACGACGTGAATGTCTTGAAAAGATCACGTGGGGACTCCGCATCACGCTGTGTGCGGTAGTAGACCTGAAATGGAGGTGTGCCGTGTATAACAAGAGATGCAGAAACCCCTGTGTCGCCGGAACTGAATAGACTTTAGAATGGAAGGCTTGCAAGAACGTGGGCACGTACCATTCGTGAATCCTCTTCCACTCGATTTCTGCGGTGGGCATCGCCTTCTCGACGACCCTGCAGGTTTCAGGAGCAAGCACATCACCATCGCAATACTATTACTTATTGAGAATGATCATGAAAAGGAATTGTGCATTACCTACCTTGCCTCTGATGCCGTTGATGACATACTCTCCTGGGACGCCCGCCTTTAGCACGACGTCATTCTTGTCTTTCTGGGTCTGTAGTGTCTTGTCCCATGGCTTCATGCGCTTGCCATCCCCATTGGTGGGCTCGAACCTCACATCGATGTCCCATGGCCCATCCAGGGAGTCTGAGCTAGATACTGTAAGTGCTACTGGAGCCTCTGAGCCAATCAGGAGCAATGTCGGATTTCCTGGACCACATGCTTTGAACGACACGCTCGGACGGCGCAGAACAGAAAGGGACCGTGTTGTTTTCGTGTCATGATGCCCGTCGTTGAGTTGCACAATGTTTCCCATGCCATCAATAACACTCTCCAGGTTATATGTGTGCTTGCCGAGAGCGTCCAAAGACAAAGACAGTGGAATTTTGAGTTTCTGAGGTATACGAGCACGAGGGACCTCTTGGGCGGTATGCGAGTGGCCACTGTCTTCGATGCCTTCAACAAGGAAATATTCTTTCCTCCCGTTAACATCCTTTGACCACTGTAGGCTCAGCGGAGGGACGCCTCGCAAATCGATGGTAAGGTCCACACCAGATGTGTCACCCGCACAGCGAACATCTTGCACAGCATCATCAGCGTACTGCGCAGTCGGACAGGGTACAACGGTCAGTTCGACCGGGTGAACAAGACGTGCCGCAACATTTGAACTGTCAAGCACCCGGTCCAGCTTTATGGTCCCTGGCTTGGAGAAGCGAAGGTGCACTAAGCTTTGTGTATTTTGCAGGCGGGCAGTGGCATCGGTTTCTTCATCATCCTCGTCATCGTACTCATCATACCCACCCGCATCCTTGCTTCGTACAACCTGCAGTCCCTCTACCCTGGCTTGCTCAATTGCTTTCAACTCCTTCGTGCCCAATTCAAGGTACTCCACGCGCCCCGATCCAAGTGGAGTAAAAGAATAGCGCACATTGGTCGGTGTCGTGTTGTTCACAAGGATCGGAACGAGCACGTGCGCAGACGAGACAGGTGGGAGGCAGAACGTTTGGGAGTGTGGATTGAAATGAGCTGTGCTAATGGGAGACATGCGAACCGTGTGTTGGCCAAGCAGATGGGCATCTTTTGAATTTGTGTCAAACGAAAAGAGACCGAATGTTAGTGGAGCAAATAAATCTGAGAGTCGGAACGGTTCTGGAGTAGATGGAAGGTCTGGTCGATCTTGTATACAATCATGAGCTCGGTCATAGACACGAATTTGTGGCAAACTTACTTGGAATTCCCGAAGGTGCGCTACTTATCTCGGAGGATCCTCTTAACCCCAGGTTTAAGCTAATTCCTCCGAACAACATGCCATCGAGGAACCAAATGGACAGAATTTGGAGCAAGACGACAGCCCTGCTGTACTTCAAACGAGGTATTCGGAGCCGAGAGAGTGTCGCGATGTACGCAAAATCAACTATCAGCCACTTTCTGCCGTAGTATGTCGTTGCATCAGACGCAAAGAAGTTTTGGAGGACATCGAACACCTTGATGGCCTGCAAAGAATAGAAACGCGTCAGACTCGTGATTTTTTGGCGGAATGCACAACGCATGTAATATCAAAGGAGACCTCACGCGAATAGAATTTGGAAAACTGAAAGGCCACTCACCTGCAGCAGCAAGCCCAAACTCAAGTAATATAAACGCTGAGAGGGCACGTCGAGGAACCGCTCTGGTATGAGTGGCTGGACGCCTGAAGGCGGCGTTGCTTCGCCAGGCATATGAAGCACTGGCGTATTGTATTACGGTCAGATAAACCAGCCCCAGTAATAAGTCCTAAGAAACACAAACTCACGAACCTGAAAGTCTGGAGGAAAGACGAATCCACGTGACCGCCGTCAATCGCTCGGTCAAAAAAGGCAATTGTGGATTTTGCGGTGATGAAATAGTCCCGGCTCCGAGCGCCTTGACTCTCTCACCATCCTATGTACATGTTGAGTTTCAGCTGATCTGTCTTGCAGTATTTTGATTTTATACGAAGCGCTCGGACAGCGAACAGACAGACGCTGTGCTACGTGGCAGGTTTCCCTAGGTTCATTGCGATCCCAACTGTCTACCAGGTTTCACAATCACATTCCGTCCTTTGTGAGTAGCAACGTGGCATGCGAAACGCTTGAATGTACTGAAAGATACCGAACAGGGTTGTTTGGTCACTCAGCAGGTCCATCAAGCGATAACAACGGTATCCCATCTTGTTCTACCCTTACCACGATGGCCATGAACAACAACTTGAAACACTCACTCCCACCGCTCCCTCCCATCCAAGGAGAGCTCATGCTCGACGTATATACGCATCGGGCTATGCTGAGTAAAGACGTCGACGAGAATACCGTGCATGGAAATACCGAGCGATTGGCTGAGCTGGGTAGCTCGGTGCTCAGTATGCTCGTCGTGTACACGTTATACTCAGAGAAACCGATGCTTCCTGCCCATGATCTCAAAGTTCGTACACCAAAAAATATGATCTTTGCACATTGCTGAGACGACACTATAGAAGCGCCAAGCCGATGTGCTAAGCGACAAGAACATCGGAGACTGGCTTTCTCTTTACGGACTAAAGGCTAAAATTCGTTGCACAGACAAAAGTGTCCTTGACAGACCCGAAGAAGCTCGTTTCCTCTTCAATTGTTACGTCGGCGCCGTGTACACTCAGAAGGGCTTGCAAGAAGTCATGAACTGGATCGGACGCCTTGTCAACCCTTCCTTGGAGCCTCCAGCAGTCCCAGGGGATACATCCAACAATCAGCCCGCTGCGACGCCGCCTCCACCGCCTCCAACGTATTATTCTCAGCCTCCACCCCCCCCTCCACCAAGCACTGCGCCACCTCCGATGCCATCGATGCCGCCGCCCGCTCCTTCTCAGGGTGTGCTTGCAATATTCAATCAGACTTGCATGCAAAGAGGACTAACAGTAGAGTGGAAACCGGAGATGACCGGACCACCGCACAATCCGAGATGGGAAGTGAAGTGTATTGGTGAGCTTTAACCTTGTTTAATGTGCTTGGTTATCTGAGCAACTTGGAAGTGAGCGGTCAACATCGTGGAACTGGGGCAGGTAGAAATCAGAAGCAGGCAAAGGAGCAAGCTGCAACGGAGGCATATCAGTATATGCAGGCTACAGGTTGGGGCCGTAAGTAGCCAGAAATCAGATAGCTCGCCCGACATCTGACCTTTCTTCTAGTCCTCTAGCCACAAGAGCGTGACACTAAAGAGACGGACTTATATCAACGGAATGTATCAGTATATCATCTGAGTCTTCTGTATTCATATAATTTTCTACCCTTCGACTACGCTATGCCTCTTTTTCTTTTCAAAGCCTCCTTCAGTCCACAATATTGTTCCCACTGGTTGGGCAGTTTTATTTGTATCAGTTGACCGGATACCAGGGTCACTGCCCAATACCTTTTCAATATAAATTAGGTTCTTCGATACACGGTGATCATGAGATAAGTCTCTCTTTGGAAGCTCCTATTGCGCCCTCCAGTGGCTCACTGATCTTCGTTATTCATGATCGATAACATCCCTCACGGTGTTCTGCCACTGATCTTGAGCTCGTTTTTGCCCAAGCCGTCACTGAACGTTGAATTACTAGCCTGACTTTGCGATATGGTCCCTCCACTCCCTTCGCTGCACGGAGATTTGATGCTCGATGTTTTCACACATCGCGCTTTGACTCAAGGGGTCCTCAATGACCACACGACACATGGCAATAGCGACAGACTTGCACAACTTGGACAATCGGTGCTGAACACCGTCGTGATGTATATATTCTTCGCAGAAAGACCTATGTTGTCTGGCGAAGACCTGAAGGTGCGCTCGTGATATCATCATATTCCCGGTACTTGCATTTAATCGCTATGATGCCTCGGCGGCTAGACTAAACACGCGCAAACGCTAAGTGATTCAAGTATAGCTGCTTGGCTTGACGCGTATGATATCGATCTGAAGAAACGTGTGAGACTCGGAGGAGCGAGAGGCGCTCTCGACGACCCCGAGGTACGGAAGATTATCCATGGATATGAGATGCACACCGCATGACTACCTGTCTTTAGGAAGCTCGCTTCCTTTTCAATAGCTATGTTGGAGCTGTTTGTTTGCAAGATGGCTTACAAGCCGCGACCGACTGGATCAGCAAACTTGTGAAGCCCGAGGAGCAACCACTGGCTTTGGTGGATGACCCGCAGAACCGCACACTCACGACAGTGATACCTGTGCCACTGCCGGCATCCCCTCGGGCGGGCACATCACAAGCTGCTCCACCTCCATATCGTCCGCCGACCCCCCCGCAAGCCTCAACAGTACCTTCAGGAGTCCCCCAGGGCATACTTGCTCTGTTCAATCAAACTTGTCTTCAAAGGCAAATTCCCATGGAGTGGGCCGCTGCTGCAAATGGCCCACAGCATGATCCGAGATGGGAAGTGAAATGTAAAGGTAAGAGACTTAATTGTAGTCTTTGATGTCTTCTCAATTTCTGTAGTGGCTGGCGTCGAGCGGGGTTTCGGTCTCGGTAGAAACCAGAAACTGGCAAAGGAAATAGCAGCCTATGAGGCGTACTTGTACATGCAAAGTATCGGCTGGAACTGTGAGTTCCAAACACTATCGTTTCTGCGCTTTCCTTACAAGCAACACAAGTGCAAGAGCCAGAACCAACTGCGTAGACCTCGTCCTTGTGTTCAAAGTTCATGCATCTATTAGTACTTTTTGTTCTTGCTTGTATCATCTCCTGTGTCGTAGAGACATTATTCAGCATTATTCTCATTCGCCAGCATTTATGTCCAATGCAGCTTTGATAAACTCACAGTCGCGACGATCCCACAAACCTCTACCAATGAAGGGAATGTCTCACGTATACCCCACCGAAGAAAAATCTATAGAGTCTTCCTTCGGTATATATATTAGCATAGTACTACGTACCTCGAAATTTTCTGGTAGTTTTTGGAACCTTTTCCCGCGCCGCCCTCTCCCCACTCAGTGTGACCTCGTGACTTTGTCGTGACTGCGTTAGCTGAAACCTTGATCCGTGACAGTGAGATTTATATGATCTTACGCTGCTCCAGTATGGAGGCTCAATCTTCTGTAGAAAGCGTCGAGGATCAATGCGATATCGTGACCTACTCACGTCAAGAGGCCCACGACAGACAAAGTGACAGTGATGTCCCTACTACTTCGTTGTCTGCGTCTACTCGCTGTATGATCATACCTGACCTTCAGTGGAAAATATTCCAGCTGATCCATCATGATGACGCTTTTATGGAGCATTCGAGAAACAAGACACTCCTGGCGCTTGCTTTGACGTGCAAGTCATTCACTGGACTTGCACTGGACCTTTTATGGCAAGACCTAAGTGGGCTTTCACCACTCATCAGATGTCTCCCTTCGAGCCTGTGGAAACATGTAAAAAAGAAACTGGTAAGTCAAACTCTGCTCATAACTGAGAGTTCATAGGTTCATTTCTTCCAGGAATTCCAAAGGATCATGACTATCGATGACTGGTCTATTTTTTGCAAATACAACCACCGTGTCCGTTCACTCCAAACAGCAACCAATACGTTCGGTACCGATATTTGGCGCACCCTCAGCTGTCCTCCCTTCTCCCTCCCCTTGCTTCCCAACTTGATGTCTCTAGTTTGGAGTGAGACTACCAGAGAGACATTCCTTTACATGCGGTTGTTTGTGACCCCAAAATTGATGACCCTCAATATCTCCCACCAGTTCACCTTTGGTCTATCCGAACAGTCCATTTTATCATCCATCCCGATGCTGTGTCCTTTGGTCTCGAATTTCGGTATTCATGGGAATATAGAAGCAGGGGACATATCGAATGCGTTGCAATACTGGTCTCATCTATCCTCGGTGAGCACTGGAGAAGTTTCCGAAGCGGCCATACTATACCTATCCAGTTTGCGCTCACTCCGATTTCTCAAATTTATCTTACCTTCAACGTCCATATCCGTGGATACACAAACGCTCCTGCGACAATCTGCATTCTGTGCGTTACAACAACTGACAATAGAGTCCGAAACAATGGAGCTCTTAAATACCTTCCTCGAGACGCTCTCCATTACTCCAGAAGTGCTATCCTTAGACATCACCGACCAAACGTATACCACACTGAACCTGCCGGCTTTGATTTCCCGTCTACCAGATGTTTGCGGGCACAGCTCACTGCAACATGTGCAACTCAGCATTGCTGATTGGTCTCTTGATCACAACAATACAATCGGAGTTGCAGTCTTTCAACCACTTTCCGCTTTCCGCAATCTTCGCAAGCTCGGCTTCGAAATGGACCCCCGCTTGGAGTTGGATGATGATGCTCTTTTGGAGCTGGCTAAGGCCTGGCCACTTCTGGAAGAGTTACACTTCAACAAATCACGCATGACTCATCATGTCTCCTCAAATACCTTTGTCTCGCTGTTGCAACATTGCCCATGTTTAGTCTCGGTTGGCATTGCCGTAAACTGGTCTGCCATAGACAAACATGGCATATCCCCCGATGTCCCTTACCAAGGATTTACGCACAGGGCACTATCTCATGCATTCTTTAGTAATTCGAAAATTCGCCATCCAACAAGGATTGCTGCTTTCATCTCAGCCATCGCACCCAACATGGAATCAATTGAGGCATGGGACATTGATATCTACGAGGAGCATGATGACTTCGACAAATACTCTTCAAGGTGGTATCTCGTCCAGCGTTTGATCAAGTCTTTCTCCATGGTTCGCGAGCAGGGCAGGAGAATGATGCTGAATGGAGGCGAAGCGGCTGATGAAGACCATCGCAGGGTTGCGCAGCCAGCACAGAAAACAGAAAACGGGGAAGCGGCTGCTGCTGACGTTGGTGGGGCTGCGGAGGGTTCCGAGGAAGATGGCGGAAGCGAGGGTGATTATTTGCCTCACTCTGACCAAGCCTCGTCAGACCCAGAGGAAGAATGATTTTAAACGCGAACAATCACGCACTGAATATGATAGCATGATTCAAGTGCTCATGGTACTGGTTCCACCATTATTTTGCTACTTTCTGTCGAACAAGTTCTGATAAGATAATTATAATAAGAGTTGGACGGATGAGAGCTAGTCTCAAGCTGATAACTTGTCCTTACATCTTTTTGGACTCAGAGGATAAATATGATGTGAAGACAAGGCAGTGACTGGCATGCACCCGAGCTTGTGTCGTTGACTACTGATCCCAATCTGAACAGGAGCGATGACTCATTCATAGTTTCAATCGGCATCGAGCTGGTGCGGTGAATGGCCTGACGTATTGTAGACGTCAAATGAGAACAGACGACCATCACCCGTGCATGTCGTCGTCTTGGATTCCGGCTGCCCATGATACAAGGCCCTCTTCGACAATGCATTCTTCTCGAAAAGGCCTTGTATCCTGGTGACCTTTTGCTTCTACTCGAAAAGAGATCATCGTCAGCGATCGCGCATGTAATAGAACGAATGCTGGAGAACGTGACTTCGAGCCTCGAAGATGGATATCATACCAATAGTAATATCCACTGAGTCCAGAAAGGCTTTTGACAGTATCGTTGGACTTGCAACTATTATACCGTTTTGCTGCGTGCCATTAGAATTGATATTGAACGAGCGACAGTTATCCTTAAGCTTCTGTTTGATTTGCCTAAGGTTGAAGCATTCACAAAACGGGACGTAGATCCTGTCAAGATATTCAGCAGAGGTTCTTTCATTGCACCACTTGTCAATATGGGAATCCGAACTGAACGGGCCATGTCTGCTCATGTGTCTAGTCACTATCACAAGGAAGACTTGCCATTCGGTTCGGCTGCTCAAACGTGCTGAAGACGCACAGGTGGCTCCAGCTATTCCGCGGAGGGCTTTTGTACGACGTTCTTCTTCACGAGATGCAAGAACACTCCCTTCTCCTGCATTGGGTGCAGCGGGAATGGAGAACACGAAAACGGCAGTAGCGTGATGATTTTTTTGAGGATAATACTCCGTGTCATTGCAGGTGAAAATCCTATTGACGGTTTCGGGGGTGCGCCGCACGAGTCACCGACAAAGTCTTTGGTCCATTTTGGCCTATGCCAGTGGCAGTGGGTGTGAGCTCCTCTCAAATTTATATTGAACAGCCAACACGCGCCAAGTCACATGATGGTCACAAACACGACCACACGCGTATAATTGACGGACCGATGAGTGTTGACTGGACTTTCGCTTTCCTTCTTTCACCACCATCGTCGTCGACACCACAAGTGTTACTCGCCTTCTCTATAATTTGTCGAAACACATAACTCAGTGCATACAACATGTCTGGACGTGGAAAGGGTGGCAAGGTGTGCAGTATTGATTGGCATCACCTCATTGTTCCTCCGACTCACAGTACAATAGGGTCTCGGAAAGGGCGGTGCCAAACGTCACAGGAAGATTCTTCGCGACAACATCCAGGGTATTACCAAGCCAGTGAGTCTATAGAGCTCTGCAATCAATCTCCCGCTCACATATCTCTAGGCTATTCGCCGTCTTGCCCGTCGTGGTGGTGTGAAGCGTATTTCAGGTCTCATCTACGAGGAGACCCGTGGTGTCCTCAAGATTTTCTTGGAAAATGTTATCCGCGACTCCGTCACTTACACCGAACACGCTAAGCGGTAAGCCTTAGTACAACTTAATTCAGTATTTACTCATTCATTTGGACCATAGGAAAACGGTTACTGCTCTTGACGTCGTTTATGCCCTGAAGCGGTCGGGGCGCACTCTATACGGTTTCGGTGCATGATTTATTCACTTGTATATGTAGTATGTACCAGTAGTGCATTAAATATCTCCCTCATCAGACCAGCCATTTATCGTCCTGGCGTCCTTTCAAATATCCATGATTGTGTGTAGACCCCAGTGTTGTGTTCAGGCGAGCTCGGGGTGGGTTTTCGTTTCTGGGTGTGGTCATCTTCGGTAGCTCGGCCGTTGCATCTTCGGCGATAGGGACTGGTTGGGCAGACATAAGTTCATGCAAACTTGATATGACGTAACCGTGTTCTCCAGCTGATGAGGCCCTCCGTCTCCGAGTGTATTGCATCTGTCTGGTGCCTTCAAGTATTCTGCCGCCCTTTGATGGTCCCAAAGGAGAGCTGCCAACCAGTGCCCCGCTTGGCAACCTAAGAACGCCTTCCGGGTTCGCATGGGCATCCGACCTGGATGGCCCATGCCTGCGCATACGCCTAAGACTCGCCATTCGTTGTACCTGGTTCAGCTGCCCAACGTTCTTGGGACGCTCGGGTGGCTCCAGCTTCTCCGCGGAGAGCTTCGGTACGACGCTCTTCTTCACGAGGTGCACGAACCCGACCTTCTTACCCTGCATCGGGTGCAGCAAGAATGGAGAGCAAGAAAACGTCAGTGGCGTGATGATTTTCTCGCCGGGGAGGACCCGCCCCGATCCGTCCGTGTAACGGTCGTCTACGAGGTAATCGAACTTCCATTGCATCTTCACGTGCTCCTGCGGGCTTCCCAACACCATGCTCTCGCTTCCGAGAACGGTATATACGCCGTTCGTCTTGATGTTCAGTGCCGCGTGTCGGGAGAGGTAGTCACGCGACTCATCCCCGCCCACAGTGACGCGCCGCAGCATCGGTGGACCATCGAGGGTCGCATAGTGGAACGCGAAGCTCTCGCGCTTGACTGGCATGAACTCCGCCACGCCTCCGCTCACGTCGGAGGAGACGCCACGCTCTCCATATGGTAGCAGTGAACGGGAGCGTGGGGAATACCCCATCAGTCGCATCATGGGCCGGATCGCGCGGAAGCCTTCCTGGTCGATCCAGAGTTCAACATCAGTCCCTCCGAGCCAAGTGAGATCACGTGGAAGATAGGGATGCTTAGATGAGACGCCTGAGTCGCTCAAGGTAGTACATGCAAAAGACAACGAATGCATGGAGCTTGCCGAAGGGGAGTCAGTGAGCTGCCATCGGGTTGTGCGTACAGGTGCGATGACGGGGGACTGGGGCTCATGGGGAAGTAGATGGAGCCGAGAGGTCCTCGGGATTGAGCGGGGTGTCTTCAAATGATGGATGGCTCCTGAGCGTTCCAGTGGTCTACGATGTCTCCTAGAGTATGTCAGAGATATGGGAGAAATAACATCTACACTGGGCGATGGCGATGGAGGAGCAAAGGAAGGTGTCGGCAGCGTCGAGAACGTCGCTGACGTGCCAAGGTATACAGTTTGCTCATTCTCTCTATCCTCTACAGGAACAGTCATTGTTGAATTTGAAGTCATCCTCGAGTTGAAAACCCAGGCTTGTCGGTTTGCGCCTCCGAGAGCAGTCCTAACGCTGGGACTTTCTGACAGCGACGAGCCAACCGAGTCCGATATAGCCAAGCTACGGATATGTGTCAGGTGGAACAGAGACTTTGAGAGGGGACTTGGGGAAGGAGATGGTGTAGAAACGAGCGACTGTGATGACAGGAATGACTTCGGAGTGAAAAAGACTTCGTCAAGCATTGATTCGTTGACACTGTAGGAGCTTGCAAGGTTAGAGGACAGTGTCACCGGGGAGGCTGTCATCGGGAGCCTAGGCAACTTCGCGACTCTTCCCTGTGCAGTTGCTATGTCGATTTCAAGTCTACTCGCTTTCGGCGGGGTGCATACGTCGGCGTCATATTCAAACCTGAGAGGCGAGTTCAAGGGTGTAGAAAATTTGTCAATCACGAAGTCGATTATGAGCGGTATTTCACTAAACGTGCTTGGTGCCAGTAGGTCATTAGGTGTGAGAATAGGCGACGGAGGGCAAAGTGTAGCAGCGAGCAAGCGCAAGTCGGAAGACGTCCGGGTCAGACGGACATGCGTTGAGGACAGCATGATCGACCCCGGGGATAGACTATACTTTCTGCGAATGAGTTGGCCAGTAAAGAGGAAGACAAAATGACTGTAGCAGCATCATTTTCGTTCTCTAGATTGTCAGCCGCATACTCAGATTCGATGTTCACGGTGGCTGACGGCATTCATTATTGCAACCATATCTGCATGGCGTTGCCACGCACAATATTTACAGCTTTTCCTCCTGCACAAGCGCGGCTACCTCGAGTTCTTTATTGTGCACCTTCTCCCTATTTTTCAGCAGGCAGTAATCTCCAAACTCGTTCTTGTTTTGCCACCACGAACCAGGGAGCCAGAGTGTGCGTGTCAAAAGCGACGAATGCGATGCGTCGAGGAATGGGAGGCATGACACTCGTTCCCAAGTCTCGTTGTCGATTGCGTATCGCGGTTCCAAAGGTGATGACACCGGATGCTCGGGGAAGTCTGAGTCTACAAGGTAATCGCAAGACTCGACGGGCACCTGAAAGAGTGTCAGCGATTTGCCTCAGGTGAAATCATTCGTCTACTGACATAAAATTCTGATGCCTCCTTATTAAGGTCGTTTAAGCCCGCTGGGGTGATCCTCAAACCCGGCCTGTCCCACCATCCATTGAAGGCCGGCTTTGCGCGACTCTCTCCAAAATGCGCGGGAAGTAGTCCATCGAACTCGCTCTTCACGAAGTCGACTTTCACGCCGTTGGGAACAAGGTAGTGTCCCGGGAAACGATGCCACTCTTTCCCGAGACAAACTCTCAGATCAAACACCCTTATTGGTGTCAAGTCGATGGAAGGCCTGTCGATCTCGTCCGTCCCGGGTGGAAGAGGTGGAAGAAGCCCAGTGATATTCAACAGCCGTGGAAGTTCGGTGGCCTCGAGGTCGTTGAATGCGGAAAGCGGCGCATGGTAGTAATGCCACAAGGCAAGGACGCGAGACAGAGAAATAAGCCCCGCCACGGCAATCACGGTGCACGTCATTGCAGCAAATATGATGGATCTTGAAGCCTATCGTGACAGTAATGCAAAGCAAACGTAAGCAAATGCATATGTAGACAATTAGGGTAAATATACCCTATACGAAGACTTGGTGGCGGAGATGTATGCGACCTCCATCCATCCGCGGATGAGGTATAGGGCCACGGCCGCATTAAAACAGATGAGGGGATATGCAGGGAACATAAAACGTTCCTCCTTGTGCGCTTGCGCTGTTAAGATAGCCGTCCAGACATATAGTGGTGCTAGGCGAAGGGCGAGTAGCGTAAACGGCGAACTCTGGTCTGGACCAGGTTTTAACATCCCGAGCCGCTTGCGATCGATCCTATAGGTAATTGCGAGACTAGGCAGTGAAATAAAAGCGAGAGGGACGAGGACATTAAAGTTCAGGAGGAGGTTGAGGATGTAGAAGTACCAGGGGGCTGTGCCGTATAGATCAGGACCACGGTCAGATCCACCAAAGACATTGTAGCGGACAATGTTCCACGGTACGAGGTTCCACCTCCCATATGCAGCACTATCGATCGCTATGACGGGGACCTGCGACAAAAGCAATTAGGTATGAGTGAATGATACACACCGACTGCCTACAAATATCAGAGCGGATACAAGGCCGGCGACGAAAAGGCGTTTCCAACGAGAAATCATCCATGATCTGCGTGCGCCTGGTTCAACTCGATCTCCGCCAAAAACGAGTAATTCTTCAGACACAAAAGGCAGCGACAGAGCAAGTGCAAAAGGCCATCCAACAATAGCTCCTGTGGCGAAAAGCATTGTTACAAATAAGGTTCTCCGCTTGTTCTTGAGGCTCGATGGCTCGAGTGAATACGTGAATGCCATCGTGGTTGCGTACATTGCGAAAGAAGAAGGCAGGAATGCTGTATGGGTAATCAGCCAAAATGAAGATCGTGACGAAACCTGGAGAAAGAATCTTACCTGGAGCGGCGTTCCACATGCCTGCGCTAAACAGTAACATAAAAAACAAGTAACGACCAACCCGTTCGTTGACTTTTTCGACAACAGTGCGGCATAATTTGGCTTCGCACAGCGTGGATACAATAGCTAAAGTTATGCGGACTGCGAAGAATGAAGGTCGCTACATCGGTAAGTACAACAGGATAGTAAATGCAATCCTATTACAAAAACTCACCTTTCCAAAGCTAAGAGCTAAGGGAAGCCGTGCGGGTATAAGGTGCAACAAGACATATGGCCAACTTCGAATGGCGTACATCGGAGTGACTTCCCATGTCTGGAAGCCGTGACCATGATCGATGTAGTGTAGTGGCTCCCAAAAATTGAACACTGACGTGACGTATAACCTCAGAAAATAATAAACACAAGTTTCTGTGTTACTTACCCTCATCACAATCTTGTATATTCGTGTACATGGCCGCTGCCACTCGGATGAGCAACAGAATGCGCACTGCTGTTGAGAAGTTTGGGTTCCATGGTCTACGAGCGGACCTGGGGAAATCATTGATGTAAAGTCATAAATGGGTAAGACGAAGCAAATTACCTGCGAAGCTGATCTTGGAGAATGCCAGTATGCCGTGCAATGGATGGAATGGACGGTTTTGGGTCCTCTTTGCGTCTTAAACGCAAAGTTTGAACGTTTGAGGCCATGCAGACCTCACTTTCCTCTCTGCTCACGATTTTCTTTGCCGCAGTAGGGCAGCTCTTGGAACTGCAGAGCGGTGAGGTTCAGAGGCGAGTTGACGTAAATCCGCATATCCACGTGCGCGTGTGATTGATGTGTCATCATGATTGCGTAATGAATCACAATAACTCCGCGGCGTCTTCTATGACTTTTTTTGATCATGTGACTTTCGACAAACCACTTGGAGAGTCGACCCAACATGTGTCGATTCGCGTAAGTATTCGAACCCCTGGCGTCGTTCGCGCGTCGTCTAGCTGACCTGCAACGATTCTCTTGTCTTGTTCTCTGAAATTAGGAATCGCGTAGCTCGGCAAAGTTGCTCCATTAAGCGGTAGTCGCTGGATGCAGCCCGGTTGCCGTACTAAAGATGACTGCCAGATCTGCGATAAACATCTGGTAGCGGCTAGGTGAAAGCCCGATAGAGTCAAAGGATGCGTGGAAGGGTGACCAATGACTTAGTAAAGGCTGATTCGCAGCCGTTGTCGGTTCCAGCGCGCATGCTTCTGTGACGCTTCGCGAAGCGGAAGACCAGATTCAGGACGCTCTTTGGCATGGATGGTCGGTGACTGCGGCTGTATTCACCAACTGAATATGCTGAACATGGAAAATGCCGGCCTAGTTTGGGGTATCTTGATATAGGCTTCCTTCTACCTTGTCGTGGCGTCGCAATTGTTGCCCCCGTACTCTCACTCGCCATTCCTGTTGTCATTGTTCTCATCCGTGTTTTCCTCAAATCTTTCCTTCATTCTTTACAGTCGTCTAGCATCCTCACTTTTCATCTTTCGACCTCCTTCAACGCACGATGGGGGAACTGGAAACAGCTCAACATTTTATTTACATGTATGCTGCTTCTCTAACGTCGTCAAGAAACCTATTTCTAACCCGTTTTCTGCAGCACACAGGTCTACTTTTGCTGTAAGGACTCTGAACATCATAGGATACCCATTTTTACTGACCTCCCCCCCCTGTCCACCAGGCATGTGTACGTACTGAAATTGATAGACGCCCTTCGTCGACAATTCCTCATTTGTAATTGGCAGATGCCGTTGTTATCTGGGACTGGGCCATCAGCTTGCCTAGAGAATGGCGTTTTGTAAAACTTTTATAATTGCTCACTCTATTCCTACTGACGAGCTCATCAAAGATCTGGAAGACCCATTGGACGCCCGTTAAGACTGCATATCTCTTCTGTCGGTACGTTTTAATTTCTAGGCAATTTTTGAATACGAGTCACCGCTGCGTTTCTTAGCTACTGGGTTATCGCCGTCGTCCCGTACCTTTTATATGTTTTCGTCACCAACCACACCGAAGCAGAGTGCCAGAAAATTTACAGGGTCAGTACGGCGCATATATCCTGCTTATTGCCACTCAACCTTTACCGTCAGATTCCTGTCGCATTGGCCATGTGGAACCAAGTCGGATCCGAGTGTCTGTCTTTGCTGTACTGTTCTTGCACTTCCGCGTATTGATTTTTGGCCATATATGCTAGCTGTTCTGCTCATTCGTACTTACGCGTTTTTCAACCGCAATAACTACCTTCTGGCCGCACTTGTGTGCGCGCTAGCCGGTGTCGTTGGGTATCAACTTTTTGTTGATACTTCCGAAATGAATCGTATGTTTCTCAGACAATGTTGCTTTTAATTTCACTCTGACAAAATTACCAGTTCTTCCGTTTGTCACTCCACCCTTTGTGAGTCGCTCTCTCAGCTCGAAAGAAAAATACTAAAGCCACTAATGTAGACGGAGGGGCCATGTTTCCCTATTTCTAAGCCCCATTCAGCTCACTTGCTCGGCGAGTTCTCATTCGTGGCTAACTTGTATTTATCCTTACTTATTGAACTTCCAGGTTTTTTTGTGAGTTTCGCTCTCGTTAATTTTGACTCAGTCTGTAACGTTTGCAGATTGCCCCACTTATGTTCGACACGATCGTTACTGCCATTACTGTCTGGAAAGCATTTACAATTCGTCGTCGCAGCGGTGGACCAAATAGCAAACTCATTCAAACTTTCCTTGGAGAAGGTCTGTCATGACTCATATGTTGAACACGTACGACCTGCTGACCCAAATATCAGGTGTCTTCTACTATATTCTCATCTCTATCGCCAACTTGGTAAGGGTGATTTTTATTTCAGACTCGCCCTCGTGAACTAATTCTTACTCTAGATCAATGGAATTTTCTACCTTCAGTCAGTAGCATGATGATAGTGCGCTACATCGTTGTTTATGTTTATTCACAGACCTCGTCAAGTGATATCTGCGCTCAACATCCCCCTCAGCGTTATGATGGCGCCAGTGCTGGCATGTCGTTTGGTATGCTCAATTGCCAATATATGTATTAAAAGCATCCTCATTCGTTTTTCTCAGATCCTCGATCTCCGTGAACGTGGCTCGGAGGACCATTCCCATTCAGAAGGAACAGGTGTTAGCGCATTTGCAACAAAATCCGGTGTGGTTACTTCTAATACTGGTCGCCGCGGAAAGCCTGGTCGTGTTCGCCGCCACGCCCCAGGTTCGACGATCGCGTCAAACGTTATGTTGAGCACTATAGGGAGTATTCAGCCCGATCTTGAAGCAGCTGAGGTGGAGCTTGACGAGATGCACTTTGAGCTCGGGATGGGTTATTCTGGGGATAGCACGCGCTCACTGGGTTCGGTAGAAAATGCCACGCCAGCCCCCGCCTACCACTCAATCGAGATGGGGTTTAACGCTCGGCCAGGAAGCGCGACTGACGAGAGTGGAGCGGCTGGCATGTCAGGGATCTCAGGGATAAGGATTGACATAGAGAAGACAACATCCACGATATGATGACCATATATCCAGATCAGCACCAGCCGACTCTACGCTCTCCGAGTCCCATTCCCATTTCTGCTCCGGATCGCATTGCATTGATTCCAGATTTCATTGATATCCACGCAAAGGACGGTTCGTGCATTCTGCACTTGCATTCACTAGACTACGCCATGCCGACACTCGGAACCTGTGCAGCGCGTACATCAACGTTTAATCATGTACTTTTAGTTTCTCCTGGACTAGCCAAGGTTTTCAAGTACATAAAAACTACTCGGGTTTTATACCCGTTTGTGCCGTTCCCGTTCTTTGATACTCGTTCTGTTGATGCCATGTATTTTTGTGAACCATACGTGCCAACTGCCATAGGACTTTGTCTGAGCAAGTACTTCACCGGCCGCGAACCCTACTTACAGAGTTGCTGAGTCAGATTGCACCCGCTTTACAGCTTCAGTACTTCAGGTTCATGTTCAAGAAAGGGCGTGTTCCCCGCAGGCTCTCCGCAGTTATTGCTCTCCCTCATGTATGACCTGTACAACAGTGCGAACGATGGTGCACACGTTCAATCTGCTTGACCTGCCGCAGGAGATTATCCTTTACATTCGTAAGTCATTGTAATACTGTGCTCTCCCCACGTTAACCGTTAGGTATAGTGTCATTTCTGGATTTGCCTGACCTCGCAACTCTCTCCAAACTTCATGGATATCTCGCTCTGCTGGCAGCTGACCCAGTGCTGCATCTCATACGACTCCGAGTAGTCGCGCCATCACGCGTCGGCCATTCCCTATTCGCGCGAAGCCCTCACGGCACCTTACTCAGACCAACCATCACGGATCTTGTGCACAGGCATGTCATCCGTGGACATAACATCGAAAGAAGATTGCGCATGGGCTTGTACATTTATACAGAACATGTAAGAACACTTTCCCTCGATGACAAATAAACCCGCTGACAAGCATACGCGCAGTCTGTGGGTCAGTACGACAGCGGCCTGCGACTACAACGCGAACGTATTGCTCTTATCATTTCCTCTCATCTTCGAAGACGCGTGCCTGCGTCTGCTGGCCTCAAGTTGTTGTATCACTCCCATATTCTGCCTGACGTCGAATCGTCGTTGCTCTCTGTTTCACGGTCTTTGTTACCTGTGGTCAGAAAGCTCAAGTGGTCCATTCAGCGAGACAAGTTGGCCAACGAGGTGCGGGGTTTGAACGGTGGTGCCCTCGGGAATTCGGCACTTCCATTTACTGGAAACTTGGGTGCTTGGATTGAGCTGAAAGGGCAGGGTGTTGTAAAGGACTGTGAACGGGTACGCCTGGCGTTATGCCCGGATGTGCGTAGGATGGTGAGGTTTTATGAAGGCTTGGGACACTGAACATTAGTTGTTATTTTATGTTGTTCGCTTTATGTTTTCGTAGGCAGTCAACGGTGTATTATGCATGACTGAATTTAATAGTATTTATTATGTATGCACAGCGCAGCAAAAAACATGTCCTTCCTCTCTATTCTATGCCTGCGGTGGGTACCCCGTAGTCGAATTCCACTCACTGCCAGAGGGGACCTCCCAGTCTCCATGACATCCCCACGCCCAGTCTGTCTCCCGTATCGTCTCCTGTTGACCTTCAATGAATGCCGGAAGTGGGCACATTCCGTGCTTGTCATCATACGGGCATGTGCGAATCCCGTGGAGGGGAACAACGCCGTCGTTGATGATGATCCGGATTTGTGGTTCCGGGGTAGATGCGCAGGAGAGGACTGAAAAAGAAGGAACGTCGTGGGAGAAGAAGTAGCTTAGTAAAATTTAAAGACTGAAGAAATGATCACTCACGTTGGAACTGCATATTCGTTGCGAAGGGTGCGAGATCTGCGGAGCGGAATGAACGGTCTTTAGGGATATGGTCAGCAGGGAGAGGTCCGCTTGCTGCGAGCGTGCTCAGGTTGAGCGCTGTGATAACTGCGCGACAGTAAACGATCAGCCACTATGAGGACGAGTACCAAATTGCATGGTACGATATGCAGGGACACGCACTATTGAGGACAACAACTTCATGCGTAGCATCTACATAGAGAGCATGATCTAGCGGGAAAGTCTCAGGCGTATGAAGCGTGGCGTTGGTGCTACTGTTGTGGGTCGCGATCGGGGTATGGGTAAGTCGCGCGATGAGCTCTTGGAGGTAGCCGACACCCTGGACGCGAGCGACAGGTGAGCCGAAAGCAGAATCATACCTACGAGTACATCACAGTTTAAACAGTCGGAGAGGAAAGAAAGCGCATGGTCAGCAAACAAATTATCACCTACAAACGCAAGCACGCGTGCTCACCAGAACGTCAAATCAAGCCTATGATGATATATAAGTACTTGTCAGCATATGTTACGAGGAGACAAACAGGGAAGAAACGGTGCTTACGCATAATTGAATCCCTCCCACTCTTCTTCCGTGAAGAGATCACAGAACTTGGAGTAACCGAGAGCAACAGTCTATCAATAATACAGTCAGCCACAACAGACAGAACGTTATACCACAGGTGGGCGTACCTCATAGGCACACATCTGCATCATCTCATAAACTTCCTCCCCAGTCCAGTCGAACTCGCCCTGCAGACCGTCCTTTCCAATCATTGCCCTTGACAGCCGTTCGCGGGCTTCCGCCAGGAAGTGAGAAACCCATTCTCTGACGTAGAGTAGCGAGCGGTCCGCTTTGCCAGCGGCATTGGCATTCGGGCAGGTTTTGTAGGGGGCGAAGGTGTTATTAAACTAACAGATTGTATCAGAGTGAGCAATACATCGTTTGGGGAAGGTGCAAAACAAAGGAAACCAGTGAAAATGAGGAGAAGAGAGGTACCGGAAAAGGACAGACGAATTTCACAATATAAGATAATGAATCGACATAACCACAAGTAAAACAAGATACGAGAAAATGAACAACTCACACCGTTGGCTTCGATCGTGATCAATTGTTGATATTGCCCCTCAAAAGGGTAGCCAAAGAATCCAATGGCGAAGTTAAGTGCCGAGGCGAGCATGCGGTCCCTGCGGATTTAACTGATTAGTTTACTAGCGGAAGCAGGGCGAATAGATCAACAAAATTGAATGTGAGAAGCAGATTGTGTTACAGTACAAAAAACCTGAATACAAAAAACCAGATCACTTACTGAGACTCTGTCCGGAACACAGGAATTGTGTTCGTCTCTGTAAAGTTCTAGAATTTGATCAATATCATCGTGCGTTTGAGAAGCACAGAGAAAGCAGACCGACCTTTAGTAAGAAACCATACTTGAGGCGCATAGATACGCCGAGGTCGTCTATATGTGCACGATGAGAGCTTTTCAGGGGAGGAGAATATAGGCGCACAGAGTTGTTGTCGGCCAAAGGGAGTGAGCACTGGGAATTAAGAGTGAGTATAAACATGTTACTGTATTTATGAAGCTCATACCTTCCTCGCCAAGTTTGTAGGTCCTGTACGCACCGTCCATGAGATTCAAGGTCAAGATATTATAATAGTACATCATACCACTCGTTCAAGAATGCTAGTTGCCCAGTCGCCTCCCATTGTGATGCACTCTCGTGTAGACGGGTAGCAAACTTGGCAGGACCGCCGAAATTCGCTGTTCGTGGCAGTACATTACTATCAGTGTTGTAACGATAGGGAGACACGCACCCCATGCGGTAGGATAACGGGCACCGTGACGATGAAGTAGGTGGAGGCCAGTTACAGTACATCCAGGAGGGACTTCTGCGCTATCATCAATGCCGAATGCTCCACGGGGGACGCTGTACCACGGGGAAAGGTTGCCCCAGCTTCGGAAAAGGTTAAAAGGACGGTCGGATTTATAGTGTTTGCGGGATTCTTCTTCTGCCTCTTCCACGTCATCGTCTTGTGTAGAGTGGAAGTGCTTGTGAATCTTTGGAGGTGCGACGAGTTGGGCTGCGCCGGTCTGGAGAGGGAGGGAGGGCGCAGTTGCAATGAGGCCAGGCTCTGCGCCAGTAGGAGTACCACCCGGATAACCAACACTGCAGGGCAGGTTAGTTTGGTCCAACTGTTTTAAATGAAGCGCACTTTGTGGGGAATAGGTCAGGGAAAGCATTGGTAGGGGACGCAGGCGGGAATTGATGCACTTCTGTAGAACCAACGTACGGTGGTGCTTGCACCCTCACGTCGTCTCCCCGTGGAGGTGGTCCAGCGATACCGGAGACGTCGAGCAGGAAGCGTGCACCGATGCACAAAGCGACACCCCCAACAAAGGCACATACAAGATGCACCAGGGTATAACGCGGAGTGCTGACATTCGTGGGTGAATTTGATTCTGCAGGCAGGAGTGATTCGCGTTCTGGCTCAACAAGTACGTCGTCGTATGCGCCATATGTTGCATCGGAGCCCAACTCGACGTCCTGCTTCAACCCCATAAGTGCTGCTCAACGTTGTAGTACTAGTCGTGGGTCGACTATCTTCCTTCTATATGGCCTGACTAGGGGAGACCAAGTCGTGGGTAGTGATGAACGTTAACCGTGAACAGAAAAGCGCCCACTGGCAGCCGACAACGTCCCTTTTCGGCTACTAGTCTTACTCCTTTCTACTACTTCACCATATTGCTTTCCTGTTCATGCCCTTGATTCTTGAAGTCTGCGTTGACTCGATCGAGTCTGCTTTGGCGTAGGTGTCAATTCTCGCATCTGAATTACAACTGAGCAGCCGGATACTGCTGGTCACTCAGAGCCGTTGAAGCAGGGGCAGATCGTCTTGAACTCTGCAGCAATCTAGGTATTGGAGGAGGAACTACCCCTAGCCTTGGGCTGTTGAAAGCTGTTCGAAAGAGGGCACCTACAGTTCCGATAATGGTAGATGACATTACCATTAGTTGGGCTCTTTCTGGCTACTGACGAATTTGCCCCACCAGGTTATGATCAGACCTCGGACTGGTGACTTTGTATATACTGAGGCTGAATTCGACGTGATGGTCGAGGACATACGTTGCTTTAGAGAGAATAGCGTTCAAGGCGTCGTGTTCGGCGTTCTCTCTCCCGAAGGACATGTGGACGTGGATCGTACTCAGCGGTAGACCTTCTTATTGTGCTCCTGAAGCCCCAGGGCGCCAACGTTCCTTCTAGTCTTGTCTTGGAAGCTTTGCCTCTGCAAGGTAATGTCAACTGTTTATCATTCATTTTTGTTTCAAGACTCATTGGCGTAGTCTGCTTTCATCGAGCGTTTGACATGACTCGTGACACGAGGAATGGCAAGGGGAAATCCAGTCTTAACTGTTAAACTTGTACTGATTGTCTACTTTAGCATGGTACCAACTGTCCAAAATCGACGGAATAACCCGCATTCTAACGAGGTAAGCGTCGCAAATATTCAATGTAGCTGATTCCGAGTCGGTGTTTCACACCCCTTCCAAGTGGTCAGGGAATTACCGCCGCCTCAGCTAATTCTCTCAATGTCTTGAAGGATTTACTTGACCTCGCCAAAAATCAGGATACACGGATCGAAATACTTCCAGGATCTGGCATAAATTCATCCACTATCGGTGCTTTATGCCAGGCGTTGCTGCCTCATGGGCTGCGTGAAGTGCATATGAGCGGTGGACATTGGATCGATGGAGCTTCGATTTGGCGTCGAGACGGAATGGGAATGGGGATTGGTGGACCCGGTGAATGGGGAATTTGGCGGACAAGCGCAAGCGCAATCCGTGAAGTCAAAGATGTCATCAACTCCTTTAGAGAAGCATGATATATACGTTTCCTGAACGGCAATTTTTCGTTCTCTCATCTACTCAATTCGAGCTGATGCGATCAGACAGTCGCTTCTCCGCGGGATTCGCTGGATCGCACATGGCTTCACTGGCGCGCCATTCCAGCACACCTCACTCATTGACCTGTGTACACAATGATATATTTTCGTGATGAGTCGAGGCACTGGCAGAGTGTTGGCACAAAGTTCTACGTGCTCAGTTATGACCGCTGTCATACTACTTCCTGGGCTTTTGATAAGCAGGGGTTCTGACTGGAAATGGGAACCTTCATCCAATTAACAAAGTTTCTTCGAAATAGTCTGCTCCGAAGTCAGGAGGCGACCTACCAGGCGTAGGTGGAACTTATCTTAGATATCTAGGCATTATAAGGCCCTTGAATTTTGGGCTCACTCCCCAAACATCAACCACGCCCTCTGACAAGATGTCTTCGTCACAGCAGCCTGCTCCCGCAGTAAAAATATGGTGGAGTAATGCTACATTCTTTGTTTTTACTCACATTGCCGCAGTCATATGTGTCTACCTGAGACCTCCTACGACAGTTCCTCTAGAGACCTTGTTCATGGCATTCATCCTCTGGCAACTGGCTGATTTCGGGTAAGATTACTCTGTGCCTCTGGTACAGGACAACCTCATGATTGTTGCCAAGAATCACCATTGGATATCACAGGCTTTGGTCACATCGTACCTTCAGAGCAAATTTGTATGTGCGTGTCATTTTGGCTGCTCTCGGGTCCAGTGCATTCCAAGGGTCAATCAAGGTGAGGGCTCCGTTGATTTTGGAATTGTGTTGATCATCTCAATCAACGGGCAGTGGTGGTGTGTCTATATGAACACTGTGCATGTCATTTTGATGATATCATATTCAGGTGCCTTCGACATCGACTGCATCATGTATGTCATTTCCCGTATTGATTGGAACACGGGCCTGAATCCTGCAGCGCTTCACGGATGATCCTCAACACGACCCGTAAGTCGAATGTTCATGACTGAAAGATAAGAGATTAATGCACATATAGATACTCAGCTACTCGTGGCTTGTTCTATTCTCACATGGGCTGGATCTTCTTCAAGCCTGTGTATGAGCGCGTCAAGTTAGTTGACCGCGAAGATCTAGACCGGGACCCGGGTGAGTCGTGCTTAAAATTGTACTAGGACAATTAATGTACCGTCCGCAGTTGTGAGGTTTCAGCACAAACATTATGGCAAGGGTCTCGAGGCATGAAATCACGGATAGCATTTGCTGAAGCCTTCCCACAGTTTCTCTTGCGATTTTTTCCGGGTACATAGTTCCCGTAGCCCTGGGTTATCTTTGGAGAGATCCAGTGGGTGCCTTCATATACAGTGGCCTAGTCACCAGGCTTCTCGGTAGGTAATGCAAACTCAGTGGGAAAATGGCCTGATACCGCTGTAGTTTGGCACTGCACTTTCCTTGTGAACTCGTACGACCTCTGTACTTCTTTGAAAGGTTGACTGACCAGAGAATAGGCTGGCCCACTGGGATGGGCTACAACCATACTCAGATGAAGATACGTCCAGGGGTAATATTGTACGCGCTTGTCCATTGTTGCACGAGTCCTTCTTGATTTGGTTAGGTGTTGGCTATCCTGACTGGTGGGGAAGGAAATCACAACTTCGTATGTGCTCGACTACATAACCGCATTTATGAAATATCTGATCGGCCTGCAGCACGTATGCGCCCTGTCTTTAAGACATGGCATATAACGTCCTAACAATTGTCGATGCAGCATGCATTCCCTCATGACTATCGTTCTGGCCCTTCTCGACTGGATTGGGATCCTTCAAAATGGATTATCGCTGCTCTTCACTTTTTGGGACTCGTAAAGAGTGTCCGACGGGCTAGACCGGAAGACATTCACGAAGCTAGATTCTACATGCACCAGAAGACTCGCTGTGGAATCACGGACAGTGACAGCCACAATAAGTGGTCTGAGGTGGAATGGAATTGCGAACAAGCCAAGGCGTATATTACCGGGCGACCAGGCACTTGTTTACTCGTTATCGATGGTTTCTTCGTCGACGTTTCCAATTATCTTGGAGAACACGTGAGTTGGACTACGCATAACAGTCTCACAACGGTGCATTGACATCAAACAACTTTGTCAGCCAGGGGGAACAAAGTTGTTTCGAGACTACTCAAGAATAAGCATGGACGACAATGGGAAGGAGAGATGGAGAGATTCTTCGTGGGCTTTTGGAGGTGGGCTGAACAACCACGGTCGTGCGGCGAAGCGCAAGATGCGCGAGTTACGAGTTGCAAGAATTAGCGACGATAGTGTATTCTGCAGTTAGATCCTAGTGTAATGAATGGACATTTTTAGCTCTCTAGAACGAGCACAATATCTGGCAGGGTCCCGCATATCGGATCACTCCTTGGACATTGCGATTCGCGACGCCAGCCAATCACGTGACTCTAAAGTCCATTTTTGTCTTCGTTGAGCGTCCAAGACTCCATACAAGCTGAAGTTCGCCGCTATTTCCTTCGTTATCCGGTTTTTTTGGCCAGAACCAACGACCACGACTGTGTGACGATGATGAAGAGAGAGATTGGTCATTTGTCGAATTATGACGACGTGGACAGCTCTCGAACAAAGCGACAAAAGCAAGTTGGAGGACCATCTGGCCAAGCAGCTACACAAAACGCCCTAGGAAATATGGATAATGAAGACATTCAGATGGATCATGGAGAAGGTAGCAGTTCTGGTGGAGCTGGGTTGAAGGAGCAGGGAACAAAGTTGTGGCAGATGTTGAAGGACGTGGTCAATAAAGAGTGAGTAACAAACCCAACTTGAGCTCAGACACACAATCACAGCCGCCTCAAGCCATTTTCCTTTCTGATCTCGCTAACATTTATTCCGTGTATCACACAGAGGTTACATATGCTCTCCAGCGTTCATGCGCTTGCCCTCAAAGCGCCATTATCCTGATTATTATGTCTTCATTCAACAACCAATTTGCCTGGACGATATCAAGCAGAAAATAGATGATGGCTTATACAACTCTCTCGATGATATCAGACAAGATTTTGACCTCTGCTTTTCAAACGCCAAAAAGTACAATCAGAAGAACAGTCGAATCTGGCTCGACGCCAAATTTATGCTGGTGAGACTGCCATTTCTCTCGTGTTCACACTGATGTTCACCCTTGGGGCAGAAATTCGTAAATAAGGAGTATACGAAGATGACAGGAAAGAAGGTCAAGAAGAACAGCGATGGAGACGATGATGAAGATAAGCCTGCTGACGGTGGAGACGGCGAGAAGAAGAGCAAACAGCCCAACTTGACACGCCTCCTAAAGGCTAGATTGCAGAAGGTCGTCGACAAAGCTGATGAAGAGACGTGAGTCCACCTTCCTTCTCGAACACAACTTGTTTTTGATCCAAGCGACAGACATCGTGTGCTCTCTAACGTTTTCATGGAGATGCCCTCGAAGAAGGACTATCCGATGTATTACAAACAAATCAAACGTCCAATGTGCATAGAGACCATTTTTGTAAGTGATACATACTTTGATATTGGAGCATGCGTTTACGACATAACCAGAAACATCTGAAGCGCAAGGAATATCAAACCTCACTAGAATTCGCAACTGATGTCGAGGTTGTGTTCTCCAACGCTCTTGAGTTCAACCAAGACCACAGCCAGATCTGGGAGGATGCGATCATTCTTCGAGTAAGTATCGCATGTTCTGAGCAGTATTGTTATTCATATGTCAACAGGACTACTTCCGTCAACTCATGGCTGACTTGCCAGAGCCGTACGCGCTATCACAGTACGCGAAGCCTCCAGCAAAGATCAAATTGAAAGTTCCGGGGACGGCGGCAGCAGCTGCAGGACCCTCTACGACTGTCACTTCTTTGTCAACCAAACCACAAGAGAAGGAGGGCGCTGGTGGAGGATCACTAATGTTACGCCTTCCTGCAAGTGGCGGAATTGCCAAGAGTCCAGCTCAATCCTCAATGAATCAACTGCCACCTGGAGCTGGGGTGCCTGTTCGAACTCAAACGCCTGTGCAAGGCTCGAAGCCCATCGCTGCACCTGTGCCTAAACCCGCCCCCACACCTCAACCGCTTCCCGCTGCCGCTTCCCCTGCTCAAGTCACTACTCCTTTACCGACACCAACGTTGCAAGTAGTTCAACCAAAAGCCGCACCATCGCCACAGGTCCCGACACAGCCATTGCAGTACCAGCCAACAACCAATAAACCTCAGTATTATCCCAATGCCACCTATCACCAATACGCCCTCCCAGCTCCAGCTCCTCCGACACCCGCAATACCATCTTCTGCAGTACGAGCGCAGCCAGCGCCTCAGACTCGGACATCTCAATCGGTTTCAAGATCGCCTGCACCTGTATTGGCTGGACATCGACCGCTCAAGGGTGTTTTCTTGGTAACCAAGCCTCGTGGCAGACCCTTCTGGCTTGATCACCGCGATGGAGTCAAGTCCTGGGCGATACGACTTGGCCAGGGCGAGAAATCGATCTCTGTTGCAGAGATCAGGTTCTTTGGAGATGATGATGAGACTGGAGATGAGGAAGGCGATGGGAACGATGAACACCCAGACGAGGAAGAGGAGGAGGAAGAGCCCAGTCCTCGGAAGCGTGGCCGTGGCCGTCCACCCAAGAATCCGAAAGCGAAAGCCAAGGCAGTTGCACTAACGAAGAAAGCTGAACAGAAGAAAGCTCAGAACGCACATACGCCCCAGCAGGAGAGCATATTGATCACTCTCAACGGGGCTGCTATGAACGAAAAGCTTGAGGAAGGCGTGTGGAATATGGATCTTCAAGTTGGTGAGAATATCTTGGAAGTTGGTGAGAAAAGTGGATACGTATGGAAAGTGTACTTGGAGAGAGCTTCCATCATATAGCGATCGTACTTGTCGACTCCCACTTTAGATTCCAGGCCTTTTATCTACCTATATTCTATTAATCGTCCTTGTAATACAATACGCAGTCCGTTTCCAATGAGTCTCTTATTAACAGAAGTCCAATAACGATCACCGTAATGCGAGAGGAACATCATCGTCCGAGATTGTGCCAGCATCCCCAACCTCTCCAGACAGCTCATCGACATCTTCCTCGAATTCATCCTCCTCAAAATCTTCGTCGCTCTCTAGAGTGTGCTCAGGTTCATACACTTGGTATCGACCAGCCTCATTAATCTGGTCCTGCACGTATTCTTGAAACATCTGCTCCCGATTTACGGGGCGCACCTCGTACCCCTCCGAGCCCCGACGCACCCTGACAGCTCCGGAGTATCCCTCTTCTGAATAATCTGAATCACTGTCAGGAGAATACGGTCGTTCAGGATGGATACTATCTCCAGGATCCTCGTAATCTGGGTGGTACGGTGGTAAAGCAGATACAGAATCTTCCGTGGATTTATGCCGGTTGCCATTGACACCACGTAGTCGACCATTTGAAGGACGTAGATTGGGATTAACATCCCCGTTTTCGTATGTCCATGGACTGTCAGGGAGCTTGAAGGGTGGCTGGTTGGTCAAAGTGGGATCTCGAGGAGGCCAATTATGATGTTCTATATCAAACAAGTCCATCAGTGAAGCGCCATATCGAGCATGATGACGCAGCTGCAATGAGCATACTGACACGACAGAACAAGGACGTAAGAGGAAAATTGCAGCTAGCAGAATCTAGCAGTCATGGTTCCAACTCGTCCACTCTCCTTCGGCGACTCTGTGCTACAGCCTGTTCATTCCACTCACCATCGGCAACTGAAAGCTGGTATTTAAGCCCAGTTCCAGGAGGGACGGTTGGCCAACACCACAAGAGCGGATTGTTTCCGAGAATCGAGGCAATATTACGCTTAACGCCGAGATTCTGCGTTGATATCAGTACTTTGTTTGTTAACATGAATCAAATACTTGCATATGGGAACTTGACCTGTGGGTGACACAATTAATTAACCCGCCGTAACTTCCTTGGAGGAAATATGTACCTCTTCAATTTTGCCGTGTCGTCGTAGCATTGCAGCTTTGTCTTTCTCCCAGCCTTCGATAGTCGTGGTATTGCCCAACAGACTATGGAAGTGATAAATACTGCACAGCCACGGTGAGCAATCTTTGGTTCTGCACGTAGAGTAGCTGGCAGTACCTGAAGGCTCCAACTACCATGATCACGGGGACGACGAAAACATAGTTCAATATGATGAAGATAAGTTCAGCACCCGTTGGCTCGTCCTGAGTTGTTCGATGTTCAGTTACAAATTCAATACCTCGATAGATGACTCACATAGTACCGTCTCCCAGATGCGGCCACGACTCTGTATGAGACCATAGCCAGGTGATACGAGCAGGTGACATCCACATAGAAGAGAAAACGAACAAAGTGTCCATAATTAAAGTGACCGATGCAGTTATTCGTCCAAGGACAATGGTGGTCTATGACAGTCAGAATATGAAGGAATGGATTCCAGGATGCACTTACCCATTCTCAACACGCAACTAACATGCAATCAATCAGCAACCCATTATATCACTGGCAGCCTTTACTCACCGGTTGCATTGTCGACAATGATGGGACCTTGGAGGCTTGAACTTTTCGCAAGTACGACAAAAGCGAGGGCAACCTGTCAACCTTTTAACCTCGTACCCTTCGCCTGATTGCGTGTCCGGTTTCTGGGGGGCAGTGTCATCAATCAGAATGACTACGGATGAACCTTGTGCGTACCCAACCATCCGGAACCTCCCCAGGATCAGTGAATATGCATAGGAAGTAGTTCCAGAGCAGCATTACAGCAAGAATACTATTAGAGCGTAAATGTTAAATAGCTCTGGAATAGATGAAGCTTACTTGAATGGCAAGAGAAGAGTTATGAGCTCCACGGACAGCTCACGCCCATACCATGGCCATACGATGTAAATTTGGCTTGTTAAGATAGGGAAAATGATAAGAAATAGCACAAAGCCAATGGCAATGCGCCCCAAGATGGGGTGCATCTCTTGGTGTGAGGTCGAACGAGATCCAGGCGAGACAAACCGTAGGCTGCGTCCAAAGATTTAGGTCGTGGGTTCTTTGAAGTAATAATAAGAGTTCCGAGAAAGGAAATTTTTACCGTAGCACTAGGTATTTGCAGTTTACTGAGTTGGTTTACAGTGGTTTTACTCTTTCATCAATGCAGCGGTCAAGGGCTCTTGCTGGGCTCTGCAACGGTTACAAGCAGGGAACTCGGTCATACTCCACGAAGAGTCCATTCGCATCCTTTATTTCAGATGTAAAGGTTCCAGAGTCTGTAGCAACTTCGGTAGAAGAAACACGTCGGAATGCCCCAAGACTCAGTTCATTGGGAGACATAGAAATTCGTGCGCAACTTTACTCGATCCGCGATGTCTGACCTTAAACCGTGATTCTAGCTTCTATCATTCCCACATCCACCACTTCTCTGTTTGCTGCACGTGCTGCTCAGAGGCAGAAGAGGCTTCAGGCTGAAGCCGCGCCCAAAGAGACCAAAGCAAAAGTTATAGACACACCGAAGCCAAACTCACCTGCTTCAGGTTCTCTGCTATCTAGAAAGTCTCACAGACCCCCGAAGGACGAGGAGAGACCTTCTAATGATGGGCCATCGAACCCACAGACCTCTGTTCATCGTCGTCCAACACGGCCCCTTCCTACGGGAACTAGGTCAGCACCAGCAGAAATGCGCACAGACCGACGGAGGGAAGGCCCAAGAGTCGCAAAGCCAAGTCGTATTGTCAAGCCACCATCCCCCGTCAAGGATGTCGATCAAGTGGACACATCTGATTCCGCTCCGCCAGCATTGCATGTTAGCTTCAACAACACCGACTTGTCGGAGCTGTTCAGTTCACCTGCCCTCATTCCTTATATCGCTCAGTCATCAGTTGCCCAATCACGCATTGACTCTCGGGTGCAACTCTTGAAAGAACGCGCCGGCGATTACTCGCGATATCTTTCAGGCAAAGTTGAACCTACAACACAGACGCAAGGGTCAGTGGATTATGCGAAGTTGATTTTGGCTCGGAGGAGAGAAGTTGGTCTGAAGCCGAGGCGCGCCGCCGTGGAGCTCATGCAGCAAGCAGGACTCAATTCCACGTCAGGTACGTAAGACTTTACTATGCTCAAGGCAAAAATTTAACCAGAACTTGGCAGTTTCTGCAACTTCGTTATAACTTTGATCAGCCATTCGTTCATAATGAAATTTTGTTCCATCGAATAGAGAAAAAAAATGACCACTACTAGATACATGCCTGGGGACAAAAATAGCCATAAGTTACACCAGAACCTAGTCGAAGTATATATAACAAATCAGAGTGCATGAGGGTATGATTAAAGGGTGCTAAGAATCAAACAACGGCAAGCATAGCACCATTCGTCTCAGGCTGCTCCTCTGCAATGATAGCAGGTTCTGGTGTGTGACCCGCAGAATCTGTATACTCGGGTTGGAAAGGGACTATCCATTCAGGAAGCTCGAAGTCCCTCAGTTCTTCAATATCCTGTGGTACTTTTGCGCCAAACGCAGTTACATGTCTGTGCGTTTTACGAGCCGATGGCGCAGAGGAAGCGCGGATAGCAGCCTGCATGAGAACGCATGGTTCTGGTTTTAGCGCTGGCGCTGGGTGCGAAGGTCGTGGTGCATGATGTTCTGGAGTAGAGTTTGGAGAATATGCTTCATCAAGGTGTGACGGTCTTGCGCGTTTGCGCGGTCGTTCGGATTCAACAGACTCTGTATCAGAAGAGGCTCTGGATATTGGTTTCGCTGGGGACGCTCTGGATACTGATTTGGATTTTGGCGGTGATGAAGATAACAGATGAATTGTGGGCTTGGGTGCTGGGGTGTTGGATACTGATGGGGAAAAGCTTGACTGTTTTGGTACCTTGATTTTCAACACGAGTGATGTGCTGGCTTTTGGAGGTAAAGTGGCCGCGGGAGCTCGACCATTAACGATTGACTCGTCTTGCGGTTGGATGTCGGGGGGAGGAGGAGGAGGAGGGATATTGACACTGCTCTGCCTGCTCGCTTTCTTCTGATCGAAATAGCTCTTCTTGTCCGACGGTAACAGGGTGCGGTACCGATCCTCCAAGATAGAGGCTACCTCAAGCATCTCCTGCCGTCGCCTCTCCCCCTCGCTGCAAATGGCTGCGCCGTCGACGTAAATTCCCGGAAGGCTCACGTCTTGGCTATCTTCGACCTGAACTACCTCAGGCGGTAGGGGGAAAGATGATGCAGGCAAACCGAGGAACGCGTTTCCATCCATTGCCTTCAGCTGTTCTATCCTCTCCTTGAGCTTGTACTGCTCATGCTTCAGCTTCTCCTTTTCACGGAGACGCTGACGCTTTTCAAACGTCTCGTACTTCCGATGGCGCTTTTCATACACGGCATCAGAGGTGTCTGCCGACTCAGGGAGCTAGGTAGGGATAATTTCTGGTATGAGCTCAAGCTAAAGTGTAAGACTCGCGGTGTAACGCACCTCCGCAGAAATTCTCGGCCTGAATCTACCCCCAACGCTAGCATCCTCTGACAACGTAGTGAATTCTGGAGTTTGTATGATTTGCTGTTCTCGATAAGCTTGCATAACATCTGGTCTGTCGAAATAGCGTTGATTTGCATGACTATTGAGTCCGAAGTCAGTCGAGGATGAGGGTTGGGTTACTAGGGCAGAATTTGTAGTCAATAAGAACTGCGTATTTGCCGGAATGAGCGGTTCATTTTCAACTGCGGTAAGGATATCAGTATATGAACTAGGTAGAGCAAAAAAGTGCAACGAACATCTTCGTCTCTGCGCGTCCAATATCATGAGGTCAACATCACAGCTTCCTATTCCAGGACCACCGCGACGTGAACGGGAGGGTAGTACACGTTTCTGTCGAGACTTTAGGCTTGAAAATTCGGATGAATCCGCCATAGGAAGGAAGAAATCGTCCTAGCTCCTAGCAATCGCCAGTTCGAGAGTAGCCTATACGGAAGGAGTGCACTAGTTCCAGTTATCAGACTTCTGCCTGTACCAAATGATGTAGGTCTCCGACTCTTACGGTTAACGAGAAAGGTTCGTGAGGCGATTGAGAAGAAACGGACAAGAACCGAGAACTTGAGAAACAAAACTTTCTTTCGTTGACCGCCGTAAAAGCTTCAAGCTGTCACCAATTAATTACAGTCCACACTTGTTCCACACTTTATGCATATGTTTTTATGCGCTACAAGCTGCAGGCCTGGCTAGACTAGTACTACGCGCTCGTTGAAGATTCAGAATTCTCTCGGAACTTCCAGCCATCCTCCGTTAATGCTGCAACGGCGGCGTCGGCCTTCTCTTTAGGAACCAAAACATAATCGGTATTCCTATGAGGGGATAAGCTTTCACGCTGGTAGATCGAATCTGCTACGAGCGCTAACCATGTCGAAACTGCGAACACCGGGACATTAGCATCTCTCAGCGGCGTCGTGAAATTACAGATTACACCAGTCAACCCTGTTAGCAATCAAAGATTAGATCGCCTTCCTTCCACCAGTAAATGTAGAGAAGACACCAAATTCCATGGGGCCTGCTATCTTGATGCATTTCCATTCACCATCGTCGCCAACAGCTTCACCAACAATGGAAATCTCTTCTCGGGTTCTGGTGATAGAGAAGATGCCTGGAGTTTCATGAGCGGCATTAAGCCCGCTTGCGACTGCAGCTGGAACGCCTGCATCTACTGGGAACTGCTTAACGAAGAAAGTCTGAGCCAGTAGCTGAAGTTCCAGACTGGGGTGATTGAGGGGTGGAGGCATGTTATCACTAGATAGTCTATCACTGACAGAATGGAAGTTCGAACGATCAAGAAGCCATGTACAATTATAGATTTTGCCTGGTACATCGGAGCTCGAGCCAGCCTGCGTCTCTATAGCTAGTGAACTCGTCGTTTATCCATATCATCCTTCTTTGGGAAGATACCTGATACCACTTGAAGGGCAAGTGGAATGCTTGGGGGTGTCTGGAAGCATGTTAACGGATGGACGGTCTGCCACTGATACATGCAACTTACTTATTGGGACAAAATCGCCATCAATGACAGAGCCCTTGAGATTGAAGTACCAGCTGATTGAGCTGAGTGTGTGCGATCGAGTGCAGCTTAAAGCTGGAGTGTACTGAAAAAGAAACGTTACGAGGAAGTATTTTTAGAGCAAACTATGCAACCTACTCCTCCAGAGGCATTTTCGAGAGCCGACAACAAAGACGAAAGCGTGTGAGTCTGCCTCGATGACGGAGTGATGCCTGCCTCAGCAAGCCAGTCATACGTGGGGAGTGTCTTGAAGACCTTCACAACAGTCTCAAAGAATGCCACGGCCTTGCATAATAATAGCGCTCAGGGAAAATGCCCCATTTCATAGACATGCGTCCACTTACCTCGGCACCCGTAGGGCTGTTGCTGGGAAGACAATTAACATCCAGTGTGCTAAAAAAGGTTAAAATGAATATGCATCAGAATCTTGGAGCCTGTACCTATAGCATGTGCCGTGTGTAGCCCACTCGTGCTACAGCGCTTGACAATGAGCGTTCGAATGAAACGGAAACTCTGAGTCTCACGTACCTCCCAGAATCTCTCATTAGTCCCGTGATTGTTGAGCCAATACTGTTGCATGTATTCCAATGTATCCGATGCACCCTGGGAGTCGAGCAGCTGTGGAAGATCAGCTGGGGTGTCTTAATACCGAAAAGACCAGCTGACCTCGGCGATATTCTTGTAATCACGAGAAGGATCACAGTTCTCAATGTAAGTGCCGTCGCAGCTAGGATGTATTAGACTTCCGTGTCCTGTTAGTCCAGCTACAGTGACTTACTTATCAGGCCACAGACCTGAAATTCTCATGTCAGAACAAAGTCAAAACGCCATCGATTACACACCATGAATGGTCCAACTGTCCGTGGGACTACCAGCAACTTCTGTGTCCCAAACCTGAAAGATGTTATTCTCAGCTCTACATGCATAAACCAGGCAGACTGAACCTGCGTCTGCATGATCAAGCCCTGGAACTAGTTAGGGCAAATTGTCACCGGCTGAGATTAGAACAGAGACGCACTCCAGGACTCTCAAAACAGCAGGTGTCAGCAGCGGGGGGTGCATTCGTATTTTGACACGATGCGGGACCGGAAGTCCCGCAGCCTGAGCCGCCAGGGCTCTGGAAGAAGTCCATCGGGTTAACGAAGGACGACCCGAGGAGGGATGCCAGAACAAATGATGAGACGGACATTGCAGGGAGAGAGAGGACTACAGCTACCTGTTGAAGGCTCCCGAGCCAGGTCTGTATATTTATATGTCGCGATGGGAAGCTCCGGGAGCAGCGTTGACCGGTGCCAGGCCTGTCACATCATGCTCACAAGGCGAGGCACCCCAAGGTAGGACCTAGCTAGAATATCAATTTATCGCGCACGTTTTGAGAAACCTTAACGTTGCACTGCGAGCTAGAAGGAGGCACGGATGAAGTACGCACATGGCTTAGGCCAAGGATGGGAAAGTTCGCAGATGCTGACTTCCGTTATTCGCTAGTGGCGCGATCATGTTTTACACAAGGACAACTCTGGGCAGGGCTGAGGGCGCGCACCAGTGCCAGCGGTTAGTGCCTGCTGCAATGGTACCCCTCAGTTGTGACATAATTACAGTACACCGAGAGACTCGACCGCAACAGGTATAGATTTCGGTGAGAACACCGTCACGTGTATGCAGTTGAAGGAACCTGTCGAACAGGAATAGATGAACCTGAACCTACTAGATCGGGGTGTACGTATCGCTCTCGGCGTGTTCAGACTCCTGCCCGTGCACCAACCACTGATTCGTCCAGGTTTGAGAGGGTTGTTGTGCCTGATAAGAGTTATGCTGAGCCTCTTGGCTCCCGAACCATGCAGGAGGTATGCCCGTGGGGGTCACACCGAACCCAAATGCAGACGCAAACCGAGGATTGATGTGCGGTTGCACTGATTGCTGTTGTTGTCCAAATGAGTGACCTTGAAACCCGCCTGGCTGATAACCCCATGATGGTGAAGGTGAGAAAGGTTGCGAAGGAGAATACCCAGGGATCCCGACCGGTTGAATTGTTGCGCGCCCTATCTCGTCAGATGTCGGTGATAGATGTGTCAAAGTGCTTGAATTGTACGGGTCCGCTGGAGGAGCTGTAGGGCTTTGTTGAGACCGTCTAGACTCTCCCCACGAAGGCCGTCCACGATCTGACCGCCCGCGCCCGCGCCCACGACCCCTTCCACGATCGCGAGCCCCTCCACCCCTATCATAACTACTTCCACGCCCTCGGCCCCGTCCTCTGCTCTCTCCAAAGCTTCTCTCGGGTTCTCTACCAGACGGGCGGGCCTCAGGGGATGGGCCGTTCAAGTCTTCTTCATATTTCGCAATGTCCACTTTGACCTCATCGGCATACGGGTCGTCGTATGGGATAGGCGCTGGACGTGACGGCCCGGCGACCCGGTACCCGTCGTCATATGGGCCATGGGCGTCGTATGGGTTCGTCCCGTAGAAAATTTTATCAATATCATCGTTGTTGTAGTGGGACTGCGGCGGCGCAGGTGTTGTCTGTCGAGATGATGATACAGACATGCCACGTCTGCCGAGAATGAATGAGAATGAGAATATTTCTGAGTGAAAACACATACTTCTTCTTGCGCGCCTGCTTGAATGCAGCTTCTTGTTCGTCATCCGAGAACTCCATTTCATCTTCAGCGGGCTCCTCATCATGAATGTTACTTGCGTCGCTCCCCCGAAGCTTTTTAAGATATTCCATGAAGACGAAATTACTTCGTTGCGGTATATGGTATACTTCGCGAGCGACACGAATCTTCTCAGTATCCAGCGGATAGCTCTGATTGAATTTTATTTGATACAAGGGCTGGGAAGTGGGCCCAAACGTCTCATATACCTGCATGAGGTCAGCAGAGTTGTCCTGTCCTGAGGATAGCAAATACGCACATGTCCGAGAACGTTTCGATCGTCAAAGACAAGTAGTGTCTCGACATCTAGTGCCTTTTCAGACGCAGCTCTGGAGGAGTCAGCAGGAAGGCCCTTCACAATTACTACATTCCCAATGATGTTCATCACCTCGCCAACCTTTTCCAACACTTCTTCGGGTCCAACTTCTGATACAGAAGGGACAATAATGTCTGTCTCGACAATCTCATTTTTGGTTTGTACATATGATGCAACAGCTGTAGCGCCCGACTCCTCGTCATCGTCCACATCAATCTGTGGTTTTCGAGGGTTCAGCGCGTTTTTATCTCCTGCTTTATCGGCAGTTTTATCCTCGTCTGACTCGGAATCCGAGTCCGAGTCCGAGGATGAATCTGAATCAGAGCTTGAGTCTGACTCTGGTGATCCTGGCCTAGCGATGGTCTCAAGATATCAGTTGACACATAGTGTTAAGAGACTCACAGAACAGGTGTAAGTTTGGAAGATTCCTCATCTGGAACCATTAAATCGGCTTCAACCTCGTCCTCACTGCCAATCTCGCTGGACGAGCTTGCGATGGAATCATCGCTCGAGTCTGTGGGTTTGTGGACATCCTTCCAGACATCTGTTTTTGGTGGGGGGATGACTCCAACAATGTCTTGAATAAGGAGTATATCCTGGGGGATCGTCTCGGGGATTTTGAACTGAAAATTCATGACGGACGAAAGGAAAGCGGATAGCAAGGCGGTATGTCCCAAAACAAGAAATTTTGGCATCACGTGAGCGTTCCTAGTCGCGCCTCGCTCAAAAAATTGCAAAGAACCTTTCTCGTCCCGAAATCGGTAGGATCCTTTACGATGATGGCCCAATTTCTTCGCTCATCGAAACGGTCTCATGCGTCGACATTCTTGCGCTTTGGCCAGTTGTGTTATTCCACAGCTCCATCCAAACCCTCCCTGCAGCACGTCGCGCAGCTGCGCAAACTGACGGAGGTCTCAATCTCAAAAGCACGAGAGGCCCTCAGTCAAACTAACAACGACATACAACAAGCCCTCGAATGGCTGAAAAATGATCTCGTAGCGTCTGGCATAAAAAAGGCCGCGAACGTCCAAGGTCGGGAAACTCGGGAAGGGCTTGTTAGTGTCTGCGTACTCTCTGGAGGCAGCAGGGGGAAAACAGCCTTGGGGGGCGGCGGTATACGGGCAGCCATGGTTGAATTGAACTGCGAAACAGATTTTGTTGGAAGAAATACACTATTCGGCCAACTGGCAGCGGACATAGCTCATACCGCTGCATTTATCACGGAACCAACTGACTCTTCAGCCATCATCAGATCATGTTCGCTGGACATTCTCAACGATGCCCCCCTATTGTCTCAAAACAACCCCACGTCTCATCCGTCATCCACGGTATCGAGCTCTATTAGAGACCTCATTGCCAAAGTGGGCGAAAAGGTTTCCCTGAAGAGAGCTGTGACGGTCGTGCAAAACCCATTTTCGGGACAGTCTACCAATCTTGGTCTCCGTCTCGCATCCTATCTGCACGGATCTGTGGGCTCCGCTCCTCAAGGTCGCATCGGGTCTTTGGCTGTGCTCGCTCTGAAATCTCCGGAGCTTGCACACCGCCTTGAGAGCGAGACCTTCGTCAAAGATCTAGAGCGACTTGAGCGTGCACTTGCACGGCAAATCGCTGGCTTCAACACTCGTTTGATCAAGTCATCGGATGGTGATGAGACGGCGCTGTACAACCAACCGTTCATGATGCTTGGAGGGGAGAATGAGCCGGTACGGATGGTTCTAGAGAAGTGGAGCAAACGACAAGGTCTTGTCAGGGATGGCGAAGAAGGAGGAATTGAAGTCCTGGAGTTCGCCAAATGGAGTGTAGGCGATGTCGTTGAATAGATTGATTGATCGTACTACATACGATACCACCGCCTGTTGGCTCTGATTTTGTGTGTATACTTGGTTGATTATGTTTCGCGTCCTCCCACAGGACTCCATAGCTCAGTGGTAGAGCATACGATTGCAGATCGTGCGGTCCCGTGTTCGAACCACGGTGGGGTCTGCTTTTTGTTGGTCATTTTACGTAATAATGCTCCCATTAATTATTCAGTGTTCGGCGTTTCGCAGCTCTTGGCTTTACTCACCATGCGCAGGGCAACAACGTCGCTCGTCCGTCGCAGCCAGCGACAACTTTCGCAAGCAGTGCACCCTCCATTGCAGATCACTACTCTGCCCAACAAAATCAGAGTTGCTACTGAGTCGACTCCCGGTCATTTTTCGTCCGTTGGCCTCTATGTAGATGCAGGTTCCAGGTATGAAGACTCATCGACCTCGGGTGTTAGCCATTTTCTGGACAGGATGGCCTTCAAGGTGCGTAGCTTCAGGCAATATTTATGCCAATGTTAACAGCTCTCTGTTGCTTAGACCACCAGCTCTCGCTCCACAGAAGATATGGCAACCGCGATGGACAGGCTAGGTGGTCAAATTATGTGCTCTTCGTCACGCGAATCCATCATGTACCAATCGTCCAACTTCGACCAAGCTACGCCTCTTGCGCTTTCGCTCATCTCAGACACCATCCTGAATTCCTCATTTCTACCCGATGAACTTGACGCCCAGAGAGATGCCGCTCGTTATGAGATCCGCGAAATTAGTCAGAAGCCCGAGATGATTCTGCCAGAGGTCTTGCATGAGGTTGCATATGGCAGGCAAACACTTGGGAATCCCCTCTTATGCCCAGAAGAGCGAATCGACGCAATTACTGGAGACCTACTTCGGGATTGTATAACAAACTGGTATCGCCCGGAGAGGATGGTGATTGCGGGTGCTGGGATGCAACACGAACGGCTAGTCGAATTGGCTGATAAATATTTCTCGTCCCTCAAATCTGCGCCAACACCATCGGTCTCGTCACTTCAACCGTCAGCTACTCAAAATCTACCACCCCACTTACTTCCTTCGTCCTCACCCTCGCTCTACAAGTCATTGACTCGCGCTGCATCAACATATCTGTACCCTACGTCCCCTTCCACCGAGCCACCGCCTCCTCCACTGAACCCCCACTCCAGCTACGTGGGTGGCATCCATCACATCCCGAGTACAACAGAATTCGATCAACTCTACCTAGCCTTTGAGGGTGTAGGCATTCATGACGCGGATATCTACGCCCTCGCCACTATGCAAGTCCTCCTTGGAGGTGGTGGAAGTTTCTCAGCCGGTGAGTAATATACGACTTTGCTATATCGCTCGCCTTATTTAACTTCTTGCAGGCGGTCCTGGAAAGGGCATGTACTCCCGGCTATACACACACATATTGAATCACTACACCCAGATCGACCATTGTGCTTCCTTCCATCACATTTACACGGACTCCTCACTCTTCGGCGTTTTTGCTTCATTTGTCCCCAATGCTCCCGGCCAGAGAGGCAACACTCCTGCACAAATGCTGCCCCACCTAGCCAATCAGCTCAGCCTACTTATATACCAATCTGTTCCCAAAGTTGAGCTTGAACGTGCCAAGAATCAGCTCAAATCGAGCCTGATGATGGCTCTGGAGAGTCGAGCGGTAGAGGTGGAGGATCTTGGCCGACAGGTACGACAATCTTTTAGGATAAATATGCCCGCACACTCACGTTCTAACTTAGTTGCTTGTCCACGGTCGGAAGATTCCCGTGACCGATATGACTGAAGCTATAGACAAGGTGACTCCTGAATGTGTGCGCCGCGTCGCTACTAGACTATTTGCACCTTCATCCGGAAACAAGGCCACTATTTTGACGATGGGGCGCGGGGATGTAGGAGACTGGAAAGCGACACTTAAAAAATACGGTGTCGCAGGAGCATGAAAGTTTGAACGCTTAGATCACTGTATATTTTGGTACTTAATGTTGATCAACGAACAGATCGCTTTCATCATACACACAACTCGGCCACTATTCTCAGAGTGCACGATCTTCAAAAAATATACACACGACGGTTGAGCAACATGCAGGATGATAGCAAATACAAAATGTAAAAAGAGCGATTGAGAATTCTACTAATATGCGTCTACCCGCAAATAGTGGGGTATTGGAGGTCAGTAGGAGACCAGGGTATCCAGCCGTTCTGCAATCCAGCCAAGTACGACCATTCGTCTGCACTCTCTGTCTTCCAAGTCCACATCAACCACCCGTTCGACTTCTCGTAGGAGATAACCTGCGCTTCCCAGAACTGACGAAGGAAAGTCTTATAGCTCGAGCTGAAAGTAGACGCACTTCCGGAAAGCCCTGTGCAACTTCCGACGTAAGTGGAACCGGGATAAGAACCATCGTAACGGGCCCCGGCGCCCCTGCCGTTGAGGTAGGTGGCGCAGTCGGTAATGGCGGGTGACCATTCACCGACCATAAGCCAAAGGTCGAAACCGGAAAGAGTAGATTGAGTAGCGCATGCAGTATTGATATGGCTCTGCCAAGACATTTGCACATCCTGCGAAAACATAGGGGGCATATCATTAGACTTGAAGGAGGGCCTCAATCTTGGAGACATACCGCGTTGGAAAACACCTGGTATATGTGTGTATCCATCGCCACGCCCTGGTAGTTGGGTGTGGTCTGAAATCCACTCCAATAACTCAGAGGCTGGAAAGCATCATGAAGTAGAACGACAGTATCGCTCTGCGTCGATGTGCCGTATGGATACCTGCGTGGTGCATTAGCACCCTTCTATAAGTAGATCATAGGCTATTCTTTCTACCTGATGTTTCCGTAAGAATCGTAGTAATATTGTCTCAAAGGTGTTAAAACAGATGATCCGTAATACCCAGCTGGCCTGAAAAAAGTTTGTCAATTCATTCCGGAACACTCTCTTAGGTACACTCACTCGTTGATGGGCGCAATGATAGGAACGACATTGGGCTGACCAGCAAACATCGAAGCAATCTGCTTGATGATTGCATCTGTCCGGGCAATATTCGTCTGATTTGACTGCCATGTAGGAGCTGACATTCTGTGTCCAGAATTGTCGTACCTATAAATTTGCGCAAGCTGTAAGGACTCAGGAGACATGGGAACACGATTGGTTACCAACCCGTTTTGGCTTCCGGGGACGCCATGAAGATCGACGATCAACTTGAGTCCGTATTGGCTGGCCCATTGTGCAGCGTTCTGAAGGTAAGGCAACTGGCCTTGTATGTATGGCTCACCAGGGCCAACATCAAAGGCCCAGTACCCGATAGGTAGCCTTACATGGTTCAATCTGCAGCACGCCGACGCGAGTCAACCATGATGTGTATGTTTGCAGGGCTAAGCACGTACCCGGCAGCTGCGATATTTGCAAAATCATTCTGCGTGATCCAGGTGTTCCAGTGGTTCTGTAGTACGCTTGTTGCGGTAGCGCGATCATAGTATTGTCCTAATGTCCATTCATCGACGATATTCGGATTTCCTGTGTTGTCGAATATGCTAGGCGTGATCCATGGCTACATCCAAGTATAATGATGAGTTAAGACCATCGACCATCGTCTGCCGTTATTGCACGTACTTCGAGTACGAGCCAACCTCCAAGATTGACGCCTCGCACCTTCTGAGAACCATAGGGGAAGCCAGGAGAAAATTGAGACGATACGGAGTGGAATAGAGACAGCCCAACGAGGGACAAAAACGCATAGTAGTAGTGCATCGGAACTCAGTGGATCTCAATCCATCGAACCAGGTCCAGCCGCATTTTATCAGCGTTTCATGGCTGTTCCATTGACCTCGGGCATTATTCAATAGAGCTGCCAGGACGCAGAAAAGGCTGCCGATCTGCAAAAAGTGCTCCCACCCCCTCCGCACGTGTTCAGCACCATGTAGGCACTGTTTCGCTCACAGGCTGAGGCTCCAGCTGCCGTTAAGGTGATATAAATTTGGATCCCCAGGTCAGAGCACGGGGTGCAGAACACATACCTAAACCTATCAGAAGCACATTATATGATCGAATGGAGAATGCGTCCGTATGATGGCATGAGGTTGGGCTTCACGTGAGGATGGACGAGCTGGATCGTCCCAGGATAAGAATATTGCAGAAAGGTTACTGCCCACCTGGGCAACTCAATAGGGACATGCATAGTATATCATATCATATGGGTTCCGCTTGCCAATTTGTCGCACACTGGAATCTGGCAGACATGCATCCTGAGCTTTGCTTGAGCTTGTAACATAGCAAAATAGTTCAGTCAACTCCAAAGATGAGTACTGAGTCAAGATAGCCGTCGATATGCCGACGCCGCGGAGGCTTCTTCACCAGCCGTGGTCTGTGCGTGTGATCGTTTAAGAACGGAGTATAAATAGAGTCCCTCTCGGCGCGATTCAGGTCTACTACGGAGTGGACAAAGATCTAGAATGGAATGATCACTTACCGGATGGAAGTTTGGAGTGCGGAGTTGTGCTCCAAAATGCTTGTTGAAGTTTATGAATTCACTTGTGGGTCCATTGGCGAGACTATTACATCACGGTAGCCTCGACACCAGAACACCGTTCCTAAGGAAGCGCTTGGGGCGGAGTCTTCGAGAGTCTTCCTGGATGGTCAATGCACTGGCATTTGGAGAAAGATCGATTAAACGGGATGATATAGTAGTAAGTACGGGTATAACCTGGTATATGTAGCTATAGGTTGCTATCAAGTTGCCACAATGAGTCCCAAATGAATGCGCTGTAATAGTTCGTCGATGGTTCCACTCGAGGCTGCCATTTTTTCAGTCGCAGATATCCGGGTACTCCAAGTCAGTTGGGTCCTGTGGTATCCATCCATACTTCAACCCAGCCTGGTAACTCCAGTCATCCGCATCCTCAGCCTTCCAGGTCCATTGAATCCACCCACTACCTTTCTCATAGGAGATGACCTGAGCTTCCCAGTACTGGCGCATGAAGGTCTTGTAATCCGAGCTGAAGGATGTAGCATTGCCCGTTTTGCCCGTACAGCTGCCGACCCGGGTTGAGTCTGACATGCTTCCATCATAGCGTGCTCCAACGCCGCGGCCATTCAACCATTTCGCGCAGTCTGTCGATGCAGGGGTCCATTCACCAACAATTATCCACAAGTCAAAGTCGGCGAGGTCGGACCCATGACTGCATGCCTCCTTGATGTGCTGGGAATAATTGTAGGCAACTTGCTGCTCACATTGTTAATATGTTGCTTCATGGAGGAAAGGGTACATACCTCGTCTGAAAACATCTGGTAGATGTGAGTGTCCATTGCGACGCCGTCGTATCCATCGACCATAAAGCCATCCCAATAACTGAGAGATTGGAACGCATCATGAATGAGCTCAACAGTGTTACTTTGTGTCGATGAACCGTAAGGATATCTATAAATTCCGGTTGTTATTGGCTAAAATTGAGACGAGGGGCCAAGTCCTTGCCTGATGTTCCCATACGAGTCATACCAATACTGTTTCACGACTGTGAGCACATCATCACCGTCGAATCCTGCAGGTCTATGAAGCATTAATTCAGCTAAGATTGAATCAGGATAGAAGTGAACTTACTCATTCAATGGTGCAATGATAGGCACTGTTTCGTACTCTGAGTCGACCATAGAAATAATTGTCTTGATAATCGCATTTGTCCTATCGACGTTGGTCTGGTTAGAATGCCATGTCGGATACGACATTCTTTGACCAGAATTATCAAAACTGCAAGAAGAAATATTAGCCCGGCACATGATGTCGAGAAGGCGTTAGTGTTGCATTCACCCGTTCTGACTGCCAGGGGCACCATGAAGGTCGACGATGAGCTTGAGGTTGTGGTTCGACGCCCAGGTAATGGCCTTCTTCAAATAGTCTAGTTGGCCAGTTATGTACGGTTCTCCTGAACCGACAGCAAATGCCCAGTAACCGACAGGGAGACGAACATGGTTCAAGCTGTAGAATATTTCAGAGGGAATCCAATGAGCATTGATTAGACTATACCCTGCTGCTGCAATGGCTTCAAAGTCATCTTCAGTGATCCAAGAGTTCCAATGGTCTTGTAAAACCGCCTTCGCGGTGTCGTAGTCCTGGTACTCGCCAAAGGTCCACTCATCGACGATATCATCGTTGCCAGTATTCTCGAATATACTTGGGGTGATCCAAGGCTAGATACAAATGAAAAAAGGGAATCATAAGCCTGTTGGGTCCCTTACCTCTAGGACAAGCCAGCCGCCAAGATTAACACCCCGCACTTTTTCGGAACCATAACTGAAGCCCGGCGTGAAGGATAGTACGGAGGGAACTGCGGAAATCCCAAGCACAACGATACTAAGTAGGCGATTCATTAAGGGCATGTCGGCCTCGCAGCTATCGGGGTGGTGAAGAGAACAAAGCGGGGTGCTACATGAGGCCTGTCTTTTATATGAGGAATCACTAGCAGTAGCACTAGTGGTTCAAATTACCGTCTTCGCTTGTGATCCGAGTAAAATCGGTTGCCCTCCAGGAAGATCAACAGAAATAGATCAGCCTTGGAAATATATTTGTTCACGCTGGCGTGTTCGGTCATCATGATTTATGTCGACATGCGTTCCAACAACTCGTCTGTCGACGCACGCTGGTCGACGCATCGATTCAAGTCTGAAGTGAGCAATGTTATATATATATATATATTCTCTGATCGCGAGAAGGCACTCACATTGAAAATTTTACATACTGGAGCCGCAGTGACCTGTTTCAGAGATGACTTCGGTCTAGGGCTCCCTTCTCGATGCCATCGTTGACGTGATATTGCCACCGCATGATCAATGAAAAGGTCATCGATTATGATGTGGTACCGCAATCATGATCAGTTTTGGGCCGCCACTGCGGCATTGAACTGAACCGTTGAAGCGGCCGAAGAATGGAAGTCGCATTCACACAATCATCTTCAACGTCGTCAACTTCGTTTAGCTAATTGTGCCCTGGACTTACAATAGACGTAAGTAAACATAGATCAAGATGGGCGCACGCGCGCCTATACTGAATCCTATACTAATAGCACACGCGTCATAAGTACGTCGGATACGGAAGAATAAAAATCGCCTACTATGCGAGAGGAACGTAGCGGGCGCTGATAAACACCATTTGACATAGGGGAAGGCACAAGAAGGGCTATGTTGCAAAGGCTGTGGACAGTTTCACGGTTCGCAAGAACAAACGGCTAGTACCGGAATTGCTACTCATCCGTAATAAATAGCAAGTCTTCCAGTCCAGGCTGGAACTTCAGCTCATTCTAGCCCCACGTCCTTCTATCCGTTCATCTTCTGATTCATCATCTCAAAAAGTTCCATACGTTACTTAGGTCAGAATGGCCGTTGATAATATCCGCGATAGATACCAGGCTGCCGGTCACGACCATCTCTTCACTTTCTGGTCAACCCTTCCAGAATCAGATCGCAAATCCCTCTCCCGCCAACTCGAAAACCTTGACGTCGATCGCGTGAACAGGATCTACAAGAAAGCTATCGCCTCTGAGAAGGAAGCTGCTGACCCCGAGCCTATCGAACCCCTTCCCGTTGGGGCGTGTGAGTCTGTCGTCAATGATCCTGCGAGCGAGAAGAGATGGCGTAGCGAGGGCCTCCAGGCCATCGCCCGTGGGGAGGTGGGCGTTCTCCTCATGGCAGGCGGCCAAGGAACCCGTCTGGGCAGTTCAGCGCCCAAGGGTTGTTATGACATCGGCTTGCCTTCACACAAAAGCCTCTTCCAGTACCAGGCTGAGCGTATCGCTCGCCTTCAAGTTGTTGCCGAGAAAGAATGCAACAAACCTGCAGGTTCAGTCGTCATTCCGTGGTACGTCATGACCAGCGGTCCGACGCGTCGTGAGACCGAGGCATACTTCACGAAGAACGATTTCTTCGGACTGAGTTCAAAGAACGTCGTTTTCTTCGAACAAGGTAACAATCTTTGTTCCTGGTGTGTTATTTATGTTGACCAGTATCTTCAGGCACCCTCCCTTGCTTGACTGCAGAAGGCAAGATCATGCTTGAGAGCACATCACGTGTTGCAGTTGCCCCTGACGGCAACGGTGGGCTCTATGCCGCTACACGCGCACCTCTATCCGAGTCTAACAGTTCAACGGTTCTTTCTGACTTGACTGATCGCGGGGTCCTCTACGTTCATGCATACTGCGTAGACAATTGCCTTGTCAAAGTCGCCGACCCCGTTTTCCTCGGCTACTGCATATCCAAGCAGGCTGACTGTGCTGCCAAAGTAGTCCCCAAGGCCTCTCCCTCAGAGTCAGTTGGTGTTGTCGCCCGTAGGGGAGACAAGTTCAGTGTTGTCGAGTACTCGGAGATCTCCCAGGAACAAGCCGAACTTCGTAACTCCAAGACTGGAGACCTAGCTTTCAATGCCGCCAACATCGCCAACCACTTTTACACGACTAGCTATCTCAAATCTGTCGAATCGTTCGAAGATGACCTTGCATTCCACATTGCTCGCAAGAAGATTCCCACAGTTGATCTGAAGACTGGAGAAGCAGTCAAGCCGAGCAAACCTAATGGCATGAAGCTCGAGCTGTTTGTGTTTGACGTCTTCCCCTTCACGAAGCGCTTTGCGGTGTTGGAAGTTGCACGTAATGAGGAGTTCAGTCCGCTCAAAAACGCGCCTGGAACTGGCGCAGACGACCCAGAGACTAGCCGTCGCGACCTGCTTGCGCAGCACAAGCGGTTCCTGGAGAAGGCTGGTGCCCATGTTAAGGATGATGTAGAGATTGAGCTCTCGCCATGTGTCAGCTATGCTGGCGAGGGCCTGGAGTTTGTGAAGGGCAAGACCTTCACCAAGTCCGGTTACGTTGAAAACCCCGAGGAGCTCGATGCCCTTCTCTAGTTGGTATAGTATATCTTCGTGGACCTCTGATCAAGTTTGGATGGGATGCCTGTGGACTTTGTTTGTACGACTATTCTTTCGCATTGATACATGGACATCCTCTGTCGGTTTTTCAATCAATACGCCTTACGTGTACACCCGGGGATCATTCGATACCAGTAGTGATTCGCTTCTCCTAGAAAACCAGCTGAACAACAATAAATATACTGACGTTCAACCTCCTACAGGGCCCGCATCTGCCAATTTGGCTCCCCGCTTTTCCAGCTCATCTCGAAGAGAAGCGAATAAGCGTTGCGTCCGCTCGGCATTTGGCTGTATCAGTACGTCAAATCGAAGACGCACTGCTGCATGATATAGATTCACACACCTCCTTGCAGCAGGTAATGAGCTTATCGATCAACATTGTTTGTCCGTTCTGCGCATCTTCCAACTCCTTTCGGAGATTCTGATTCTGGGTTGATGTTACGAAAAGCTGAGGGGATGTGTTGTAGATATGAATGGAATTTCAATTACCTCTTCGTCCACTCTGTCAGCGCGGGATTTCTCCCCCTCAGCCAGTTGCTTCTGCTCGGCTGCTCGAGCGCGAGATAGGAGAACCTCTAGCTCTTTTGAACGGATGACACATTCAAAATGTCGTTCGCGAAGCTCGTACTGTCGGAGAACTTCCTTCAGTCGTTCTCGTACGCTATAGTCATAGCTCAGTATACAGGCATTCTCAACAATAGGGTACGTACACGCCATCGAAGATATCTTCCAATGACCGCCGAGCGCTAATTACAAGGGTCAGCTGAGCGAATCAAGAGAACAAGGGAACCCACTCTTGTGGATCATCTGTCCAGTTCTTCCTGAGACGCTGACGACGAGACTCTGGAAGCTCATCCTGTATGGTACATCTCTCGCACTCAGCTTCTAAAACGATTCATATCATCACTCACCCAGTCATCCAGCCCGGGTCCTTCGGTAAGGTCCATGAGCTCTACCGCAAGAATCTCATCCCCGTCTTCTACTCCCTGCTCTTCCGGTGTCTGGTCCGCATCTATTGTCCGTCCATTGTGGGAGAATATGAACTGCATGGAGGATGACGAATTGGACCCAACGGTGTGCGTGCTGGCAGCTTCCGACTTGGCAGTACCATTCATCTGCTTGCCGCTCACCGATGTTTTTCCCTCGTCCTTCTTCCCACCCGTCGACTCCATTCTGTCTGTCCACGCATTGAACAGTCGGGAGAATTTGGTCTTGCGCGAGATTTTGAAGAAGAGCTCGGCACGATATCGGCAGACTACTTTCACGACAATGTCAGGCATCTCGCGATATTTGACGTCTTGGGTTTTGGCTTTGTCGACTCGTTTTGCCATGTCTGATTTCATTTGTATGATCTGAAGGCAGCATTGGTCGAGCTACCGGCTGAAGAAGTGACGCGTACCTCTTCTTGTGCCTCTTCTATGCACTGTGCTAGACGTTTACTGTCCTCCTAGGCCGGTGTAAGCATAGTGGATAAACTTCGTTGGGTAGTAATGCATACCCGTAGTCTCTTGTTGTCCTGCACGAAAGTCGGTTAGGAAAACAGAAACAAGATGTCAATCTGCTGACCTTTTGGAGCTCGCGCGCCAAATTTTCCATTTTAACTTTAGTCTGGTTAGCCTTCGTCAGTTGACCCTTTGCTTTATGAACAGAGTGGCATATGAGTATTTTAGAACGAAAAGCATCAATCGTACGCACCAGCATCCTTGTCTTTGACCAATTTCTGTTTTTCCTTTGCGTGGTCGCGTTCCAATCGCTTCAGTTCTGCAAACTGTAGTTCCGTGATTCAGAAATGCATGTATCGGACATGGTAAACGATAACGCACAAGTTCAATGTACTTGGCATGAACCGCGTTCTCCTCCATGCCTTTCACCGACTTTACAGCCTCCTCGGCTGATATATACATGAGTGGCGTGTTATTTGAGATGCAGGACACACGCACCGAATATCTTCTCCTCCTCTTCCTCGAGTACCTCCTCCTCTTCCAGAGCTGCGATCCTGCTCTTCAGAGACTCGTACATAGCAGCAGGGTCGACTGGCGTATCGTTCTTCTTCTTTCCTTTCTGACTGTGCGTATAAGTTCCATTAACGACAGTGTTGTTGGAATGGGGTGGTACTGTTCGATTTGGAATGGGTGAATTCGGATGATTAGGAAGAAGAGGAGGCGCGACAGAAGGGGCAGACGGAGCGAGACCTGTTGGAGGAGGTTTGGCTGGCCTGGAACCTATTGCATTCTGACTGGGCAGGATATTTGTACCGTTCATAGGTATTTGATCCCCAGACGTCGTGCTGGTGGACCTGCGCGGTCGGCGAGGGATACAAGGTATGAAGAACTTTAGGAAAGCAATGTTTTGAGAGCGTAGTGGTTAGCTGAAAGCTTTTGTGTGCCCAGACCAGGTTGATTTCAACAAATTTTCAAAGACGGAACAGACGGAGAGTCATGAACTGGTGTTAGTAGTAGTGGCTGATTAAAGGCTGATCAATATTTGCGTCCCGAGCCGAGACCAAGCTCAATGAAAATCAATTTATTGTTCAACTACGGGGGAAGGTCTATGTAACCTTGGTATATAGAACAATGTCAGATCAAGCCTAATAACACTCGTGACGTTCCGTGGATTGCAAGAAGGAACGGCTTAGTTTCAACACCCACAATTCCCGCTTCAGCTGATGTAATCAATGCCACACGTGATCAAAGTCGCGTCGCGTAGATGACCTCGCTTCTAAACTTCTTCCACTCTTCACAACCTTGTAACTGTAACAAACGATGTATAATCTAGGTGAGACATTTCAGGATCCTATCTTATGGCTTGACATTACACTTGTGCAGATTCTTCTCCAAGTCCACCGAGGAAGAAGATGAGAATGTCTTCTCCGACCTATGATGAACAAGTCGATGACATGAGTCAAGATGATATAAGCGCTTTTGATGCCATAGAGGCACTCCTTTCTCAACCAGCTCCTCCACTTCACAAAGCACCCCTACCCAACAACTCGCACCGCACGCTCATCTCGGGCGAACCTGCAGATCGTAGCATTTCGTCCGATCAGGACCTACTCTCCTCCCAAGACATAGCTTCTCAAGGCGACGATAATCCTTTTGCTTCGGCAAATGACCCGTTTGCTGATTCGGATGCCCCGAAACCAGCCGTATATGCATCTTTTGCCAAAGCATCTGCCGTTCTCCAACCAGTAGCCTTCAAGTCTGCATCAGCTCTGCCTATCGAGAATCTGGATGACTCACACCGTTCACCTTCACCCGAGGCACCCTCAGAAGTCGATTACTCTTCGTGGTTTACTTCAGCTCCTCCCGCCGCATTTGTGGGCTTTCAATCTGCTGCGTCTCGCCTCGAGAAAACCAAAGAGAATGTTTACGAGACGACTGCTAGTCACAGTACAAGTGTGGGTTTTACGTCCGTCGGGAAAGGGAAGCTCATCGTCCCGTCAACGGCTGCATTGCGCAAGGCCGAGGAAAAGATCAAGATGTGGCAGGGTGAGGCTGATGAATCGAGTTCCTCCCAACATTCTGGAGCGTTTGCACCTGCTTCCTCTGCACAACCATCCTCTCCTCGGCGCACCGTTCTCGGAGCAGTGCACAATTCTTTTTCGCCTCAAGTACCAGATACGCCGACTCCTGCGATGACTACCCGCAAGTCACTCGAAGCTCGCGCACGATCGACGCCTGTCCTACCAGCGCTTGGTGTCAGCGACTTCAAGGGAAAGCAGAAACCATTCAAATCTCCTTTGATCACCTCCGCACCGTCACGACAGCCTCTCACGGGGACAGCCAGTTCGGCATATGTCAACTCTCCCCTTAATCCTCATCGTCAGGGCTTTGCGTCTGCATCTTCTCATATGCCTCCATCTACTTCTACTGTACCAGCAACGCCTGTCCGTCCATCAGCATTGGGGGATCCCGGGAGCGCATTTCGACCCCTAGGTCTGACGCCGCGAAATTTACGTGGTGGTCTGGTCAAGTCCAAGTTCGTGACGCCGTTCAAACCAGGCGTAAAGCCTCCGGAATTGGGCAACGCAGCATCAGCTGCCTCATTGCTTGCTTCCCCAAGTACCAGCTTACAGCGGCCTATGTATCCGCCATCAGCAACCCAATCTCCTCGGCCTGTCAAGAAAGCTCCTGAAAAAGGCACAGGCAAAGTATTCAACCTTGGTAGGTGTTTCACTGCAGTGATTCACCAGAAGGCTTATCCCTATTGTTACAGTCCCTCCCGCAGGAAGGACGACACTTGCCACTTCTGGTCTTATACCTCAGGCCCACACAACTGCAGAACTGGAGAATCAGGGAATGTCAGTCTGTCAATTTAGCTGCAATGCTGATCACTAACACACTTCTATATAGAACTGTCACAGAGCTATCCCAGATAACACCTGCTACCGCTCTCTTTTACTCATTTTATACACCATCTGTTACGCCGATCGCAGGTGCCCAACCCTCTGATGCGAAGCCTCTCGGACCTACTGCCGCTCTAGAAGAACTCCACGTAAGAGGGTGTTCGTTGGCCACACAGGAATGGGTCAACAACCATTGGTCACTTATCCTCTGGAAGCTTGCTGGAATGGTCGCACTCGAACCAGATGCAGAGTCGGATCCCGATCGCAAACGGTGGTGCTGGCCTGAAGTGATCCGCCAGCTACTCTACAGGTTGCGCCGTCTGACTACTTTTCTTCTGTGACTAATCATTGGCGCAGATATGAACGAGACTTGAACGGATCATCACGACCACCACTACGACTGATAACCACAAGAGATGCGCCTGCTGCATCTCCGATGGTGCTCTGCGTGTCAAACGTGACTTGGTCGCCAGCTGGAGAAAGTGACGATGGTTTTCCCATTGCTTCACATCCCGAGTTAGAGGTAACAGACGGATGGTATAGACTGCGCGCGAGGGTCGACAAGCCGCTTGCGAGAGCCATCCGTAAGGGCCATATTAAGATCGGGAGAAAAATTGCTGTTGCTGGAGCCAGGGTGACTAGAATCATTTTATGTTGTGACATTGGTTGACTTTTGGTACAGCTCTCTACAGAACGCAAAGATGGACAGGAGGTCCTCGAGGCATATGAATCGAATGTCCTGGTGCTGACAGGTAACTCGTCCCATATGGCCCCTTGGCACGCAAAGCTTGGCTTCCAGCGAAGTCCATTCATTGCGACGTTCAACAGCCTCACGGCGGACGGCGGAAACGTGGCCGTTGCAGCGGTCGAAGTTATCAAGGTAGGATGAGCGTGTGACAGCCAGACATAGCTGACTTTCGTTTTTAAAGTCTCATCCTGTCGCATATATTGAATTCTTCGAAGACGAGAACGGGAGGCGGATGGAGGGTCCCCACAGTGCCAAGGATGAAAATGTCCTGAGTGAAAAATGGACGGTGAGTTGAAGAGCCCTGCACTAATTCTAGCGCTCACATTCTATGTCAGAGGAAGCGCACAGTCGCTGCATCAAAGATTTGGTTAGAAGTTGAAAGACGAGCGGCGTTAATGTCAGAGTATGCAGATAGGCTTGAACGTCGTGTGGGCCCGGCCTTCAAAGTCCAAAACGAAGGTGAGAAGGCCGCGACTAAGGTTGTACGGTGCTTATGGACTGTTTCAGAGATACCGGACAACCTTGACGATTTATATGAATCATTGGAAGAGTGTGATGGTTACCAAGCCCAGGCGATACTCGCACGGCTCAGCCGCGTTGAAGGAGGCAGTCTTGCTGCACACATCAGAGAGAAGCTTCTCCGAGATAACGAAGCTGTCGCGGGCGATATCGAGCGAGAAGTGCAGGTAAGTTTGACACTCGCATCAAGTTGGTTTTTTCACTCAGTGCTCCCCCAGAGCAAATGTCCCTCTCGGGAAGTAAGGAATTTCCGTGTTATTATCGTGAAGGATGCATATACTCCCACACGAAGCGGCGACGATGGTCGCAAAGCCCAGTTAACCGTCTGGGATGTGCTCAACTTGTCGATTGCTGAAGGATCTCAAGCAGGGGATTTCAAAGTAGGCCAGAAGTTCCTCGTAAGTGAAGTGTTTTGAAGAAGAGTAGGAGTCTCGGCCTTACAATTTGCGCCAGGTGACAAATTTGATGCCCAAGCAAGTATCTGCCTGGATGGACCGCGGCCCTGGATCGGAAGTGTATCTTGCCACCACAAAGAATTCTAGGTGGACAAGGTTGCCTTGAACGGATGACTGCTGAGGGTAATGCGAGAGTGAGGCCCCTTTAGTAGGTACGACGTGTAGGAGGTTGGGGTGTAATGATATTATATGCTTAAGGCTAGCTTCGCAGACGACCTCCATTTCGTCGACAGGAACTAAGTTACAGTCCAACAGTCCAATCTGTTGAATAGGGCTTGCTGACACTGCGCAAACTTACGACACTCTGTAAATCGGTTATGGTGTAAAGGTAACATATCCGCCTCTCATCGCAGGGTGCGCGGTTGCTCGGGGTTCGATTCCCCGTATCCGAATCATTTTGCCTTCATGATGACGGTCCAACCCCATTAATATTATTGAGAAACAACCTCGGTCCTATTTTTTGATTCTTACTTATTAACTATCTCTTACTATGAATAAATTGGCTTCGGGGGCAGCAACGTTTGAAGCTCTAAATTCACTATGTACTAGGGGCGCCGTAAACATAACCGCGACGTCCCTCGAGATTTGTCGTTGACTGTTGGTGGATTGTACAAGTCTAAGTACCTGAAAACGCAGGGTGGCCGTTTCATAGGAATGTGTTCCGATAACATACTAGTCCTATAGATCACCTGAAGTGAGTTATCACATGAACCCGTGGCGCAGTGGTAGCGCGTATGATTCCAGTTGAACTACAAGTTCCGGGTATCCATAAGGTCATCCGTTCAATCCGGGTCGGGTTCACTTTTTTGCGGCAAAACGCCATGGATGGCAGATTGCACTGTGGCTGTGTTTTTTGTTTTATTCAGCGGCTGTATGATCATCCACAATTGCAAAGCTACTTACCAGGTCTCGCGCCTACGCTGATTCTCAAGTTCACACGAGCGCTATCACTGGTTGCTGCTGTTCCATCTGCGTGTACTATGTGATATTCAGTACCTGGCACGGCTTGCTTTCAGGCTGTCAATACGGCGCCATTGTTTGAGGCATGCCGCATGGCACCTCATGGCACTGACGCTCGTGTGCAGCGTGTCTTGCATAGTCCCGCGATCAGCGCTCACAAGTACTGATCCCGTCACTTGGAATTTGTGTGAAGAAATTGTTCACGAGCCTGCCGCAGTCTGTAGAGCATTGTTTCAACGTGCCAGTTGGTTGGTTGGGTCAAAATCTCCGAGAGGTAGGGACATTCAATTGTTCCGATAAGCGGCAGGTGAGTTATTGCAAATCTTTCTTTCAAAGACAATACTCAGTTTCGATAACAGTTCCGTGCCAGTACAGCAAGTATCGAATACAGATAGTCAATATCAATGCCTAAATACGATGATTTATACCCCGCGCGGTTCGGCAGTTTGTCGCCTGCTAATGAGATGGTGCTCGCCGCTCGGGAATTCGTCGTCTCATTGATAACATATTGTTCACAATCTAGCGACCATGGCCCATCAGATACTTAGTTGCGAACAACACGGGAGTAAACTGGACCATGCCGTGAATAGTTGGCCAGTGGCAGGAGGTGGTTGGTAATTTCATTCAGCGTTATCTTCTCTTGTGGGTTGATACACTGATATCATAATTCCTTGTATGCATCACATCCGAGTCACAGCACAGGCGTTGGCCATGAAGGACCCAGCACAGCTTCTTGCTACAATATATATATGCTCTCAAGTCTCCATCTTTCCACAAGGTGATTCCCTACGCTCGACCCTACAACTTGAAGGAACCTCATATTGGCCTGTTCTTACGTGTACGGACATCGCCCAAGATACTCGCCTGACTGAATTTGACCCAACTGGTCTGGTGACACGGCAGTCATTATGAGCATACCTATGGACACAGCTGCGTTATCAGGTTTATTTCTCGAGATCTTGTTGTATGGTGCGCGACCAGTGGAAGTGTTATGTTGTTGAATTTCATTATCCAAAACAGGCGTGTTCTTCACTCTGTACTGGTTTACATTGTTCATCCTCCTCAAGAAAACGGGAATTCAACGGCAACTCATTCTCCCAGTGGCAACCTTGCTGCTATGCATCGCAACGGCCGTAGGTTACTGATTGTAGTCAAACCTCTTGGGGGAAAGCTCAACACGATAACGTTCAGCACCTAATCGTTGATTTTGTTCGAGCGTTAGAGGCATTCGTATTCAAGGTGGATACGATTGGTGCAAATGCCTACTATTCCAACTTTGCTTCGCCGCTGTTTGTTGCGTCAATGACGCTTTACATCACGCAAACCATTCTCGCCGATGGGATAGTTGTGAGTTTTTCCACTTAACACGTTTACTTTCCCCTCTGAGTAGGGTCGTAGGTTTGGCGATGTTATGTGCTTAACAACAGAAGCCCGTTTGTTGCCGTTCCTGGCTGTATCATACTCTTAGCTAACGTAGGCGAGTATCTCGGAAGTTCCTATTCGACCATCGTCTTATCCCAAAACATTTCGCAGTCACTGGATACTATGGTATCGGGACCCTTTCACGGGCCCGTCCGCAGTCTAATGTTCCTCCCACTGTTGATGGATGTATCGCCACATTCGATACATTGACCATGGTTGTCAGTGTTACCAGTACCAGTACGTCGATTACGCCTAACCTTGGGGCTCCTGATGACCGAAGTGATGCAGTTTTGAATGCCTGGCGCATCTACCGCTCTCGCCGTTTCATGGCAGAGGAGGGCCTTGGCGCTTTTCTACCCGTTTTCGTCGTCGTCATTGAGAGCGGCGCTTTTTATGCCACAAGTATCCTTATACTCCTTGTGACATTCTTCATTGGATCCAACGCCCAATATATTATGCTGGCCATCATTACTCCTATTGTGGTGAGTTTTCTGAACTTAAAACCAAGCTATTCATAGAACTTTTGTTCAGGGGATCACGTTCTGCCTCGTCATTCTGCAAGTACACTTCGACGTAGGTGGCAACTCGCCGACCGAAGTCCACTGAAGCGAGGGGCAACATCATTGTCAACAAGCAATTGGATGTGGATGCCAGAAAAGTGGTGTCGTCCTCGTTCAGAGCGAGGTGTACAGGAGGGCTTGAGCATGGAACTAATGACTGTGCACATCACAGAGGAAACGGTGATCATTCAATCTGATATGATGAGCAGAAAGACCTCCTAGCCAGAACGTAGCAAGAGGAAGACATTCGTTAGAAAGAACGGTCAACGAATCTTGGGGGTGTCTTCGTATTGTCGATTAGTCCGTCCTCTATTCTCCAGTAAGTAGTTAAATACACCGGCTTTCTCTGAAATGGGAGGACGATGGTTCGTCCATAGGAATCTACTAGTAGTTCCTTTCCTTGAAAGGTCAAAGCAGATTTCTTGTATCTCCACATTGAGGCAGAATTGTGAGGTGGACGAGTAAGTGATCTGGCCGAATGTAACCGATAGCAAGAAGGAACGACAATATTAATGTTCATCAGGGCTTGGGAGGTTAGGCGGAATTTACGTCAAGCGCTTGTTCGTGGTCTTCGTTAGTTTTGATCTGCTTCATTCATTTGGCCTTGAAGGCGAAATCTCCTTCGGGTGGGTGAAGTACGCCTCCAATCTCTTGCGTCGCCTTTGCTCTGCGTGCACCAGCTCTTGAATGATTGACTCGCTCTTCATGTTAGCCTTCATCTTATTTCTCCTGTCTCCTACATACAGAACAAGAAATGCGGACCAAGTCGGTCTTGGTCCATGTTTGGTGTGCTCTAAAATACCGGGATGCTACGCCAGTATTGTGCGAACGATTCTACGTTCTACATACCACGAGTCTTCTGGCCATATTCCATATGGCATGCCCAGTCACATGTAGGTTTTCGTTTAGTATGAAGAGGCCAAAGACAGGTTGAGGTCATGATCTACGATTACGGATCTCTTTATACAGAGCCAAGATGATATCGTTCACAGTGAGGGTAATAATGCTACGAATGGCAGTCAGAAAGATGCACATTTTGCAAGCCGAGGACAACTCACGTATGGGGTGCAACACGAAGAAACTGTGCAGTTGAACCTAAATGTGTATTTTGAATAAGACTTGTTGCAATATACGTATCACTACATACCCTTGTACCACCCGAGCACGCCCTCGGTCTTGAATGTCTTCCAGAGACAGTCGATGGGATTCCTATACAGTGTCCCTACTAAACGACCATCAGGGGTGCGTATTGTTGGTTGGTTGTATATTCGGGTAAGGGCCTGGCCGTGAATATAGATGAGCTCAAAATTCCGACTACGAGCAGCGAGCCCACCAACCGTATCAGTAGGCTGCATAACAATGCACTACGAGGAGTCAGACCACGGTTTGTTGGCTACTTGGATTGAGAAACAAACACACCACGCAAACTCCAGACACGGAGGAACTAGCAAGGTAAGTCAATATGCTGTTTGAAGGAAGTAATCCATGTGAGTCAAGTTGGTGTTTAGTCCATTTGTACGTAGGAAGCTGAACTGAAGATCCCATAGCTGTCCGCAGAATGGCTGCATCCAAGCCACGTATTAGACCCCAAATTTTTTCTGTCCTAAAGATTGTGGCGAATGCGTCAAACGAGCTCTTGTAGTAATGTTGTGCGCCAACTGGCAATATAGGAGAGTATGCCTGTCGACACTGTCATCGATATGTTGAATAGTGCGAGGGCGGGGTGTGCGTACCTGCATTCGTGCTTTTATCAAGAAGAGTGGGTTCCCGAGCGAAGCTGATACAAGCGAATCAAAAACAGTACTCGCATCATGACTTAATGCATACCTCCTATCATACCACTTGCGGCACCAGCTACAACAGAAGTCCATGGTATTTGGTCGGTGCCAGATCTACCTATTGAGCGGTTGATAGCTCGTCGGAAAGGCTCATAGAACCCTGTAGTAGTAATTAAGAGAGAATCTGGACAGCAGGGCAGAATAAGTCGCGTACCTAGACGTGATCCATTCAAAAGTGTCTGTAAGGTATCAACATTAATATCGAGAGAGCATCCCTAGTGCTTATGATATCTAACCTGGTAAACGTACTAGAACGTTATCAGACAAAGGAGAAGATTGGTATAGACATATTTACATACCGCGGGTCCGAGTCCTCTTTGCAATCCCCGCATGCCCTCGTTTCTCCAAGTTTTTGCCAGAACATCCAAAGCATCCTTATAGACTCTCTTTTTTTCCACCTTTGACCAGCTCACCTACCCGCGTGTCAATATATCGCATTTTGTCGCTCAGGCCATCGGAACCTACCTTGGAGTTGCAAACGCGTCTTGGCTACTTCTGCCGGATTGCTGACAGTGACGGCCATGCATCCTGCCAGTCCGCCGCAAAGAAAACTCTCAAGCGTAGAGAGGGGTCGTGGTGTAGTAGAAGAAGTCATACCCGAGTGCCAGCAGCCAGAACGGCGCGCAAGTGCAGCCTGGAGTTGTCGCCGTAGATACTACAAAATTGTTTATGCGTAGCAGCTTGACCGTGACTGGGAGGCTGGAGCCGATTACAGTCCGAACCCCGCACGCGCACGCTTCGAGTTCTTACACTTGTCCTTACACACAGAACTCGCACTGAGTGACTCAGTGAAGGACTTCCATTCTGCTCGCTTCCGAAGTCGAGAGACGTCGAGTTCTACGGCCGTCCATCGAGGAGATCGAGTTGAAAGAGTGATGCTGGATATGGCAAGTGTTGCTCAAGTCCTGTGAGCGAACAGTGACCTCAATGCATCTCAATATGACTCTGACGGGTTGTGTACTAGCTAACAGCGATGTACAACCAAATTCGCCGTGACATGCACTCATTCATCAGTGTCAGGTCTGCTTTGGCTGTCGCCTTTCTCGCCGTTGTATTTCCTGTCGTCGCTCGCGCGTTCTCGTCTCCGATATCCCTCATCCTCCTTTCGCCTGTGATCATCCTTTTCGTGGCGCTCTTGTGTTTCGTCGCAAACATTCTTGTTGGAGTTGCCTTGGACAAGCAACCAGCTCATAGGAACGCGCTCGCACATGCAGCTAGACCTCTTGCCTTCTCAACTCCCGCAGCATGGCAGGCAGTCCTCACTCGTTCTCACTGGTCTCAGAAAACTCCACAATCATTGTCACCTTTGTGCCCTGACTTGCCTGTTGTGTCATCTACCCTCAATGACATCATGATCTTCGTCGTACGCGACTTCGTACTCACCTGGTACAAGGACATATCATCATCCCCTTCATTTCCTACGGCAGTCTCTTCGGTGCTTCATGACTCCCTTGAGAGGCTTCTGCAGACAACCGCAACCATTGACTTTTCTTCTCTTCTAGTGAAGCGAATATTGCCCAAAGTCACTGCGCACATCGAGCAATTCCGACAATCGGAGGTCACACTTCGCGGTGCAGCCTTAGAGCGCCGCTTGACGCAATCCGAGGAGTTGGACATGTTGTTGGCAAGTAGATACGCAGGCAAGGGGGGCAAACTACATCCTGCAGTGGAGAATTTGTCTTCTACATTTACAAAACAGAATGAAGAAATACACCTCAGAACAATTGCGGAGCGGGTGCTCTCGCATATTCTTCCGGAGCAGGAGGCCCACAGTAAGGCTCTGAGAGTGGTTGTCAGAGAAATCCTGGTATGCGCGGTGCTGTATCCGATCATGGATATGGTGAGCGATCCTGATTTCTGGAATCGGATGATTGAGCAAGTGGTATGTCCACAACTCAAGTGTGAGCGCAGTCGTTAACTTCGAGATAGGCAGGGGCCGCAATACACCAGCAGTATGTGGTGCACGTGTACTTGGGTGTTTTTTGCACTTTTAACAACGCATATACAGGAAACTCATCTCTCAAGTGAGAAATGTCTTGGAAGCACAATCACCCCGCCGGCACCACCGCGTTTCTTCGACAATTTCACCTGGAGACACCATCACAATTAGAACTGACATGCGAGAGTTTGAGTCATTCCTCCGGAGTATCAATCGTTGTTCGTCACTTCTGGATGCTCGTCGCCTGAAGAATGATATCATGGGAGAAATTCGGAGGACAAGGATACTTCTTGGTCAGTTTATTCAAACAGTTTACTGCCTTTTATGTTAACGCTCCCACAGCTAATCACGATAAGGAGGATTGGATAAGTGGCGAGAAGACTGAAGATGTAGTGGCTTTCCTTGACAGGCTTTATACTGCCAAGCGGACTGTCGAACAACGAATAGTAGTCCTGGGTGGCGAAGATTCAGTAAGCTGCTCTACGTGATTCATAACTTCTGCTCATGCTGAGAATCGTAGAAGTCAGCTGCTTCGCCAGAGTCTAGTTCACGGACTCAAGTCGCTCTACGTGACGTCTTGAGCAACCCAACGTCACTCTCCTACTTCATGGAGTTTATGGATCGTCGCCACCGCTCGCTCCTGGTTCAATTTTGGCTAACAGTGGAAAGCTTCAAAAACCCATTGGAGTCAATAGACTCAAGTTCATCTGGGGATGATGACGAACCCCTACAGGGTCCTTCAAGCTCCTTAACGCTCAAAGAGGACATTTCAATGATTAAAGATCTTTACTTCTCTGTCACACCACCCCATCCTGCCTTATTATCCATCTCTAAGAAGTACATCGATAACATACGCTCTTACGCACAAATTGAAATCCTTCCGGGTCCTTTGGAAGACAAGAAAGTCCGTCGTAGCGTCATGTTGGCGCAGAGACAAGTTCAACAGGCAATGGAACAAGACTTTGAGGACCTTCAGAGATCCGAACTATGGTTCCGAATAGTCGAGGATATCAATCGGGCTAGTGCTAAATCGCTGGAACCCCCTGCAGGCCGTATCTTGGTACGTTCGATGTCGCCCCCGCCACTGCCGACGTCACATTCTCTCGGCATTGGATCTGTCCATATCTTCCGCTCCGAATCTTCCCCTTCCTTGAGCTCTATAATTCAGCGCGGCGAAAGCTCACGGACGAGTCCGCCCGTTGCCTCACGGACTAACATTGATGTGCTTATGTCCCCGGTCTCAGCAACATCATCAGACGCATCCAGAGCTCCTCTCTTCGATGATCCAGAAGATGCCCAGAGCGCAGATGAAGCAGAGAGAATGAGAGCCATCCAGGCCGCGCTGACGGATATCATTGCCACTGAGCAACTTCCCCACAGTTTCCTCCCTCCAAGCCAGGACAGAGACGGGAATCGCCACCTCAGCGCGGCCTTACTAGACAATAAGAAGGGCATTTTTGGCGATGAGGAAGACGATATGATCGACGAAGAAGATGACGACAGAGCTGAAGGTTCCGTGGATACGGAACAAGGAACATTTCAACTAGCTGGACCCGGAGACCTTCAGCTCTCTTACGAGATTGCACGCCTTGGTGACAAGATCACCAAACTGGAAGCTCACGATGCCATGCTCGACACGCTTATTAAGAAAGCAGAGCTAACAGGCGACGCTCAAGAACTGCGTTTGCTTCAAAGGTCCAAGTCATCCATGGCCCGTGAACTTCGAGAGTTGCGTTTCCAGAAGACCCAATATGAACAGCAAGAATCTGCAAACCGTCTCATCTCCCATCGAACGAAGGTTTCTATCGTTAGTTCGACAGTGGGAGAAGAAGAGGGGAGATCCGTAGTGCGATACCTCATTGAGGTGCAGCAGCTCGCACCTGACGGAACATTTGCCTCGGGGTGGGTTGTTGCAAGGAGATACAACGAGTTCCTGAGGATGCATAGCAAACTGCGCGATCGATACACGCTTGTCAAGGGTCTCGATTTTCCAGGCAAGAGGCTTGTTACTTCGCTGTCCGGCAGTTTCGTAGACACAAGGAGACAAGCCCTGGAGAAATATATGCAGGTGAGGAACTCGTTGGAGCCTGCTTCCTTCGCATACTTACAGCAGCAGAATCTGATTGCCATACCTGTCGTCTGTGAAAGCAATGATCTTCGCGCATTTCTGTCCCGTGATTCACCTTTCATCGTGTCCGAAGTCCAAGAGGATGTCCCCAAAGGAACCGCCGGCTTTTCAGGGAAAAACCTTGTCCGATCCGTTTATCGTTCAGTGGCAGAGAGCATCGATGATATGTTCTTTGGCCCGTCGATGTTGGATGTTATGATTCAAAGGCTTACCCGACAAGCCGCAGAATTTGCTGGCATAGTCGGATCTGCGGTCCACGATGAAGACCTCGTCGCTCAAGCCCTGAAAGCGTTTGGAAAGTCCACGTCGGAGGACACGTTCATGCACATGTCTAGTGACCTACGTCCTTTGGAAGGAGAAACTAGTACATCGACATTCTCTGCTCCTATATGCGATCTTGTCCTTGCTATCTTTGAGCTTAACAAGAAGGACAATTGGCTCCGGCGGCAAGCAATTGTTATCATCCTCCAGCAAGTACTGGGTGGCACCATTGAACGGTGAGACCAAACCCTGCATAGTCTTGTTGCTTCTGACGTAATTATAGGCAAATTCGCCAAAGCATCAAGTCGTTGTATGAAGAAAGTCGCATCATGCCTATTTTGGCTTTGTTCAAAGATTCTCTTTGGCCGGGTGGTAGGCTGAAACCGCCTGGTCAACCACGGTCAACAGATGAGATAATGCGTAGTCGGGATGAAGCAAACCGCAAGCTTTCTGCTTTAGTGCCAGGTTTGCTGAGGTTTTCTCCCGTACAAATATAGAGCTGACACCACGATCTACAGATCTTGCTGCAAACATGATAGGTCGGTCAAATGCTCGGCGAGGAGCAAGACGAATATTTGCCGTCCTACAGAACAAGCGCTTGAACCAGCACATTGCCTACACTATTGTGGACGAGGTGCGTTTTCGTCGAACTGCAGCGAACATTGCTCACGAACCAGCTCAGGTTGTTGGCGCTATATTTCCTGAGCCCTGATATCTGAGAGTTTATGTAGTTTTGTTTGATATTAGTTATTGTGGAAGGTAATGACTACTTTGTTACCTGTTGTACTACTGTCATGTCATCAGTAGATCCACCACCGAAATGCTAGCTTGTTTGTTCCAACTCGCTTGTTTGTTCCAACTCGCTTGTTTGGCCTGCCTGGTCGGCGACTGTTGTGTCTTCTTCCTCGAACTCTGTAGTATCATATGATTCCAGGGTCTGAGGCACTGACGAATCTCCTTCGTTGGCTTCCTTCTTCCGTCGTTTTGATTGTCGATGAGATGACACTTTGGAAGCATTTGGGTCATCATATCTTGCAAACAATCAGTAAGCGTTTGTCTGCGAGTGGATCTGCGATTACACTTACACTTTGATTACATGTAATAAGAAACCTCCCGATCCTGATGTGTTCATCGTCGGGTGTGTGCGACCTGGTAGAACTTGATAGCGTCGCAGCCATGATTCCGTAATTGATGGTGCAAGATAGCTTGGGTCAAGACGCAATTTCGATTGTAGTTCCGTTAGAGGCTAATAATTCAGGCATCCAGCTAAATTCGTACATCGAATAGAAAACACGACATACCTGGCTAAATGGGCTCTGAATGACTATGGATCCCGATCCCGCCACATATGGAGTCAAGATTTGTAGGATCTCCAGGGGGTCGTAATCGCTAGCGATTAAAAGCCTACCAGGTGTCGGAAGAGGTACTATGTCAATTGACGGCACTCACGCGTCATATTCACCAGCAAATAACTCCTCTCTTGCGTTTAAAAGAGTATCTGCCGCATTCTTCCGTTTATCAAGGCGAATCCTATGCCGCTCTGATTTTCCCACTTCCGACGACAATTCTTGTGCCACAGCTGTCACTTGATGGGAAGTATGGCGCATCCCCAAAGAATCTAGTCAGGCTCACTAACCTGGTGTATAGTCTTCCTGGGCAGTTGCCCAATTTAATGACGAGTGTATGTTTGTAAGCACGTCTTTGCGAAAATTCATCAGGGTCATGACAGGATATGCGGGCGGCGAATCAACGTCGCAAATAGAAATCAGTCGTCCCTCCCCTGCAAGGATTAGATCCCCTATTCACGCAGAGCCAACAGCTCTCCGCACTCACCTCCCAGTCTCTCTAGGATTGCTGATACAAGAAGGCCAGACGCCTCATCAACAGCAATGTACCTGCCTCCTGGGCGAATATTCGCCAGATTCAATATTTGAGACAGTGTATCCGGTCTGATATCACGGATCCTGTTCTGGTCTTTTTTGAACCAGTGGTCGCAAACATTGTAAATTGTCGGCTCAACAGTGCTGAAGGTCTTGGAGTACCTGCTCGGTTGATCAATTTGACTGTCAACAAACCAGGGATAGTATACTACTTGGCTTCCTTGCGTTGCCTATACTTTTCCTTGCTATATTCAGTTTTCATGGAATAATTGGCGTGTTGTTCGATCTGAGCCTTTATTATTTCCTGTGGAAATATATTATATTGCGCTTCTGCATGAAATAAGGTCCAGGACGCACAGAAACATGGAGGCCAGATTTTTTAAACCCTTCAATCTCGCCGAGGGTAAGCGGCTGCACAAATTCACCATCGTTGATGAGCTCATTTGTAGCGCCCGTTTCCTCTTCATTACGATTAGTCCTACACAGAATTTTTGGGAGTGGTTGTCAAATCCCTTACCTACTTCTTGTAGAGTACAAGGCGGCTGGACGGTGAGTTCCTTGCCATGAATCTCATACGTCAATCCGTATGGATGGCCGATCAACTCGTTTGCGCGAAAGGAGCCGACTCTCCCTATAGAGATAGCGCTTCGCGACTCGATTCAGTGATGGTAGGGAATGAGACAAGAAACCGCTCACGCATCTTTCTCCACCTTGAAGCCTTTGGTCTCGCCACTAGGTAGTCTGAGCAGAACCGTATGTCCTGATTGGATGGTGGTCGCTTTGAATGAATTCAGGCTGCTTGTTGCATTTTCGCAGTCAGGGATATCCATGAGACTTCGCTGTCCCGATAGTCCACCCGATGACTTTGGATGATGGTGTTGAAAGAAATGATCCGTTGTGACGCCGTGTTCGGAAAATTGCCGACTCAACTTGTCCTCCGCCAACATCTCACTTTGTTCAAAGTCATATAATACACTTCATCCCAATACCGCAATGAACGCTCAGTATGGAGCCCTCAGCTTAGATTCATTAATGGGGAAAGCTCAGGATGTTACTGCCTTTCTTCCTGATGAGTTCTCTTACCTCGTAGAAGCTTTCGCACCATCTCAGCCAGAATCGTCGCGCTCGAAAGCGTATCTCGTGCTCTCTGCGTTCTGTCAAGGGACGCGGTCGCAAAAACCTCAGGAGTCTGGGCCCACCAACTCTGCCACGGAAATACTAGAAAAAGTTTTCCAGCCTCTTATCATCTCCCGCATTTCCAATCATCAGGAGCAGGGTGCGATAGTCGTTGGGCTCTCTTTCTTCTCTGCGTTATTCCACGTCGACTGGCAGTCCGCTTCTCGTGTTTTCGCGCAAGATGGCATGGTTGAATATGTAACAGATGCCCTTGATTTATATCCATCATCACCATCGGTTGCCTTGGAGGTTGCTCGTATGATCGGTCAGGCTAGTGGACACAAGGCATGCCGTGCTCTTATATCTGAGGAAATCATCACCTGGCTTGGGAATAAGTCCCGTCAGGCTACCGACAAAAATTTGCGCGCAGCAGCAGCCATCGCCCTTGTGAAATTATCTCGAGGGGCAGAAACGGATGCCTCAGAAGGCGCGGATGCATCACAGGGAACGACATCTACCTCCAAGGATATGGAACTTGCTGAGTTGCTGAAAGGAATGGTCATCGGTGACAAGGACTCTCTGTCCTCCCTCAACGACGTCGTTGAAGGCCTTGCATACCTCAGTGTTGACCCAGATGTCAAACAGACCCTGGCGAATGATCCCAAGTTCTTGCAGCAGCTCTTTACACTTGTTCCTAGACGTAAGCCCCTGCCCACATCTGCCAGTAATTCTAGCCTCCTCTTTGGCATTCTTCTCATCATATCCAACCTCTGTGCCTACCGTCCTCGCCTCAGTCAAGAAGATGCGCAGGTCGCCAAGCTGAAGCGCATGGCTAAGGCCAATAATGGATCCAAGAGGACAACGGCCGAGGAACCACCAAATGCATTGGAAGATGATGCTGCAGTTAAGTCCAGATGCTGTCAAGTTCTTGCAAGTGGCGCCCTTGATGTCTTGTCTGTGGCTTCCAGTGTAGAGAGCCAAGGCATCAGACTCGCATTGGGTAAAATATACCTATGCATCGTGGAGGACAAAGATAACAGAGGGAAAGTCCTCCAGAGCGGAGGTGCACGGAGTCTTTCTCGTGTCATACAGTCTTCGTCGTCCTCCACATCGTCCTCCACATCGTCCTCCGCATCGTCCTCCGCATCGTCCTCATCCTCCACACATATTGATACCTCCCTTCTCCCTGCAATTCAAGCTTTGGCGAAATTGACCATCACATCTTCCCCCCTGCAAGTCTTCGGGCCTACTGATGGCGCCATGCTTGATGCAATACGGCCCCTGTCACAACTGTTGCTCCATTCATCCTCAAATCTTCTACAACAATTTGAAGCCTTAATGGCCTTGACAAATATCGCTTCACAAAGCACAGAGTGTGCCGATCGCATCTCTAGCACTTCTCACCTTCTCAACAAAGTCGAACTTCTCATGCTGGAGGACCATACGCTCATCCGGCGAGCAGCCACTGAGCTAATATGCAATCTTGTTGGGGGTTCTGAGAAGGTGTTTTTCAGGTATGGCGGTTCTCCAGATGTTCATGCAACGAAGTCCAAGTTACAAGTACTTCTTGCGATGTCGGACATGGATGACCTTCCGACAAGACTTGCTGCGTCGGGTGCTTTGGCCATAGTGACCAGCGTGTCTACTGCTTGTCAAGCAGTATTCGAACTTCAGTTGGATCACCACAGGGCATTTTCGATCATCGCACGTCTTATAGACCCATCTGTCATTCTGGAGGATGACGATCCCGGTGATGGCGAAGCAGCCGGAATTCCAGGGCTTGTGCACCGTGGAGTCGTATGCCTCCGCAACATATTCAATCCACAGCACGCCCCTCCTCGCTTGTCACTTGTGGAGGAAGTGGAGAAGGCAGGTTTGGTGAATGTTGTGACCAGATTGTTGAGAGGTGAACTTGGATCATTTGACACTGCTGTAACTATCCCTGCTGCTGAGGTTTTGAGGCATCTGGTTGAGCTTAAAAAGTCAACGAACAGCTAGTACACTGTCTAAGAAACCGAGTAGGGACTACATTGATATTGTCATGTTGCGTGGTTTATATCTATGTGCAAGTCGGGACTTTACCACCGAGTTCTGCCACGGGCATTGCCGGTCTCCGCTGTGCCTGCGGACTTCTCCCAGCAACTTTACTACGTTCTCTCATTCAGGCTTAGGCGCGTCAGCCATGGTGAGATGTAAGTTGCCTTGGAACGCTCAATGATTGACCGGCATGCGCGTAGGCTATATCTAAGAAGGCGGGCAAAAAGACTGCCCCGAAATCAGCTGGGGCTACTAAAGTTGCCAAGGTGCGCTCTCAGGCATCGTTACACCTACGGACTGCCGTGATATCGGTGCAAACAGGCAGATTGGAAAGAAGGATTCAAGAAGAAACAAGCCGGAGTATCCGATATGACGCTTCTGACAACTATTAGCAATGATCAAATCAATGACAACCTCAAGAAGCGTTGGACCGTCGGAGAGATCTACACTTACATCGGCGGCGTATTAATTTCTGTAAACCCCTTTAGAGGTGAGGTCTCATTTGTTCAAATATTGGTTTCTAACGTCGGGGTGAAATGCTGCTTAGATCTAGGAATCTATGCGGATGAAACACTCCAGAAGTACAAGGGCAAGAATCGACTCGAAGTTCCTCCGCATGTATTCAGCATCGCAGAATCTGCATACTATAACATGAATGCATACCACGAAAACCAATGTGTTATTATATCTGGCGAGTCTGGTGCTGGAAAAACAGAGGCTGCCAAACGTATTATGCAATACATCGCGGCCGTGTCGGGAGGGGAGGATAGCAGTATACAGGAGATCAAAGAAATGGTGTTGGCCACTAATCCTCTATTGGAGAGCTTTGGTTGTGCAAAGACTCTTCGCAACAATAATTCAAGTCGTCATGTGCGTGAATCACTGTTCTACTTACCTTTATCTCATGGTTTCACAGGGCAAATATCTAGAGATCATGTTCAACGATCACGGAGAGCCGATCGGGGCTCAAATAACGAATTATCTACTCGAGAAAGGCCGAGTAGTGGGGCAGATAAAGAACGAGCGCAATTTCCACATCTTCTATCAGTTCACGAAGGCTGCATCAGATGAGCAGCGAGGTGCGTCATGCTTGTCCGTCTATGCTGAGTTCTCATGACAATTTATAGAGCAATTCGGGTTGCAGGGCCCAGAGGCGTATTACTATACCAGCATGAGCGATTGCTCAGACGTTCAGGGTATTAACGATTCAAACGACTATGCCGATACGCTGGTGAGTATCTGCCTGCTGTCCTGTAGTATAGTATTACTCAAAAATGAACAGAACGCCATGAGGATCATTGGCCTCAGTAATCAGGAGCAGGACGAAATTTTTCGTATGCTCGCAATTATTCTATGGCTTGGGAATGTCCAATTTCAGGAGATGGATGACGGAAATGCGGCCATCTCTGACACCGGAGTGACGGATTTCATTGCGTATCTCATGGAAGTAGACTCGGTGATGGTGCAGAAGGTTCTGACGTCAAAAGTGGTAGAGACTCAGCGAGGCGGACGACGAGGCTCGGTCTATGATGTCCCCCTGAATCCTGCGCAAGCAACCGCTGGAAGAGATGCACTCGCAAAGGCGATTTACAACAATCTCTTCGAGTGGATTGTTTCGAGAATCAATGTGTCGATGAAGGCTCGAAGTGTCACGGCTCAACTCATTGGCATCCTGGTATGTGGCGCGTTTGCTATTGGTTTGACCAATCATCGAGGCGTTGACAGGATATTTTTGGTTTCGAGATTTTCGAGGTATAATCAGATTGTACGCCTCAAACTCACCTCATTCATGAGACTCTGCAGGATAATTCTTTCGAGCAATTATGCATCAACTATGTCAACGAGAAACTTCAACAGATCTTCATCGAATTGACTCTTAAGACCGAACAGGAGGAGTACGTCAGGGAGCAGATCAAGTGGACTCCGATCAATTACTTTAACAACAAGGTTGTCTGCGACCTCATTGAAGAGCGCAAACCCCCTGGAATATTTGCCGCTTTAAACGACGCCTGCGCAACAGCGCACGCTGATCCAGCTGCGGCAGATAACAGTTTTGTTCAGCGGACGGCTATGTTATCTTCCAACGCCCACTTTGAAGCTCGGGGATCCCAGTTTTTGGTTCGTCACTACGCCGGAGACGTCATGTACAACATCGCAGGGATGACAGACAAGAATAAGGACGCACTCGTGAAGGACCTTTTCGATTTGGTCGGCAGTAGCGGCAACCAGTTCCTTCAGACACTGTTCTCCGATAGACCCGATCCCTCAAGCAAGAAGAGACCGCCCACTGCTGGTGACAGGATTAAGGTACCTCACATTGCTCTTATTGGTCAGATTATATCATTTATACCCTGGAAAGGCGTCGGCAGGTGCTCTCGTGGATAATTTGATGAAAGCTCAGCCTTCTTATATTCGAACAATCAAGCCAAACCAGAACCGTAGCGCGACTGAATACGATACCAAGGCCATCTTGCATCAAATCAAATATCTCGGATTAGAAGAAAACATCCGTGTACGTCGCGCAGGGTTTGCGTACAGAAACACCTTCGAAAAAATGGTGGAACGTTTCTACCTTTTGTCGCCTTCAACCTCGTACGCTGGTGAATATACATGGCAGGGAGACGCGAAATCGGGTTGCGAGCAAATTCTCAGGGACACAGGGATAGCCAAGGATGAGTGGCAGATGGGGGTTACAAAGGCCTTTATCAAGAATCCCGAAACAGTGAGTACACTATGCAACGACACCAAAATGTTGATATCGACGTCACCACTAGCTGTTTGCCTTGGAGACTATGCGTGACCGTTACTGGCATAACATGGCAGCTCGTATTCAGCGAGCCTGGAGAAACTACTGGCGCTATAAAAATGGGTGCGCTATTCGCATTCAGAGGTTTTGGAGGAACAACAAAGAAGCTCTTGAATATGCCAAAGTCCGCGACTACGGTCATCAGGTGTTAGCAGGAAGAAAAGAACGCAGACGTTACAGCCTCCTCAGCTATCGCCGGTTTCTGGGCGACTATCTTGATGTCAATGGCAAGAATATCGTTGGCTCTGATTTGCGTTCTGCCTGTGATCTGGGTGGTAAGCTATCTAGTTCTTTTGCTTGGTAAGGTTGTCTCACAGGTAGCACAGTGGAGCAGGTCACCTTCAGCTCGAAAGCGCAAATATTGGTGTCCAGTTTTGGTCGGACCAGCAAACTTAGCCCACGTTTCCTTGTGGTGGTATGTATTAAGGTATTTCACTGCCTTGCTTCGTCTGACATCCGTCATGGTAGACTGCAAAAGCTGTGTACATTGCGGTAACTTCTGAGAAGGATGGTCAGATACAAACTTCGCTTGAACGCAAAATCCCCTTGATAACTATCAAAAGTATTTCGATGTCTAATTTAAGGGATGATTGGCTGGTTGGTCCTCCTATCTGTCCTCGGCACATTGCTGACTCCCTATCAGGCATTGAATTGTAATGCCTCTGAAGAGGGTGATCCGATTCTTCATTGCCATTTCAAGACGGAGTTGACTGCGAATCTTCTTACGCTCACGCAAGCTAGTATCAACGTCTTGATTGGCCCGTCGTACGTGTTTGATTGATTTCACTTGACCTTTGTCTCACGTGCTGAGAAGGATCGAGTATGCGAAGAAGAAGAACAAGAAGGCACAGATCCAGTTCGTCAGGGACGAGACGATCACAACAGACGGCGTATACAAGAGCCATGCTGTGCGTGTCCCTTCTGGTGAACCTCCATCGAGCACCTCTCGACCTGCTGCAAAGAGAAAACCTGGTATTGTTAGACCCATCACCCAAGGAAAACTCCTTCGCGCTGGCGGCCCCTCAGATGTGAGTTTTGTGTTGAATTGTAATTTCTGTCTTCTCACGTTCGATTGATTCCAGAAGGTAAAGACTTCCAGGCCGAAGCCAGCCGCCCAACCACTGCCAGGGAAATCTGCACCTCTTGCTGCCGTCAAGCAAACACCGGTGGCACCTCCTAAATTAACCCCCACGCCTCCTACTCGTAAATCAGTTCCGCTGCCACCACCGCCACCCAAGGAACCCGACGCAGAGTTATACAAGGCAAAGTTCGCTTTTGAGGGTCAAGAAGGCGAGATATCTTTGAAGAAGGATGATATCGTGGAACTGGTTGAGAAGGACGACAATGGGTGGTGGCTTGTCAGGAAGGACGGACAAGAGGGCTGGGCCCCAAACAATTACCTAGAACTTGTGCCGCCAAAACCTAAAGCGGCACCTGCCGTACGCCCCCCTCCAGCTCGACCGCCACCCCCTTCAGCTCCGCTAGCAGCCGTTGCAGCTGCCCCTGCTTCAGTTTTGAAACCAACTGTGTCGGCAATGTCTGCGAAGTCATTGTCAGCAGATGGGTTGGCTAAGCCCGTGGCTGTTTTTCCTGGCCTTGCGCCCTCGAATGGCTCCGCAGCGCCTTGGAAGAAGCCTTCCGCTGTATCAGCCAATGGTTCATTAAGCAGTACACCTGCAAGCTCTCGCCCTTCAAGCTCACTAGCTGTAAAACCCCCTCCTCCAGTGGCCACCAAACCTAAACCAGTGCCACCACCTGTCGCATCGAAACCAAGCGGCGGCAAGCCCCCTGCTAAGCCACCTATGCCCACCGCCCCGCGACCAGGCCCCGGCGCTGCGCCACCGAAGATTTCGAAGCTTAGTGCACCTACTGGTCAAATGGACTTGGCTGCTGCGGTAAGCAACACTAGCTGCCTTGAGGATGAGATATCTAATGCAACCCCATCCAGCTCGCGAAGCGTGCACAGAAGATAGCCGATGAGTGATCTAATAAATTATCCGACTTCGTACAATACCATTTCAATGACTTTTACTTAGAAACGTGGCATTAGAAACATGAGATTCAGGATTCGTGTAAACATATTGGATAATGTGACGGGACGTGAAATGCTTGTGGGGTATCATCGAATGATTCCGAGGTCTACATGATGAAGCAGTGCAGGACGTAAAGCGTTATGAATGTAACAAACTTATAAAGACTCTGAAGGCGTGATCATGATTGGAGGTAAATGCGTTGGAGGTGGTGTATCTGGTTGCAAAGTTAGCAGTTGGACCTCGTCCTCCGAGAGGTCATCATCACTGTCAGGCACAGCAACGTGTGAGGGAGAGAGGGGGACTGTAACATGAGCCTCCCTACTGCGGCCATCAAGAATAGCATCAAATTCCTGCCCTGAATCTCTCCATGTACGGACTTCATCGGCATTCAGGACTTTTGTGGAGAGGCCCTGCCGAAAATCGCCGGGAGTCTTTTCCAAGGCTTTCCTGCCAGATTCCAGAAGCCCCTCTAGTAAATCCTTCACCCTTGCATAAACCTCGTCAGGCCCATCTTCACCCTCCTCACTATCATCATCATCCCCTTCATCCTCTTCTTCTTTGCGGTCAAGGGACTCAGCCTGAGCAGCCCTGAATGCTCGGGGGGGAAGAATAAGTCGGGATTCACGAAGTTTCCGCTTGAGATCCCGAATCTCTTTGGCTTGCCGATTCTTCGTAGTTTCAAGTGATGCATTGATCAGGAGCAGGGATCCATTCGTTATTTCTAAGTCAGCGATCTGAAATACAAGTCAGTCACTACTAATGACGTGGTGAGTGGGGGGATGACCTTTCGATTGGACTTGGCTGCAGCCCTTGCCTTGTGCTCCGAGTTTTCAGAGTCAAGGTCGCTATCCCGATCTTGGCTAGATCGTCGACCGTTGGTTGTAGGCGAAATCGTGCCATCATAGTCGCTCTGAATAGAGCGCACATTGCTGGCTCGAGAAAATTCGGTATCCGATCGTTTGTTCGTGTGAGAGTTAAGCGTTGGCGCGCTTGCATGAGAGAGATCCAAAGACAATGAACTTCTAGACACGGACGACTTTGATGATAATGATAATGCAGATATTGGCGGTGAATATGGGGGAAGAGGAATGGAAGTAGGGTCGACCTTGGCTTTCAGTACCAGCCTGGCTGCTGCTTTCGAAGGTCCTTCAGGTGGAGTAAATGTTTGATATGGATAAAGTGGAGGCGAGGGGGCGCGTCGTGGTGAGGGATATCTATGCGGATTAGCAGCAGGGGCTGCGGTCGTGATGGGATAGAAAGATGACACTGTGGTCGAATTAGGAGGGCTTGGAGGCGCGTTTAACGAGAGGTTTGAAGGAAGTGAAGGTATGGGTGGTCTTGTATGAGTGGACCTGGAGGTAGCCCGTGGTGGAGATAGCGAACGAACAGGTTCTGTCTCGATGCTATGAGATTTGGCTAACCCAGAAATCTTGGATTTGATCTTGATAGGAGCCGACGGCGATGCACGATCTTGGTCGACGCGCACAAGTGGTAGTTCGGAAGAGAGCGGAGTTCGGGGTGATGGTGAATTCCTCCGTAATGCTGAGGTGGACTGAGCGTGATGTAGGGCAACACTGCCACTACGGGGTCGGTCTTCCTGGGGCGGAAGTCGCAGCTTTGACGCAACAGTGGTGGATGATCGCTGGCGCGACTCCAGAGGAGATGTACTGGACACAGGAGATGTGGTAGTAGACTTGGATGCGGGTCGCGCCGTAACGCGAGCTTTGACGGGATTCGTGACTATGGAAGGACCAGAACTGCGGACTGGCTTCGAAGGTGACCCAGGTCGAGAGAGGGTTACATTGTTGATGCCGTTTAACGAAACCGAACCTGACAACTTCCGGACAGTCGCGTTGGAGCCGACCTTGGCTGTCGGACGGAAGCCCGGCGGTGAGAGAGATGACTGGAACGGCTGCTTTGTCGGTGATGCTGGTCTAGACGGTGGGTTCCAACGAGGAGATATATGACCGCCATTGTAGTCGATTTTCGCAGTGACCTGTTCGCCATGTAAGTTTCATGGACGTAGTCAATTGTCGCGGCATATGAGCACGCTCACTTTTCTCTTCAACGGTGGCTCCTTCATGAAACACGCGATGAAAAGAAATTTGGTAGGTCGTCAGGTTATTACCACACGCGCTGGAGTTTTGCAGTTGATAGTTACAGTGAAAGAATTGAACCGCCAGCACTTAGACTGTGTCCACAAAATAGTCACTATCGGACATTGACTGTCGGATGTATTTGCTTATTATAGCCGAGCATCAATGAAACAAAGGTAAACGGTTGCGATAACGCAGCTTTACTGTAACAAATAACATACATACTCGCATCATTTAACTACCTACTCATTCATCAGCGGAGACTGGAGCAGAAGGTAGGATTCCCTTGTTGACAAGCGTTTCTTCCACAATTCTCTGGACGAAGGTCCGCATGGCTTCTCCACCACCACCCTCTAGAGCAGCCAATACGCTCTTTTCTACATATTTGCCCACCATGTCAACCTCGATGTTTACCCTATCCCCGTTGGCTTTTTTCGCCAAGGTGATCTTCTGCTGCGTGTGTTGGATAAGCATAACACCGAACATCCTTTCGGCATCATCGACGGAAATAACGGTTAGGGAAGCACCGTCTATAGTGACATAACCCTTGGGGATGATGTAAGGAAGAAGAGAGGGTCTTTCTGCGGTTGGTTCGGGAAGTTGGAACCAAAGACGCAACGAATCACCATCAAGAGCTCTCCTGAGAATGGTCGCGGTTATATCAACATGAGCCTGATATGAGAAGTGGCTCATAAACGATTGGTTATGCATCATTAAAAAGAGCGCACCTGCACGAAGTGACCACCGAATCGAACATGGGCACCCATAGCGCGCTCAAGGTTCACCTGGTCACCAACCTTGCGGTCGCCTTGATTACCTATGAGCGACTTGCATTAGTTTGCCTCTGGTCACTCACCCAGATCAGTCCTGCTGAGAGTCTCGTTGGCTAGCCATATTTTGAAATATCCTCCATCACGCTCGACCTCGAATTCGACGACTGTCAAGCAGGCTCCATTGACAGCTATGGAGTCACCAATATGACAGTCAACCAAGATAGGTGCTGACTGTGATATGGTTAAAGCACAACCACCATCATCCCGGTGGATGGCAGACACTGTTCCAAGGTGTTCGATCTGAAGCAGTCAAGTTACAAAAATGGGTAACGTAGAATTAAAGTAGTACTTGCCAGACCAGTAAACATGTTGCCAGTCCGAGTTATCAGTCTTCGTACTACTTGTAGTAGAAGACTGTCATGGTTACTAAACTCGTCCAATTTCCCTCGTCAATTATTCACAAATTGGCAGCGGATCCAAAATTTACGCTGTTGTCTAGCTAACTCAAGAGTCAAATATTGTCTGACTCTCTCCAGACCTGACTGTACTGCGATGACTTCCAAGAAATCACTGCCGTCTGCGGAGCCAGTAGTCGCTAGATCATTGTGGCAATCATACAAAGGTGTGTACACTAATTTTCTCAGTTCTGGGTCCGCTTAGACAACTCTGTCAAGCTCTTCCAGCCCGAACACGACTATATGTCTCTATGGCTGTGTGCACGGTGGGTGCAGTGGGCATGTTTGCGTCCGACTACTTGGAAGAGAAGTATCCAGTGGCACCACAAGGGACCGTGCCTACCTACGACACGTCCTCGTCCCGAAACGCGGCAGGTACAGCATGAGCAGTGATACAAAGCGATTGGGTGGATAGTGAATGTGGCAGTCGCCGATCGTAATGCGAATTCGACATGTTTGCTTGTTGGGAAAGAAACTGGAAAATGGGGTAGGACATGTGTGGCATGAAGGAGTCACAGGCAAATTCCACGCTCTATGTGTCTCCGTGATGACCGCTGCGCGCGGAAAGCTGACGGTGAAGAGCGCACTTATGGAGATTGTCGGCATCCCAAGGAAGCTCTCGAGTGTCTGATGGCCCGGGAGAGATAACTCTGAGTAACGGAGGTGGCAGGGTAGGGATAGTGTGGTCCGCGGAATTTCTCATCGCATTTATCTCTCCCTCCCTCACATGATCTGCTCTCGTATCAGACCGAACAGACATAAACGATGCTCGCTGTCTATAATCACGCTCTTCTGGTCCTAGTTTGACTTCCCAGGTCTGCTTCTCCCAGTCAGGGACGAACTGTTCGATGCCACTGTCCCTTCGACCCTTGCAGCACAAGATCTCTTGTGCGACCTTCCACCAGCGATCGAAGAACATGCTGGATGTAATTGCTATTGCTATGATCAAAATTGTGATGAAGACGATCCCAATGATTTTCCAGGTCTTGTTGTCAGCGGATACGTCTTCGGTCATGGCGGCCGATGAGGCAGCTGGATAACTCGCCGACCTTGTGGCGGATGCAGGCGCTATTTGTTCCGGAGAAGGCTTTAGAGAGCCTGCGGACGACGTAACACCGAGGCTTGTGGGAGTCGCTGGATCAACCTTTCCCACTGAAGATGCCGTGGGGAGGACCGGATCTGTGAGCAAGCCGCCCAGATCTTTCAAACCAGGATGGATAGGGGGTGAAGGTGAGCTAAGAGGGAACGTGTCTGATGTTGCAGGCGAGTCTGTGCCAGCAGTGCCCGCAAGCATACCGAGTAAGTCTCTTCCGGAATGCACGCTTAAGCCATAATCCGCCGCTGGGATCTCTGGCAGTGCAATCGCGATTGCGATAGAGATCTGGATGAGAAGTAAAAGAGCGTGCTGGTACCTCATGGATATTATCGACTGCTAGAATACGGACATAGATGAGCCTTTAGATTGACACAACATTCGGAAATTTAAGTAAAACGTGTGTTCGCGACGTCGGTCACGTGGTCAAGAAATCAATTCCGCAATAACCAATCAATAAAGCACTTTATGCGACCGTCTCTACCCTGCAATTATTCTGATGGCCCATCAGGAATTTTAAATCATATTTCTGGTCCGAACGGCCTTCAGGCCCCTGCAGGCAGGCAGGAGCGACGCAGGCCTGTTTCATATCCTCAGCTTTCGTGAGAAATAACGTGATTGCTCATCTTCTAAAGCTTGAATTCCTTACACGATCGGCAACTTCTCTGAATCCGCGACTTTTAAGGGCGTTTCGCCTTTGCTTCGTGGCTCAGAATTATGCATTCTGCTCAGGTAGGTATTTCTTGTCTTGCGTCGACTGTGCTGACTGACCGCTTCACAGGAACCGTGGTTCAGTGGGCAACTACATAACGTTCCGTTTGGAACGTGGTGTCCCGCTGCTATCATTATCCTAGTGATCGTTACCGATTTCCTAGCGCGCAGGCAGCTTCCAAAATTTATCCAGTCCGCTTGGACTGCGCTGAGCGCCCCTTTTCGTAACTTTATCACCTTAGACGATGTCGAGGGCCCCTTCGACGATGACTTTCCAAAACAGGTCTGGATAAATCGTACGCTTGTCTCTATCGCGCTGGTTAGCTCGATTGGCTGGCTTGCATATTTCGGATATGCGTTCGTCCTGCGAGAAGCCTGGACCGACGCCTTAGTCGCATCAATTGCATGGGTAGGATTGTTCAATATTTTATTACACGCCAAATTCACGTTGTGATTTGTTATGGCAGTTTTATACGACCCTGAGACTCCTGTCGAGAGCACCGCCCACACCTCCGTATTTGCTTATTCTATTCGCAGTTTCTCAAATTGCTGCTGCTTGCATTTACTACTTTTCATTGACGGATTATGATGCCGGTCCAATCATCACTATTCTAGTTCGGATAATAATTTCGGCGTCCTTCGTTTACGTGGCTGGCCTTTTGCCACTGCAGGCTGTGCGACCCGCGCTCAATGTCGCCAACTCCGGTGATGTGTGTTCGTTCACTATGTTCCCGACCTACTTACTGACCCTGGGGATTAGATTCCGTCATCCAATATTTCCTCTCCCGAAGATAACGCAAACCTTTGGTCATGGTGTACTGTGTCATTTGTAGAACCCATATTGGACCTGGCGTGGAAGCGAACATTAAACGAAGCCGATGTCTGGTGCTTGTCGCCGTTCTTCCGACACAAGAACTTGTTCAACAAATGCCTTGATTACCGTTCACGGTAGGCAGCCATTGTCTTCTACAAAAGTCAGTCTCTTACATGCAGTTAGCTACCCGACGCACTCTTTACTGCGCTTTTTGCTGGTATCGAACTCTCTCGACCTACTCTTGAACCTTGTCTTGGAAATGTGGGGTGCTGTCGTCGGTGCGTGTATTGCCCAGATGCAGGTGGTGTCCGGGCAGAGTGATATATCATTGATATGCAGGCTTCGTGCCAGCTTATGCACTCCGGATGATTCTATCATCGTTGGATAACCCTACTCCTGACTCGGTATCGACTGCCAAATATTGGGCTTTCCTTACATTTGTAGCACATTTGTCTTTCGCGCAAGTCGATCTCTTCAAAAACTGGCACACTCGCCGATGTTATGAACGGACTCGTGGACAACTCTTCTGTGCTTTACACTACAAAGCACTGCGCCGCAGGGATATCAGCGGCAAAATTGCCAGCGGAGAAGACGAAGAAGGAAGTGCTGACCTTGGGAAAATAGTGAATCTCATGCAGTGCGTTTCCCCCAGGGCTGTGGTCTCCTGTGACTTATTAACTCCTCCTTGAAGAGGCGATGCGTATGCTGTCGCTCAGCGGTTTTGGGATTTTGCTGCGATCTTCTCGTCTCCTGTACGGCTCGTGATAGCGTTGATCTTCCTCTACAGGTAAGTCACAGATTTCCTGAGATATCGAGCTAAGTAATACCTTAGGATATTGGGATGGAGCGCAATTTCGGGCGTCGCTGTGATTCTTTTTGCCTACATTTTGAACTATCCATTGGCGACATACAGCATCAAGGTTTGGAGTCTCGGTTATTTGATCTTCCTGGCTAATGTGTCACAGATCACCCGAGCATCATGGAAGGCCAAGGACAAAAGGATGAATGTCGTGAACGAATTACTCCAGAACATCAGATTTTTGAAGTTTTATGGTTGGGGTAGGTGAGCAGAAGCTAACATGTGATTTCACTTGACTAGTGTTTTGTAGAGAATCAGTGGGCACGTACTGCTCATCAGGCACGAAAAGAGGAACTCGACTGGCGGATTAAAGAGAATGTCGTCGATACCATCATCTCTTTTATATGGTAAGCTATTCGTTGTCCAGACTCCGCGCGTACCTATGGCATTTTTAGGACGTGGATACCTTCAGCGACGGCCCTTGCAACATTCTCTTGGTACACTTTGGGCGAACAAGAGCAATTGACGGTATCCAGGGCATTTACTGCAGTCGCTCTGTTCTCACAGCTACAGGAGCCGATGACTGCTCTCCCTGGACAATTCTTTGCAGTGCTTCACGGTTTGTCGTTTAATACTGCAACTGGGTATGTTATTCTTATCTTTTACAGCTTACGTATCGATGCAGCGTATTGAGGGGCTCCTTGCGGAGCAAGAGGTTCCCGAATGGGCTTCATCTCTGTCGACAATGGATACCGACTCTGAAGTGGATTGTCCAGACATTGGCTTTAACAACGCAACCTTTGAATGGCATGGAGTTCGCCAAGGATCGATGACTGAATCTTGCTTCCAACTTGGACCTTTGGACATCAAGTTTCCGAAAGGCAAGTTGAGTCTTATCAGCGGTGCGACTGGTGCTGGGAAAAGTGCCATGCTCACAGCGCTGCTTGGCGGTCAGTACATCCTTGGCGGTCACAGCTCGGCCCTTATATGCGCCCATTTCAGAAATGCACTGTTTGTCTGGTGATGTGTTCATAAACAAGAAGAGGCACCAAGTGGCTTATTGCGCCCAAACTCCTTGCAAGTGACTTTAATATAGCACAGTCTAGTCGCTCATTCCGATGTGCAGGGCTTGAACACGCTACCATCAGGGACAACATCATTTTCGGCTCCAAGCTCGGCTTCGATGAGGAACGATACCATACAGTCGTCGAGGCGTGTGCTCTTGAACGTGATCTTGGTGTATTTGAAGCGGGTGACATGACCGGTAAGAGTTCTCTTATCCATTCATTATCGCGAAGACATTACTTTGAACCCCAGAAATCGGCGAGAAAGGCATTACGCTATCTGGTGGACAGAGAGCACGTATTGCTTTGGCACGCGCGATGTACTCAGAAGCTACCGTGAGTCTTCCGCCAGTGCAATGCTAGATTCTCTTAACCGACCACGTTGCTGGATAGTGTATCCTCCTTGATGATCCGTAGGCATTTTCCGTCAAGGTAACTATTTTTTCTGAATGTTCCTCAGACTTGCTGCCGTCGATATGCATACTGCACAACATATTGTGCAGCACTGTTTGTCCGGGGAACTAGCTCGTGATCGGACAGTTATCCTGGTGACCCACCATATCAGTCTGTGTTTACCGATAGCATCTTACGTGGTTGAGTTGTCTCGCGGAGGCATTGCTCGTGCTGGCGATAAAGAAGAGTTCCAAGATATCGGAGAAATCGATGCTCTTAATGAGGTCGACGATGAAGAAACAGAAGTCGCTACTTCTGGAACTCAAACCCCAGACGACGTAGCCGAGGATGTTCTTCCCAAACAACGGTCCACTTCCCAAATCGTTAAAAAACTAGTGGAAACGGAAGTTCGGGCGGAAGGCCGGGTGCCTTTCAGAACGTATTGGGTTTACATCAAGGCAGCGGGTTTAATGTCCTGGGCACTGACTCTCGTCTTGATGCTCATGATCCGCATGATTAACATCGGGAATCAGGTACGATTACAGCTCTTGGCCCCATACACATTACCGATTGTTTTTCAAGGTGTTCTTGGCCAAGTGGGGTGAAGCTTACGACGTTTCCGCTTCGGTTTTCCTCCCAAATGTCAAATATCCTTGGGACGACTTGCCCCCTCCTGATGTTAACGTCAAACCATGGCTTTTGATTTACCTCTATATCTCTATAGCAGGGGCATTCTCAGTGCTGGCTTACATCTCGTTGGGCTATTATGCAAGTCTCCAGGCTTCCCGCTCGCTGTTCCTCAGACTGCTCGAAAGGCTTACAAGAGCGCCGGCCCGGTTCTTTGATACCACACCTATCGGGAGGATTCTCAATCGTTTCACGACAGACATCAACACTATCGACGGAGCTCTACAAGCTTCCGCCCGCGCTGCGTTATCGGGTGTCCTTAATTTCTTGGCTTCTTTCACTGTCATAATTGTGATTATACCCGCGCTCGCGCCTTTCGCATTGGTAATAGCATGGCTGTATATCCGCATCGCTCCTCGTTTTGTACAAGCTCAACGAGACCTGCGTCGACTCGAGAGCGTCTCCTTGTCGCCTGCATTTGCCGGTTTCGATGAACTTCTACGTGGCTTGTCACATGTTCGTGCATTTGCGATGGAGTCGAGGTATCAAGATAGATTCTACGAAAAAGTGGACAGATTCCAATCATTTGACCACGTATACGTAAGGAGATGCACTCAACCTGCAATATTTCGCACTAACCCCTTCGCCAGTGGCTTGTCAACGGCTGGCTTCGCTGGAGATATGACTGTATGTGGCTTCTCTCTCTTTGATTATGTTTGACTCAGACACCCTATAGGTCTCGGCTCAGTCGTAGTGTATCTCACGACTCTCTTCGCTCTTTCGCAAGGAGTTTCCAACGGATCAGCTGCTGTCGTTATCGTGCAAGCCGGCATCTTTGCCGAGGCATCCCGCCAACTTGTGCGGGTTCTTGCACAGCTCGAGCTTGACTTCAATGCAGTCGAACGCGTGGTTGAGTATCTTGGTGTACCACAGGAGGCACCTGCCATTATCGAGAAGAACAGACCTCCAGCGTACTGGCCATCAAGCGACGGTCAGTTGGTTGCCGAGAACCTTGTTGTCAGGTACAGCTCTGACCTACCGGACGTGCTCAAAAATATCTCATTTGTTGTCCAACCGTCTGAAAAAATTGGGGTGGTACGTTGCAAACTCTTTGACCGCCATGATTTTTTCATTCATTATCGACAGGTCGGAAGGACAGGCTCTGGAAAATCAACCTTGGCTTTGTCCTTGCTGCGTATGATAGAGGCCAGCGCCGGGAGAATAATGTCAGTTATTGTCGGCGTCTTGCTCCTGGCTTCAGCGTCTGAATACTTTTGTAGCATTGACGGAATAGATATCTCGACAATTGGCCTCGAAGATCTTCGGTCACGGATAGTGGGTCGATTATTTGACCCCTTAGGAAATTGCTGATTTGTGCCCCGGCAGACCATTGTTAGTCAGGATGTTTCGTTGTTTTCTGGCACACTCAGAAGCAACTTGGACCCGTTCGAAGAGCATACCGACCAGGAGTGCTGGGATGTGCTCGAGCGATGCCATTTAACGAGGCTACTCAGTCGGGCGATTGAAAAGGGTGGCTTCACACTTGAGATGCCGATCAGCCAAGGTGGCTCGCTCAGCGCAGGAGAGAGGCAGCTGGTTGCACTCGCTCGGGCAGTCCTGCGAAAAACCAATATCATCATTATGGATGAAGCAACGTCTCAGATAGATTCGCGTTTGGATGACCAGGTGAGTTGGCACATTATTTCAATCCTGCGTCTTACCAGCATACACCTATAGATCCAAACGACAATTCGTGAAGAACTTTCGAGTGCACTTGTTATTACTATCGCGCATCGCCTCAAGACGATCATCGATTATGATCGCATTTTAGTGCTCGATGCTGGGGAGATTATTGAGTTTGATGAGCCAAAAGTACTTTTGGCGAAGGTTGGCGGGGCTTTCCGGGAGATGTGTAGAAAGAGTGCGGACTGGCCACAACTGTTTGCTTCCATAGATCGTTAAGACCATACACTATCATTAGTATAATTATTGCATGCATGCGGGGTTTTTTTTTTCCAGGGTACGCAACCTTTGGGACGGCAGCGCGGTTGACCTGTGCAAACAATAAGACTAAAGTCAATTCAACGTTTATTCAAATCATGACTGGAACGCTCAGGAAAACCCGGTATTGATCTCATGTAGGATTCGTATAATAGGGAACCAGAATGTTCATCGTGATTCAAGAGAATGGTATTCTCACTTACCTTCATGATGCATGATGTCGAAGGAGAGAAGAAACACGTTGGCGGCGCGGTCTTTCAATACTTCCCACGGAGGCGGTTTCCCGGGTCGCTGGCTGGCTGTGGCCTAGTACCTGCTGTGGCGTCATGCAACGCTGTGCCGAAACCTGTTCACATTTCCACCACCATCCCAACTTGCTCAACCCTTTACTACAATGTCTTCCAGAGAGCCGATGTGGTATTGTCACGAAGTCTGCACCTTAAGAATAGCTTGCACGTCCTATACTAATATATTTCAATAGTGTCATGCTGAGATGAGGCCACTCATGGTTAGCAGATCCTCAGTTGACTTCTATCGATGTTAACGCACGGTGTCATCTACTAGCAACCGGATCCAATCTGTGCATCATGTAATGGCTCATTCGTCGAGAAGGTGCGCATTCTGATCTTCGTACTTGATGATAACGATGTATCATAAACTTGTACAGATAGAGGATCCAAGCGATGATCCTCGGGCATATCAGCAACACACTCCGAGGGGAGGAGTCGATAACGAAATACCCCCGAGTTTAGGTGGCTTGCTAGGTGCGCGCTCCTTTATGTATACAGTTCATGATAAGTAAGACCTTACATGGAAGAAAACGCCCACAGCTGCAATGTCGGGAATTCCTCGACCTCGCTCGCCTACCTTCCCTCGTAGCCCTGAGGGAGGACCGGTCTGTCATCTTCTATACACGCTGCATGCAAGCTCATAATGCGATCAGGGTGGGATCCGTCTTGAGTTTCATAGTGGACCCAGTCATGGTGCCGCAAGAACTTTGTTTCTTGGAGGTCCCAACACCCTTAATCGTCCACGCTCTCCGGAGCAGCGTGATCGTGATGCTAATCCAACCATGTCCGAGTACGTCAACTACGATTGTCTCGAAATCTTATACGCATAATTTAGTATAGGTTTTTGCGCCGTGAAAATCAAAGTGGTCCACGACATCCCGGAGACATCACTGGCCCAATGATGGCACAATATTTATTGGCTTTACTGGGACACGGTCCCACCGGTAGAGGCATGGACCCGTTTGCTGAAATGTTCTCCCTTGGTCCTGAAGGAGGAGGATCGGGTGGACGATGGGGCGACTATGTTTTCAATCAAGAGGGTGTGTACCTCCATGTAGCGCTTTACAAAGCCTGACGACAATCGGATAGCATTGGACCAAGTGATAACGCAGATAATGGAAAATTCTGCTTCTCGGCCTGTTCCAGCAACAGAAGACATTGTCAACGATCTCCCACGAGAAGTTCTTGCGGAAAGATGTTTGTCATTGTCTATCGTATCCTCCACTCATTGCTCACGTTTATGTGTTTCCAGCTCCACTATTGGATAAAGATTGCGCTGTATGTAAAGAACAGTTCCAGCTTGGAACTGAAGACCCAGAAGAGCAGGTTGTTGTAACTCTTCCATGCAAGCACCCATTTCACCAGCCTTGTATATTGCCATGGTTGAAATCAAGCGGAACGTGTCCTGTTTGCCGGTGGGTCGTTTTGCCATGTCTATCTTCATCATCGTCTTACGCTGAGGAAAAGGTATGCTCTTGTAGAACAAGCACAACAGCCACGCTCACCAGGAGGAAGTCCCCCTGGACCAGGAAGTGGACCCAGTAACCGCCCAACAAGTCCATCATCACCTCCACCACGTCCTCGATCGCCTGGGAACTCGGGTCGTAGTGGTGGAGGATTGTTCCAATCATTATTTGGGGGAAGTACGAGTAGCTCGAGAGCGGCTGGTTCTTCATCTCAGGGTAGGAATTCAAGTTCAAGAGGAGCGCGTCGCGCAGGAATGTCCAATGAGTCCCCGGGCAGTACGCCATCTTTCCCTGGGCGCTGGGACGAAGAAACAGACTAATCACGCCTTGTCTTCGTTTGTCAGACCACCCACGGAATAACCTGCGTTAAATGCAATCGGCTTCTTACGCATTCTGTTTCAAGAAGTCCTAGTAGCCCATCTAGATATGCATATTCGATGTTTCGATTCGTTTTACCTCTTTTTCCCTCTCGCATGTTGTAAGCATAAGCATTTATTTTATCTCTGTCCATAGTAGAGGGAGAACTTTTGGATCAATAGTTCCTCCATATTATTGTCAGGCAAAAATATTAGGAAGATTATTTGACTTTACGGTATGCCACGGAGCAAGGGGAGCATCCAAAGACTCCATACTTGCAGGTTGGAAAGGTCATTATCTAGCGCCATTGTCAAAGAGTAGTGTTATTGCTGGCTGTTGGACTGTCAGGTCCCGAAATGCTTCCAGAAGTCGGCGCGTAAGAACAATATATTTTATTTCCTATGTACTATAGTTGGGCAGGAAATCCCAATTCCACCTTAGTTGGTGGTGGCATCAGTGTATTTTGTGGTGGCAAAACCGACGCGGGAGTTGGTGGTATCATATACGGAGTAGAAGCGCTCGAGGAATGCGTAGCCGTTGATAAAGTCGAGACCTTCACCGCTGGGCGTGCCAATGTCATTCACAATGAGATAGACGGCACTGCTACTACCGCCAACGTATGTGTTGAGGGAACGAGGCCAAATCTGGCCGTTAGGGGTTAGAACGTAGGTGTTCTGTGCTCAACAACTGGTAAGCAGGGAACATCAACACCTCGAAATAGAAATGACGCACGCTGCCAATTTTGAAGTTCAGGTTTTTGAGGGTTTTGTACTGGGATGAGGTAATACGGAGAAAACCAGTCGCCTCATCCAAAGTAGAGCCGGTTGCAGACTGGTACCTTTTGAAGGCGTCTATCAAACGTTGATTAGACTATGATCACCCACTGCACTCTAAATACACACCGGTGGCAATGTAGATGAGGGTGGTGCCAGTGTCAACGATACCAGCCGTCGCAGACAAGATTGTCGTGGAGCCGTATGTGATGCTCTCGTTGATACCCCAGTATTCGGAAGCAGGGGATGTGGTGGTGATCGGACTGGAATATTTGCTGTCAGTCTGGATTGATCTAGGAGCTGAAGTAACATACGTATATGCAATGGAGCCGGTGTACTTGGTGGCATCAGTTCCACCGAAGGTGAGCTCTCCATTGGTGACCGTCACTGAAGTGGTGGGCTCGAATGAGATACCGACGACAATTTGAGAAATGATGCCCTGGCTGTGTAGGTTCTGAGTGACGGTTGGGATTGTCGCATCCGGTTTATTTGTCAGGGTACCATATGTTAAGTCGAGAGGCCCGAGACCAAGGATGCCGTCAACACCGCTGAAGCCGGACGCCAAAGAAGGAGAAGAAACACCGATGGATTGCTTGGTAATGGTGAGCCCACTACCGAGAGAGACAGTGTCGGTGTACTCAGTTCCTATGGATAATCGTAAATATTTTCAACTTATGATATCTTTATTTGTCATACCTGAGAAATTACCAGAACCATAGCCAACCGCCACTGGCTGACCAGTGTTGACGCTGGTTTTGGTCTTCGCGTACGCAGTGGTGGCACCAACCCAAGTGTTCGAGCTACCGGTGTCAACAATCAAGTTGTCTGTAACAATCCATTAGCAGCCGCTTTTGTCTCAGTATTCAACATACAGGTTGTGGCAGGGCTCCCAACGCTAACCGCTGCGATGTAGGAGACAGCTTCATCGTTGGTCACAGGAGTGCTACCAGTACGACGGTCGAGCGTGCTGAAGGAGCGGCCCTTGATGGCAGCCGCACGAGCTTTATCACGCTGCAACAGGTTGATGGGACCATTGGAGGTGTTTAGCCTCCTGGCGATGGGGAGGGTGACGGGGGAATTGCGAACTTCAATGAGCGATGCCGCAATTGACAAAGCCAGGAGGAGAGTTATCAACAAGGATGCAGCGGGGAACATGATTGACTCGAAAGTGAGAATAATACCATACTCAGTGGCCTATTATATATGCGCTGGCGAACGCGAATGTTGGGCACCTTAGCCACGTATGAGACGTCCCCCTCCAAGAAAACGATGACGCGATAGTTGCGGTCCGGGTCATCGTATTGTACGAACGAGTTCAAGGATTCAACCTGCTGATCAAAATTAAAATATTGAAGTAGTTTATTTTTGAGCATGAGCAGCAGAAATTTACAATTCACCTAGTATGAGCATGGGTAACAGGCGGATCAATATCCCCTTGATGCTTCCCTGGTTAATCAAGTCCTTATCCCACGTTCATTTCCATGGCGACACTTGCTCGTCATGAATACAACCTGGCAGTAGGTTAATGCCAGGTTGATGGAGCAAGTGTTGCTGAGGAGGACGAATGTCCCTGGTTGTCCCGGACCTATCGATTGAGGTGTTACCTGTTGTTACACCCACGTTATTTCCAACTCGGTACGTGATATCATGGAATGTTGTTATTGCCAAGACTGATGCATATGCGAATGGCAATTTGAAGAGATGATTGTGGTTAATGATCATGAACCATGCGCACCACGTTAACGTTGGCATAGACACACTGTATGCAAGTGGGAAATTTTTGCTGCAAGTTCGTGTAGGTTTGCGTGTCTCGAAGAAAATCAGTACAAATGCGCGGTGCACATCAGTCCCCAGCCTGGGCCCCGACTCCCATCTGGAATCAACAGGGTTTAGTGAGTGCGATCATGATGCAATACGACCACCAACAGGCATTGTCCAAAAGGGCCAAGGAGCCTCATGTTATCATGGTCTCAAGCTTCAAGCTTTGTACATACGTCATGTGCGAGTACCTCGACGGGGAGGTTTGTCCTAGGAACCGGAAGTAGTGGAAGTTCACTGGCAGATTAATTGTCGATATTCATGACCTAGCGAAGGCAAGTACCTGGAAGTACCCATTACGCCCTATTGCGCCTCATTACACCCGTGCTGGCGGCGATGCATGTCCACATCAAAGTCGGGGTTGATTAAATTGTTTGATGAGCGCCGTGCTCGCGAGGTTCGTCCAGCCCGTTTATTTCCCTGAGTATATGTTACTTGTGAATTGACCGAAGCTTGCTGGCTTGCTTGGCTTGCCCACACGGGCAAGTCTGCCCTTGTCTTTGATTTTGAGGTTACATACATCTCAACTTGAAGGCACCTGTAATTGCGCCCAGCAAGCTGGCGACAACGTTGGGTCGTGTGATTGTTACGTTCTCTCGAGCACGCTAACGCACTCACAAAGAATGCAAGAACCCGTTGAACACACGTGCGGATTTAACAGACCATCAACTCCCTTCTCTTCAACTACGTAGCTACGCTATTTATGGCTACAGTTCGCTGGTATTGGCATAGCCATGGGCCATGCATATCTCACGGATGGACTTGAACAATAAACCACCGCAAGATTAACCAATTATCCGGATTAGAATATCATTCGTCCCTTTTTGCAGCATTTTCTGAATCTAGATGCTTAGAGACTTGAATCAGTTTACGCTGGGTGGGTGGTCTCACGATTAAGTGCAAGTGGAGATGCGACGCGTTCGTGGAACAGTAATAGCTCAACATTCGAAGGTTCAATCACGACTCCTGTCACAATGCTTCTAGAAGATAACTTGATCCACAGGTTGTGAGAAATGTTATATCTTATAATGTACAAACACCCAATACCCAACCCAAAAAAGATTGCATCAGTTAGTGGTGGCAGTTGTGTATGCGGTTGTGGCAAAACCGACACGGGAGTTGGTGGTATCGAACACGGAGTAGAAGCGCTCAAGGAAAGTGTAGCCGTTGATGAAGTCGAGACCTTGTCCACTGGGGGCCCCAATGGAGTTGACAACTAGGTAGATGTAGCTGCTGGTACCACCAATATAGGTGTTGAGGGCACGAGGCCAGATCTGGCCGTTAGGGGTCAGTGCGTAGGTGGTCTGTGAAAAATGGTGAACAAGAAGCATTAACGCTGGAGACAGAAATAGCGTACGCTGCCAACATTGAAGTTAAGGTTTTGGAGGGCACTGTACTGGGTGGAGGTAATGCGGAGAAGACCAGTCGTCCGATCCAGAGTAGCACCGGTTGCAGACTGGTACGTGCTGAATGCGTCTATCGAACACTGATCAGATTAAGACCACTCGTTGTACTCGAGATACGCACTGCTGGCAATGAGGATGAGGGTAGTACCAGTGTCAACGATACCAGCCGTTGCAGACAAGACCGTTGTGGAGCCGTAGGTGATGCTCTCGTTGATACCCCAGTAGTAGGATGCAGGGTAGGTGGTAGTGAGAGGACTGAAAGAAAACAATTATTACCAGTCCGGATTGATCTCCAAGCGGAAGCAACGTACGTATATGTAATGGCGCTGGTGTACTTGGTAGCGTCAGTTCCTCCGAAGGTGAGCTCTCCATTGGTGACTGTCTGCGAAGTGGTGGGCTCGAAAGAGATACCGACAAGCACCTCAGAAATAGTGCCCTGGGAATAGAGGTTATCAGTGACAGTCGGGATCGTCGTCGACGGTGAGTTTGTCAGGGTGCCCTCTGTCAAGTCGAGAGGCCCGATGCCGAGGATACCGTCAACACCGGTGAAGCCCGTCGATGTAGAAGCAACACCGATGGATTGCGCGGTAATGGTGAGCCCACTGCCGAGAGTGACAGTGTCGGTGTACTCAGTTCCTATAGATAATCGTAAATATTTTCAACTCATGATATCTTTGTTTTTCATACCAGAGAAAGAGCCAGAACCATAGCTGACTGCCACAGCCTGGCCAGTGTTGACACTGGTGCTGGTCTTCGCATACGGAGTGGAGGCTCCAACCCAAGTGTTTGAGCTACCAGTGTCGACAATCAAGTCATCTTCAACAATCTATTAACAACTGGCATATCTCATCAGTTATTAAACTTACAGGTTGTGGCAGGGCTGCCAACGCCAACTGCTGCGATGTAGGAGACAGCATCATTGGTCACTGCAATGCTACCAGCACGGCGGCCGACACTGCTTGTGGCGGCAGTCTTGAGGGCGGCCGCACGAGCTTGGTCGTGCTGCAAGAGGTTGATGGCACCACCAGCGGTGTTTAGCCTCCTGGCGATGGGGAGGGTAATGGGGGAGTTGCGAACTTCAACAGGCGATGCCGCAATGGACATGGCCAAGAGAAGAGTCGTCAACAATGATGCAGCTGGGAACATGATTGGCCGGTACTGGAAGGTAATAATCATACCCCATTTCGAAACCCGTTATATACGTTCTGGTGAATGTGAATACAGTGTGCTAAAAGGTGAGCACATGGTTAATCTCATCTCGAAGGCTGAACCGTATGGAACGCGCCCCCTCACGTGAAGAAACTGTAAACAGGAATAACTGAGCAATCGACCCCGTTGTGCGCATCTTTGATCAAAACCGATACAGCGGGACAAGTAGCTGTTTTTGGCCGTGAGTAAGAGGAACTTCATACATGAGGACACACGGTTCTACCTGTTTATTCATGGACTGAGGGTTAGGGAGTACCAAGTTGCCAACCTTGCATGATGAACTCACATGACAAGTCCACCTTCGCAGCACATTCACATCACCGCCGGGTGCTTCACTTTAGAGACTCCAGCCTACTGGAGAGGCTAAGCATTGCGAAGAAGAATGTCGCATTGGTCTGATGATATTACATTTGTTACACTGACGAGATTACAAGAATACCTGCCGTCTCAACACAAAAATTCGAGCGTGGAGTGTTGCTGTGAAGGAGAGATAAGATGAAGAACCATTGTCCCTGGAGCATATGCACCGCAACTGAATTCTGAGGCATCAATCTCGCGAGAACCGGAGCCATTTCAAAGTTTCTGAAGAACGGGGAAATTTGATGGCATGGCACCAGGTTTGAAAGTAACAGTTTAACAAGACAGTGACGTAAATATTCACCTGTTAATGTTCGTGCATGCGAAGTCGTGATCATGATGGCGATATCTTGCCTCAATCACCGCTATATAGAAATTGATTGGGGGCCGCATAGCCCTGCATGTATCTCGTGCCACTGGCCAACAGTGTTACTACTTGAGCGTCTGAATCATGTACAACCTTCGATCCATTGAGACTTCCGATTAGTAAGCCGCGCCTTCGCTCCTTCGACCACATCAGCTCATCCCGCCAGAATCGATATTAAATGCTATGTCCTTAACATCCGTGTGTTCATTGAAATACTGACTCACAGCCATACTTAATCATGATGGTCACCTGGTTCACCCTCATCGTGACCAACGTTGACGATGACTGCCATGGTAAGTATGATGGCGACCTTGTGGTGACCACAAGATCATGCATAAGCTTGTCATTTGCTGCTTCCGATAGGCTCCCGCAGTTCCGGCCGATCCCTGGTCAATCTGTACGAGCTGACCTTTCCCTTTCATGGGAATCTGGGTCAAATCAACAATTGCTGCCTATGGTTAGTAACGATTTAGCTCTAATACTGCTCCATCCCCTTTTGTACCTTGCTATTACAGCTGCATGCAACACCACGAGCAAGTCCAAGGTCATAATTCTGGAGCTTTGCACTGCACTAGTTCTTTGGTGTAATGCCGTGGTTCATTGTTGATTTAAACGCGCCGAGCGTGAGTACCAAGCTATTTTCTAAGAATACTAGAATACTGAAGCACAAGTTCCATGAGTACTCTTCGGTCCGCGACCATACACTTGGCGATCTAAAGCATAAAGCACATGAACACGTCGGAGGAGATCCTTTTTGTTTTCCATGAATCCTTATGCAATAGGAATAGGTTTCGCCGATCGAGTCTCCGACGACCTCGTGAAGTTGACATCCTGTGTGGAATGGTATTGAGGAGCTCATGCAAAGGTACATTCTATTACTCTCTTTGAAGCGCGCCGCGCCGCGGTTTGTGCACAAATTCACAGTGGGCCCGATGCGCGCCACACGTTATCTTTGTATCTGCCCGATACTTTGGGTTAAATAAAGTTTCAATCTTTCCAGCGATCATTCAGCAAATAATATCTCCTTTGCAATCATGATGCTCACCGGCCGCCATCAGCAAAAATGCTACAAGCGAGCGATGCACGCAAACATCGAGCCGTTGGGTGTGTTTGACCAACTTAACCGGGACCCTTGACTGGAATGCGAGTTAAATATGTACCCAGTCTATAAATGACAGGATCCTCGGCGCGTTTCGACATGTCACTATTGCTTGTCCTACATCTCAAAGCGGTGAAATTGACAGCATATAAGTATCTCATAAATGAATACAGTGACAAAAATAGCAATTGATAGTGGGAATGGCATACTTGTGCAATGTGCAAAGGACGGAGATATGGCAGCATTCTACCCAAATTCTACCGACAGTGCTCTCGAGTCCAATTGATAGGATAATCAACAACGAAGTCCCGGCACACAGGAGAGACAGGCACCCGGATGGTGCAGCTATTCGTGAAATTCACTTCACTCAAGCAAACCGCACTTTCTCCCCGGGTCGACCTTCTGACAGGAGCACAACAGCCTGAATGAAGTGGACGCTCAGTATATGGAGCCATAACTGCTGAAAGTACGCACATATTTCCCGCTGATCTTCCAGCCTGGCTCTTCCTTGTCCAACCTCTCTGCTATGGCGTCCCCGTCGTCTCCTAGTCCAACCACGACGTCGCTTTTGATTGTCCGTAGACTGCAAATCTTTGGAGCTCCAGCGGCACTGGCCATCGGTCCAATTGCAATGTCGAATGGAATGCTGGCTGGTGCAGCACAATCATACGTCAACTTCCTATGGTTCAGATCACCTTTGAAATAGACGAGATCTGCGCGAGATAGGTGTAGGAAGAGATCCGGCGCCTCGCTGTGAAGGTCCCAGAACGTATATCCAGTGCACCAGAAAGGATGTTGCTCGTACTGCCATCTACCATCTTTCTCGTATTGCTATCAAACGTGAGTAAAACCCCATGTATGAGACAAACTAGTTCCCCTACCTTCCATCGGGCCCCGAGTCTCCGTAGCGACTCTCGCTCAACCTCCGAGGCTTTCGGGAACAAGTGCCCGTACACCATGGTATTCAGCAACCAGTCCCAATCTTTCCGGGTCACATCAGACACGAACCATGGATACCGCTTGCCATGGAATCGAATCTGTTTAGCCAGACCAGTCTGGATGAGAAAATCAGCTGGTAAAAAAAGTTGTCAATCTCTCCATCAAGCACTGGTTCTGGAACGCACCGTATACGAAATCGCAATACAATTCAAAGCCGGCGTTATCCAACACGAAGTCAATTCGTCCACCAGTCTTTTCGCGGAGGACCTTGACAGCTTCCCAAAGCTGGTTTAGATGGTTGCCAAGAATATTCTTCTCAGTGGCAGCGAGGTGATCGCCTCCTGTTGACTGGAGAGATTTAATCTGTTCTTCCGTCATGTTGATCAAGAGTGAAAGGTCGGTCGAGTTTCCCCACAAACACACTTGCATAATATGTCAGTAGCGCGAAGTTTGGAAACTTGTGTCATCACCTTGAGTCAACTCTAGAAACATGAGTCTCTCGCTTTCTGCTTTCTCTTTGACTGACATGTTCTCTGACTGCTTGAAAGGCTCAGCAAAGCGCATAGACAACTCAAAGACAGCATCTGTCGATCTTGAAAAAGTGTCACACTGGGAGGGATGTCAGACTGGAAGAATTGATGAGGTCTGATTCATACCTTTTGACGGTAGAAGACATCATAGTCTTTCCAGTACTTGCTCACACTGAAGCACTCATGCAGACGACGGTACTTATAGGCCTCGGCGAATAACCAAGGTGCATTCATGAAATCCTTGCCTAAAAGTGTGGATAGTCAGCCAAGATGGGTGGTACATGTGGGGAACATTATACCCTGGAAATACTTTGCGATTTCCTTATTCCATAGGGCGACATCACCTTCACCATCGTCAACGATTGGTCTTAACTTTGCATTTCCACTGAGGTCGGCCATGAGGGCGTCCATTCTCTCCAAAGATTCTACAAGGTCAACAATCTTATCTTCGGCATACTGCTCGTTAAGAGTTCTGGACGCATCATCTATAGCTTTGCCAAGGATGGTGGGTAAACGAACGCCCATTGTTGCGTGTGCGAAGGAGTACTCGTGATAACCACGATAGGCCGGCCACGGCGGGTTGTTAGGGTCAACCTGGCAGAAGACACCCGGATACACGTTAGATGGACTCCCTTTGTGACAACTCATGTGTATACCGACCCGTGAGGGCGTGCGCGGCCACGGGGCCTTGATATCTTTCTTGCTTGGCAGATGACCGAGATGAAGAGTGACGCGGGAGGGTGCACTGTAAGTTGCGGGAGAGCCCTTTGCTTCAGCAACTGCGCTGTTACCATTGGGAATATTATGGGTTCCATTGGTTGCTGAAGCTGTCTCAGACATAGATGAATGATTGTCTGGATGAAGAAGTACTGTGACAGGAGGGAAGTAATCAGCGTTCATTATGAGGAAGAGTGGAGGTGATGGAAATGAAGCAAGGAGGGGCTAACCTTTATACGACGTTTATCACGACTTGAAGTGTTATCTTTTTTTGAAGGGTGATAGGCTACGCCAAGACGTGTCGCAACTCGGTGGCGCAACGGTTTTATTCGACGATACAGCTTGAATTTCGGACTGTTTTTCCACAAAAGGAAAGTTGAGCCAACGACGTCATTGCTTCCACTGATGTCATGTGATTCCCACAAATTTGCTACTGGCCATCATCGGAAATGCCGGAAATGAACTTTCTGCCACTGGTCAACCTAGCAAATTCAATACTGCCATGTTATCTTCAAGGATACCACTCACTTCTTGCTCACTTCTATCAAATATTTCAGGGGACCGCGGTCTACTCCAGGGTTCTTTTCCCAACCACCAGGCAGTGAGGTGCGGCGACGGCGGCGGCGCCTCACGATACACCCTTTCAGCCTCTTTCTCCCAGGAGCTCGAGTACTCTAATAGAGTACTACTACTTGAGTCGATAGAATGTGCTCCACCGGCGCACCGGACTGGTAGCCCATAAGTAACGCTCATGACACGCATACCATCGGGGCCACATTTGTCATCTGCTCCAAAGGTCGCATTGTCACCGAAGATGTTTCTAAAAAGCGTTGTTCGGCTTGAATATTGCATGTCAACGAGCAAGAAGAGAAGGCTTAAAGCCGAACAGCTCACAAATCTAGTCATTCCGATTCCGAGAAATTACTCACGGGATGGGGTACCAGGGTATGGGACCAGGAGGCTAGGGCAAGCTTTAATGTTGAGTACTTCAATTCTATTCTACAGTTGGTGACCGGCTGACCTCGTGATCCAGTCAAGTACTGTCCTCGCCTGTCCCTCGCGTCAGACCTCAACATTTACACATTCAGTCCAGAAACTGCATTCCAGTTGGCGCTCGTTCACTGAACCTGAGACACTATGACTTCTCTCCCAGAAGAAGACATATCATAGACATCGATATTTCTCAAACTTGCCGTTGGATCCAACTTCTTCGTCATACCGACTAGCATTTTACGAGTCTCAGACCCTGTAATTAATGCTACTGCAACGTGTTTTGCGTCAGGCTCGCATTACACTACCCTGACATGTGTCTTCCTTGCTCCCGGTCAGCAGATCATCACCCCTCAAATCCGTTCTCTTTATCATTGCTGAACTCTGAACGCTGTTACTGGCATAGCCGCAAGATATCTGTTCATCACTTCGAGTTCTCATCTACCTTGTGTTTCCTTGAAAGGATTACGAGGCATTTTGAAATGTCCCAGCAAATCCATTGGACTTCATTTGGTGTCCCCTACGTAGTGGAGTTCAACAACGTATCGTTCGTGCCTCGTAGAACGGCCTCTCCTGCACAACATACACTCGCGAGCTTTCCTTCACCCGAGGCATCTGCTTCTGCCTCAGAGAAATCTCTACCCTACTCATGCCCATCTGCCACAAGCTCGACCTCTTCTTTTTGCCACATCTCGCAATGCATGCTTGAATCCCCACATCAGACACGTTCATCCATTTCGCGCCTGGCATCCTTATCTCGTTCCACGACTAGTTTGCGGTCAGCATCTTCATTCTTCAAGCGGAAACACCAGAAGTCTCATGCGGGCACACGCAAACCTTGCTCGACAAGCCAAAAGGCCTCCAACAACCCAATCGACACGTGGTGCTTTATACCTCCACACGTCCCGAAACCCCTTCCCCCTGTGCCTCAGCAAGAGGTTGAAGGCGTACATGCGGAGGGGCTCCACATACAATTCGCCACGCCCCCATATGATTCGCGTACATCATCCCGAAGCCGACTTGTGCGTCTGCAAAAGACGATTACTAGCGCTGTTGTCGAGGCAGGCATGGATACTCCCTCCAAACCTGAGGAGCAGATGGACGACTGCAGTCCGTCGACGACAGCCCCTGATCATCGTAACCACGACGCACTGTTCCGCGGGACATATGGGCAGGTCATGGTGGCTCTCAAAGCGGCAGGCCTTGTTGCGACGCCATGCATGGAGGGTGATTTTGCAGGTGGTGCGCAATCACGCCAGATTATCTTCTTTTTTCTGTCTCATTTATCATTAGCCACGCGTTTAGGCGCGCTATTTGTTGCACATAGATCCTCAGAGGAGAGGAGCGTGCAGCTACGAAAGTTGACACTGTGGGGCTGACTGCTGGTCAGATGCTCCCTGGAACTCAAACCCCTAACAATGCGCTATTTATGCCCCTCGGACGGTGTTAAAACTACTATTGAGGACTATCTTTATGTTTGGTTCGCATTCATTGCAAGGCTAAGCCATTGCCAGAAATCCCACCCTGACTATTCAAGCTCGTTCAAATGTGGATGGTCCGTCCATCGCAGATACATACTATTTATAGCTCGAGGGGCGCTCATACTCCGAGTTCGAAAGCGAAATTTATTGTTCCCTACCTTATCTCTATTATCGACTTCCACTGCAGGAGCCATGTCTTCTGCTTCCAATTCTCATGTGCCTCTAGTCATCCTCGGAGCGGGGGTGATCGGACTCACCATCGCCCACATTGCTGCCTGTGATCCAGATGTGACCTTTGATATCACAATCATTGCGAGAGATATGCCTGGGGATTGGGATTCTCAAGCTTGGGCGAGTCCATTCGCTGTACGTTCCTTTCGATCATTCTCGAAATACTTTCTTACATTAATCTTATCTAGGGTGCGAATTGGTCTCCAATGCTGTTGGGCGCTACAGATGAGCGTGTGCGAAGATGGGAGCAGACAACATTGTGAGAGACACATCGTTAGTGATGCGAGGTTTACGGAGAAGGCCTTTCAGTGATAGGTTGTGGGAAATGATACCATCGGGCCTAGTCAAAGTCAGTCTTGTTCGAATGCTTGTCAAACGGCACATGGCTGATACTTGGGGGATACCAGAAATTACCCTCTATAATGTTTGCAGAAACGGACGACATTCTTTCCACCCTTTGGTGGAAAGACCTTGTGCGCGACGTGCGTCCTTTTTTTGCTTGCCGTTCTTTAGATGCCAACCAGGATCGTAGTTCAGTGTGCTCCCAGATTCTCAAATCCCTGCACCATATAAAGTTGGAATTGCTTTTGACACTGTCTGCATCAACCCATTGGAGTATCTACCATGGCTTCGATCAGAGCTCGAGTCTCGTGGTGTTACATTCCGTCGCCAACACGTATGGAGTTTGGACGAAGTCAAGCCTTTTGTTGGGAAAACGGGGTTGTTGGTTAACGCAACATCTCTTGGTGAGTACACGCCAGGTGTCTTTGAATAGCTGTTGATGTGCAGATTGAAAGGTTCACGGTCTCTGATTGGGGTAGAAGATACGGCCCTGTTTCCAATCAGGGGACAATCTATTATAGTCGAAAGAGAAGGGCTGCATAAATTCATATCAGCTCGGTCTGGTCAGTCAAATATTAACGGTTATACCGTCGTTATCATCCTGACACGCAGTTGCGCGTAGGTGCCGGGCTGTCGGAACTTGTGACATCTGTCATTCCTCGCCCTGGACTGATCGAAACGGATACTGCGCTTCTAAATGGGACATATCAAAAAGGAAATTGGGACACCTCTCTGGATATGTCAGTTGCAAAAGGGATATTTGAGCGGTGCTCCGCGCTGGAGCCGTGTCTGAAAGAAAAGACGAAGATCCTTAGACACACCGTCGGTCTTAGGCCCGACAGGGAGGGCGGTCCACGTGTGGAGGTTGAGCGAATTTCGCTCCCTCTTAGACGAAGTGACGGCTTGGTTCCATACGTGACCGAGCATGCGGAAGAAGAGCAGCAGGAGATACCGGTCATTCATGCATATGGAATGGGGTGAGATGACTATCCGAGATTCGTACGAGTTCTGACTTTCAGCTCCAGCGCCGCAGGCTACCAAAGATCATGGGGTGTCGCCATCGAGGTTCTGTCTCTACTCAAGGAGAACGTACAGACAGGCTGCTGATCATAGTGATAAATTTCGTTGCAATTCTGGGTTTTATCTTTTCATCTGGGCCTGCCATTACTCATGTAAAATGCACGATACTTGGTCTACAAGTATTATACTCTTCATCAATCAATGTATCATAACTCGAGTCTCAGCTTCACCCTCTCGACTCGGAGTCTCGAGCGCTTAGCGCCCGCCCTGTCAATATCCATGTATCCAGGTCGTTCCTGCAAGCAAGCCCAGGTAGGTTTATGGGGAGACTGACGCAACCTGGGCACCAGTAGTCCTGGCAGAGAAACTCGAACGGCGAGAAGTGAACGATGTACACAGGCTCCCAATCCAAATGATCAATTATGAATATGAAATGATACTACCTCGCGCTCTTGTGAACTTCACAGCCCCGTACGCGTAGAACGTGGGGATTCAACATTCAACGTTCATCCCGTACGCTGCCTGCTAAGATTGCCAGTGAGGATGCGCCAGAAACCATGCGAAACATACGCTTCCTATGCCACACCAACTTGTCAGGTGTTCTTACACCAACCGAGTTATTCAAGTCCAACTTGAATGGATATCGAGTTGAAGTTCGTTCGAAACCGTGATTTCCATCATGGGAGCATCATATATCGTCAAATTAGGCTAAAGGAATCTTCGCTGGCACTTGATGAGTCTCATCAATACACTTGTCGGACGACAAAGATAATCCTAGTAGCAAACGCACGTTTCCTAAGGGAGACTTGGTGCTTGCCATCTTCAAATTCAGTGTGCGAATCTGATCACGCACAAAAGTCAGCCTTGCTAACGCCATTGGGTTTTCTACCTCACCAGAATCGGCCAGATTGATCATGGTAGCAGTTGCGGTCCCGAGGCCAACGAGTTATGACAGAGGTCTTATCTTGGCTAGGAGCTGGCAATGCAGCACTTTGAGGTTGGGGTAAGTAAGTACTTACTCGGAATCCGGATTCCGCGCAGCTGACCCGGACCTTCTCGCTTATACTACAACTGTCACCAGTTTTTGAATACCTGCTCAATCGGTCACAGTAATGCTGGGCATAAAGTTGAACGAAGCGGTCCGCTTATAGTATCAGTCGGAGAGCGATAAAGGTCCAACGGATGTCCGATACCGATGAAGGTGACTAGGTCTCGGTGCATTAAATTGACGTATGACAGTCTATGACTCACACACGCGTCGGACGTGCCAGATTCCAGTCATTAATTATTCAAAGCACCCCTACATCAGCCATGTCTACCACGAAGGCAGAGCAATCTCTCGTCGTCCTTGGAGCAGGCGTCCTTGGGCTAACGATTGCATACCTCGCTGCCTTTGCCGAGGATGTCTCATTTAATATCAAAGTCATCGCTAGAGAACTGCCCGGCGAAGACATGGATTCTCAAGCTTGGGCTAGCCCATACGCCGTATGTTTTGTTTATAATGTTATAAGTCCGACAGCTTCTAAAGGACAATGATTAGGGTGCTAATTGGTCCCCCATGGAACTCGGAGGCAGGGATGAACGAATCAGGATGTGGGAGCAGAAAACTTTGTACGTGTAATCTTTCCACCGAGAGATGTATGTCAACTGATCCTGCAACGACCAAGTGATAAGTTATGGGACATGATCCCAACCGGGTTGGTTAAGGTCAGTCTAAACCCCTCATTTGTCCTCGGTCGTGAGTAAGGAGCAATCCAGCTATTACCCACGAGGCTTTATACTGCACAAGAGGGAAACATATCAGACTTGTGGTGGAAAGACCTCGTGCGAAATGTACGTAGTTTATTTCATGACTGTGGACACCAGGATACAAACCGTGAGGACAGATTAGGATGCTTTCCCCCTCTGACGTCCCTGAGTCGTTCAAAGCTGGAGTCGCATTCGACACTTTTTCAGTCAATCCAGCTGAATATCTTCCGTGGCTCCGATCCGAGTTAATCTCCCGCGGAGTTACCTTTGAACGCAGAAATGTGAGGAGTCTGGACGAGTTGAGGAGCCTGGTGGGGCCTGATGGTATTCTGGTGAACGCGTCTTCGCTTGGTAAGTAATTTCTTTCGGAAGTCGCTCTCGTGACAATCAGCCCAAAGGTTCTAGATCCATTATCGGAGTGGAAGACACAAAATTGTACCCCATTCGCGGACAAACGATCCTAGTACATGCGCCAGGTCTGCAGGAGTGTTTGATCGCTAATAGAGGTGCGTATTCAGAGTGAGCAGTGGTTCTCTGCCCCTCATTAGAGTGCTGTGATCCAGAGACCGAGGAAGCTACATACATCATTCCCCGCCCTGGAAAAGGTCAACCTGACACTGCGATTCTCGGTGGGACATTCCAGCCCAGGAATTGGGACACCTCTTTGGATATGCAGATCGCGAGAGGAATATTTGATCGCTGCGCGGCATTGGCTCCTTGTTTGAAGAGTGCCGAGTTCAGAATCCTGAAACATAACGTTGGTTTAAGGCCTGGAAGAGAAGAAGGACCGCGGGTCGAGCTAGAGCGAATCGTGCTGCCCTTGGAGCGCACGCATGGCCTTGTTCCGTGGAACGAGAGTCCCGCAAATGACCGTGACCATGAAGAATCCATGCTTGTTGTACATGCTTATGGTTTTGGGTAAGCTATTATCTGGAAAGTTTGAATGCGGTTGCCTAATAACACACTTTCACAAGACCGGCAGGTTACCAGAGATCTTGGGGTGCGGCAGAAGAGGTACTGGAGTTGATCAAGGTCCAAGTTGCTTTGAAACGAACTTGAGACGATACCTAAATTACCACTGCCTTGATAGCGGGTCTTGTAGTACCAAATTTTCGCGCCCCCTGAGCAGGCTGCACTCTCCATTTGAAATCTGCTTTGCAGATACACTCTCCTATCGACACTTCATCTTTTTATCGGCCATTCAGCTAGATTGCTGCCGGCGCGTGGTTTGACTGGGTTTGCAGCACAATGTCGTCTGCTTTCCGTTGACACCATGGGTGTCGAACGTCGAACATTGAATTGCCAGGAAGTCGTTCGCGCGCTCTCCACAAGATTTACTAAATTAGTGCAGTGACTCTCCGGGTCTGACATCCACCTTACGAATGGATATCAACTCATGAATATTGAATGCTGAAGTGAAAGGTAGCAGGCTTTGCCACGTATAAGTCTTGCAAGAGGTCTGCCAGAAGTTTAAGGTGAAAATATGGCGGAATGTGAAAACGACTACAAATTGCTGCTGGCAATTTCACGTTCAGTGATTATAGGGCTGATCACCGTACTAGTACGGGGCCGTGATATGGTGTAGTACTACCGTCGGCATTTTCAGGCTTCAAACGCTTCGACTTGAGAGGACCCTATTACAGGGTATCAGCATGGATATTTGGATCCCAGTCAGACGTACGGCGGCGGGTTGGAATGAAAACAATCATTGTTTTGTGGGACTTTCGCCAATGGAATATCGGTGGCAGTCAAATTTGAGGTCTGGTAATCTGCTGGCACATACGAGCAAAATGCCGTATTCTGTTTGATGTCACATAAGCTTTGCCTACACACTCTTGTAGTGGAGTTCTGCCAAGAACAAGTGCTATTTTCAGGATGTAAAGCAAGCCTTCAGGTTTGATGTACTCATCGCACAAACAATGTATGTCTCCGACTGGCAGATCCTTGCCGTGATTACTGTTCCATCTGTGTCTGTCTATGCATGCACCATCTAATGCACCGCAGAATTGCAGAATTGGCTGTGAAGGTGATTCATTCCTGAGAGCGTGAATAAAAGGAGTTTTCTTTGCATCCAGCTAGAACCCCTGACCGGTTTGGCCTTGTGATGAAGTGTGACCACGATTTTATGACAAAATTGCGGCCTATGCGTACCAACTAGGGAGTCATATTTTTGTTTTCGCATGATGTAGTGTGTGGTCGGGGTCACAATGCATGGTTGGTTCCTAATGCCGCTTGAACAATGGAGACTTGTAGAGATGACATTCATTCTAGTGTATGCTCCGGTCAGCATCTCGCATGAAGGTAAGGTTATTTTCCGTACCGACAATGTGGCTGAAATCCTCGTGGTACCCGTCACGGCGGTGTAAAAAACGGTTCAAGGATGGACGACAGTCTATACCACCCTTTCACACTCTGGCTGCGGGACAACTCCAAGTCATCAAGCACCTGGCAAAAGGAGCATTAGTAAACTGAGCCGTACCATCCAAATAAAATCGTTCATCGTCCATCGATGAGGCGATGGTACTGTCTCCCATAACCAGACCCATCGAAGGAGGATAGTTGTTCCTTTGTATCAAGATCAGGCAACATAAATGATTGCGGCTGTGGAAAGAAAATAGATAATTGTCACGCAAATTTGCGAATTGCGAACCGTACAAACTCGCGCATGGTGTGCGTAGGCCTACCTGTTACTAGCCCAGACGTCAACTACAGAGGCACAACAAAACAAAATGCATGCAGCGTCGCTTGACTCGGCGTAGGCGAGTTATTTGAATCGAAAACACGATCACGTGACATGACGCGTCGGCTTGTTGAACTGTATTTGGTTTCCGTGCTGGCATTCGTGGTCCTTGCCACTAGCAAGTTTGTAGCGTTCGACCACAACAGTCATGTCCCTCAAGGACATCGGAAAGTACGATGTGTCCGAAGAAACCCAAGCTCTCAAAGATAAAGTAGCAAGTCAAGGTACGCTTTTAGCGCATAATCTAACAATGCTTTCTCACATTCCGCTCAGACACTGAGAATGCAGGCCTGCGAAGCCGCCTAATGAAGAGAGAGGCCGAACTGGAGGAGATAAAGACATCATTGAACGAAACATTGTACAAGGTCATTTTGACTTCCTTCTAATTGATTGTCCACGTCCACTCACTTCCTACCTCAACAGCTCAGCGCGGAGGCTGATCGTGCTCTCAGGCTTGAAAGCGATCTGGGGCGGCGCTCAGATGAACTCAAGATGGAGAAAATGGCAGCTAGGAATGGAGAAGCTGCACTTGTGGCTGCGCAGGACAAACTGAAAGCTGAAGAACGAGCAGTACGCGAGCTCGAGGCAACGCTTGATACTATGTCTTGCCAATCCGATTTAACCAGGGCTCAGACTTCCAAACTGGAGACAGAGAAGCGAAATATGGAGTCCCGCCTGCGTGAGCTAGAGAGGATGCTGGAAAATACGAAACCTCAACCGGCAGCTAATTCTCGATTGCCGCAGCGAAGTGGGAGGCCTCGGTCTTCCTCTGTGTCTAGTTTCAGATCACCAGCGTTGGAGCGAGAACTCAACGATATGAAAGTTCTCCTGGCAGATAAAGAGAAGACCTTGCGCGACATAGAATTGAAACTCACTCGAGCTCAGGAAGATCTTGTCAAGACGCAAAATACGCAGTTTTCGGCGGAGAAGACTATGCAGGCTCGTATCGCGGAGCTCACATCAGTAATAGAGGACAAGGATGAGGAGCTGGAGGTGTTGAAATCGAGTCAAGGCGCGGGCAACGCAATGGAGAGGGAAGAAGAGTTGATGAAGAGGATAGACGAAGATGAAGTGAAGATAGAGACATTAGAGAGTCTCCTGCGCGATCAGCAGAGAGGACCCACACAGGCGGCGTACGATAAGCTGCAGAGAAGGCTACGTGCTGAGTCGGAGAAGCTTACCTGCTCAGAGAAGAAAGTGCAAGACCTCTTGGAGGAGAAAAAGGAAGCACAGGACGCATGTACTAATATGCGGCAGCAGCTTGACAAAGTGGATCAGCTGTTCCAGGACAGCGAGAAACGCGTTCGAGCTCTGACAGCCATTGAGTGGTATGCAATCATTAGCCATCAGCCCGATATATTGCTGATGTTGAACCAGTGGATTACAACAAGAGCTTATGGACCTCCGGCACAACCAGGAGTCGACGCGGCATTTGACGGCCACTAATGAGGATCATATGGATATCGATGTTGAGGACGTTCGATCCAACTTCGACGGCAGCTTGCTATACCCAAATTGCTCCACTCCGTTGCCACCGACCAAGACCAATGCTTCCGCTCACCCTGATGAAGCAACACTCGCCAATTACATTGAAACTTTGCTCAGGGCTATAGACAGAATACGGGGCGAGCGAGATGATCTACGGCGCGCCCTCGAATTCTCCGAGACCGAGGCTCGATTCACAGCCCAGACTATGCAGAAGCGCATCCACACACTCACCCAGGAGGCGGATGGAGCATCAGCCCACAATCGGCAGAACAAGCGTCTTGTCCTTGTCATCACAGCCCTGGGTGTCGTTGTGAATCATCTACGCGGGCGTTTGCATGCTGCAGAGCAAAGTCATGCGGTCCTCGACCACTCTCAATCAATCGCAGAACGAGATGCCGCTTTACAAGACCTTCAAAGCAGGCTTGAGGTCTCGTACCAGCAGTTGACTGCATCAGAAGAGTCGCGTAACCACCTGCTCCTCCTGGTCACAGAGCTGGAAGTCAAAGTCCAATCTCTGACTGCCGAAGTACAGGCAGGGGAGTCATCTCACGAAGACTCCCGTAATAAGATCCAGCAAGCAGAGGAACGACTAGCCGAGCTTACAAGAGCGTACCAGAATATCGAATCGGAACGTAACTCACTCGGCCTCCAAGTCACGAACCTCCAAACAGACTTGGAAGCTGCACAAGATGAATTGTCGGACGCTCAAAGCCGCTATAGCGCTCTCCAGGCGCAACAGTTATCCACTATGTCAGCAACTGGGGTAGCTCACGCGCTTCGTGAGCAGATACAGGAACTTGAAGGTCGTGTCAACCGCCGCACGGAGCAGATCGGCATTCACCAACATGACATTCGCCGCCTGGAGACCAACCTCAAACTCCAGGAGGAACGTGTCTCCGAGATGATGTCAGAACTGGAGATGATGTCAACGCAGAAGGAGGCAATGGTTGAGGACTGTGCAGAAGCTAGAGATGCTCGCGACCAAGCTGTTAGCAACTTCGAGGCAGCAGAGTTCGAGGTGGAAAGGTTGCAGGAAGAGAACGACAATCTCAAAGCCACCCACGGTGATGAGCTATCATCTATGGTGTCCATTGTCGCTCAAGCGATGTCGAACGCTCGCCGCGCCCAATGCATAGTGGACCAGCACCTCGCCGAAGAACCGCAGATGTTGTCCAAGATTGCTGCCCTTTCGGCCCACAGCTCGAAACTCTCTGAAGATATGGGAGTACTTGCTGGCGAGAAAGAAGTGCTTCGTCGAGACTTGACGGAAAGCGTCGCATCAATGCGCTGTCTTGAAGCTCTCCTGACAGAACGACATGACGAAATGCGTCAACTAGTGGTCTCGCTTGCGATTGTACGCCAGGCACTGTCCAACAGAGATTGCAACCTGGAGAAGTCTCGTCAAGACGTTGCGGTGTTGCAAGCTCAACTTTCATCTTTCCGCTGCGAACTCGAGGAAAAGGAAGCCGTTTTACAAGTTGGCAATGCAAGATTGGCCATGCTTGAGCAAAATTTCACCGAGATATCCAATGAGTCAGCCGCTGCTTCGACTCGTCGCATTTCAGAATATCAAGGACGGGTGCAATCATTGGAGGACGAACTTGATGAACTTCGCACCCGCCATCAGATCGCCTGCGAATCCTTGTCTAGAGCTCAGGATGACCTTCAGGAACGCATTCAGGCGCCGCAAGCTGGCGAGAGTGACGCCGAGCTACAGGATCTGCATGCTCATCATGCTGTCGAGGTCAGGGACTTGCAAGATCGCCTCAAGCATGCGAGCCAAGAGCTTACACAGGCTACGCAGCTTTTGCAAAGTGCTGACCTTCGCTTTGCGGAAGTGCAGCAACAAAATCAAGAATTAAACAGCCAAATTGCAGCTCTCGCGGATGACGACCAGAAACGAGCTGGGAGGGAGGACTCTCTACGCGTCAAACATCATAAAGAACTTGATATTCTACAGAAGGCACTGTCCGATACCCAGAACGAACTCGCTGCCGCTAAAGAGGAATGCCAGCGTCTTACGATGCTCATGGAACAATCAACTAGCGAACTTGAACGAGTCCACATGGACGCTCTGCGACAAGCAGAGCAACAAGTTCGCGAATTGCAGGACAATCAGCAGGAGACCGTTGCCGTTCTCGAAGCCAATGAAAGAGATCTTCAAGACTTCCGTATTAGCCTTGACGAACGATCCCGAGAGGAGGAGTTGCTGCGCGCACAGTTACAGGATGAAATTTCCTGTCGCAAGCAAGATCAGGCGGCCTTCGATGATCAGCTCTCTTCTCACGCAGAGCGTCAAGCCAAATTTGATGTTCTCCAGGCAGAACTTCGACAAGCCAATGAAGATACGCGCTGGCAGCTGGAGCAGGCTGAAGTTCAATTATCTAGTCTCCAGGCAGAGAAACAATCGCTGCAAGTAGAGATTACCAGCTTGGAAGCAGAGATTCAGCGCTCGATATCCTTAACGAGATATCTCGAGCAACAAGTGCAGGAGAGGTAAGTGGGTTTGCCGTCTTCGCAGGCAGACTCTTGACGAACAATCAACAGTGAAACATCCAATTCCTCCCTCAAGGAGACCCTTGAACAGATACAGCTTCGTCTTGCTCAGTCTGAAAAGGCGGGCAAGGCGGCCGAGCTTGGTCTTGCACTTCAAACAACACAGCATGAGAAGGCAATGGAATCCCTCCGATGGGAATTGGACGCAGTTCGTTCGGAACCAAAACTTCAGGATGTCGTCGCTGAATTGGAAGAGAAAAATCGCGAAATGGATGAGCTATTGCAAAGCAAGTGTGCCGAAATTGAAGACTATGACGATCGGATATTGGAGTAAGCGAGTTCATTTGCGGTTCCCGCACCTGAACTAATACTATGACAGAGCTTTGAAGGCGAACAAGAAATTGTCAACCAAAGTGGAAGTTCTGACACGCAAGGTGCAGAACCTCCAAAGCAAACTTGCTTCCGTCAAAGAGTCTGCGCAAACCCCACCGGCCCCCCTCGCCGCACCGGCTATGCAAACAACACCGCCGCCCATTGTCCCTCCAGTGCATCGGGTGGTGCCTGTATTCACAGATACTGCGCAAATCCTGGGACGAGATCGAACCATGTCAAACACCCCAGCAGTATTCCGATCACAAACACCAGAGAGGAAACCTGTGCAGCCAGGTATGACGCAAACCGAAATCTCTGAAGGGGAGGTGCCGACATCTGCGGGAAAGAAGAGACGAGCACCAGATCATGATGAAAGGGAAACTGTTCCACCCGAGGGCCGCTACACAAGTGACTCGGACGTGCAGGCAGCCACTACACCACGTCTCCGGAAAACGTTTCGATCCGGATTTACGCCAGTACGCTCTTCCAGAATCACACTTAATCAGCCTTCGCCAGGAAGGCGAGCCACGACTACCATCTCAGACGTTACGAACAGTCCTCGGTCCACATCCGACCCTCAAGCTTCTAGAAACTCGTCTAAACGGACGTCGACCTGGTTAGGTAAAATCAGAGGCGGAGTGCCGCAATCTAATAATCCAGGTGGCAGGGTCGTATCCTCACGAGTGAATGTGTTTGAGAAGATGCCAGATATTCCACGATCGTCATGAGGGACTCTGTTTCTGAGCGTTGTAGCATCTACCTTTGCCTACTTTTGTATTTTTAGTCAACCAATATTTATACAAAGGCGTTGTCTTGTACAAGGTAGCCTCCCGTAGTCAGACTGTGACCAAATCTATTCTCAAGAAAGAAGCATTAATACTGATGTCTGTCACCAATACCTTTTGAAAGGAATACACATTATGTATGTATAGATTTGAGTGATACAAGTGAACCAAGTACTGTAAGATACAACAACCATATGGTGATATAATCTGACCAGCAGAGGCTTATGCGTAGCAGTCCAAAGCGACTGTGCACGCATCCAGGAGACAACCATAATTATCTGCTACAGTAGCCTCTCTTAATCTACTGAGGATGGCTTCATGAAGAGTATCTCGTCTAATGACTGTAATCAGCGTCAACGGCCTTCGAGAAGGAAATCACGCACTGAATAGGACCATATGCGACTTTGACGTCGCATTGCATAGATTGGATCGATATAGGCCAAGAAGAGAACGTCCGAGTGTCAAATATAAAAGATATCAAGGCCTTCGCCTTCTTGCTAGGGAGCATGACTGTTATAGTTGCAGTGAACCCGGATTCGTCATCTGCTCCGTGATTGATGGCGACCGGGTACTTAATTGCGACCAACTTTAGTTGGGCTAGCAATTGAGAGCAAGCAGACCAGTAGTCTCCTAGACGTTCGACGATCTAAATTGTGGAGTTCATTGTGAGTTTGTGTGATACTCGGAGAATTCTTACCTGTCGAACACTGAGATCTCCGTTAGATCTCGTGATGAGCGAGTTTGCCGTCTTTAGTATCAACGGGCTAAGAGCGGGGAATGCATCTTTGTACTTGAGCTTCGCACTCTGGACCCGCGTGATCGAAACTTCCTTGACAACTGGGCAAAAGTTCTTGCATGGGACAGAGACGTCATAAGATGACGCATATCTGAATTCAAAGAGCTCTGGCAGGACTTTTGTGACTTGCAACATGTGAAGGTTTTGGAGGGCTTCCAGTTCATCTGGGCATCTATGTCAGCATTTTATAGGATCTTCGAAAACGCGAATTTCCTACCTTTCAATCTGAAGACTTCGACATGCGTGCTGTTTTTCTGCACCTGAACTTGCCGCTCAGCCACCTGGATAGCATTGGTGGTTTCAAGCTTCTGGGCTTCAATTTCCTCCAGCTTCTCCTGTAGACGTTCTAGTTTGGCTTTACCCTCATCGACGTCTGCTCGAAAGGCTTCAAGCGCAACACTACAAGCGTGCCATTCAATCAACTAAGACCATCAAACATAAACATGAAGCATATTCACCTTTGTTCTTGAATGGTTGTTTTCAATTCATTCAGATAATCTTGGTCGCAGTTCTCGAGTTCGGCGACATCAGCCTGTTCTTGCTCCAGCTCGCGGAGAAGATTCTCGTATTCCTCGTTGAGAACAGGCACAACTTCCTGGGTTTGACGAATGATATCTTCGAGAACTTTGGCATCCTATTATCGTAAATATTAACGTAATGAAACGGGAAGGGATACTGAGCATACCGCCTCAAGGTCCCGAAACCCTTGATCTGCCTTCTCGTAAAGTTGCTCAACCCACTGCATCTTCCAGTCGTACCATTCTGACTTGGCCTGTGCATGCTTGTTGACCTTGATAAGCTTGAGCTGATGGAGGAGCTCATTCTGGCCTTCCTCGTCTGCTAGTACGAATTCTTGGAATAACTCAGGAGTCATCTTGAGAGCCTCTTCTTCTGCGTCTTTGTAGATGCCTTTGATTCGCTCGATCCAGAGTTGCAGGTCTTTACTAACGTGCGTGTACAACTCCAGCTGTGGTACGTCGACCGCCATTGCGACCACATATTCAGATAGAGGAATCTCGTTTTCCGTGGACTGTCGCCTGGAAGGACGAAGGGCAGACGAGTGCACGGTAGAGCGACGAGGGGCAGCGATCTCATCCATGAATCGGATCCCGGTCATCTCAAAGAATTGGTCTATGGAGACTTGTGGGCCATCTTCAGGAGGGAAGTCTCCTTCAGCAATATCTCCGCGCCATTGCTCAGTGGGGTTGGAAATCCCCTCGGGGATAAAGGCTAATGGTGTTGGGTTTGAAATTCCCTCCATCCCCTCGAAATCAGGCTCAGGAAGGTCTTCTGGTTCTAGTTCTGGCCCAGGGCTGGGTAGCCTAGGGGATGCGTGTACCGGTGTTGGTGGTCGAGGTGAATTGCGTGAAGGGCTTTGAGATCGAAGGAAGGGAAGTACGGGGGACTCTCGCGCGGGCGATTTCCTGAGCAGGTCGACAGGCGGGGAAGCCCTCCCTAGCATCTCATGAACGGGAGGCTCTCTCATTGGAAAGTCGTTGGTCTCAGCTCTCACCATCTCCTGCGACTCCAAGACAGCTTTCTCCGCCGTCTCTCCAACAGCTCCCTCCTTCTCGCCAGCAAACCTAGTTAATGGCTCTGCGTCACCATCGTCCGCAAAGGAAGTACTCTTCCTGCCAATATGTGCGGCCGCTTTCTTGGCCGGAGAGACCGGGGCAGGAGAAGCAGCGAGCGCTGCTCCACTCATGCTTTTCCTTTGCGCGAAGTATCCCGAAGGACGGCGAAATCCAACAGATGGACGTTTAGTCGGGCCAGAAACCGGCTCTGCGTGTGCTTGGAATGACGTCTTCTTGCTTGGGGAGAGCCTTGGAAGCCTGCTCGACTGCATGGGTGGCTCCTTAGAGAATTCATTTAACGGAGCAGTAAGTTTGCCTGGGCCAGCTAGCTTTTTGGCGGGACTGGGTCTGTCTTCTGATTCTGAGTCACCAAGGACACTTTGGACCCTCTTTTTTGGCGAGGAACGAGCAACAGGAGGAGCAAAAGCTGCGGAGAATTTGGCTTTGCTCGGTGATACGGATTTAGTAGGGGAAGGAGGACGAGGGCGGGCTGGCGATACTGGCGTTTGTGCGCGAGGCGTGAAGGAAAATGAAAATGGCTTGGGAACTGTGGTAGGTCGTGGAATAGGAGTGGGTGGCATTGCATTTGAGATCTCCCCAGGGGGCGGGGCTGGTTTGAATACGGCAGGTCTGGCTGCTAGCTCCTCATGAACACACTCCTGCGGTTCGGTCTGAGCGACATTCCCATGAGCCTCAGCTATCGGTTGTACCGAAGAGGATGAAAGGTCTATGCCTGCGACGTCAGACTGGTCCCCGCTTGGCTCCTCCTGACTGCCATACGTGGACGTGATCTCCATAGTAGAATTCCCATCCCCATTGCCAGCACCAAGGCTCACCCGGCGCATAAGCTGAGTGACATTGATAGTGTGGTTTCCGTCATTTTCCACATCATCTTGGGCAAAACTATCTTCAGAGCTGTTGAAACTGTTGTTCTGCTGTTCGAATTCTTCAACGTCTATTCCATTTCCGAAACCGAGGGATTCACGAGCTGCTTGGAGCCTCGTAAGAGCATCGGTAATCTCCATGTCCTGTCCCCCATGTTCGTCCTCTTCGTCGGATGAGGGAACATATGGGGTCTCACCAGAGTGGGTTATTGATCGAAGAGCAAGCCAAGCTTCACTTGGCGGGGCAGGTGGACGGATGAGTGGAACAGTGAACTCCATTGGCTGAGAGACATCGCCTTCAGACACGAATGACTGAGATTGGTGGGAATCATCTTCGGTATAGGATTGTTCGGCAGGGGCGTGCTGCTGACCACCCTCGTCATGATTGTCTGGTGGCGAGGTTACATTTGCAAGCGGTTGGCGAGAAGGAGGAAGTGCCAAGGAGCGTCGTTTTTGAATATTGATGTGCATGGCTTCGGTGACCTCCATGTCGTCGTCATCTAAGTCAAAGTCATCATCCGGAAAGTCTTCATCGACAACCGCCTCCTCGTTATGAGCTCGTAGATATGCAGCTGGCCCAAAAGCTGTGTCATCGGAGTCCATATCCATAGATTCCTCACCTGCACCATCACTGAAAGCGACGGATCGAATTGAGCTTCGACGACGGAAGTTACTTGCTCCAGGATATGCATTTTCATCCGTAGGGCCTCGTTCAACTGCCTCCTGCAAGGGCGAGGACTGTGGGGAAATAGTGCTATTCGTATTTTGTTCCTGTGTTTCGAATAGCCGGACATGTGCCCGGTCTGCGAAGCTGACGCGCCGTGCAAGAGATTTTCGCGTGTTTTCATGAACATGGGTCAGATCCATGGATTGTGTGGCATCGTCATCATCCTCGGGGATGTTAACTGCAGGTTTGAGGATGCTTTTTCGGGGAGCCTGTTGGACTGTAAGGAATACAAATGGCAATCAATCATATAACGTACCAGTGACCGACGTGCCTTCGAAGCAAGATTGATCTTGTCGCCAGGTGCAATTGAATGTGCCCGTCGCTTCTTGCCTGGATGAAGAGGTCGATTCTGGATGGCTACTGCGATAGATTTACGTCTGCTGGGCGACCCTCGACCGCCATTGGTAGTCATATCCAAGATGTATACGTCCGAGCCAAGGTCAATCAAGAAAGGTGATCGTTGTCGTGAACGAGCGCGAGACGTTGAACAATATGCAGAACTTAGGCTATTGTGCTGAACACGCTCACGTGATATAGATTAGACGCGTCTCGTCACATGACATTACCAGAAACAATAAACGCGTTCTTGCTATCCCTTTATTCCACCAGTTGCTGTTACATACTTGCTACCTGAGTTTGCGTTCGTTCATTGCATATTCCATTTTCGCCACTTCTGCCATTTCTTTTCAATCGAGGGACTTAGCTTGTATGAGCGCAGATGACCAAATATATATAGCGTTGTGTTAATCAGTGTCATGGTATACAGATCGCGATTGACTGTGACGTTCGAAAGAGAAAATAAACAGATCACTGGTCATCAGGTTAAACGCATCCGCCTGATATTCTTGCTTCCTCCACCCTTTTGCACATTTTTCTCCACGGCTCCAACTACTTGTTCTAGTTCTTCCTCTGTCACTACAACCTTCTTACCCAGTTGCCTTCGAAGAGTTATCAGTCCTTTTTCAAACTCATGGCACAGATCTCACCTCTTCTTCTTCTTCGTGATGTCAATATCGTCTTTCCCTGGCACGAATACGACATCAGGACCCCCGTAAGCTGCCCGTGCCTTTCGATTGGGTAGAATCGTGATAGAGTCATCAGCGCCGCCTGTGCCGTCCTCCAAGAGAGAAATATCCTTGAGCTGTTTCTCTAACAAAGACACAGTGCGAGTTGATCGACGACCAGTTGTGGCTGCTGGACTCCCTACTTTCCCTTTTGCCAGAGGCTTGATAGCAACTTTAATCGGCCTAGACTTGGCCTTAGCTGGAGGGGCGTAGTCGTCGGACTCGTCATCTTCACTAATTGGGTCATCCTCCACGCCATCTTCTTCCTCTTCCTCTGTTATTTGCTCGATTTCGCTTTGATCACTTGCACCAGCCCCCTCCACATCCACATCGGTGCCCATCATTCGGTTGGAGGTGAGCTCCGATTGTGTGTTGGCCTTCCCTTTACCGTATAGAGGTGATGAAGATCGGCTTGCCTCTGAATCAGACGGCTCATCGCTATCTTCAAAGTCTACGTCCTAAACCAGAGTCAACTCGTAATTGACAACGGGGTTTTGTTCTACTTGAACTCACCTCATGTTCGATTTCGCCCGACTCTTCGCTCTCCTCAACTATCTCTTGACGCTTTTGAGGAGATCCAATTAGTCCAGCTTGATGCAGCATGTCGATCTTGGCATCCATTTTTCGTTCGTTTCGTTCCACCTGATAAAGGCTATAAGTTAATGTGTTACCCTCGGAATCCAGACTTTACCTCGCTCATAAGCCTCTGACTGTGAGTCTTCTCAATTTCGCGCATCCTTTCTTCCATTTCCTTCATAACGTCTTCGCGGGTTTCCGCTTCGACTATTATACAGCGCATCTCTGCCTCATAAAGCTGCGAAAAAAGGTCTTGTTGAACAGATGGCGACCATTAGTAATAGAATCGTACCCGCAGGCGCAAATCCTCTATTTCATCAAACAAGGCGTCCACTAGCGGATTAATAGGCTCATCATCATCCTCTTCACTCTCGCCATCTTCCCTCGCCTCCTCATCCTCTGTATAGAGCATATTAATGGAGGATACACAATGCAATGTAATAACGCACCTTCGAGAACCTCAAGGTGCGCTTCGCTGACCTTCTTATTAGGGAGAAGGCTCGATATCGTTACCTTCCTGGTCACAGCCCTGGGCAGAGCCGAGCTGACTGACCTCTGCTTGCTTGGATTGATCTGCACGCGGGGCACAGGTGCGTTGTTCACGGTCGTCGAAACTTCCCTCGCAAGTGCAGAGAATTTCATTACATGAGAGTTCTCTTCAAAGCCAGTGTCGTAAGGATTGATGTTGACGATCATCACCTGTCGTTGTATGTTCTCCATAAGCTGCTTGTTAAATGCTCCAAGTCGAAGACTTACGACTCGACCATCGCCAACAAAGTAATCCATCAATACCTCGGTGACTTTGCTATGCCTGAATGGCACAACAGCCAATGCCCTCTTAACATCACGAGTATCCGTCCGCCCAGGATTCGCAAGGCTTTGTGCAAGACGCTTTTGGTTGGAACGCATGACCTACCGATGATGAGTGTGCATATACCTACTAGACACAAGAATAGTCACCCTACCTCCATACATTGGCCAAGGACCATCAGAGACTTGTTGATGTTTCCGGCCTCCTTAAGACGATCGCCAGTTGTCTGCGTGTGCTTGGTTCGCTCCGATCCTGCTAGATCCACGAGGGTCAACCGAGATATCTGCAGAGAGCTTGGGTCCTGCGAAAGTTAAATAACACTATATTTCCAAGATCCGTACTGTACTTACGTCCCTGTCACCCCGGTGTCCTCTTAAGACCTTGATAGTCACCATACCATGGCTTCTGCTACTTTGGCTGTTAGCCAGCGTGCCGAAGACACGTCGGTGCAGCTGTCCTAGCTTGACAAGTGCCTTTGCTTGCGCAGCGGTGGTTACCCGGAAATATCTCAGCCCTGCAATGTACTTCCCCGCGCTTCCAGTCCCACTCTCATCTAATGCGTCAGAGGCAGGTGAAGGTTTAACAGTGAGGGCTTTACGTGTCAGCAGAAGCGGATGGGCGACTTGTACGTTGGTGTTGGGACGAGGGATCTGTGACCGGGACGTATCTTCTGTCACTTCGGCAAGAAGATCGTAAACCTTTTCATTGTATACTTCCGCGTAAGATACCCAAATAGAGTACTCATAGTTGCGGTCGAGCTTAACGATCGTTGGATCGATATCGATAGCATCCGTGTTCGAGAGGTGTTCCGCAAGGACTTCTGCGAGTCGTGGCTCATCAGTTGGCATGTCGATGTCCATGGGAGGCAGGAACTCAGAAGGATCAGCTTCTTCTACGCCATACAGCCTAACGGGCCTGAACTAATAAATTTTATTGTAAGGCATGAGGTCGCGTCTATTTATAATTACTCACCCGGCCATCGCTGTGCAGTCCTTCAACGCTGTTGAAAATCACGTCCAGTGTCCGCGGTAGGATACCTGCAGAATCCGGACCATTGCCTCCTTGGATTGTATATGTCTTGCCCGAGTTTGTGACGCCATATGCAAACAACAAGCCATTCTGTCCATCCAGCAGATCGCGTACGAGGGGAAGCGTAGTTTTAGCGAAGAACTCTGCCTGTTGTGTTTCCGGTAGGAAAACATGTGAGAATCTGTAGATTGACGAAGGTGCAACAGCCGAGACACGAATGTGCGGTCTGGAGCTGCCTGCACCGTCATGGGTGGGGTCTGTCATCTGTACAGACGTGTCCGATAAAGGGGTAAGGTAAGGCATAGACATGGGTTCATCATCCCCAAGATGAGGACGAATGCGCAAATAGGCCTAAAGGACGTTGTCAGTATATAGAAAAGCCGGTACCCATGATCTACCATAACGGGTTCGCGCTCTGCAGATGATCTATGGTCTGCCTGTGCTTGCCTAGTACCAGCCACCTTCTTGGCAGCAGGAAGCTTAGCATCAGGCGAATTAGCTCGATTGGCAAGAGGTTTTCGACCAGTTGTTCGCGCTTTTGATACCTCAGTTTGTGCGGTAGTTCTGCTTGGAACTCTTGCTCGAATCGTCTTTATCCCTGCTGGAGGACTCGGAGGTGGAACTGGTGTCTTTGTTCGGGTCGATGCCCTCGTCGCTGCTGTACCAATCTTCGATCTTGTGGCCATTGTGTTGCAATTTTTGCTGCGCTTGTCTGCCCCCTACAAAGTGGGAAGATTTGTAGAACGGGTTCAAGTTGAAGTAAGTTTGGACACGTAAATAATCACTCAGATGTGGCGTGCGCCGTGCCACACGCGCCAACGACGCGTCGCACCACGTGATCATTTCAATTCTCCTAGCCGCCATCATGATACCGACGCCAGATCTTTCTCATTTGACTAGGGATGATCTAGAGCAGGTGTACGACCCAGCAGGTGAGTGAACGAATATAAACACTACACCGTAGTCTCTAAGCTGTCTCGTAGAGGACACATTCTTGCTCCTGGATGCCCTCGAACAGGAGGCGGAAGAGCTCAGGAAGGAACGTCCTCTGATTTGTCTTGAGGTTGGGTGAGTCTTGCCTTCTACATGCTATCAAATACCGATTACGATTTAGTTCTGGGTCAGGATGCGTATCAGCGTTTCTAGGAAGGATATTAGGACAATCTTCTTCCCGTGAGTTCGTTTTCATCATTCTAGGGGCAGGGTTGATTGGCAGTTGGCCAGTTTACCTCTGCACTGATATCAACAAACACGCCACGCGCTGTACACTCGCAACAGGGAAACAGAACAAGGTACAGCCTGAGTCTCGTCAACTGCATTTAATTCACAAGTGCATGACTCTAGTAGATAACTTTAGATCCAGTGACATGTTCTCTAACACGACCCCTCTCATCGCGATTGCGTCACGCAGTTGATATTCTATTATTCAACCCCCCTTACGTGCCGACAGATACAGGCGAAGCTTCCAGTGCTCAGAATAGTGCTAATATCGCAGGGTCTTGGGCAGGGGGGACTGATGGAATGGAAATTACCAATCTTTTGTTACGAGACGTCGAGGTATCATCTTTCCTAGTGTTTTGAAATCTTGTTGACTATGCTTCTCAGTGCCTGTTATCACCGCGAGGTAGATTTTACTTGGTTGCCTTGAAACAAAACGATGTCCCAAGTATCCGGTCCAGAATGTTGGAAGAATTTGGTTTGACCAGTCAGGTAATTCAACCTGTCCAGTGCGAGTTGAACACTCTCTTATGACTATCAGATTGTCATTGAACGACGGGCGGGAAAAGAGTTTCTGTTAATTATTCGGTTCACACGGACCTCCCCCTAGGGTAGCTGATTACTGCAGCTAACACTGGCCTTGCAATGAGATGGCATTTTTTCCCCAAAAGACATCAATGAGGTTGCAAATGAAATATAAAACTGGTAGTCCATAGATCGTCAAATATGTACCAGTCCCAAGCAGGATATCAAGAATTGTATACGCCGTTAATCAACTATCCTCATTCAATCCTGGTCTACGACCTCTGATGCTGAATCTCGACGGAGAAGTCTGCAGCTGCGATCGTTCGAGGGACACGACGGATGCGTCCCGTGGATGATTCTCTGCATCAAATTCCAGACGGAGACGGGCAAGCCCTCCTCCTTGAAGTTCGACGGTAACCTCAGCAGCTGTCGACCGGCCAACTTGTATGTGCCGCCAGATCTAATCAAATCTGTCAGGAAAACCACGCCACAGCCAAAGGCATCTTAACGTACATCAACCTCGCCCTCAGCTAACAGCTTATCCTTTCCGAGCGTCTTATGGTCATAAATCCAGAGATGCAATTTGGGCATGTGTGCACTAGCAGCAAAGTTGAAAGACTCATTCCTAGAATGAAAGTTGAGAGGCGAAAACAATCGGGGAGGAAAGTCTTACCATTCTGGTGATGATGTCTTGTTACCATGTTTCGTCTTGAACTCCTTGTCGCCGACGCGTATGACTGCGTACGGTTTCGTCTCCGCCATAGACACATCTTTTGCGCTCATCATCGTTACTCTAAGTGTTCCAGGTTCTGATGGTGGGCCCGAAGCTGAAGGAGTGCGACTCAAGGAGGGGAAGACGGGGGCGGGAGTCGTGTCTTCACCTGCAGTCTGCTCTCCTATTGGCCGCGATGCCTGGCCAGCAGCGACCTCTGGCACGGCGTGGGGAACATCTAACTTTTCATGACTGCCTCCGAAATCTCTCTTGAAGACATTACCAATGCCACGAACGACGCCCTTGCCAGCACCGAAGGGCAATGATCCAATTTGTGTCATAGCGCGGCCCGCACTAGAGAAGGTCGAGGTCGCCTTCCGGCTCTTGGCAATAATCTCCGGTTGGAAGATTAATCGAATTGCGACATGTCCTTTTGCACCGTGCTTTTCCGACGAAAGCTCGATCACCTGTTCGGCGGCCTCGAAGGGTTCAATGTCACGCAGATTGATGGTACCACGCCCAAGACTCTTAGATTGCTCGAGTTGATTCCAATCGAAAACTTCGACAGAAAATTCTGCCGCCTCTCGAGATGGCTAATACGCTGTTCAGTGGATGACATTTCTCGACAAATGGTAGATGGCATACCACATCGACTTCGAAAAATTCTGACCAATCAGGGTTGAGAGTTTTCTTCTTGGTTTGAGACGTGAACGCCTTCGTGCCGTTGAGAGTGAAGACGGCGAACGGATCAGATTTGCCTAGGTAACATGTCAGCACGAGCACAACGCGCACGCAGTAAAGCTTACCTGTTCTGTCAGCAGAACGAAGGTCCTTTCCAGCCAGAAGATCAACTCGGAGTGTGCCTTGGTCTGTAACATAAGAGGTGTAAATGATGCACTGGGGACTTCACCGGGTGCTTACTGTTTACACTCTCTCTAGGCAAGAGCTTCACTGGGACGGGCACATAGCGGGATTCAATCTCAACAGTGGACGAACGACCATCTGCATCTGCGAGTGTGAAGGACGACCGACGATTCTGCAGATGATGAGGATCTACATCCAAATCAAGAGCAGACGGCTCACCAGGGTGGCATCTAAAAAAGCCTTCGCGTCACCTTTCCATTCCGCTGTAATGTCATCCTTATCGGGATCCCCACTCTCATTCAAGCGCAGCCACACGCGACCAAAGTCGAGCTCTTTGAGGAAGCCTTCGCCAACATGCAACCACTGAGCGTTTGTGCCTTGCGATTTCAGGGTGCTGAAAGCAGGCCAATACGCGTCATCCAGGAGCACATCCAGACGAGCTTTCTTCTGCAAATGTCCGCCTATCACGTTGAAGATAATTATACCCGATTCTTAGTATGAAGATGAGCATGAGTACGGGCCGGAGGAACACAGGTCACTCACGGTGCTTGAACAATTCTTCCTTGCTGAGATCGATACCTTCTTTTGCAGAATCTTTTTCATTCAGCGATGCTTCGTCGTCCAATTTAGCCCCACCCCCATTGGCTCGAACTGATTCACTAGAATCTGTTTGATGGGGTGGTGTCCCTGCCTCAGTCATTGGTCGATTGACAGTCACATGTCGGTCCTCTTCTTCGTTGCTGGAAGAACTGTTGCTGGTGCCTGAACTGTCATTTTCATGATTGTGCTGGACTTCTTTATGAGCGGCTTTCTGGATCTCGTTTTCGTCTGCATCAAAATGTACATGCTTCAAGTTCAAAGCTGATACGAATTCAGCTCTGAAGTGTAGGTGCCCTTTGCTTGTGTTGCCGTCGATCTTGATTGGCTCAGCAACCTCCCTGTCGCCAGTTGATTCGTAACGGTATTGTGAATCAGCTGACGATTCGCGTGCAAGATCGCTAACATGCAGTTCCACCGATCCAAGGGAGCGGTCCTGCGATCCTGATCAGCCAGCTATGTGCATCAATTGACAGCAACAAACCTTCGTCAAATGCTGGTAGTCCATGACTTCCATGAGCATCGACTGATCGGAGGTTAGCCTAGATTCGAAGAGTGGTCGAGAAACTTACCTCTCTCAGGGAATGGACTTAACAACAAAGATGAGTAAGGAAAAGCAGCAAGACGTACGACTACATACCCGGGATATATATTATTTGATCCCACTCGGGGTTCAGATCTGTAATAAAAGGTTATAACGGCTCATTCACGATTGTTTGCTACGCACTGTTGTTGATAACTTCAGTCCTCCCAAGAGTGACGTTGTTCACCAACACTCGAACATAAGGATCACTCTGAACAGACCAACGTTAGTTGAGCCTTTCTAAAAAAAAAACAAGTGTGGTTACTTTGCCGCCCAAAGTCGCTTCCACATTCCTAAGAACCGATCAGTCAAACTGATGACTCACAGTACCTGAATGAAACTTACTTAACATCCGTCGCCTTCTGCAGCCAAAGTCTAACAACACCTATAGGAGGCACATACTGATCCGCGCCGCTCAAGGCGCCAGCCATTTGCAGCGGCTTCCACTCGCAACTGAGCCTGATCTTGCCGCTGTTGCAGCCATTCAAGGGCCACCATTCCCTGTCCATAGTGGGATCCGTCTGGAGAAGATCGACAAGCCGGACAGACATGTGGCCGACCACCGGGTCTCTGAGGAAGTCTCTCTCGTCTACCACCTTGATAGTGATGACTGAAGACGACTTGTCTGAGCAAATGAACTCTGTCGGTGACTCCCAAATGGGATTGTTCGTGTGCTTGATGATCTGCGATTTATGCGTGTAGGAATGGCTGTTCCCAACGAAGACCTTGACCAGGGGGTTCAAGTCGCCGGAAAGTGATTTTGTAGCATCAAGTTCCTTGGCCTGATGTATAGTCAAGCGAACAATTCCAACGTCTAGCGAGAATGATAAGTATTGGCTTTTGAATGAGTCATGAACGCACTTGTTTGAGGCAGTATGTCTTTGCCGTCGACTGATTCAGGTTTTTAAAACCGGGAAGTAGTTGACGCTGAGACGAATCAATCCTCTATCCTTTCCATCTTTCAAAACGGGTAGCTCTAAACCTTCCTGGGTTGCATCCTCCAGTAGTTTTTGCAGCTCGAAGGTGGCGGCACCAAGAGGAGTGTCCTTACGATGATCATTGTAGTCAAAAAGACTAAGCACCAACGATTCCTGAATGGAGTTGACCAGAATGAACTTTGTCTCCATCCATGTTGGGTTGTATCTGGTGATTAAAGTGAGACCGAGCAAAGTAACATGACGAAAAGTACTAACGTGCTCTGCTTGTACTTAGTTCTCGCGAGTTCCTCGCGGTTATTGATGCTGATGCTGACGTAGGGATCAGGAGAGCCACCGCCAATCTTATTGGCCTTAAGCCCGCGACCAGCCTCAACAATGACTTGAACGACGCCAATAGCTGCATCAAGGGGTACACCAGAAAGAAGTTGTTCGAGATTAAGAGTGAACACATTCGGGTCGTACATCATGGGACCGAGCGTGCCGTGAACCATATCCCGAATGAAAGTTTGCAGACCAGGAATCTGATGATAAGGTGAGCTCGATCCAAGAATACTTCGTCGTGCCGTGACTTACGTGGGCTATGTCAAATCCAAGTGACTCGCCGCCCACCGGTTTAAGCACGTAGTCAATAACCGGCTTTTCAAGGAAGCTGAGATCCACGATCTGCACGTGAGGGAAGTTCGCCATCAACTTCAGCCTAATCCTCATCAAACCGCTTAAAGTGATGTCTTCGAGAAGGATGGGAATGGAGGCTGTGGCAAGACCTTTGCCCACGCGAACGGATAGTACAATTTTGGGGTTGACTTTTTGCGCTGCTTGACGGGGGGTCATGTCAGATACATCATTAGGAGTGAAGGAAATTCCCCAATCCATCATGACAATATCGTCGGGAGTCCTTGGAAATGTCCTGACTTTGTCTATGTGGGGAGCCTTCGTCCCAAGAGTGAAGGTTGTGAGGCGCAAGGAGTCCAAAAAGGCAGGAGTGGTAGTGCTCAAGATCTGATCAACAGAGGCGACGACGGTAGCAGAAAGAACAGGCTCGTAGATGAGCCAGAAACGATCCAAGAAATTGTTCATCCAGTCAGCGGTTTCGTGCTCGGACGCAAGGCGTGTTTTGACCAGTTCCCGTTGAATGTCATCACGGGCACACCGGCGGGCACGAGTCATTGACGTCACATAGTAGGTGTTGCAAATAGATAGCAACACGATCAGCCATCCCCAGCCGAAGTTGAATCGTGTCAAGAAATGAGAAGCGAACACAGCCTATGCAGCATCACGCAGATGAGCATATTGCAAATAACAAGACCGTGGACTTACAAAGAAAATGAGGGCAGCGTTATGGTACCACTGGCCATAGTATTGCTCAGACAAGAAAAGCTGAAGTATATGTTTATCTTTCTCCTCGCCTTCTGCAAGCGGAGGGGCATCAATGTTCGAGACAGCACGCCAGCCAACTTTGTACCAATCTGGAATCGCTGGAGCGACACCAGAGGGGTATTCCCCGGGTATTAGAGGTAAAGACGGAGTTGTACTGCCCGATTTCTTCTGCTCTTCGTCAGTCGCTTCGTCCGCATCTTCGACTGTAATGGTGGGGACAGGGCCTCCACCGTTAGCATCAATGGATAACTCTGATATAGACTTTAGGTTTGTGCGACGTGGCATAGATAAACGCGCACCTTTCTCGCCTTGTGCACTTCCATCCTGCCCGGTGATACTCTTCAGTTGGTCACGCTGCATCCCCGCAGCAGCAGCCTTCTGTTGGGGAGAAGCATCCGGGTCAAAGGAGTGAACTATGGCACCTTTGGATGCATCATTGCTCATGATGTCATGAAGCTGAGTTTGAGCCGTTTCTTGAGATTGTTGTACACCATTGCCATTGGAAGGTGCGTTTGTCGCCATGTCCAACAGCAGGAAGATAAACGAAGAGAAGAGAAAAGAAAAGATGGGACCAGTTGAGTCAGCTCAGACGAACGGACAGCTAATAGGGTAGTAGGATAGACTAGTGTGTTAAGGAGGATGTAGGGGAGCATTGAGGAGCCGAAATACATAATACTTAAATCATGTTCAGCGTCATGTCATGTGACCTTGTCAACGTTCCGATCGACATATGACGGAGGGAAAACAGCACGACAAGGACGCCGTGAGATACCACAGGAGAAAGCTATGTTTAATCCTTTTTCCGACAAATGAACTATCATCGGGCAAGCTGGCTATGCTCTGCGATATCTCGCAAACATGGGACTGCATGTCTCCGGTACTATTCGCAGGGCACCAGGAACACCGCGAAAGCAAAGGCCCAGGTACTTACGATCACCCATCTGACGTAGAATCAACTTATCTTGTCCTAGTCAAAAATTGCACACATCGATGCAGAAAGACATTTCTCACCCGCGCTCGTTGACTCGTTTCATAGGAAACACGATTACCTTCGCATCTCCTTGACTGAGAGATGTAATCTTCGATGTCTGTCCTTCATTTGACTTTGTGGTTTCAAGCACTAATACAATCTGATCGCAATGCAGGCTTCTATTGCATGCCTAGCGAAGGAGTAGAATTATCACCGGCTGACCATATCTTGACCGACGACGAGATCATTCGATTGGCAAATCTTTTTGTGAGAAGCGGCGTCACCAAAATACGGTTGACTGGAGGAGAGCCTACTGTACGGAAAGGCCTGGATGGCATAATTCGCAAGTCATCACGTTTATGCCTTCTGAATGTCGGCTAAATGTTATATAGGTCGCCTCAACGAGCTCCGACCACTCGGTCTCGAATCCATCGGCATGACCACCAATGGAATTGCCCTCCATCGCCGTCTGCCTAGTTATGTTGAAAATGGCCTAACGCACCTGAATCTGAGGTGACTATTTTTTCGTGCATTCGATACGACACGCCTGATAGTGATCAGTCTTGATACTCTGGACCCCTTCAAGTTTGAGATTATGACTCGGCGTCCCGGCCACGATGCAGTTCTCAGATCACTCGATGTTGCTCTCCACAGTCCAGGATTACGATCAGTAAAGTTAAATGTTGTCGTTGTCAAGGGCCTCAACGATTCAGAAGTCCTGGATTTTGTTAGGTTGACAGCAGACAAAAATATATCTGTTCGATTTATCGAATTCATGCCCTTTACAGGTATATTTTGTCCCCGACAATCATTAGCTTTGCTTACATCACCACAGGGAACAAGTGGGACAAGGCAAAGATGATCCCTTCCAGCCAGCTCTTGGAAATTGTCTCCGGGGAATACCCTTCTATAATACGAGCACCAGACGAACTCAACGACACCGCACGATCCTGGAAGATTCCGGGACATGTCGGTAGTTTAGGCTTCATCAGCAGCATGTCAGATCATTTTTGCTCGTCTTGCAACCGCCTACGTTTGACGGCAGACGGGCAAATCAAAGTATGTTTATCATGGCTATATCATGCCACATACTGACCTTTGAATCAGGTTTGTCTCTTTGACGCCAAGGAAGTGTCCCTTAGAGATGAAATGCGACGTGGCGCAAGTGATGCAGAACTCCTGAACGTCATTGGACTCGCTGTCCAAGGAAAACAGGAGAAGCACGCCGGAATGGAGGACATTGATGTCATAACCAATAGACCCATGATTCTCATCGGAGGTTAGGTACTTTCCTTGGATGCAGAGTCTACTAGTGTGCGACGGGTGTAATACAATGTCCTAATATCAATCCACCTTTCCAGGCACACAGCCTCGCAAGTCGAGAGTGCGATCGTTGCCCCGCCTTCCTGCACATGCTTACTTTCTCGATGATACACTGTTGCTACCTCATCTCCATCGACGTTGGAGCTCGTCGTCCAGCCAATCTGACCTCCGTTTGACTCACATTGGCTCTGATGGTCGGCCATGCATGGTTGATGTCGGCAATAAGGACGTAACGAAGCGTAGCGCTACTGCCAGCGGTCGCATATACATCCCAAGATCTGCATATAACCTTGTCACAGGATCGGGTGATGCCGACTCCACCGACAAGACGATCCAGAAGGCTCGCAGCAAAGGGGATGTGATGACAGTCGCCCAGCTGGCAGCGATCATGGGCTGCAAGCGGACCTCCGACCTCATTCCTCTGTGTCATCCTCTCCAGATATCCAACGTATCAGTCACGTTGACGCCTGAGTGTGGTGTGTCTCCGGTTCCACCGCCTGGTGATCAGGGCGGCCTCGAGTACAGCATAAAGTGTACTGCTACCGTGGCATGCGAAGGCAAAACCGGAGTGGAAATGGAAGCACTGACGGCGGTATCGGTTGGTCTCCTTACGGTTTGGGATATGTTAAAGGCCGTGGCGGGTAAAGAAATGAAAATTGGGGAAATCATAGTCACGCATAAAACAGGTGGAAAGAGTGGTGATTTTACTCGAGATGCATAATTATTACTTTCATCACCAGTGTAGTGCAACAAAATTTCAAGCTATGCACCACTCCTGTCATAATTGCGCAGCCGTAAGATATGCAGTAAGTACGGGGCAATTTATCACTTGAATCCGGTCGTGTTCGCATGATCAGGTTCGGTGTTAAAAATGCGAGAATTGATCTCGTTTGGTACCTGGCACTGTCTCGGCGGTATTTCGAGACGGAAGCAAATGCACTCCGAAAACACATGAGCAGCCTCCGAGGTTACGCTGGGCCATGAAATCGTCGATGCTTATTGCGATCGGTGAAGTATGGAATGTTGTGGAGATGTCGTGCGTATGAGTATGAATAAGCGAGGGATAAAAGGGAATACAAAGTCGACGGAACATATACCATGCCATTGACAGCGGAGAAAGGGGGAGAATCCGTCAGTTATATCAAGGACAATTTGTCGTTCCACGACAGGCACAGCAAAATCCACATGTCAATGCGGCCTTGATTCAGGTCTAGAATCGTTTGGTCAGTGAGCTTAAGCACACCTTCTTACTACGGTAGGGTTTAATGAGCGACAAGTACCTGAAACCTGACGCGGACCTCCCCAGGTGCATACGACCGCCATATCGAAATGGGTATGAATCCAGGCGAGTTCACAAGTACTCACCCAAACTCAAATAGGCCAAGCACCTCCCCCCATTCACAACCCTAGCTGTTCCATGATCTCATGAGGGTGTATTCAAGAGTGTGGCTTTCGGTTGCTTCTGCTACACAGCGCTTGACATTGAATCCAAAAGGCCAACCGTTGGTCTAAAAAAGTTTATATCATGCCCAACCATTCTATCCTCGGATGAAACCAGCGACAAGTGTATTGATCTCGGAGTCAAGTCGACCAGTTACTTTGGACTGTCGATGAAGTTATCAGAGATTGCCACAGAGTAGCAAGATTGATCCAATACTGACGCCTTCAAGCTTAATAACCGTGGGGACTGAGGTGACTTGCCAAGGCTCGCCTCTAAACACATTGGAGGGTGATTTCCATCTGAGCACCGTCATGGAATTGAGTGCCAGTCCACAGATGACGCGATGTGCCTGCCTACTCGGGCTTTTGGCCAACATAGACGATCACTGCAGATGGCCCGTCTTCAGGGCCAAAGGTATCTTGGATGGTCCGGTCTACTGCTACACAATCCTGGCAGCCCGACCAGTAAGGAACGTCAGTGCTACGGTTGTTGCTGTATATGATATTCGCACTCACAGGACACCATAGCTGCCCGTTCACGCGTGAGGAGTAGAAAATAAAGAACTGTTCTGTTGCGTGTTCCAGATCCTTAGGATCGGCAGGAAATTCAACTTCACGGAGCGGCATCTGTGCAAAAGGATCTAAAGTATCAGAAAAAAACCCTAGAACGTCTATGTATTCTGAATCGGAGTTCGGCATGCGGTATGTATAACAATCTTAAATAATCCAATCGTGTCAATTACGGTATACTGCAATGGTTAGGAGCAATTGAGTTTATGGAGTAGCAAAGGTGTATTGTCGGTAGCGAAATCAACAGATCGGAACGGGGAACTGTCTTCCTGGACTGTTCTGTCTAAACAAAGTCAATAGATGAAGATTAAATAAAGGGCATCATGCTGTTTTCGATGGTGAGGTTGTTGGGGGTGCCGGTTTCACGAGGGGATGAGAGAAATTGGCCGCACGCCTCCCAAAGTCACCATGGACATCTAGTAGTATTTTGAGGGCGTTCCTAGCACGGATTTGAGACATCTCATCCCGCTTCGGTGTTGTCAGAGCGGTCTTGACTTCGGGTTTGTTCTCCTGCCATGGGTACTGTAGAAAATGATTAGGTATTAAACACATGGATCAAACGGAAGGACTGACAGGAAGAAGCTGCAAAGATAATTAAATGTTAGTATGCTTGAGGCGGAAGTAACAATCATGTACCTTTTGCAAGTATTCATATGCAAGCAGGGTGAAGCCAAACTGTGGGCTACTTCTGAGGATACGCGCCGGTCCTCCCTTGAACAATGCCTTGAAACCTTCTTCCTTATCTAGAGGAAATACCAGTTATGAATTCCTCAAATTGGCTAGATGAGATCTGCACTTACTGATCTTGACAAATGCATCTGTAAGACCTTTGTAGTGGGTCTGACCTTGTCGTGCCTCAACCTGCAGGCGAGTCTTCACCACATCTGTGAAAAGTATTCGATTGGTAATCATGGGTACTACTCAAAAGGGAATACGAACCAGCAGGAGTTGTTAGGTAGGCTGCTGGCATGCCACTGGTGAACTCGCTCTATCAGCACATGTCGCAAGTTTTTTTAACGCAAGAGAGCTTACGCAACGGCCGCTGCACCCAACGTCTCCAGGAATGACAATTGCTTTCCGTTGTAGCCTTCATGGAAGACATCCTTTTTAAGGTGGGAATATGCTGTGAAATAGATGGCCGAGAACGGGATATCGCGAAGCAAGCAGGCACTGGCCCCTTTATACAAACCGACTACACCCAGTTGGCGTACGATGTGGACAGCACCATTTTTAACTGCTCCTTCCAGCTTCGCAGCTTCTCCCTGTATTTGGAGACGAATCTTACTGAAACTCGAGTAAGGGATCAGGCTATGACCAGGGCGCTTAAACTTACACAATTTCTAGGGGATTGGTAAAGATCTGCCATCGTTGTGGGTGGTGTGAATAGTCTTGAAAGAGCAGACATACCACTTGACAACCACCAGCCGTTCCACCAGCTACCAGCTCCCAACCAAGCTTGATGCGACCTGTCTCTGGATCCATGGCGCGACCGCGAACAAGGTCATTAACAGTAAGCTTAATAGCTTTCTCCGGAGCAACACCCTATTGAAACGTGAGACAATGTGAATATTATAAAAGCGCAACAAAAACGCACAATCAACTGTGGACCAAGGCCACGGTAGAAACCCATGAGACCTTCGTTGCGGAATATTTTCTGAGCACAGTCGATGCTATTCTTGTACAGCATCTGACCGACTACTGTACTCCGCTGATTTTGCATCCTTCAAGTTGTTTAAATACAAAACTCACGAAAACTTGGTCAAAAACGCACCGAGTCTGTCAACCAATCAAACACGTTGTAGACTACAAGAATAATTGATCAAATGCACAGCGTACCTTCACTATCAAGAAAAAGAAAAAAAGAAAATCAGATTGATTCAACACGACATAATTCCTAATCACTTACCCATGTCGATAGGGTAGACGATAGTGGCGCCAAGAGCCCCTGCGATTCCTACACTGATGTTAGAGTTGCATCGCAATAGTGTTGCGTAATAAATAACGTACCTCCTTGAACAAAGCTGTAGGCAGACTGCAGTACTCCTTGTAACACGGATGCCTTCGAGCTGACTTCCTTGGATACGAATTCCTCGTGTGGAGATCTCCATTGGGGATCCAAGAGTTGAGCAAAGTCCAACAAAGCAAGCCTCTTCTCGCGGCTACCTCGACCCGCAAAGTGAAAAATGATAGACGCTTCCATGGGCGTGAAAAGAGCGTAGCGCGATATCGCAGCAGAGTGATTAAGGAAGTCAGACTGGTCAATGCGTCCATCCTTTGACTTTGCGGTGGCCTCGCGTAAAATACTAACAACCTATCAGTTGATGACATTTATACGAAGCGGGCCGATTTACCGCTCCACCATGTCCATCTCTGCCATACAAAAATTGGGGTCACTTCCATGCCGCAGAACAACGAAACTCACCTCGAATAACATTTTGGAATGCAACGACCTCAGAATAAGATATGCGCCCACTGGGAGTGAGCGTGCATAGTGTAGGTAGACGTTCAATGACTGCATCAGATAGTTTATGGCCAGCAATTTCCTGTTGTGAGGGAAATATATGAAGCGCAAATCGTGGATGATTAAGTCATGTACAAACCAAAATAATTTGTTTGAATTCCTCAGGTCTAATGAATCCATCTTGATCCTTGTCGAGATATTTAAAGGCCTGTCGGAGACGCTCTCCCTGAAGGCCCTTCATAAGCTGAGTAAACTCATTGTCTGAAAAAATCAAGTCAATAAATGTGGAATTAGAATAATCGCCGCACTGACATCCAAGAACGTGTGTGCCGTTTTTGCGCCCAAGATATAACTTAACCCAATCACTGTGACCACGGTAAATACGAGTAATTCGGAATTCCAATGGTACGTACCAGTCAAAGTCAAAAGGAATGGCAGATGGCCCAACGTTGGCCAAGAACACATTTTTAAACTCATCAAAAGTTATGGTGCCCGAGCTATCCCTGAAATGCGACCGCGCCAAGTCTGAGTACCGCTAAATATAATAGGACAGAAAAGACTCACACGTCGAAATACTGAAAGGCTATCCAATAGTCTGCGTCGGGACGTTTAAGAAGTGTCTCGAAGACTGTGAAATCGTCCCAAGAAACCAAACCCCGCTTCGAGGAGTCGGCAACGCGAAAAAGGATCGAGAATTGTGCACGACCTATTTTAGTCGAATCGCTCTTCGGAGCGATAGCATTGACAAAGCTGTCGGGGTCGAGATATCTATCGTCCGAGTAGTCAGAAAGAGGTCAGAATGCTTTATAATGAATCATAATATACTTCTCGCCATCGATCACGACCTTTGCATTAGCTTCAAAAATCCTTCTCCATCGCTTCATCTCGTTCTCGGGCGCTGCAACCACACTGCGAACGCTTTTTAAGGCGGAGCCAGTCAAAGAGGAGGATGCTGCATCTGTATCGCAATGAATTGTCGAGATAACGCGCGTCATTGTTCTAGTGTCACGACTCCGAGGCGAATTAGTGTCTAGGAGGTATCGAGTATGTCTATATGGCAAGAGAGAGCAAGCAAGCAAGTCTAGGGGGAAGGATACTTATGCGGGACCAACTGGGTAGCCCTCAGCAATGTAGTTAATAGCACAAGAACGAAGAAACCAAATTTTTGCTCCAACAGGGCCAATGCAGTACTATTGCGGGGATAAACAACTCGGGTGATTACATAACCGAATGCACCGCCGAGCCTTGTTACATGCGATGCTACATTCACACCGCCACGCGTTTCACTTGTTCCCTCACTAGTAGCTTTAGGGCACTAATCAAGAAGCATGTCGGCGCCCTCACTCTATGTAGATTACCGTGCAAATGCCACATCACGAGGCAATCTGAAACTTATGCAGTACATGTCTTTGTTTGGAGCAACAGACCGAACCATATGCAACGCCACCTCCGCGTCTAGCTTATGTCCGAGTTTACTTTCAACTCTCTAATAATCACAATCAGCATACTCTTTGTACTAAAGTACGGACGTTACCTGTCTGATATCCGCTTCAGCCCTGTCTGGCTGGAGTTCGCGTGTGAAGCAATGACAGTGAACCATGGGCATGCTGGCGTAAATGCCGCTCAAATCCCGTTCACTAGTGCCTTCTAATAGAATTCCACGGAAGGAGTCGAGAAACTCGATCGCTGAGTCCGGGAGGTTCATCACAAAATGTGAGATGGCTTGACGAGGAGACTGATCAACCGGTGCAAGTGCGGCAGGCTGAGAGGATTTTGCTAGTTGCAGCCTGCGTTTCTCCTCCTTTTCTTGCATCTTGCTGAGTTTCGGTCCGGTATATGCGGGGAAAGGATGTTCCATCGCACGGGCAACAACCTTTTTAATGAAATCGCGACCATCCTCGCAGCTAGCGCGGACCAAACTTGCGACCTGCCGAACAACGTCAAAATGAGGCACATATCGAATGGAAGAATTGCCTCACCTTATTGTCAATGATATTCTTGCTCAAGTATCTCGCACTTTCAGGGTTAAGATCGTTCGCAAATACCGCGCACCCCTTCTTGGCAGCAGGAATTGCGAAGGGACCCACACCTGCAAATACATCTGCAATGACGTCGGTTGGTTTGAAGTGCTGGACAAGCCGATCATGCTCTGTGTGGAGCCGTGAATTCCAATAAACGTGGGTGAAGTCAAAAGTGAAACGGCAATTGGACTCGTGCTAGTAATTGTCTTAAATAGCTGATTCTTCCATAGAATGACTTGACTTACGTGTTCAACAATATAATTAGGTTCTCCCGCGAGCAGTTCCATTTTGAAGAACCGGTACTTTGTATCAATACTGTCTAATTTATTGACGACTGTCTGGATCATAGGATTTTTCTGTAGTAAATGGTATCAGTGGATGATCAGAATTCGAGGAGCCAATACTTTCATCCAGAACGATCTGACCGATGATGTGTTTATAGGGTAGATATTCTTTATTGAGATTCATGTGAGCTGAAGGACTTATCAGTGACGATCAAACGCGGATGTCATTACGCTCACCTAGGTGGCCGGTGATTGCGAAACCCGATGGAGAGCCCTTGCAAAGCTCTTCAGGCAATATGGACTGTAAGATTTCATCTAGACATAATTGATCACCATCGACATGAAGAACCGCGCAGTTCGTACCAGCTGTCCAGTAGTCGTAAGTCAAGTCTAGGTTGTGTGTAACCAGCGTAGCAGACTGTTCTTGCAGGAAATTGCGAACCTCAGTCGTGAGGGCAGCTGACTTGCGGATGGAGCATCAGAAAAGCGCGTGGTATTCGATCGAGAAATGCTACACGGTACCATCCTCAGATACATTCAGCAATATCAACCTCTCGAGGTCATCGTGGGGGTCCCGAAGAACACTGCGTACTTTTGGCAAATCCATGAGGGACCTTCGAAATACATTAGATGTCAACTCCGGATAGCTGAAGTCACATACTTTTTCATAACATCAGACTTTAACAGGGATCCTGTTTTGGAAGCAGGGACTCTGGCGGCAAGAACAGGGATAGTCTTCTTGAAAGCATCCCTGTCAAGAGTGGTGTTCATCCAACGATGCACTGGAGGTGATACATCGAGTGTCAGTGTGCATGCCATGATTTTAGATAAGAAAGATAATCTAGGGCGTTTCCTCAAAGTTAGACATGATTGAAGTCCAAGCATGGAAGTTGTTTGTTCTTGTCGATCACTTCAGTAAGCCAACGTTGTTCTGAACCTGACACCCGAGTAGCCGACATGTGTTATGAGCACGATATTTCTGATACTATTTCTCATCGAGACACGCTTCCTCCTCCATCCGTCCTGCGACATGTCGTCGATGTACATTGTCATCCCACCGACTCAGAGATTACCGTAAAGACAATGGACAACTTGCCCATCATCATCGGTGCCATGTCCACTCTTCAGGCGGACCAAGGATTAGTGCGAGACTTGGCTACTGCATTCCCAAACAAAGTCGTGCCTTCCTTTGGTTAGCTATGAATCGGTTGACCAATCCTGTGGTACTGAAGATCCGCTGATTTTAATGCTAGGTTACCATCCGTGGTTTACGCACTGGATTGCACTGGCGCCGTATGAATCAAAGGAAGCGCACTATAGGCGCATATTCAAGGATGCAGATGAGCATCCGGAGGCCTTCCAGAAGCTGCTTGAGCATGCACCTGAACCAGTGACCCTGCAAACCGTCTTGGAAGACGTTCGTCAGAATCTTATGGACTTTCCAAGCGCAATGCTTGGAGAGGTTGGGTTCGACAGAGCTTTTAGGGTGTCCTATGACTACTTCTCTTCGCCCGGAGAATTGTCGCCCTTCACCACACCCTTTGAGCACCAATTAGCTATCCTTGAAGCACAGCTTGATCTAGCAGCAGAGTTAGGTCGAAACATCAGCATGCACAGCGTTAAATCGCAAATGGCTACTGTGGAGTTGTTAGACCGCATGGCTGATAGGCATGGCGAGCGTTGGATGAAAATAAGCATTGATATTCACAGCTGCGGCCTTAGCCCGCAAACGTGGCTGTCCATTGAGGTATGCACCCCTGTGACCTGACCTAGCCCGTTTCATACTTTGTCCTATGTCTGTGTTGAGCTAAACGGGCTTTTGCAGAAGCGTCATCCAAATGTATTTTTGTCTCTCTCAACAGTCATCAACAGTCGATCTCCAAATCACCGAGCGCTGATCGCTGCATGCTCTTCACGCCGTATCCTCGTGGAATCCGATTCCCACAAGATCGACGACAGCACGCAACACACTTGGGACATGGTCCTTATAGTTGCTGAAGTGAAAGGGTGGCTAGTCGAATCGTCCTGGGACGAGGTCGTAGACGAAAGTCAGCAGGGGGTTGTCCGACGTTTGGAAAGCAATTGGAGGGAATTCGTGCAAGGAAATCATGTCGGGCCTAACAAGCTCAGCAAACGAACGACCAGGGAGCGGCAATAGAAATTTTTAGCGGGTATAGTAAAAATGCTGTCCATGCCAACCTGCTCAGGATGGACGGCAGTCGACTGGTATGTGAGTTCATTGTATAACTGCCAATGTATTACACGAAGAATTGTATTGAATGGTCCGTGGATAATTAAAATGGTATCACCGCGACATATAGCTTATGAGCAGGAGTAAGCAGGCTCCGATGATAATCCCAAGGATAATAGAGTCTCTCCGCCGTCGGCTCTTGATCATGGAAAGGAGATTGTTAATGCCAGGTATCGTACCTGTGCTGATTGTCAGCATGTGATTGCAATTGCGCAGAAATACTGACTTATGACACCGGTCATACGCGTATTGATATTAGCCAAAGACATGCTCTGACGCGAGAATTCTGCCCGGGTTTCGTATGCTTGGCTACGGTAGAACGTTCAGCGAAGAACAACGAGTGATGATAAAACTTACTCGAGAATCTGGTCAGTCATCTGATGGGAGCTGTCGATTCTCCCTCTTTCGGCCAGCAGTGAGTCTCCTGCGGAAGATTTGTACGCCCTGTCGCAGAGGGCCGTCAATGGGACATTCTACGAATGGATCGGAACTTACTCAATGTCATTTCGAACGCCCGAAAGTAAGTTTACTTTGTCAAGTGCATGCTGGACATTTGCCTGGTACGGTATCATGAGAGCTGGGCTCACAGGGCATTGAAATGGGACAGACCTTCGTCCTACGCAGCTCCTTGGCGTAGTCTTGATAGACCTCGCGATGTCTCTGGATTGCACGGGACATAGACTGTGAGGGCGGGGTGTCCGGATTGTTTGAGAGCGCGAGCAATTCATCATTGGTTTCTTGTAGCTAAACATATGTCATTGTAAGCTACTTGTATCCATGCTGGGGCGCCTGTATGTCCCACCTTCTCCAAGAGGTCTTCGACTTCACCTTCGACGTCTTTCCAGCGTTCACGCGAGCCTCCCGCCTCGATATCGTCCTGGTTCCTTGTTATTGTTGATGCTAGGCGGGAATACGACGTCAGCTTTGTGTCGAATAAAGACTCCAGAGTGCGGCACTGCCGGTGCAAAGATTCATAATCTGCCATGAATTGACAGCACTTGGTGGTATCGTTACAAGGTAGCCTCCGGCAGTAAACACGTCGCCGTTCACTGTGACACTCATTTTGTCACATTGTCTTGTCACGGTGCCTTCTGAACGTCAAACCGGCATTGACATCATCGATGTTGGTAGAAATGGCAAACATGATTTCGAGTGTTGGAATACTGTCATCTTGGAGGTATATAAACTCCCTCGATGATGCTGCTCCTTTCCTCTCGACATCTTACCCTTCTTCCTTCCCGCCCGTCGTTTAAGCATCTCCAACCATTTTTTATCATGTCTGCCACCAAGAACGCGTCTGGTCTGGCCCCCTCAGAGTCCAAATCTCTCGAGGAGAGGAACCCCGAGCCCAGGGAACAGAAAGTTCTTATGGCTATTAAGGAGGTCCGTTCGATGCGCATCGTCAGTCAAGTATCACTGATCACAGCCCCTGTCCAGATGTACTCCTGCAATCCCAACAATGTAAATTCTTTCTTTGCCCCAGAAAGACTCGCTTTAATTCTCTTGCGAATAGACAACATTCGACGTCTACTCTGAAGACGCTGTCTTTCACGATCCCGTTGGTATCGCGACAGGTCCAAAGTCCATTCGGGCTCAGTTCGTCGGTCTTGCAAAGGTGCGTTGTCCGCCCCATACATTCAACTTCGCACCTGCTAATAACCCATGTCTAGCTCTTCGAAAAGGCGGATATTCCAAAGTTTCGCGTTCTCAAGAACCCTCCTCAGGTACCCCAGGGTACCATCTTAGTAGATCAGGATGTAGCGTACTACCGAGATGCTTTCTCGTCCCCTACCAAGGTTAGTCACGGTTATGATGCAACATTCACAATCATGGACTTATTCTTTGCAGACGATGAATTCGCTCTTGACTCTCGAGCTCGACAACGAAGGAAAGCTGAGGCGTCATATAGAAGAGTGGGATCATGAGAAGTCATCCACCTCTCAGGATGGATTCCTAGGGATGATCAACGAGCACAGGAAGAAGTTCTCTGCGTCCGCAACCGAGGCTATTTTCGGCAAATAGTGGGATAAGTAGTATAGGTCATATTAATGTGGGATGTGTACCTTGCATGATGAATGTTGCCGTCGCCGCGTAGTCTCCGGCAAAGGGTTTTAAAGTGGTTATGTACTACACTTCGTCCGCGTAGTATGTTACAAAGCCTGGACAACGTGGACGTCGATCGACGGCATGCCCTCAATCATGGTCACTGATTAGCATACCGGGTTCGTGTCATTGCCGCGTGTGCTGTCCAGCCGGCTGGCTGCGTCAGCCTGCACAACGTGCCGTTCTGCAAATGCGCAAGCACTCACGATGACCTGAAGGGATACTTAAACCCACGTACAACAGAAGGAGGCGAGTCATTCAAGAAAACACAAGTCGTTAACCATTCCCAATCATGCAACTCGTCTTGACAGGTGTCACTGGTGCTGGTATGTTGTCATCTCCAACCATGGAGTGATGAGTCCCGAACCTAACTTATCCTGCCAGCTGGTATTCAGATCTTTCGTCAAGCAGTATTAGATACAGCCATCACGAAGATCACAGTACTCTCTCGGCGGGCGCTCCCATCATGGATGGATATCCCTGAAAATGACAAGACAGAAGTCGTAGTTGTGAAAGATTTCTTGGATTACTCTAGTGATCTTTCTGTTCGTCTGGCAGCGCATGACGCCTGCGTTTGGGCACTGGGGAAGAGTTCAGTGGGCCTATCAGACGAAGAGTACACCCGCCTCACATACGACTACACCATGCACTTTGTGAACTCCCTGCAAGAAGCAGGGAGGAAGGACAGAGCGGGAGAGCCGTTCAGATTTGTTTTTGTTTCAGGGGAGGGCGCAGATCCATCTGGCAAGAGCAACATCAAGTTCGCGAGAATCAAGGTATGTGCTTGTTGCTTGACATGTTTGCAAGTATGGGAATGCTCACGCTGCGACTAGGGCATGACTGAACAAGCTCTCTTTGATCTCCCTCCGTCCTCAAACATCAAAGCATCTGTCATGCGACCTGCTTACTTCTTCCCCTCCAAAGATCACCCATCAGAGCGAGAGAACATTCGTTCACCGACAGCAAGGGCTATGGATTGCCTCCTAACGCCCATTATGAAGACCGTCCTGCCCTCCATGTACACACCGGTTGAGGACCTCGGGCTTTTCGCCGTAGAGGCAGCCAAGGGCCGATGGTCAGATGAAAACTTATTTCCAAATTCAAAAATGAGGGAGTATTTAAAGGTGTTGCGCACTTCGAGTAACATTTAGAAGACTACACACACATCATGTTCCACATCAACCATTACATAGCTAGAGTTCCCTATAGTACACGGATATACATACTTAATGGTATACATCGAGGACTTCGGATTTCGAGTGATATTGGGAGAGTGACGTCTTGATCAACTCAGAAGCCGAACCAACGTCTGGCGCTCTGCTCAGTTGCAAGTCTCTTAGCCTAATCAAGGTTAGCACCCCGGACAGATATGACAGCTAGAAACCAAACATTCACCTGCGCCACCATGTCTTTACTCCCTTGTTGCAGGGAATCGATCTGTTGCCCAATGTTTCCCAACATCTCCCTTTGGTTTCACTTAGCACTGACATCGAACAAGCAATCGGACGATCATGCACGCACCCCCTTTCAGCAAGAGCATCATTTAGATGGCTATACACGTCGTTGCGAGCGTTTTCCATCGTCTTCATGACACCGGGTCCATCACCGGCAGTTGTATCCTGTAATGTTTGCACAGGATCTGGTGGTAGTATAGGTCTGTCGGGGCCCGCAACTATATCGACGCTTCACATCAACATTGACAGGTATTTGGGACTTGACGTACGTAGTGCATCGAGCTGTTCTCCAGTCATAATGGGTTTCCCGTACCGGAACCATGAGCCCAGCAGCGAAGGGGGACCAACGGACACTGGCTGCGGGTGAGGGGGAATTTCGCGGTGGAAACTTGTCAGATCAACAATTGGGCAATCATAAACACGACGGGTCTTGAAAAGCGTGCCAAATACGATCTGTTCAAGTACGCCTGATTCATGATACCTCGTTCCAATGAAGTCCCCTGTTTCGTCCACAGACACGACACTGGCGAAAGGATACTCAGAGCGTGGCCAGAACGCAATTTAGGAGAACATACTTTTCGCATACATTTGCGAGGGAGAAAGTATGCAGGTGCTCAAGATAAGGTAAAGAGTAAACCATAGCTTCTGGTTTGTCATTGAATGCTACGAGCACATGAGAATCTGGGTTTGTTGTTAGCATTGGTTTGTTAGGCTCGGAGTCCACAAAACTCACTGTTGTTCTCGATCACTTGAACGCGTTCAACTTTGTTTTTCTTGCTATTCCATTCTACTTTGGAAATCCTCTCCCCTGATATATCAAGCATACAACGAGCACCTTTAGCACTTGTTGTCACCCAAAAGCAATGCTCAGGATTGTTATCTCTGGTTTGAAGAGAAGCGGCAAAACGTGAACGATCGGCACGCCGAGTAGTACCTTTATGCGAATCGATCACGAATGAACCACCTTGCAGGACATTCGGGAGGCCTTCGACCTTGATGATATCCTGCGCAAAATTATACATCGAAGACTTGGGATCCCGGATGATCTTGAACACCTGCGTGTTACCAGACTCATGGATGGCTATCAGCCGCACAGCTAGCTGTGCATCTGGTCATGGGATCAGATATAACTTCAGCGTGTTGTATCAGCACGTACCCATGCTGATGGCAGAAATGGTCCACGTCAGAGAGACTACGGGATCTGCATCCTGATTGCGGGACAGAAGGTTAGATTGTCTTTTCTGACGCTGCGCTCTAAGGAGAGACGGTCCACGTAAATCGATCACTGCGACAGAGCCATCGATGTATCCGATACCAATGAAACCTATTTGCGTTGAGCAACTCATGCAACACTGGGCCCGAAGGAGAGCATACCTATGTCCGACAATGCGCAACATGTCAAGATAACATTACCGTGAGGCAGCATCACGAAGGGATGGTATCTCATCCCTGGTCGTGCATCAACATTGCCCAGCATGACAAACTCCTTGTTGCCTTCTGTTTCGGTGGGAGGACTGACCTGCGCGGTGTTCAATCGATATACCAGGAGGTCGCCCGATTTCAGTAGCACCACACACTCCAAGGATTCGTGGGCTACTTGAACAGTGGCAACTTCTGGGGCACTGGTAAGTGGTAGACAACTGATGTCTATAGTGAGGTCATGAACCGCGAAAGGATAATTCTTCTGAAGGGGAGATGTGCTGGAGCTGATGAGGAGCTGAGGGCTGACGTCGTGAAAACGAACAGTTGAATCGCGATGACAGGTGATGAGGACTCGGCGAGGATGGCTCTGAAGCGCAGTGTCAACAATCAAGAATCGTGGGCGTATCAATTGATCATACCCTGGATAGCCTCAGTTCACTGAGTCTTTTATCATCCATCCATGCAGACCCTCCACCAATTGGTAATTCCGCGTCACCAAGTATGGTTTGCTGTCCCACAAGTAAATCATGAACACCTCGTTCCAGAGTCAGAAGTTGTGCGCAAAACACTCCACCAAGCCCACTGTACAATTTTGAAGGAACGTGCATTGGTAGAGAATCACCACTAAGTGCCATATCCTCGAGCATCGCGGAAAGGTCATCTATAACATCGTCGCGTTCGCTGCTGCTCTGGACGTTTGTTCCCGGCAGCGGATACGTCAATTTTGGTGGCAGGAACTGTCGAGCCTCAACCATCCGCGAATCAGAGGAGGCTGCAGTGAGGAAAAGCAGGGCGATAGGATCCCAACAACCAGCAAAATACGGATTAGACTTTGGAAAGGGGACAAAATCATAAACAGGCCCCGATGACAGGTGATACGTTGTTTCTAATGGAATAACCGACAGTCGCATTGCCTTTCGAATAGAAGCGTGGAGTCCAGATTTGGAACCAGATGGATCAGGAACTTCCGGAGAGTCGAGAGCGGGCATTATGTGTACAGTCAACCGGCAAGGGTCATTACTTCTGTCGCCTCCTAATAAGACAAGGGCAGTTGCTCCTCCTCGAGGATCTGAAGAATTCGGGAAGCCACACCAAGCGACCCTGTAGATTGGCTGACGTTCTGGCAAAATACTGCCCTTTTCTTCGGAAGGACCCCCATTTTGGATAAAGTTTTCAAGCTCCTCTCCGTTTATGACATTAACATCTAACTCTGTGGCTGTTCGCACCATCAGAGGCTGATCTTCGTCTTCCACCGCCCAAAAGGCGACACAGCCGTCCACATAACCCACGGCAAAGAAATGCCCAGCTGGGTGAATAGCCACAGAAGTAACAGAAGGCCACCGGTGTGTGAGTACTTCCTTGGAGATTATGAGTCTACAATAGATCGTGGTTGACAAGGTCTGACTCACAGATTGGTGATATCCTTTCCCTCCTGGTGCACCAGCAGGGATCACAAGTTCGTACGCCCGTAAAATGTTGCGTGAAGACTGAAAAGGCAATGGTCAGTTTCTCTTGGCCAACATGACAATAAGTTCAGATACACACCAGGTCGTACAGTACAACTCCCCCTAAAGATTATTTCAGGGACTCGCATTTGATCGTAGAAATTAAATAACTGACCAACGAAGGCTATGAACATCAAGTTCAAGTCTCGCGGATGTGCGACTAAATCGACAGGTATGTTGCTAAGGCCCTATATAAGTGAGCTTCAACGGCAACACACTAGTGTTGTTGCACGGACCAGCCAGGTAATGCATGCAAGGGATCTACCATACTGCTTGCGGTCTTGGTCTGAAACATATCCCACAAGTTCGGGATGACATAGGGCGACTTCTTCAGACACAGAAGGTCATATGTTCTGATCTCTCCTGATTGCAGGGCAAGAAAGGCCTAGAAAAGAGCAATCTTAGAAATGTCTAAGGTGCTGTTAACTTTCAATGCCCACATGCGTATGTGAAGGCGACAACAGAACAGCACTTATGGCCAGACGTTGCTGGATCAGCGGACGTCATTATAACAACGAATGGTTGCTTGCGTACTTGATAGCATGGTCAAATCTCGTCGACTTTGGCGGTTGAGTTAAATCTTTCAAGTTCCAGATATGAAGTCGATCGCGCTCATCTATTGTATGAAGCTTCATGAATCAGGAGAGGACGTATTGACAAACAGCTTACCGACGGAGAGGAGCTTATTCGCGGAGGCGGCAAGCTGCAAGATCTTGACAGGAGAGCCATCTGGCGTCTGCACTGAACACTCTACACCAGGACCGCCCAGCACGCAGATCAGGCCACTTGCCGTGCCTTCAAGCAAAAAGAGCAGCACTCGAGTTCAGTTCAAAGATGAGTCGAGGTTGAGAGATCTCACCAACAGCCAAGAGACTCAATATGGGTTCGTAAGTCAGCACTCTTGTGTCCATTAGATAGTCAACGGTTCGCAGCCTGCCGATGTCCCAATCGTCAGGGTCTCTTTGACCAGCTGAAAGATCTGCGAGGACGTGTCTCTCTCCGAACATGACTGCCGGCGTGTCTTCCTCAGCCTTGGGGCACTTAAACTTGTCCTATGATCATTCGGAATACTATCACGATCGACTTGCTCCAAGATCGGCCAGCAGCAGATGGGCTAAGAGCAGTGACGGCTTGGTGACGGCCAAAGACAGTTTGAAAGTACTAAACGATCCTAATTACTTCATGACCACACTTCCAAGTGCAGCGAACGTTCCTCACGTGCACGCTATTGGTGCATATTCTCGATCGAATAATTCTTCTTCACTCAAGTATTATATTTAGCTATACGTTCTTTCTGGGTGACAACGAAAAGTAAACAATATTCTCAAGGGAATATTCGTAGTAATTGCTAGATGATAGTTACTGTGTATACGTACTAAGTACTGGTACACGGGCATAGAGGTTAACCAGGAGAGTAGGGGGTCATCTATGTAGTACAAATTGATCCGAGGAATAGATGAAGGTCATAAGCATAAATCTGTAATAAGTTCAGAAAACTTGCTGCCAGGTCAGATTCCAGTGGTACTCACGTCGTTCAAACAAGAAGGTCATGCATCTTCTTCTGACTTTGATCCAGCATAGCCAGAAATACGTTCAGCGTCTCGCGGCTCGTCTGCAAAAACTCTTGTTCTACCTCCGCCTGCTCTCTGACAGAGGCCCATTCCACTTTAATCTCACGAGCGAGGGAACACACTTCCCATTTTTGCTGCTTCTGGTTGAGCAAATCTGCCCACGACGCAGCAGCCTCTTCCTGTCCGCGTGCAAAAGCAGCGTTAGATGCCTGCTCGCCACGAGTCGCTGCGTGGCGCAACTGGTCCTGCAGGGATGCGGTGAAGGCAGAGCGCTCCTCGTCCAGCCTTTCCCTTGCCTCAACGCTGATATGAAGCTGTTGCTCCAAGAAGGAGACTTGCTTCGCGAGTTCTTCAGTCTCCTGAATGCGAGAATTTGTCGCAGCGTGCAGCTGTTCCTCCAGCAACTGCAGGCGAACCAGGCGTTCCTTTGCCGTGTTCTCGGCAGATGCCACTTGTAAACGAAGTAAAGTGACCGTGCCTGAGTCCATAGGAGCAGGAAGCTCCGTGGACGTATCGAACACCTGGTTATAGTGGTGCGCTGCGGGCGAAGGTGTAACATCTGGTAATAAAACCTGAGATATTGACCCATAGCCACCCGGTGATGGCAAAGCAGAGAGACAGGGACTTTCAGGGACTTCAAGTCCGAGCACACTGACGTTCGGTGAGGGGCCAGCTGGCGTGAAGGGTGCCTGAATCTCTGAAAGCAATTTCTCTACCTCTTCCTGTGCAATTATCTGTGATCCATCATGTGCTAATTGTTCCCAAGACATTATCGAGCCGCGATTTGCACCATTGGCCTTGAGAGGGCGGAGGCTAGGTGAGCCCTGTGACGTCGGGGGCACAGGCGAAAGGTAGGAAAGATTTGCGCGTGTAGGAAGGAATTGAGGGCGTGAGGGCGTTTGGAGTTCTGATTCATTATGTTGAGGACGAACAGCCCGAATCCTGGGAATCGCAGGCGTGGGTGCCCCAAGAGGAGCGGCAGGGGCAAGAAGAAGTTCCACATCATCAACTTCAATGGAGTCTTCACTGTCTTCCTCCGCAAGCTGCGACAGTGGCGTGGGTGTTGTATCTCTGCCAAGGGTCGCAGTAGAATGTTGGCGAGAGTGATGAGCAAGGGGTGACTCTGGTGCAGGACGACCGGTAGAACGCAGAGGGCTTGGTGCTTGATTATTTTTTGAGTGTCCAAACCCAAAGCCACTCTTGGAGGGTGTCTGAGGTGAACTCTGAGAGCAGACAGAGCTACGAGATGATGAAGACGACGGAGGCCGTGCAACGTTTGACCTGGACGCAGACGACGTAGCGGTCGTCTTGATACTTTTGGCTGGCCGTGCGGAATCTACCTTGGCAGGCGAGGCTTTCTTCGGCGTCGATAACTTGCCGATCTTGGAAGGGGTAGTAGGAGGCGTGAGGTTAGGCAAATTAACCTTCACCGTAAGTGCTCTATGAGGGAGAGGACTGATGGGCCTCCTGGGCTTCTTCTGCTCGTGGTTGCCTTTGGAAGAGGGGCTATGGGCCTTGTCCTCTTCCTCTGATGAGCTCAGCCGCCTGCGAGTGCCGGCACGAGCAGGAGAAACAGGTTTCTTGGGTGGAACAGTTTCTATGAGAGTGGACTTCGGCCGATATTTCGGCAATGCAGATGATGTGGGTGCAGGAGCAGTCCTTGGGCGCAGCGTAGACGAACGCTTGATGGAAGGACTGACACCAACAGCGTCTAGTACCTTTAGCCCCATGTCGTCACAAACTGGAGCAGGTCTGAGGAGACCAGACTGTCTCCTGATACTGCGTGTGATGGTCTTAGTGGACGGAGAAGTGTCCTCTTTGGCGTGCCCCGGAATTGGGGACTTTGACTTTGAGGATGCGGTGGCGTTAGCTTGGGGGATTGCGCTGGAATTCATGAGTGCGATAGCACTTAAGCGTCTTGAAGAGTCCTTGGACTTCTTCAGGGCTTTCTCATTAGGTTTTTCGCGGGACTCCTTGTTGATTACATCCGCCAAGGCCTTTCCTACTGACGTGAAATTGAGTGAATGTCGAATGGAACTTCGAGTGATTGGTTTAGAAGGCCGTGATGGCTGAGTACTCGTTTCTGGTGACATTAGGGGAATTGGAGCTTCGTTATGATCTGCACTGTGAATGTATGGTATAGGCTGGGCTGACAGTTTGCGTAGCCTATTCTTTCGAACTGAACCATTCAGACGCGTGTGGCTTTGTTTGCACCAGTGGGTCCAAATTTATTACCCCCTGTCCACTCAAATGTATTAATCTATATTACCACATAAATCTCCCAACTCCTCCTCGTTCTTTGTACAAAAACACATACGTCGTCGCAATATTTATTGTCGCGTACCAAAGGCCCTCAACAAAAACGCCGTACGGTTGCACATCCACAACCTGAGTCCTGAGCAGGATATATGGCACCAGGAAGTACCGCGGTTCCAGGAGTGGTGTAGGCAGCAATGTGGGCAAAATTAAAACGGGCAGGACTAACGTCTGCAACAGAGATTGATCACGGGCTGGTGTATGACGTCTGGGGTTAACGACATCGATTTCTTCTGGAATCTATAAAACGACTCACCAACACGAATCCACCACGCCCAGGCGCACGCTTGGTACCCCGGGATAAATAGGTAAGGTACTGCCGCATGCAGCATGAATACTCGACGCCATATATAGAAGGTATAATGACGGTTATCAGACAGGAGGAACGGGTGATGAATACTACGAACGAGTAGATCCGTCAAGGTTGGCTTAGTTATCAGCCAGTGACGAGACGCTCACGTGAAACGCTGGATAGTAATCCCCATGAAGATCGATGTGATGACCGTCAGAAGCGTTCTCCTGCGGCATGCAATCCATATCAGAATCCACGCGCGTAATCATAATTAACTCGCTCACCTTTTACTCCCAAACATGCGCGAAATGACCTCGGCGGCAACTTTCACTGGGCCGCCTTCACCACAAAGCACGGCAGGCCACCCAATCATTGTTGCAAACGCAATGAAGTAGTACAGTTGCGGTACGTGAAATGAAGGAACGTGATTGGATTTGTCGCCTATACATAACACATTCATTGGCGGATATCTCGATAATTATGCCCGAGAAACACGCACCGAGCACGATGCCACCATTCCAAATCACAAATCCAGCAAAAAGTGCGAGAACCACCGCATAAGGAGCAAACGGGGGGAGCAACTCTAGCAGTACTTTTGGGGCACTCATGATCGATCGAAGAAAGTCACCTGAAAATCGCGATATGAACCCCAAGGACAAAGACATTGCAACCCTGGCGTGACTGACTTGGCCCAGCGCCCATGGCGGGGGGATCATGTAGTGCGTGTCCGCGTTTGAATCGCAAACGCATGAGCTGGCTCGCTGCATACGCGTACAGTACCCAAATAACATTGTTTTGGCGGAAGAGGCAGCTCACAATTCCTAGCTAGGGACACCCCTGTAGTTGTGAACATGCATCACATAGAGCAGACTAAACCACATACCAAACCAGCAAGCCAGTGTTTGTTCTGCGCCGCAGCAACTACGGTACACAAAACAGAAACAAGGCTTGGAACCTCTGTGTAATATAGGAAACCGAAAAACCACGCTATTGGAAAGGTAGACAGAACAAGGGCCTCGATCGAGGGTGCCAATGTTGGTGGAGGACGGCGTCGTTGATGAAACCTCAGCAATCGCGCGAGGACAAGCGGTAGCGCGAAGAGGGTAAGGGTAGTAGTGAGACGTAGCAAAGCAAGGTTGCATTTGAACATAAAAACCCGGTGAAGAAATACGCTGAGCAGGTATCTGCGACATAATCAAATTGTCATGGGGAACAGCAGGCACTTGTGAACGACGTACAGTCCGGGCGGTGTGGTAATTTTTGGATCCCAAGTTGACCATTCACCCCTGCAGTAAGCCAATGCCTGCGGTACATGGAAAGGCTCATCCTAGATTAACATGAAGGTGAATCCGGTGTGTGGCTAAAGAGATGAAGTTGGATATAGTCACCATGTATGGCTCAGTAACCACGGCATTGAACTCCTTCAAAACTGCCACTGCAACACCGCAGTAAACTAGGTATAATATTCTCGTGTCCGAAGACATGGCTTGCGCAGGGTATATCTCACAAGCAGCGTTGTGGACAGAAAGTTGACAGGTGCTCGCGGGTGCAATCAGACGGTCTCGAGCTGAGTCTGACCATGACGTTAGACCTCCACGGTGCCACCTTGTTTCAAGTTACCACCAACAAGTTATGAGAAAGTCGCATCATAGTACAGTGATTTCAAATTGCAATATCCTACATCTAATGCATACAATTAACATAGGTTGCACTCAAGTCCTCATTCCGAAACGCCATGCCACGATCCATTAAACACTAGGCAGTTCAAGGCCTTCCAGCGCAGGAATAGGTCTCTCTGCCTGCGGGGTGATACGTGCACCGTGACGGCGTTCATTCGACTTTCCGTAGTCAACGATAGCAGACTGATGAATCGTGATTGATGTAAGTCCAAGAACCCCATGACGCTCATATGTTTGACTTACATGCGCAGTGACACGGTTGTCCCACAGCACAACGGTGCCAGGCTGCCATTTCACTCGGGCTTGGAGGTCTCCGCTCTTATCAACATGGTCGTAAAGGAACTTCAAGATAGTCTCTGATCGCAGGCATCTATTAGTGTCCTAGTCGAGATTCCTCGCAGTGATCAAACGCACCAGATTCCTCACGCTTCAGGCCAACAATACGCGTTGTGAACTGGCGGTTGACGTACAATGCTTCCTCTCCAGTGACTGGGTGACGCCGCACGAGTGGGTGGACATGTTCTACTGGCTCACGTCTCACGATGCCGCCACGCTTGCCTGAGCGCGAGAATTGAGCCTGCTCAACCCCGGAGTGCACTGCGCTGAGCGTGCGCAGGAAGGCGACAAACGATGGCGAGAGCTTCTTTAGAGTCGATATCTGGGACGTGAACAAGGTGTCACCGCCTGTCGTTGGCTGCGAGAGGAGGAAGAAGGTTGTGAGCCCCGGGGGCTGCAGCTCGTATGAGACGTCAGAGTGCCAGACAGTCGACGTGATGCTGTCCTCCCTTTCAAAGTTGAAGGACGACTTTGCATCCCTGAAGCTCACGTTAAGTGAGTATTAATTAGGTATGCCTGCACCACTTACTTGTAGACAAGGTGAACTTGCGGGTAATTCTTGGGGTGCCCAGACGTAGGATGAATGTGCAGCCTGGAAGACAAATTAGTCAGTGATCGTTCTGACAGTGACGCCAATGAAAAATTGACGTGTAGTGCAGCAGGAGCACTTTGCCCAATTGAGCGGACAAAGAAGAAGCACGACAAACCTTCCAAAATGCCGTCCCCATTCTAGGTACGAATCAGCCCCTCTATCTATAAACTCGTGCTGGCCCCTGAAAACCATTAGTCCCCTTCTCGCAACCTTGCAGACAATAAGCCACGATAGTCATATCACGGAAATTGGCATACTTCGAGCGCAAGTTGATCCCTCCCATCACTATCAAGGGTAGCGAGGTTCACACCATGGACCTCTGTGCCCAGATTAGGCGTCAGTTCGACCACGTTGGTCGCATTCTTAAGGAATGAACGGGGATCTGCGTGCTTGAGTGCACGAAAACCTGGATCTTCGTGTTTGAAGGGTGCGAGAGCCGGGTACTGCTCAGGTGAGAAATGGGGAAGCAAATGAGCATAGGGGTATGGCTCTGTCTTTTGCTCTTTGTCCCCTCCGCGGAGGTTGAGTGATGACAGGGTCTGCGAGACTTCAGTAACTGTTTCAACGACGGACATGCTGCCGGCAATGCACTTTAGGTTCAGTGACAGTGAGGTGAGAACGATGTATGAGACTGGAATTTGATTTTGTAGCCCCGGTCTTTATTCGCAATCCTGAGCACAAAAATCGCAATTGACGGCGCGCGTGATGTCTTATATTTTTGGTGTTAGGAACTAAGGAAGGCCTTTCTGCAGATACGGGAGCAGGTGACCGGGCATGTAGACACGCGACTCATCGCTGGTAAGTCCAAAGCCACCATAATAGATGTCTTTTTCTATTGGGCAGACTAGCCAAAAATGCACGCTGGCAAACCAACTTAATCTTAGGGCGAGAGTGGCTTATCTCGTTGGCCAATGAATCACGCGATCGAGAGGTCACATGCACATCTAGCCGCTCAACGCGTCTGCATCACGTGACGAAAATCAGTGATAAGAGATAACGAGGAATTCGGCTTAGTAATTACGGTAGGTTCGGAAGTAATAAATCTTATTGTCAAACCAAATCCAAGTTCGTTCGGTCACAACAATAACAGGGCCCGGGCCCGGGTCTCACAAGACAATAAGCATTCCGGTAGAACGCTCACATCCTATGAGCTAACGTCACTTCATAGGTTCCTAGCTCTAGCTCTATGTTTCAATGCCTCATGGCTATCAATCCATCACAAGTGCCACTACTGTGTCGCGTTTGACTCTTTGCATGATTGCATATTACGGTATTACCAGAGAACGGTTGGTGGCATCTTTCTCCAAACTTTCAAATGCAGTGGGTTATTTAATGTCAGACGAGTCATCGTCGAACAATTGAGTTTTGATGTGGCGATCACTAACCGGGCCTTCTCCCAGCTTTTTGTTTTGCAGTGGACCATGTCAAATTAGGCTTATTGTGTGGTTCGCTTACAGGGCGGAGCTCTTCCACAGGTGGCCCTAGCTTCCAAAATAGGAGGGCTCATCACGTCCACAGTGGAATGATTGCCAAGTTGTGGACGTTCCGTCCGCGCTCAAAAGGCCGCAAGATCTCATGCAAACTTCAGGAATTTATTCTCCCCCCGTACTTGCACTACCTATTTGCTGAGCCTTCCTCCCTTGTCGCTGCTATCCCTCCCCTACATCGGTCTCGACATGGAGGCTCAAGCTTACAGCAGTGCGACGAACATCCCCGCTCTTCAGAACCTCCGCGCCAGAGGCGTGCCCGATGTTCCTGAGGATGTCGAGTTTCTCATGGAGCATCTCAATGACCCTAACTTTGATTACTATGCGCTTCCATCTCCTACCTCCTCCACTACTGAGGTGCATGAGCTTGAGGACAAAAAGATAGCCATGTCAGAGTACTCTGGCGGTGCCTCAGACTTTGATGCCGAATCCCGAATTGAGTCTAGCACGCGCTACTCAACTGCTTCGAGAACCGCCACACCTTCAACATTCGACTATGACGAGTGAGTCCCATGGTGTCTTGCTAGTGCTCTGCTGACAGTTGTATGATAGCGAGTCACCTTACCCTGAAGTTCGCGCCGCTGTGTCTAGCATTGATGACCCCACCATGCACGTCAATACGTTCCGCATGTGGGTCTTGGGTGTCTTCTATACCATCCTCATCTCGGCTCTTAACCAGTTTTTCTCTATGCGCTGTAAGTTGTCATTTTCTTATCGATCTTGGTTCCGCTTGCTCAAGTCGCTCTCAGACCCTTCCATTATTATTACTGGTATTGTCGCTCAGTTGACCTCACTGCCCCTTGGCAAAGCGATGGAGCGAGTCCTCCCCACCACGCGCTTCAATACCTTGGGGTACACTTGGTCATTTAACCCGGGACCATTCAACATCAAAGAGCACGTTCTCATCACTGTCATGGCAAACGTTGTAGTCAGCGGTGCCTACGCCACCGACATCATCGCGACCCAGAAGGATTTCTACAACCAGACCCTCTCTACCTCCTATCAACTCTGCCTCGTTCTTTCAACGCAGCTCATCGGCTTCTCTATGGGTGGCCTTCTTCGCAAATTCCTTGTCTGGCCCAGCAGCATGATCTGGCCTGGTGCACTTGTCTCCTCCGCCCTATTCAATACTCTACACAAGTCATATGGCAAACCTGAGCATCGCCACGTCTCACGGGAGAAATTCTTTTGCATTGCACTGGGCTGCAGTTTCGTGTGGTACTTTGTACCTGGATACTTGTGGACTGGACTGAGTGTGTTCAACTGGGTCTGCTGGATTGCTCCTAACAACGTGGCTGTGAATGCGCTCTTTGGCACGTCCAGTGGTCTTGGCATGGGCATTTTCACTTTTGACTGGTCCATGATCTCGTACATTGGAAGCCCATTGGTGACGCCTTGGTGGTCTGAGGCCAACACAGCCGTTGCCCTTGTGATCTGCTTCTGGATTATTACACCGATCATCTACTGTACGTTCTCTCTCTTTTGTATTGCGCAACGTACTGAGGGTATCTCGCAGTTACCAACACTTGGTTCACCGCATATTTGCCAATTTCGTCCTACATGACCTTCGACAACACCGGACTGCCGTATGACCCTTCTATGGTGGTCGCCAATTCCACTTTCAATGTCGCGCAGTACGAGGCTTACTCGCCCGTCTTCATGACGGCGACCATGGCTATTGCATATGGTGTTGCATTTGCCGCTTTCTCCTCAGTGGTCGTGCATACCTTCTGTGAGTTATCTTCGATGTCCGTGTCGCCCCATTCTAACAGTGTCATCACAGTGTGGTACCGTCGTGACATCGTTCGCCGCTTCAAGAGCAGCCTCAGGGATGAGCGCGATGTTCATTCGCGCCTGATGCAGGCATACTCCGAAGTTCCCCAGTGGTGGTATGTCATCCTGGGCCTCGTGATGCTTCTCCTGCTCTTCATTACGGTGGAGGTTTTCCCTACGGATCTCCCCATCTGGGCCGTTTGCGTTGCTCTCGGCCTCGCTGCACTCCTCGCCATTCCGGTCGGCATGCTCCAAGCAATTACCAATCAGCAGATCGCCTTGAACGTTATGTTCGAGATGATTGGTGCCTATTTGCTTCCTGGAAAACCCGTCGCTGTCATGATCTTCAAAGCTAGCGCATACATGGGTACAAACCAGGCGGTTGGCTTTGCCGGCGACCTGAAGCTTGGTCATTACATGAAGGTGCCCCCGCGTCTCATGTTTACAGCACAGGTCCTCGCTGCATTCCTCAGTTGCATCGTTGTCACCCTCGTGCAGAACTGGATGTTCGCCAACATCGTGGACATTTGCCAACCCAACCAGCCTCAGTTCTTCATCTGCCCATCCACCGGTACCTTTGGGAGTGCGTCGCTCCTCTGGGGAAGCATCGGCCCCCACCGTCTCTTCAGTCCTGGTGCCATGTACAGCCCATTGCTCTGGTTCTTCGCCGTCGGTGCCCTCCTTCCCATCCCCTTCTACTACCTCGCTCGCCGCTACCCCCTCTCTTACTGGAGATACATCAACATCCCCGTTTTCTTCGCCGGCATTGGCGCCATGCCTCCTGCCACTGGCATTAACTTTGCGTCTTGGGCAATTGTCGGCTTCATCTTCCAGTGGTTCATGCGCCGCTACCACTTCAGGTGGTGGATGCGCTACAACTACATCCTCTCCGCTGGTCTCGACGCAGGCGTCGCGATCAGTCTCATCGTCATCTTCTTCGTTCTTCAGATGCCGAAAGGTGGCATTACCCTCAATTGGTGGGGTAACAGCGTATGGATGAACACCGCAGATGCACTAGGCACGCCACTCTATGTGATGCCTCCTGGCCAGACATTTGGCCCTTCGACTTGGTCATAAAAATGTTACATCGGATGGGTGGCCTTTGTATCAGTACATGTAAAATCTCTTCGCACTGCATGATTCCCCACGCAACATATTACCCGCTTCTTTCATTTCACTTATCCCACCACAACACTGTCCTTAACACCTTACCCATTGTTGCATTCCTTTCGCATTATGTTTGCATTACCATTATTTTCTTCGGGTTCTAGTGACTGCATTAACGCACTTGTATGTACCGATGACACAATGAAACTCATCATATGATTAAAAAAATATTGCGTGATTTTTCGCTGGGTCTCGTAGGCTGCCTCGGAGACTTGCAATTGACGAATCTACATTTTACTTGGTCTTGCCGATCCATGTGACGACAGTCTTCACACATCAACATCACCATAATTTTCAAGTTGCAAACCAAAGCCGGTGCAACGGCGGGATGAAATACAGCAGGAATAATATTGACGAGAACAAGAACAGTCGTACAATTATGCAGGCAAACCCCAGATCCTGACTTCCCTTCCGCTCGTAGCCCAGATCTCCTTGCCCTGCTCGCCAAACACCATATCCGACACATCACCCGCTTCCTCGAAGCGTGCAAGCTCATCCCACGACTTATGAGCAAACACACGGATGCCTTCGTTGCCTGCCACTCCCAGGTACTGTGCGCTGTAATCGTACACCACCTTGTTGACTTTGAATCCGTCCCCGAGCGGAATGGTGTGTGTAGTTTTCATCTTCCTCAGGTCCCAGATGGCAACGGAAGAGGGGCTGTCGGGAGCGAGGAGATGGTAGCCATTTTCTGAGAACGAGAGTGAATTGACGGTGAAAGGCGAGGCATCTGGTGGTGTGATGTATGCAGCCACTGCACCAGAGCGGACGTCGCATATTTGAATCTTGGATGAGGGAGTACCCAATGCAAGGAGAGCACCGTCAGGATGAATTGCAAGGGCTGTGTAAGGATCGTCTGCAGGAGCTGACCGGTACACCTGAGTAAAGTTGGAGAGTTCATGAAGTGAATATGTCTTGTCCAGAGAAGACAATGCAAATATGGAGTTCGTAGGGTGTACAACGAGGCCAGTGAGTTCTCCCTTGTGCGTCCGAATGGTTGCTTTTGGTATGTACTCGCCAGAGGCGCTATCATGCGCCCAGACTTTGGCGATTTTGTCTGCACCGGCAGACAAGAGGAAAGTGGATTCGCCCTCAGACTCGCGGAACGCGACGTGGTTGACTTTCTTCGTGTGACCTTTGAGGGAGGCCAATACCTTATCTGTACTTCTATCGTACAGCTGGACAATTTTGTCATTACCACCCGAAAGGAACTGAGATGGGTTAAGACGGGAAACGGCAAGAGAAGTCATGCCAGCAGGAGAGGCCGAGTGCAACGACGGGATGGTGTGTGTTGCAACGAATGTCTTCACTTCTGCGGCACTCGTGTAACCAGCAGGAGCCTTGCGCTTTTTGCGGGTAGCAGAGAGATTTTGCTGAGTCTCCTCAATCTGGTCGACGATCTCTTTGGGGAGAGCGCCTTCCTGAGCTCCATTTTCTTCAGCCATTTCCACGTCTTCGGTCGCGCCGTTTGCTGGAGTAATTCCCATAGTTGCCTGAACATTAGCCAGAGCTCTGAAACGAGGGCAGGACGCGTCAGCGTCATGTAAGCAAGAGTATACTTGGAAAGCGCGTACTCTCTGGCAGCATCGCGTTCTCTTATGAGGCGAGCTATGACGCGACTGGCCGCATCTTGTGCGTATAGAGCATAACTCAGCTCCTGGCGAGTAGAGTTGTACTGTTGCTTCAAGGCAAACATCTCCAACACTAAGGCGTCCCACTCATTTTGAAGCATATGCAACAGAGCAGGGGTTGAAGTTGCGGCAGGGGGTCGTGGAGGTGCAGCTTTGGGGTCTGGCAGACATAGGTTAGCATAATTATTCGGATTGCAGCAACTACTGCGAGAAAAAGTGATAATGAAAAAACTCACTGGCTTTGACAGTCAACAGGTCAGACTCCTCGAGCTTCTCTCCCGTTAATGGGTCGGTGCCATTGTCGTTGATATATTTAAGAATCAACCGACGTTCATAAACATGGCCAGATTTTGAAGAAACGACCGGGTCCTGCGGGGGCTCGCCAGAGATACTACAGAAAAACATGACTGCCTATATGAACAAGGACGTAGTCCTTTGGCGTTTCATGAGTTTGGAAATGTTTGTTGATCCTTATTTGTGCCAAGCTAGATCTCCGGATACCACTACAGTAACATGGCGGACAAGAAGCAGCAGCTCGTCCTGTCCATAATTGACTTTTTAAACCAATCCATAGATGATGGAACTGTCAAGCAAGACGACAGGGAGGGCCTTGAAGTAGCCAGTACGTCTTTGTGTTCTTGTTCGTCTCGTTTACGTTCTGTGTGGCTCATTGAGTACGCGTATTCACCCAGTTCAATGCATCGGCGAAGCATTTGGTGTCGATCCATCGGACGACAAGCAGCGGGATCGCCTAAGCATTAAGCCAGCGAAGTTACAAACAATATTCGATGTGTTCTTGAAAACACGAGACAAAGTTGTATCCTCGCCAGCACCCACACCCTCTGCCCCTTCAGCAGACACAAAGGCCAAGGCTGAGAAGCTCAAGCAAACGGGGAATACACACATGACAGTTAAGAAGTATGACGAAGCCATTGACGCGTACACCAAAGCCATCGCGCTCGACACTATCAATCCCGTCTACTACTCTAACAGAGCAGCTGCATACGCTAGTAAAGGCGACCATGCATCCGCAATCCTCGACTCTGAAAAAGCCATCGAAGTTGATCCCAAGTTCGTCAAGGCATATTCTCGTCTAGGGTAAGTATCTGCTATTCATTCCTACATCTTTCCATCTAATCCCACCGCTAGGCATGCGCAATACACTTTGGGAGACTACAAAGCTGCCGCTGCGGCATTCAAGAAGGGAGTTGAGCTCGACCCCACGAACGCCAATCTGAAATCTGGTTTACAAAATGCCATGGACCGCATTCCTTCTGAAGATGATGATGACGAAGGCCCGCCACCACTCGTACCTGAAGGCGACAATCCATTGTCAAATACGGGCGCTGGTGCGGGTGCAGGTGCAGGTGGACTCGGTGGTATGGCGGACATGTTCCGCAACATGGGAGGAATGGGCGGTGCAGGCGGCGGCATGCCAGACCTCGCTAGCCTCATGAACAATCCCATGATGATGCAAATGGCGCAACAGATGATGGCCAACGGCGGAATGGAAAGACTCATGTCGAATCCAAATGTTGCTAACATGGTAGGCCGTTTTCCCTCATTTGTATATTCCCAAGTAGTCATACTGGTCACCCTTTATTAGATGAATCGTATGCAATCTGGTGGAGGCACGCCCTCTATGGAAGAACTCATGGCAGATCCAGAGCTAAGGAATATGTGAGTTGAGCTCTACCTATTCGTCCAGTAAATTTAAGCTCACCATGCCACAGCGCCAGTCAATTTGGAGCTGGAGCTGGACGGTGATTCAAGAGGGGACATGTTTTGAGTTTGAGATAATGAATGAGCTTACGCTGAAGTTTGTACGGATGATCCCCTAAGTACGGAATGGATTCATTTTAACTTGGCCACGCTCGCAAATGCACATGTTAGCTCAAACCAGATAAAATACAATTATGGACGGTGGGATCGCCACCGAATATTACATATAGTGATTATAAGAGTACGCGGTAAATATCTGTGATGCAAACGAATGGCGGGCTAATACGATTAAGCCATAAACACCGAGCGATGTGAGGGAGAGCGCAAAGACACGAAAGGCAAATGAGAGCAATAAAGATACACCTAATAATTCAACAAAATGAAAGACAATACCAATCCAATGAACAGAGCCAGCGATATGTTAGAAGTGGCAGTAGAATATTGATCCGATTCTGGTCCACGCTGATTATAGTCAGGGGCCCACGCATTATGCGGACACATGTCCAGGAGAGTAGCTCGGCGAGGGGTCGAGAGCAGGAAGAGAATTTTGCATTTGTGTCTCAGGGGGTTGTGAGTTGGTCCCATCCTTCCGCATCTTCTCGGCCAATTTGCGACTTAGGGCAGGAGGCACCAGATCTAGCTGAACCGGGAGATCTGTAGGGTGACCCTGACACATTTGGTTAGAATGAGATTCACCATGTTGCGGAAGTTAAACTTACATGGGTTAGATGATAACGAAGTCCGCTGAGTTGCTTGTACCGATTTGGGCAGCTTTGATGCGGGCAAGAATATTGTTTTTTGACCTTATCTTCGCCTTCGCCAGGAGATGCCTCCACAGAAGGGACGGTGAGGCCATCGATGTAAGAGGTAACGAAAGTTGACACAATAGCGTGTTGGAAATGGGCCTTCGATCTAGGTCATGTTAGTATTTCGGGCGAAGAAAACATACGTAGTTCCGCACATTTGTAAATGATACTGTAACCCATTAATGCTCTGCCGAACACAGTCATTAATACCAACTGCCAAGGACTTCGGAACCGAAATGACGTGCCTTCCAAGATTTTCCGCATCCGTCTAAACCACATCTGTACGGCCTCTCCCCACCAGAATCTTCTGGATGCGCACTCTTGTTGTGGTCCGAAAGACCTCGCGAAGTAGTGTAACAAGCACGGGAAATCGCCGAGGTCGCCGGCCAACAGCTCTCGTGACCGCACGCATATGGCTTTATAGAGGGGCTTAGAAATGACACCATGTTAGTCGATTGCGTCACCTGCATGAGAATATGACCTACTCATTTGTAGCAGGCAAGTCAGAGGATAGCCTCAGAGGGGCATGAATATCAGCACGCTTCCGTATGAATGACGGCCGTTGCCGTGCAGTCGGACGAGGATTGGGGTCGTCAGGGGTCGGTGACGAAGTATCCTGAGGAGGGCCGCGTTTGACACCTGATCTGATGGCCTTTGGGAGCACACTGGCAGCGCGTGGATACGTGTGTGCAGATGAGTTGATAGATGCAGAAGGCTGGGCGGGTGATGAAGGATGGGCGGGTGATGAAGGATGGAAGTTGGATGAAACGGCTGGTAGTGGACCTGTATCAGCACTAGGCATAGGAGCCCGAAGTCCGTTAAGCTTGCGTTCGTTGGGTAGTGGATGAAATTGAGGCTGCAATTGTCCTTTGAGTTGTGGCTGGTAATAGTCTCCACAAGCTTCAGGCGCTGTCGTGGAGGACCGTGACATTGAACTGATGTCTTGGTGCGCCGGTACCACGTGTTCAGAGGGTGGGTAGTACTGGTTGCAGGGTGTCTGGTGTAATGGAGCATCGATAGGCGAAATGGGGGAACACATGTCCGATGAGGATGAAGACGGGAAATACTCGCGGTGAACGCTGCAGACGGAGGATGAATCCGGCGATGACATCACAAAGTGCTGGACATCATGCTCAAGCTGTTGGTGAGGATGAGCCACATAGTAATTGTCAGTCGCCTCGTGGGTTAGGCCTAGCGCTGAAGGGACCAATGAGACGGAAGCACCCTGAGAAGCGGTTGGATGAGGATAACACGAATCGAGAGAGAGCTGTGATGGAGAAGTCTCTCCATCACGGATCAATTGATGGTGGCACTCGTTATGACGAGGCGAAGACGAATAATACTCCGATGTACGTTGAGTAGGAACGGGTGTGTGAGATGGGACAGGTGTGGGAACGACGCTTCGCTGAATGTCGTTATAATGGCGTTGTGCAACGTTGTCTTCATACACAGGGCGATGTCCAGCGGCATAATCCGTTGCTTGTGTGGCGTTGACGAGCGATGGATCGAGGACTACCCCATAGTCAAAAACAGCGGGCGTATTATCGGCCGGCGGAACGGAGGCAATAGAGTGCGGGGCGGCGTGAGTTTCCCCAGTTTGGTAAGCGCCGCTAGGGGCCGCGGTACTTTTTTCATACCTGGTTGCAAGTGTGTGTGGAGATGACAAGGCCGAACTTAATGATGAAGACGAATAATGAAATGGGGGCGGAAGATTGACAACGTGCTGTATTGACTGTGGATGGGAAACTGAAGAGGGTTCTACACTGCCCAGCAATCCCACGGTATTGTGAGACCTTACGCGGTTCTGGTGCTGCCCAGATGCCGGGGAAAGTCTTCCGTCAAAATGAGGAAGGTTTCCATCCCAGTACTGTCTGGGGTTGAGCATGGGTGGAGGTGGCCAAGGTGTGGGATCAGGATACGTTAGCACAGGACTTGATGGTTCTGAAGACATAGTCAAAGATGGTTTTGAAACTGCGACACCCTGAGGCTCGGTTAAGATGTTTCTTTTTCGCTCAAGAAGCCTCCACCTGAGAGAAAGCGGAGGTGAGTTACGTGAGAACTATGTATACGTGCGGGAGAAACAGCACCTGTTACGGCAGGCTAATCCGCTGCGCTGTAACTCCTGGCCGACTTCGCGCCATCGCCCAGCCAAGCGTGAGTACGCGTCTAAGAGTTTGTCGTCCTCTTCCTTGGACCATTCATCACGCCTGAGAGAAGGGTCGAGTGCCTCACGATAGCGTTTTGAACAAGCGTCGTCAGTACGACCAGGTATATGTCGCGCGATCACAGACCACTTTGTTGAATGGACTTTGTAGAGTTCCAAAAGTAGATGATCTTCCTCTGGCGTCCAAGCAGATTTCTTCACATTCGGTGATAGTGAATGAAGCCATCGCTGTTTTTGAACGTATTGGGAGAACTGAATTGGGATTATGAGATCAATACTGGCCTTCCTGCAAGCTTTATTGGTTCTTTCCGGTACACAGTGGGCTACAGCCTTCCAGTTGTCAGACTCTCCATGGGTTGCGACGGCGTTGGCGAGGAGACGGTCCTCCTGAGCGGTCCATGGCCGACCGACGATGCGCTCGGTCATGATAAAGCTTTAAGATAATAAGAAGAAGTCAGAAGGAAAATGAGGGGTTCAGTGCCAGGCCTCGAGGAAGGAAGGCTGCATCACTTAGAATCAATTAGACCGACAAATGAAAATCCCAATCAACCCACAAAATTACATAAATGTCTCACTTTCCTTTTGGAAGTTATTTACCACGCCTCCTTCCTTTACTTGGTTCCTCCAAGATACTACGTATACAAAGTAGCGCTAAGTACTGACTTGACTGTCATGTCTGCTTATTCTTCAGACGAGGACCATATCAATGATGCCTTTGGCCTGTCAAAACTTCCCTCCAGCAAAAAACCGCGCACGGTCCAGGACAAATTCCTGTCTCAGGCTGCGCCTCATGTTCTCGCTGAAGTGAGTCTTAACACTCCAAACATCCACCATGTCACTCACCGCGCCCATAGGACCCTCTAAATCAAACCTCGCTGGTAACCCGGCCGACAGACACACAAATGAACGTCAATATTCCTTACAGCGACATGATGTTGCCGCTCCAAGGTCCCGAGAATCCATTCGGTGATTCAAACCGGTTTATCAATCAGAACGCACTCGCGGGTCATGTGGAAGAACAATCCATGTCAGACCACGCGTTCAAGGCCCAGCATCTGACACATTCCATCCTCGGCTACTCGGTCAATCCGTCGATCGATCCAAACGCTCCGTCTATTCTTGGTTCAGTTGAAAAGGCTCGCGAAAATGGCTTTGCAACAATTGATACATTACGAGCTACGAACTCTCAGAGAAAGGAATTGAAAAGAAAGAGAAAGAACAAGGGAGATCTCGATGTAGTGGACGGTGAGGGTTCATACGTTGGACCTTGGGCTGCATGGGACGGAGAAGAGGAAATTGGATTCTTGGATGGTGTTGAGGACACTGGTGATCAGCCGCAGGAGGAAGAGGAGCCTGAACCGGTAGTTCAAAAGAAGAAAGCAAAACCGAAGCCTGGTGCCTACGGCCAAGAAACCTCCGTCTTCCATGGCAAGTCTATGACCGACTATCAGGGCCGCACGTATATGCATCCGCCGCTGTCGGAAGCGCCTCATATTGTCACTGAGGTTGGCTCCCAAGAGACATTTATTCCGAAGACGTGTATCCATACTTGGACCGGCCATACCCAAGGCGTCTCGGTAATACGATTATTCCCTGAAACTGGCCATCTCCTCCTTAGCGGTTCTATGGACACAAAAATAAAGGTACGCTAATTTTATTTATCCTATTCGGTCCTTTAATTGACTCGCTCCCGCCAGCTGTGGGACGTGTATACACATGGAAATTGCCTTAGGACTTTCCATGGTCACGTACAGGCGGTTAAGGACGTCACATTCTCTAACGATGGTCGGAAGTTTTTATCATGTGGATACGACCGCCAGATGAAACTATGGGATACCGAGACTGGCCAGTGTCTCAAGCGGTTCAGTAATGGTAAGACTCCATACGTTGTGCGCTTCCATCCGGACGAAGACAAGCAACACATATTCCTCGCTGGTATGTCGGATAAAAAGATTATTCAGGTACGTGCTTTCGTCTGTCTCTGGCTTAATCGACCATTGAATGCGACCGTGCAGTATGACATGAACTCTGGGGAGATCACCCAGGAATATGACCAGCACTTGGGTCCTGTCAATACTATCACTTTCGTTGACGAGAACCGACGCTTTGTCACGACGTCGGACGACAAGACCATCCGTGCTTGGGATTATGATATCCCAGTCGTGATCAAGTACATTGCAGAACCTCACATGCACTCGATGCCAGCAGTAACGCTTCACCCTTCAAGTGCGTTTTATTTTTTCTCACTTGTCAACCAATGACTTAATATATTTTTGTTTATCGTGTCTGTAGAGAAATATTTCGCTGCGCAATCGTTAGACAACCAGATTCTCATCTACAGTACGGATAATTTCCGCCAAAACAGAAAGAAAAGATTTGCGGGACATTCCGTGGCTGGGTACGCTTGCCAGGTCGGGTTTTCACCTGATGGCAAATGGATAAGCAGTGGTGACGGCGAGGGGAACGTGGTGTTCTGGGACTGGAAGACGGGGCGTATTAAATCCAGGCTACATGCACACTCCAAGGTTGTGATCGCGCATGAGTGGCTACCACACGAGTCGGTACGTTCGCCGTTTTTTTGCTTCGCTACCGATGCTGACAGCTAACGTATGTGTGCAGTCTAAAGTTGTAACGGCGTCTTGGGATGGCTTGATAAAACTATGGGTATGTCTCGTCTTTGTTTCGGATCTACCTGTTCTAACGCTCGAAATAGGACTGAGTAATCTAATACTCGCATCCATTGTATTCTGTACGCATAGCCGCATGACATCATATTTTTGCTTCGGCGGTCGGATGGCGCATGCCACGCACTGGTGCAGTGATGAACTAGAAATTGATTCCACATCGCCAGGAACCAAGTGGCTGACCGTTGTTCGTGTGACATGATGGAAAATTGTAGGCGCTTGCCAATTGGAAGCTCGTTTGGCCCGATAACGAATAAAGTGCTTCCATGGTCTCGTGCAGTCCATCAGGGAAGTGGATGATCAAGACACCGTCGTCGTTGTGGTATGTTATGCCGATTGAATGATTTGTTGGAATGATTCACGGAGCGGGCAGGACATACCTGTGTGAGCTCAAAAATTCTAACAGACTTTTATATTTACGGTCTCCTAGATTAGATCGCAATCCTCGGACGTACGTTACTGACCGTTTCATGGATGAACGGAGCAGATGGGCCAGCCAGATAGATCTAAGATTCTATTCGCCTTAAGTACTACTATTATTTGTAGTACTCTCCGCAAAAGGTACCTCAACCGAATGGGTTCGGCGGCCATAGAGAGTCGGTTCCTGAATACCGGGAGAATGTAAACCGCGTGGATCATCATATCCACTTTTCTCATAGCTCGCCATCACATAAAAAGCAAACTCGTTTAACCCTGTCACACTCCTTTAAGCAGGCATACCCCATGTTATCAACAAAGTGGTATATCGCCATCGTCCTGGCTTGTCTTCTACAACCATCCCTTGCCCATCCAGTCAGTCATTCTCTCTTTTTATTGCTCTAGCGCTCACCCTCACAAAACAGATGGCAAAACCTGTGGCTAGGGATCCTGAACCAGTAAGGATCAACTCATTGTCATTTAATGACACAGCTGATCATCTGGACCCACAGAAAGGCCCTGTTGCAGATCAATTCGGTGGCGGTGGTGGAGGCACTTCTGGAGCTGACTGGTGAACACCATCCTGTGAGTCCATACACAAGTCAGTCAGTGGACGCTAGGACTTATAATATCAGCACGCCCTAACGTTTTTATGTGCTTAAAACTGGAGCATCGTACATGCCCATCAACTTATGGACCGCCCATCACCCGCATCATCACTCAAATCACCTTTTTAGGTGGCACGCCCACCTGGCCCCACCCACCACGTCTGAGTTTACCCCTTCCAACTTCTTTTGCGTTTACACCAGCACTATCTTAATCTCACACTCGTTTTTATACCTAACTTGCGTACTTCAATGGTGAAGCCCGACAGCACACCTGCCTTGTATTCAAACATGTATTCCACCTGTTTTCCTCTTACGAATTAGTTACTTCGCTCGACTAGTTTGCTTGACATCTATACGTACACGTGCTCTCCTTTGACTGGTTTTGTCTTGATTCGATGGGTTTCTTCTCGTACACCGTGAACCTTGTTGGGTGCGGATGAATAATATACGACTTTGCAGCATCATCACCGTCCAACTTCCGACTCGTCGAACTTCTTCGACTTCGACTTCGACGAATGGACCATCAGACTTGCATCAGACTGATAGCATTATGCATTGGAAGCAATATAAGCCGATGTCAAGGGCTCTAAAATTATCGAGTAGATTCCACGTGAAGTTACCGTAAGGTTAAGGGCAGGCGTAGTCGCGTCAATATTGAGCACGCGTCAACTTTTGCTTCACGTCTAGCTACTTACTGCCTGCACTGAGCTTGCAACCATGTCGATGCTCGACGAGCCTGTTCCTCAAGATGATCTTATGCGTGACAGAACGCGTATATTCGAGGAATTTCTCATTTCAGATTCCCCAATTTACAATTACAGAGACGACATCGCGCGCCTGCTCCGCACAGATCAAACTCGTCTAATAGTCAACATCGATGATCTCCGCGACTATAACAGAGAATTCGCAGATGGCTTGCTCAAGCAGCCCATTGACTTCATTCCCGCATTTGACGATGCCCTCGCCAGTGTCATCACTCAAGTCCAGGATAGCGACAAGCACGAGCTCGAGGGAAAGAACTATCGCGTCGGCTTCAGTGGCTCCTTCGGTGACCATCACGTTAGCCCGCGTACCCTCAAATCAGAACATCTTGGCAAGATGATCTCCTTGGAGGGCATCATCACCCGTTGCTCACTCGTCCGCCCAAAAATGCTCAAATCCGTTCACTATTGCCCCGACACCAAACTCTTTCACGCACGCGAGTACCGCGATGCGACTACGTCAACATCAAATCTGCCACCGACCTCCACTGTCACACCTCAGCAGGATGACGATGGCCATCCCCTACAGATGGAATATGGCCTTTGTGTCTTCCGAGATCACCAGCGTATCAGCATCCAGGAGATGCCTGAACGCGCTCCGGCTGGTCAGCTACCTCGTAGTACAGATATTATCCTTGACGATGACCTGGTTGATAAATGCAAACCTGGTGATCGTGTTCAACTGGTTGGCTTCTATCGAAGTGTGGGAGGTGGCTCAAGTGGCGCCTTCAAGTTCGTTTTCCTTTTTTTCCTCGAAATTTATCACTCATTTTCCGGTTTCCTGACAGATCCCTCATTCTCGCAAACAACATCAATCTCCTTTCCTCCAAGATTGGAGGCGGTATTGCACAGACACCGTTAACTGATACTGATATTCGGCAAATCAACCAGCTTTCTAGACGACGCGACATCTTCCGCCTTCTTTCACAGTCTCTTGCTCCGTCCATTTATGGACTCGATAAAATCAAGGAAGCTATCCTTTTACTCCTGCTGGGTGGTGCGGAAAAGAACCTACCTAATGGTACCCATATCCGTGGCGACATCAACATGCTCATGGTCGGCGACCCGTCGACCGCAAAATCGCAACTACTTCGCTTCGTGTTGGGCACTGCCCCACTCGCTATTGCTACTACCGGACGGGGAAGTTCTGGTGTCGGTTTAACAGCGGCTGTTACCACTGATCGCGATACCGGCGAGCGAAGGCTCGAGGCAGGCGCGATGGTTCTTGCAGATCGTGGTGTTGTTTGCATTGATGAATTTGACAAGATGTCAGATATCGATCGCGTGGCGATTCACGAGGTGATGGAACAACAAACGGTCACCATCGCGAAGGCTGGTATCCATACCAGTTTGAACGCGCGGTGCAGTGTCGTTGCCGCTGCCAACCCGATTTATGGCCAAGTGCGTCAATCTACGTGTATTTCTTTTAGATTCTGTAGTCTGACTACGTTATTTGCTAGTATGATATCCATAAAGATCCCCATAAGAATATTGCACTACCCGATTCCCTTCTTTCGCGTTTTGATCTTCTCTTCATTGTCACCGATGATGTTGATGAAGAACGAGACCGCAGAATTGCAGATCACGTACTGCGTATGCACCGTTATATGCCCCCCGGAGTTGAAGATGGTACTCCTGTGCATGACAACCTGTCACAGCCACTTTCCATTGATGGACCGGGTGTGCAAGCAGCGGAGGTAGATGGTGGGATAGAGAGCAGCCCCTTCGAGAAATACGATCCCCTGCTCCATGTTGGCTTGACGGCAGCAAAATCACGAACACGGAGAGGCAAGCAGGTGAAGACGGAGGTGTTGAGCATCGCCTTCATCAAAAAATATATTCAGTACGCGAAAAGCAAGCCTGCACCAGTTCTCACGAAAGGCGCGGCTAACCACATTGTGAATGTCTATGCTAACCTTCGCAATGAGGACGAGGGTCAAACCAATCGGAAGAAGGTATTTTTTTACTTTGCATCTCGGCTATGTTTCGTGTTTGACGGGTCATATACAGACATCACCTCTAACAGCGCGTACACTGGAAACTCTAATTCGTCTATCCACCGCCCACGCTAAGGCACGTCTCTCACTCAAAGTCGAGTCTGAGGATGCTCGTGCGGCAGAGGAGATTATGCGGTACGCACTTTATAAGGAAGTTGCGAAGCGGCAAAAGAGGAAGAAACGCAAACTCAATCGTGCGGGAGCAACTGGCGGGAAGGACGAAGATGACTCCCAGGATAGTTCCGACGAAGACGAAAATGATCAGGGTGACGATGAACAACCTGAGGTCCCTGAACGCATGAGCATGCCTCCTCAAGGACAGACCAACAATCAGCGTGCAAATGATCATAGTAGTCAGGACACGTTATGGAATGACAGCACCCAGGATCTCCCGATGGATACGTTACCAACGGCTGCTACAGGACCATCACAGGAGGGCGGTGTGCAACCAGAAAGGTGAGCGTTCCATTCTATTCATACTCTCACGTCCCCAGTTTATTACCGGGGGACTGATTTGAAGAGTATAATTCTGACTCGTTTTTTCTCGCACGTGCGTTTTCGGTTTGATAGGCTACAGCTTTTCCGTGCGCGGCTAGCGAACCTTTTCTCCACACGCCTCCAAGACGAGGAACAGGTGTTCTTGGCAGAACTTGTGGAAATGGTCAATGAAGGTCTACCCACGGGCGCATTATTTGGGACAGCCGAAGCTACCGCAGCGTGTCAGGTCATGTCGGATGCAGATGAGCTCATGATCAGCGAAGGGATCGTCTATAAAGTCTAATACCGCCGCGGTGGCCTGACCGTGGGTTGTGTTCCATGCGGCAGACTGGCTACATCCTCCTTTTCGCTTTACTTGCTTATCGTCATTGTTGTATCATGTTCTCCCCTTGTAATAATAGCTCCATACTAGAGATATTAATAAGAATGATCTCCACATGACACAATGAATCACTGGAACGCATCCATTACTGTGGCGTGACTTGAAGTCGAAGCATCTGATGATCAGGAGGTCTGAACTGCTGATCAAAGTCAATTTTGACGCTGTCATGATATTATTATCTGATCCTCCTAGAGCATATCAATGATTCGAAAGCTATATTGTGTTGAGGGGGGCTCCGCGTGGTATGAAAGCATATCATCAGACAACTCTCACCATTCCCCTCCCACGCCGCTACACGCATGCTCGCCCCTGCACGGTTGGTCTATAGATCATCCCGCAGCCGGAGCACTGTCTTGACCTCTTCTTTCCCTAAACCTCCTGATCCGAGGCTCGTGGCGGCATCCAAAGCATCCTCCCAATTATCCCCTTGCCCGTTAAGGACTTCCTTCACGGCCCTGTCCACTTCCTGTCTACCTGCGCCAAGTAGTCTGCCTGCGACTAGTAGCCGTCCCCAAGGACCCTCAGCCCTGGCCCGCGAAGTCCTCAAGGCAGCCTGGCAAGTTTCGGCCCAAAGTTCGGATTCCGCTTGAACGGAACGCGCCTGCTCCCGTGCAAGTCCTGTGCGGAATTGTCCCCTTGTGAGTCCCGGGCGAAAGAGAACTTCGCGCTGAAGAATGTGCTCCGCGATGCGTGTTGCTATCCGCCTATATACATGGGTTGTCACTGCAGTCGGAAGTGTATTGCGGATGAAGTTGAGGTGAGCAGATAAGAGAGCAATGGATGGGAGGAGACTTGGGGGCACGGCGATTCGATCATCTGCATTTTGAATGTCACCTCCTTCCTTGGGACTACGTAATAGCAGTCACTACAACTGATTGTATAAGCCGGGTAGAAAAACGAGCCACTTACGATGTGATAGACACGAAGTGTGGTTTCAAAGCAGTTTCGGTTTCACCACAAACTTGACTCACAAGCATATCTTCCGCCCTTGACGCGAGCTTCGTGTATTGTGTAATTAGCTCCTCGAAGATAGTACATTCCGGTGCATCGCTCTTGCTAGACTGGTGATCGGCAGAATTTGGCAGAGAGGGATGCATTTGCGCCCGCGTACGTAGGGCTGCCCGATGGTTAATTTCTGTCCACAGTTCCAAGAAGAACTAACCGCAACAGGTTGTTTAGTCTCAATAAAGTCCCAAAACACAAGCCTTACCTCTTCCTCTCCCCATCTTTGCATTGCAGACTCGGCATATCGCGCGCTGAGCAGCGCCTTGCACAACCGTTGGCTACCTTCAATGCCTCCAGTCAATTTACGCGAGTCTGTCTTTGCTCCCTCAACCCCTAGTGCACCAGGGACCGCTCGCACCAGAGCAGATGAAAGTGTCTCGAAGGCATCCAAGGAAGAAGATATACGAGAGTAATACTGCTCGAGGATAGGAAGTTGGACATGGATAAGGAAACGCGTGCGATGGGTGAAAGAGGGAAGGGGAGAGTAGCGATCTGTTTCACCTTCAATGACAAACTCATCCAAGTAAAGTCATAACCATAACGTACCAGTAACTTGTTCGACGAGTGCCTTTATTCGACGAGCTGAGTTCGTAGCCTTCAATTCGGCTATCGAGCGGGAGAGTTTGTATTCCTCGGAGTCATTTGAATCATCATCAACAATAACCCATGCATCTGAAGCACTGATGATTTCATGGTACTGGTCCTCAGCGACTGTTAACCAGCCGGCTTAGTATTGCCGACAGACAGACGAATGTAACAACAAACTTACACTTTTTCTCGCCCTCTAACCATGCGTCAAACCACTCCTTCTGGCAAAGGATGACAGAACTGACGCCTCCTTTCTCCGCAGTCTTCCTTGCCTCTGCACTGACCACAAATTCATAGCCTGATTCACGCATATTGGAATCGAAGATCAATGCCTGATAAACAGTGTGCGCCAACAGGGCAGGGTGAGAGAGCAAAGTCGGAACTGTGCGCCGCAACTTGCGCTCCAGGATTGGGACAAGGAGAGTAATGTAATTTTGCTGGTGTCGTGGACTGCCGTCAGGCTACAAGAGCGAGTTTAAAAGTATGGGCTTACCCATGCATTAACACGCTGGTATTTAGTGCGCAAAAGCAAACGTTGTATGACATTGTCCATGAATGGTCGATGGTCGTGAGCCACGTTCATTATATGTGAGAGATACCACTCTGGCTGTTACGAACAATCAAGACAGGTTATAGAAGACGTCGAGAAACATACTTTGTCAAGGCGATTTGTCTCTCGTTCAGTTTCGAAATGGTATTTGAAACGAAGCGATATTGCATGCGCGAGGGTTTCTAGAGGGTATAAGCCCTGAGAACCTATTTCAAGTTGGTTTGTTGAACCCTCGATATTCTCGCCACTGTGATATTTCAGTATAGCCCAGAATGCACAATACAGCTTCACTGACATTTCTTGCAGCGATATCAAGTCTTTGAATGCAGACTCAAAGGATTTGCGGTCATCCACGCTTGCAGCAGGGTAGTCAACGGGCATTGGCCATTTGAGATTGTCCAGCGCGCTAGTCAGTTTGCTTGATGAGAGAACGATAAAGTATCAGACCGTGTTGCAAGGCGAGGGATCCAGACTTACGCAGAAAACATCCCTTTTATATCTGACCACGTCTTGTCGCGAATACGCCGTACAAATGCAACAAGATGTAGAGACTGCTCAACGCTCCCGATATCTTGCACGGCGTTGCACGTTTGAACAACATTGTTAACGAAGGAGCTTAGCCTATTGTATTCTGCCGTCGACGATGTGGAAAGTGGGGATGGCGTACTGCGCAGCTGCGCTAGTGCTCCTTCGCTAAGAAAGAGTTTGTGTCCATACATGGCAGGTAGAATTGGTAGATCGTGCACACCTCAGCGTCAATGTACGCTCTATGACAGCTACGTATGCCCGCACGCTTTCAAGTTCCTTCAGTACGCGATGCATAGTCTCAATGTCCTCAAGGAGAGTGGGGTTAACTCCCGATTTCGATGGAGAAAGAGATGAGACGAGCTCGTGCGAGAGGTAAGTCATCTCGTTGTCTATCGACTCTCTGTCTTCCGCAAGCCCACGAGCAGTGTCAAGGTTAGCAAGTGCTGCCATGCGAGTCTTCGTTATGAGTGAGTCAATCGATTGCTGAGATGCAGAGAGCTAGCTGACAACGAATAAACTACCACGAATTATTCAAATCAAAAAACCCACTTGACGTTGCAGTTCCGAGCTCCGTGTTTTTGTTTGTGACAGGACTTTGTCAATCCCATCGAGGTCGTCTATATGAGCGAAACTGGAGTTGAGGTAATCTAGTGCAAACTGATGCGCAGTAGATGCATCAGGCGGTTCAAGCAGGCGCTGTATCTTCTGTGAGGACATTACGATGACCTGAATACTGCTGACTTCAAGTGCTAAGCTGAATGTCGAGCGGCAAGTCCGTGTCAGTCACGTGAACATTGCAGTCTATGCCCACGTGCAACCCACATGGTTATCTAATCTCTAGATCACATAGAGGAGAAGAAAGTTAGGGAACCACAACTCGATTGCGTCAAAATGGCACAGTATGAGTCGAACCAAGAATAAATATGTAACACCCCACGCTACGCGAAAAACCAAATTCTTATCTCTTCCCGAACTGCCATGGCCGAGGTTGACTTTAAGCAAGCAAATGAGAGATACGCTGCCAGCTTTGGCGACAACGGCAAATTAAGCATTCCACCATCCAAGCACCTTGTTGTCGGTAAGTACTTGCCAGCGCACCTGAGATAACTCAGCTGACTCACCGATAGTAACGTGTATGGATGCTCGCCTTAAGTGAGTTATAATTGCCCAGGAGAGCATGTTCGCAAATGACTGTGGAACAGCCCTGAGGAATTTCTCGGCCTGAATCTTGGGGAAGCACACATTATTCGGAATGCTGGAGGTCTTGCGTAGGTTCCCAACGTCTCACAACTCCTGCGTTCTGCTGAACAAGTTCCCATGGTATTCAGCAAGGAATCTCTTCGATCCATCATCATTTCACAAAGACTCCTCGGAACTAAAGATGTGCTCGTCATTCACCACTCCGATTGTGGAATGCTCACTTTTACCGATGAGCAACTTCGATCCAAAGTCATCAACACCCATCCTGGAGATGTTGCTGTGTCCGAGGCAGTCAACGGACTGCAGTTTGGACCCTTCCCTGATTTAGATAGCAGTGTGAAAGACGATGTCGCATTCTTGAAGAACCACCCGCTTGTCTTGAAAGAAGGGGATATCACTGGATGGGTTTACGAGGTAGAGACGGGAAAAATCAGACAAGTCGTGTGATACGACGACCGGTACAAAGAATGGTTTGTATGATGTATGTATACATGTAACCTAGTGCTTTACGCCTGTCAAATGAGGAGGTATTCTGTCAGCCACAAACAAGGTTAGAAATGCATGAATAGTCACCTCTAACGTTCAAAAAACTACCAATGGCCGCCCTTCAAAGCTTCGCCTCCGTGACATATCGCACGACTTCACTCCAATCTTTAGCCCGGCGCACCGAAAGATGAGTGTTTGCTTGCTCCAATGCCTTGTCCCCTTGTTTGACGTCTTCTTCCAGGAACGACGTTCCTCCTTCTTTTTGTAAACGAACTTCATAAACCATGTCATTGCACTCGTCAGAAGCAAGCGAAAGACGCTTATTCCACTCATACGAGCCAAACAGGAGTACCGGAGGAGGCTTTGTTACCCCATCTAACGGGAAATGATAGGCGCAGGCCAGCGCGTTTTCCATCGAGTCGTCGATCAGTAATTTGGCACCGATGTCAATACAGACTTCCGCTTTGCTCAATTGCGTGGCGACCTCATGGCTCTTTCGTGCACTTGTCAAGGCGTCTACGCCATCTGTCGCAGGCTTTCCAACATTCGCAAACTGACCAGTGCATATCATGCTATGAAAGCATCCAGGGAACCAACGTTCGACCCAAGCCCAGCTATCAGCGTGGGAATCTTTGCCTCGAGCTGTGACGATGATCAAGCGATAGCCCAGCGCACGCAAGGTCTCTACGCCCTCGCGTGCACCGGGTACGGGCTGCGTCTGTGCCATCTGACCGCTGGCATAGAACCCTTTGACCTTTGTGCGCGTGGTGAGAGGCGTTCCCCAAAATGGATTCTAGAGGAACCGGCGGATTCGAGATGAACAATCACTGCATCAGTAAAATACACTCTACTTGCCTTCCAGTAGAAATAGTCTGCGCGACGTGACCATGATGCACAGGGATATGTCGATGCATGACTCACAATAAAAATGGTCGGTGGTCATTTGGGTACCATAAGTCTCGTTGTGCCCTTGAGATATTAAACAAGCTTGCACCCATCGCTCCTCATGCAGATGGGGAGAATACACGTACATTGCGCTACGGCAGCGTTGGTACTGCTCAACACGTCATCAAGATCGATTGCGATGACAGGTGCAGAGGATGGGGGTATGAGTTCTTTGAGCTCTGCAATTTGCTCAGTGGTGGTTTCTGCAGTGAGCTCTAGTTCAGACTCTGGGCTGGACGCTCGGTAGGTATCGTTCACGGACATGGTGCGGTATCGATGGCTGCTCTATGTGGTATCTGACGAAGAGTCAAGAATTACTACAATTTACTATACATAGTCTTCGTTCCTCGGATGCAAAGCCGAATATTGATCTCGCCCGATATGGACTCGAGCGCCCAGGGCTAAATTATGAAGAATCACATGCAACAGCTGCTGCCTTCGACTTCAACGTTCTTAGGCCTTCTTAGGCGCGCTTGAGGCTACCTGTCACTGTCGTTCAAATTGCAGGGGGATAATCACCTGCAAACTCAACATTCATCTAACCCGAGACAGGATGGTGACCTCGAAGCTTCGCCCATTGGATCAGCGAGTGAAGCAACTGGCGCAGGTGTATGCCGCTCACCGGCCTCTGGTACAACGAGGACTTACTGTTGGCTTCGTCCTGTACGTGCTAACGGCCGCATATCGTGGTCTTTCCCCCCGCACAACCTCAAGGACGGACAAGGAGAAGAATGCGGCAGCTCGAAAGGACGGAAAGCCCGCCCGTGTCGCTGTACGCTTCTCTTGCCTTTTTACAGACAATTGGCTCATATTGGCTGGCAAGGTTGATGCCATATTTTATCAAAGGCTGGGTATCATCTTGCGTATTGTCATACCAAATATACACTCCAAGGAGGCCCTGTTGCTTTTCATGCATTCAAGTCTCCTCGTTTTCCGCACCGCCATCTCGCTGTATGTCGCCGCTTTAGATGGAAAGTACGTTCTCCAGACAAATCAACACGTCTTGAAGTATCATGTATCCTCATAGAATTGTTGCATCTCTTGTGCGCGGGCAGTCTCTCCAATTTCTCCTCAACATAATCCGATGGTTGCTGGTTGCAATTCCGGCAACTTGGACGAATAGCTGGCTTAGTTACATCCAGAACAAGCTCGCTCTCGCATATCGTACCCGACTTACCAAGGAGGTGCTTAAGCTGTACCTTGGCGATGAAGCAGATGGCCCAGAGGGCAAAGTTTATTATAAACTTTGTCAGTTTTTCTAACTTTCTCAGTGGAATTTCTCAGTGACTCTTGTCATCTAGCTAATCTTGACGACCGGATAAAGAATGCTGATCAGTGAGCGAACTACCGGACCAATCAATGCATTGTTCATCTCAGATTTTGGACAGGATGATAACTCACGATATACAACGGTTCTCCACGCACCTTGCCGTAATCTACGCGAACCTCGCGAAGCCAGTTCTTGACGTGATACTTTACAACTACCAATTGTCACAGAATGTAGGCGCAGAGGGTCTTGTCCTTCTCACTGTTTTAGTTCAGACATCTGCTGCTCTATGTAAGTCCGATCTCCATTGAGAGTTTATAATCCGCTAATTTGAACGCAGTACGTGCTCTAACTCCTTCCTTTGGGACGTACACAGCTCAATCAGCTGCGTTGGCCGGCTCACTTCGACATACACATTCTCGCCTTTCCGAGTTCGCAGAGGAGATTGCATTTTTCGGAGGCGAAGAGACGGAGAAGCGGTTAATCGAACGCGAGTATGCTGCGCTCGTTCAGCATGAACAAGGAGTAATGAATAAGAGGTGGTGGTACGGTTGCGCGGAGGAGGGCATCGTCAAATGGCTGTGGGGCAGCTTTGGGGTATGTACTCGTCAACCAGCGAGTTGGATAACATAACATTTACTATGTTAGCTCGTCGTCTGTGCAATTCCTGTCTTCTTCAAGCTACCTGGACTATCGAATTTTGACTTAGGCAGCCGTACAGAAGGTGGGTCTTCACGGTTGTCCCAATATCAAGTCGCTCAATGTTCTACAGGTTTTGTGACAAACCGAAGGCTACTCCTTTCTTCATCAGGTGAAATCATTCGATATTTCATATGTAGCTGCTGACGTGCATTCACAGATGCTATAGGTCGCGTGATGTACTCGTATAAAGACCTAGCGGAACTGGCAGGCTACACCTCACGAGTATCCCTTTTGCTTGACACTATGTCAGACATGCGAAAGGGCAAGTTCGAGAAGGGTCTTGTGAGCGGTGCGACTGAGGGAGAGAATGGAAAGAGTACGTGACGAGTTCAGCCGTGATGCAAGCACTGAATGCAACACCCTTAGTTTTGCGAGGTCGTGGGCAAGTTCTCCTCTCAGACGATATTCAATTTGAGAATGTTCCAATCGTCACGCCAAATGGTGACATTCTTTTGAGGAATTTAACCTTTCATGTCAAACCTGGGGTAAGTTTATCTGCAACGTATGTGTTGTATCTTGTGCCAAACAGTTTTTGAAGGAACACCTATTGATCGTTGGTCCAAATGGTATGCATCACGGCTTCCGTGACTGTTGTTGTTTCACACCGGCTTGTAGGATCTGGGAAGTCTTCGTTGTTCCGCATTCTGGGCGGCCTTTGGCCTGTTTACGGTGAGCTTGATATACTCGGCCGATGCGTTGTTTTCATCGTGGCTGTAGGAGGCATTGTTCGGAAGCCCCCCGCGTCAGATTTCATGCTCATACCCCAGCGACCCTATCTTTCACTTGGAACTCTCCGCGACCAGGTTATATATCCGCACTCGCAACAAGATATGGAGGCCCGTGGGTGAATAATATGGTGTTTGTAAATTTAACTCTAAGGCATGTTCTAGGTGGAGTAACAGACGCGGACCTCCTCGCGGTACTTGAAAGAGTTCAGATGGAAAGCATCGTTGAGCGAGAAGGAGGTTGGGACGTTACGCACGAGTGGAGGGACGCGCTTAGCGGAGGTGACAAGCAGAAAATTGCTTGGGCACGACTCTTCTATCACAGACCTAAGGTAACCACATACCTCATTCTTGTGCCACTGAACGTTGATCAGCTGGCTGCAGTATGCCATTCTTGATGAAGCAACCTCACTCGTCCCTCCTGACATGGAGGGTACGATGATGGAACAAGCAACCACCCTTGGAATTACGCTACTCACTGTGTCTCATCGTCCATCACTATGGAAGTACCACTCGACGATCTTGCAGCTGGATGGTCAAGGCAGTTATATCTTGTACGTCCCGTTTTCGTTTCTTGCCGTAAATGCACATTTGACTGTCCTTATAGCACGAAACTGGACGCAGAGAAACGGTTGGCCCTTCAAGAGGAAAAGCAGGAGCTGGAGACGAAACTGCTCGAAATGTGAGTGCCCTGCTTAGCTGCCAGGTCGAAGTGTTCTCATACCTTGCCGCAGACCGAAGATGAAGGCACGTCTCGCTGAACTGCGGCTTATCGCGGATGCAAATAGAAGTATATAGTAAATTTGACTGCAGATGCATATCATAGTCTTGATCATAGACGGTCGATAAATATTATTAAATCTTGAATGAAAATGATGAAAAGGCATGTGCTTATCTGATCTGTGAGATCACTGAGATGGGATAAATCATAAATGATACTCGGTTCGGCCACGGGAAAGGTGCCGAGATGCCGCGGTGTGCCGGAACCAATCACAAATTTATCGTACTAGTGAAGCCAGTACAGGTACACTGCCGGTACATCGTCCTGTTCCTTCCGCACGACCACCTCTCTCCCTTCCGCGCCGTCATGCACATCTTCTCCCAGTCTTTCAAGTATGAGTGAGTATCTTCTGCCTCGTCGTCGTCCCCAGTGTGCTAACTACGCAAATTTCAGTCACTCATGGTCTCACGTCGTCATCGGAATGTGGCACAAATACCCCAACCCACATTGTACTCACGTCGTTACCGTCGATGTCCTCGATCGTACGATTGATCCGTCAACTGGAATAATACGGACGGAGCGTGTTCTCGGGTGCAAGCAGAAGACGCCTTCATGGATAGTCAAGGTCAGCCGCTCTAATGCTAATGTCCGCACGCGACATCGGACTTACTCCCGCATTCGATGGTTTTAGCTCTTTGGCGGCTCAGAAGATGCTTTTGTTCGTGAAATATCCTTCATAGACCCTGCAACGCAAACGGCAACCATAACATCTGTCAACCTCTCGCTGTCTCAATTCGCTACTTGCTACGAGCGAATACAGTACAGACCAATGTCCTCTACCCAGACATCCTTTACCCAAACAGCAGAGATACAAGCACGGATGGCTATGTGGAGGAGTATGACAGACAAGTTTGAGGATTGGTTGGTTCAGCGTTTCGAGCAGAATGCCATTTCAGGTAAAGCTGGATTCTCGGACGTGCTCAGGACAATGTGGGAGGCCAAGGAACAGCAGACTGCACCATCATAGAGCAGCAGGATATCCGGTCTGTTTCTTCTTTTTGCCTGCATTTTTAGCATGTTAGATGCGTCCCCATGGAACCTCCCTAGATCACAACCAAAACGTCTACCTCGACGACTTACGATTATTTTATAATACAGAGGCACATGTATTATTTGGATTCTTGCACACATATATCTACGAAGAGCATCCGGATCCTCAACACTAGGTGGAGGACACCGATTAGACTTCTTGCTCATACGCTTCTTCCCATCCCACGTCAGTTATATGATCGTCACCTTTTTCACTCTCGTCATCCTCTCCCTCCTCACCTTGTTCTTCTCGATGTAGTCGGGGTGCTGGTCGTTGACTTCCAATGCCTCCTCCGTCTTCCTCAAGAACTACCATGCCTTCTCCATCGCTCTTATCATCCATGGTATATAAATTGTCCTTGTCATCGAGGGATGGGACTTGTGGTCCATCAACGAAAAGGTCCTTGAGTGCATCGTAATTGATTCGTTTGCTGTACTTGGGATTTTTCTTGATGAGATTTCGCACTGACTCGGCTGCTGTATTTCCAGAAGGCATTGATTCGTCGCGCGGTTTGGTGCTTGTTTTCCGACGCTGAATAGGAAATGCATCAGTACCGAAGGGTTATTATTATGAAAATTTTCGGCAATGGCAAGATACGAACTTTGCGACTTTTGGGTTGGTTAACATCAGTTGGTTCCCCTTTGGCTACAAACAAACCGCTCAGTCACGGACATGGATGATCACGGCGCCCAAGAAACCATACCAGCTAATGCCTCCAAGTAATCCCGATTTATCTCTACCCAGACACGTTCCTTAATCTTCACCTCCTCTTCGGTGAGGAGAAATCTATCAAGCTCGTCTTCGTCCAATCCTAGCAATTCATCGACTTCGGCAAACTGGGCCTGTCGGCGCTGTTCAGCTTCGTCCAGAGCGTCACGAAGGAGTGAGCCCTGAGTATTTTGCAGGAAACTAGCAACTTCCTCAGCGAGAGCTTGATCAACGGTTTCGTCGATGGCAGCCGCTGTTGGTGAGTCAAGTTCGGGAGATACAATGTTTGACGCCGGTCGCAAAGCAGGATCAATATTGGCATAAACTTCCTCGTTTTCGTCTGGGTAGAAAAGAGGTGCTGGTTCAGACGTCCCAGCAAGGATACCCTGATTGAACAGAGTAGGGTCGATCATGGGTATCTGAGGTAGGGTCTCCTCTAGAGGCGGTGCGAATTCCACCCGTTCCCCTTCAGACTCGCTATCTCTCCTTTTCCGTTTGCCTTTCCGCTTTTGTTTCTTGGGTTTGTTTTTCGGTCCATCCAGGGTCTCTTCCCGTTCTTTCTCTTCCTTCTCCCTTCCTTTTGTGAAGGCGGGAGGATCCATCTCTTCATCTAACCACACTGTCCTGAAGTCGGCAAGCGTGAGGGAACCACTAGGAGTCTTCTTGAATTCATCCAATCGTTTTTTCAGTGTGGTATCAGCGATCTTCACCACTTGTACAATCTCTTCGACTGAACGCCGGAAGTTATTCATGCGTGCGGCAAGGAGAAGCGCTGCACCACAAATTCCTGCTGGGCGACGGCCTCGAGTCACCCAATCCCGGTCGAAACGTTGTACAAGTCGGACGGCATCAGTGGCGACTTTGTGAGTTTCTTCGCCGAACTCGAGCAATGCCGCAAAGCGGGAGATGTAATGAGAAGGGTCGACGAGAGGTAGTTTTAAATTTAAAGTCTGGACAAGTTGCAGGTATATGTGGCCCAGCTCGAAGACATTGACCTGGAAAGAGATGGTCAGAACTAGTATCGACAAACACACAAATTCTTACCTGTAGAAGGTCTGAGAAGTCTATAAGCATATAGTTACGTGTCTCTTTTTGTCGACAGGCAACATATAAACAGACAGCAGCGACGTTATTGCTTTTGCGACCCTTCGTAAACTTGTGTTCAACGGCAAGGGTGTAAAGACGCGTTGCGGCCAAGCAAACAACTTCAGATAGACGCAGAGCACCAGCGAAGTTTTGGATCTTTCTGCTAGCTAGTAAATCATAAGGACCGTGATGACTGCAACAGAAATGACAACTTACCATTCGCGATGGTTTGCTCGCGAGACTCGTTACTTCCCCTGTTCCCGAATGGACCCGACATGCGAGCATGCGCTGGTAGACTGAGGCTCTGTCCGCACAACAGTTATAACCTGTACTTACTTGAACCCTGACCGACGTAAGATCCCTGAACCATCGCCGCGCCAGCAGAGGTTTCTCCAAAAGTGACCTCTGAAACTATGGTGTTCTCCTCCACCACCGTTCCGCATTTGACACAAAATCCATTGCCAGCAGCTGCATCATACTCGATAACGGTCCCTCCGCAATCCGTGCATACAGTCTAAGTGGGGATTGATGTCATAGATGGAATACAGTCACGGTGATGCAGGAACCTACCATGATGCTCTGACGTTATGATGTTAAGACGATATGGACGGTCGGATTTCGTCCTTCGTTTTCAGTTCCGTTTCCTAATAAAAAATGATAATGATAAGAGTGGATCTAGTATGACAGTATGGTACGGTTGAACATATGGGTCGTCGAAGGATCGTAGCAGGCGCTTACGAGATTGCCGGACTGGGCCAACTCGAGCCGGACTTTCAAATTTCCTGGTACAGTACTAGTGGTACTACGTGCGCAGTGCACACTATCGCAAGAACGCCGAATCTCGACTAGCTGCAGTACTAGGCTGTATGTACTAACTAGACAAACCCACAGTGATGCTTCTTCCGGGCCCGGCAGATGAATCTATTGTTACAGAAGGGAAGTTGAACCGCAACTTCCATATTTCGTTGTCGTCCAGCGCCAGTGCGCCAGTGGCAGAAGCTGTAGCTGAGTGCATCGAATTGTTAAAAGGACGTGTGGGATTTCATTTAGGTGCACGCCTGGCGAATAGATGTACAGTAGTACTTATTTGCGCGCCTGGGACCTCGGCATAAGCGACGTTGAGACGCTGTGCTGCGCCGCAGTTAGCATTACAGGAGCCGTCAATGGAGATTGCTACTATGTCAAAGAAGTACGCCAGTTAGCCCGTTCTGAACAGCCTTTCACTCACCCTCACAGCCTCTGATACCGTTCCAGGTTCATCTTCATCATTTCCTTGTGAATTTATCCCTACTGGCTGCAGATACACGGACCTGTTACTCCTGTGACTATGCACATGATAGATCAGATGGATGTTTGCTATGCATGCTATATTTGTCCAGGTTCATTGTGTTGTCAAGGTCCTGGTGACATTCATCAGAGCTATCATTGGCGATTCCAGTCGTTGAGATGCTGTGTGACCAAGGCGTCCTGCCTCTTGGCAGTGGGTCACAAATTGGTTGAAGTAGCAGTTGTGAGAAGATATCCTCGATCGATTCCTCTTTCTGACTTTCATTCTTCTTGACTCTCTGCACCCCGGCAGGACCGTTGTAGCAGTTCGGTCGACCTTCTCCCGTTCGCTCCTCCGTCTTTTGCTTGAGTTCTCGAACGAATTCTTTCTGATTTTATCGCCCTAGTGGCATTGTCTTTCATTTATCCGTGATTTCGGTATGTATTTTCCAGGTCGAGGAACCAAGTATCTGAAAGTAGTTTGGCTCTGCAGTTATTTGTCCATTATGCGCATTAAGCAATTATGGAATATTATCCCTATCCCATCCAAGATCAAGTTACTGGTGAGTCTTTGCAGTGGCTTTACGGTTCAAACAATCAGAGAGGCAACCTGCCGTTGAGCGAGGTGTCCTGAAGCATTCTGACAATGTTGGCTGACTTTTCGAAACAGTGGGATCGGATAACTCTTTCACGCACGACCACCTTTTACTTCATATTTTCCATCCTACATTGCGTTCTCCAAATCATCTTCCAAGGGCAGGCCTTTCGTATCAATGTCGGGGCTGCTCAATTCTTGGCTTCGATCACGAAACAAGGAGGCACCATCGATTCGAATGCATTCTACGTTCTGGGGAGTGACCTTCGCCTTTGCGACAGTATCCCAGCAGACTTCAGCACTAGCTCTTGCCAAGTAGTCTGGAATGGTACGGCGGTTGGGGACAATTCAATGGCATCCGCAAATGTAGTGGCATCGACCCCCATGACTACTTCACATTCAACGGGGACGTCAAGTTCCATGACCTCAACCCTTTTCACTTCGTCAAGTTCGAAGGTGTCCACTAGTTCAACGAGTTCGAGCCGTGCTACAACATCGAGTTTCACGACGTCCGCAAGTCCAACGACTACCTCAATCTCGAGTTCAAAAGCATCCACGAGCCTAGTGTCTTCGGTGCATACCACTACCACTACCTCATCGGCGATGGCTTCAAACGCCACTGATCACGCAAAGCGCTGGGAGATTGCTGCTGAAATGGTCAGTAATTTCTTCAGGATAGAAGTCAGCTCATATGCCTTTCAACAGCCAAACAAACGCAACCTCGGTGGAGATCTTCAAACCGTCGAGGTCAATGGCACCGTACAAGTCATTGTCTCCGGATTTGGCTGGAACAATGAAGTAGCTGTTCTAGATCGACAGTGCCTTTGGGCTCTGAATTACCCAGTTCAAATGTAAGAAGCGTTTCTCCTCTATAATTGTTTTTATGTAACGCCATCGAAGCCTTCAGCAGACCGAGCGGGAAGATTTGACCTTCATCGCTTTTCAAATCTGGGTTCTCGGAATGTCCATTGTCGCTGTAAGCAATTCATTTTTATTTCTTCATTCATTTGTCACAACATTGTACTAGATCCTGAACGAATCTGTCCCTCACACGTGAGTGTTGCAGTAGTTTGTTTGCCGCGAGACTGACTCAGAAGATCATAGCGTTGCAACTCTTCTGACACACATGCTAGCTACTGGATGGGCAGGTTATCAGATATTCAACACCGCTCAATTTCACAGTGACTTCACGAGATTGTCAACCAATGGAGCTTGCGATCCGATCAATCTTTTACCGTCATATTGGAACAGTCGCTTTGCTGCTGAAACCGCTAGCTTGGTGCTGAATGTCGTTGCGCTGTTGGTTTCTTCCTTTCTGTCATGGAGACTTGCCAAGGTAATGCAGTCTTGACCCTAGTTTACAAGTTTATAGCACTCATGTTTTGCTTTGATTACTTTCAGCTCTTTGGCTGGCAGACTTTCAAGCGCGTCGGGGCTTCAATCACTATTAGTCGTGTCTACAAACTTGTGCTCGTGCTCTCGATTGTCATCCAACTCGCGCTCTTTTTCATGGTGATCGCCATCTCGCTTTGGCTTGATCAACTCTGCAATGGCAATATTGGGCGTCTTAACTCCTCCCCTGCATACAAACCGTTGCTGATTGTCACTCTCATCGTGAGTGAAAATTTATGTGCCGTCAGATCCATTCGCTGACTACGTATTTTTGTAGCTCATGCTTCCGTGGTTGACCACAGTCAGACTCCACTTTGTGATTGCTTGTATAATAGCTTACATTTCTGGCAGGGTTGGTATGGTGTGCGCCGAGAACTCAAGATCCCTATGTTCGTATTTCTTGCGCTCAGTGTCGGATACCTTGCGGGCTGGGCAGCAATGTTCGATTCCACTGCGTTCCGATGGACATACATGACCTGGACGTTCTTTGGGGTAATGACCTCCGCTTCCGTTTTCCTGACTCTTATCGCGTTCATCCTGGGTATCATATGTCGTATCAACTTTGGAAAGGGGCTTATACGCTATCGTGAGTTCGAACTCTTTGTTACTCGTGCCTGCGGGCTTATACGGCTGGCACAGTCAATGCAGAAGAGCCGATCCCAGAGGACTTTGTACCCGTGAACTACGGAGATGATCTGGAAAAGATCGCATTCCCTTCGGACGATAGGAACGTACCCACTTTCTCCACCGCTGTACAAGATGTTCCCCCCTCTCAGATGTCCGCACCTCGTATATGGGAGATGTTCTCCACACCTGAAGGTTCATTCCCGGCCCCGGGAGCCATTCAAGTGCCCCCGGCAGCGCTGGCGAGGCTTCCATCCTATGGGTCCTACCACACCGTTGAGCGACACCAGTCCAAGAGTAGCACTCATAGTTCATCGAGTACTACTTCAAGCAGATACGGCAGTGACTCTACAGCTGGACATTCCAAGCGCTGGGTCATCGAGTAAATGACACTTGCGATTTGCACAAGCTCCCAGTGTATTCGATTCGTACTTGTAACATCAATACCACTGGGTGGTCGTTTTATTTGATGCAATTCATACAAAATAGAGTTTCGGTTTGGTGCGGTGACAGTTGCTTAAAACTGCTGTTGGACACGTTGATATCTCCCCTCCCTGTCCCAGTTCCCGACGGAAGGTTACCACCGCGTGTCGATGGCGCAGTCAATCGTCACCTGGGAATGTGCGAGCAACTGGCAAAGGCTCCAACCATGTCAGAGGCTGAGAAAGTGGAGTTCGACTGAAATCATGATAATAATAAATTCTGGAGAAGGCTTAGTCTAAGTTTTACACGCTCTTTTCCCTAATCATCTTCTCAGGCATTAAGATATTCATCTGCGGCGCGCCTTGCCGGACTCTGCAGCTTTATGGATTGCACCGGAGTAGTCGAAGTTTTCTCGGCACAAAGGATGACTCGGACGAGAGATAACGAGTCCGAATCGTTTACCGAAATTACACGACTCTTACTTTGTTTGTTATGAGACAGCGAACTGGGCAGTATAACTAGAGAGGCGACTCAGCATTCACTCACACCCTCTGACAACCAGCGGTGCGGTTGCGTAGGTCCATCACATTCTCGCGGAAATCATACAAGGCCGCCGGCCTTGTCTTAAGAGACAAATTATGACGAAATCGACAACTCAGGTCCCGTATCATTCTTCCAGCCTTCTCATCCGTCACTATGGCCCCGATTCTGTGTCTAGTTGATTTTTCTGCACCTTGGCGTTCATATTTGGAACGGTCATATCGTAGAAAGATTGTCTGATATTGACGCAATTCTTGATAGTGGAGCTAGCATCTAGCATCGAAGTCAGGGGGACTCATTTGCCATCAGCAAATCTTCAGGCAGCGGAAGCGGATCACCGCTGACTCCACTGGGGTGGCCGACAAGTTAACCGACTGACAGGTTGTCGCCACTCAACGAGCTGCTTGATTGCATGAATAGGTTTCACCGAGGAATGGCGCGACGTTAGGGTAACAGTGATTTCAAAACAGCGCCCATCAATTAAGTGTTGATCTGGATTACTCCGTCCTATTCTAGCGCTGGCAATAACTGGATATTCGTTTATATGTGATTCAGGAAACGCTGCTGGTTCGTGTGTGGCTAGAGAATTACAGAAAACATTTGAATGAAGATGTCGTACAAGTATAAGTAAGGCTACATGTTTGTTTGCTCAGCGTGAACTGGAATGTTGCAGAGATCAAATTCACTGCAAGTATGCGTAAGTTATCGTTATTCATATTCAGTGTCGGGTGTCGGCGTTCCTGTCGACGATAGGGTAGGAGAGGGTATCTGGATGGCCTCAACTTCTTTCTCCTGGATGATCGCGGCCTGCCTTGCGACTGTAGCCATCTCATAGGTTTCTTCTGTCGGCAGCTCTACAGGTGGACTGGTAACCAACTCAGTCTCCTCATACCCAAGGAGCGTCTCGCCGAATTGGAGCATCCAGGGGTGGTCCAGTAGTTCGACAGCCGTCGGTCTTCTCATAGCATCAATGATGAGACACTGCTTGATGAAGTTGATGCCAAGATCGCTCAGCTGTCCGGGTTCTGGTAGGGGTGGATGCTGCGTAGCTACTCCGATGTGGAACATGACGGCCCTGTTACCCAGACTCCGTCAGATCAATCTTTCCATCAGAGACGAACGATGGCCGTACCATTCATTATCCAGGTTGCTCCATGGTTTCTTTCCGGTAGCAAACTCTAGAACCACACATCCAAGCGACCAGACATCCATTGCCCCGTGGCGACCTCTCTTATCATTTTTGATGACTTCTGGGGACATGTACATCGGTGTTCCGGTCAGACTGTTCATGCCTAAGCCTCCACCAAAGCCACCGCCTTTCGCGGCATTCCCGCCAAAGTCTCCTCTGCGTGAACGTTGCATGGTGCGGTTCTTCACGAGAATTTTGGATGCTCCGAAGTCGACGTATTTAATGACACCACGGTGATCAAGGAGGATGTCTGTTGAACGTTCGGATTGATGTACAACCGCAGAATATTCAGACTTACTGTCAGGTTTAATATCTCGATGCACTATTCCTTTCGAATGCAAATATGCAAGTCCCTCCAGCATTTGCATGGTATAGAGCTGTATGATGCTCTCGTCCTCAATTCGTCCATGTTCCAGAAGAGAACCCAGGCTTCCGCCTTGGCAGTACTCTTCAAAGATGTATACCTTGTCGCGATGCACTTCGATTCCGTAGTATTCTACAACGTTGGGATGATGAAGCATCTCCATGACGCTTAGCTCGTCCCTAATTTGCGAGTAGAGGTTTGGAAGTCCAGAAAGTTCTTGGAATTTGATTTCCTTGACAGCCATGAGGGAACCGGAGTCGAGGTTGACTGCGAGATAGACTGAACCGAATGCCCCAGCCCCAATGAACCTTCTTTGCTGCCAGCGAATGGAAATGTTGGAACTTGAAGACGCAAGGAAAACAAGAGAGCGGTCTTCAGGTTTCTCGTTGTCAAGAACACGACCTACAACCCTTTGATCGGTGCCAGTCTGTGCTCGACTGCTTTCAAGCGCATGCAACGCTCTTGCCGTCTTCTCCCAAAACAGACGCACATTAGCATCTGTGTATCCGTACGTGTTCATATTAAGGAGGCCATCATCGTTGGCCGGCGATGAAGACCTTGGGAAGCCAGGCTCTTCATCGGCAATGACCGAGGCTTGCTCGCGTAGAAGTCCCTCCTGCCTTTCCTTCTCCTTCCGTGCTTCCAAAGTGGACCGAGCACCGAGAATGTCAAAATGGCTGATGAGGAGCGTCATGCAGCTGGCAACTTTCTGTCGCAGCATTTCGAATTGATCATCTGGCATTTGCAATATGTTGTTCCGTCGAGTGCGATGTAGCGCGAACTCCAATGCATTCACGGCCCATCGAAAGGTTTTCCGATCTGATGGATCGCAGTCGTCGCAGATGAACGACACCCATGAGATGGCAAGGCGTATTAGCAGACGATTAAACTTGCTGAGAGGCGAACGTTCCATGTACTTCTGAGCATGCTGCCCGTGCTCGGAAGCAAATAGATACCAATTCTCCAGGAGCTCCTGGTATCCAACTGCATTGCGCAGTGAATGTCGAACATGGTGCACAGAATCTACTATTGACTCTGCCAACTTGTTGGTCGCGCGAGCTATCTTTCGTAGCTCACGGTTGACCGTGGGTAAATGGGCTTGTTGTTCGGCAATGCACTGCAGAGAACTAAGAATCATTTCTAGAGGTTCTTCGTCTTCGTCCACGAAGATCTCCGAGAATTGTTCCTTGGCTAGCACAAGCCGCCGGTCGGGTCCATCTGCAACAAGACGCAGGCGGTTGTCCTTCATGTCAAGATCCATCCTTGGAAGTTCGAGCATGAACACTAGACCATTCCACAGGAATTGACTGAGAGGTGATAGGAGGAGAAGATATTCGGCCTCATCATCATCCTCGCTATCCATCATCTCTATGTTATCGACCACATGGGCACCTTCGTCATTTATGGACTCGTTGGCATGGAAAGACTCGAAAAGAATGCGTCGTATGGCTTCTGGGCGGTCCCGCAAAGCACTGGATGCAATGATATAGATTCCTTCTTCTTCAAACGATCGGGTGTAGACCAAAAAATGATCTGTCGCTACAAGAGCAGCGATAACCTGTTCGATGGGGACGCCATCCATGTTATACTCGGCCGAATTGCAGAATCTTTGGGTCAAGACCCTAAACATGCCCAACATCATTAGTACAAATCCCGTCCATTCACATCAAGGTTCAACGTACCGAGCAAAACGTTGGAGCTTTCGGTAGCGCAACCGGACATTGTCCAAGATTTTACCATACCAGTTGACCTTCTGCTCGTCAGTCATTTGGCCCGCCACATTATTGGTGATAATATCAGCATCGAATATATTCGCCGACGCTCGACGTTGAGGTGCCTTTTTGTCTGCAGAAGGCAGCCGGACTTGAGTATCAAAGTAGTTTGCAACCCGGACCATGAGCTTGTTTGTCAATGAGCTACAGATATGTCTTTAGTCAGAGGGAACGCAGCAGGGATACAAACTGACCAAACTTGTTCGGCGACCAGCTGCGAGCCACCATCAACAGTCATGCTAACATCATTGAAAGTCGCCCACTGAGACTCAATAAAATCCGTCTCTTTAAAGTAGATCCCTTTGACCCCACTCTTGAGCTTCCAATGTATGAGTCTGAAGAATATGGAGAGCGCTTCAAGTATCGTCGAGTCATAGTCATCGCTGATGCATTGGGGCAAATTCCAATTTCCACCTGGATCAGGTGCGAGGAAGGCCTCGTATTGCCGCTTGAGCGTGCAGGCAAGACCCAAACTTATCTTCACATCTTCCGTCACTTGGTCGATGATGAGGACTTCTGGATCTTTAAGTTTTTGTACATAGTCCAGCCGAAGGCGGAGACATGCCTGCGCAAGTTTTGTTGGGAAGGATATGAGTGGAACGAGTTCGTTCTCGAAAGTGGGGAGGTTCATTTCTTGAAAAAGGGAGGACAAGTTGACTTGCGCATCTCTAGCGGTACCGATGAAGGAGTGGACAGTGGTGAGGAAGCCTTTCTCAAATGTTTTCTGGATAGAATCCTCTTTGAGAACTCGCTCGACGAAAGTGGTACCGTCAACCATATCCGTAGGCCCGTTAGCGTTATTATGGTAATACAGGTTGGGAAGAGGAATGTCCGCGTTCGTATTAGCTTTGGTCACGTCGAGCGTCTCGCTTTCAGTCCACCGTTGGAGAAGTCCAATGTGACGCCTCAGAGACAAGAGCACAGTCGACCAAGTGTTGAGTGTATCACATCGAGCCTGGAAAGATAGCTCGGATGCAGCGACGTTATCAGCGTAGAAAGCTTTGAGGCTAGGGTAAAGCGAATGCGCCGCGTTCAATCGCAGTAGCACAGCGTTGACACGCTTGAGTGCAGTGATTGGATCGCGCTCGTTATCTGCGAGCTTGAAATGATTGATTTCGTCAATGACAGGATCTACCATGCGCAATCTCCTCTCCTCGAGACGCTTGCGCTCTTCTTCATCAGAACGACCACTGAACTTGGCACGCAGCCCAAGCCATATGCTGAGATGAATGTTGTTGTGTTCCTCTGATGAGGACTCGAGAGCCACAGCAATCCGAGTCTTCTCTGATTTGAGGACATCACCATCCAAGACGGATGCAAGCATCGTCTGCCACTCCAATCTCTGTCTATCCTCGACAGTCGCTGGTTTGATTTGCTCCGATTCAAGCATCAAAGCCGTGAGGCGGTCTACGCCATCACCCCCCATGAGTGAGGCACGCCCCAGGTCTTCATCGTCACTATCTCCTGCGTCTACGAGCTGCCCTAGACCTCTCTGAAAGTAATTACTGTCTGGATCATGCCGAGGGTCATCGTCAAGACCTGGTTCGGACCTGTAGCGCTTCACGAATTGAGAGTAGATATCCGAGTACTTAGCAGCGTGGGGCAGCGCATTGTGATTGGAAGTGGAAGATGCTGAGCCCGACGAAAATCCATTCCTTGGTCTGTTCTTTCCTCTGCTGCGCAGAGCCGCACTTGAGGAGGAGTGCATGCTGGCTGATGATGAAGGGTGTCTAGATGCGATTGGGGGCTGGGCCCAGTCCACGTCCTCGGTGTCGTTTGAGTCTTGCTCTTGCAGGGCAAACAGCGATGGCATATGCTTCCTCATGACCGTACCCTGGTGGTCTGAAAGAAAGAAAGCCACTGCAGCAAGCCGAGCTGGATGGTCAGAGTAGAGACCTTCTATGATATAATATGTTTGCGACAATATAATGAATAACGTATACTATAATGTTCACGTGACCCCTCGAGATCGGATCAAGAATTATCTTTGAACCGTCACGGTTGTGGAGCCAGGAGAACCATCTCTGTCTTCATCCTGACATATAGACACGGTAAACCATCGTCAGAAATTATTCAAAATGGGTATCGTTGAGAAGGTGAGCTACACGACGCTTTCTGGACAACGCTGACCGCGACTATCGCGGCACTTTATATTCCCCAGATCAAGGAGATCGAGGGTGAGCAACACAGAAATAGTTTATTGTTGGGTTTATTAAATCTGACGTACTCGTCTAGAGGAGATGGCTAGGAGTGAGTGCTTCTTCGTTGTATCTGCTGCATCGCACTTAAATGCCACGCCTCAGCCCAGAAGAACAAGGTACATATCGGATACTAGACAGTACACTCGTTGTGATTAGAAGACCCTTTGACACGTTCTTCCCAAGTAGGCTACAGAATATCACCTTGGTCTTCTGAAGGCAAAGCTAGCTCGATATCGGGCCCAGCTTCTCGAACCCGCTTCAAAGTCTGGGCCAGCTGGTGTCGGTTTTGACGTGCAGAAATCAGGAGATGCCCGAGTTGCATTGATAGGATTTCCGTCTGTCGGGAAGGTAAGTTGTTTTATACCGTGCACGAATACTAGTTGAAGGGGAACTTTAGTCCACCCTATTAAGTAAATGCACTCACACCGCGTCCGAAACAGCAGCATATGAATTCACAACCCTTACTGTTAGCATCTTTCACCTCGCAGACCCTTCTAGTGACTAACTTGGACTTGTCTGGGAAATTTAGGCAATACCTGGAGTGATCGAATACCAGGGGGCACGTATACAATTGCTCGATCTTCCTGGGATTGTCGAGGGTGCTAGCCAAGGTTTGTTTCGCATTCTTTCCAAAGAAAGATTCATCATTATTCTGTAGGCCGGGGTCGAGGGCGACAGGTTGTTGCTAGTAGGTGTCTTGTATTGTTCAAATCAAAATTCATAACAATAGCGCAGCGGCGAAGACGGCCGATCTTATTCTCATCATGCTCGACGCAACAAAGTCCGAAGAGCAGCGACGGCTTCTTGAGATTGAACTCGATGCAGTTGGCATCCGCCTTAACAAACGCAAACCTGACGTAGTGTTCAAACGGCGGACAACTGGTGGCGTGAGTAGCAAATTATGTCTCTTGTCACTCTCTGATTATACTTGCAGATAACCGTAAGTTGCGGCTGCACTCATGCGCTAGTAAAACTTCTAATGCAATATCTAGCTGAATACTACCGTAAAACTCACCAAGACAGACGAGAAAACTATTCGTACCATTCTGGCAGGATGTATGCGCCCTGGGTCTGGCTTCGATGCACTTTGCTGACCAAACGCAGATAAACTCCACAACTGTGATGTGATGATCCGAGAAGATGTATGTCGATAACTCTGTCATCCGGCTATCACTCACGACGTCGCTGGAAGATTACAACCGACGAGTTCATCGATGTTCTCATTGGTATGACAGCTCTATGTGTCTATGCCAATTACTCATCTGGTTCGGAAATAACCATAGGAACTCGAAAATATATACCTTGTCTATGTATGTACTGTTTGCTTGGTATGAGGTGCCACTTAGATCTGACTTCGAACAGATGTTTATAACAAGATTGATGCGATTAGTCTAGAGTTGGTCCGTACAAACAGACCAACTTGATGCTGACGTCCTGACGAACCCATGATGATCAGGTAGATAAACTTGCTAGAACAGAGAGTACGGTCGTTATCAGTTGTGAGATGGACCTCAAGTAAGTTGACTGTTTCATATGGATCTATTTTCGAGTCTGACCACCAATAACAATAACTAGTCTGGACTACCTTATCGAGCGGATATGGGAAAGCCTAGAGCTTGTCAAGGTCTACACGAAGAAAAGGGGTGCACGGCCCGACTTGTCGGATCCTGTGTGTTTGAGAAAAGGTGCTACTATCGAAGTGTGTAATTCACTATTTGTTCCTAGACTTTCTTGACTTCGCTATAGGACGTGTGTTTGGGTATTCACAAATCCTTGGTCTCGAACTTCCGCAATGGGCTTGTCTGGTGAGTAAATTATCTGCCAACCCAAACATATACTTAACTCTCAACAGGGTAAATATAATTTTGTTTGCACAGCGGATTGTGACCACTGACTACTTGCATAGGGGCGTTCATCCAAGTTCTCGCCTCACGCACAGAAGGTCAGTCTGAACCATCAGCTACAAGACGAGGATGTTGTTTCAAGTATGTTTCTTTCTTAGACAGTATCGCCGTTATTGATCAAATTTTTCCTTCCATAGTTTTCACGAAGTAGTCACAGATGCTTATCAGCAGATGAAATAAGAACCAAAAATATTTGCTCTGGCTGCCTGTTCTCGACCTGTCTGCCGCCCATGTATTGCAAGTCGCTTGCTAAACTTAAGTTCAACGATGTCCCCTTCCAAAATTTGACCACATACGTGGGCCAATTGCGTACAATACCGATAATTGGAGCATTTGTAGTATAAATGCTACTATATTTCAACCGCTTTAAAAACTTTGGAAATTGAAAGACGAGGCTCATCATCTGCATTTGTTTGCGCCCATCCACCCCGCGGGCTTAGCAGTACTAGTGAGACCACGAGACACTACTCCCCTAGGGCCTAGGCAGACAAAATTGAAGTAAGACCGTTGTTCGGACTCAACGGTTCGTATTAAGGCAGCCACGAGGGCGAACACATCGGTCAATCAAAAAATGTTTCAAGTGACCGAAAGGCTGTGATAATACTTGCGTTGTTGATCTTCTATTGTCTTGAAAAGCGAAATTTGCGCAATCATGACTCGGAACAAAACCAGCGCAGAGCGCTCTGCTAGACCCGTTATGAATGCTTTTCGTCGTCCAGCTCCAATCTAAGGTCCGTGTCAAAAGCGCGTATCTTATCAGTACTAAGGGCCGCGGTTACACGTGCCGCCGTAAAAGACGCAAATTGGTGAGCCTTGTCCATGATCGAGATCAACGGACGACAACTCATCGGAGTAAGTCAAAACTCGGAAATTGGAAAGGTTTAAATGACGTTGAAAAACGAGTGTCACAGCCTCCCTATAGCCCCTGCTTCCCACTTTCTCTTCCACTGGTCATACAATGGGTTCCAATGCCTCTGATACTCCATCAATCGAACTGTTATTCCTTGGAACAGGCACTTCCTCCTCAATCCCCCACCTGGACTGCCTAACCGCTCCGCCCAATAGAACGCCCTGTTTGACGTGCCTCTCTACGCTGACTCCAGAAGGAAAGAAGAACATCAGGCGAAATACATCTGCGGCTCTCCGCATATCTGGCAAGGATGGCAAGAGAACGTATGTCCACACTGTATCTGTTCTATTTGACCCTCAAGCTATGAACTTCTGAACCAGCACCGTGGTCATCGATGTAGGCAAAAACTTTCAAGCTGCGGCAGTAGAGTGGTTCCCAAAGTATGGATTGCGGGAGATTGACGCTGTTATCATCACCCACGCACATGCTGATGGTTGGATTTGCTTGTCTGAGATGGACAATAGTGCTGATTGTCTTGATAGCCATGAATGGCTTAGATGACCTCCGAGGTAAGAAGAGGAAAGATGATATACACCGTTTGTTCACCATTAATTATGGTACTACACCAGGATGGACGCTCGGAGGTGCCATACAACCGCACATCGACATCTATGTTTCACAGTCCACATTCGGCGAAGTCCAAAGATCTTTCCCTTATTTAGTGTCGAAAGAATTCGCATCTGGGGGAGGTGATGTAAGTATTTTTGGTTTATTCGGTCATCTTATTTGATATTCAACGTCCCCGGAAAACAGGTGCCCGATTTTGAATGGCACATCATAGAAGACAAGGTCCCATTTGAAATCAAGGACACGGGTGTCCGGATTACCCCATTCTTAGGTTGGCTAATGCTTCGATAGACCGGCATATTCCTGATTGACTGAACTGTTTAGTTCATCATGGCAGGTTGTTTTCCACGAATCCCCCGCCAGCCTTTGCGCCAACACCATGCACGACGCAGCCGACAACTCCCAATTTGTCGGGGAGATCATCCCCGGCAAGACCTTTGTCAGACGCCTGCGCTCCCACAACTCCCAAGATCCACCCTTATTTGTGCTTTGGATTTTTAATTCAGGACAGTATCATCTACATATCTGACGTATCTTTGATACCCGATGATACTTGGGCACTACTAGAGTCTGAGTCGGTAAAGAAACCGATGCCAGTGTTGGTGCTCGACTGCTTGCGGCTGAGAGCCCACACGTCACATATGGGTGTCCGGGAGGCAGTGGCTACGGTGCGAAGGTTGAATCCCAAACGAACCTATATGACTGGGTTCAGCCATGACATCTCTCATGATGAATATGTAACCATTGGCAAGGCCGCGGGGGGAGACGGCCCTAAAGCTACGATTAACATGAGCGTCATGGAGCTTCGGGGGACGGAGATGATTCGAGAAGGGAAGCCCGTGTGGATTCGGCCATCACATGATGGATTGAGGGTATTTATATCCAGGGATGATAAAGTCATTGACGAGACATACGACTGATGCATGGGGAATGAGGCCGAGATGTGGGATTCATCCTAGTTTTTCTTGAATTCGTCGTGTATCTATATACATTACCGTAGATTTGCTGTACTTAGGCTGTCCTGGGGCGGCCGTTAACTTTATTAGGGTTTACTTACGTGATCAATGGATTGTAGACCCTTTACACCTAAACATCAAGTACTCTCACCAGCCGTGCCTTTCCGCTTTTCTGTTCAGTTCTTACACCGTGACTTGAATCGAAACAAGCGAAGCCGGGATCGTTGACAATGAAGTTCTTCTCTCAATCCTTCTTGTACGAGTGAGTATTTTTTATCACAACCAGTCTTGCAAGTTCCAGCTCATATACTCAAAAATCCTGCAGCGATCCCTGGTCCATAGTCTCTCTTGCCTTCTTTCTTCGCTATCCTAACCCATACGCTGCCCATGTCATCTCGTGCGATGTCATTGATAGGCACCAGACAGAGTCGGGCTCCTTATTGACAACAAGACTTATCTTGAAAAGAGGAGCATTACCAAGATGGGCTCCTCAAGGAATTATCTCCAGGGCGGAGTCGTGGGTCATCGAGGAGAGCGAAGTGGATCCCTTTGGAAAGGTTGTTCGGTGCAGGACTAAAAACCTTGATCATGTCAAGGTTATGCAGGTTGAGGAAACCCAACTATTCGAGCAAAACGAAGAGGGGTACGTGTCACTTATACGACACACCCGACCTGCACTAACTGCTGTCTCGAGCAGTCGTACTGTGCAGACAACGGAGGCATACATTACCTCCAAGTTCGGCTGGGGAATGACAAAACGAATTGAGAGCCATGGACTCGCTCGGTTCAAGGCTCACGTTCAAAGGGTTAGCTTCTTCTATTGTCTTTTCTTGATTATTCACCATCTGATCTCCTTGTAGTCTCGGCAGGGTGTTTCCCTTATTCTTGACCTTATTCGCCAGGCTCGATTGCAGCCTATGGCATTAGGCTCGTATATATCTCATCTCCACTCAGATCATTCTTTCGCTTCTACGGACACTCCGACTTCGTCCCACACCTCAGACAGTACTGGACATGCACCAGAGGAGTATTCTACGACTGAAAATACTTGGCTGGGCAAAATATGGGGCAATAGGTGATCAGTTCGGTGCTCTTTTTTATTTACCTGCTTTTTCCTTCACATAATTGGTTTTAGTTTTACCATTCTGCACTCATTGTATCATTAGTGGCACTATTACCCTCACAAATGTTTTCACGGTCATACGATGACTGCGTAAGTTGTGCGTAAGTGTGTGAGTATGAAGTGCAAGGTACAAACTGTTTCTCAAGGTCATTTCACATCGGCGGCTATGGTATGAGACCTTTCGACTTCCGGCTCATCGTTCGTCTAAACAATTGAACCTTCCTCTCTGTTTTGTGCTGCTGCACATTTCTCGGGTCCAAATTCGCGTTCGGCGATACTTGTAGTGATCGATGTACTTTCCTACCTCGGCGGCGAGGCAGTTATTGACCGTTCCTGCTTTACCTGATGTCATCCCCGAACATGTCCTCTGCTTCGAAGCTAGCCCGCGCAAGTCCCTATTCTGCACCCTCACAAGAAGTTCTTTGACTGTTTGGCGCGTCCGAGTATGTAGGTTTCAGTGTCATCACATTCCACGACTCAGCGCTATCCATGTCTTGTAGCCTTCTGCCCCGCTGGCCCACATTTCGAGGTCAGAAACCTCTCTCATCGAGCATGGAGATAATACGGCGGTGACGTGGTCGCCAGATGGGAGTAGGATCGTCATACAGGTCTGCCCTTATTTCTAACCGAGTGGTCAACTATCCCGCCGACATTGATCCCGTGGGGCATAGACTACAAAGTCGTATTTGGTCTTGGTCACGGTCGATTATGTTCCAGATGCGTCGGTATACCAGCCATCACTTATGGGTCCGGGTGTGCAGCGCAACTTCTTGCCGGGTCCAGGAGAGGGCATACCACTACAGTCACTAAGCTTAGCACTCGAAGGAGTGATATGTGCTGAGGGACAGGTTCTCAGGTTGGCTGGTACATTTCATGTTGGAGTATCTGACCGAGGGTTTCTTCAGCGTTTCACCGCGTAAACACTACATCATCTTTTCAACTAGTTCACCGCCTGCTGTACAACGCATACCATGGCCAGTATACGATGAGACAGAAATTGAGGAGGAGACGGCACGCAGGTCGCTCATGGGTCATGACACTTGGGTTTTGAATGATCAAGAGTTGCCTTGGCTTATAGATCCTGATGGTAAGTCTCTGTTTTCTGGTGTCCCCGACGTTACTCACCAAAGTCGAAGTCACCGTTACGAAGGTCCTTCACTCAATATCGGGAGTGGAAAGCTGGATCACGTCTGACGGGAGAGCATATTTTGTCCGCTTGCAAGAAAGTAGACGTTCAGAAAATGTTTCCGAGCTTGGTGAGGAAGAGACCGACAAAGTGCGTTTCTCTTTTCTGCTACTGTTCAACATTTTGACACAACTTTTGTATCAGAGTTCAACGTCGAACCAAGCTAACGGAACATCCAGAACATCAACTGAAAGTTCTAGCTCGCAGTTGCACTACCATTGGGAAGGCACGTGTATCCATAACTTTGACGTGCCGCGTTGGGTGCAAAAGCAGCGCAGTACCAATGATGGCAGCGGAGGATCGTCGTCAACCTACATTGAACCTCGTCGGGCAGTGGCCATAGCTGTGAACACGAGGTTCTCGCTCGTTTCAATTGGCACTCAAAGGTCTGCGGAATCCCACTTATTTCATTCTTCTGTCTAATCCCTCAGTTTAGCGGTTCCATTGAATTCACAAGTTTCCCAACTCAGGATGGGCCCACACCCGCTCCGAAAGTTGTGGAGGTACCGAACCCGTATAATCGTTCGAGTGGTTCTGTGACTGCGATGGAGTGGAGTTCGGATGGATATGTGCTAGCTGTTGGGTGGATACATGGCTGGGCAATATTCAGCGTCGGTGGACGATGTCTTGCATCCGGATTTGGCGTCGAAGATCGCATTGATGGCGACAAGTGAGCGAGCTCGTGGTTTGACGGGATTTCAGGGCACTTACATTTTGCCACAGGTTTCAAGATACCTTCATGCACGCGGTCGAGGACCTTGTCAGTATGAACCGCCATCAACTTTGGAACACTCTTATTTTTAACCTCGACAGTTCTGGGCACCAGGAAACTTTGAGCTAATTGTTCTAACTCCCTCCGGAATAAGTGAGTTGGTTCTGCCTGCGATACCAATGTCTCATGCAATGGACCATAGAACCGGACGGTCAGATTTTTGTTCTGCCATTTGCTAAAAGCGCAACGACATGTCAACATTCTCCAGTGAGTTCACGTTAGTACTCGAGGATACAAGGTTTATTATATACTGAGTCAGGACAACACTCGTTACGCGTTTCTGCAAATGGATGATCGAGCGCTGGTATACCGAGGTGCTGACCAGCCTGACATGAGCGTGATCAACCCAGAGTCAGATGTGTGGCAGCACATCAAAGTCAGTATCCCAACAATCACATACACATCGTTAAACTCGGGTATGGCAGATACCTCAATCCTACCTGGCAACAAATTGGCCTATAAAATATTCGGCACTCAGCAGTGATGGGCGATTGATTGCCATTGCCGGGCGGCGAGGTCTGGTACATTACAGCTCGACCTCAGGCAGATGGAAAATATTCTCGAACATTGCCCAAGAGCAGGCGTTCACAGTGAAAGGGGGACTTCTATGGTTCCACCATGTTCTGATTGCTGCGGTGGAAATTTCCAAGTCATATCAGGTTCGTGAAAGCGCTCGCTTCCATGTGAAATTTTGATTTACTGTGTATTATCAGATACGGCTCTACTCCAGAGACATGGATCTAAGCAATCAAAATGTGCTCCACCGCGAAATCTTAACGTCACCAGTGGTCATTCTGTCGTTGGTCGACAATTCACTGCTGGTCTATACTGCCGACAACATGCTCAGCCACTATTTGATTATACCAACTGCTGACACAATCAAGCTCCATCTGTGCGGAAGCATCACATTTGACGGAATCATTGCCTCGCCTAGCGCAGTGAGGGCATTGAGCTGGATGATCCCGAATGCTCAGAAACGTTCGTTCATGCGCTTTCAAATTACTACTTACTCATTTCGCATTCAGGACTCGGTGACCCTGTGGATGACCTCGCAGTCGCAACTGTATTGATGGTGGTTGGTGGTCAGTTGGTGCTATTGCGTCCCAGAAAGGTGTGCTATTATGAGACGTTAACACAGCAGATTATTAACTTCGCCCTCGAGTCCGGTAACCAAGAGGTGAATTACGACCTGCAAATCTTCGCAGAACGCATCGAATTCTGTTGGATACATCTCCGTGGTATTGGTGCGCTCGAGAATTCACTCTGGGGCTACGATGGACAGAACATACGAGTGTGGCTAAATGCACTTGCCATTGAGTCGTCGGGGTCTGCCGATGAACCTTCAAGCGTTAAGGAAAGTGTGAGCATACCATTGGACTTCTACCCTTTGTGTACGTGTCTATTCTTCGTGTTGTCGGGGTCCTGTGGGATATTGATGATCGAGTAGCTGTTCTCATGGACAAGGGAATCATCATTGGCGCGGAGCACGAGGCCGCAACGAGAATGAACCTCTCATTTGTAATGTTCAGACATGCCACGAGTGTGGGTTTCTTCTTTGCCTATTCGTGTCTATACTTACACTATTACCAGTCCCATCTTTTCCTGCACCATGTCCTCCGTTACCATCTGGAATCCGGGCAAGTGAAGGAAGCAGTGACGCTTGCCAAACACTATCAGCATCTGGTCTTCTTCGCACATGCATTAGAAATACTGCTACATACAGTCGTGGAGTCTGAGGCCACCACAGACTCAGAAGATACTTCAACAAACGCGTCGCCTGAGTCTGGTACACTCGCGGCAGTGATAGCGTTTCTTGATCACTTCGACGCCTCCTTAGATGTCGTCGTCGGATGTGCTCGGAAAACTGAAATGACCAGATGGAAGCGTCTCTTTAGCATTGTTGGGAACCCACACGCACTCTTTGAGGTGAGCCACAATTAGGTTTCGTAAGACAGAAACCCGCTAACTTATCGTGACAGACGTGTTTAGCGTCCAAACGGCTGAAGACAGCAGGTTCATATTTGTTGGTGCTGCATAATCTTGAGCAGCTCGATGAGAACAATAAAGATGCCGTCCGCTTGCTGAACTGTGCTGTGAAAGCGCAGGACTGGCAACTTTGTCGGGAACTCTTGCGGTTCTTGCATTCAATCGATGACACGGGGAAGGCGCTCAGGCATGCCTTGTCGGAGACATCTCTGGTAACCCAGAAAGGCGTCATTGTACCTTAGGTTTTGATTTCCAGTAGACATGGGAGTAGGTTGTTTGTAGCGTGTGCAGCTGCAAGAGTTTCAGAGCAATACATATATCACATACCCTGCAGCTGCGCATTGCCCCATAGAATGTACGTAAAAACTGTCTCGTGACGAATTGACACGATAATCATATGATACCGCCGCGTTGCAGGCAGTGCCAGACCGACTCGGATAAGGCTACTTCAAGGCCTCAAGCTTCAAGCTGGAACTCAATCCTGTCTAAGCGTTCTGACTGTTCGATGGCGAGAAGGGTACTTCTTCGCTCCATGACGCCCCTAACTCGTGCTTTGCAGGGATCGCGTGCCATGTCCACAGACGTCGTGTCGATCTCTTACCAAACACTTGTATCTTCTCCCTCGTCCCTAGAGACATCCATTGGTGAGTCATGATTGGTACACCGTTGTATGCTATCCCAATGCCGATCCTTCCTCTTACAAGAGGAGGCGTTTGGATCACACCCTCAGGCCCTAGGTATCATATTGGTGAAAGATCTTCCGCCTGTCTACCCTATCTACAGGGAAAGATTACTCAAGCTTGCATACAATTTTGCTCATCTGGACGAGGACATAAGGGAGAAATATACGGACCCTGGGAGCATATACAGGTAGGTCACAATGTTTGCACTCGCCCAGGTTCCAAGGTTTTTGACTCTGACCTGAAGTTACGGATGGTCGCACGGGAAAGTCAGTGTTACGAAGGCTAAAAGATGTTATGCAATAAACTGGACTGACTGATGCCGCCGCTCAGGAAATCATGAATGGGCGACCAGGTGCGATCGATTATCTACTTATACCGCCTTTTGGCTGGACACCTACTTACCTTTGAACTAGACACGCTGAAAGGGTCTTACTACGCTAACCCCGTAGTAGATGTCCCCGATGTCAACCCCGCTGTGAAAGCTGAACATCGAGCATTCTACGGCGATAACGTTTGTATGTATTAATCTTTTTTGCTACCCTGGTATCTTGAACACTGACCTTTCACCAAAGGGCCTGACAAGAACGAAACCAGTATAGAAGGCTTTGAAGAAGCCTTCAAGAATTTGGGAAGGTTCGTTTTCGATGTTGGGTGTCAACTCGCAGGTGCCTGCCAGCCCTTTGGTCAGTATATGCAACAAGGTGTCACAGCGAACAACTACTGATGATTTCATTTCAGTCTCCAAATATTTGTCAGACGCGTCTTTATCCCTCCCAGAACTCATCAGCACCTCACAAACCACTAAAGCTCGCCTTCTATACTACTTCCCTCCCTCAGAAAATAATACTATTACTGAGGATGAGCCCATTGATAGCTGGTGCGGCTTTCATAAAGATAATTCACTCCTGACAGGGTTGTGTTCGGTGAGCGCATGCCTGAATGCATCAATATTATCAGTGGTGAAGTTTTGAACACTGTGCTTTTAGGCTATATTCCTTCGTGAGGAAGCGGGAATGGAGCCTACTGCTGTTCCTTCACCTTCACCGACGTCCGGCTTGTATATCAGAACCCGAGGTGGAGATCTGACAAAGGTTGCGATTCCTCCAGACTGCCTTGCCTTCCAAACAGGCGAGGCCCTGGAGTTAGTCACTGCTGGAAAGTTACGGGCAACACCTCACTGCGTGCGGGTTGGGCAAACGCAAGGTGGAGCAAAGATATCACGAGAGACGTTTGCTCTCTTCATGCAGCCCGATACCCATCAACGTATCTCTGAAAGCGATACCTTCGGGTCATTTAGCAAGAAGGTGCTGGAGGAACATTACGAAGAAGCCAGGGTAATGTGATCATATGCATGCATGTATTATATCCAAGTAACGCAAAAATCTAAGAATTTGAGTGATCGAGAAATGTGCATTGTACAATGAGACGAACATTACAGTAAAACTAGTAGACATAATAAACTATAGTCAAATTATGGCTGTGACGATGTGGATTGGCGATGAGGGGTGAGTGCATCTGGTAGCACAGACATAACCGCAGCCGCAAGACTGCTGCGTTTGAAAGTCGAGGACCGGTCGAGCTTGCAATCACTCGATCTACCTGAACCAGAGGGGCGCTTGTCGTCGCCATCAGAAATTACACTCCAGTCTTCGCTGACTCGGCGGGAATCCGTTGAAGTCTGGGAACCAGAACCAGAACCAGAACGCTCCAGAGTAGAATGTGATGATACGATATTATGCTCGTCGCGGGCAGTGCCTTCGACATCATGTGTCGCCTCTGATTCGTTGGGGGTTCGCTTGATCAATGAGCGAGCATAGTCAAGATCACGATAGATGGCTTCTATTGCGGTTGCCACACCATTCTCCTACATCCAAGTTAAAAATGCACAAGTCTTAGTCGAATCGACTTACGGCGCGTATCTGTTCTCCAACTAGTTTCGCCCTCTCAATTTGTTTAATATCTGTAGTCGCGGAGACAAGCGCCTCAGTCATACTCTCCACGGTCAATTTGCGGACACCCGTTCCTATGCCAAGAGCTTCAACGCGATCGGCGGAGAAAAACTGATCCCCAAAGAAAGGTTTGATGATGGTTGGTATGCCAGCTGCAGGACACATATCAGACCAGCAACAAAGAATGATAACGTACGAACCCCTTAAACTTGCACCAGTAGTTCCAGCACCACCATGATGACATGCAGCATCAATGCGCTGGAACAACCAATCATGAGGAATGGAATTAATCGGATAGATTTGCTTGGGTAATGGTTCCTCGGGTTCAGATGCTTCCGAGGACTTCGTTTGTAATCTATCGGACCAGCCTTTGGAGAGAATTGCATATACGCCACTCCGCAAAACAGCCTCTATCACGCAATGAGTCATTGCTACCGGATCTGAGACAACGATGCTGCCAAAGCCAATGTAGACGACCTTCTTGCCGGCTTCATGAGCCGAATCGATGAACGGTAGGAGATCAGGTGGTGGAGTCCATTTTTTGGCGCCAACTTCTGCGTCGTCGAGGAACCAGTATCCTGACAATAACTTGAGATAAACAGCCGTCGTTTTAGATAAACTCGAGCATACCAGTGATGCGGATCCACTCAGGCCAATCTAAAGGAGGGGGCACAAGAGCAGGACTGAAATTGTACAGGAAAGGTATCTTGTGAGGCTGCATACGATCAAGGCTAGTATTGCCTATATGCAGAGTGTTACGTCGCCAACGGTTTATTTGCCCCGAGATAGCACGCCAGAATACTTGGTCGAACATAACGTAAGTCTGGCATCTTGTTGTCAGTTCAAGCGATGAACGAAGGTTGTTTCAACGCACCATATAGTTATACCCACCACCCATCTGAAAGAATTATCATGAGCTCCTGCCTAGTACAGTTGTATGTCTCACAAACCTTGTGTTCTGGGACGGCAAAGGCATGTGGATATGCCCTGGTGCGTGTCCAAGTCATTGTGAAAGCTCTAAAGTAGGGTATCTTGAGTGCCTCTGCAATGTGATATCCGGACATGGCGCTGGGGCTTTCAATCAGGACATCTGTGCCCTGACATGCTTCCCATGAAGTCTTCAAAAGGTCATCGACCCACCCGCGGAACTGGAAGGATGTGAGATCGGCGAATGCTCATACAGCATAAACGCACCTTTAGCAAGCCTTCCTTGAGAAATGCCACAGTGAACGTGCCATTCTCAACACAGATGCGCATGAGCTCTGCTGGATCTCCACCAACATAGCCGAACTCGATTCCATACTGCTAGGTGTGTTAGTGATGTACCACTCAAAAGAGGTGAGCGACTGACGGCTTCTATCCATTCACGGAATTCGCCATGTGTTGCAATTTTGACTCGATGACCATCGTCCATGAGACCCTTCGCCAGAGCTATATAAGGTTGTACATCTCCTCTCGATCCAATCGTCAGGAAAGTGAAATGCAAAGATTCCTTCGGCTTGAAAGTTAGGAAAGTTGACGAGGAAGAGGTAAACATCACTGCCGGGAGTGATTCAGACATGCTTTCGGGTGGAGGGGTGGGATCTGTTTCTGTGAAACTGGCAGGCTCGAACTCCTCCAAGATGAGTGCATCCTTTTTCCCCTTACTGAGGACCGGAACATCTCCTGCGCTCGCACGCTTCCTGACCTCTTCCATTTGCCGTTCCAGAATGCCGACAAATGCTCTTCGGCGGTCATCAAAGCCAAATTCAAAGAACAGTTCCTCGTGGCCTTTGATAACGACTGTGAGACCGTAGTGGCCGAACCGAGTGCCCTTGGCCTTCTCGACACTCAAGATATCTCGAATAGGAAGAATCATCTAGGAAAGTGTGTCGTGAGGGATAGACCCAGAGGATTCAGGAATTGCATACCCGAGTCTTGGAAGTAAGAGGGCCAGTTGACTTGAAACAGAAATAGTTGGTGGAGACATACAACCGGCCAGGTAGTGGTAGAAGACGGAATAGGTATCCAGCAAAATCTACAAAATGCTCAACAACAAAACATGAGATAGGGGGAATACACATACAGCCCAATAGGATCTCCTTCTCGTCAAAGGCAAATGCAATCCTGAATTTCTCAGTAGCTTCCGGGTCGACAGCAGCTTCCGTTGTCTCGAGAACACTGTATCCCAGATCACCTTGGGTACTTCCCAAGTGCTGCTGGGCTGCTGATTCTGCAGTTGATGGGGTAGAATACACTTCACGTATGCCGCCCCCACTGGGAGAGGCACCAAGCGCAGACACATTTGAGGTAGAGGTACTGATGCGGCTACGCGGGACTTTGAGCCATGAGGGTACTCCCACGTTCCACGGAACACTTGATGGGGCGGACTTCGTGGATGGACTAGAAACCAAATCACTCACAGACGTAGAAGGAGGATAGGTGTGGTCTGTCGGAGTGGCGATTGTGGATGCCTTGGAAAGAGCGTGAAGCGCCCTACTTGAGTCTGGGGGAGATATCGGATCGGGTGAAGATGTGATAGGTACCAGTGAAGAACCTGATCTCTTAAATATGTGAGTGTACTCATCAGGCGCTTCGGTAGGTTCGGGAGCCCCTGGTGCGCTGTTGATGCGCCCCAAGGACGTAGGGAGCGAGTCATGGAATGGTCGCAGAAGGGATGATAATCTAAAAGAGGAGCCAAAACGCGTGTCCGGTGTTGGAAGGCTCTTAGTGCGATCCATACCTTGAGTGGCAGAAGATTGTGGCGGGCGGGTAGAGGTGGTGTCCAAGAGCGCCAGAGGCGACCTGGGGACCAAGGAACGAGATGAGCGCACAGCATCGCGAATATGTTCCAACGCGACCGGCAGGTCCTGGAAGTAGGCGAAGAAATAAGAGTCCACTGAATAGGGCTCCTCCTCTACTTTGACCTCGATGGTCTCGCTAAAGTCTATTGCTGATGACTTCTCAACATCAATGACAGCCGAGTAAGGAATCGCAATCTGCAAGAGGTAACATTTTAATACGCACACTAGCGAATATAATCAACCTGCCTTAACAGTGTCACCTGAATTTTGTGCCTTGAAGATGACTTTTCTTATGGCCTTTACCCACTCCTCTCGACTGGGAACTGAATCGGCCGACATGAGCACATTCTTCTGGTTGGTTCGGAGACGTATCTCCTTCTCTCCGGATGGATCACAAGAGATCGCATAACGAAGATCCACTATACCATTTATGAAATACGGGTCCTAATGAGGCATAAGATAGCGATGTTTCGTGATCTGTTTCACCCACCGAGGAAGACTGGTACCAAGATAGGGCGTCATTTTTAAGCACGAACCAGTGCTTTGTCCACCGCTTAGTACGGTTAGCCTTCTTGCTGAGTGTCCCTGACTTGAGTATTTGATCCTGCAGAGATTATAAAACCACGGCCAAAGTGTTTGAATAGAATTCTTACCTCTCGACTGGGCATATGTGCAAAGAAGCATAAATGAGAGTTCGTGAGGTACATATATCCCTGTAACACTATGCGTAACGTTGTCAGAATCGCATGTCAATGTGAAACAAATTGCCTTACAGACAGAGCGAAGCAACCAGCAAGGCAGTTCTGGGATTGTTTGAACATTATGAGCAGCATCAATGAATGAAACACTCACCCGCTAAAACTTCATCGATGGCATCCAACTCAAAGATTTCCTTTAATTTCTCGGCTAGGCGTGCCCTCCGCCCGACTTTGACAGTCGTGATACTCCCAGCATGGCTAGAAGCCCTGCGTCGCATGACCACCCCGGGTCGGTAGGCCGTCGGCAGCTCTTGGAGAGCGAGCGCTGGCTTCTGTGTATCTGCGGGACGCGGCGTAGCAGCTTCAAAGTCCTCGGCATCAGCATCCTCTTCGGAGAGACCAGTCACGTCCAAATCTCCGTCAGATCCTTCATGTCCTTCCTCAGGCGAAGGCAGCGCAACGCGTGATGATAAGGATGCTTCTGTTCTTCTCGAGCGCGCAACAGGACGATAAATAGCGTGAATAGAAGAAGCCATGCGTACTGCTGAAATGAAGTGTCAGATAAGGGTGTCGATGCAGCGAAATCTCCGACCTCCAGAATCTTCGTCGCTATCCTCATCCCCATGCGGTGTTGTGGCACTAGTAAGGTCATCGTCATGATCAGAAACATCTGCCCATGGAATGGCTTGTAGAGCTTGAATAAGAGTTTGAGTTCCTGCGCGCATCTGAAACACGTGATTTGTCAATTGAATTACGCGTCACAGGGGATGGGACGTACAGAGCCAGTCCCTCGGAATGCCTGTAATGAGGGCCTACTACGGAGTGGAGAGGGTGAACGAGGTCTGATAAAAGGCGAGTCATCTTGGATAGCATCTGACAGCTGGAACTCTGTGTCAGTATTTCCATTGGAAGGTGCCTGTTTGGGAATCTGCGAGCGGGTACTGGGCGCAACAGCTACTGTGCAGTGACTGTTAGTGTCTTTACTAGGACAGGAAACACTGATAGTAACTATTACCTTCAGTTTGATCCGACGGCTCTTTGCCCTTGCCTTTGCGACTCAGACTGAACACACGCCTGTGCTCTCCGCTGGATTTAGGCGAACTTGGTGACTGAGCTCTACCACCGATACTCTTTCCAAAATCCTTGGTTCTGAGGGCCAGACGTTTCGCGCGACTTTGTGGAGATGACGAAGAGTCCTCATCTTGTTCGGCTTGGTCTAGCAAACGGAGATCTTGGTGCGGGTTTTCACTTTCCTGATGATTTGCGACTGCTGTATTACGGGCAAGGGGATTCCAAGGGGACGATTTGGACATGCTGGTGCTTGAGACAAGATAGTGAAGCTGGTTCACGGAGCCGAACGTAATAGATACGTGCGGCAGACTTGGCCCTATTTGGACAAGCAGCCTGCAGGCCAATTGGCAAGTTGTGGCAATTGTTCGTGGGAAATGGAATGCACTCTTCAAAATATTAAAGTCGCGTGTATTCAACGCGGACAGCCAGGTTCGCCTACTTCATGCTGCGCCGTGAACCTTCTCCGCCCCATCATACCTTCTTTCTAGCAATTCGCCGTCACTGAAAATGAGAGGAGAATACTGTGTTGGAGGTGCATCCTTTCTTTCGTGAGCATATTTCCTTCCGCTTCCGCTTCCGACTTACCTTCCTCACAGGTTTGCTGCAATCTTGCTATTGATCTTTGTTCATGTACATCTTTTCATTGTCCTTTGCCATTGTAATCTTATCACTTCTGTCAGGTTGGGCAAATCAATACCTCACTTGTTCCACATGGAATTGCAATGGTGATTGATTCTTGGTCATAACTGTGACATTTCTTCTGATCACACCGTTCAGGCAAAAATCGACACTTCAGGGTTCGGGTCAGTGCCCCAAATATATATATTTCGCTAATATGCTGACAGGGCCACACAGCCAAGCACTGTCTCAGTCCACCTATGTTCAGGTTATTCAAGGCCTATATACCACCAATTATACCTCACCACTCGGCGAGCGGAATGGGCTAAGGCAATACTACGAGTTCGGCCTCTATTCCTATTGCGCATACGTTAACAGCTCTGCTGGAACATGCACCAATCACACCATTGCAGACAGCTTCGTGCCTTATATTGCAATTACGTCCGACATGGCCCAAAACTACACACAATACTCTGATTCATGGTTTGCTGGCACAACCTACATGAACTCAAGCTACCTGGGTTACAATTCTCGCGTTGCATACTACTTTATCCTCCTCGGGACCATATTTGCAACTATCGCATTGTTCACGTAAGGTCTACACCTCGATTCTCATACGCACCACACTCAAGCGCTGCCTATAGCGGTGTAGCAAGAACGGCACTCCTGTTCTTTATTTCAACGGGGTCATCGATAGTGGCCGCGCTGTTCATTCTCATCGGCGCTGCCATCTGGACATCCATTGTCAAAGAATGCGAGAGCATAAATACCCTGGATGTCGCGCACGTCAATGGCACCATTGTTTCAGGCATGTTTGTGTCCTATGGGAATGGAATTTACCTTTCGTGGGCGGCCTTTGCCTGTTTGGCCGCAGCTACAGTGCCATACATGGTTAGGTATGATTCTATCGTTCAATGGATTGGTTCGTAACTGATCGCTCAACCAGCTGTTGCACATTCCGAGGATGAGTATTTGATGCTGGCCATCGCCCTCAGATTTCTGTCGTAGACTTTTACGATAAGCAATAACCTATCACGATCAGCGATGCGGCTGTCCTCGTGAGCATCATCAATGAAGACAATTAGACTACGACTATGTATTACAATTCAATTTATGACGAAATGAAATAGCAAAGTTCTTCATGCTCAAGAAATGTCTATTGCAAAAACAAAACAAATTCACGGTTTAGACTTGACTCGGTTGCTAGGCAACAAAAACTATTAGCCCACCGCGAGGGTCGAACTCGCAGCCTTCAGATCGCCTAGTCATAAGAGTCTGACGCTCTATCCGATTGAGCTAGGCGGGCGATGTTATCGTGTTCACACTCAGGAGCTTCAGCAGGACATGAAGCTAGCCGACGGGAAGAAGACAACAATAGGTCAACGGACAAAGATGACCTCCTGGGGTGCGGGGATTACATTATTTACGGATTTGGTGTACGCACGGGCCGTAGTCAACGGACTGAAGTAAGCTTTGATGAGTCAGGGGTGACTTGAGCTGTGCAACCATGCTGCAGGAGACGTCGGTTGAATTATAGGATGCCAGGTGACACCGTACCTCCTAAAGCCTTCTATGAAGCAAGCGAAAGAATTCACATCGAAATGCTATGCGGCCCGACGTGACTACGATCGTTGCTAGCTCTTTTCACGGAGATCTTTTGTTGAAGATGCGGGCGCAGACACGAGCGTGGTTGCTCTCCGACGGGCCGTCGTATGAGTCATACGATTTGTGTGATGCTGTGAAGGGTGAGAATTGAGGCTGATGTAATGATGGTTATAAGCCGTGCTTGCGTGTTCCGCAGCAAAATCCGATTTCTAGCCCACTCCAGGCAACCTCCTGCTTAACTGACTCGATTTCAAGTTCGTCGACTTTGCTTTAAAGAAATTGCGCAGTCTTCAGTATGTCAGACTCCAAGGCCGACGATTTTTATTCTTCCTTCGAGCCATATGGCTCTGAATTCACAAAGCAAGGTGGTGGCCTTGACTTTGCTTCATTTCACTCGCCTTCAGACATCCTCGCACCCCACCCCGATCTATTCGAATTAGAACTGGATTCAAGCCTTGCGGCTTTCAACGAAGTCCAGCTGCAGCTCCTCACAGTAGACTCCAACGACGCTTACTCCTTTTTGAGATCCGATACTCCAACGTGTGGTCCTCCTTCCACGATCACAGTTTCCTCCGAGTCTGCATACGACACTCTTTCCACTCACTCAGAGTCTCTCTATAACTACCAGGACTCTCCGTCCTTTTCTACCAATTGTTCCTTTCCTTTAGACTTAGAGATGGATTTCCAGCGAGTTCGTGTCGGTGGTAGCGCTTGCTCCGACTATGGTATTAATTCCGCTGCGCAGTCTGCCAATAATTCCCTTCCCATGACTGTCGACCCCAGTACTTTTGGGACCTTGCCCCTTAGTCCCCGCAGTCCTTCCGTGACTGCGCCTGCTGCAGACAATTCCTATAAGCGCACCAGCTATTCAGACTACGGAGGCGCAACTCGCATTCCTGCGGTACCCAAGTCCTCATCCGCAGAATATTTCCTCAACTATATCGCCAGCACCGACCCCGCCATCTCCCCTAACATGTCACAATTATCTTCATCGTCATCCCCTCCACCTCTCGCAAGGTCACTCAGGGGTGTTGACGATCAGTCCAAAGACGATCCTCGTAAGAGGTACCAGTGCCCTTCATGCCCCCGAGGTTCGTACCATTTGTGCTGTCCTGGCTTATCGCTAATCTTCTTTTCCTCTAGCATTCGCTCGGGCTTACAACTTGAAGACACACATGGCAACCCATGACCCAAACCGTCTTAAACCCCATGTGTGCCCTCACCGCTCGTGCGGGCGGTCCTTCAGCCGCAAGCATGATCTCGGGCGTCATTTGGTTAGCATTCATCGTGATGAGTCCGTGGCTTCCACGCCGTCATCGGCGGTGAAGTCCATTGGTGTCGACAGTGGTCACAGGAGTTGGTGTGACAGCTGCGGCAAAGGAACAGTCGGTGCTTCGGCACAGTGCTTGTGCGCCGATATAAAGTAATTGCAGAATGTGTCCTGTTTAACCACTATGCGTACGTTTCATTGTTTTGAATTATGTTTTCCTGTATTGACTCATGTATTGTTCACAGCATATGCGAGTATATTTCGCTACTCGCTTCGTCGTAGTCGATGGTCGATTCGTCCACTGCGCGCTTCTGATGACGTATCATTCCTCTATCTGCGCTATTTCCGTTCTCGACGTGTTGCGTATCGTACCGTTCAGCCATAGTTGCTGAGCCCAGTGACGAACGTGATCTCGGGTTGCCTACCTCATTTATGCCTACCTTCGTCCATGATGGACTGGTAATATTCTATTCGTTGGGATACTTTATTTGTGTTAACTGCTATTCGACGATGCTTTGACTCTTCCATAACATAAAAGTTCACCTTTTTAACTCCTTCCTTATATCTTGGAGGGCGCGTTGGTGTTATTCTGCTACCTTTGTTATGTATGTACCCAGTGCACGGAAATACCACTATTTATGCATTTGTGAGCGTGTCAGAATCACTTGCCCATAAGCTCATGTCTTTCGCAGTTTGACAATTTGTGGCGGATGGCGCTGAGCCCACTGTCATGAGTCTCAGTTCTTGCCAAACGCTGACCGAGATTTTCAACTTCGACGGATGGATGTGAATTGCTAATGGTCATCTTGACCGTTTCTACGCTTTTGCCACATCTCGATGGCCAACCGACGAGCAAGAGCAATGCAGCTGTGCAGACCAGAAATTAGCATTAAGTGAGACACTGGCCCGGGCGACCTCGAGGGATTGACATTTCTGAAATTCAAATGGTACACCCCGAGACGCGGTCACGTGAACCGATCATCTTTTTTTCGTCACTGATGATCTCATCGGATTGCAAGTACTTTCCGCATCGGCGGCGGCAACGCCTCAGGAGTATAAAATAATATGGACGACCGTTGGGCCTCCGCCTCCTTTCTTTGCATAACCCGCTATGTCGTCTATTGGACAACCAGTCGCCGAAAAGGCTTTCGCTGCCATGACCTCCGAGCCCACATCTAAAGTTAAGGATCTTCAGCGAGACATACAGGAACCGCGAGCCAACCAGCCTCTGACAACGGATCACGGTGTCAAGGTGGCTGACACGGACAATTGGTGCGAATGAGTGTATGAATCGAGTAGGCGGTGTTGATCTTTAATTTATCGTCAGGCTTAAGATCATCGGCGAGAATGGCGGTTCCAACGGTCCTATGCTCCTTGAGGATCAGATTGGGCGAGAGAAGATACACCGCTTTGACCATGAACAGATTCCAGAGCGTGTAGTGCACGCCCGCGGTGCCGGTGCTCATGGCTATTTCAAAGTCTATAGTGATCGCGCTTCGAAATACACATTCGCCCCTGTCCTGACGGATTCCTCGAGGACGACTCCTGTCTTCGTCCGTTTCAGTACTGTTCAGGGTTCGCGTGGCAGCGCTGTGCGTATATGCTTCTTTTTTCGCGCATATAATCGGTTAAAGTCTCCCGCCGCGTGTAGGACACCGTCCGCGATGTCAGAGGGTTTGCAGTCAAATTCTATACTGAAGAAGGCAACTGGGATATCGTCGGAAATGACATTCCCGTTTTCTTCATTCAGGACGCTATTAAATTCCCTGACTTCGTTCACGCCGTAAAGCCAGAGCCACACAATGAAGTGCCTCAAGGCCAGAGCGCTCACAACAACTTTTGGGACTTCGTGGGCCTGCAGCCCGAGTGTTCGTCAAATTACTCGTTCCAGATACCTGTTTGACGCCCTTTTTACAGCTGCACATATGGTGATGTGGGTCATGTCTGATCGCGGCGTTCCACGGTCCTTCCGCATGATGCAAGGATTCGGGGTGAACACCTTCACCCTGCAGAATGCCTCAGGTGAACGCCACTTTGTCAAGTTTCACTTTATCCCAGAGTTGGGGGTCCACAGCCTTGTTTGGGATGAAGCCCTCAAGATCAACGGTCAAGATCCCGATTTTCACCGCAAGGACCTGAACGAGGCCATCGAGAGCGGGGCACACCCAAAGTGGAAGTTCGCCATCCAGGTAATCCCTGAGGCCGATGAGCACTTATTCGAGTTCGACATCTTGGATGCCACCAAGCTCTGGCCGCAAGAAGATGTACCTCTTGTGGAGATTGGCGAACTAGTTCTCAACCGCGTTGTCGACGAGTTCTTCCCGGAGACCGAACAAGTCGCATTTTGCACCAGTCATGTCGTTCCAGGAATAGGATTCAGTGACGATCCCCTTCTGCAAGGTCGGAACTTCTCGTACTTTGATACCCAGATCTCTCGTTTGGGCATCAACTGGGAGGAGGTGAATTTGATTTGTTACCTGTCACCGAGACTCAGACTCACTGCTATAACTGCAGCTTCCCATCAATAGACCTGTATGTCCTGTGCTCAACCACAATCGCAATGGGAAGAGCAGGCATCGTATTGTTAAGAGCGACATCAACTATTGGCCGAACCGCAAGGATATTGGGCGTCCAGTTCCTGCGGAGGAAGGTGGATATGTCGAGTAGGTTTACCTCAAAAGAATTTTCGCCCTCAGTCTCACAGTGTCATAGATATGCACAGCGTCTCGAAGGTGTCAAGGCGAGGGCGCGCGGGCCTAAGTTCCAGGAGCACTTCAAGCAAGCTCAACTTTTCTTCAATTCTCTAACCACGTATGAAAAGGCCCATCTCGTCAACGCCATCGGCTTCGAACTTAGTCATTGCGAGGATCCGGTCGTTTATAAGTCCTATATCGACGTTCTGAACAACATTGATTTTGACCTGGCAAAGGCGGTCGCCGTTCAGGTGAATGGCGAGGTACCAACTAAGCCCGGTCTTGCCAATCATGGGAAGCAGAGCAAGGGTCTTTCGCAACTCGAATATTTGCCCAAGGAGCCTACCATCGTTTCAAGGCGCATCGCCATCCTGATCTCGGACGGTTTCAACGCCGTTGAGATGCAAGCTGTGCGGGCTGCTCTCACGAGCGCACGGGCCGTTTGCTATGTTATCGGTCCCCGTCGTAACTACATTCGCCCAATGCCAGGTCAGGACTTCGGTCCGGGAATATTCGCCGATCACCACTTTGACGGCCAGCGTTCAACGCTCTTTGATGCCATCTATATCCCTTCCGGCGAGGAGCACGTAAAGACACTTGCAAAGAATGGTCGCTTGGTTCATTGGGTAAGGGAGGCCTTCGGTCACTGCAAGGCTATCGCCACCGTTGGTGAAGGTGTGTCGATCTAAAGCTGATAAATTTTCACATGGTCGTTGACACTCGAGACGTTCCAGGTGTTGATTTCCTCCGTGACGTTGTTAGACTCCCTGGCATTGATCTCTTCGCCCCTTCGCGCGGTCATGGCAGCGATGAAGTTGTCACATCTTACGGTGTCGTGACTACCGGGAAGTACAGCATTTCCTCGGCTGTCGCAGACGTGCTCAAGATTGCGCGTGATACGGGAGGGTTTGCTTCTAACTTCGCGTTCCAAATTAGTCAGCACAGATGCTATGAGCGAGAACTGGCTGGGTTGACTGAGCAGGTTGCGTTCTGAGATTTGATGGGCTATCGACAGATTTCTTATCGGTTGGTTGGTTGGTTGGGGGGTGGCTGTAAGATTATATCACGTACGCAATGGCACTGGCACCTGTCAATGTAACGTACGTGCCAAGAAATGTATCATTTCCGCAGGATGTGGCGTTCTCCATGAAGTCAATGATTTAAGGGAGTCCGACATCGCGAGCATAATTATACAAGTTCTGATATGTAACAATACCCGAGGATGTACTCTACAACAATCTACAACACCAGCAGCAACAACAAATGCTGTTCGAATAAGTACTTGTTCACTGGTCACGCTTGTCCCATTCCAAGCATGACAATAGCATAAACGTTGGCAATTAATACCACCACCCAGATGGCATATGCAACGGCTGTAAGGATATATCCATTACTGAAGTCGATGACGCCGTATTCCTGTGTTGACGAATGTTTGATCGAATCATCAAGACTGTCAAAGTTTCGCTCAACAACAGTGATGGAGGCGGCCACAGGTGCGTCAGAAACAGGGGTTACCGGATGTGTGGAAAGTATCGGTGGGGTATCGGCGAGTTTTTCTTGGATCACTACTTTCGGCGTTCTAACAGACATCACCGTTTTTGACGAGGTGAGGTAGATGAGGGGGAATGCGACGAAGGGGAGGACAACGGACAGGACGACTTGTGATGCAATGAGAAGAGCGTTAATCCCTGCCCCTCCAGATGAAATGGCCACGATCATAGAGGGTATTAGACTGATCAGGCGTGTGAGAAGACGGCGGATAAATGGCTGTGAAGAGCAGGCGTTAAGGCGAAGATGAAACCATTGAAATGAATGACGCATACGGAGACGTTCCATGATATAAACCCTTCGGAGACAATTTGACCTGCAAGCGTTGCCGTAATACTGGCAGTTTGACCTGCACAGACGAGTGCGAGTGCAAAGAGTAAGGCCGCGGCTATTTGATGCTGAGTCTAGCATTGTCGCAAGATGAGCATCTCTGCTTACCTGTACCAAGGCTTTGTAGCATCAAGGTATGCATGTTGACCAGTCCGATTGAATTGTTGTTGCTGGACGAGTAAAACATAGTAGCAGCCAAAATTAATATCCTGGACCTTCTGCGTCAAGTTATGGAAGCAACGGTGCAGGAGGGACGTACGCCGAGTTGATTGGCACTGCAAGTCCCAGTAAACTCAGAATGACATCGACAGTTCCGTGGCCAAGATGAGCGCGAATGAATTCTATCGAGTTGTTCTGCCGAAATCCGTGTCGGGTGGTATAGTCTTTCAAGTCATCGCGTTCTGATCGTGAAATGTATAAGATACTCTTCCAAAACCGCTGGAGTCTCTGGAGAAATGACGGCCGTCTTGCGTCTGCAGGTGTCGGAAGTGGCTGGGGCGGTTGTGAAACACGATCCTGGGTTGCAAGATTCGAGCCCAGAAACAGCGCATGAGGCATAACCGTGGCACCAAGAATTCCGATAGCTATACTACTGTGTTGGTAATTTTTGCTGCTGTCAAATGTGGGTCATACCTGTATAGACTGCGTTAGGCTGTGTCTGAAGAAGACCCGCAGATGGCACAAAGCCCAAAAACACTTGTGGCCAATTTGGGTGAACCTTGACGAGTAGCAAGATGAAACATACAAAGACAATTGCAACCTAAAATTTGAATTAGCAACCAGATGACTTTCTGATAGTATTAGCACAAACCAATATTAGGATCACAAGCTCAAAAAATCGCACTGGACGTCCTGTTCGCGAGGGGTCGCCTATGACGAGGAAGATGAAAACGTCGACACCAGTAAGGAGCACGGCAGACCACAAGGGGAGTTTCGGAAAAAGTAGGCAAAGACCTATTGCTGACCCAAGTAACTCTGCGAGGTCTGTGCTGATGATGGCTATTTCGCATAGTGCATAGAGAGGATACAGCACAAGTCGCCGGACCAACCGTGGGTGCCTTGGATGGTCATGGAGAAGTAGTCTACAATGATGAGCCAAATCTAGCAACGTCGTATAAGAAGGCACAGTGAGGACGGAAAAATATTTCACCTAGACCGGTTACGCAGCCGAGTCTAGCTGCCAAAACCTGTGTTGACATCAAAAGGTTGCGCAAAAAGCGCTAGATATTATCGGCGGCGTACCTGCAAGATAATTGCAATGATTCCAGCGAGAAAAATGACGAATAGCATGGGTCGATACCCAAAGCTAGCACCTGCTTGAATATCTACACTCCAATTACCCCTTGATGAAAATCAGATATATAACGTATACATGACAGTTATCATATGGCGTACGGATCGAAATAGCCCACTGCGCATATGACACCGACGCCTACATGTTTTTTGAAGTGGTGCAGCACAGCCCTGAACGCAGGAGCAACTGCGAACGTCTGACCGCGTGTCAGAGGTTGGGGAGTCGTCTGTGCAGAGGAATTATCATGCAAGGAGGGTGATGAGGGAGAGCTTGAATGCATCCCAGAGCGGCCTTGGGAAATAGCTGGGAGAAGAAGACTGGTATACCATGATCTTGACACGATTTAAAGGACCAATGGTAAAGTCTTCCTTTAGGTTTGGTGTGAACTGACCCTGCTTGTTTTTGGCTCGTTTATCAGATATATCATATTCGACCCTCAGTTTCGGCTTGCCGTGGATCCCCGGTCGATGCCGGAAGTTCTTTACCGGGTCTCATTTCTCACGGACTTAACGCGTCAACGTTACCAACCATTGAACTTGTCAGATCAAGCAACAGTCCCCCTGGACGATATCTTTTTCCCTATCCGCACTCAGCGCTCAGGTCGTGATGGACTTCAATGATCTTCATCCCTCAGACGATTACAGTCACAGGTTTTTCATCTGGCACGAATGGATCCAGGTATTCAATTCGAACGCCACAAATGTGTCAATCAGCTTCCCATACTCACAGTGAACAAATCAGGCGAACGGTCCTCTCACTTCAGAGAACGTTTTTGATTATTTTGCTACCTCAATGTTCTATGACAAGCAGAGCAACAATCAGGTTTTGCGCATGCAGACTATGCACACGGGTGTACCCATATTAAACGAATCGGAAGAACTCAAGTGAGTTCCATTGAAATTCTTGAGCTCCCTTTGTGTATGTTGTCGCGTGATTTATAGACGTTTCACTGGCATTGAGTTTGCCCTTGTGCATGCTCAGTCACCTTCGCTGTTTATTATTCATAAAAGAGAGCGAGTTTCCCCCGAGGAAGGTACGTCAGACGCTTCCCAGTAATATCTCCCAAATTTGAGCATGGAAGGAACTAGTTCGTCCTCTCGCTGCTTATTTTATCATGAACAACCGGATCTATCGGTCGCCAGACGTCTATGGCGTTCTCTCCAACCGTTTGGTACATTCCCACTCTGCATCATATTCATTTCGGCTTATTTTCTTATAGCTTACTTCTCTATACGCTTTGCAGTCCTCATTAGATATACTGCGCATCAACCGACCTGACTACACCCCTCGTACGGGATTTATTTGGCCAATTACGGACCACGCTACGTCTGATGATACTAGTAAGAAATGGGGTGCAGAAGATTCTGCGACTGCTGCAGTCGAGACAGAGATATCTACGTCACAGTCGGAAAGTCAGAAACCCACTTTAACGGCCAGCGGACCAAAAAAGCAACAGAACAACATGTTGATGTATAACGCAATGAAGTCTACTGCATTTCACACAAAAATTTCCTTTACTTCTTCTGCTTCTGCCAGAGATGGGGAGAGTGTTCCTCCCGAGTCCCTAGGGATACGCTCCTCGGCTACACCTGCACCTGCAGTGACAAGAGCAGCGACCCCAGCCAGCGGTCCCACACCACAAGACACGCTTCCACCGAAGGGCGCGCCTGGTGCGGGCAAAAAGAAGAAAAAGCGTACGTATGAATCAAAATTGTCGCTGTTGCCTGCGCACTTATAAACGGATGTTGTGTGATAATTTAGGTACCCTGTTGGCTCCCGGAACAAGCTAATGGCCTTCAACCTCTACAAACCAGTGCCACATATCCGCGTAGGCAACTGGCTTGTGGCGTGTAGCGATGTCAAATAACATCCTTCTCGCGAGCCTGCAGGCTTCACTACCACCTGGCGTCATCTTGTGTCATCACACCATGGAATCTTTACTGCCGATGCAAGAATAGGACATGTTAGAACCTGGAGCCACATTCGGTATTGCAGTTGGTTTGGGAGTTGTGGAATTCTACTATCTTTATTTACCACTGTAAACTTAACATCGCCCCATTACACGCGAAACTTGTTCCCAGCAGCTCATCGAGTGGCGACACCTGCCAGCCTGTCGGTCAACCATCCCAGTGGAGTCTGTAGAGATCCGCTTCGCGGGCCTCCGGTTCCGCTGCCTAGAGATAAAGGATTTGCCGATGCAAATGAGTTCCTTCTGGCCTTCGAAGCTAGTTTCACTACCAAGAATTCGTTAATATCATAAAGACGGATCATTCAAATATGAACGGCAAGGCTGAAAAACGGATAATTGGGCCATCGTGACGCCGTGACGGATGAGATGAGCTGGTATAATAATACAAACCTGAGTTGCTGATTTCATCTCCATTGGTCTCTAAGACGAGACCGCCTTGTATGATTTCTGCAAGAATGTGGTGCGCCTGCGCATCCAAGATCATTGGTTGTCAGAGGGCATTTGTGTAAAGCCCGCGTGACTCACCTCGTCGAAATGAAATACAAGGTCCAGTTCACAGACATTCTCAAAGTGCCTATCGAGCCCTTCCACAAAAACCTAGAATAGTTCGTCACAACGTGGGCATAACTACAGAAGCGACACACCTGTATTAAGTCTAGTATGCCCAGTTCGCTTTCTGCACCATCGACGACAAAGACAAAGTACAGAGTCGCGTAATTTCGGTAGACAACGCGCCATCTCTCGTCCGAGTCATCCTTGGGGCCGAGAAATGCCTCGAGCTCCGGTGCATCTAGAAAGTTGCAGAGTCCTGCAGGCCGGATGGATATGAGGGAGAATATTTTCTGAATCAATGTCTGAGAAGATTGGTGAAGGGGCGTGTAAAACTTGGTCAGCCTTGGAATCCCGGATGTGTTGACTGCAAAGCGGCACGTCAGGCCAGAATGATACGACTAGAGATTTCTCTGACAGATGAGCACGGCATGGATCATGGTGACTGTTGCGTGGTCCTCTGAATATAGTGGAAGAGCAGCGATGCGACCGTCAGCCAACTTCCGGTGGTTCAACTAGCCAACTTGAACCAACCTGGTTCAGGTTCAGGTTGGTTGGTTAGTTAGTTCACTATCATATCATAGTTCTCAGTTCTAGATTAGATTAGATTCAAATCAAATGACAACAATAGCTTGCGACACATGCAGTTCAAACATTCACGAACCAGGAGCTGGTGACTACATGCACATAGTACTGATTCACACAAAGTACAAAGGACAGACAGGCATTATCTTCCAGCCGCTCTGTAACCATTTACAACCCGCTGTTAGACACCACTGACACTTCTCTGTCTCAGTTTCCGATGGACCGGCATGTCAGTAACTCAATAGGTTCATGAATCATCCCTCGGGAATGTCCACCCTGGCTGCAAGCGACCCGCAAGGTTTCCCACAGGTCCAGAAAGTCCTGCTTGGCTCTTGAAACTTTCCAAAAAGTTCTTGATAAGGTTGTAGTCCATTGGAACCTCCTCTTCGCCTGAGTCAATTTCCTCCATATCTCCACCTCCGTGTTCGAGCATGGCTTTGAGCTCAGCCTCCATTTGAGCTTCGATGTCTAGATCCTCCTCACCATCTTCTTCCATGAACTTCGATTTAGACTTGCCTTTGCTGGGCATTACAGGGTCGCCTTTGGGTACAGCCGCAGCCTTCCCCTTCAGGGCTGTGTGGCGAGACTGGTTCAGTTCGGCATCCATAGCTTGCATGACAGCTTCAAAGGAATCCAAATTCGGGTTCACATTCGGCCTCGGGCCAGGTACAGGTTGCCGTCCCTGTGCTTGCGGCGGGAAGGAATCGGACTTATTGTTTGGTGATCTTGTTGAGGTGGATGTTGTATTCTCCGCCGTGACACTAGTGGGAACAAAGGCTGTCAAAAGCTCATCAGCAAGATCTTCCGGAGATCAATTCGTCATTACCTCCTCGTCCTTTCCTATCCTTGATAATGTCTCCCCACTGTTGGTCGGATATTCCCAAAGCTTGCCTCGAGAACTCCAGGAACTCTGCTTCTTCCTCATCCATGTCAACTTCAATATCGCCAACCACCTGTGGGCGGTCCTCTTCTGACTCGACATCTTCCTCATCTCCACCAGCGAGTGGATCTGAGTTAGATGATTCATCATCAGAGTCTACACCTTCGTACTCGTCACGCGGCAGGATGGGTGGTCGCATAGACCGAGTGCGAGCTGGCGACGTAACTTCTAAAGCGGGTTCAGTGGCCGGAGACTGTGCTATCGCCAGATCGGTCCCGTCGACAGTTTCAGTCTCGATAGTAACTTTGGAAACCCGCTGAGTGTTGAATGAAGCGGGCATCTGCCCATACTCGGCCTCCGAAAGGGCGGGCACAAGCTTCGCCATCGCTTCTTGGCGTGCAGCTTCGTCAGGCTCACCTTCATCGTCGGAGTCAGAGAATTTTTCGTCACTAAAATTCTCTTCGTCTTCTTCATCCGCATCGTCCCCGTCGTCCTCGTCGTCTGAGAAAGCTTCACTAGCAACAATATAATTAGTCGCTGAAAAGGCTCCGGTGTATGCTTGCTCACTCTTCAAACCTAGCACCTTCAACATCACCTTCTCCTTCGACAAAATTCTGCACCTTGGCTGCAAGGTCCTGCAGCTTGGATGTTTGTTCCTTGGCTACCCTTTCCTCTGCATCATCACCTGCGTCGACATCCATCGCTTGAGACTGCGGCTGGGAACGAGTCCGCTCCAGCATGTCATCAAAGCCGGCTGCATCCACGTTCATCCAGTCATCTGAGTCTTCAGTCTCATCAGGCATCTCAGTGAGGTATTCAGGGGCAGTAGATAATGCTGAATTGAACAGCGCTGCGAATGAAGGACGAGTAGCGTCGCTGGTAGGACATCAGCATCAAGGTCGAAAATGATATTGGATAACTCACTCCTCTTGGCGAACCTGAATGAAAGCATCAGCAGCCTTATTCTCCAATTCATTCCAAAGCTGCGAGTCTTCGACTTCACCCCGGAAGTAGCCAGCTGAGACTAGGTTCGTGATATAGGCTTTATAGTCGGATGATCGGCGAAGTGCTTCTTTACGCGCTTCCGCCTGAGGTCACGAGGTTAGTATGACGATGGAGAATCGAGTCAAATAGACATACCGATGACTTGAGTACCTCAGTAGTCTTACTTACAATGTCAGCACGACTCTTCGACTCTTGGTAGATCATTTCGAAACCGCAAGCCTGTTTCTTTGTCAACGGACATCTTCCAGAATGGCGAATATTTTGACATACCAGCTTCATGCCAATGTCTCTCCAACGCCAGATGTCGCTTCCCTCGCGCTCCTTAAAATAGCCGAATATTTTTGGAGGGAAGAACTTTTGTCCAACAAGTTGTGCATATGCTGGTTTTGTCAACTTGACCGTGGTAAGCACGGCAGAATGAGGTGGGAACCGCGTCATGCGATGGGCAGCCTACAGAATAACCATCAGGAACGATGTCGCGGAGAGTCCTATTTACTGACACGTAGTTGTACGGCATCACGGGTGTAAAATGTCTCGACAGGCTTTTGTGCCAATGAGGGGTTGATGGATAAAGCGCGAGCAATGTCGAGCGGAAGGTACACTTTGGTGGTATGTACGTGGGTTTTGGCTGCCGCAGGATAGCTTTCCCGAAGATCAATAACTGAACACATACAACCAAAAGAAATAGTTACCCTGAGATACGCTGCCATACCGTATTCTCAACTGTACGGGGTGCACGCGTATCGACAGTTGCATCGCGGACCAGCTTCAGTGCGTCGTCGATGGCCAAGTATTCTTCAAGATCATCACCAACAATGTCGCCTTCGTCATCACTGTCTTTGGACCCAGGGAATCTTCGTCTTCGTTTTGGTTTGCTTGGAGCAGATATGTGTTGGAGAGGTATGAGGTGCAGGATTCCACTGTGTATCCAGACCTACAATGTAAGAGCACAGAGGACAATTCAGCAAACAATCTTACCATCTAAAGCACGGGAAGAGGGCGCACCCTATTCTCGGAGTTGGACGGTTTGACCCATGGGGGCAGGGCTTCGGCTGCCTCGATGAGGAGAAACTCCCCGTCAGAGTCCATTACGCTACGCGCTGTTAGTCCCGATATAAATCGCGCCGAGATCCTAAATCTGACCTAATTGCAAAATCCCACTTCTTGCTGATCTCCCGTAGGACCCAGACAACGCACCACTCGTCATCAATGGAGTCCCCGACGCGCATACGCCCTTCAAGCATCCATTTGTTATCCCTGACTGCAGCGGTATCGATGTCTTTCGCGACTTTTACCTCGAAGGGGTCTCTGTGCCAGAGAAAATTTGGCAAAAGCTCAGAGACATATACTTGCACGCATGCTGCGAGTGTCGTTGCAGATGATTTTTCTGCTAGTGCTGGAGGAGGATATAGGGTGTACTGAATTGTGTCCTCTGAGATCGAAGGCGGGCGATTGAAAATGTCCATCGCCGTGGTAGATTATTGGAAGACCCTTGTTAAGATCGTCGTTTATATCAGACAAAACTAGTATCTTCCTGACTAGGGGAGACTGATGGTCGGGGTTGTGTTTGTCAGCGAGGGTGACCCCGACTCATTTCCTTTCTTGGTTCACCGAAGAGCACCAATGGCGTCGACTACTGCCTTCAAGGACAGAAATCTCATCGCTGTCATAGGAGATGAGGTACGTTTATACCTGCTAATTAGCATTACTCAGGACTGGATTCGCGTCGGCAGGACTCAATAACTGGTCTGCTTCTTGCAGGCATCGGTCACATCAACGAGCACCAGAGGAAGAACTTTCTCGTCGTAGACTCTAGTAAGGTTTTCGGCGTGTTCCCCGTCATCGCATGCTCAGAGATGAGTCCAGAAACACAAATATCATCGATCGAAGCCGCGTTCCAGGAGTTCACTCAACGGAAGGACATCGCCATCGTCCTCATCAACCAGCATGTGAGCTCAAACACCCCATCGGTCGCATCCATGACCTGAATATAACATGTACTCTTAGATAGCAGAGAAGATACGACCGACGGTGGATCGCTATCAAGAAGCATTCCCTACGTTGCTCGAGATACCTTCTAAGGACCATCCATATGGTGAGCACCGGACACACCTACATTCTCCGTGTAATCTGCACTAAAGCTGCAAATCCAGACCCTTCGAAAGATTCGGTATTGAAGCGCGTTCAGAGGCTTTTCGGCGAGTAGACAGCGTATGCTACATTACTCGCATTGGCATATATGTACCATATAATACAGATGTGCATGGCAAGTAGAGTACTTCTACTATGCCAAGATAATGGATGACCTGCTCCCCTACCTTCGAATTAGGTATCAGGGTGGCAAGTTCAGCAATTTATGCCGAAGTGAACCGCATGATGGGCTCGTTCTCCCGGACACCTGGTGCTCGTTCAACGAATACCCTCACTGGATGCCGGGTTTCTGAGTCTAAGGTTGAAAAGTTGGCGTCGGTGGAAATAATAGGAAACGACAAAACGGCGTACTTGGTATGTCAATCAGGAGGTACCGGAAGACGAAGTAGCCCTCGTCGTTCTGTTGATTATGAGCAATGGCGGATATTCTTTGGAGAATTACATACCCGGACAAGATCGGCATGGACCTCTCCCTCTGTCCACGAAACGCCTGAGTCACCTGCACCCTCAGCTACACTTCTCCGTCCCTTCAACCCTGAGAACAGCCCGGCAAAGCTCCAGAGGCCCTTCTCTTGTTCTCTTTCGTTCTCCTGGTTGTCATTAGTTGACAGTTGTGGGTAAGGAGCAGGCGATGGAGCGACATCGCCACTCAAGTATCTGAATGCACGTTTTGCAGATTGCCCAATCGACTCCAGTTTCTCCTTTGCAAGCGCCATGGTTTCCTCTAGAGTCAAGGAGCTCAAAGATTCTATGTATGAAGGACCCGCGTCTTCATCGGCCTGCTGAGCTGATTTAGCGGATGACGACCCTTGTATGTAGAAGTTAAGGAGCATGTGTTCTCGCCCTGAAGCATCCACTGCGACCTGAGATGAAACGTGCCTATGCCTATGCCTTGGTCGTGTGGAGGAGGGCGGATTATTGTGGAATATAAGAGGTGCTCGCAAGTACTTTGCAACCTGTACATAACGAAATCGGTATTGGTGCAGCTATCTCGAACCCAGACTCGCAAGACGTACCCGAGGAGACGAATTGATACGATCGCAAGCATCATTGAAAAGGACCGTAGGCGAGTTCTTTGAGAACAACTCCGATGTAAGGGCATATATAAGCACAGCAGAAAGCCCGGCACCCAAAAGAATGACAGCAAGGTTCGAAGTGCGCTGCGTTGTCCGAACCACTGTGCAAATAGGATCAATCACAGTGCCTCAAGATGAGAAGATGGATCTATAAGAAAATGTTGGAATGCATGCGCACCCTTCCCACCGGTGCTCAGCTCGGACCACTGTTTCACTTTCTTTCCATTCTTGAGAGATCCTTGAGATATTCCAAGCGCAAATGGCCCCACCGAGTCCTCTCGGTTCAGACGCGTTGCGCGCTGTTTCTGGTCAAGCGCAGAAGAAAGCAATGAAGAAGATGCAGTGTCTTGGTGAGTCACAAATGTCCTGCGACATAAGCCAAATGTATGAATTTTGTGATGGTGACCATGTGAAAACAAGAAGATGTAGGTCGATGGCTGCGAACGAGTGCAAAGCATATTGGCCTGACGTGCGAGCCTCGCCATAGAGGTCATGGTCACGGTAAGGTAAACGTTCTTGATTGCATCCGAAAGCGCATTACCCAGAAATGGCTGGCGATCAGTGACGCCTAATTTTGACTACGTGACGTGACACGTCCACATATAGATGGTAGTCACGGATTGTGGACTCCGTGCACCTCCAATCAATATTAATGCTACATATGATTCTGTTTTCGTCATTCTTATCGGCTTCGTTCACTCCTGAGACTGTCATTCTTGGATTTTTGCGAAGTACTTTGTTGACTGAGCCAACACTTTGAAGTCTACCTCTGTCTTCTGGCGACTCACTCATCAGCCCCCCTCGCCAGCTCAGGTACTATGTAGTTTTTTTACGACTCCAGCTTTGCAGGAGATTCCTCTTGAGCCATCGAGGTACACCTGAGCACCCGAGCTTCGATGACCGTAGGGAACCAAGTTTAGCGTTCAAATTTCACATGTACTTAAATCTTACTTACTGCCATGCAATTGCGTATACAGGCCAATCAACTAGTATTGAATATGCTTTATGTAGTAGAACATTAATAAAATATATAACGGGACAACTTGAATGCCCGCATAAACTGAAGCTTCAACATGCTTTCAGTCCCGAATATTACACTCAAGCACCATAGAAGAAACGCCAATAACCTGGAAGTAGATGGCCAAGCGAGTACCACAGCTATAAGTCCATCGTCAGCTTCACCCCAATGATTTTAAGTAAGTTTCGACTCACGCTATAAAATTTGCAGGACTGCTTATCGGCGTCTACCGTGTTGTACATCACGAATCGGGTCCCCACAAAAGCGCCATAAATCACAAATACAGTGGTAGAGAGCGAATCTATCTTCCAGATCCGGCTCAAGCCAAATGACCAGAGGGGAATTCCGAGCATCATAGAAAAGCGCGCGGCTTTAGGGAAGATTGTGGGCAGTGTGCGCCTGCCAGTGAGGCGATCACCTTCTTCATCCTTGAAGTCTTGCGCATGAAGTGTAGTTGCAAATACTGTCGAGCTAAGTGCGACAGCCAAAAAACCAGCCTTATCAATGTACGAGTTCCGGGAACCTGTACACTTGCTGAGTGAGCACAATGACGGATTGTCTGCAATTAAATATATTTACCGGCAGCAACAGTTCCTCCGACCTCCAGACACCCACAGAAGATGGCTGTGAGTACGTTCTTCGACAATCCCATTTTATCACCGTGAAGTTCGTTGTACCAGATTGTCAACACTGCGAAAACGGTGCTGGCCAGCAGAGCCTGAGTGCCGTACCACAGCGATAGCAGCAAGCAGACTGGCACCATCACCCAGCGCATATCAGCTGCGCTATCCACAGAAATACGACCAGCAGGAATCGGACGGGAGGGCTTGTTCTTGCGGTCCTCCTCCGGATCCTGGATCTGGTTTGCAATATTGAACTGCAATAAGTGGAACCATATCCACAAAGCGGCATGCCAAGCGCGGGTGGGGTCATGTTTGGGAGTTGCGGATAACGCGAATATGGTCTGAAATGTGTAATTGAGCAAGGGAGAAAGAAGCGCAATGGTTATCACACACGAAAGGTACCAGAGTGGTTCTGATATCATTTTTTGTAAAGAGGAAGACCGTCTCGAGATGACGAGCAATGCTATCAGCGCGAACTAGTAGAGATTGAGGGAACATAGTGAGTATTTGTGAATGCCCAAACTGAACGCCGGGTCGAGGCTTTATACTTTGAATGCGCGCTTACAAGAAACGTGAATCGCTGACCGGGATGGCAAAAGTCATGCCCGGGGTACAAAGGAACTCGAAGAGCGATTCCAGAAGTCACGAAACCGGTTGTGAGTCAATGATCCCGGAGACCCCCCGAGGCCGTGATGTCAATGCTTGATTATTCAGGGTCATCAGGCTGTCTTCCGGTAAGATGAGGCGATGCATCATACCAGCATCGTGTTCGCCTTCCGTATAGAACTCTGCCAAGTCAGGTATGCCTTAGTGAGAAAAAGCTCTCGGAGTCCCGGGACCATCATAGCCGGAGAGCACAGAGTTAACAGGGATTCGAAAGAATCAGTAACATTGAACCTTTACGGGCACTTACGTCCCACTTGTTAGATAATCGAAATTCAGAGCGCACGCCACGTAGCGTTTGACCCCGCAGTGTGCTCATGCAGTGCTATGCTATGGCTATAGTTAATTAACGATGAAATCATATCCTAGTACCGATACACTCACCATCCAGGGAAGCCACCCATACTCTGCAGACATCGAAGCACTTTCCAGACCACAACAGTGTAGCACACTCGAAGACTGCAGATATCGAGTACTGATTCTGTTGTGCTCTTAACAATGAAGGTACCTAGATGTCTCTAGTTGCCAGAGAGCCCCATGACCGCCAAAGACCAATCCTATCCGCCAGGTATTGTCAAATCCTGCTCATCAAGTGTCCTTTTCGATGAGCACGAGAATCGTAGCAACGCGAAGTTTGCTTATTACAATGCGCCAGTGGTCGCCAGTCGGTGACACTTCTTCTCTGTGGTTCAATAACAGTCCCACTTCTGTACATTCCGAGTCATTCTGTGTCAAAGACTCAAAGGTGTACGAAGTCCTCTTACCTCTTGTGGACGCGTGACACTGACTAAGGGAGCGGATTTGATAACCGTCTGCTTCGTCCGCAAATGTTCGGAATCAAAAGAGATAATCTTGGGCCGAAGAAAGATGGTATCATTCATACAGAAGCTCCCATTACAAAACAAATACAACACTCCAGAATTATTACTCAGTCAATAACTTATGATCGCTCTCCACGCAGGCGCCTAGCAAGCGCGAGATCTTTAGGTTGGATGGTGACACGCTTAGCGTGGATAGCGGCGAGATTGGTATCTTCGAACAACGAAACGAGGTAAGCCTCAGCGGCTTCCTGGAGTGCCATGACAGCAGAGGATTGGAACCGGAGATCGGTCTGTATGGCCATGTTAACAGATGAATAATAAAAAAAGACATTGCTGACCTTGAAATCCTGTGCGATCTCACGCACGAGACGTTGGAATGGGAGCTTGCGGATGAGGAGTTCCGTGGACTTCTGGTAGCGACGGATTTCACGGAGGGCAACAGTACCAGGACGGAAGCGATGAGGCTTCTTGACCCCTCCTGCGGGTACCTGCAAAGCAGTCAGTTAGGCATGGTGGAAAGCGGGAAACGTTCGACTGACAGCGGCGGTCTTCCGAGCTGCCTTGGATGCGAGTTGTTTACGGGGGGCTTTGCCTGTCCAACATGGTTAAGATGAGGTTTGGAGGATGAATACCAGAACATATGCATACCTCCAGTGGACTTGCGGGCGGTCTGCTTGGTACGAGCCATTGAAAATGTTGGAAGATAAGTGAGGTTGAAACCTTGAGGTAAGTTGACAGTGAAGATGGATGTTGTCCGCAAGCCACAAACCGACGTGATTCCTTCTTATATGTGTGCGCGTGCCGGCACGTGCTGGATCAATCAACAATGATGACGATGATATATTTAGCCACTAGCGCGTTCGCGTCCACCACGTGATTTTTGTGAACTGCCTAAGGCTCATTGAGTCACATGACACCTATTAATGGCGTCTCCCCACAATTAATGGTGGTGCGCTGTCTCGTCACAAGTTAGAGGAGGACCACAAGGAGAGAACAATAGCATTCGAATGTCAATTAATGGCAACGAAGATGAGGTCAAAAGTGAGCTACCACGAATAATGATAATCACATCTCTCGCTCAGAAGATACAGCGACCGTGACATTGGATGCCACTGCTGAGCGCGGTGTCACAGCGCGCCGCTAAGCAAGTGGAATGCAAAGTCAGTATTTCACCCTTCCAGAGAGATCACAAACCTGTTCAGCCCCTCCCTTCACGAGACAATATTTCACGCCCCATCTGCCCTTGCACTCGATACTCTTACAGCAAATACATGCCCGAAGCTTCTTCTTTTCTGGACCATCGTCAGGTTCATTCGTGGAGCGCTTTCCAGCTCGGCTGACTTCTGCTACCCCCCGAGGTGACGAACTTCTCGGCGTGGCTTCTGGTTCTTCGCGGCAGTCTCCATCGCTGCGCTGATTGTGCGAGTGGTAATCAGCAAGCAGCTCCTGGCATATGTGTTTCAAAATAAGGCACTTATTGGCGGCGCGCTCGTGTCGGGCTTGCTGTCATGCGGTATTGGTTCACGAGGGATAGTCGGAATTGTCACAGAGCTGTTCATGGGAGGAGCTTGCCAATTGGATGGGCTCACGGCGAGGGCAAGCAGGAATAAGTTAGATGTGGGTGCCGGGCTCCGAGGCCCTGAATTGTTGACTCTGATGGAGGGCCTCACCCGGCCTGACGGTCATTGAAGGCATGCTTGTCCCCTACGCCGCTTGGTCAAAACCATATGCAAAACTTCTTTCTCCCATACGCAGATATGTTGACTATTTATTGTGTTCTGATTGGCAGAATTTCTAGAGATTTTTAAAAATGGTAGATAAACTGGTTCGCCCCCACGAAATTTCCCATTAGCCGACTTGAACGACTGACCTCGTCATTACTAGTGACGCGCTCTACCAACTGAGCTAAACGGGATGCATTTTCGGGTTCATAGCAAATAGTATAATTTTATCCCGGCATACATTGGGCCGAAGCATGCCTAAGTAAATGGAGGTACTAAAGGCTACTTCCCAAACGCTTGCATTCGTTCTGTAACAGCTTTCTTCAACTGTGCAAGAAGTTGTCAACCAGATCATCAAATACAAAGGGAGAAACCAACCGGAGGGCTAATTCCATTACCCTCGAAATATGCCAGGACGAATTCCTCTGATACCCAATCATTTTCCACAGAACCCATGTCTCTGAGAACCAAAGTTCGCGGGCGAGATGGGCTGCGCAATGGCGCGACAAGTATTATGTCAAACGGTTTGCCCTTTGACATTGACGTAGTAGGGAAAAGTGATTTCAATGTCCTCAAAGGAGACTGGGCTGCGGCTTCCTCTTCTGGAGTGATTGTAGCACGGGCATGTGCGAGCTGCATACGTGCAGTGAGGGCACGCATGAAGCCGTCACGGAGATGCGAATAAGAGGTGCCGCGAGTGGGTACTGAGCAGAGTGAGGTCCAGATCAGCGACGGCAGGTGGTCAGTAGGGACTTGCCTATTCGAATGGCACATGCGGTATTGCGGACAATGTGTTCTATTTTTTCGTCGGGAGTTGCAGTCATGGGAATCTATCGAGTGGGAATGTGTATCAGAATACAAGAGGGGGGAGGAACGGCGTTACATTCAGGTTCGGATTGGCAAGGTCGGCGTAAAAGCCAACAGAGTACACCTTGATGCCAAGGAATGATACAGTTCTCACCCCAACGCCAACGAGTGAGAACTGAGGCAAAGGGAATTTTGATGGTATATGAAGGGTCTTGGGGAAAGCAATTGATGTTGCGGGATCAACTGTGGGGAGTTTTGAGTTCTTGGACTGGCCTGGTCAGACGGTGAAACGTACTCTCAAATCCAGAGTCGGGTAGAGATGGTTCGGCATCAAGATGGAGGGTCATGGTACTTTGTACTGCATATGCAGCTGAAAAGATGGAAACAGCACCCCATAGGAATGGTTTCGCGAATGACCTAGTGGACTGTTTGTGAGTTCTGGTTATACACCATGAGCGAGACCATGATGATCTGAGAGGCCGTAAGAATGATTGAGACATGTTGGTTACTAAGAGAAGGACAGCCACGTGGGAGTATTATTATCTGCATAAGTAGGACGCGTCAGGCGTTTACGGAGTGGAGTAATACTGTGCATTCTCATCCGGGGGTCGACGCAATCCCTCCTAAACAAGTCAAATCCGCGATAGACGACGCGTCAGCTGCCCTAGTGGAATTTAAATACACACACGTACGTCCTCAACTAAATTTCCCCTTCTCTCAGCAGTTTCATCCTTTTACTTGACCGCGCGAAACTGACCTCATATCATCTCTAAATTGTCCCATAATTGCTTTCTAAATCAGCGTCTCCTTTCATGTCACTTGATATCAATAGTCTCATTGCAGAGTTTGCAGAAGAGTCTTTAGGTGGTTTTTCCGTTTTCATGGACGAAGAAGATACATCCGTGGACCTCCTCGAGTCCCCCTCCGATGACATTGCTGCGGATCTTGTCTCTGATCGCTCTGCATATGAGAAGCAAAAGGCTACTCTCAAGACCTATCTTGATTCCATCCCTTACGAGTGCGAGTCTATTGATGTCATGCAAGTCAAGCTTGAGTACATAGTCGCCAAGTTGATAGTCTGCGCTGAATCCAAGAATTGGTTGGTCCTCACAACCTGGGATGCAATCCTACAGTGGTATGTTGTTACCTTACACAATCTCAAAATTACTCACCCCCTCCCTCCAGCTGGCTGCAGATGCGCTATCCCATGACGACCTCCATCCGCGCCAAACTGGTCCGCTTTTATTACGAATTATGCCTTCTGCCTGGCATAGAAGTGCGCGTCATCCGTAGCTGGGCAGATATGTTGTACCGCCTCTTAGGATCCAAGACCGTTAAGCGCAAACTTGAGGCCACTGACCTCCAACTCCCCTGGAAACCCCTATGGGATGTGTTGTACAAGGAACTATTCCCCAAGAACCGCCTCGCAGAATTTCAGTGAGTGTACCACAATCATGCCCATATCCTAGTATTTAATGCAAGGTGGACAGCGGCAATCGTAATTTAAATAATATTTTGTTGTATGTCGCGGAGAGCTGTAAGCGCTATTTCCCTGCGACTGATATCCCCGATATGCTCGAGACGTTCTTGCCTATCCTCACACCCGATGTGAGTCATAATCTATTGAAATTGATGGATCCCCACTCAACTTATTTCCACTCAGACTACATTGACAATGATACCTGTTCTCGCATCGTTCCTTCCGCCAACCCACCCACATACCTACCTTCCCGTGATATTCAGGATTTGGGAAGCTTTCAATTCGCACTCCATGGACGATAGGTTTCTCGAATTTGCCGGAATCCTCGCGGAGGAACATGTCGCTGGTAAGGAAGGACTTGCGGGAGAGGAAGGAGGTGCCGCATGGAAAGATGTCGGTATCTGGACACAGGAAGAGTGGTTAATGCTTGTTAGCAAAGGGATCGAGTCGCTGTGTAGGTCTTTTAGTACAATTGATCAAGATCCGCTGACTTCTTGTTAAAATAGATGTCCCTGTGGGCAATTCGAGCGTAAGTCATCGCTCTCTCTCTTCGCATAGCGATATTCAGCTAAGTTTGAGCAGAGTGTCACTGCCACATCTGTTCAGGCAGATGCTTCCGCGGCTCGCCAAGGCTCCAAAGTCAAGAAAACAATTAGTAGAATCAGTCAGTACCATCGTATCTTCTGCGTCATACAAGAACTATCCTGATTCCTGCAGGTTCCTTGGCCAAACTGTTTGTGTACTCAATGGCCATTGATGGCCCGATACGCGGAGATTCTGCATCCACGCCTGGAACTCCCAATGGCCAGCCAATAGGATACTTGGCTGGTTCGAAGGCGCTTGACTCGTTAGACAAACTGATTACAAGTACAGAGTCCTTCTTTCATCCATCAAACTCCGGCCACTGGACGTTCACGGTATGTTTTGTGCTGAAATGGATGGACATCTGCCAATACTCCCTACAGCTCACGAATTTGCTCCAACGTCTTACCGTCGAGTTTGCTGACAGATGGCTTGAAGAACAGCAGCCTTCGTGCAAAGTTCCCTTGGTATGTATGACACCAGAGCTTATTGTAGCGTACTCATACGCACAATTTAGGCACATCGTCTCACTCCTTCTCTTCGTCGAGCGTTCGTCAATGTTTTGCGCACGCCTGCATTTCTTGCCATGTTTTCCAAGGATTCCTTTTCGATTAGCATGGCACAAGGTGCACTGCGCACTATGGCATTACTTGAGCCGACGCTCATTATGCCTGAACTCCTCGAGCGTGCCTACGGTGGTTTGGAAGTGGTAAACGAGACCCACCGTACCACCGCAGTGTTGAAAATGCTTTCCGGTATTTCACTTCCGCTTGTCTCAGAGATCATATGGAGGCCCGGACAAAAGCACCTACTTCCTCTTCTTGAACTTTGCCTGCCTGGTATTGATCTGGTAAGACCTAACATCCTCATAGCGTGCATTTGTTACTCATCGCACGATGTCTAGAACGACCCAAATAAGACTATCTGTGCTACGTTGTTCATCGTTAGCGCCATACAGCATGTCAAGGTTGGAGATCTCTCTATGCACCACTCTGGTTTCGCTTTGTCTGGGGATGCGCCAGGTGAAGAGCTCATGGAAGTTGATACCGAGGACACCCAGATCCCTGAAGGTGTCGAAATCAGCCCATTCGTTTCACTGGGCAGGCAAGAAGAGAGGACTCTTGTCCGGGAGAGCACGGCAGGCTTCGCAGGTGTGCACATTCTCCCTTCGGTAAAGGAAAATTGCTTACCCCCCAGTAGATTGGGTGACGACCCTCTTTCGCCGAGTACTAGCTCTATACGAGAATCTTCCTGAGGAGGGTGGGAAGAAGAAGACTACCGGCGGAAAATCGGAAGAGACGGTTCTGAAATCGATCAAGAGTATGCTCGACGTGGTCACCTTGCATCTCTCAGACCAGTTATTTGATCTCGTTTTGAATCTCGTCTTCGATTACGCTGCGACAAATGCGAAGTCTAACGCCATCCGAGCATTTGGGCAGCTTGTAGCATGCCTGGCACGCGCACAACCTCAGAAGACATTGGATAAGTTTTTGCCGTCGTGTATCTCACGCATACAAGAAGAACTCAAGTATGGGGCTTCGGGCGTTCGGACAACATCAGCACACGATCTTGTTCCATCTGACACAACGCTGCACTGGAGTAAGTGACTTGTTCTTCGTTCGTCATCTAACCGAACGTCTCAAACAGACATGTCAATATTGCGTGGATGTCTTGCGTACGGCGCACATGGTGTGAGTGCGATCTAGTTCCGTGGCAATTATGAAATTTTGAATGCGTCACCAATTTCAGCTCCTCAAGCACAAAGAAGATATCATCAACCTTTTATCCTTGCTGTTGAACAAGACGAAGAATGAGCGTGGGTACACGGGCACCGCTGCGATTGCCGCGAGAGTGATGCATGCACTGTCTGGTGTCTACCCATCTGACAACCGCTTCGTGAACGAAGATATATGGAATCAGCCTGGTAGGTCATGTCGACTCCACCCCGCTCACACAGCTAATGATTTCTCAGAGTTCGGCCAGTCGCACAACACTCAATGGGGTCGATTATACGAAGCAAAGGATGTGAAGGTGGAGTGGCACGGTGAGCACGATATCAATACGCTCCACGTTCCTCCTAACCATGGGACATCAAGTTCCAAGCGCCGAGGAAGTGCAATTCATTCTTGACATCTTAGACCGGGTAGCAGCTCCTGCGCTCGATAAGATAGAAGACTTGGCGCGGTCTACTGAACATTGGGATGAAGTCGTTAGGAATGACTTCTGCCGGCAAGTTACACAACAGCAAGGACAGCACCCCACTAACATAGTTTTTACAGGTACCTCTTGTTCGTGAGGTCTGTCTGGAGCGGCCTACCGTCATTCCTGAAAGAAGGCCCTAAAGATGTAGTGCACCCATGCCTCAATTCAGAAGTAGAACTCGAAGAACTCATTGTTGATCACCTTGACGTCAATGCTGGATTTGTTCTCACTGATCCTAACGATCCTCGCTACCAACAAGCCTTGCAGCACCGCGATCGTTTCGGCAATGTCGCGCACATGGCCGCGGTCGCCTTGCGCCGAATCCAAGGAGGTGAAGATCATTTGGATGCTGTCGTCGCCGTCGTAAAGGCCATCGACACTTACTTCCTGGATTACGGGATGAGTCGGTCAGACTTCATCACATTGCAAAAGAACTTTGCTCAGTCGAGAGAGTAAGTTGTGCAAACACATCATTTTTTCCTTGTCTGACCTAAACCAGGGTAAACCGAGTGTCGGCGAGGCAAAAAGAGAACTCGCGAATTGCGTGGATAAAAAGAGCACACGTATACCATTGTGGCCGGCTCTATATCCACGGTTTGTATCGACGAAGATCGTCCCTGGACGACACATTACTGAAGGAAGACCTTGCGGAGCTCTGTTTGTCACCATACACGCGAGTGCGACGGTGAGTTGCTTCGTGACATTATTCGCTCTTTGCCATAATCAAAACTTTCAGCCTCGCTCAGAGTGTGCTGCACAGCACGTGCGGTGTGAGTACAATCCATATTCTGTTTTGACCGCATTGTGACCTCAGTTCAGTCCTATGTACGAGCGACAAGATACATAATGCCATCTATTTTCAACGCTCTATCGAAAGGCAATGATCCTGATAGGATCAAAGGCGCCTTGTATGTCCTTGGTAACAAAGGCACTGGTATGTGGTTTTACTGCGTTCTTTCAGCGTGATCTGATTTGCTATCTGTACAAGCCGCGCTGACCATGTCCGGTATGTCTGATTAGTAGGAAGTATAATTGATTCTAATCCCGCGCAGAGCCACCGCTGCGACGACAATACCTCGTTGCTCTGCTAGAATGCCAGCATGAGGAGAAAGTGAGTGCAAGTCGTATCTGTGGTTCTGAACCCTGTCTGATGTCATAACAGCCCTCGATACAGAAGCTTGTTACCACGTTCTCCACGGAGTGTTTAATACATCTCACTGAAGAAGTCATAAGGACTTCTGCATACACAGCCACTACTCCTGGGGTTCAAGCCTCTATTCGCGCTCTTGAAACAGAGTTCTCGCCTGCCGTCGTGGATAGAAACCTAACGATGTTGGCGGTGGAATGCGCTGCTAACCGTGCAAGACAATGCTTGGAGGAGACCGATAAGACTGTGCGTGTGGCTCTGTCGATTCGTACGTTGATGATGACATTTGTCCTAGGTCCACTCCATACTTGAGATTGCCTCTCGGCCTACAACACATGTATGTTATCTCGTATTCTCACGCAACACATCTAAGCAAGGCTTCAGTGGAGATATGTACACATGGCCATAAAGTTTTTGACGGGCTTCATCAGACGCGACGCAGTGGCTCCTCCGGAGTTAGCGCGCTTCTTCATGGAGCAAACGCTTAGCCCGCAACCAGGAATAAGGACTAGTGCTGAGCAGTACGAGCCTTCTATTTAAATATGCACCGCATCGATTTCTTATCCTTCTCTTTACAGGGCAGTCGTGAAGACCGCCGTTCTCATGAAGATACGAGCGTACGCCAAAACTGATGACGAGCTCTGGCTCTGCAAATGGCAGAGTCCCTTTGCGAGGACTATTTCCATCAGCAACCCGCCTGCTTTCCTTGCGCAGCTAGATCAGCCTGTTAATGATGTAGAGTAAGTCGGGGTTTTCGTCGTCTGGAGTTTGCTGCTCATGCGCTCTATTAGCGGGTTTTACGTCGACCTGCTAGACACTGGCTTTATGGCTTGGACGAAGACCATCAAATGTTATCCTGTGAATCTGACCAATTCAGTGCCATGGGACTTAGCGTCAAGACAGTGCTTGCAAGCCATGCGCAGCTTCATAGGAGAAGGGTATTTTACGCAGCTTGCAACACTGTGGAGCCAAGAGTCCAGCAAGGCATCTGGTCAACCACATCTTCACGCAGAGAATGTTATTTTTATGATTACTCTAGGTTCTCATCATTTCGCTCTTACATTCATGGACTCGTTGCTAACCCCGCTGCAGCGAAGTTGTTTAACGGCGACCACCTGCATCTAATTCTTCCAGTTGTTGAACCATTGATGACCGATGGGGATAAGTTCAAGCAGGCAGCTGCGGCTGAAATATTGACAGGATTGTTACGCGGTATTCTTCCTGTTCTGTACCGTTGTGTTCACATCTGACGTGCTTTAATACAGGGTCCAAACATTGGCCCAGGAAAACGCGAGAGGAGCTTTGGTCTTGGCTCACCCCGCGCTTTGACGTGATTCTCACTCAGGCGAAGCCAGATACTGTTTCATATTGGACCTCGTTCCTGGAGGTGAATTGTTCCGCAGATTTATCGAGCAACGTCACTCATTCATTGTTGAAAGCATACCCTACTGAACCTCGACCCACGTCGCTTCCAGCCTTTGGTCAATTGGATATTATCCCTACAGCTTGACTTCCAGGGTGACTCTGCGTTTTCCAGTAAGTTCCTTTCTCGCCATTAGCCCGTTGTGCTCATTGTCTTGCAGTGACGAAGGCTCTCAATGTCATCGTTGTATTTATTGATGCTGTCGGTGTCCGGTTCAATAGCCGATCTGAGAAATACGCGTCGATTTTTTTCGACAATGCGGACTCTAACTATGCAGAGGTATTTGCGATACGGATATGCTGCATCCGTGTGTCTTATATTTTAATGCAGATAAGGACTTCGATAGCCAATGCCCTGTGTCTGATAGCCAAGTATCAATGGAGACCAGCATACCCCTCTGTGGATGCCCTCCTCGTGGCATGCGCCGAGAGTCCAGATCCACTCCGAATCAGGTATGTGACTTCGAGTAGCGCTTCCGATATGCTATTCAATGGTCATTTCCGTCCAGACAAGGGTTTTTCTCTGATCATGTGCAATCGATCATCGACAATCTGCCCAAATGGAAGGATGAACGTTTCCCCCCCGCCTAGAGTTTCACAGTCACGGGTGGGTAATGACACATTGGCCGGAATTCTTTTCTGACGTTCATCTTCAGTATGACAAAGTCGGCTTGACCAGTAAGTTTCACAATTCTTCACATGAGAAGTCCTGACTGAGACCCGACAGTGCTGCTCTGGCTATGGGTGTCGCTTTATAGCCCTGAAGCTTGTCTTGTTCGTCCTCATGCCATGGCTCTGCTGTTTGTGACCTGTTCACTTGATTGTATGGTTTTGCTGAATTATCATTAGACCTGAACTCTTGAGCATGTCAGAATTGAGCGACAATCCTGAACTTCAAAAGTACAGCAGCTCTGTGCTTCGTGTGCTATCCTCAGTTTATATGCCGCCTTCGCTTACGCATATCGTCCTGGATAAGCTGGTCTCAGCTATTCAATCATCTGAGGTATATTCCCTTTGTCACAATGAATAATTTATCTGAAAATTTTCTAGTCGTGGCGAATTCGATTGCATGCTTTGCCTGCCCTGGTTGCGTTCTTCTATCGGAATCTCTTGACCATCTCATCAAGCGGGGTACTCAAAGTCATGGATGTATTACTCGATTGTTTATCAGATGAAAACGTCGAAGTTCGAGAAATGTCGTCCAAGACCCTATCCGGAGTAGTGAGATGCTCCCAGCGGCAGACCATCATTCCATTGAAGGTGTGCGGCGATAGCCTCCTTTAAATTTGATTGCTTAAGCTCCATTGAATTCAGAATCACTTCATATCATTGGCGCGCAGCGTAAAGCTTCCTTCACGTACACATAATGACTACGGAGAGTCTCTTAGAAAGTTACATTCCGCTATCCTTGGCCTATGTGCACTTATTGAGAGTTCTCCATACTCTGTCGAGCCATGGATGCCGTCCCTCACAGAAGGTTAGTGTGGATGTTGTCAACAACTTTTGTCTGAAACTCATGTCCGCTCGCTATATCACTCTTACTATTTTCGATCATCTTCGTCAATACAGTCCTGGCGAGACACGCAACAGATCCGCCGCCGATCTCGACGACGATTCGTCACTGTGCTTCTGAGTTCAAGAAAGTAAGAGCCTTTCCTATTGTACACTGATTTGACCTCACGAATATAATTTCTATCTAGACTCACCAGGTAACTTGCTCCCGCCCATCTGACAATTTTTGTTGCGGCTTACCATCCATTTTACAGGACACCTGGCACAAGGATCAACTAGCGTTTGATGAAGATCAATTACAGAGCCTCTCTACGATGCTTGTTGGTACTTCATATTGTGGGTTGATCGTGTCTGTTAATTGGAATTTGGCTGATCAACGGCCGTATCTACAGACGCCTAGATAATGTTTAATAGATTGGCATCGATCCGCGCCTCCGTCAGGACTCAGCATCAGCAGGACGTTCGTATCACATCGACTATGTATAAATTAGGGCACATCCGTGATGAAGTTCGTTTATAAGTATTAGGTCTTCTTGAAAGAATATTTGTGCTATCGATGATTAATTCCGCCGATGCCTGCGACAGTTTGGCCTAAGCAGTATCCACTCCCGCCTGGATGCTCGTGCCGAATAGGAGCAATGCTTTGTGCACCATTAAATGTGGCTTCATCATCGCAGCCATTGAAAAAATACGGAAGTATTAAGGCAATTCCAAGGCTTATTGGCCCGCAATCCATCGGCTCGGAACCAGATAGTCCGATATATGTAACTCTTGGAGACGACCCATCAGCGCGTGTGTTGCGCGTGTTCCGGTCATTTGAATTTGTGCCTTGAAATATATGCCAAGTCGGCTGACGGTATAATTGATGTCCGAGCCCATAGTATAATCATTCAAGCCGTCAGAAAGGTCTCGAAATTTTTTGACTCTCGTCAGATCCTCGTGCTTTGCTCAGGGATCTTACACGTTCTGGTTCAAATGGTGTTATCATGTTTGTACATTCCACAACCCCTGACACTTTCACCTGGGTCTTCAAACTTAGAACCGCAGGCTACGTACGCGACGCGTAAATCATGCGGTCATAAGAAAGAATAACAGAAAGTCCTGGAAGTCCTGTAACTTCTAGATATGAGCGGCATTATAGTCAAATCGTGATGAACTTATCTTGCGGCCAGGTCACATCGATGAAAGCCTGATTTGAGATTTCAAGAGATAAATTGATAATACTTTCAGTTGACATATACTGTGCGCTTCGTGCGCACGTCTTCTGAGGCGCCACGGTGATTATCTAGCCGGATTATAGCGCCATCAGCAAGTCAGGCGAAGGTTCCGGCGCGTCTGATTCATTCTCGTGACTCATGTTCCAGAATTTGGAGCTGATACGCGAACACTGCTATCCAAGTTATCTGGACTGTGGGGTAGATTTATGCACATTCGATGGTTCGTCAGCCCCTGAGCAATGAACACTACGCCTGCCTATTTGGTACAAAAAGATCCGAAATCCAATCAAACACGCCTGTTCCGTGGTATGATAGCTTTCTCAATTCAAGCTTCCCGGATTTTATTCGATAACATCGTGTTTTTTTGCGTCGGAACGCTTGATGTGATACCCATATATTAGAGCAATTAAAGTGGATTTAGCGGCACACAAATAGCACCATATCAACTCACGTGAATTGACTGGTCAAAGATGACTCTGACGCTGGAAGATTGTGCCGAAATCAAAGAGGTTGAATGCCGATGAATAGAGGTGATACTGTGGACGGGCGCAAGGACGCAATGGGTGCCGATCACGAAGAGTGCTTTCCATGAGTGTTCGGTGAGTGGTAAAGGCGGTCCTTGAGACTATTTCACAGAGCGGCGAACGGGGGAGGTGCTGCGGCTAGCATCATGGCACGCTCGTGGGACGGCATCAACACGTGTTGGGTACTGTGTTACTTTGGGGTTAGTACCCTTGAGTATTTTACGAAGTTGTTCCGAGTAGTGTAATGGGTTTGCTTCAATAGAGACTGTCGTCGTAGTCAACGATCTGCAGTAGTCAGTTCATCAATGCGATACCCAAAATTAAATTTGAAATTGGAGCAGTTAACGGAAGTAGGATGCTATGCGTTGATGATGCCAGGTGAAGCCTCAGATCCGTATGATAGTTGGCGCTGAAGGAGAGGTGAAGGGCTAGGCTGTACGGCGTTGTCAGGTTTAGTCCGATAGTTACGACATCAACCATGTAAACCAGTGCGCGCGAAGTTGGTTGTTCAATTTGGCCTGGCCCTTAGCCTAGTGTTCGGTTCCAGCTTGACCACGACCATCCACGATCAAAGGTTGTTTTTTTTCTTTTCTTTTCGCTCCGAATACTTTGGAAGACTTACTGAAAAGTCTTTACAGTATAGTTCCCAATTCAGAGGGAGCGCCCACATCTCCAACCCACACTGCACAGGGCTCATTATAATTATTGGCAATCGCCGCCGCAAGAAGGGCACGTTGCGATCAAAACCCCTTCGCAAGGTCAGTCAGGGCTCCTCCCCTTTGCCTCATTTCATTACCATAACCTCCAAGAAGATCTAAAACCCTCGACCTCCACCCACTTTGCCTCTTCAAAGTCTTGACCTGGGTCCTGATCTTCAACACGCGACCCCGGTCCTCACGACCTCCTCACGCCTCGTTTTAGTTCATCTCACTTTTTATACCTATCTTGTGCTTTCTCTCTAGATCTTTACTGCTTGTCTTCTTGCATTCTATCCAGCAAAACGTCGACGGTGGTCTCTATCTATCTACTCACTTAGCAAATCGTGCTCTCAACATCGCATCACCTATATCCTATACACCATCGCATCTTTGATTATTCTCTCATACCGCAACGCACGACTCCTTTTTATCCAGCAATCATCGGACGCTCATCAGCTTGTTAATTAACTGGTGAGTCAATTTCTTTGCAGCGTGTTCTGCTTCGCTGACAACTCCATGATATAAAAATCAGATTTAAATGCAAAAGGTGGTCACCGCTACTACTGCACCCACACACAATTTGTATTTTGCACGCGAATCAGGCTCAAGAAAACCCATTCCAGCTCGAGCACAATCAACGGGTGCACCTGCTTGGACCCAAAGTCCCCTTGAACATCACAACTTGAGCCCAGACTTCGCGCCTGAGGTAAGCCTTGCTTTATCTCTTTAGACAACCTTCTTACGTATTCCTCAAGACTTGGAACGTTTCATCCACGCAAGACTCGCCGCCACCTCTCTCATCCTACATCTCCCGTCCAACTTCGATCCAGAAACCTTCAGCAGCAATGCCTGTTCGTACGAATCTTGGTGACATGTCAAAAACCGAAACTTCTAGTCATCCGTCTGAGCGTGTCCCAAACAACGCTCAACGATGGCGACTCAATGGTTCGGGCCAGCTTGTCGATCCAGACGCATCGCTCGACTGGGATCTTGCCCCGGATCTTGCCAGGCTGAAGCTCGGCGCTGTTGGCGACCTTACAGACGACATACAAGGCCGACTAGGGACTTCACCTCAGTCCAAGCTAGGTGCTGCAGCTGTGGCGCCATTCAATGATGCGAGTCCGCTGGAGACGGCTTCTGACGTCAGTCTTGACTCCAGCCCCAATACCTCTGATCATCAAATTTCGCCTTCCCATTCTCGCGTGTCGTCCACTGACACACTGGAATCGCACGGATCTGCTATTTCTTCCGCTAGTCATACCATGCGAGGGCAGCCCCAGCTGAAGATAGCAACGGGGAATGATGCAAAGGAGCGTCCTCACTCCTTCAGTGGCGGACTATCTTCTGCTGATTTGCGTCGTCTGAAGCAAGCAGGGGAGGAGCATGTACATGTGCCTGCTCACCCTTGGTCATCTGCTGCTTACCGAGACCGTGTTGGTGGCGGAGAGAAGCCCTTTCCGTCTGAGCAGCCCACATACCCGTCGCTGACCAACGCATCATTTGGTCGCGCACAACAGCAATTTGACTACCGTTCCGCCCAAGGTAATGGCGACTTGCAGGGCGATTATTCCGCTCAGCGCAGCTACTTTCCCCAACCTTCTGCTCCCAGTGCCGTCGCGCCACAGCACTTCCTCCAAGGTCGCCCCGCGAACGGGGTTCAATCTGCATATCGCCAGCCTCAGCGAGGTTACCCCCCACAACCGTTGGTTCCAAGCCCAACGGGACTTGCCTATGGTGCACACGTCCCTCACCTGTCGCTCGGTAACACTCAGCAACTCTATGACATGGTTCTCCCTGCAGGAGACAATCATCACCCGGCCGTTACCCGTGTGCAGCAACAACACAACGTTTTCCGTGGTGGTCATCAGCACTCTGCCTCGGACCCTTCCGCTCTGCGAGATGCTGCTACATTGGCGCTTCTGAGCAATCAAGCAGTTTTCGCACAGGCGACTCATGGCATGTATCCCCCCATCCATCCTGGCCTCTATAATCAGTTCTACGGTACTCCGGAATCATACTCCACGGATCTGGCCGTCGCAGCCATGGCTAACCGTCTGCAAACCCATTTTACCAGTCCGTATGGATCTTTGCCAGCTCAAGGCATGGGAGTAGATCACTCCGTGAATTCAGGATCTGAGAGCCCTTTGCAAAGCAACGGTGGACCGAGTGCCAACAATCGCAAACTTGGCTTGTACAAGACCGAGTTATGCAGGTCATGGGAAGAGAAGGGCTCATGCCGGTATGGAGCGAAATGCCAGTTTGCGCATGGAGAAGATGAGCTTCGGAATGTCGCTCGTCACCCCAAGGTAAGCACTCAAGCGACGCTTGAAATACAGATTATTGATAGATATCATTGCACATCAGTATAAAACAGAAATCTGCAGGGTAAGTCTTCTTCCTGGTTTGAGAATATTGTTCCTGATGATGGCGAACAGACATTTTGGGTGTCAGGTGCATGCCCGTACGGGAAACGCTGTTGCTTCATCCATACCGAGCTGCCAGTCTCAGGCATCGCACCGGGAGCCGACGGTATTCCTCCACCTTCAGCCACTGCAGGCAATCGTGAGCGCTCGAATAGCGATCCCAACGAATCGTCAATATCCCTTCTTCAGCGCATCCAGCGCAAGGGTGACTCAACACCAGTGGATAATTCCCCGCCTTCGGGTAACTTCTTTAATACTCGACCTCCCACCGGCTCGCTTCGCGTCGACACGTCTGCTCTCAATAATATTACGAAGCAGAACAAGTCAGCATACCCCACCTTTGCCAGCAATGCCTTGATGCTTTCAAGCTCCGAGCAAACACCTATGAAGTCTCCAGTTGTTCCTCTGACGGCCGGTCCTGATTTGGGGCGGCACAATAATGCACGTCTGGATATCGTAGGATACAGCCAGGTGAGTGTATCACGACCGTGAGGAACATATTCTGATCCAGGAACACTGTTAGCAACGTCTTAACAGGACGAGCGCCACGACACCCAACGCCAGACACTCTTTCAATGGCACGGATGTAGATCTTGATTTTTCTTCGCCGTCCACACCTTCTGCCGCAACCCCCACAACATCTTTTGCACTCTCGCAAACCGACAGGGTATCGAACAATAATGCTGTTCCACGCGCGCATGTTAGATCCGGGAGTGCTGGAAATTGGGGCAGTGTTACTCGTAGTAGCAACCTAGCTGGTGTGCCCTCATACCCACAGGCCTCCGGGGCCGGAGAATCTAATTCTCCGTGGGCATCTGGTGACCTCACGGTCGGGACCAGGCTCGGAGAAAATTGGATGTAATTCATCGGCTGTCGTGTTGGAGAACTTCGCCGCTTGGTCGGACGGTCTTTTGTGATGTTTGCTTTCATTCCTGCCTCCCGTAGTCACAGTGGAGCTTACGAGACATTCTCCCATCTTCTACCTTACTTTGTACAAAAGGCTTTTGTATACCTCATCTTACGTCTTGTTTTCATGTGTCCTTGTCACGCTTCTGATGATATTTTTCATGACTATCTCCGTGCGAACGTACACAGAGTCTCTATCTCTGCTCATCAAATCTGCGTTAGGCTTCTCCTGCAGCGCATCGTGAACTTTGATATCGTCTGAAAGAATTACGTGCCGAGCTAGAAGTTGCGTTGTCCGTGAGCTAGAAGTTACCTTGTCCACCAAAGACCAAGCTCGAAGCCGTTTACACATCGTCAATACATCGTCTAATACTTGTCGCGATCGGGCCGCATATCAGGGCATCCCTTCCAACTCTGCAGTAGTCCATTCAAATTCAGTCTTCCGCTGCAGCACTAGATTACTTCATCGACTTGTACCAGTCGTTAGTCTTCCGAGATACGGAGGCGCTTGTTTGGAAATCGGGCTAGTGTTCTAACTTCTCTGGACCGACTGAGTTCTTGTGACACCGCAACGTACACAAAGCGTCTCCGCCGTTCCATTATCACCCACATATTACTGGGAACGGCACTCTGTAAAGAGCGCTGGAGACTTTAGCGATAATTGCGTTCGCGACTCAGAGTCTCAGATGCGCGGCGTCAATATCTCTTCATGGCCACCTCGCACAACGTGAAATGCGTATTGCATCGATGTCAGTGGCCTAGCTAATGCTCAAGCTACTTACTAACCAAACCTTTACTTTGGTACAGCTCAATTTGATGAGGATAATCCAATCCCCATGATGGTTTTTGTTGCAGAGATATTAACACATCTCAATGTCTTTCAAGACGATCTAGCTATGTGCTCTGGATCGCCACATCTTGAAGATCGATCTGTTTCGGCCTCGAACTTGAAGGACCTTCTATGATCAAGCTCAGTCTAGGAGTTAGGCGCTCTCATCCCTATTTGTGTGCTTCCGAACGGGCTCCGTGACGGCGTACCCACCGCAGATTCTTATCGGTTTCTGTCCTTGGATTGACAATTTCTATCAGACACCAATATTCACTTTGTGATACTTGGCACCCCCTCTCGACGCCTACTCGGTGCCGAATTCCACTGTACTGCTTTCTTCCTCTTGCCTACCTAGGGGGGGCTACCGCATTTCCGGTATGCGGAGGTAGTGAAAGGTCAGAAGACAAACAACATTATTCTATTCTGGATTTGTGGACACACACTTCATGTTTCAGCTAAATGACAAGTCGTGGACTGATTGTTGGCCAAACAATGATATCACCAACTTGACTCAACTTGTGGATACTTTACACAGATGAGGCAAGTGAACATTCCATTATCGTATCGTCAGACGACCCTGTTCAGAGTCAGCGATCGCGAGCACGATAACTAAAATTACACAGAAGATAGCAAAAGATCAAACCTTGGTGAACAGGATTTCTGGCCCAATATCGTAAACCCGGCAATGCAACAATACTGACCACTCGGGCATCCCATCGTGTTTTTAATCCCATGTGGAATGTCCCCCACAAAATCAGACCAATTTTGTGGCGAACAGAAAGCTCCTTCGAAAGTTGATGAGATCTCAGAACTCATGTCAAATCTGCGATACCAGAATGCACAACAAATCATTGTCAGGGGCACACGGACTCGTCTCCAGGGAGCTCAGGAAAAACAATCCGAGAGTTTACAGGATGCGTGAGGATGTTATACAAGGCGCGGCCTCCAGGAGCGTGCCACAGACATTGCCGAAGTATGTGGTGTCCACAACACCTATGAGCTCTTGAATGCTGAGACCTAATTAGCGCTCAGCAGTGGCGTCATGGAAGGCCGTATGCAAAACTTCTCGAATTATAGGGTCTATGATAGTTGCGAGGAACTGAAACCCTACTGAACGCCAAGTTCTGATAGCTCTCTGATGAATCCTTCCATGCGACATGTCGCGTAAGCTAAGTAGTCAAACTCCGGTTCCAGTTCTCCTCTTTCCAAATTGTCCTGCGCTTGTACGATACCCCACACAGTCCACATCGCATGTGAGGCCGGACTCCAAATACGCACTTGACGTTCCAGCTTAGAAACTTCTGCTTCTGAGTGCAACGTCGGAACCGAAGAAGTGCATGTGTCAATGGGACGTGCGTGTGCCAGATACGCCCGATAAAAATTTTGACGTTCTTCCATTGTCGGATACCGACTTGGATCCAGAAGATGCGGGTTTGATGAACGATAGTCAGCTGTCCACTCGTGGAAGTGATTAGCAATGTCAAACGCCACTGGGTTAGGCGATGCGTATTCATAATCCACCACAATAAGCTAGGTCATAAGTTCGGTGAGGTCCCCCGTGCCCCAGAATAGCTATCACTTACCTGGTGGTGCTCGGGAATATCCTGACGAAGTGGACCAGTCAACCTCAGTATGTTGCCATACTGCGTATCATTGTGCGCAAAAACACGTTGGCCTGCCCCCTCTATCTTCTCGACGTGAGAAAGCCAGCGTAAGTAACGCATCCAAAGTTCATAAAAGTGGTCCATGTTAAGTGTTTGACGAGTGGCCTCAGATACACAGTGGAGACCCAAGACCTCTCGGGCGACTGGCATCCACGCCTTAACATTTTTCTTGACTCCAATCTCCCAACCCTTTCCCTCAAGAGCACTGACTGTGAGTGGACCCTCTACCACACTAATGTCTACAGAATGGAGTTCAGCCATGCGCGAAGCTATCCATTGACTGATCTTCTTGTCGCGAAGGTCTGATGGAACTAGCGTAACAGACTCGAAGTACTCTTCAATGCGACCGTTTGCAAATGTACCATATATACGAGGACCAAAATGGCATCGAGACGAGAGAATGTGAAGCATGCGCAACTCGTGAGAGCGAGAGATGAGAGAGCCGGATGATGGGCCATAGATGCGCAATAAGAGTGTAGGAACGACAGCAACAGCAGGGCAAGAAACAAAGTAGATAGTATTGGTGAGAGAACCAGAGACCTTGTTGATGGCGAGCAACTCGGCGGTTACGTGTGTGTTGTGCCACCCTGGAACACGCAAAGCCACCAAAATAGCTAGAAGGTCTCTTGCAAAGTCGACCGACTTGTAAGATCTATGAAAATATAGAGTGTAAGCTCAAAATGCAATTTGAATAACAAAACACTGGTACTGCAAAAGGATAACAGAAGAAGCGCGCTCAAAAAGACAGTTTTATACCTGGGATGTAATTTGGCCTTAGCATTTGTTAAACCATCGATAAACTCCACATCAATAGTGACCTTTTGTTGAGATAAGGATGCACTTGAAGATTTCGAAGGACTAAGCACTGTTAAACTGCGCGAAGACGAGGATGATGACATGAGTGGAGAAGGAGAAACGATGGTGGCGGCGGCGGCGCTGTCTGCAACAATGGTGGTTGCCTGACCCATGATTTGCTAGGATTGATTGGCCGTCTGACTGTCGAGAGAAACGTTACCGAACGAGCAGCGCTCAGCGGGCACAAGGGTAGGTACCGGGCACACGACCATGAATGCGTCAATATGGACCCCGAACTCCTTTCGGAGATTAACAGCAAAATTATTTAATTATGAAAAATATACCCCGCTTCAAGGTAAGTATGAACTTGTGTTGCTCGCCGCGCTCGCGCTGTGCGATGTAGGGTCGGGGCCAACATCAACTTTTCTACCCTTATGACATAGGCTCTGTCGATTAATGCAGGGCGAAAAGAAAGTGGTAAGATTGATACGTCATTATCAACTTTATTCTTTGGTTCGCGAAAACGCGATATCGGGTGATCCAAATATTCTCGAACATTTGGAACGCGACATCGTGCTGAGCTAGGCTCCCGGTACATTGCCTGGCGCTTGATCTTCGAGTTCTTACTTCTAAATCGATTTTCTATCAACAGTCGCGGGTCCCCCCTGCAAATAAATCCGCGGGGAATACCCTGCCCAGGCCCATGACACTGAGTTATACGGACATCACACAATGCCCCTATAATCGCATCCGATGGACCATGGTCTGGAGGGCACGCGGTATCATGTTTAAATAAACCAACGTCTTTTGCATTATGTACACGACCTGGCTCAGGGTGTCATACATGACAAGGAAAATCACGGACTCGACCTGGAACAACTTGATAGTATCTGAAACACCTAGTACGGTCTGCTCGCTCAAATTGGTCGCCGCTGAATTGCCCGAGGAAGACCCTGGAGGCTGTGGTCATTGCTCTATTTTGTGTGAATCGACTTTCAAGGTTCGTTGCCCGTGCTTAATTTGTTGAAGCAAGCTCATCGTTTGATTTCTTCAGTGAATGTGAATGAGTTATGCCGTTATGCCGCGGGTTAATACTGTCGAGGGAAGCGTTCATAACTCAGCTCATCGACATGAAATCAAATCAACGAACACTATATCACTGCGTCGGCAACCTGGATCTGAGACGCACTGATCCTATTTCCCTTTCACATCAAGAGGCGACCCTGCATTGCTTGCGCGAACAAGGCCCAATTGTTCTGGGAGCCAATGTTCGTATCAACGCCCTATTGATTAAGCTCTGACCATATGAGTACGGTTAGGCAATCCGAAACTCCGTTCTGGAGTCTATGAATTACGCCCCCAACATGTCTCGTGTCGTAACTATTGTCGAGACCCGTTAATTAGGACTGCGGAAGTTCCGCAAAAGAACTGAGCCACTGGCGCACATTCCTGTGGCCGCGGGTTTACACGCAGCCAACGTATCACAGTTAGACGTTGGGGAACATGCGTTAATCTAGTAAGCCACGAGGTACACTGATGTCTTCCGCACGACTACTATATCTTGTTGTAGACGAGAGAAGTTGCCGACATAATCGTTCAGAGTCCGGACGTTCTTGCAACTTTTGTATATCCGATTTCTAAGCTGTAAAATGTATGTTCAAGCTCAGCGCTCAGGCCTCGAGGTGATCCCGCTTGAATTCTTTTTCCAGATCAAGCGCTGCCCGTTTGAACAATTTTGTTAAACCAACATGGAGGAGGAAATCGTGTGCATGCCGCATGTTCATTTGCTGAACGGTGTGCTATGCACGTCCGACTCGGATTCACCCTAAACCTGACTTTGGCTATCATAGAGCCTATCTGCAGCATGATAGGTTTATATGTCGTACAAATATTCAAATACATGCTTCTGATCTACGTCAGAAACGCGCAAGCCCTTGGCGCTCGATGTGAATATGTTAAGATGTGCGGTGCCGACCCCCGAGTGCTAACTAGCATTCTTACGCATACACGCAAAGAATTGTGTTACATCAACGTTCTAATTCATTGAGGAACAATAGAACATTCGTCTAGCATGTCTATCTATGTACAATAAGAATAGGGATAGTAGTCCTCTAAACTTCATTAGGCGGCTGCGGTGAGCTGATACATGACTGCTGGTGTAAAGTCTTTTCCTGGATGGTGTCATGATGGTTCGTAGTTTCTACCGAAAAGCACTTCATAAACAGCGAGATCTGGTAATGCAGATTGATGAAGTCATAGAATAGCTTTTAAAGAGATCACATACCACCACCGCCACGCCTAGCAGAGGAGCGGAAACAATCCAGATGCTCTGTGACATCATTAGTTGAGAATGAGCGGGGCTGGAAGACCTAGAAGCCCACCTTAATGGCCAGAGCCACAGCACTTAAGACCTCGTTTCTCAATGAGAGCGGCTCGATAAGACTCAGTAATCTCCAATTGATGGAAGATGATCCCTGAATTTGGTAACCGATAGGTAAAGCGTGAGAAAGTTGCTTATCAAAGACTATCCCCGCAACCGCCTTGAAAATCTTTTAAGTTAAGGATGCGCAAACAAGGCGGACGGACTTACTAGGCCTATGGTAGCTCCTGTAAATCTTACAAGGAAGAATGCACTAGTCCCTGTAGCAAGCTCTGACGGATGTAAAGCCTTCACAAAGACCTGATAAGGGGCGTGGAAGAGGAACCCGAGTCCAATACCAGCGATAAGAGGGTAACAAAATTGTGTGACATGCGAGGAGGCATCCTTGAGTGTTATCAAGAGACCTGTGACACAACCTCAGTAACCACCCTCAGTACAATCATGTCTGGCCTCACTGAAACCTATCGTGGAGATCAGTAGTCCACTGACGATCGTCCATTTTTGTCCGCTGGTGTCGTTTTTACGCGACTGGCAGAATCCAATAAACCAGGCCGCCGGCATCGAAGCCAATGATGATCCAAGTGAATATGGCAGCATCTGCACACCAGCTTGCAGTGGGGTCATACCATCCACGGCCTATGTGAATCATGCAGTTAGAATAAGATCCACCAACAAGCACGGGACGACCTTACTTGGAAGTAGAGTGCAAGGTAAAATGTGCCTGAAGTGAATGCGAAGTTGTGAAGGAATGTGACAGCCAGAATGATCACTAGATGAATATGAGATGTCGAAAAGCCTTCCACGCGAAGCAAGCTTCTCACCAACAGTGAGATTTTTGAATGAGGCAGGCGGGAACAATGCCTCGCGTGTGGTGTGCACTTCATAGAAGCCAGCACAGGCTAGAATCACAGGACCAATAGTGACTAGCGAGAGCGTCGATGGCGATGTCCCTGCATGATGGTAAGTAAATGTTGCAGTAAATGTCGATAGGACTTACATCCATCACTCATAGCAAAGCTGAAACCAATAACCAAGCAGCTGGTGCCCAACATGAAGAGAAGACTGCATAAAATGACATGAGCATGGCACAAGACTGCAAAAGCCATATCGTACAGTCCGATAAAATCAAACTTTTCAGTGAAGCTTTTCCATGATGCGTCCTTTGTGTTTCCGAGCGTCACATCTCGCAATGAGATTGAAAGCAGCAAGAATGCGACAAGGCATACAGGCAAATTCATGTAAACTAGAAACCCGGAATTTGAGATTCAAGCACAGAAAGGGATGAATGACATACAAGCCCATCTCCAGTTGATTGTCGTCGAGAAGCCAGCTGCGTGGGTGAAATGAGATTTGGATCTAAGATTCGTTACAGCACTTACTGCTGAATAATCCTCCGAGTATTGGACCCGCGACCGCAGAACAGCTCCAGGTAATACTAAGAGCTTGTGACCACTTGGCTCTATTCTGTGGTTCGACGATTTCTGATGTGATAACCCAAACGGAACTGACGATGCCACCGCCACCGAGACCGGCCAGACCACGGGAAATTATCAGGGACATGATATTCTGGAGAGATAAGGATCAGGAGATCAAATGCAAGATAATACAAAGTCAAACAACCTTTGCAGCCCCGCACAGCAAGGAACCGAGGGCGAAAATCATCATGCTGACATACAAAACGTTCTAGTAATAGAATGGCGAGATGTGAATCCACTGAGCATCAAGGTTGAAAAAGAACGCACCTTTCGCCCTACCAAATCGGATAGTCTTCCGTACAGGGGTTGGCCAGCCGTTTGTGTCAGCATGTACGCCACCCCAACCCAAGTATATTGGCTCTGGGAGGCCTGGAGTTCGCTAACGATTGTCGGTAGAGATGTTGATACGATGGTCTGTGTGTTGGTTCAATGCATGACACTTGAATTTAAGAAGAGGATACGCACAGAATCTGTTGTAGCAAGAAAAAGTGTCATTGCGGCCCTGAGGTTCGATCACATATTGATAAGCTAACAATCAATTCAAGGAGCGTGAAGCATTACCCGATATGTACGAAAAGCAGTCGGGCGACCGAGTGTTTCGGGGCTTTCTGTATCTCATCACGAGAATCAAGAGAGGCACAATCGCTAGTGTGTGCTTTGTGCGATGACGCTGAGGCATCATCGGAGCAAGACGAGCATGAAGGGAGACGAGTTGGCATAGGAGGATGTGCTGCGTTGTCTAAAGACATATTGAACTCGCAATAAGAGGAAACACAGTAAGAAAGGCTGCTCGAGGTTTAACGTTCTGCTCAACTTCGCTACCATTTTATACAAGGACCCTTTGGTTTGGTGGTGGCTTCGATGAGATCTGGCATAACCAGACTTCTCAAAAAAGAGCTTCTTTGGCCTTGGAACTATCCTCTTGTGACCCTTTGACCTGCGGTCCGCAAACAGAGCGGTCAATGTGCGCTGGCATTAGGCTTTACCGATGATGATATTAAAATTGACCGCATTGTGAAGCCTTTGTAGTAAGAGTCCAGCCCACAACAAAGAAGAGAAGGGGTCTTTGACAGCATGGATTACTGCCGTCGATAGGGTTGAATTTGGCAAAAGATGAACATTGCCCGGCCGGGTGTGGGGGAGTTGAGTCAAGCATGCTCGAGCCGCCTCGTTGAATATTGATGGCATAAACACTTCGGAGGCAGAACTCCCTTCCAAGAAGATCAGTTTGAGATCGCCGCGACTAGGTTAATTCTCTTGAGTTTCGAAGTTCCTGTGAGGGACAGAAGGAGACGAATCGAGAAGTTACAATTAAGTACTTACATTAACTGAAAGCAACATAATGTTAATGTTGAAACAGTTGGCACCGCGGCACCTTTCAGGTACTACAGCCACAAACACGTTTAACCAGAATTACTATTAGGTACAAGTTACGGCCTCCATGCACTTTCAGGGCAAACACCAAAGTTACCTGTCTCTTCACAGACCACGCAAACATCGTATGGTACTTGCAGGGAAAATTCTCCCATTAAATGTGTGTACTTCACTATGCTTCTATGGTTCTTCTCTAAGCCGTAGCCCTCCTCCTGTGCTCATCCTCCGCGCTCTCCGATAGCCCACTGCTTTTCAGATCCCCGGATTCCAGTTCGTCTGCTGATTGAATTGAGAAGCGACAGGTAGCAGATAACGAAACGTCCCAAGGACGAACCAAAATATGCATAAATCAAGACCCAGTAAGCCCTCGTATCCTATTCCATGTGCGAGACACAAAGCCACCCGAAGAAGATGGTGACGGATGAGTAAATGAAGTCGTACCATTGTTATCACCCATTGAACTGGTATCCTTCGCATCTTGCTGGGCACCACCAGAGGAACCGGCCGGCGGAACCGGGTCCTGTCTTAGATTACTACTCCGACCCTCAACGTCGTCCGCATACTGTTGCAAAATCTCCCGTTGTCGCTTCGTTAAAGATCTATAGAAAATGGATTACGTAGACACTAACGAACATCAATCTCACTCACCTTGGAAGCTGCACAGAGAAAGAAATGAAAAGATCCCCCTTATCACCACCGAACACTGACGGGACACCGTGGCTTCTTAAGACCATCTCCTCGCCATGTTGAGTACCATTGGGTACACGAACGTCCACATTTCCGTCCAGTGTTGGCACACGCACACGGCCGCCCAACAGTGCGGTATGCAAAGGTATCCGCGCTTCGTGGTGAAGGTTTGCGCCTTGCCTACGGAAAACTTTTGAAGGAGCGACATTGACCCTGACGAGCAAGTCCCCGTGACTGCCCTTGCCAGATAATGGCGCATCACCTGCGTTTGGGATGCGGATGGTCATTCCATCTTCCACCCCTGTGCGATATATTAGTTACCCGAACAAAAACGATGTCTAACTCCTGACCTGGTGGGACATCTACTTTGATACTTTTCTTCGTCCGCACATAACCCTGACCACTGCAATCCACACATTGACTTCCGCGCGGAATGGTAGAACCAGAACCAAGGCATGTCCCACAAGTACTTGCCATCTGGAACCCACTGTCTATCACAAAAGTCTTTGTACCAGTACCATTGCACGACCCGCAAGGTGCGCGTTTGGCACCGTGTCTTAGGCCCGTACCAGCACATGTTGAACATGTTGACAGAGGGTTGACATTTACACTTAGAGTTGTTCCTTTGCAGGCGTCCAAAAACGAGACGTTGATGCGTGCCTCAATGTCTGATCCTCTTGTACTTTGGCTGAACCCAGAGCGAGCTTGACCCCCGAAGGCACCGCCGAACAATTGCGAGAATAGGTCGCCTTGACCTTGCCCGCCGAATGCCTCGCTGAAGTCTCTAAAACCGGAAAACCCGCCTGCGCCGGATCCTGAAAATGGATTTCGAGCAAAGGCATTAGGGTCAAAGCCTGGTTGCTGTGACGCAGCACCATATTGGTCGTATGCAGCCTTCTTTTTCTCATCTTTCAGAATCTTGCATTACAATGTAAGACATCAGTACACATAGATGTAGTAAATGACGTACGTCGTACGCTTCTTGTATTTCCACAAACTTGTCCTGCGCTCCTTTATCAGGATTTGTGTCCGGATGGTATTTTCGAGCGAGCTGTAGCAAATTTATTGATTAGGGGCGACAAGTATCAATTAAATGGTTCTGATGCGCACAGCAAAATACGTTTTCTTGATCTCGGCCGGAGATGCATCTTTCTTGACACCTAAAACCTGATATGGGTCCTTGGGAGGAGCAGACAGCGATGCAGATGCATGAAAGGCGCGCTAAGTGAGAATAGTGAGTATGCCGTGACTACTGTACATCAAACCTTGCGGCAAAATTGTGACGAACCCTCTGGCCTCGTGCACTGTGGGCATCGCGGCGCCCAGCTCGGTAAGTTGAGAACGTCCGGGTGTTCGGTCTAGTTTGTCGAGCACAACCGTAAAAAGAAATGAACGACGAAGTTGCAAGTGACCGCAAGTAAGGGATCATTTACAATTGTGTCTTTTGACTAAATATTTAGCAGCGAAGCACCACAGAGAAGGTAAAATAGAGGCAACAATATTGAGTTGCGCCGAATACAGAACGTGATCACGAATTTTGAATGTACGACTATTTGCTCTGCTGACTCAACTCACACAAACTTGGCCGTGTAAGTTCCTTCGATTTCATAGGAAAGAGGTTTAAGGCCAACCTTGTAGGTCCCAAGCGATCGACAGTCAGAATTTATACGTTGAATAAGGCCAGCACGATCAAGGGTCATGAGGCCAGCACGTTGAGGGAAGCACAGCAAGGTTAAGCGTACCGAATCAATATACACAGTGTACAAGGGTAGTAAAGCAATAGCTATTCCTGCTTAGACCCATAGTCCCCCATCAAGTAGTTCGACATGTCTGTCCATGGTTCCAACCTGCTGGTCACATTCCAGAAGCACACGTAAATCGCTTGCGACTTGGGTCATTTCCAACCGTACTGGTTTAGAGCTTCCAGCGATCTGGGTTCCCCTGGATGTATTACCACTGTTTAGTATCAGTGTTCGACCTGGAAGCAAGGAATACGGATAATACGGACCGTGGTTAGGAAGGTGATAAAGCTGATGTTTTTGGTCAGGCGAGATCGGATATCGCGTCTGTTTGAGTTATTCGGGTGCGCCACCAAGATTTTCCGTAGGATACCAAGATCTCATGGCCCTTTTGTATTGGATCTGTGGAACTCCAAATGCTCATCCGTAGTTCGCCTTGCGACGTACGGCTCTCCACAAAAACAGCATTGGGTTTGCTTCGAATACCGCGGTAATCATTGATAAACCTAGCCTCATTACCCATGACACTTGCATCCACACCTACATTATCTCCATCCTGTGACCGAAAAAGTGAAAGATCGTAGTCGGAGCCAGCTCTATCCTGACAATGCACTTCTCCAATATAGTCAATGATATGTGACCTAGGAGGTATCTTTCGAACGGCGAAAATGCCGTTCTGTCCTCGTGCAGGGTGAGAAGGTTCTGTGATTTGTCTTATGCGAACTAGAGATGTCGAAGGAAATGAAATTGGTGTTTTCTGGGGGGCGGGATTAGTGCCACATATCAGAAAAGAGCGCACGGGGCCCGGGACAGAAGGATGATAACGAGGGGCGTTGATATACTGGACATTAGAGGGCCATGATGGAGGCTGGCGCAGAGAACTGGAAGGCATGATGGAGGACGGACTTGCATTATCAGTAGTCTGAAAACGACACCGTGGGTAAACGCTCAACACTTGCACCAAACACCGATGCACCAGCCTTCGTGAAGGCCTTTCCGAAGAATCCGAACCGTCAATCATCCATTGAGCTACTTATTACATTCTCATTCCATGGTGCGACCTCCAACAAAATCTGTAGCACGGATCTATCGAGATGTCAACGCCAATTTCGGTCCTGCATGGCATGAATATGGTCAAAAACTTTAAGTGAACTTGGCCTTGGTTTTGTACTGACGATTTCCGATTCAGATAACCTTCAAGTACAGTGGGGAACGCAGGATCACTACGAGATAGTGCGCAAAGTTGGCAGAGGAAAATATTCAGAAGTAAGATGGTCATCCTTAGATCGATATGGAAAGCCTGTTTGATCACCCCATGCCACAGGTTTTTGAAGGTGTCAATGTAGTTAATGATGAGAAGTGCATCATCAAAGTGCTCAAGCCCGTAAAAAAGAAGAAAATAAAGAGAGAGATCAAGATCCTACAAAACCTTGCAGGTGGTCCTAACGTCGTGGCCCTCCTCGATGTCGTCCGAGATCCTGCTTCGAAGATCCCCAGCCTAATAACGGAATACGTCGACAACGTCGATTTCAAGGTCTTATATCCTCGTTTCACTGATTACGATGTCCGCTTTTATATGTTCGAGCTTCTCAAGGTATCTGTCAATTGAACTTCTGGCAAAGTTTTCCACTGTAATATTTTAGGCACTGGACTTCTGCCACTCGAGGGGTATAATGCACAGGGATGTCAAGCCTCATAATGTCATGATTGATCATGAACAGCGCAAAGTATGAATCCTTATCAACCCGTGTTATGGACTGAGCTGGACTGCATAGCGCAGCTGCGGCTGATAGACTGGGGCTTGGCTGAATTCTACCACCCGAAGGTTGAATACAATGTTCGCGTAGCTTCACGTTACTTCAAAGGACCGGAGCTGTTAGTGGACTTTCAAGAGTATGATTATAGCCTGGATATGTGGAGCTATGGTTGCATGTTTGCGTCTATGGTATGATCATCAGTCTCGAAGGGATCGTGATTCGAATTGACATACTCTGCCACAAGATTTTCCGCAAAGAACCATTTTTCCATGGTCACGACAACTATGACCAGCTGGTCAAAATAGCAAAAGTTCTTGGCACGGACGAGCTCTATGCATACATCGACAAGTATGGCATACGACTTGATCCCCAATACGACGAACTCCTTGGAAGGTGAGCTTTTCAAACGCGATCGTTGATCATACAGTAACTCGTCGGTTAGGTATCCTCGGAAGCCTTGGACTCGGTTCATCACATCCGAAAACCAGCGTTATATATCGAATGAAGCGATCGACTTCTTGGATAAGCTACTGCGGTATGATCACCAAGAGAGACTGACCGCTCGCGAAGCCCAAGCACACCCTTACTTCGGTCCGTGAAACTTAACTTCTTGACCCCTTGTAGATATTGACCTACCTCGCTTATAGAACCCGTACGCAACCCCGCGTCTGGCACTTCTGCTGACGGTGAGAGCGAGGACTCTGGAGCATCGTCAACCTGATCTATATTCCACTTCTCTTTATCTCTGATTGCGAAAGTTTTGTACTACTTCCTTTGCATATAATCCTGTCAAAACAACCTTCCCAACTGGATAAGCGCGTCCTCTGGGATATATCGCAAATTTCTCTGTGTGGGATTAATATGATGGAGTTCCGAAATCTCCGCTCTCGCCTCTGGTGCAAACAAACTGTGTCTTCAAGAAATACCGCATAGCTGAAATCAAGCCAACAATATTGATAATATGGCTTGACATGTCACAGGTTCGCACCACTTTCTCGATCATTCACGAGTTTGATCATTTGATCCTCTGTAGACACCCCACAGTGCCCGCATCACGCCTTTAGCACTGTGATCGACGATCTCGGCTTTGACGCGATCAGTTCCATTTGTCGGTATATCTTGCACCCTCATCTGTTTGAGGCGACACTAAGCAACGGTAGTTCTGCCGCGAAACCACACGTGCGTAGTGCAACAAAGATCAATCATCGGGATTAGAGATCTGTGAGCGCATCGCACTAGACAAGTCCGAACTCCAATGTACGTCAAACAAACGAAGGTAGTTTTAATCTCAAGAATTTCACTTTAGGTCAAGATTTACATCGACACGCCAGCTTCCAGTACAGCCGCGGAATCGGGATACTTGCTCGTCGCCAATCTGAGTCCTATTGCCGTGCATTTGCATCAAAGCTTCTTTGCGTTATGGTGGCGTGATACTCTTTGATGCATCTCGAGCACATGATGAAGTCGATCTAGACTTTGTTTCGAGCCCCTCTGACCGAGTTCAGCTAATGACCGTTCAAACTTGGCGTATGAGTGCACTGCCGCTACTGGCTTCGCATAATCTCCTATGCTCTGGACCTGGTTACGTGGCCGAATAAAGTTACTCTCGCGGGTGTGTTATGAAGGTGATATCTAGGTGTTATCAGAAGCATGTCTCCGAATGTTGACCGCCGTTAAGGTTGACTTGCGGACAAATTCTTTCCCTAGCAGTGCAAGCCCCTAGCGGTGCAAGTAATAGTGGTCGAGGCGCCTGGTAAGTTTGCAGGGTCTTGTTACAGTAGTGGTATTTGATGCGATTGATCTGCAACTCTTTCACAGTCAGGGGATAGCACATCAATCACCAATTTATTCTTCTATGTGGTATCACCGCCACCGCCACTGCCACCTCGATTTATAGCCTGGTTTCCACTACCGCGTCCGATACCTACAGCCTAGCGGCTGCTTGGCAAAGTTGGCGTACGCAGCAGCGATCAGTGAGTAAGCAGTATGTGCCATACTTACAAGGCTGTTTAGTACTGACATCTCTCATCTCTGCACTGCCTTATGGACGAAGGATAAGAATTCAGGAGGCAAGCACGCCTGCTGCACGTGTGGAACTTTGTGCATGCGCTTCTTGCACTGCATAGGGTCTTTCGGCACCTGGACTAATGATGGCCCATGTACAACGACCCCCGCGGCTGGTATGAGATCAACGATCCGGACACGTTGTTTGCCATGCGGTGTGTGAATTATATTTACCGTGCCTTGAAATGTACTGTAAATGTATATACTCTCCTTCAGCAGGCGCATGATACAATATTACACGGGAAAAAAGGATTGCAAGTCGACGGTTATTAGTGGGTAGCAAGATTATTTACGATAGGGTCAGGTGCTTGCCTATGATTAAGAAGGCCTTCCATCGTTCTAATTAGTCTACCTGCGGGAGACTACGTACTACCAATAGGCAAACGTAGTCCCTTACTTGGTTAGAACTTAGTATTATTTCAAGGGAAAGCAGCTCGTTGTCTCGCCACATTCACAAAAGAAACATGCAAGAATTTGAAATACTGTATATATGGTTTAGCGTGCCAAAGGGCAAGACAGCAAGTCCCAGGAATTTGTTCAGAATGACAATGTATTATACACCACGTAGATAAATGTTGTGTGACAAACGGCACATGACCTTTCAAGGAAGGTAATGATAAGGTTAAGCAGATCCGAAACCAGATACTTTACGAGGGATCGCCATCGTCACATGTGGGACCAAAAGAACCGCTCATTCAAGCAGCTCACACCCACTAACCACACTGAGTGCCAGCCTGTGCTATTTTGCGCCGTTCGCACAAATTGTATTCCGATAACCATGATGGGAGGGGTAGTTCCTTTCCTGGCGTTTTGGTGTGAATCGTGTTGTGCTCCTGGCTGGTGTCCATGCTACTGCATGCGCATAGTAACAGATTATTGTGCAGGGTCATAACCATGACTTTGAGGCCGTTTGGTGCGATTACGAGGTTTTCGATGGAAATGCCCTGTTTGTGGGTTCAGGGCATTGGTAACAGGGACAGGCGGAGGACCCTGTCCGTCAATTCTCATACTGAGTCCGTCTTGTAAGGATCTGGACGAGACTGGGGCATGGCTGACGGCACTCGACGTCTGTCCTCTGGGTGTTCTCTTTCTCTCTTTCTGCTCTTCCTGTTCTTTGGGTTCCCTGGGCGGAGGCGGTGGACCGGGATCGTAATAAGGGTTGTGGGGAATCCACTGAGAAATACCGAGGTGATCTAGCAAGAAGCCATTCACGACACTGAAGGAGTAGTAATTTGGAAGAACAGTATCGGGCATATCCCGGGCCAAGTCGATCAACCGAGTATAGATAACATACCCAGCACGGGCGTCGTTGGCTGCGTCTGCATATTTGAAAAAAAAATTGAGAAGGCATGACGTTCGGCCACGTTGAAACTCACAGTCCTGCTGGGTAGACGACAGACGGTGCTCCCAATTGCTGCGTTGCACCTTTCCCTTGGCCAAAGAGAAACCCTCGTAGGTCTCGAGAAGGCGAGATAATCCAAGAGGGTTAGTGTACTTGCCCTTCCATCGAGCGTTATCCACCGAACGGGCTAGAAGAGCTAGCTCTACGCAGTTGCGTGTTGAAACGCCATAATCCCGATACAACTTTTGACAATCACCTAAAGACATCATCATGAGATCCATGAATTTCCGGATCCTCCACTCGACGCACGTTGAATGCTAACACCAGTCTTGATTCGTAATGGATCCCACAGCATTTCCCTCAATTTCGAGGGGAATTCTACGAGTAGAAGTATTTCGAATTAAGCCATATGATTTCACTGTTCAAGTCTTGCTCGTACCTGACATGGCGCTTATGTGTAGGAGCAATATTGTGTCATGGGTAGAGAGCTGAACGAGCGCTACGGGGTTCTCGCTCGCACCCTTCCAGTAGTTGGGGCGCCATTCTAGGTCAAAACCAAGAGGACCTGGGGCCAACTGAGATAAGGCGAAATCTGCGGACTGGTGATCTGTGATGTATTGAAGACGGGAAGTAGGGCTTTGGTCCCGCCAGGAGTAGCGCGGAAGCTCTGGACGTGGGACTGCGGTTTTGACAGAGCCTTCGGCAGTGGAAGACATTATCTATTATGAAGCAGTGTTGCAGGAATGAAAGCTTGGTGGTAGAGTTGAAGTAAGCCCTTTGATAAGCCCCCCTTATCAAGTGCCGAGATTACCAAATTAACTTGTCAGTTATAAAAAAAACACGAGTCTATCAAAGTTCGGGGTCGTTTTGCGCTCAGAAACTGCGAACGGGCGGACCTTGGCAGCTGCAGTGCTTGTTTTGACCTATCTGGCGTTGTTTTATAGCGTAGGTTCAAGGTTGTCACTGCTATTTCGTGAGTCACAACGTTTGGCCTACCGTTACACAGCTGTGACAAATGATCACGTTGTGTGACTTCCCTGTCGTCTCTGGCAGAACGTGCGACATCCTGCCTGCAGCCAAGGTCGAATTCAGGGTTTGTTGTTCCCCTCTATCAGATAGGATTTGCCACACAGGATTTGCCACAGAGGCACAGACACACGTTGCTGTAATCCCCGTCGCCAATTCTCACGAATGCAGGTTTTTGCAGTACTCGGAAGTTCCACCACCCCGGTGCACTCGGCACCCCTAGACCAAGTTGGAAGCTGTTGGCAGGCGACACATAATCTCACCAAAACACTGGGTGCGTGCAGTCCGAACCACGGTTATTTTGACTTGACTTGGTGATCAATGTTTTTGTTTTTGTTTTTGATTGAAAGTCAAAAGCAACAAGAACTACACTCCAAAGATAACTGGGCAGTTATGAATAGAATCTTGGCGTCGTCTGGTCCCATTATCTTGGTCATTAGTTCCGGCCATTCTATCATCGGACGTGTCATTACACTGCCATTTGTTGGTACTAGTTGCTGCCAAGGATGACAGTATGTCCCACAAGGGGCAGGGAAAGGTGAGAGATTACGAGAGCTTAATCTGACAAACAGTAATGCTAACCATACAGCGCAATGAAAACAATAAGTAATGAAACAGGACATGGGAGCTTGCGTAGTAGCTACACTGCAACTCCAACAGAGCCGGACGACGTGTGTTGAGTGCTCTCTGAATGATTTTGGAGATCCTCTGGAGCATCTCTGCTAGGACCGGTAGAGAGCAATGACCCTATCGCCATTGATGCTCTGGATCGTGGCGAGTACTCCTCGGAATCACTCCGAGACGAGTATGGGGAAGGTGGTAAATCGCGAGAGGATGTATGAGATGTGCGTAATTCATAATGTGATGAAGGGGAGTGAGAAGAGCGCTGGCGTTTTCGAGGTGGTTGAGAGAGTTGAGGAGGTTCCCTCACTACAGGTAGTGATGGAGGGGAGACACGTCCATTGGTCATGTCACTTGGATATAGCCCATGTTTTGAGTAAGATGCTGTGGGTGGTAAAGAATGCGAGGGGGGCGAAGGGCTTGCATGACGGGCATCTGCTGCGGACATCTCAAGAAGGGTTCTGTGCAATGTAGCGACAGATGCAAGTCGCTGTAAAGGGGTCAACAAGAGACAAGCAGAAAACGGAGAGTCTTACTTGGTCTTCGGCACTCTTCGCATTCAACATGGCAATAAGCATATCTCGGTCACCGTCCCCTTTCGATTTGTATGCACCGAGAATTTCTCTGAGGCTAGGAGGTGGTGCCTGATTCATTGTGAGCCTATCTAGCGGAGGGGTTTCATGAGAGTAAGCTTACCTGCTCTAGTATTTGTGAACTGGACATGATGAGTCTCCTATAGTCTGCCTCAACGGAATGGTAGGGCAAGCGAGAGTAGTCTTGTGTTGGGTAAGGAGGTCCAGAGTTCATTTGACGAAGGTGGGTTGTTAAGCGTCTTGCAGCGAGTGGGTTAGAACGGCGCCAACCGCAGACTTTTTGTAGGTGAGCCAAGTCCAAAATTCTATCTTTGAACCAGACAAGCATAGTATTTTTAGAACGCCAAGCCAAGGTGAGGCTCGGTCACCCGAAGAGTTGGGTCAGATCTATATTTGACCGCGAATCTGACGACGTGTTCCAACAATGCAGGCCACACTTTACTTCGGTTCCTGCCCACGAAATTGAACAGAAAAAACGAAACCGAGCTCATATGAACGCTGAAGAGTGGTAGAGGTGGAGGAGGTCTACGGAAGACAAGCTGTGGACACGTGGTGACGAAATAAACGGAGGTACTAATTTTGTGGCAGTTACTGAAGAGTCTTGGCATTTGCTATTTATATCAATCTAATTCCGTATATCGCAGGACCTCGCAGGACCCCTGATAGGTTAGCGGGCCCCGGAACTTGGAAGCTTGCAACCGGAAGACTCACAGTGTCCTTTGCCCAAGGGGATAATTTCGTCTGACTCTAAAAAAAACACGTTGTTCATATTTTCACATGTACGGTGCCGAAATAACAAATTGCAACACCCTGGATATTCAACCAAGCAAGCCCTGGCCATCGATATCCGTGCAAAAAGGATGCTTGGTATTGGCCCTACTATTTAGTGTTGGCTGGCCTGGTCCAATGATTGGGTCATCGGGCCTGGCAAATTGGCAATCGAGATCACGTGGTTATCACGTGCAGTTCGCGAGTACGGTGCCCAGACAAGCTTTCGACATTCGCATCCATGTACAAAGTTTCACTTCACTAATGCCACAACAATCTGCAGATAGTGACGATGAATTTCCAGACGATATTGGACAACTGGACTTGAGCAACGTCCCAGGTCTTCAGGAACTTCCAATCGCAGCTTCAATCAGACCTTTGAATGATCCTCCCCACACCACTGTACCAGTGCCGCTATTGCAATCATCTACATCACCCCTGCCTTCCGAGTACGACTGCGACGATGAGATAGACGAGTCCACCATCGCCGCCTTAGACGCTCTCGAAGCCCAGTTCACACATGGTCGACCTCGACTCGGGGGTAAGGCAATCCGTTAACTTTTCACGACCCCTATGTTCAATCGACGCATACAGCTTCGCCTTTGACAGCTCAGCCTTTGATTGCTAGTGAGTGCCGTATATTTCTTAGTTTGCAGGTTGAAAGACGATCTTGATACAACAGCTCGCGCCGGTACGTTTCGTTGAAAGCTGACAATGGACTAAACCCTTATATATCCATTGTGCCGTCTCTGTCACTTCATCTTGTGAGTATATGCCACAGATTCAATGGTTACTTCTGAGCCAGCACAGCTCATACGTATGCGCAGCTGTTCGTGCTTTAGATGACCGCAAACGCGGACCGTCGTCACCGCGAACATCGCCCGCCAGCAAAAAAGGCAAGATAAGTGCCGAAGACAGAGTTGATACAACAAACAATATACTCGAAGGATTAGAAGCCGAGATTGTTTGTCCAATGTGCGTATTACCATTTGGTCTACTCGCCTGTGAAATGATGTCTCAAAACCTTACAATATAGATGCTTTGATATCATGTGAGCATCCTCGGCCCGCATCGCAATATTCGATATTCAAGCTCTCTTTTTATTTAGGGTTGCAGCGCACCTATGCAATCCTTGTGGCCACAGCTGCTGCGGAGAATGCGCTCAAGTGTGGGTGGCTCAGAATGTAAGGTATTCCACTTTTAAGAGACGTACGGGTTTATGAACCCTGTTGCAGAAAATGTCTCCAACATGTGCTATGTGCCGTGCTGCGCTATCTACTACCAAAGCGCTTATTCCCAACTATGCCCTTGACGCTGTAATCCGTCAATACATTCGTGTTCTTGCCGCCAGCAGACGACCAGAATGGCAGGAGAAGGGTGACAGATTAACAGAGTGGAGGAGGCGCGACGAGTAAGCTCCCAAGTCCATTCCATTAATTTAATCGCATCAATTCACTGACATCCTCTCGTTGCAGTAAATGGAGGAGTATCACCCAAGCACAGGCAGCAAAAGCAAAGGCACAAGAACATGCTCGTAGAAGGCGCTATCAAGGTTCTGTTTCTTACGTGCCACTGGCGTTTGAACCTCTCGGAGCGTATACGATTCGAGACTATGATGAAGATGATGAAGATGAAGACCCAACATATGAAGATGATGAGCCTGTGGAGATTTTCCCTCTTCAAAGAATTCTAAGACGGCAACCACTCCTCCCACAGACGTTTTAAACGGACCCTATTCAATATCCCCTATCGTAATTGCAACTTGTAGTATCACGGTCGCATTGCCTGCCATTAAATGCGACTCAGATCAGTCAATGGCAGCTATTTGTTTGGTGTTTCCTCGAGACACACTGCCGTTTTTACTCTCCGACGGCTATCAAGGGTACGTAATGAATCTGGGGCAAGTGCTAGTTCGGACTCCGAACACAAGGTCACTCCTCCTGTCACGTCCTGCATCTTGATAGCATAACATTTGTGTCTCTCGACACGACTCAGTTTTCACGTCGCAAAAAAATATACTGGGATTAGGAGGCAATGGGAAATCTCAAGCAAAAGTTCTGAATTTTTTAGAGCATGTGATGGCTTCCCTCCGATGGACTGGCGTGGAAAGTTTCGCTGCCACAAGCACTTGTCGTTCAATAAAAAATACAAACAGTAAGCTATATGGATCAATCATCCTCTAGCATCATTGCACGATGAGTGAAATATGAGTGTGCTACATCGATATCGCGATTTGCAACATCGGGCCATTTTGCAACACCGAGCTTTATCTGCACAGGTGCCTTATTTCACATGTCACATCAACACGTAAACTAACCTCCAGTGCAATATTGATCGCATCAGATTGTACCAGGCTCGGTGCAGTTCGGTCCCAAGTGCCTCATTCATGAAGGCCCCCGTCTTCTCAGCTCCCAGGGTGCATGAGGCTTTCCCCAGCACAGAATTTGCACAATTCAAAGCCGTTTCAAGCCGGTCCATGCGCGGTTTTTTTTTTTAACATCTCGCTAAGTTTATGAATCGACTTTCAAGTGATCGGATCTTTTCCAGGAATCCATAACATCATGGAGGTGCGATCAGTTGTTACCAGTGCCAGCGCAGTCATGTCCGATGCTCGAATGGTCGCAATGCGTTTTCAAACAGTAAAGGTGAGATTCAAGCCAAAAACACTTTGAAGCTCTGGATAGAGCCTGATCCACGATGCTGCTCATCACCTCAGTATTTTAAAGGTGTGCACATCAGCGATCACCATTGGTATGTGACTAACCAAAGTTCAGTTGCTCAGGGAGCTCCGCTGCTGGTGGGTGTTCATTGCGTGTGTGCTCAAGTACTCATTTAGTTTTGCTCGCCAAGCATTTGACTTTGCCATCAGCTTCGAGGCCGAGGTGATAACTCAGATTCAAATCTTTGAACGCCTTTTTAGCTGATCTTGATGTACTACCAGGTCTCATTAACCTGGGGAAGATCGTGGGGATATGTACGATGCTTGTTCGCGATGGCTCGCTATTTCCCATTCACGGACGTCCCAATCGACATATACTGTCAGTCCAAGAAGCCTCAACGCAAGACTTCTTTGACCACTTTGTAGACTCATTCATTCCGAAACCCCCTGCGAGTGTAAGTACACCCAGACTGAGAGCGCTTAATCCAGTGGAGCTGAAGCCTCAGTGCTTGCCATTATACCAGCGGCATCATGTTAGGCTGTCCTTTACTATTCTCAGGTAATTGTAATTCACCCACTGCCATGAATTTGATTGCATCTTGCAGGGCTCAGTGTATTTGGAACGATCGCTGCGGAGGGTACGTCGTATCGACCCACTCCTTGCACTGCTTTTGACAATGGCCCAAGGTCTACTTTTAATACGAAGATGGGTTCTTTTGAGGCGTGACAATGGCGTTATAGCGTGTCTCATCGAGCTTGCTGCAATATACTCTAACGTTCTCTCAAATTTCCATTCTCATGAGTATTGTCCAGGCGTACACAGCAGTGTGGCGTTGTTGGTGCCTCAGTCTTAGTACGATCAATGAAATGTCCGTTCAGTCACTTGTTTCGTCCGCCGTGCATACTCCCTGATTGGTTAACCTTATACTCGCGCCACCCCCCCTATCAACAACAGGATGCTATCAAGCAAATAGCGTTTCGCCTTACGTATAGGATTATGTTAGTCTATGCGGCGTTTGAGATGAGTGAGCACTCGTCTTGCGAACGCGTGTGGAAATTGCATACTCATTGCATGCTCCACGGTCGGAATAAATCCATGAAGCCATCCTGCTTCTGACCGGCTGCCAAGCATTCCATCACAAGCAAATCACGAACAGTCCATTGGCTGCCAGGCTTCACTGTAATGATATCTTCCATGTCATGTGCATACTGTGTAAGAATCCGTTGCCCGTCATTTCGATCGTTGATCGCGGAAACGATGTAGTGATGTCCTTGTTGAACATCATGGTGCTTAGTGCGCTTGTGGTGGGTGCTTACCCTGAGATTTCACATTTCAGGGATTTGCTGACTTGATCATTCGTTTCAGAGTGTGTATTCTGGATTCATTGATACGTGAGTCGCTGGTCACGAGGTCTTGCTATAATTTACAACGCCACGCGAAGGCTCCAGGCTGTTGCACATAACATTTTATTTTCAGGACTACTCTTCAACCTAAAGAAGATCATAGACGAACAGAATATCGCTGTGTTGACCGGGAACTCCCATTTCGCATTGGCACCTGACTCGATACCGATGTTCGCGATAAGATAAGGCCAAACTTAAAGTAATTATGTACTTGGTGTGTTTGAGATTCGGATTGGGATTTCCACACTTTTTATGAAGCAAATATTTGTAGGGCGAGCTTTGCTGGTGTAATTTGGGAGCCAATGGACCGAGCGTTGATTAATTAACCAAGCTCGTATTGTCAAACCAAGTAATGCTTCAAATCTCATCTTGGTATTCATCTCCGCTCCGAACGTCGCTTTGACCAAGTCTTGATTTCGCGCTCGTAGCAGAACTGAAGGGTGAGATCGACTGCGCAATGAGGTCGTCTAACATATCAGGGGGGATGTCGTACTCCGATCCTCGAACCACAATGGCATACACAGCTGGTATAACGATCAGCATTTGTTCGTGAGTGTTAGAGGAAACGCTACCGTCCTCAATCTTTTCCAGAGATTGTGAGGTTACAGCCTGTTTCTTGGATAACTCCCTCACGTAAGGAGTGAAGCGCTCGAAATCTACTTATGCATGATCACACCTCTGCACGCTATTGTCAAGCTGACTGACTTGCCTGCTTTGCATTGCCTGACGAATGCGCACACTTCTCTAGCTCTAGTGCGACCACCCTTCTGAGCTATTCCAGATATCGCAAATCGCATGAGTTCGCCGGTGACGTCTGACAAGCCCAGCAAGTAATCTTCCTTCGCAAGAGTGAAATACTGAGGTTGCACCGTAAGAGTGCAAAATTCAGCCATCTGGGTATGATTTATGTGCAGCATACGTACAGGTATACCATTCTCGTCAGAAAGGGAAAGTTGGACTTCCTCATATGACACCAGAGTGCCATGCTCGAGGTAGTGAGCAAAGCCCAGTGCTTCAATATACCTGAAGTCAAAGGCATTCAATATGCATACCAACCAATTTCCATTTTAAAGCCCACTCTTGGAGGCCGGGTGATACTGATCTGTGGTAGTGCCAGAACTGCTCAGCTTGTACCTCGGGCCTTATTTGCGCATATAGCGCTTGCACTTCCCGAAGCTTTTCACGACCGCGACGAACTACTCGTAGAGAGGGATTAGAGTCATTATTGGATTCTTCTGTCATTGTTCGATGGAGTAGGAAGATGACTTTCTTTGAAAGGTTCGTCGCATCCCGGCTGATCTATTGGAGGGGAGTCAGAACGTTCAGTGATACAGTTGATTCTTTCGAGAGCCTTAAACCTTGATAAGTCGTTCTCTCCGGTCATGATGTTCGTCGATTTCTAGTCGGAACTCATCAAACGCTTCGATGACACTTTCCCGATGGGTTCCCATTTTCAAAGCGTGCCAGTAATGTGGGGAGGGCTATCGACGACTTCAATGTTGTAAGTAGCTTAGGCTGGTGTAACTCTGATGAGTCACGTGTTGGGACCGACTAGCACATTAATGCGGTTTAAAGTTGAGAGCCTTGGTTCATTGTCGTTTGTGCTCTTTTCGGCTCATCTTTTTCGTGCTTGATGGCTTTTGCACCGAAGCCCGGATGTCCTATGTGTGGGATTGTGGCCAGTGCAGCGGATCATGCCCCCGGCCAGTCCCCACGCTCACCCAGTGGTCCAGACACGCCAGCACAGCCAGAAATACTCTGGAGAGACGAAAATTTTACTGCATACCGGGAGAAAGTTCATCCAGTATCTTCCAACGGTCATATAATCATTGCGTTCAAGTACGTCTTCTATCTACCGTATCAGATTTCTCGAGCGCTCTTCCCTGATTCAATGCCCTAGCCTCCATGTTCCGTCGATATACACTCTGGTACGTAAAACTGTCCGACCTCCCCGCGGCGAAGAATCTTACCTGTCTTTTGGTAGTCTTCCAGTGACTTGCCCCTTCTTGTTAATGTCAGAAACCTCGGCAGGAGGCTTTTGAGCGTGTCATCGCCACCCTCTTCCCCCCTCTTCTCACCTGCTAATAGTTCCGCACCCTCGGCACCTCTACAACATGCCGAATCACAGTTTCGGATCGGGTTCATTACTCCACCTTTCAAGGATAACAAAATTCCTATCACAGATCATCTTCATACACACGCCTATCTGGCCCCTGCCGATCTGTTAGGCTGGTGGAGAGGTGTTGCCTACGGCCCTCTCGCTTGGTACGCTATTGATGATTTGATTGCTGAGATTCGGTTGGATTTCTTTCCACATAGTGCGCCTCTTTCGAACTGATTGTTTGCATCGTCAGGGAGTCGGTGTCGAATAATCGCGTGAAATCTGGTCACGATAATCGGATCAATGCTCCGATAGACATGGTCCCCGAGGCAGGTGCGCGAACTGGTGCAGCCAATGGCGACGAATATACCGCTTCGAGTCTAGCTATCTCTGATGTTGAAGATGGCCTCGCATCTCCAAGCCCTTCTAGCAACAGAATTTCCTCTGCCTCTAGTTCCAGTGGTCATCTGCCCCATTTACACGTATGACAAACAACATTTTTTCTTCCTGAAGTACCGGATATACCTCACATACATAGCAAGTCCTCGGACCATAGTCTTCCAATCACGAACTTCATGTATCGAGTATTGGAATTGGTTTCTCTATAGCTTAGCCTATACGATTCAATGTGTAAATATTTAACATCAATGAGATTTGCTTTGTCATGATTTGCAAGATAAATTTCGGATTTCAAAGATCAAGCATCTGACGAAGCGTCATGATTGATGAGAAAGTACGAATTATAATCTGCACTCACAATATGATGATCCGGTCAATAATGTTGATAGAGCTGCCAGCTGATCATCGGTAAAGCGTCGCGAGTCTTCGTGCCAAGTGTCTTGATGCGTCTTCCTGAAATTGCTTGCACACCTGTGGATAGTCGTCGAGATTGGAATCTGCAGCGCAAAAAAAATCAGAAGAGAGCGTCAGGCAAACGAGACTTTGCTCACAGGATCATGTGTATGTTCCAGCATCACTGTCGTCAAAAGCCCTGGCATCCATTTCTCGATGGTGTAGGGGAAACTGTCAATGAGGGCACAGATGCCAATGATAGCAGCGTGCCGCTGACGGATGGCAGCATTATAAATCGGCGATTCGCGAGCAGGGAGCTGAATCTTTCCCGCCAATTTGACAAATCGATCCTAGACCAAAGAGTGGATAAAATCGAAAGGTTGATGTGGCGGCCGACCAACCTTTAAAGACACAACGCTGCGCCTCGGAGACAATCGAAGTATGCCCGACAAGGTGCTGAACGAGAGTCAGGAGCGTTTTGAATACAGATTCTGTGACTTACGTCCCAACCATCTCTCGCACCTCCACGACTTCATCGTCCAAGCATTGACACAATACCTACAATTAATCAGTGCAGGCGCGACATATATCAATAGAGTCACTTACGTCTAGAATGCCATTGACTTCGCTTTCACTGATGAGAGGAAGTTGTCGGAAGTACAGAACTGGGTAATTCGATGTCAATTCGATGTCGTCAAGCACTAGACCGAAGTAGCAGTTACTCACCCTGTAGAATTGGTAGGGCCTTCAGGCGAACCTTCCACGACTGCATTTGGAGTGAGTCTGGCACAATTACGGACACTAGTAAATGTCTTACAGGTGACTTCTGGATGGCGGAGAATATTGCACTCAATAAGGGGCCAATCATTGATTGCGGAAGAAGGACTCCGCACATGCGAACAAGAAGTACATTAGCATGCCTTGCTAGTTCCTCGTTATCATGCACTGAGAGAGTATTTAACATTGACTCGCATGTATCATCAGTAACTATACCTTCAGTGAAACGGAACAATTCAGGCTGAAGGAACCATATTTCAGGGCTTCCTCGGCAGCTGGCGATAGACCACGCACCATAAGAGGCAAAATATAGTCGAATGCAGATGTGGCATCAATACTGTGGACTGACAGGAACAGCCATCGGCAAATGACGATCCCAACTCTGAGAGTATTCAGTGGTCAATTCAAAGATACGAAGTAAACATCCGTTACCTGTCATAGGTTGACTGATGGGCTCTCACACCTGGTAGCCGTTCTTCTCTCCAAACTTTGAAGTTGTCCACGAGCTCGAGAACCCTGCTTGTGTGATAGGTACCACATATGCCCATGATGTCGGCGTCATCAGTTACTTCCCGACATTCCCGTACGAAAGCTTCTACATCGAGAGACGTTGGTTTGGGTTGCCACTATCCACCAAGATCAGCAAACTACCTAGGGAAAATGCAGAAATCGCCTACCTTGATACCGTTGCAGAATGCCATCATCTCAGCAACATGGGATCTTACCTATTAGTATTCATCAGTATCATAACTGAATCGTATACCAGAATGTGAAAGCACTGACATCGTCGTGTTCACTGTGCACCTCGCGCCAAAACCGCTCCATGGTGCTGTCCGACCAAGGTGTGAATTTCCACTCCAATTCAGTGTAGAGTGCCCGAAATAACGCCAGAACTTTGACAGATTCTAGAGATGATGGTCCATTATAGTCCATGCTCTCGAACTGCTCAACAATGTGCTCAACGAGTGGTTGGAGTCGCCGTGGGTCTTTGTGATGGAACATATACTGAAAGTCTTTAGATAAACGTACAAGGTGATAAGCTCTTGGTCACACACCTCAACAAACGAAGTCCAGATGGGTACAGTCTCTGTCTTCATGCTCTGGCCTAGTGTCTTCTTGATGTAGGGTGTGAACCATTGCCAGATTCGATCTTGGGCTTCTTGTGGCCAATGTTTAGAACCTGCAAGAGTCAGCATACAAATATTTACCTCAGCATGTTGCTCACCATTTAGAATACCAGCCAAAAATTCTGCCGCGGCCCTTTGCTTGTTCTTCTCCTGGTCGGCTAGCAACTCCTCTAGTTTGGGCTTCAACAGGTCCCAGGGTTGGTCACCTAATACTTGGACTATCTCGAGATTACAGAGGCTGATTGTGAACTAAGATTGGACTTACAAATTGATTTGACACATGATATATGATCTTGTACCACAGTGTTCTCGTGGTTCTCTTCCGCGAAGTGCCCAGAAAGTTTATCCCAGAAGTCTGCGTCCACCGTTATTTCACGCAGGCAAGATAAAGCCTCTGCACTTGATGGCTCCCATTCGAAGGTACTTTCCACCCCATGAGGTGGTTTGGATGCTGTCAGTGTACCACTCCAGGCAAGCCAGCCTTGATGAATTGTATCGCAATATATACTTCGGTGGGAGTGAGCACTTCTTAGAGTCACTCTAGAAGGACCCACCTGTTAAGATCAAGAGTTTCCGAAGATTTGATAGGGACCTGTGACCTGAAATTACTGAGTATCTGAGCGGTCGCCGAATATGACCCTTCAATGGGAATGTTGCATCGTAGTGGGTTGATTGGGGAGAATAGAGCCAAAGCCGCTGGATCTCGACAGTACGATCGAAGCTTGATGTACCTGAGTGCTTTCATGATACCTCTTTGCGCATACTGATACGTAGAGCAAGTCAGTTCGTGATTCAGTCAATGCCAGTTATGGTCTCACGTAGCGCTAATATTCACGAAAATATTTATGTCAATACAGGGACCCTAGTAAACCACAGGAAACGCACCATGGTAGGATTGCTATCACATGCTTTCTCCAAGAAAAGACGAAGATGACCAGGGGACGTTGGAGTATCCCGGCGCAGCAAAGTGCGGAGGACCCTGACTGCCACTATCGCATAGCGCCAATGTGTTGTGGTGTCATTGGCAGTTTCGAGAACCGCGTGAGTCTGTTCAAGCCCCAACGTGAGACATCCCAATGAAGGAGTGTAATATTGCCTACCGTTCGACTGTATTCTTCGTTCATCAAACGCACACGCTCGATGCGTTTCTCCCGGGCCCGGAGAGTGATGGAATCCTCTGACTTGTTGAACGACAAGCACCTCTTCAGAGCAAGTAAGGCTTCATCAAGGGCGGTATTCTTAATGTCATAGATGAGATAGCAAGGCTCCGAAAAGCTGGCCAGACCTCGAAGCACCTTAGCAAAAAGAACAAGAGGAGAAAGTGGTTCTTACATGCGTCAGTTACCGCAGACACACAATTTTGGATAGAAGGCTGGAAGAAGCTGTCACCTCAGTTTGAAGAAGGTCAAAGAAGAAAAGTACTTTTTCATTATGATGGCATCCAAGGAGCTGCCGGATGATTTCTGGCACTAACGTTGGTTCTGAAGAAGAATTGGTCAAGCTACTTCAAAAATGCGATCCACATTACTCACCCGATATTGCAAATCGCCCTGAGTAGATGGTTAGATGAAATCTATCACTGTCAAGAGGTATGACTCACCAAACGATGCTATATTCAATGTCCACAATGCTCCTTTCATGCGATCGTCGTCAGTACCAGGCTGTAGGGCATCGTACAGTGTTGGAAGAGCTCGATGACGAAGACCATCATACACCTGCACATGTGACAATTATACGCCTGTGGCACCCATAACATATGTAGACGCCTACTGAAGTTATGGATTCAAGAAGAGACTGGCTTGATCTTGGAACGCAAAGTTGAATTTTATGAAGTGAAATGGACTGGAGTTCACTCACTGCCGCACTATTAAGTATGTGAGATCAATCAGAAGTATTCAAAAAGACCAAGAGCGATTAATTACCTGACGGATAATGCCACATAGACCATTCAACGACATCGTCTAGCAAAGAGTTCTCAAGCGGACCTCTAGCTCGCTCGATGGAGTTCCAGAACAGCCGACAGGAATGATAAAATCTAGTATATGAAGAATCAGGAAAGCCAATAACAGAAAGGAACCTGAGTAGTTGTTTACCGAGCTCTTCGGACAAGTACTGCACGCGGCCAAACTTTCTGTCCTGAATATTGACGAGCTATACCGATCTCTGAGTGGTATTGATCGTAGTTGACATAGTAGCTGCGTTAAATGTTCAGCAACGTCTACACAAGGAAGGTCACATTACAGACCTGTCCTTGCTGTCGCCATACTCGAGCAAATAGGTGCGGATTGAACCGATCTTTCGAAGTGTGAAAAGTAAGTCACGAGATACCAGGAGAGCACGTACAAGCATTTGTACAGCATCAACCGTATTCTCCTCGCCTTGTTTTTGCAGCGATAGGGACGCTGCGTGCAAAAACTCTCCGAATCGACGCCGAAGTCTAGTTATATAATTGTACCGTGCGTCTTGCGGGTCTGTGAGGCAAAATCCGGAAGCCAAAGGCTGGACCGATGCAATCATTTCAGGGATTTCATTACTGCAAACGGGTTAGATAAAGACCTCGTGCCATGACCGCCAACATGACGCACATAATGTCACTTGTGGCGAGCATGGATTCCATCATATCTGGTGATATAATCTCCTTAAATAGCGTTGGAATTCCGGTGAACGCTTCTCGGACAAAACTGAGGTAACTACTCAAAGGCATTAATTTAACATGATGAATGAGCTGCTGTTAACGCACCGACAAAAGTCGTTCCTCCAAGTGGCGTCTCGAGACGCTTTGCTGCTTTTCAGTATAGGATTAAAAAATGTTGTATAAACCTACAAGTTTCAAGCAATAAGTCAAGGCGAGTCATTGCAGGTTCGACTAACTCGCGGAACAGTTGAAGCGAGAAGTCGATCTCTTCGGCACTTGGGACATGCCATGTGATCTACAGCGATGAGTATGAGACCCTTGCAATTGCCAAATATTACGCACCTTGACCTCATCGGGCTCAAATAACTTGCCCCAGTGTAAGTGATGGTTTCTCTGAAATTCTGCAGGTACTCAGTCAACGCATCTTCAAAGCACAAACTGCGAACCTTCATCATTCCATTGTTCGGGGTTGACGAACTTGTTTTCGATTGGGTAAGTATGAGTAAGTGTGATCAATGCGCTGGAGAGTAGCTTTCCGCTCCAGGTGTACCCCCGTTTCGAGAAAGTTTTGTCGCGTAGCAGAGTTAACAATGACAAGAATTCACTCTTGTACTTGAGAAGCTGAAAATGACATCAACTCACGCCCGACTAGCTGATTTCGGATCACTAACTGCTGAACCATCACTGTACAGGTGTTTGTTAGCGTATGCAAGGTACTTGGGAGAGAACACACTTATAGACACAACCACGGAGAATAGCGAGATCTGTAATGTAACCAAGGACATCAGCGCTCAACACTGGTACAGTTACGATGAAATCCTACTCCAGTGCAAAGTCGCATCCGACGGAAGTGGCAATGATGAAGATGTCGTCCTTACTGAGCTAGCACCATGTTCTATTTCTGTGCGGATGTTTGCCGCACAGAAGGGTAAGAATTTGGCCAAAGTCTTTGCGGGGTGGGCGTTCGCAATGCATTCGACCAGCTGGTGTATCGCACGGACAGCATTAGAACGGACGTTTGTGCTTGCGTAATCGAAAATCATGTTGAGCACGAGGTCGAAAAGTGAATCGGATAAATGAACACAAATTTGACTGCATGCACCAGTCACAGCGTCCACCACTTGTACTGAAAAGAAACTGGTCAGTAAATGGCAACATCCACGTGAAGTCAAGTTACCTTCCGTAGTCCCTCCGGCTGACCCATTCACTCCCTCTTCGGGGAGATTCTCAAGTAGCTGAATAACGCGGCGTATGAAGCTGGCTACCCAGCTCGCAAAACTGCTAGTACTGTCTTTGAGAAGCGCATCCTCCGCTTCGTTAGACAACTTCAGTTCCATAGTGTCCTCCAGGCCATCATCTAGAGTGATTTGACCAGGGGAAATGTCCGCGCCAGAAGCCTCTGGACCCTCGGAGGATGTCACGTCCCCAAACATGATGTACTGTGACACTTCCGAAAGAAATGCCGTTGTGCAAAGCTTATAAATGACATTAGATAGGGACAGTACTTGGAGAGTTTAAGTACCGTTTTAGTTGGATCATTCTGCATTTAACAAGATTGAGAGGGTGGTATCCAAATAAGACTAGCTACTTACAAGATCGATGCCAGGTACAAGCAACTGCAGAATGGTGATCAGATGCTTAGCACCTGGATAATATATGTCTCGAGAAACGATTGCAGGAACAATCGAGCTCAGGGCCTTGATCACGGACAAGGTGCGCTGGGTCTAACGAACTGTGAGGAAGGAAAATCAACAACAGGGGTAACAGTACCTCAACGAGAGCCTCTAGCGAAGGGATAGCTCGTTCCAGGATCGGCTGGAATATCAGGTCGGGTTCCATGCACGACATGGACTTCAGAGCGCTCTGGACGTTTGTAACCGTGGAGTTATCCTGAGAGAAGATGGCAAGTAACACAACTGTCCGGAGGCACTTGACCAGTTCTCTTTTCATCTCTCGGGTGAGCCGTCGAGCCTGATAAGTAAATTCGATTTCGTCGCTGGTTAAAGAGATACAAAATGCGCACCAGAGGCGTTTTGCAGTCGGACAGTTGCTCTTCATGCCAGCCTTGCAACTTATATGTTAACAATGCACTAATGAGCATAAAGGGAGCTCACGTTTGTTGAACTCGTACACAATATACTTGACGAAGGCAGTGAGCTATATGACATGATCAGCAATCGCACAGTGTCAACCAATAACTTAGCGGGAATTCAAGCCCAGTGGGAATGAACGACGAACATCAGATGTCCAACTTCCAGAGTTGGTGGGGTGGAAGAAATGTTCCGTCGAGGCAATGAGACGTGCAAGCGAATCTAGAGCTTTAGAACCACCTAAATATAGCTTCGGTGGCTCCCACTTATGAAGTGGCACAGTAAGATAGTCGCCGACAGAACCGCTACCTTGAGGCGTGCTAATACCTGAATGCATTGGTGTATACCACGGCGTGGACGCAGTAGAAGGAGGTGCAGAAGCACCATCAGGGGCCATAGAATACACGATAAGTTTGGCGAGAGATGCTAAATGAGATGTCAGCAGAGCTGTGTCTACGAAGGGAAACCGCTTACGGATACGCCAGTTTGCTTTGGGCAGCCTTCCAATTTCAAAACTTGAAGAAGAGTCGGCAGTAGGTCCCGTGGTGAGCGACCCAGCATCCTTTAGCGGAATTGCTACAAAAGGCACCGATAGTCAGTCAGCCTTGATTGAAAACGTAAATTATCAATAGCTGCCCACCCATCGAGGCAAGGCATTTACACATAATAAGATGCCATTCGTGCTCAGTGAATATTCCGACTTCCTTATAGAGGCCAGACCACGTCTGTCCTGCGTGGTCATCATCTTGTTTCCACTTCGGTCTGCCCTCATCTTCAGACTTTTCATCATCGGGAATATCATTAATGCGAGCAGGATCACTGATGATTGGATCCACATGCATCTCTGCGAGGCGCGACAGGAATTGCAACATCCTATCATCGTACATGTAGGAGTTGATGGACTCCCACAAACGACATAACATAGGGAGATACGATTGAGGATGTGTCAATGGTAAGAAGGTCAGAAGATAGTATTGTGACGAAAGAACGCTCTGCAGACAAGATAAGGAACGTGTAGCTGGTTTTGCTTAAAAGAACTCACGTCTAGGTTGGTTCCATTGAACCCTGGCAGGAAAGTGCTCAGCATCTCTTCAATGGCCGCGGGGTGGAAGAATCTCCTCGATAAATCAGCAATATAGCCCATACACCACGAGAGTTGGCTACGTCGAATGTTAGATATCGTTATCGAAGAGTGTGAGCCACTTGCCTGTACTCGAACTGCCGTCGAGTTAAAAACAAGTCTTCCCGAAGGATGTCATAGATAGGCTTCCACGGGAGTCTCATATCGTCAATGCTCAGCTTCTTTTTCGAACGAGTCAAATTTGACAATCCATCCGCACAGATGGCCATGACTTGCGCGGGCATACCAGGGGTCGTAGCAACATGAAAATACAGCTTCGCAAGGCGAATGCGCTTCTCCTTTGGAAATGGATATTTGAGCATATTCCAGCTGCAATGTCCGTAAGAAAACTTGCATTTCCTGGATGAATTACTAGGCGCGCTCACTAAGTAACCATGCTGTCCCACTGGACAAGACCCGGCTCGAAATCCTTTGCCTCTACGCATTGCGTTATACGCCGCAAAATGAAATCCAACATGTCCTGCATCCGTGCATTTGATTCAATCGCATATGGGATGGAGTTCGCATAAAGCTTGAGCTTCTGCATATACCGGTCGGTCGGGTGGTTGATGTCGTCTGGAATTTCTGTCTGGTGCATCTCAGGACCCGGATCATCCAAGGCCAGGCGAGAGACATCCGGAATGATAGTCATGATGTTCTGTTAACAAAGTCACTGAAAGTAATCTGGAAGAGAAATAGTTGCTCGTTGAGAAGCAAGCGTTAGTCAGGGTTTGATCCACCACTGGCACTGGTCCGGTAGGTTTGTCGACATTACCACACCCTCTGAACAGCACATTTGATGGTACGACTTACGACGTAGCGGTAACTCGGATGGATGTTATTATTACTGCTCAGGGCAGCATCCCTGGTACTAAAATGTAGAATATGCAATTATTATGACCTGTTCATCGTTGCCAAACGATCATATCAGTCCATAGCAACGCTGAAGGCTGCATCCTGTAATTCCTTTACAGCCTTTTCCCGCACCATCTCCCAGATGATATTCCGTTGTGCCCGAGTGTCTCCGAGGCCCTCCCTAATCTCCTGAAGCCGCTCGACATACTCCCGCCCATCGTCCTGTAGCTCCCGCAAAGTCGCTAGAGACTTTTCTAGATTGTCTTGCTGCATCTCCGGGGAAGCAAATTGTGATGGGTCGATCACAGGTGGACCGTTGTCAGCATATGAAACCAGGAAAAGCTTATGAGCTGTCGGGGTAAGATCTGGAGCGCGGGCAATCCTACGTTCCTGCTCGTCTTCTTCGTCTCCAATATCTTCCTGCTCTTCCTGTTTCGGGATGACACGCTCCTCGTCCAACTGTTTGTCCGGGTCTTCGCTGATGACCTGCCAGAGCCTCCCCAGTGCACGTCTCATGACCGCTTCTCCTTCAATGAGACTATTGGTGGCGTATTCCAGTTCGTCCAACAAACTTGACCGGAACGAATGCGTTACAGACTTATCCATAACGAATGAGGCGAAACTGAAATGTTGGCCGATAGGTGGTGGATAGGGAGCGACGAGTGGTGGTGAAGGTGATCGCATATGAGGAAGGCAAGGCGGGGAAGGCGATCTTCTGTCGGGTAATAGACATTTAATGCGTTTACGTGCACGGTCCTCAGCCTGGTTGAAGGTTAAGAGTGTCTAGAGTAAATAACTTAGCTCACCTCCCAGTCGTCCATGCCGGGGCCCCATGCAGCCATTTTTCCTTTGCGAACCCATCGGCTGCCTTTCCTCGTCTTGTTTCCCCAGTTTCCGCCCACTATGCTGACTGTCAAGTCTTCGTCATCTGAACTCAAGCCTTGCGAGGGGTAATACCACGCGTTGTGATCATTGAGGACCAGCAGGCTAAACAGATCGTGAGATCTCTGAAATACACGCGCGTTCAGGACAAACCTCATTTCTTCATGGGCTCTTTTCGGTGCGCTTTGCATGGTATCTGTCGAAGGATGAGGATGGTAATAAACCAATTATAATTAAACTGTAGAAATCTACAAAACCATCACTGAGTGACCGGAAGTTTCCGGTCTTCTCTTGGACCGAATCGAGTGCTTCGTAAAGTCTTACGGGATATACACCAGAGTACTCGTCGGGTAATGCAGGTGATGCATCGATGAGGTAGGAAGTCTTTGTTGAGGTACAATCGAAAATATCTCAGAAATTTCTGTCAAATAAAGTATATCTACATTCCCAACATCCGTCAGCGTCCGTCATCAATCAAGAAGGAACGACTGTCTTCCTTCAATATGGTCTGGCTGGGGGAGACTAGCTGACACTGAACATTGAATTTACGCGACGATACGTCATGATTTTTTTGCCGAAACAAAAGGCAGCCCAGGGCGATCAGTCAATCGTGATGCAAACTCTATTGTCTGCAGGACTCAGAGACTCGGATAGATTATGTGATAGAGACTTCGGCATGCATGTCATCTGCAACACCAGGCAGGGGAAACCAGTGGCAGGGATGAATAAGAAATGATTTCTGCTGAATGGGCCATTTTGGTGAGAATAGGATCAGCTTGCCTTCAACGGTTATCAACAGGTCACGAAGTACGTCTGCCTTGACTGCTGTGACAGGGATGCAATAAAGGGCAGATGCAGCACACTCCGCAAGGGACGAAGAGGGCTGGTATTATCTGTACACGGTATCACAACTTTTTCAAATGAAGTCAGTTGTACATGAAGTGAGTTTCGAACGGTTGATATTTATCTGATGCTCGCACTGGCAGATGAGGCCGCAGGCGCACGCCAGTGGTTACAAAAAATGCAGATGCACATACATACACAATTCGCCAGCCTACTGACATAGCGAAAGGATGCCCCTTGCTTGTATCTCGTAACAGATGGCAGGAATTCTAGGACGATTCTGCTTGCAACTCTGAGACTGTCCTCGGATTTTGTGGTCCTAGTGCAGCACCTTCCTTTCTTGCGACGCTGGCTTGTTCAAAGCTTTGCATTCCTTCTAGACCCCACCTACCCATCATTGCCTTGTCCTGCAGCAAAGTTAATTCTCATCAGCTGCATGCAAATCTGGAAGAAAGATTAATTACCTCGTCCCACGGAGAACCTTTTGTCTATCATCAGCTATAAGTTTTCACACAGCAAAAAGATACGTACATGGAGTGGTCAGCATCTGTTCCCCAGTGAATACGGCATTGGCGCCGGCCATGAAACACATGGCCTGCTCAGATTCACTGAGCGTGTTTCTCCCCGCTGCAAGTCTGATTATTGTTCCTGGAAGGACAACACGCGCGGTGGCAATGGTCCGCAGCAAAATATGATGAGGGACCCGCTTTGTAAATATGTCAGCTAAAACATATGCATAAATGAAAGAAGCATACTTCATTTCCTTCGAGCGGAGTGCCTGGTATAGGTACGAGTGCATTCACAGGGAAGGATTCAGGATGTTCCGGCATACTTGTGGAAGAAAAGGTTATGAGTGGTAATTGAGCGGTCGAGCACAAACATACTTGGCAACTTCCTGGATCAAGCCGATGCGATCCGCATCTGACTCTCCAAGACCTAATATACCGCCAGAGCAGACGCTTATTCCAGCATCTCGAACTGCGCTAATCGTACCCAGGCGCTCGTCGTATGACCGCGTCGTGATGACCTAAGATAAACGTAGGTAACAACTCCACAGTATAACACATAACAAACCTGCGGGTAAAATTCACGCGACGTATCAAGATTATGATTGTATGCAGTGAGGCCGCTGTGGCAAATAAATGTGAAATGAGTCGAACCTGAGAGATAGAAGATACATACGCCTCTTTCAATTGTTTTGCTTGCTCTGGAGTGAGCATGCCAAGAGTCGTGCACACTTCCATCCCCATACCCCGGACCTCTCGGACCATTTGAAGGATCCTTTCAAACCCTCTCTTGCGTCCTGCGAGGTCTCTCCATGCTGCGCCCATGCAAAACCTCGTGCTTCCATTCTCTTTGGCCTTTCGCGCTGCTTGGATGACAGGTTCAATATCAAGCAATCGCGAAGCCGTGGTCGGAGTGGAATATCTCGATGACTGAGAACAGTATGAGCCTGAGTAAACATGTCAGATGAATGCAGTATCATTATTCGGCATGATGGGCTCCCTACAGTCCTCAGAGCATCCACCGGCTATAATATAATGCGTTCAGGATAGTCATAGAGGGGATAGAGCGGGAACAATGCGTACTCTTGATGTTCATAAGTGTGCATAGCTGGATTTTGCTAGGGTCATGATTCTGACGATGGATGCTGCTTGCGCGGAAGACAAGGTCTAACAGAGGACTGTCGTAGATCTTTTGGATTTCTTGTCGCGTCCAGTCATGTCTTATTGGTGCGGAGCTGCGGGGAGGATGGGACACAGTTGCAAGTGATCTGCTGAATCTGGGAGCAGTGGATCGAAGAAAGGCAACACTGAAGTTCATGATGACTGGAGGGTAGGCCCGAGTAGCTAGGAGGCCAAATTCTAGGATGTATATGTAGATCTATAATTGTGGTGCAATATCAAGGTGTTTATATTAGAGTTTGTTATCACCGAGACTCTGATGCGGCGGTTATTGTCGGAACTTCGCGAACACCACTTAGATGGAGATAAAATACATGGACTATGCTACAGTGGCTTCTTGGGATAACAGTGCAATTACAAGGATACGGTTTTTGTGAAGTAGAACATATGGGCCAGGCAGGTATCAGTGAAAAACATCATGTGGAGCAGCGAGCTGGTGCGATTATCCATCTAGGGATGGACTGGAACTTGCTTGGATTCAGATACCATCGCGGCGTGACGTCAAGCTCACCGGAAGAGTCATATGTGGGACCGATGGGCTTCCAGTGGACGAATGAACGTCTCGTCATGTTTTAATGTTGCCCTGACCGGTTTTGTCTGTCTGCTTTTTGGCAGGAGCTCCAGCCGATGGAGTACTACGTCTGGTGCTCTTTTTCTCCCGTGCAGCTGGAGGTCCAGGGGAAGCCAACGAGACGTCGCGCATGGCGCTAGTCAAGCACGAGTCTAATTTTTGTGCATCTATAGTGTTCCGTACCGCTGTCCACTGGCGGAGGGTGTACGCGGCCAATTCACGGGAATATAGTAACTTTTGTTGTTCCAATGACTGTGTCGACATTGCTGAAATGTGGAAAGTGACGAAGACAAGGAGTGAGATTACAAAGTGACGGGGAGATCAGCCTTTTATACCTCGTTGAGCAATATTTTCGTGTTGACCGTGAGTCTACTTACCGTCGGGGCACATGACGATTTTGGAGTTGCGCAACTCCCGACAAAGTCTAGATCGGGGAAACTCCGCTCCGCCGACATGACGTGATGACGCTACGCTGAGATACTCAACCGAAGGACTGGCGCTTATCGTGATAAAATTACAAGAAAGCTATGGTACCTAGAATGCACAGGAAATCGATAGCAAATAAAACTGCAAAGTTGAAAGCCATGTCTGAAAATGCTACACTCGATCCGAAAGCAAAAGTAATAAATGCAAAGCAAATGGTATGGTAGACGTTAAATGGTGTGGTATGGTAGAAGACTGTCCGGATTGTTGTTCGTGGTTTTTTGGGGGCATGAATAGGCGTACAGGCAAAATAGTCCGATCTCGTAAAGGAACTTCAAGTGATCAAAGGAGGCAAGCTTATACACGGCGCCAAGCAGGAGCAGACTGGCTGCTCTTGCCTTTGCAAGGTGCACCTAGCATCACACCACCGGTGAGGACAGTAGTCTTGCCACCGTCGTAAGGGGTGACTTCAGTCTTGGAGGTGTCAATAAAGACACGAGCCTGCCTGGCCCTCTCGCGACGGGAGAGTTGGGATGACTGCGAGTCGCTCTTAGAGGACAAGGTATAGGCGGTCGTCGCAGAGGAGCAGGAGTCCGAGTCGGACGAGCGATAGCTAGAGCACGAATCGGTAGATATAGCAGAGAGCGGTGATTCAGAACGTGGAGGAGCAGGGAAGCGATCAAGGACAGGGGTCATCCAAGTGGGCGCACTGACTTCGTCAGCGATCAAGGCGAAAAGTTCTTCGTCATCTGAGCGGTCATTCTCCACGAGCTGCTGGGCAAGTGTCTTAGACTTGGATGGCAGCTGGCTGAAATGCGTATGGTGCGTCATGGACATGGTCTCAACCATCATCTCCTCTGACCAGACCGTGATGAGCTTGGTGCCCTTCCCGAACCGCACGGAGATGCATCCTGGATCGACAAAGAAGTCGAACTCACGGCTGCCCATCGCCGCAATCCAGTCGAACCACTGGACACCGGATGCGAGGCACGCGGCATAGATGGCACGTGGAGGGAGGCAAGTAGGGGAGAGGGTGAGGCAACGCCGGCCAGAACCACGAAGGGGTTCCTTGGGAACCCATGTAGGGGCGAAGAGTGCAGTTAAGTTTGCCTCAAGGGCGAGCTGAAGCCTGATGATGGTCACAGCAGGGTGCGTAAGTATGAGAGGACGAGTGAGGTAGGCGATAGCCTGAGCGAGAGTGACGGAAAGGCTGGATGTAGCAGTCATGATTGTAAAAACGATTAGAAAGATTGAATGGGTGGTAATAACAGAGATCGTCCTGCGATGATAGATGCGGGAGTAAAGCGCGCTGAAAGGGTACTTGAGAGCGTGATAGAGTTTTCAAGTAGTTCTGAGTTTTGATTCAGACGGATCGAATGGGAGCAACAGACAGAAACGTCTGAATCGATATTAATGTCAAATGATAATGCAAAAATAAACAGCTGGCTCACCCAACAGACTAGATGAAAAGGCAAGTTAGCGGAAGAGTAATGAAAGTCAAACAGATGCAATAACGAACCTGGCTGTAAGGAGAGAAAAAGTTAAAGATGTGACTGGATTGTCAAAACCCGGATGGAGAGTATGGGAGGTAATAGGACTAAGCTTTATATGAGTACCATGCCAAGAACAGACCCCAGGCGTAAACAAAGGCCATGCTGCCAGCAGAGCGCCCTCCATAATGGTCGCGAAGCGAGAACAAAAGGATCCTGAACACTTTCCTTTTTCGACAACAATAATGGGAGACACGTGTTCCCGCGAGCTCCCAAGTAAAGACTTTCAACGACAACAACATGTTTGCGCAAGACCTTTACGTCTTGATAGCCTGAGTATCCTATTGTTTTCTCTGAGGAACCGTGTCTTCCCATCATCCCTATCAGAAACACCTATTATTTGAATTCGAGCACAGGAATATCATGCCCATCATAATAGAAGTCATCTTCCTTTTATATGACCTGACTAGGGGAGAAGTTGATAGTCGCCTTAACGGTTGACGTGGTCGATTGATCAACGGGACCGACGGTCGACTCAAGAACGACGGCCGTTCCGCAAGCTTAGTCAAATTGAAATTGTGACTGTTGAGTTTTCCCAAGTTTTCCCTCTTCACCGGCGTATCGCTCTCTTGTAGGTTACCAACAACTTTGACCACGGAAACACCCAAAGCTCGTCAAAAATGGCATGCCGCATGTCCGTTTTATTAGCACGAAATCCTCACAGAATCCACCCAGCCTCTGGCTGTCGATTGATTGAACCCCCTCTGTAGAACATGAGCGCAAGCAGCACAAACTCAAGCGTCTTGTGCAATCGCCCGACTCTTATTTCATGGATGTAAAATGCCCAGATGCGCCTCGTCTCGTCAGACCTGACAACACTAATCTCATGGTGTTATTTTCTAGGATGCTTTGATATTACTGCTGTATTCTCTCATGCACAATCAGTCGTGCTTTGCGGCTCGTGTGCAAGTGTCCTCTGCCAACCTACGGGTGGTAAGGTGAGACTGACTGAGGGTGTGTTATTAATTTCGATGCTCGTAATTCACTGACGTCACTTTTACAGGTTGCTCGTTCCGCCGGAAGACTTAGTACTGCACTCTTCAAGCTTGATTCAAAGCTTCATCTATGCTTTATCATACTCACGTCGCGCTCCCTTTCCACCCTTGCCCAACATTTTCTAGCTCGGTGTACTAACGGGTTTGGATTGTTACATTTCCTCTAGCAAAATCTGACTTGTGGTATATTTACCTGAAGACGCCTGAAGACGGCATAATACACGCAAATCTTCTGATCCGGTCTGCCCCAATTGGGTCAACAGCATATCGTCGCTCAGCGGGCTGCAGGGGGACGAATGATCGCTGTCACGATTCGCCTAGAGCTTACGCCCGACTACCTTACCATATTAGCTCATCCCTACCACCACTTCGGCTGGACCTCAAAGCCGATTGGTATCTGTTTAATGCAACAAAAAATTTTCGGTCTAAAGGCCTAGCGATAAATACTCGAGTGCGCTACAACTGCTTAACACCCTCGAAAGTCGCTATATTCGCGCGCGCGACTTTGCCTTTTAAACCCAATCATAGCAGTAAGACAGGGACAGTACAGTTTCCTCTCCGCTTACCATACACGTGCAAGCTATCATGCGGCCACCTCATGGTCAATTTGGTGTGAGTTTTCAGCGCTGTTATAACGTACTTATCATATTTTTCGTGGCCTTATGACCTACAAGTGTAGCCCGATGATGAAATACCGGGTGGCAGGGCGCGAAAAGTACGCAATGCCCAGGAGACGATCGAATCATATACAAAGCGGTTCATTGGATAAAGGGTTGAGGGTTATCTGTTAGTCACGCCCATCTACCAATTTTACCAATGATAATGTTCATATCCGACTTTCTGGTAGACCTTAACCTTGATGGGACGCTTTCGATGATTCATAAAGCCCCATGGGTCGCGCCCAGTGACGCGGGAGCACTACGAATCGTTGAAATTCGAGACACGGCAGCTGACGGCATGTCTTTTCAGGCGTTTTGATGGTCGCACTGCGCTTGTCGGGTTTGTGCCTCGCAATAATTAAGGTTGGTCAACACGTATGTCTTCTCTTGTGACTTTCTACTCCACATTGATGCGATAATACGTACTTTTGTCAGCAAATGCAGGAACCAAGCACTGGATCACGGAGGTTTATCTAGCACGAACGCTTTGGTTATCCGAGTCTGTCTGTCAAGTTCGCTGCTCCCTCACACCCATCCTCTAACAGTATGACCATAGTTTTAAATGACCCCAGTTGGTGGCCGGCCATCAATGCGAGTCAAGTTTCCAGCTATTTTATAGGTTCGTGGAGACAACAGTGATATGTTAATCTAACCTTTCTGCGGTTTTGCAGTTGCCGCCTCTGTTGGAGTGGTGTACGATTGGGGTGAGCGAGATCGCATACAAGACTTGTTGAAAATCTTATAGTATTTCCAGCATTGACGTTCATACAAGAGGTAGGCTGACACCATTTCTGAAGCAGCTATCTCGCTAAGAACGGCTTTGTAGGTCGAACTTGTCTGGGTGAGTAGAGTCCCACGTTAGAAGAACAACATTGATTTGCGACAGAGGCAACGCTGGTCCCTTATGACCGTGCTGTATCTGTGTGTATGTAGCTTGCATTACAAGTATGGTCGCCAACTCGTGCTTACTTGACAACATCCTAGGTGCGCTATATTGGAATAACATATGCCGTGTATGTTTGGAAGGCTCATCATTGTCATTTTGCTAATTTACCATCTCTCACCATCAGCATCAGCGTAGTGGGTATGTATCCTCGCATACACTATGTTTGTTTCTTCTGACTGGCGGCACACAGCTCAAGTCCCGACAATCCCCCTGACTGATGAAGTGAGTATTTCGCACCAATGCCTGCCATTCCCGTTTGATCAACTGTACTCCCATGTAGGGGTGAGTGATCTTTTTAACAAAATCGTTGATTTATATAATGACCACCACAGCTGTGAGTTGCTTTGGAATGTACAATCCTCTGAGGCTGATCACTGACCGAATTTCTCAGGCTATATTTTGTTTATCGCGATAAATTGGATAACCTTCGTCTCAACTGCGATGTTGTGCGGTGAGCATCACAGCTACGATACATTGACCAGTGATATTGGCTAAACTGAAACATAATGCAAGTCATCATGATTGTTCGGATACATGCCATGTATCAGCGATCTAGAATGGTGCTGGTACCTCTCGTCGGCGTCTTCCTGACTGTCAGCATCATCAACGGGACGATTGGCGGAATAGCAACTAGGAATACTTCAGCGGGTAAGTGTTCATCATGTAAAACATGTGCACCACGCTCATTGGAAAACACCAGAGGAGGTCATTCTCTCCGGCAACTATCTGTGCTCTCCTAGCTTTGACGGAAATGGCGTACTTCTGGCTGATATCACTTGGGTTCTCGGCACTGCATGGGAAGTCGTCGTACTGTGTCTCGCAATCCGGATTGCTGTAAAACACTTCCGTGAACTGCGACAATCATCAGCAGGAGGGGTTATGAGTGACTGTTTCACGGTGCTGATAAAAACCCACTTGGTTTACTTTGCGAGGTGAGTTCAATACATCGACGTGGTTCTTTTTTCCCGCTAAAATAATGAACGGTACTAGCGTTGTTTCTTTTTCTTGCTTCCAGATCGGTTATTTGTCTCCAACGCTCTCAGCGGTACGCCGATCTGACACCCTCACCTCTGTGTGCGAGCACGACTCATCATTTTTATAGAACCCATATTCCCTGGGGACTCAGATTTATCTTGGTGTTTCTCAGATTCTCACGTTCGTGCAGATGTATGTGCTGGGACCACGCCTGATCCTTAGTATTCGAGAATTCAACGCTAAACTCGTGGCCGAGTCCGATGAAGGACCCGCCATGACTTCAATCGCTTTCCAGGAGCGCGTGCATATCCCAACTGGCAACGGTGTGTAGCACCGGGAAATGCTGGTGTGATTGACACTTGTCAGGTACTCTGCAGGGAACGGAGATTTTTTTTAAAAAAAAATTACAACTTTTGTCGTGATAGTTATATGATGTTTTGGAGTAGATTTGGAAGAGATAGGTCTGGACAAAGGAAAGAATTCACTGGCAGTAGCTACGTTCTTGTCTCGTGTCGTCGCATTCGTCCCCAATGTACAAATTGATTAGCTGTACAGAGGTGTGCCCGGTCGAGAGTTCGATCATTCCTGTCGAGAAATCCTCAGTCGCACGAGGTAGAGATCAGAACGAATATCTAGCTCAGATGATGAGGTACCCGCAAAGTTAAATACAAAACATAAAAGGGGGCATCAAAACAAATGAACCCGCTTCCAAGACCAGCAGCATTATTAAATAATCTCCCGCCAACTATCCAAACTCAATTTCTCGCGCGGATCAAGGACATAGTTTTCAAGACATCCGTACTCCACGTCGTCAGTCATTGTGTAGGGTATATAATAAATTCCGGTTGTACCTTCAAGATGTACGTCTACAGCTTTGCCGCGATTTCAGTAGGACCTCGTACGTTAGCCCGCACCACGCCCTCTTGACAAGTGACTGCAACCAGGTTGCCAGCTCGCGAGTACAACTTATATAGCGTCAGAAAAAGGTTGTGACAAATATAAAGACCACACACCCTGCCATGAACCACTGCTCTACCAGATGCGGCTCGAGGACAGATGACCTACGTGAGGGAAGACATGAACAAGACTAACTTCTCAACAAATTATAAGACACCTACCACGTAGAGTAAACCATCTTCACAACAAAAGTTGTCGCTAACAGCAGTTGAGAACAACGGGTCAAGTGATCGAGAAGAAACATACTCGTAGTACCATATGGAATGATCTAATGAAGACTTCAAGGTCTGTGAGCAGATTGAAAGGCACGAAACAGCGCCGTACTCACGGTCATAGCATGAGCGTCAGGACCCTTTGACATCCGCTTGAGTTTAAGAGCCTCAGACGCAAGGGTAATGCTAGACATGGCAGAACATGAGAATAACTCTCCTGAGTCGAAAGCTGCTTACAAGTTAAGGTCCGAAAGGTATGCCAGAATACACTGAAATGTGGATTAGACGAGAATAAACTAGCTATAGGCAACACTGTACCTTCTGGTAAGGTGCTCCATAATGTGACGCTTGACCTGTTCGGGCTTGCATCCAATACATGGATGTGAGTGTACCATTCTCGTCGGTCACTCCCGGGCCAGCCCTTCTGACTGAAATTGGACCATTCTCCCTTTCCTGAAGTCAAGGTGAGCTGTATTGTGGACTTGGGCTGTTGGCAGACATTACAAGTGCATGAGACAAGAACAAGTCCCGAACCTTCGGAGGAAGGTCCTCCGCCGCGGCTCGGCGCCTGAACAGCACCTCATCAAGCTCGCACTCCTCCAATGGGGGCACCTCGGGCATGGGCCATTGATGTGTAGGCTGCCATGGTTCTGGCTTGTGGAAGGAACACATTAGCTGAAATATCACCTTTCCATTTTGAACTGCTTTAACGCTTCGGGTAGTATATGACCGCCCTTCCCGTAGTCGCTCGACGAAATATATGATGGGAATAGCAGGAGATGCGCTTAAAAGAAAGTAACACTAAATGCAATTGAGTATTGTTGTTCAAGAAGTTGCACGCACAGCTCACATGCAAAGACTAGCGGGAAACAGCGTTCCGTTAACTTTCGCTACCGGATAAGATGAAGTATGCTCTTACATGCAACCCGAACATGGGATCGACACAATTGGTGGCGGCAACTATTGCTTGTGAGATGACCTGCCCGCCGAAAACGCCTCGAGCCCTTGTGGGTTTGTATAAAGTCTTTGACCGAAAGAGGTTTACTTCGATCTGCTCAAGCTCCAAAGAAGTGGAAATCTTGGAGCTTTCAGCTTGGTTTGTGTCATCCATAGTGGATGCCTGGGCTGCAGATCAACTTGTTCGTGTAGCTTGAGAGGAAAAGCCTGGCTAGCGGCAGCCATTAACTCTGACGGGTAAACGGGTGCTTATAATAGGTACGAAGCAAGCATATGTAATAGCCGGGGGAAATCACGGGACAAAGTAACCGTGTTTCAAACTCATCAGAGCTCGGGAGGGACTGGTGAAAAGTGAGTGTCTGAGCGGCTTCAATATGTAGTATCGTTTGAGTGCATGAAATATCATCATATGGTTAGACACAATAGGCGCCTGTGCAAAGACACCCCTGAGTCGAGTGCTTGAAAGTATCAAAAGACCTCAACGTCAATCGTGAATCCACATTCATGGCAAACTTGCCGGCCCATGCCATCCCCAAGGTCTTCCGTTATTCCGAAAACATGTTTGTGCTCCTGGTCCTTTCGTCTTTGCCACACACCTTCTCTGGTCCTTCGGCGCAAGTCTCGAAGTCCTTCTTCGAACTTCTTGTTCTTCTTTTTCTTCTTCTCCTCCGTTCGACGCTCCCATTCAGTATCTAGAGCCTCTGGCGATCCCCATTTCTTCCACGCAAAATCTTCAACTTGACACCGCAAAAAGAGCATCATATTCGCAAACGTTGATTTATGAGGATTGGCTTTGAGTAGATGGGGTAGCAGCTCTCGATCCCGAAGTTCAGCTGGACCTATCAGTATATGCACCGTGACCACGCTAACAAACAACTCACGGTCAGTTAAGAGATAATCCTGATTACCTGTTAGCAAGAACGAAGACCTAGGAAAAGTAAAGTCTTACTTCTTTGCATTCAGTCTTTGTCAACAAACCGTATTTCTCTGGGTATTCATCCTTGCATTTGTTACATACCAGGCATCCAAATATCTTCTTGTATGTGTAATCGATGTCGATAGATTGGCATTCTCTGCACTTCGGATTCAGGCTCGGATCCAAGTACATGGCTGTGATATCACTATCATTAGGACTTCAAGAGAGAGGGAATAGTAAGGCTTACGCGGTTCTAAGTTCTGTTTGGCTCGTTGCCTTTCTCTTTCCCGCTCCTTCACCCTTGAATCTTCGTCAATCTCCTTCCCATCTTCGACCAAAAATCCACCTTTCGAATTGACCATTTTGGACAGGTCATAGTCAAAGTATTTGCCGAGGCGTGAATCACGCTTCAATGGCTTAGGAGCTGTCGGCGAAGTGGACAAAGCTGGTACAACTTCGAGAGGGCGTTTCTGGTTCGCATTGGGCGTAGATGACGAGCCTGCCTCTTGTTCTCGCTGTCTCTGCCTTGCTTTTGCTACGGTAGAATTGCGTTAGCTGAAACATGGATATGAAGATGGGCCCCTCGCGTGACACCACCAGCATGTACCTTTGAGGCGGTTCAGCTCAATGCGCTTGACTTGCTCCGGTGTTAGAACCGACTTCTCGGCAGCCGAAGGAGGAGCATTCTGTCCGTCCATTCTAGTTGATCGCCAGCTCTAAGTAGTAAGAAAGGTCCAAGACGTATCTCCTTGCATGACAATGCATGTGACAAAGACTACTTTACGGATTAGGAAGTCGGGATATTTTGCTACACACGAATGAGTGGAACTGGCATAAAACCGCTAAGCATGGCAATGGTTGGCGTACGTAGCACGCATTGTCTGCGAACTCTTTCTCGGTGTTTGATTAATATATAGGTAGCATAAGGACAGCAATGATAGCAAGCAAGATATGAAGTAGTGAGACGAAACAAGTCATCAACTTTCTACACTTGTTCCCTTGGTGTCGTCAACAACCACGGTACCATTCATTTTTGGCGATTTATCACCCGGGAGATGATCTGTTGTCCCATTAGCAGCGGCTGGTTCGATAGGTGTAGGCCCGCTTTCTGTAGTCGTCGGAGTATCGACTTCCATCGGTAAATGCCCGCTTAATGCGGGGCGAACCATAGTGGTGTGTCCACTTGGACCAGCGCCATGGGTTGAGCCTGCGGCACCCGAACTCAAGATGCCCACACCGATACCAAACCTCCTTCCCCCAGCAATGTCCGCCTCACTTGAGCGGCTTCTCGGTTCGCTGTCACGATCCCGATGCAAAGCATGATCTCTACGCCCCCCCTCTCCCTCATCATCCGAGTCAGACAGCTCTCCATCCGCTTGGATGCGAGAGTCCAATAGTCGTCGGTGTCTCCTGGCGTCAGGAGGAATCAAGTCTTCGTCTTGATTAGGGTCATCCACGTCGTCATCAATCGGCATTTTTGGGATATCTGGCAGTTTGATGAACATTCCAATGCCCTGCGCATAGTTTCGAAACCCATACCTGACATCTGAATACTGGGGGGCCCTCCCAAGTGTCGCAGGTTTTCGAGTACGATATTCTTGACACGTTCCAAGTACTCCGGTGTATTCATATCCTCCGTATTTGACGACCTCACGTCTAATTCGTAGTCGGGTCCAAAATACTCGTAGTATTCATTCACGGGTATTTCTAGATCATGTGAGTACAAGGCAAGAGAACTGAACTGGAGGCCAACCTGGTGCCAGTTCAACGCCAGCTGCGAGGCCTGTTTCAAATGCCCATGCCCGGCTGACATTGCGCATCGTGTACCCCCCACCTCCAAGCAGTAGCAGAGGTTTGTTGAAGGACTTCACAAATTTGACACAGTTAGCATGCCCTGGATAAAAGTTCAGATAAGTCAAGGGTGACGTTTTTGGTCATACCTCGCATAGATAAGTTCAGGCAGCCGAGTTTATCACCCGACAAGGAGTCTGTTCCACACTGAAGGACGATAGCCGACGGGTCATACGATTCCATGACTTCACGGATCACCTGTATTGAAAACTTGTAGACGCCAGCTGGAAACAGAACACTTCACTCACAGGTTCGAACACCGATTTATAGTTTTCGTCCGAGATTCCGTCACGCAATGGAAAGTTTAACGAGTAGTACTTTCCTTTGCCTATTCCTATGTCCTGATAGGTGTCAACATCATTCTAACAACAGGACAAGACCGGGACACATACCCGCAATTCACCAGTTCCTGGAAAGTACTCGCCATATTTGTGGAAACTGACTGTCATGACCCGATCGGTAGTGTAGAACGCTTCCTCCACCCCGTCACCGTGGTGAACATCAATGTCGATGTACAGGACTCTGGTATGATATCTAGTGGGGCTCGATCGTCAGGACTATGACAGAGTTGGACTTGTCTGTTGAGGACACTCACCGGAGCAACTCAAGAATGCCCAGCACGATGTCTGTAACATATTGTTAGCGTAGAAGCAGCTGTTGCAGAAAGAATACGTATGACCATTGACGTAACAAAAGCCGCTTGCTTCACTTTTCTTCGCGTGATGAAGGCCGCCGGCCCAGTTTACAGCTATATCACATTTGTCTCGACTGAGGCGGGCGGCACCCTCTGTAGGACACGTGAGCATTGATTTATCATACCCCGTGAAACAATAATACCCATGGAGCCCCCTGCTGAAATAGAACAATAGTCGAACAGCCCATCGAAAACGGGACAGTCGTCACCGACGTTGTCTACAAAAGCAAGCCAATAGAGTTAGACGACGCGAGAAGATACGAGGCGAAATCACTTGCATTTATGTTGTTCTTTTATGTACGAATTCATGTTGCTGGGGGTGATGCGACTGAGGAACTCGACATATTCGTCAGAGTGAAACTGTGTCATTTCGCGTTTTGTTGCAGGTTTAGCACGCTGCAAAAAAGTAGAATTTGGCGGGTCAAGGGAACGTCCATGCATTCGCAGGCGCACTCACGAATATCTCCATCTTCTTGTACAGGCCATAGTTCATGACCAAGGAATGACACATTCGTATACGAGTTGGTTTCATCCTGTTCAGGGAAGATAGTCATGTCACAACCCTCAGTCTGACAGACAGTCATAACTCACGGATGTCCGGGACCATAGTGGAAACCGCCGATATCCGAGTCGAAGAAGTAACACTGACGAGAAGGTCAGCATGATCTAATCAAAGGATTTCCGGCCGCAAATAAAACGACGTGCCACTCTCTTCTTCTGACTTTCGCCATCAAGGGGTACCATGTTTTCCGACATGTCTGTGGAATGAGTAGTGACTGTCGTCAGCTTCTCCACCCGCCGAGCAGCCTTCAGTTGATTTATGTAACGATAAAAGTTGATGGCACCTTGTGTGCACGTGATTTGGCAACGGTTTTGGATTTCCAGGAAGCGCCCCTGTGGCACCTTGTTCGAACATAGCTCGTCACTACGGTACCGGTAGGCATTGTTCCTTCCAGAAACTCAAGTACATGGTATTTTTATTATCACACATTCTTCCAGCCAACCGTTATCTGATCAATCGAAAGTTGTTGTCCTCCGAGTTCGTCACCGTCTCATTTATATAGCACATGACATTGGCAACAACCGGAAAATAATTGTATCATACGCAGCCTCTGTCTTGACTCAAGTAGATCGGGAGCATAGGGGGCATGGAAGAGATGGCTCGAAAAAATGCAATACATGCACCGTCATATGGACTACACGGGAAGTATAAAGTGTCAAATTCTAAATCGTGAACAGTCATTGTGTATGTCTATCGTGTGGCCATGAGGAATAAACACTGTTAAAGAAGGGCGACAAGTTAAGGCGAGATGTATACTGCAAATAGCCCAAGGTCCAGACACAGAAAAGCCATAAAATAACAGCATCAACAAGGCGTGCAAAACATGAGATTCATTACCATCCGTCAACGCCTACCCACTCTTCGTCCTTCACATTTAACCAATGATGGTCAACCATATCAATGACCTCCTTGCGTTCCCTTTGATCGACTGCAAGCATGGGTTCAAGGAAGGCGCATAAATCATCCGCTTCCGACGTAGAGAAAAGGTATTTCTCCGTCATGACACGATTTAAAGGCCATGGCTTCAACGTTTTGATGTAACGAAGTGCCCCTGAAGAAAGTAGCGTGAGTCCTTTGCTTGAATTGCTATTTCCACCTTGACTCACCTGCGTGATCAAATATTTCGCGACTATACTTTCCTCCCATCTTCGCGTCTAGCGGGAAATCACCCAGTAATTCAATTATCTGCGCCATGTGGTCGTCGTCCTTTGTGAACATCTCGCCTTGTCCGTGAGGGTCAAATAGATATTCCGCGGTCAACAACTCGAAAATGACACAAGCAACGCTCCAAACATCAGCTCTTGTGCCCCAGTCGCGTCGTCCGAGAATGGCCTCGGGAGCGCGATACTGCCGCGTCTGAATGTCCTCTGTAAAATGCTGCTTAGAAGGTGTTGCATTGCCTAAATCGGCAATCTTGATAGAAATCGGCGTGGATGACGACATGGATGGCGGGCCTGGAACGGGTGTCTCTGACGAAGGGGACAACGGGGCTCCGTCGAGGGACGGGATAGTGGATTGACGAGGGGCAGTCTGGGTCAGAAGCGATGGCCCGGAAGTAGTATGATGGATATCCGAAGAAGTGTGTGACTGGATGAGTGGAGAAGCTGATACGTGTTGTTCGGATGCCACGACACTTTCCGTATTGAGACGCAATGTCAATTTGGAATCTGGCGAGCCGCTCATCAATGTAATAGAGGCCATTTTAGACAAAATGGGCATGTCAGCACTTCCCACCGAGGTAGGGGGTGTACTAACAGCACTGCTAGATGCCGCTGGCATGGATAACGTAGACGAGATGGTAGACGAAGTGGAAGTCCTACTGGACGGAATTGGTGGTGGGCTGTGAATGATGGCAGTAGGGTCCGCTCTGGCGGACTTCCTAAGCAGCTGGCTAATGGGTGCGCCACTGATCGGAGTTTTCCCAGAAACGTGCTTATGAACACTGTGGCTGCTCGCGCTGGCACTTATACTTCCAGATCTCGAAGAAGGACTTGATAATGGCTGTGAATCAAATATTTGCACGCGTCTCTCATGTGCAGGTGTATGCCGATAGGGAATGGACAATCCAGAACGGGACTTGGTGGGGTGAGGAACGCCCACATGAAACGATGTTGGCTTTGGCGAAATAGACAATTCGGCGTGGATACGAGCTTCGACATCTGGTATGGAAATGACTAAGGGAGAGACGCATCAGCGAGGCGGGCATGAATACAGTGAACAATGGAATGCGTACGAATATTCTCAGGTTTAATGTCAGTGTGAACGAGATCGCATTCCTCATGAAGATATTGAAGGCCGAGAAGCACTTGTTTCGCGATGACCTTGACGAGGGGTTTCGGAACGCCCTTCTTCTTGTTGCGTTGAATTAATGCAAGAAGGGTCTCTCCGAGGGGCTCAAATACAATGCACACGTGAGTGTCTTGAGGAGTGCGATGAAGAAATGAATCGAGGAACGAGACAACATGTGGTCGACCAGGATGGTGCGGATTTGCAGCGGCTACCTGGGACAGTAGTTTGATTTCGTCGCGTGCGGTCTCAGCATAACGCGTAGCAGACTTGACCACTTTGAGAGCAGAGTAGCGATTCTCGCTATTAGAAAAATTGATAAGAACAAGTATGTGTTTGCAGGATTGGAATACTCACCGAGTATCCTTGATAAGCCAAACAGTTGAAAAATGGCCCCAGCTTGTCGAATGAACAAGAATTGCATAGCAGAGTGGATGATGGCTTACCCTAGTTTACGTGCAACTATATACCGACCGTCTTTGAAGGTGTCATCAATTTTGATGACCAGATAACCGCCAGTGTTATAGTCAGCTGGCGATTCTTCATCCTTGGGTTCGTTGTCTGGAACGGGGACTATCTTTGGAGTTGAGGATGTAAGGACATACTGATATTTAGCGCATGGCTGATTCGGTGCCATGTACTTTGTCAAGAGACAAGTTTTCAACGGAGTGCCCGGAAGAGAACAGCGGGAGCAATAAAGTGTGACAGTATGTCACGCGATGACATGGATATAAGGCACCCGTTTCCCCGATGTCCCAATTTGGAAAATGACGATAGGTGACGATCCGGGCTGATGGCGCTGATCTGACAGCAAGCCGTGGCAGGCTGTGGCCACAACACCGCAGTCACTCTTATTTCACTCTCGTACGTTATGTTCCAGGGATCACAATATGCCTAGTACCACTAGGAAATTCGTCGGTTCCGTCAAAGACGATTGGCAATTGTACAGGTGATTAATTTTTCTTCATTCTGACCTGAATGTAAAGAACCACTGCCGTTTATAGTGACCGCTCCACGGACTACACAATTGGATCCCCCATAGGTTTTGGCGCATCATCTGTGGTCTATGCCGCAATTTATAACCCAAATCCGCAACGTCCTATTCCATGCGCGCTGAAAGTTCTTGACTTGGACGCACTACCCCCTCATTCCCTATCTTTGCTACAGCGGGAGACACAACTTATGTCCTTATCAAAGCACCCAAACGTGCTACGTGTACGTGGCAGTTGGATGGATGGCCACAAATTATATATTGCCCTCCGTCTCATGAACAAGGGCAGTGCCGCCGATGTGATGCATTACGGCTGGCCCGGTGGAATGGAAGAAGAAGTTGTCAAATGCATCCTCAAGCAAGCCCTCGAAGGCCTCAAGTTAGTCTATCTCGGCATCTTTCCATTTCATGAATAATAAACACATATTTTCCATTTTCACAGCTACTTGCATATAAACGGATTCATTCATCGCGACGTAAAAGGCGCCAATCTTCTTATCGACGACGATGGCACAGTTTTGCTAGGCGATCTTGGGGTAGCCGCATCCCTTACAGATGACGCCGATATATCAAGTAGAGTTTGCAATGATGCTGGCAGTCATAGCGTTAACTTTGGCCCTGTGTCCACTGCCACGAGCTCTTGTCCGGTACTTGTACGCCCCGGTATGGGAAAGCGGAAATCGTTTGTCGGGACTGTAGGGGCCAGAGTTTATTTCATAACCTCGAATGCCCTAACGTGAATATCAAATTCAGCCCTGTTGGATGGCGCCCGAACTTATTCAAGGCCATCGTTACGATTCAAAGGCTGACATTTGGTCATTTGCAATAACCGCTATTGAGCTCACCCAGGGTCGTCCTCCGCGATCGAGAGAAAGCGCTCATAATGTCCTTCTACAAACGTTCGTTTCATGTATCTGTTTAGAACACATTCCTACCCTTAAACTCCTTTCCAGTGTTCAGGGTAAACCACCGAAGCTTGATTTGGTAGGGGGTGTCCACAGGTATTCACGCGCCTTTAAGGACATGGTCGACGCCTGTCTGGTAAAAGATCCCTCTAAACGGTAATTTGCTTCAGCATCTCGTTACTCTATGTCTGATATCTCCTTTACAGTCCAACGGCTGCCCAATTGCTCCACACCTCATTTTTCCGGTCTTCCAAGAAGAAGTCCTATCTCGTCAGCACAATCTTGGATGACCTCCCGCCCCTTACAATGCGACAAGAACGTCGCAAACATCCAAGCATGATTACTCATGGAACAATGGACTCATGGGACTTCAACTCCACAGAGACAAACCCGTCTGCACCCTCGATCCATTTGGGTTCAAAACGAGGTAGTTCAGGGGGTGTGCCGAGAAGTGGGAGTCTTGACGTTGGATCAGACAATCACCATGAGTTGGTTGACGTACATCCAAGATTCGAGCTTACACATGGTGCCGAAGAAGAAACAGCGTCAATCACCCCTGTAGTCGTTAGTTCCGCTTCATTTTCAACGTCCATCAACGTCCAGGGCCTTGATATAGAAAAAGACAAGGACGAGTTTCTCCTTTCGGGTTCTCAATTGCGCACTAATTACGGCGTGTCCCAATCTTTGGATTCATCATTCCCTGGGCCACGTTCCGTACCTGCTCCTATCCCCATTCCAAAGCGAGCGTCATCTTACTTTCGTAAAGGCGCCGCCTCTGCCCCCACCTCTGCTCCGCCACTGGTTTCTCCAAAACTTTGGCAGCGCCTAACCCACGCCACTTCTCGCAATATAATTGACGAATACCCACCTGTGAGAGAGAAGAAAATGAGTGGGTTATCACGTATGCTCAGCAGACGTGGCACTGCCACTTCCTTAGCTCAATGATAGTATCTGGATCCATTTAATAACCCATATACGACAGTCGATATATTCGTTATCCTTAAAGGCTAACGCCCTATCGTGTACTAACTTCTACCATCGTCAAGGCTACTGTACCGAAATCTATGCATATCTATCTGTTACCACTTATAATACTCGGAACCCCTCAGCCATGACTGTACCGAAATTTATGCATATGTCTATCTGTTATCAGTTATAATACTCGGAACCCCTCAGCCATGACTGTAGCACAAATCTTGATGAGACGCAACTGCAGGTTAACTTCTAGTAATGTCTATGACTCCATTACAGGACAGTAAAAACAGTATACGAACAATCTCAGCCAACAACGAGCTTTCCTTCAGCTTCATTGAAGTCGTAGGGGGGAATCTCTAGATTAAGCTTGCAAAATAGTGTCAGTATGACCTTAGCAGACGGAGGAAAAATTCCTACCGGAGCAGGTCCCTTGCGGGCACGACCAGCTGCAAATTAAACCTAGTCAGTAATGTACTCCAGTGAAGGAACCATGACTGCATACAAATATCGTAGTGAGAACCGTGACATGGACAAAACCTAGATAACGAGACGGTCAGAATGGTTTGGCAATGTAGGTGAAAATCACACACCATCCTCCGTAGTCGCCTGACTCGCCAATTGGGACACAACCCAGGTGTGTGCAGACACCAAGCATGACCAGCCATTCGGGCTTCTTCACCCGGTCCTCGTCCCTTTGAGGGTCCCTGAGTCCCTTCAAATCGACACTCCGTGCCTCTTCTATCTCATCAGGGGTCCTGTGGCGGATGAACACAGGTTTTCCACGCCATTTGATGATGACATTCTTGCCCTCTGGGATGCTGGCAAGTTGCACCTCGGTCTTCGCGAGAGCAAGGACATCAGCCGATGCAGCCATGGTCTCCAGGAAGCCAGTAATAGTGGACTGGGCGACAGAAGCGGAGAGGACGCCGAGGGAGCCGACCATGAAGTACGACATGGCGCGGTTGGTGTTCTCGTCTTTCGTGCGGTAGGGGCTGAAATCAGGTACTTGAGGAGCATCTTTCACTGCAACGGAGGTGTGAATGAGGCGCTGGTGGAGGTGTGTTGTGGGGGGAGGAGCTAATGGCAAGAGACGCGTTTCGGTCGGCGTTAGAGTTAACAAGGTAAGTCAAGCAATGTAAAAATTTATTACTTACCGACGAATGTCTTGGAAACTAGACCGACTGAAGGGCTCGTGACGGTTCCAGTCAGACGAGTGGGGACGTCAGCACGGGGACCTGCCGCACCATGACCATGACCATGGCCGTCCGAAGGTGCTCGTGTCGCTAGGTTGAGACGTGGTGCGCTCGGAATTCCGCTTGGGAGCGCGCGCACCGTCGGTGCGAGGTTCAAGGATTTCCTGACGGCATAGGAAGCCATGTCGGACGATGCTGGGGGTAGTCGCTAGTAACTAGTAACTCTGTTCAAGCTTGGTTCAAGCGGAGTATTTTTCTAACAATCGGACGTTTACGGTCGTTGGTGTCAGTGCTAGTAAATTTCACACGGTCCCACCGATTCCGAATGCTTTCCTTCGTTCGCGACCAAGAAATAACAAAGTACTCCACTGAGGAGGCACCCTCCATGTCAGACCAGTGTTGCGTCAGGCTCTTCTTTCATTTATCGAGACGTCACCGGTTCGTTGAAGAAAACCGTCAACGCTCTGAGAGCCTCGAGATTTATAGGGTCGAGATTCGAGAAGACCTGTCAAGTCAACCGGCCTGAACTTTTAGAAATGGACGCAGGTCGATCAAATCATCTTGAACGAGTTCGACCTTTGACAGGCGCTGCTGTCTAAGCCACCTCCGGGGCTTGCAAGCGGCAGGGTCTAGAAATCAATAATATGCACACAGACACCCCGATGCCCATGTACATAGGATGGATCCAACACGAGATGCATCAGCTGGTGGATTGCCTGCTTTGACCTATATTGGTCCAGTCTTCGATTCCAGGCACTTTATACCCAAACCATCCGTCCATCCAGCTCTCCTTCATGAAGTAGAATACGATTCTCATTCCCCATTTTTTCATGAACATCCCGAAAGCACTTATTTCCCGTTTCTGGTCTCCGCGGCGGTTAGCCTCAGTAACGATCTCGTTAACTCGAGGCTGCCGATCCCTTTGGAATTGTGTGAGTACATCCTTCAGATCCGAAGATGGGTTTAGCTGGTGTTGCTGGAGGAGATATGCCAGATAGGCAGCGTCCTCAAGGCCCTGAGATGCTCCTTGACCTGAGTGTGGTGGCATCGCTAGGAGTGGCAACCTGGTCAGATGCAAATATGGCCCTCACGGATGAGGTGACATACCATGAGCAGCATCTCCCACTAACACGACGGACTTGCTGCACCAGTGCTGTAGGTTCTCAACTTCGTATACTGGCCAGACAAATGGTGCTGCATCAACGGCCTCTGCTGCATTGATTATCTGAGGAATTGGGAACGCCCAGTCTGAATAACGGCGAAGAATCTAGCATGCGAGTCTGTATGGGCATAATGTGATCTGTGTTGCGCAACTGACCTCCCCGTAAATTTGGTCCTTTGGTACCTTCCATTCTTCTTTGGAACGATCGCTGGCTTCGTACGTTGTCCACCTGCTCTACAGTAAAAATAATAACATGCTTTGACCAGTGTGCATTGCTTACCATCCAGCATATTTTTCCTTCCTGTCAAATAGAGCCATTCCGAAAAAACCGAGACGTCCATGAACCATTACGACCGGCCTTTCGAGTGTCAGATATTGTGCAAGACCAGGCACAGACGATGTGTCGATCACTCCTCCCACCCCTACCAACCCGCTATACCTGGGCTTGGGCGCAGGTTCATTCAAGGCGGCATACATCCTTCTTATTGATCAATGAAATGTTCTCGAAAAGAAGATAAATTCTGCGCACTTCGACCTAACAATACTCCAGATACCATCAGCGCCAACTAAAAGGTCCACCTTCCTTTCTTTCTCCACGCTCCCTTCACGCCAGCGAACAACGACTCCGTCAGAAAGCTCTTCGACATCTTCAACCTTAGCGTTCCATTCTATGGACAATCTCTTCTTCTCCATGGCGTCCAGCAATACTTCCTGGATGTCCCATCGCGTGATCATCGTAGAAGCAAAACCATAACGCTCCACAGAACCTTGAGGGACTTTGCCCAACAGGCCACCGGACGACTCAAACATATGCAACCACGGAACCTGGATGCCATTGGGCCGGTGATGAAGGGTTTCCGCTAATCCAAGCCCTTGAAGAACGTGCATCCCGTTCGGCCCGAGCATTACGATCCCGCCTTCGATCGACGTCGTACGACCAGGGCGACTCTCGAGTACTACAATGTTTGCATTCAAATGAGATAAGAATAGGGCTGCTGTGGCCTGGGTCGTGCGTCAGTGACCTTGGGCCAACGATATATTGATGATGTGCCACTTGCCCCACTGATGCCTCCTCCGGCGATGATGATGTTGAGTTGACGCGGCATTTTCTCACTGTGGCATTTGAAAGACCTCTCAATATATAAGTATACGAGAGATTATCTCATGTGGTTGCGTTTACTTGGTTGCGGTGGACAGTATTGTACCTTGCCGATCGAACGCGTAACATACGTTCTCGGCCGCATGTAATGGCAATAGCCCCTGTCAAGAGGTCGTGTATTCCTGGTCCATATTTGTTGATTTCTTCATTTTTAGCAAGTCTTGGGTATCGCAGAACGTAAATTGTAGTGTTCATGCTGCGTCTGATGAAAGCGACCAGTCTCAAACTCAACCGAGTCAACTCAAACTGCCCGTACCATAATCTTGCGGTAATATGTTTTCTCTATCTCTATGCTATGTCCCATACCGAGAATCTAGTGGTATCGATATCCTACAATGACAACCTATCCTTCACAACCAGAAGACTAATGCATATGCTGGTGTAAGCAGGAGAAGACACGTTGTTTAGGGTACTTAGGCGCCACCCGAAGTCCTTGTTGTTTGGCCCACCGCCTAACAACGTTTGGGTCTGATATGCATTCCGTGAGCAATTGATATGAATTGTTGTGATTTGAAACTTACAATCTGTAATAATTCCATCAGCACCGTCCTTGACGAGCTCTTCAACCCGGTCCAAGCGATTCACCTGCGATGGCTGGTGTGTAAATATTGTCTATCGTGAACAAATAGACGAGTGCTCACAGTGAAAGGTACAACTTTCATGCCGAGCCTGTGAGCTTCGGTAATCATCGCAGGAGTTGTAAAGTGAGAGGGTTCCTCATGGGACGAAAATGGCATGAGGAATGTTCCAGTAGGAGACAAAATATCTGCTTTTACAGCGTGGGCGGCTTGTGCCATCTGTTCGGACAAGGACGGGCCGGGAAATGATTCAAGGCGTAGGCCAGCCAACCACGGGGAAGTCGAGTTGCCTGGCGTAAAAACGGAGTCCCTAAATGGTGACGGTTGGCGTGCAATGCATTTGCTCGAAATTCACTCACTCATCGATAAGAGCGGAAGTCGCGAGTTTATCATCCAAATTCTTCAGCTGACAATTAAAAAAGGACAGTGAACGAGCATGAGACACAAACTTTCATGGCCACTAGAGTTCGCCAGTCAAAACTTTGATACTGGGAAGACAGTTAGAGTACTGAGTAGTAGTGGCAGTGCCCACTCACCGTAATAGATTGATAGTATGAGCTAGATGCAAATATCTTGTGTTGCTTCTGAACAAAATCATCTACGCCAGCAGTTCGATTTGGGTATTGAGGGTTTATTTTTGACTCGATATTCCAAAGGATCTGGTGCGAAAGATCTACACAGGACACGAAATCGAAGACTTCCCGTAGAGTAGATATCTGTGCTCCAGGATATGCAAGCTGGTGGGCTGTATAAAACTCTTACGACAGTAGCTATAATTCAAAAAGGGAGCACGTACGATATTTCGTTTGACGCTTTGATCCACAATCGAGGGTCTTTATTTGAGCCAAAGTGAGATCCCTGATAAACTTTCCGACATAAGGATATGCGGGGTCATCTGGGACCTATGCGCTGGTCAATCAGCCATCACAAAATATACTACGACACGGATGCTACTCACCACTGGTGCTGTGTCAGAGCACTTTTCTGCCGTTATGATTTCGTCGTGCCATACAATGACTTCACCGTCCTGTAAGCATATTCAGAAGAACGCATGACCCTGAGAAACGAGAGCTTGCCTGAGTAATACCATTATCTAGTTCGAGCGTGGTGGCGCCGTCGATGAGGCCCCTGTGACGGGAATTCGCTCAAGGTGAAGCAAACATCGACCTCATCTACCATACCATGCAAAGCTCGGTAGAGTGCTCTCAACAACGTTTCCTCTTCCTCCGCGGTGAGCCTGATTTACCGTCTGTACAAGCCACGACTTTGAGTGTACTACGCACCTGTACGTCGTAGAACCTATGATTGTTGGACACAGTTCGGAATGTACCCTGAGATGGTGATGCGTAAACCAGAGCAAGCTCTGTGATTATGAGGGCATAAACAAACGGAATGCACATGGTGAAGGGAGGTGGGTCTATTTTTCCGGTTTCAGTGCCATTGGGTCATATATGATCTCTCTCTTTTCTCTCGGATTGCTCACCGCAGCATTCCGCAAAACACCGTATATCAATAAACGACCAGTGTCGGGACGAACGTTCAAGCAAAAGACTCCGATTGTATCGAGCCGCCAGCGATTTGAACAGGTGGCACTGTCCGTCGCGTAACGGGCAAGTCCGCACGTTCACTTCCTGGCAAGGCAAGTCACAGGCTATCAGTACAGTGTGTACTGACATTCCCATATGCTTTTGCGGTTTCGTGGCTGACAGCTGGAGAAGTACACGCCATTCCGAAATTCGTAGTACTAGCACGTCATCGACTCGGAACTTCTGCACCATGGTGATAAACTATTCCGGTCGCGATTTGGTTAGTAGGAAGAAAGACAAACGTGCGTGAATCAGCGTGATACAACTCTAAGTTGCAGACCGATATAGCTTCATGCCGTAGTGGGTCCTGAGTCCTGGCGACGGGACGCGGTGGGTCACACCTTGGAGCGCTCAAGAGTCCACGGTCGGGAGAAGAAGCCAAGTTGTGCGCTAAGTATATTGAATCGTTGTTTATGTAAATTTACGACGGCGTAATATAGGCGCTGTTATATATACCTCGGACCTCGGTGCACCCTCGTTCTACTACAAGTCGTTACAACTCACACCTCATGCATCATGGCTAGGCATGTCTTCGCAAGTACCGTAATATTTTCCACCATCTTGGCTTTGTCGAGCCACGAGCGGTTGTAGATACATTCAGGATGAAGTGCGCGTTGGTCCGGCGGAATCTCCCTCTAGGTTGGCTAGCCCAAGATTCTTCCATTCATCACGCTCCATAAGTCCTCTGCAATAAATGTGAGCCAGTGAGAGCACGCAAGCAAGCATAGGCGTACTTGGTCATTCGGCAGTCAAGGTATTGTTTGCTCATGACTCTGCACGAAGTGGATTCACTAGAATTCTTGCGCAAGCAATTCATGTATTGGACCATCTGTTCCTTGCACTCGCCTGCACATCATACTAAATTAATTGTACCATGCTAAATGCAGTGAGGCGAACCGTCATGGTCCAGAGGAAAGGAACCGCGATCTGGAGGGGAAGTCTTGAATCCAACGTTAATTGACGGTGGGCGTCCAAAAGACATGTGCGTGAGAACTGGCGCTTAAAAATATTTAACCTATGAATGAACGTTAATGAACGTTTACAGTTACTGTACTACTAACGAACGACCTTACACAGTACCTACGAACGTGCTACAAAGTCCGTTGGCTGCTACGCCGATCTTATAGGAGACCGGGCTGATGAAAGCACGCCCAGCAAGAAAAGCGGCTCCGTCACATCTATGATCTTGAATTAATACTCCTTTGCACAAGTCAACAACTTGGCTATGGTGCAGTCCACCCTCCCGCGTAATTTTATTTCGCTTCGCGTGTCCCGTGACCTTCATCTTCGTCACTGCTAGGATCATCGTCGCGACCATCCTTCTGTGCGGACGAAGTGCTTGCTTGTTGGGAGCTGCTAGCTTGTGAGCCGCCGAACGCGCCCCTTCTTCTGCTTTTTAATAGCACGATTTCCTTCAACCAGCTATTCTCTCGTCGCAGCTCCGATGCCTCGCGCTCTAATTCCTCGGTCCTGCCGGTCAAGTCGGCAACACTTCGCTCCAGGTTGAGCGTCTTCTGCTTCTTTTTGGTCCGGAATCTGGCTAAATGGAGGGTCTACATTCAGATCCAAGTGCGTCGGCAGTGGGAGAATCACGAACCTGAAGCAGTCGTGTTTCGTCTGCGCTTATCTTCAGCAATGGCAGCAGCTTCGTCCGTCATATCACCTGGGTCTGAAATGGCCGTATTTGATGGTGCAAACGCTGGAGGCTCATTGACCGTGCTTCTAGAATTAGGGAAGCCCGTCATCATAGCGGGGGAAACATGTGAAAGGGGTGCTGTAGATGACATCGCAAGGGGTGCATTGGAGTGCATGGTTTGGGGCACATTGGGGAAAACTGAGGACGAAGAACCCGCCGGGAATTGTCCTTGATGGTATGGTGACGATTGGTTATGTGCTACTGGGGGTGGAATAGCTCCTTGCATGGAAATCAATGCATGGATGAGATAGTTGTATGCCTCAGGAGGGACATGAGGTGGTGTAGATCCGTGAAAGTGATGTCCTGGCAGATATGTCTTGTAAAACTGTCAGTCAAACTCAAGAGTTGGAAAAACTTGTGAAGTACTACCCCTGTATTTTCAGTGGACTGGTTGACTGGCTTTGATGATGTATGATCGCCACTATTGGAGGATGCCTCCCCTTGTTTGCGTGAGCCATCCATGTCACCTTGAAATACGATACGTTCCCAATTGGCGAGCTCTGCTTGTATGTGTTCGAACCTGAGTGAATGAAGTTGTTCGTAGGTGATAGAATTGTCTTGGGAAGGAAACATGGCGAGAAGAAGCGCCAACCCAACGATAAAGACACATTGTTTCTGAACCCAAATCCACTAGGAAGCGAAGGTCGCGGTGCACTATTTCGCAATCCCTTCTCATGATGGCGACACTAGGAGTGGCTTTTCCAAGAACTGAATGCCATTACGTAAGGAAGTTTAAGATTTTAAAAGTCTACACGGACTCTAAACGCTCAGCAGCGCTCAGCACTCCACTAGTTTGAATAGAGCAACGAAAAACTGACGTTGATCAGTATAACGATGTTGATCAATACATTGCTGCATTGTGTAGCCAAGCTTAAGGTGAAGAGCCTCGGTTATTGAACAAAAAGCAGGAAAGAGTCCGAAAGACATACGTAGGGCTTAGTCAGCGACGGGTGATCATGATGCTCAGGCTAAAGTGGCCAGTTGTACTGGATTACGCGTTCCTCCTACTACAAGACATCCTACCACCCTTGAATTAGGGAGCTGATATGGTTAGTGCTGAGCTCTCCCTGTTTCGCAGTATCTCACTATCCGCGTAGTTGTTGCGAATCAGGTCAAAGGATGGAAACTTTCGTTTCGAACTCCCCCCAGCCGCTGACATTTCATTGCTCGTGAACAAGGTCAGCGATGCCAGCCATTCTTGACTCACACCTAAGACCTCCAAATTTCAGATCCTAGAGACCACTGTGGATGCCGATCCTGCATCTATCACGGTCTCAAATCAGCCCAGGGGCAATGAAACGTTAGTGTCCACACTGAAGGGGCGAAATCTGCAAGTCCTTGGGCTGAAGTAAGTAAACTCCTATGTTTCCTGTATTTTGCGGACTTAATCAGGACAGACATGGGGACATGATATTTGTGGGATATTCTACCAAAGTCTCAGAAGTTCCCACAGCACCAATGTCCATCAACGCACCGAGCTCGACGCGACTGCAGTCAAATATATGGGAAACTGTACAAGAGGATGCGGTCGACACCTATTGGCGCTCGAAAGACGGAAAAATTCCACGGGGTCGTGATGCGCGTTTCTGCAAACACGGTGTCAACGGAATGTGTGACTACTGCATGCCACTCGAGCCATACGATGCTGCGTATCAGAGTGAACATAACATAAAGCACCTATCGTATCACGCGTATCTTCACAAGATATCGCCAAAGACATCATCCGCTGCCGCCTCTGGTGTTCCTCCCCTGTCTCCATTATCATACAAGGTTAAAGATCCGTGTCCCAGTGGCGGGCACCTGCCTTGGCCAGCTGGAATATGTACGGGCTGTCAACCCTCTGCAATTACGCTACAGTCTCAGCCGTTCCGTATGGTCGATCACCTGGAGATCGCTTCACCGGAAATTATAGAACGCTTCCTCAAAGCATGGAGATCTACAGGATTGCAAAGATTTGGCTGGCTCATCGGACGCTACGAGCCATATGAAAAGGTGCCCATGGGTATCAAAGCTGTGGTCGAGGCTCTATATGAGCCGCCTCAAGAAGGTGAAATCGACGGATTGACTCTTGGTATTCCATGGGAGGACGAGCCTCGCATTCGAGAGTTATCCAAGATGGCTTCGACTCCATTGTCTATCGTCGGTTACATTTTCACAGACTTGAATCCAGATCCAGAAGATAGGACTAAAAGCATATATAAACGCCACCCTCATTCCTTCTTTGTATCCTCCCTGGAGGCCATCTTTGCTGCCACTATACAGAAGGCCAACCCCACCCCTTCACGCTCATCCCCTAGTGGATCATTCGGATCACGGATGGTCACCGCTATTCTTACAGCTACGGAAGACGGAAAAGTGGACATATCCGCGTATCAAGTTTCCGAGCAAGCGTGTGCGATGGTGGACGCTGACATGATCGAAGCCAGCGTGGAACCCGGAATTGTTCGTATCAAAGAGGAAGACCGCAGTCAGGATGCGGGACGTTACGTGCCCGACGTATTTTTTAGGTATAAGAATGAATACAACCTCGAAGTGAAGAAGACTGCCAAACCCTGCTTCCCGGTCGAATACCTCCTCGTTAACGTGAGGCTTAGCAACGGAATTGGGTATATATATATCGCTGAGTATGGGTTATTTCACAGGTCACGCATGGTTTCCCCCAGAGTCCATCACCGCTGTTCCGCTCAAACCAGTTCTCCATCGAGAACCGCCCAGGACTTGAAAACCAACACATAGAAGATGTGCTCAGGACCTTTGCAAGGCTTGGCGCTCCTCAGCTGTCAGACAGTCCCCTTACATCAGCGAGCGATGCATCAAAACGTCTGGAGCTCGCTAAATGGCTCAGTGATTGGCATTTGCTTGCATTCCTTGAGACCACACAACTTGTGTCAAAGGTATGACATGAACTTGTAATAGTCCCCAGATCTCTTCCCTGACATCTTGAAGGCCGACATGAAAGTTCTCGTCAGCACAGTGACTTCACCATCATTATTGGAAGACCCTTCGGCACTAGACGCACTATTCAAGACCGAAAGCTGGCAGACACTTATGACTTTTACCCGAGAGAGTGCTCGTAAGTGTAATTGTCAATCACTGAATATTATTTCTTATCTAGATCTTTTACCAGCATCATTGCCGTCCGCATCCGCACCTGGTCCGTCATCGTCGCATATTGACGAAGACATACCACAGGACGTTTTCGATCAAATCGCTGCCGAGGAAGCGGCTGGAAGGGGCGGTCCTAGCGGAGCGAGCTCAGGCATCAAGATTTGTCCACATTGTACATTTGAAAACCCTCCGGGAGAAACGGATTGCGAGGTGTGCGGATTGCCCTTGGGCTAATGGTTGACAATGGAACGAAAACGTCGTGAAGGAAGAAGAGAGAAACCATGTATCACTAGATTGCAAAGTGTAACATCGGGAATCATGAACAGGGGGAGACGAAGAGAAGTCAATGTTGCAGAATCGCCGTGCGAAAAATGTTGTAGAAACGAACTGAGTCCACGAGTGAGATGCGGATCCGGGATCGCATTAGTGAAATATCGTAATGGGAAGAAATAGTATCCGACAAAGATAAACCAAGCCAAAATCCAGAATAGCAAGGGGGTCCAGAAGTCACCGCGCAAAAGGAGGCTCTTCATGCAAACACCCACCATCCAGCAAATACAAGACCGACCAGCACACCAATCGCACGAAGAACCAAGACTACGAGTAAAGCCTTGCGAACCGCAGCGTAGAATGTATTCAGTGCTGTGCCCGACCAGTTGACCCTGAAAATTGTTTCATTAAAATGCACCAGATTTCAATGGGGATTCCAAGTACCGTCGAACATTAGAGCCTCCTTCGCGTACACTGGCTTCCCATCCACGCACAACTTCACGATAACGCTTTCCAAAAACCCTAAGGGGATATCGTTTCAGTGCCTACAGACGATGTTTAAAGTAGACCCACCAGATCCAGAAGTTGACATCCGGATAGGAGAAACGAGGGAAGACACTAGCTAGGCTGGGTGCAACAGCATCAATGCGCATCCCTTCACCCCCTACAGGATGGAAGGGCAGGTGCAGACTAGGCAAGGAGACTTTTTGCAAATCTTGAGATGCCAACTGTTGATTGAGAGGTGACGGGGGTGGTATCATGGTCGCCATCAAGTCGAGAGTCATGCCAAGGGAAAGGCCCCATAGCTTGAGTTGATGTCGCGACTTATTTCGGTCCTTCCCTGAAAGCGACTTGGTAGCGGTGAATCCTTTTTCGAGCTTGTCCTGCGTCAGTGGAGGGTATGGTGCGCGATTTGGGAGTGCAGCAGAATTACTCGAGCTTGTGGATGAGCCTGGTATTGCGTCGGACTCTGGAAGATCGAGTAATATGGCGGGGAACTGCATGCTGCCTATGAGAACCCTGACTAATATTTTCAAGATGGCGGCACGTCGAGGTGTGAGCCTGGACGCAGCATCCACGGTCACGCTGGACCACCTGCTCTTTGCGTTCATCTTGTCGACTATACTTCCTGGCAAAACTGCGCTAGCAAGAGTCTCAAGTGGTACCCAGTGGATCGTGGTTCCGTCCGTTGGGTCGGTGGGGAGTGGATTTGGAGTGAGCTGCAGGAAGACGAAAGGAGAGAGAATCATGAGGAGTCGCTTGCCAAGCGATGTAGTAATCTCTCTATCATCGAGTTGACCTATACAAAGGAAGTCACGCTCTGCAAGGTCCAAGCCAATCTCCTCCCATGTTTGCCGCATGGCTGCCAGGAGGTCGGGAGGTGAGAAGAAGTCAAGGAAGTGGGTGGAACGAATGTACCTGTGTAAGAACCTCCTTCATCCCCCTCTTCAGTTCGTCCGCCGGGGAAAGCAACGTGAGCTCCAGCCTTGCCACTGCCTTTCGAAGTCCCATCGCCAGTGAAGTTCTGGAATGCGGATGCACGCCCTGGAACTGCGTCAGAAGGGCCTGCGCCATCACGTCTCAAAAGAAGAAATTCTGGGCATGCAAGAGGGTCCTTGACCCAATCCAATTCGAAGAATTGGTTTAAGGTTGGAAGAGGGGTGTCATCTGGGACTGGGACGGTATTGGGGGGAGGGACTACACGTATAATGATGGCGACAGCGGCCCGGCGAGGCTCTTTGGGATAAACAAGTCAGAAATAATAGATTCATAATAGATCATGATATGACTCACGAGTTGCTGGCGAAGCAATTATGCGAGGAGGAGTCGTGCGGATTCGGTGAAGGGCACACGACAGCAAGCGTACTACCGAGTCCGATTTTTCTGCGAAAGTCGGGGTGTAAGTAATAAGGATTGTTTGACTGCAAGATCATACCCTGGGCCATTTCGTTACAATACTTTACAAGTCGTTCACGAAACTAGTACTGGAGTACTGCAGCCTGAGGGCAAAAGTACTTGGCATGCACTTGAAGTCAGAATGCCGGAAAAGGACATCCGCCACTCGTGAACATCAAGACATCTGACACCCTGTTCCTCAATTAAAATATTTATATCATGATGTGAAGCGCTCATAAGTACTGTGACTAGGTGCCTCCCTAAAGGCAGACGCTGATATTATGTACAAGACAAGCTAGATCCTATTTGCCAGCGGGTAGACCTTCCGGTACGTATTCTAGAGGTAATTCCGCCAGAGATTGAGTATGAGCTTGGCATTTATTGAGGCCAATAATCATTGCGCCATTGATGATCACCGATAGCCATGGTGGGTAAGATATCCATGCCACGTCATATGATAGCTGCGCCAGAGGCACATGTTGCCTGTTGGTGATAGACACGCTTGGCGTTAATGCGCACTTAAAGACAATGATAGACTTACTCATGGAGCGCTGAAAGCGCAGCACATCGTCAGTTAATCATTCGATAACGGGAAGGCGTGGGCCGTGCACTGCTTCAGGATGTGCTGAAAAGGATCCGATATCATTCTAGAGGCTTTGTTGAGTAGAGGATTAACCGAGAAGGGGCTGCATGCGAACAGGCAGGCTCGGCCGCAGACGAAGAGAAAAAATGGAATGGGTCACAACTAGGGTCGTTGTCGTGATTATGAGGGTTTCTCCTAAGGGGCCGGACCAAGGTGGGAAATGGACAAGCTCAATTAGGTGAGTAACGGGTACTGGCTGGGGCGTACTAGCTTGCAGTGTTAACTCATCACTCCGACTCTTTCCTGCACTTTTCTTGTTACCTTCTCTTCACACGTCCTCAGTATAAAGGACTCTTTTCTATAACTTTCCGCTATCCAAGCGATCCTCGCCTCCAATTTCATTCTAGTAAATAATCACATTTTCACTCCTAAGCAGACGAAATGGGGATGAAGTATCGTCGTTATCTCGCTGGCGAGCGCATATATGGCTGCTCCAAGTGCAAGACCCATCTTGCAACGATCCACTCTATGATATCACGAGTGCGTCCCCACTCTTATTCTGCGTCTCAAACTTCATTGTGCTGATGCGGCTATTGTCAGGCTTTCAATGGCCAGCATGGTCGTGCATATCTCTTTGATGGCGTGTGAGCTTTGAGTTGGTACTAACGTTGATGTTCATCTCACTGATCCGATCCCAGTGTTAATGTCATAGAAGGCGAACCAAATGACCGCCAAATGACCACTGGGAACCACACTGTCCGCGACATCTATTGCGTCAAGTGCGCCACCGTCCTCGGCTGGAAATATGTACGTCATGACATTTCATTGCATAATCCTTCTCATTCCTTGCTTCTGTCGTTCAAGGACCGTGCCTACGAACAATCGCAGCAATACAAGGAGGGCAAATATATACTCGAGCGAAACCTTCTCGTCGATGTTCAGTAGCCGAAATGCCTCCGGTTCCTTATCTGCCAGGCTACCAACCACACAATCAAGATTCAACGCGACACACGATTACAACGAACAAACGGAACATCACGACATTATTTGTTGACCACTCGTTGACCGTCCTGGTCTCATCACAACACAACACAACATTTCCGTCTTCGAAACAAATTCAGGACTGTCATGCTTAAACCGTTATATATGTAGATTGAAGATTTTACAGATGCAGATGGCAGATGTGGAAGGATTTGGCGGAGGCATTTGCACGCATCGGTCATCATCCTGCCCCAGCCACCGCCATTCAAATCTTCTTCTGCACGAGGCACGTACCACGCAGCTCACGCACTGTGTACCTCCCATGGCGCCATCTTACATCGTGCCACTATGATCCACCTTATGATCTCCGCGGTCACCCGACTTGAAGAGATGTATTCTGCACCACTCTGTCTCCCCCCTTTATTGTGTACTTACTATCTCATCGCATCTTCATTTTTAGTCTTGCCCTTAATTTTTTTTCAATGTGCTTATTTAGAAGCATGGCATATCCTGTTCTCAACACAAATTTCAATTCCGCATTGCTCGTTATCAGTATGGATATCTCCTCAAATATATCTCACCTTAATATCAATACATAGATCGTTATTCTGGCAGGTAGTGATAACACTACAGTCGTTTTGAAGCAAAGGTTGTAAATCATCTCCACGTTGGGCCTAGGCCTATATGTATTTCCACAATTCCAAAGGACACGGGGATCGGAAGAAGTAGTACTGGATTGGAACTAATATTCCCCAGCACTTTCCGTAAATGAGATGATTAATATGGAGTTCGGGCAGTACACTGCGGCCTGTGGCCTTCCAGTATATCAGCCAGCCGTGGGGCAAGGGTATAGGGCTTGATGATGACATGAATTGGACAGCGAGAACTCCACGCAGACGTGAAAACGTTGACTGGTGTAATTACATGACTGGGTTTGGGGGACGTCGTGTCGACTCGTCGAGACTCACATGCTGGCACTCTATCAGTACGAGCCAAACACGGCAAGTAAACGTACATACCGTAATAGTACTAAATTTCCCCAGGAAAACAGTGAGCATGGCGGTTGATGGTCATTTTAAAGCTGCAACTGCTCACGAAAGCTTACCCCGAGATTCACGCGCTGTAGCCTGCTGTAGCGGCGTTAAGCAGAGGACTGGCCAGTGGCAGCTAGAGCCACATGATTGATAGTTGTCGAGTGCACTGGGGTTGGACATAGCGTCACACGGCTAAAGCAGATTTGGTAATCGAACGAATATAGAAAATCCCCAAGATGTCGTAGTTGATATGAATTGGAGTTTCTTTGCGGTCCCCACCCCAGAGGATTGCAACAAAGTATATATAAATACCTTCAAACGACCGCCACGTCTGCGACGCGACGTCTTCACGGTCTTTCACTTCCCTCAGTACTATTTCCACCTCGACTACCGTCGTAGCTACCCGTAGAAATTCGACAGTCTACCTTAGGGTTGTCATTCGCGCTATTCAACATAATGCGTATGTTCAACCCTTGACAGCTATACATAGCTGTAAACTAACACGTCCCTCCCAGCTGCAATGTCCATGTCTGCAGTACACCCTGCCCTTAGATCATCAACTCCCATGCCATACGTTTCTTCACCACTCGCTGCATCGTCAATGAACCCCCCTTCTGGCCCCTCGAGAGCATCGCCTATGCGACCATCATTCCCTCACTCTCGGCCTTTGCGACCATTCGGTTCAATAGCACAAAACCGCTCGTCGCTCTCATCAAAAAAACCTGTCAAGTTCATAGAACCACCAAAGAACTCAAAGACAGTCTTTGTACTTGACTTGACCCAGGGAGAGCTTAGCAGGCAGGATTGACCTTGCGGGATACATGTGTTGCTCTTGCACTAGACTCATTGGAATACCCTGGACGCATAGATCGACCGCCGTTCGGCGTATCGCCCCAAACCCTTTCCCCCAATGTTGTATGATCGGTGACTTCTGTTTATTTCAAGGTTCCTTTTTTTATCTCGGTATATAACTCATTCCGACACAGTACTGCACACTAGCATACATTGGGTTTCCTTCCACGCATTAGTTCCATTCCACTACTCGCCTTCATCACGATGCGTATCATTCCACGTTCCACACACACTCCCGCCGCCTGTTCAACTACGCATACCCTATCACAATGGGAAATTTGTTGTTTGTCTTATCTCTGCGGGGGAGACAGTATCTCAATTCTTTCCCAACATCACGCCAACTACGGTGACTTTTTAAGAAAGCATTTGTCCCTGCTGATCTGCGCTTAAGTTATCTGACAGTTGACTTGTGCTTTGCCACGTCTTATTTCAAGGCTTGATCCCAGCGCCTTCAGCGAGTTTATTTTGAAACGGGCACACTACTGGTGGAAAGCAACTTTTCCCCATTGCGTCACGTGATGTGAGCTGACCCTTCAATCCTCGGGAGAACCATCATGCATTATGCGATGAACCTTTGATACGGGTATTACTCCGAGGTATGCGTGGAATTTCGCAAGAAATTCAACGTATGTGCGGAAATAAAGCTCATTTCTGCATCATATCAGTCCGGATATTACAAAACTCCCTTTTTTTCCAGACGTGAGTCAAACATAAGGTTGCTTGACTATGAAATTGGTACTTTTGAATGGCCAGAAAGAGATTTGAACATCGCTTGACGGGCCCTGCATTATCAGTGCACCCACTTGACAGGTACCAAAGGTAGCTGCTTTGAAAGGGCAAGATAGGCCACGGTGGGTAGTCGGCGATACAGGCTTTGTTACTGACGTTGATATCCGGGTCATCACCAGGGGGCTGACCAAATTTGCACGACGTCGACATCCTACTGGGGTATGTGTGCCTCATCTATGACATGCTGACTACCTCTAAACTGCGAGTACAGTTACTAATGAGTTCTATGTCTTGCGCCGCTGACGCTGTATTCGTCACCTATCTTCGAGCTGACGTGGAGCGAACCGGGATTCTAACGCGCCATTCTGCGGGGTTCCGGGAAATTGCAGCCTACCCAGGCCTACCCCTACCTTTGAACTTACAATCATTGGTAATCTCCGCAAGAATTCTTGCGCTGTTGACGCCGTATTCGGATCCCATCAAAAACTCGATACATAGCGCAACTGCTAAGAACGAACCCAAGTTTCATGTGTTCGCCCATTCCGTACTAACTTTATTGTTCCGCTTTACAGGGAAAAATTATCGCCGCTCGAACCGAAGAGACTCTTGACGAACTTCCACTGAATTGCTCACTGGTTCCGCTTACTCAATTTCCCAGGAATCCTCCCCCCGTACTCAGCAATCCGCATGACTCATACATACTGAGTTGGTGAGCCAATTGTTTTGTTCCGAGGGGGTGGGTGTTTGTCGCAGACGTAATGGATGAATTGAATGCCTGGAGGCATGCTGTGGCTTTTTTTTCTCAGTAATTCAATCGTCCCTGTGAAACTGAGTGGGCATTGCGCTGTGCTCCGGTGTCAATAGCCACACCAGTGGCAGTATACAAGTAACTATTCTAACAGCTGTGTCTGGATCTTCACTTACGTCCTTCATTTTCGCAGACAAGAGATAACAACATCTTATCATATCGAGATTCGAGAATACATCATCTATAATCGGCTGCCGCACGAGGAACTAATATACAAGTTCCTAGGCGCTCTAGTAAGGCACAATGCTCCCAATAAGTGAACGAGTGTTGGAAGGGTTTGAAAGCGGGTTGTCTGGAATCTGGACCAACCATTGCCTCTTCTGAGCCCGTTTCAGAGCTTACTCCATGGACACGCGCGAAAGGCGTGCCGTTACAGTTCCTTCCAAAGAAGTGATCGGAAAAGGACTTCCGAAGCTGCGTTATGTAGTTTCCTCAGTTGTGGTTTCGAACCAAAAGGTCATATGTTTGTGCGCCAATCATTACCTTCTTTTCTTCCCCGTTCCCAAATAATATTCTCACCCAGACCCAGTGACAAAAAAAAAGAACTTGAAACTTAACTTTACCAATCGGTGGGGATTTCGGGAGAACGCGGTCCAATTGGGCAGGAGAGGGCATGTATTGTTATTCTTTACTTCCCACTCGTAAATGAATCTGGGGATTGCAAATGTCAATCTGGCAGCTTGCAAAGGTCGAGGGATGTTTATTGGCCAGTCCTCCGTGCACGTTGGCTGGGGCACGGGTCTTGGCTCTGGGCACTTGCGACTCGTGAGCCAAGGAGAACAGACAAAGTGGAACTCCCCGCTGATTAGCGCTGACTCCTGAGTCCTGGCATATCCAGCCCTGTGCAGCCGGGTCCAAGATGATTCCGAATCAGACATTTAGTCTGATGCTAAGAGCAATTCGGCAAGAATCGGCATCTTTGTGGAACAGCTAAGCAGAAGTATTAACGACGGCGAGGTTTTGAAGGGCTTTAACGAGTGCCGCTGCGGTACCCCAAAAAATGAGCGTGTTTATCGGATAACCCACATTTTCAGATGTGGCGTTATGACATTTGTCGGCCGTTTACCCTTCGAGTCGCAGGCTGTTGTAGGAAGCCCCCTAAAAATCACCTCAGGCTGGACCAGTGCCGCCATGCTAATTTCGAGTCTACATCAACCTCACTGCGGTGTTCCTGAATATGCAGCGCGTAGTATTAGCAATGACTCAAAATCTGTCTCGCTTGCTCACCGTCTACGCACGCCAGAAGCACTCTCGAAAAAGTCTTTGACTCGTATAATTGCTCATCGCAATCTAGTGAGAATCGCTGGCCCGGGTTGACACCGTCGGCTGTGATGAGATCAAAAACTGTCCAACAGGCATGATCTCTGCATAAGCTAGCCGATGTCAACCTGTCGAACTTTGACAATACTTTGACACGACGCGCTTTGCCTGTAAAACCTAATTTCGATCCATTTGGGTGACTCGAGCAAGTGAGATGTCAATAAGTATTGTCATACGAACGAATTTCCTACGATGGATACTGATTTAAGGTGCCGGAGAGGTATCCGCAAAGTTTATAAGGTTTATGCCTTGACGAATTCAATTAACTGGCCGAGGAGGCTTAGCGACTATCCGTCACCGCGTGTCCTCGCATGTCACCCACGAGTCAATTAGACCCGGGAGTATCGTGTCGTGACGACATTGAAATCACGTCCAAGTTACGTGGCTTGAACTGGGATGGGAAGTTTTCATCGGCCAAATGATCCTGCGACGGAAAGAAAACGGGGTGCGTTCATCAATGACGGTAAGTGCTCTCCTACCGTATACTCGTGGCTGAGTCACACTAGGCCACACTCGGAGACACATACTTGGGCGCAGCTTGCCCTGTATCCCGTCAAATGCGCCGTCGAGGATATTCGATGGAATGTTGATACGTAACATCCCATTGTGGCGGTGGCGCGGATCGTCATCGCTCGTAAAGCCCATGATGTGGCGACGTGAGGGTTTGTAAGAGCTCTAGCCAGAGAGGACGGCATAAATACAGCCGTGACTCGTGGATTGGCGGTCTCTAAAATCTGTACCGAAAACGAGAACACACGAGGAGATCCAGTACCTCAACGTCATCCGTGGAGGCGAGCTTCAACTTCAGGTAGATTACAAGGTTTATATGTCTGTAAAAGGCCCATCATGGTGGAGGCAGTTCTGCAGAACTCCCCTCTTCGACCTGAATACGATGTATAATACGATGCTTTGACGAGCGCTTATTGAGCGCGTACCTTCCAAATCCAGCTCGGCTGTGCGGTTAAAAGTCACTTTTTCCGACGTGGCAATAAAAGACGATCGATAGTTAACCGTCGCGGGAAGGTCACAGGGGGTCGCCCAGTTTTATGGCTATCTGATGGCGTTCCTTGACGGTAAGAGCCTCGCAGATCAAGCTGAATCATTTGGGCGAGCAATGTCCAAAGATGGCCCTGAATATTGTGGGTCAGCAGCGCTCAAGCTCAAGGCCTAACCCAATGAATAGTCAAGCAAATTCGACGACGACCCCAGATAGCCTCAGATGTGCGCCCTCCTGCGTAGGAGCTGAGCGCTGTCATATATCAAAAACTGGAGGTGAAGTGTTATGAATGGGTTGAACTGAGAGTTGCATCCGGAGGATAGACAATGACCGGATGAGAGAACTCGGAGCCGCGGCGGAAGGTCGATATGCACCCTGATATATATTGGGTTATCTCCTTATGTTTTATCGAGGACTTAATGTCTCCCATCGCAGTTCGACTAATGCAGGCACGAAGGATTTGATACTAGGTTGGTAAAACTAGATTTAAACGGATCATGAAAAGGACAAGTTCTTTGTGGACTGGAGTGTGCGACCGACGATAAGGAAGGAGAGCGGAATGCCTAATTTATTGTATGGCCAAAATGGGAGTCTGACGGCAATTAATTAGGTTAACGGCAATTGTCACACATTCGATTTAAGAACATTGCTTTATAAGGATCATTTTATGGGTCAAAACTAGCGGAGATGTCCGAGAATGGAGACAGCCGGGCGGTGATGAGTTAATACTAAATAAATATAAAATAATATTTGATAAGTATTTTGAGGTAATTTTATGGAGGGGTGGCCAAGGAGGTTTGCAGTGCACTGAAATACTTGGAAGGAGGCGTAAACCAAGCTTGACATCAACGCCGTTTCTTTCTCTCCGCTTCCTTATACTCCTTTCTCTAAGTCTCGAGGCCATTTCCGCGCCTTTCTTTACGACCATATACGATCTGCACGACTTCTTCCTTCTCTGTCACTCCAACCTCATCTCTTAAGGTATCCCTATATACTCACTTTCTCCGGCTTCAAACTCCATTTTCGGCTTCTCAAGGTACATACATCCCCTGTACCCTCTCTTCCTGCAGCAATTCACTTCTGACAACAGAACTCGTGTCCCATCTCTTTCGATCATACTCAAGGTAATCCTTCTTCGCTTGCTTCCAAACAACTATTATTCATAATCTATCATTTACAGCTATGGATAGCTGGAGGGTTGCTGTGCTTGGTGATGGTGGTGTCGGTAAAACTGCTTTGGCCGTTCAGGTCAGTCCCTGCAACAACATTCTTCCTCACCCACACCTCATGTTCCCTCATAGTTCACACTCAACTGTTTTGTTGGTATGCACAACTACCCTCCACTTTCTATTCCAATCTAATAACCTCGATCATTTCTCGCATAACGTTATGTAGAGGTATGTGTTCGTGTTCGCCTTCTTGTATCAATTGACTCATGGCCCACTCCCAGACTTACGACCCGACAATAGAAGATGCTTATAGGAAGCAGTTAATTGTGGATAACAAGATGTGCTTCGTCGAAGTCATCGACACTGCTGGGCAGGGTGAGTAGTAACCATTACAACTTTTGGCATCCGCCTCATGTCCACGCAGAGGAGTACGCCACACTGCGTGACCAATGGGTTCGGTCCGTGATTACCACACTCTTTTGTTTTAGACATGTCTCACTCTCTCATAACTTTAGGGAAGGCCAGGGGTTTATTCTGGTCTACTCCATCGCATCACGGTCAACATTTGACCGGCTGGACGTTTTCAGACAGTCAATGCTCAAGGTCAAGCGCCAAAAACCTATCTTCATGCTGGTGGGCAACAAGTGCGACAAGACATACGAGCGTGAAGTCTCACGTGAGGAGGGCATTGCACTCGCCCGGTCATTTGGCTGTGAATTCATGGAGACATCAGCACGAACAGCATATAATGTCGAGCTTCTCTTCACCAACCTAGTACGTGCCCTACGGCAGACGAAACGATTGGAATCTGGTGGATCAGGGGGAAAACAACAGGGCGACAAGACACCAAAGGACGGTAACAAGAAACCCAAATGCGTGGTTATGTGAAGGACATCTTCTCGGGTTATTGGCGACTTAGATTTTCATCCTCCCTTTACCTCTGTTTGATGATACCTCCACGATTCTGCTTTGTTCTTCTCGCTCGCTTTCGGGCTATCATGGTTTTCTTCTAGCTACAATATCACACGTCCCACTCCTCACGCTGTGACTTACGCGATCTAGTCCGCGATGTATTTTGCAATGCACTGGCAATCTTCTGGTACAGGCTCACAGGTTTGATGAATTTCGTTCCTGGACTACGCAATTGCTGTGGTCAGACGTTCCCACTGTGCCGCAAGGTGATATCCCATGCGCTTTTCGGCACGTCAACGAACACGACTGCACCAACGTTGGTTGATACGCGCTGCCCTATAAGACACAAGTAAGTCAGGGGTGGAGGGCATTCGCTAATTTTTGATATGTTTAGTGAAAATATCAATACCTCCAGAAGCTATGTTGATACCAGCGGCTCGCTGGCAGTCGACGCAAAGTTCCACGTTCGCTCACTGCCTGATGGCACAGAGTTTCAAGTGAGCCGCCATGCCATTGAAACATGCGATGTATTCCGTATGTCGAATTCCATCTCTCATGCATTATGGTTTACTCACAGTATCGTTAAGGGAATATGTTTGCATGCTGTGACCAAGGTTTCGAATTAGTGGGCGACGACGACGAGCCTGCAGGGTCCCAGGAAGCAGTTCTCGACTTGGATGAAACAGAGCAGGCTTTAGCAACTTTGTTCCGCCTCATTCAACGACCCCCCGACCCTCCCCCGATGGAGAATTCAGACGGAACGAGACCTCGTTTCAAATTGGACGCGGGCTCAGTCATTCCGTTCCCGGTTCTTCCATTCATGCTTCATCTGGCTGATAAGTATGGACTCCCGGAAACAATTGTCTGTTCACTACACTTGCACGTGCAAGCCAACGCCTCATCAAATCCACTCCCCGTTTATGCATATGCCACAGCACATAACTTGCCGAAGATTGCGGCAGAGGCAAGCGCTCATCTGCTCCATCCCCCACTATCATCATACACCAAAGAGGATATACAAATCATTCCCACTGTCACCGCATATCACGAGCTTCTGAGGCTCCATGAATACCGGAAATATAGACTGCGAGATATCCTGCTGAAAGAGGACATTTTCCCGCACGGATATGGCACTTGTCCTGTGCACAAGCAGTGGGCCACCCAACTCTGGGAACAGAAGCGGGTGTACCTGGCCACCCAAATCGAAGCAGGTGTGCAAATCGTATGCGCATCTCAATCTCGCTTACTGACGGATGAAATACAGCTACTGATATAGCGGGGGAGATGGGTGAATTGGCCGGCCAGCTTTCGTCTTGCTCTCTGTGTCATAAGGCTTTGACAGCCGCTGTGGAAATGCTTCAGGTAAGACCGAAACGAATAGCTCATCACATGCGACCATTCTGATCTCTAACTTGTATGAATGCAGTATAAATGCCGGAAAGTTGCAAGGACCGTAGATTACGTGCCACAAGATTACTGGCTCTGTCCAATCTAATAGATATCTGGATCACATGTAAGATAGTACCCGCATGCGCAAATGACATCTGCACTCGCCGTGAAAATGTGTTGCCCCTCTATGTATTATGCCACAACAATGTCCTGAGATCTGTCCATACTTCGGAGTCACGATAAAGGTATGTCATCGAGTTGAACATGCCAGGTTGAATAGCCTCTCCACGGTGCTGGAACAGCCACATGACGGCACCCCAAGATAGAGCCGCGAAGACGGAGAAATACCGTGGGTCTGGCGGGATAGGTCTCACCACAGATCCAGACGCGCCTGCAGGTGCTTTCGAATACGGAGTACCAGCGCGTGGCATGAAGGAAGCGATGACTCGAGATACCACGTAGAGGACCATCTAAACGGAAAGTCGACACTAGCAACGCACAGGAATGCATTTGAAATACCTGCTCGTTTACGGCTGATCTATCGCCGAAGACCACGTATCCTCCCAACAAACCAGCAACAAATGTATCCGCGCTGCGCTGCTTCCCTCCGTTGGCCTTTCGTTGAAGCAATAGCAGTGTCTTGTAGAGTGAAACGAACTTTGCTAGGTTGAAGGCGTGCTGCTTGGTCGCTTTGTAAATCACAAGAAGGCGAGATTTCCAGCTGAAGAATAGTGGTCCAGCAGTGAACTCGACTCTAAGTGCAGAAAAAAAACGTACTCTCCTCGACCAAAAAGAATGGCCATGATCAACGCATGAGGAAATCTGACTTTGACTCCGTACACGAAACCATTGCGTGCACCTTTCACGATGGCAAGGTAGTCGTGCAAGCGGGGGTCTGATAGCCAGGGAGTAATACTGGACATGGTTGTATGCCAGCTGGAGGCATTGACGAGAATTCTTAAAGAAAGAACTTTGGGTGGAACGCCTACGGACCGGCCGTACAATCACATGTAAACCGAGACTCGTGCACAGGTCACACTAAAAAGGAACTACTATTAGTACATACATAAATGACTACAAATCTACGGTCCAAGGAAGAAATCATCCAGGAATGAGAACTTTGATATCGGACACCACTCGAGCTACATGTCAAGTCAGCAGACGGGCCACAGATCAAGAAACTATATCACATACCCCCGATCCGCCTTCGGGGAGGCTGCGAGTCTCCTCAGATGCAGCTCTGATAATCACAAACCGCCTGTGATTGTCCATGAAAGTAGGCTGCAGCTCCATATTTCGGAGATCTTGAGAAATCTCCATGTCCGCTTCAACTAGGATGTCAGATTCGCTGCAGTGAGCGAAGCGCGCGATCGAGCTTTGAATGCACTCTCGCAGCACATCCTGTACTTCTAACATTTGCTTCTCCAAGGTGTCAACAATCCAGGCGTCATCATGCTTGGTGGGCGATGTCATGACAGCGACGCTACCTGCGTTTACCAGGTCCAGGATGGGAAGAAGGCACGAGTCCATGCTGTGGATACCACCTGAGTTAGGATATCACAGCACAGCAGATCACACTGACCTCAAAATTTCTGGTACTGGCTTCTCCTTGCCGCACGCTAGGGCATGGCTCAAACCCACGATCGAAGGTATCAGGTAACATTCCCAGAGAGGATGCTGCGCGATGTTACGCATCAAACAGTGACATCCAGCAGGATCTTCAGCGATAGCCAAAGGCGTAAAGGTGACAATACCACCTTTGGAGATCCTCAGTGACACCAAATACCTTACTTTGCAAGTACTCACCCAAAGGGAAAACCTCGCGAATGCCCCACCTGCTGGATGGAACAGACTCATGTGTGCCGTAGGTGAAAAAGCGAACTTCAGGCGTGTCGCGGCGCTTGGTGACCAACGCAGAAAGCTCGTAAAAAGTCTTGAGGGCCCCAACATGTACGAATATTAACCGAGCTTCTGCGTCAAGGCTCACTGGCACAGCTTTAGTCTTGTCCAGCACGTATTTAAGCTGTCGAGTCTCAAAGCCAGCATTCGAGGCTGCTCCATCGGCCGGGAAGGACCAGATACAATATTTCCTGTTCGAGAGCCCCAGGAAATTCAAGAGTTCGTGTGGAAATGAAAGCAGACCAATAGCCATAGCAGCCTCTTTCAGTATGCGACGAAGAAGCCTGTCTTTCTGTTGACGGTTCGGGGTCGGGGTCGGTAGCTGCTGTATAGTTTCGCTGACCGGGTTGCGCGTGGTTTTGCTGTATTTAGCAGACGAGACAAGCCATGGCAACAAGGCCACCAAAACATGTGTGTTTTGCGAAACCTGCAGTAGATGCCCTGGTACGCGCAAAAACTTACAAAGGGCATCCAATGATGGGCTGAATACAAATAGCAGTGCAAGTTCTGCGCCATCCAACGACAGCGGGAGAACAGCAACCTTTGTCATCTGTTAGCATAGACATTCATCAGAAAATTAAGACACACCTGTCGCTGAAGTGACATGTGACCAAAAAATCCGAGTAGTGCTTGACTGTCTTGGTTTTCCGAAGCTTCCAGTTTGGCAAATTGCTGAGCTTCTCCACAGGAGCGAAAAACCGGTGTGAGATCCGTAACATTGTAAAGTTTTTGGATGCGAATGGAATCGGTTTGCGCCATCATGAAGCTCATGCGAGCACCGTTATCGCGCGAATCAGTCGCGTCCTTGATCGTCACTTCACAAACTTTCTCCGCTTGGTTCTTAACAAAGTCAACAAATAGATCACCCTCCCATTTCCACTTTTTGGGAATCCTATTCGAAAATTAGAAACACTTTTCATATTCAGGAGTGAGCACCAACTTCGGCATCGCAGAAGCTTTCATCGATGTTAAGGCCTTTGGTCGGAAGGAATCAATTTCCTGGGCGCCATTGCTGACTGGAGGTTCCCTGAATGTTGTCATGAGTACCTAATGCATGAAATCGGGGAAATAGAACACACAATGGGCTATTGAGACTATCATGCATGTCGTGAGTACGATTGAACGTGAGCGGACTAGCGTACATACCCTGGCATATTAAGACTTCCGAGAAACTCGTCTGCGGCGGTTTCGGAGGCTCGCTTCGGGGGAACTGGCTTCGCGAGTTGGTTCTGGATGCTAAAAGGCTGTCAAACGAATGTGTGTCTGAAAATGCACTCGCGCACTTACAGAGGCATGGAAGGAGGAGGTGGTGGTGGAGGTGGGTTATCATCCGCCGCCTCGAACATCGGTGCATCGTATTCCCAGGCGGGTGAAGCAATGTAAGGAGGCTCTGTTGTTTGCTTTGTGGCTGACGACGGGCCAGCCCCGACGGGCGTTATAGTGGAAGGACCAGCATCCATACCCGTTGTGGATGGACCGGACGGTTGCACGTCACTCGCCGACAAAGGCTCGTTCTCGAATGGTTTCTTCTTAAATGATAAACTAGTTGTGGACGAAGGCTCTTTGGATGGACCAGACGGTTGCACACCACTCGCTGAGGAAGGCTCATTCTCGAAGGGCTTCTTCTTGAAAGACAGACTAGCTGCGGACGAAGGCTCCTTTGCTTCAGGGGGTTTCTTCTTGAACGATAGACCAGTTAGCAGTTTCGGATTTGTCTGCAGTGGCTTCGGCTTGGGTGCTGCAGAAGAACCTGATCCTGCCGCTATCCGTTGCTTCGTTGTCAGAGTACTCCCAGATTGAACCGCCTTCGAGGAGATTTCCATAGGTTTGACAAGAGGGTTTGTCCTTTGATCTTGGTGAGTTCGGACGGGCTGTATTTTGGGTGGGCGAGTTACATTCGGGGGTGGTACGGTAGAAGACGTCGATGGCCTTGGTGGTGGTGGAAGAGGACGAGATGGTTGCTCAGCGAATGCCTTGGGGGCCGGAGCTGCTGAGGATTGTTCCTGTAGAAAGCAATAAGATTAGAATGAAATAAAGACAACCATCACGGGACCTTGTCTGCTGTAGTGCTCCGGGACTTCGAGCTAGTCTGTTTCCGCCGCTGTTTCAATGGACGATCTTCCGAAGAACTGGAGTCTGACTAGCGTTGTCTGAGCTTCGCAGCACGATAATAAACAAAGGGCGGCACACATCTGAACTAACGAATGATTTGTTACGCTTTTTACCTCGCGACGCCGACGTCTTCGCGATAGGGGACTTCTGCTTAAGAGGGGTATCGGACTCTTCCGAGCTATCAGTATCACTATCGGCTTGCTTTTGCTTGGCTTTCTCCTATGCACATTGTGTAAGACAATTATAATGAGTATTGTCGGGAGGATTCACCGGCTTGATAGGTGGCTTCTTCGTATTCTTTTCGCTTTTGCGCTTTCCGTCTTCTGAGAACTGCGTCGCAAAGAACTCCTTCTCTTGCTCTTCGTAAAAATCAGTTGAGCCACCAAGCGAAAAGTCAGCTGACTCTCACTTATCCAATAGTCTTTCGCCGTAATTTCGAATCCGACAGAATAATCGTCGTCGTCGGTACCGACATGTCCCCAAAAGCTGTTCAAGAGACGGTCACACTGCTTCACGTTGTCTTGTGGCTCCCAGCTGCATATCGCATTGGTGAATGAGCTCGTGATCAATGAAAGGGAAATGGATCTGACGTGTCTGCATCGGAGTCATAACCTGCCCACTATGAATCATTAGGGAAAGCAATGAAACGAGGGTCAAAACACACTTTGACATAATATTCCTGGACGAGTAGTAACTTAGATCTTTGTTTAGAGTGTGATGATATGTGCTTACCCAGTCCCCTTCGTCGCTGACACGAGCTTTGGTGATTACCTCTACCAGAAAGCGCGTTAATAGTGATAACGATGAAGAGCTGAGCTCGTACCGACGTGGTAAACCTCCTGCTCGACTTTCTTCTTACGACCCATACAAAGGGATAGTGAACGAATGTGGACAAGTTGATTTGATGGCTTCGACGTAAGCGCCTTAGCAGACTCCGCTTCTTAGTCTGGGGTCCTTCGAATCCGACTTAACTCGCACTACGACGATGGCCGCCAAATCAAAGTCAAAGCAGGAAGAGGCCCTCCAATTTCTCGATGATCTTGATTCCCTTAATCCAGTCGCAGCAACGACGCGCGGACCTGCCACTAGTACAGGCAACGCAGGAGACCCAGCGGATGTTCTCGCCTTCATTGATGAGATAACTCAGAAGAGTTCAGAGCCAACTCGCTCCACGACATCACACATAGAAAGACACACTTCGCGCCCGGGAACTCCATCACTGAGGAAGAGCACTGAACGAGTCAAAGTCGGTGCTCATCCGTCCTCATCAACCTCTTCTCTAGTAGCAAAGCCAGAACTATCGTCAACTCCTGCTGCCAAGGCTGAAGCTGAGCCTGCACTGGCGGCTTCCTCGAGTCGTTGGGGATGGGGAAGCGTATGGACCAGTGCGAATACCGCTTACCAACAAGCAAGGTCTGTAGTAGACGAGCAGGTTAAGAACCTTCCCAAGAATGAACACATCAGTAAATTGGGAGAGGGAGTCCTCGAGTATGCAAAGACCGCGCAGCTTGACAAAATCGGTTTGTTTGTGTGGGTCAAGTTGATTCAAAGCTAATTAATCCGTGCCCTCTAGGACAAGATTTTAAGAGAGTTGGACTGTCTACATTGACAGATATTCTGAACGTAGTTGCTCCTCCGATATCTGAGCACGAAGTCATTCAAGTATGGCTCAGTCATGATATGAAAGGATATGATGGTGTTGAATCGCTTGTCTATCGGTCACTCGCTAGGGTACGCACCGAGATATTACGGGTGTCCAAAGTGCTGATGTTGGTGCGCGTAGGTCATGGAACAGGTCGAGGGTGGTGATTTGATTATCAACCGAGGTGACGAATCGAAACCCAAGGAATCTGCAGCAGGAACTCCTCGGGATTTCAATTCAGTAGACGGTTACGACGCTGCTCTTAAGCTCGCGCAGGTAAGTGTCCAAAGCCAAGAAAGCACGTGAGATTGATCTTCCTGCGAAGGCAAATCTAGATGAATTCATCAAGAACAATTCCAAATCACCACCCAAGGAGTCATCTGTTCAGAATCCTGTCACCTATTCCTCTGTCTACCTACGCATTCAACCATTCATCACCTCGTTCACCCTTCCCCAACAGGCTGCTGATGCTTCAGAGGAGTCCGCAGACGCGCCTGAGCAGTCTAACCTCCAGTTCCTGTTACATCTGTCCGATCCTGGGCATAAGTTGGTGCACACGACTATAACACAGGCTGTGCCTGGTAGTTGGTTGCAGATCTGGGACGACTACGACTGGGTGGAAGACCTTGTAGCTGAATCTCTCCGGGTGGGCATTGAAGTAATTGGGCAGGACTACATTGTCGCACGGATGGGATGGGGCAAAAAGACAGTCGAACCCATCACGCCTCAAGAAGTGCCTTCTGAATCTTCCCCTTGAAGCACTTCTCCACTTACACGCTGTCACCCCGCCTGGCCATGTATTACTTTACGACTCACCACGATTGCACTCAGAGGATAGAAATGTTTATATATGTATATCAATCAATAACGTAGTATCATCTACTTCTTTGGAGGCTGCTCGGGTTGAGGTGGAGGAACAGGCTTGAGCTCTGCGGGCCTGACGGGCTCTGTCCCTTGCCCAACTTGTTCCCAGGGTGACAGTGATTCGAAGTTGCTGTATATTAGGTGGTTAGTAAAACACGGAGATAGAGATATGATTTTTGACTAACCGGAAAGCCTGCGTCAATTGCAGAGGCTCGTAAACGACGCGTTTCCTCTCTTCGTCGTAGCGGACTTCTGTGTAGCCCTAAAATCGTAATTCAATACCTGCGATTAGCAGCTTGTGGCGGTAGTTACGTACCGACAAGGGAAAGTCCTTTCGGAGGGGATGGCCATCGAAGCCTACACAAAAGTCTATGACAAAAACGACTTGTCACGTTTGAGAACACTTACCATAGTCTGTCAGTATCCGACGCCTGAAAATGCAGTCAATACATGGATCCATATGGATATAGAACGCGACTTACAGGTCAGGGTGGCCAGTGAAGAAGACGCCAAACATATCCCATGTCTCCCGTTCGTACCAATCTGCTCCACTGAAGACAGAAACGCTGCTAGGCACAGGGTCCGCTTCGCCAGCATACGTTTTGACACGAATCCTTCCCGCATGCTTGATGCTCAACATGTTGTAGACCACCTCGAAGCGTTTCTCTCGTTCTGGGAAGTCGACGGCGGTGATATCCACGACGCTCTTGAACTGACATTGCGAATGATCTCGAAGGAAAGTCAAGACTGGGATGACGCCAGACGGGGAGATGTGCAGAGTGAGCTCGTCCTTTAATACGGAGAACTGCTGGACGAATTTGGGGAGACACTGCATGAGGTATGATCCGTATGTATGTAATGATTCAGTTGTCTCAGCATACTTGGTAGCTGTAGGATTTGGAGACGTAGGCTCGGTGAATGGCGACACGGAAGCTACAAAGTTGTGAAGACAGGCCCATCGGTGATTAGGACAGGCATAACTTACCTCTAGGTGACGACGAAGACTGAATTTTTCGTGTCAAAGAAGCGCCAACGGTCCCCGCTGGTCTCTTCGATGAGCTTTTAAGCAGATTTGTGACCCGCAGACCCGTGCGGAACGACATGTTTGCTGGCTGCTGTTTAGCGAGTTCAGACGAGTTAGAGCAACGGTAAATTCACACTCCGATCCGAATCGTGACCGACGCCGTCAAGTAAACCATGGCTTCACACTTTGAAGACGACGCTCATAGAACAGAAATATTCGATTCATTACCTTACTACGACAATGATCTCGAGCAGAATCCAATCTTGAAGGAAAAGGTCGAGCGCGAGCTAGCACGCGAACCAAAACCGCCGCAGACTCTACATCCTCGCGTTCCCCCTCTGTTAGAGCTCTTTAAGGTATGTCAAACCACTGGTTCGATGGTTCATAGACCTGATACGGCGTAGGACCAACCTGGGCTTGCTGCTGAGCTTGCGCGCGTCGAGGCCCATCAGCCTTTAGCACCTTTAGACACCGTTAGATATCAGCTTCCAGCACCAACGTCCACCCCAGGCACCGATGAGGAGTGGCAGAATGCGTTGAAGAATGCTCAATCTCAACTAGAGCACCAGCGTATTCGGTAGGTTTTCATTTGTCCTTCGAATACTTTGAGTTCACGGTCTCTCCAAGGCACACGAATCTTGCTTTGCTGCAGACATATGGACCCAATGCTTGGCGAATTCAAAATTACCTGTTAGAAGCGACAGCCAAGCAGGCAGAAACGGCGCTGGAGGAATTGAAGCAGCGCACGACAGACGTCAACCGAGAACGCAAGAACTCTCAGGTATGTTCCAGGTTGATCAGGAGAGCAGTGTATTCATCGTTGCTTCAAGACGCGAATTGGAAACCAGTTGACATCGTTGGAGAACAAATGGACAGAGTTGATATCGAGTATCCTTCAAATTGAGATGGCAAATGTAGCTCTTGATGCAGAAGTTGACCGACTGAATAAAAAGGAGGCTGAGCTTGCTAGCATGTAGCAGCAGCATGTAGCTTATTAGAGTACTTAACCGAATTAGGCTAACCGCCGCTCAACGTTGCACTCTGCCTCGTTTGATTTCTGCTCGTCGACGACAACCAAAAGTTGGTTTGTCTACACTATCAAGCTTACAGGCAAGTCAACGACAAGTCAACCGTGTCATTTTCAACGTTTAAACTCATTGTCGTGTATTTTTACTTGATTTCCTTCTCGGCTCTTGCCATAATCTCTGTAGGCTCAGCAAAACTGACTATCGGCGTCTTGGGACGCGTATATGGCCAATATCGACAACTCAGACACGGGGCTAACTGTAAATCATGCAGGAGAGGAACCTGCTAATGTGTTGTTGAGTTCATCCAATGTCTCTGAAGAACATTCTGTAGTCGCAGCTTGTCCTCTCAAGACTTCAAGTTCACCTCCATTGATCTCACCTACAAGCTCATCAGCTCACTCTCGCATTCAACCGCCTCTTCCTCCTTCAGATTCATCGTTTGCCGCCCCACATCCAAAGAAATTTACTTCTGTGAATATAAACAAGAAGTTTCTACAGAAGAACTCGTCCTCCTCAGGGTCTGCTACCACGTCATTGAACCACGTACCTGTCGTCAAGTCTGGCAGTCCAGCTCGTAAGTGCAATGTTGTATTTCATAACAATAAAGCCAATTTGACGTTCTATAGCTATCCGACCTGTTGCTCCACCAATAAGCTCCCATTCGCGGCTCGTGACCACCAAGCTCACAGCAGCGCCTGTTTTATCAACAACAACTGGTCCAGGTTGGTCGCGTCCATCATCCGCGACACCACCTGTCTCTTCAACACCATCTACTTCATCCAATGGACCCATTCCGCAACCCCTTCCGCATACCGCTGCACCAGCGCCCATTCCCGCCCCAGCTGCCCCGCAGCTCCCCGTCGCTGGCAAAGTCATTCAACCACAACCACGAGCTATTGCATCGACTTCATCCGCCACGGCTAAGAAGGATACTGCGTCCAAACCAGCTTGGGGACATCCGAAAGTCGTTGCACCAGTCCTGTTTCTGGACAGCGCAGGCCCTTCAGACTTTCCTACTGCTGCAGAAGTTGCTCATGGTACATCGCAAATTTTGTATGTGCAGTTCGCGAGAATTGATTTGCTTTCTTTAGGCCGACCATCACCCAAAGTCGCTGAATCTCCGAAGCCCTCTGATGCTCCCCATTCAAAAACTGTGACGCTAGAAGAAGCTGATGCATTCCGAGGTGTTCACCTTGATCCAAACACCCACCACTGGGACGAGGTCTGCTTCAATTCACTCTTCCTATACATTTTTCTCACATTTTCCAGATGGAAGAAGACGACGACCATTTTCTTGACGGAGTCATTGAATTCGGCGACGGAAGACAGTACAAGATATCACCAGCTGAAGCTAGTGCACAAAATGCACCATCACCTGATCCAGCTACAGATTCTCTCGAGTCCCACCCAGAGGTTGTCGACGGCGGTAAAGCACAAGTTAGCAAAGAAGATCGGTTTGCAGACGACTTTGACCGGAGATGGCCACGATCGAGGCCTTCTCCATCTTTTGCGCACAAGGATCTACCACGTGCTCCTCGACATCCGTCAATGTCCCCTGCATCTTCGCATCCTAGCTACTCGCCTTCGGAAGGTTCAAGGGTCCTCTTCAATGAACGCTCAAACAGGCTCGAGCCATACAGTTCTCATCCACACATCCGTCATCTCCCTGTGGGTCCAGTATCCAGGAGAGGTTCCCATATGGAGCATATTCCGCCTCCAATGGACATGCGTAGTGGACGAGATGGACCCTTGCGTTCGCCTGTACAACCAGTGCAATTGCTCCAAAAACCTGCAGGTGGTTATGATCGCTCATCACGTACATTGAGAAACGGTCCCGGCCCCCATCCTCCTTTCGATAGGACCCGTGATGGTTTGCCCTCTCCCTCAACGAATGGGCCGCCAGGTTGGGGCACTGGGCTTCCATCCGTATCACCTGTTGAGAAACACGAAGTTATGCTTGATAACAGAGGTCGTCGTTTGTCGAACATGGGGCCTCCACCATTGCCGTCGTCGTTGAAGCGTGATGCCACTCGCCAGCTTCCACCACGTATATCGACTGGTCCGCCTGGAAAGCTTTTTTCGAGAGATCCGCATCAACCTCTCTCCGCTTCTCAACAACATTTCGATTCGCCTACTACGACTCATGGGGGTAGCGTCGTTGCTCAATCACCCTTGTTGTCCACTATCTCTGTCACATCCGAAACCCCTGCCCCATTCGCGGCTCCCATGCTGAGTATCGAAGACGTTCACAAGACCGCCATGCATATCTCGGCTGAGCGCGCAAAGCAACGACGACAGGTGGAAGAAGAGGAGCGGGAGAAAGAGAAAGAACGGGCTCGGCAGAAGGCAGCTGCATTGGAGGAGAAATGCAAGGTAGATGAGGACAAGAAGAACGCTCAAGTTTGTATCTGTGACGTGGTTGACATTTCAGATGGCTCATTTGAATCTGCAGGAAGCGGAAGCCATAAAACTGATTCAGGAGGTTGCAGAAGCAGTCAAATCTCCTTCACAGCAAGTCTTGCAGCTCGATGCCACGGCCCAACGTATGACGTCTGTCAAGCCGATAGGACGACTGCCATCTTTGAGAGCATCTGCCAGACCGCCGCTGATTCCGAGGTCGATTGTGCCCACTAATGCAGAGCAATCGCAAGATTCCTCAAAAACGGATTCTTGGCGAAGCAAAGCTCCACCTCCACTGTCACCGCCAGCGCCTCGGGAGATACCTGCACAACCCCGTGCACCTGCGCCACTGCTGCAGGGAGTAGAAGAGTTTATTAGCGTTTCTGCAGATGAGGATCTCGAGGTGGTAGACTTCTCTGATATGGGTAAATTAGTTGGTGCCCCAACGGTCTCACAATCAGAGGCACAGCACAAAGGCATTGAAAGACCATCCCACCCACCTCGGCCTGTCGCAAGTGACTTCTTTGAAGATTCTCAGCCTCAGACACTTCCCCCTCGCCCGGAGTCTCCAAATCTGTGGCGTCGCAAAGCCCCCATCGAGCTTGTTCGCGAAGTTCTAGCTCCATCCTCGTTGACGAACCACGAAGTTGCAAAGGAGACTGGGGACAAACAATTGCAGGATGCCCCGGCGAGCCTTGCGAGTTCGGAATCGCTACGCGAGGTAGTGGCGCATATACCGCCTTCGAAGGGTTCCTCTATTGTGGATGGCTCAACCACATATTCGTCTAACCACACGACGTTGCCCACATCTCCACAACGCCTAACTCGCCCAGGTTTCCGCGAGGCGCCAATGTCTACTCTCGACGATACGATTTCTCGCATCAAGGGAGCTTTGCATGACATGAAAGAGACGGAATTTGCAAAACAGACCAACAAGGAGACTGCGGATGCACCGCCCGAACCAGATGTCACTCAACCTCAGACCAATGTTAATGGCCGGGGTTATTCAGGTGGGCCTAAATGGCTTCCTCCTGCACTAAGACCGCGTCGAGTCGAATTTGGGGAGGAAAACGAAGTTTTCGATGTCACTAGCTGCGAACCACCGCGTTCGCCTCGACTAACTGTTGTAGTCCGCCTTCCCAGCCAATCACGTCCCTTGGAGCCTATTCCTAGACGGCAATATCACGCTTTGAAGAATGCACGGTTGCAGATTCGATGGGATATAATGTCATGGGATCCACCAGTTGATGGCATGACAAGGAAAGACTTCTCCTTAAATGATGTGCTCTTCAAGAGCTATCCGCCTCCCAGGGGTAAACCCAAGTTTCGCGTACTCCTTCCTCAAGCACGGCATCACCGTTCGTCTTCTTCCGCAATTCCGTTAGGACCCAAGGTCAATCTTCCTGCTGGATCAACAAAGCCGGGTCCATCATTTGGGCGGTCGAAGGTGGATGACCTTCTGTCCTGGAGGAGGGTTGCTGTCTGTCCATCTATTCCGGAAGCCAGTCCAGACGGCGTCAACGCAGGTTCTCTGGACACAATCAGTTGCTCGCCTCCTCCTGACCCACCAGAAATTGCCCCCGCTGCCCAAAGTGTATTACCATCCATCAACAACAAAGCGGAAGCCGTTACGCAACGTCCTAGAGCTCAGCCAAAGATGCCAGTGGGCTCCGCGGTTGCATTCTATCGCGAGATCCCGTCCGAAACAGCTTGTCAAGAGTTGAAGAAGAACTCGGTGTCCTTCACCGTCTTCAGCGAGCTGGACGAAATACCGTCATCACCACAAAGTGATCCGCCAAGCGCTCTGTTCTCTTCGGCTGTAGACTCGCCTGACAAAAGCTTCCATTCTATGGAGACGGTTACAATCAGTCGCGTTGTGAATGGTCTCGGAAAAGACACGAGTTCCCCAAGACTTGTTGTCTCGACGCAGCTGGATTCTAAGAGCTCGGATGAATCGGTTGGTGTTCCGCTGTATTTTCATGCATCTTCTTTCGTGGCTCATGGGCATGTAGGTTGACAGAAATCTCATCACCCCTGGATCTGCGTCATACAGCACACCATGGACAAAATCTCCTTTGAGCTTTTCATCTGCAAAAGAATCTCCGGCGAGAGCGCCGGATCCCGAGCATTTAAAAGCTGTATGGTCGCAGCCCTCTGACAAGGCTCCAGTACATGCAGTAAACTCCCTGGAGGGTATTGCAGATGATCTGACTGCTCTACCGTTCACATTGCAAGACGTCAAATCTGAAGATGGAGAAACTCCCCCTCCCACTTCAGCAGCAAACGTTCCATCTAAGATGTCGCTTCATGATGTCACTCGCGCATTCCAGCAAGTACCTACTTCATCAAATGCCACTACGAGGAGCAGTAGTACGTTGCCGTCTTCATCTCCAGCCGGACCCATTAGCCGTCCTTCCAGTTATACATATGGTCCTGTCCACCCACCAAGCATGAGCATCCGGCCCCCTTATCCCTATCCGCCGATGATGGCCCATTCACCTAGTCCCACACCACTCGTGTATCCACCGCCAAGTCCTGCACCGCGTGTACCTGTCAATGGGCATTCACCCATGTTCAGTGGCGGCCAACCGATATGGGTGCCTCTCCCACCAACCCAAAGCCACTCTGGTGCAGTGAGGCCAGTAGCTTCACCATACCCTACGCAGCTGATGGCGTATCCCCCACCAAATGGGGTTCCGTCGATGTATGGGCCTCCGCCTATCTCACACGGCCCGCAGTCACCACAAATGAACGGAGCTGCTCAACCCCGTCCTCGTAATATGATGAGTCCTGTGTTACATCCAGCGACTCCTTCGCATTCAAATCATTCAATGTATGCTGGGAGTCCTGTGATGATGCATGCGCTTCCTATGATGACTCATGGCCCACAACCCTACATGGCCGTTGCTGGCCGTGGACAAGGGCGACCTGATGGTATGCCTGGGATGTCGCCAATGCAGCAATCACATTCTGCCCCTCAGTCTTCACATGCTACTATGTACAGTCCTGCACAACCTCTACCATATGGACGACCATCGTGGTGATATACGTGTCACGCTACCTGACGATACATTGATGTTTCTCTGACATGTTATTATATATTGTTTCGTTATTTTCCCATCCTCTCAATGCATATCTGCTAGCAATGTACATGGATGAGGCCCGAAGCTGATCACAATAACTTATAATCAAGGTGAGTAATCTAAATTTATCCTATGGGTCTCTAAACTGCCAGCTGCACCGCAGTCTCGGCAGCTTCGTCAAGGCTGTCCAATGCGACTATTTTCAGACCGGACTCCTTGATCATCCTATAGCATTAAAAGGTCAGACTGGGGCTTGGCAATAATCCAGAAAGAAAACATACGCCTTCGCTTCTGCTTCCATTGTTCCCTTTAATCTGACGACCAATGGGATGGTGAGACCGAGCTCTTTGGTTGCTTTGATGACACCCTCGGCAATGTAATCGCAGCGCATGATACCGCCGAAGATGTTGATAAAGATACTTTTAACCTTAGGGTCAGAGAGGAGAATCTCAAAGGCTTTTTTGACCGTCTCGGGTGTGGCACCTCTGAAGATGTGGTCAGGTACAGAGCCCAGCAGCATAAAGTTCTACGTACCCCCCGACATCCAAGAAGTTGGCGGGATTACCGCCATGTAGAGCCAGAACGTCCATGGTAGCCATGGCCAATCCCGCACCGTTGACTAAACAACCAATGCTGCCATCGAGCTTGATGAAGTTCAGACCGGCCTTCTGAGCTTCAACCTCTGATGGCTCCTCCTGCGAGATATCGCGGAGCGCGAATATATCCTTGTGACGGAACTCGGCGTTGTCATCGAAGCCGAATTTAGCATCCATGCTGATACGAATTGAGGGGAACGAAGCAGAATGCGAGATTTCCGCTCACCAGAGTACATGGCCATCAACAGTCTCTGACATAGGGTTGATTTCAATTTGAGTGGCATCCTTGTCCTTGAATATCTTGTACAGGTTGAGGAAGATGTTTGCCGCTTCCTCCTGACCACCTTCCTTAATCCCGAGAGTTCTGGCAAGTTCAAGGGCGGTGGCCTTGCTCAGACCCTTCTCGAAGTCAATGGGAGTCGTAATGATAGCAGCAGGGTTAGTCGCAGCAACTTCCTCGATATTCATGCCTCCCTGGTTAGACGCGACGAGAACAACGCCTTGGGTAACACGGTCGTTGAGTACAGCAACGTAGTATTCGTGGGAGGGATCGCGACGCTCGGCAAGCATAACCTATCCTGTAATCAGAGACGGGAAACAGCTTGTGAAGAATGGACAAACAGCATTGCAGATTCTACCACCAGCACCCGTTTGCTTCGTGATGAGTTTCGAACCAATCATCTTGCTAGCGTATTCCCATGCTTGCTGTGGGCTGTCAACCAGGTGAGTTGTGAGCAAGGGCTTCTCTAGAAGTTGGTACGTACTTGTCAACGGTGTGCACACCACCCTGGAAGCCATTGTCGAATTTTCCTTTGCCTCGGCCACCGGCAAGTACTTGTGCCTTGATCACGAGTTTGTCTGTGCCTAAAATTGCAGAGTCTTAGCGAAGGGACTACACGTCATGATGAAGATTCTAAAAGCTCACCAAAATTCTGAGCAACGCTGTAGGCCTCTTCGGGAGACTTTGCAACAATGCTCTTTGGTGTTGGTATACCATACTAGGAATCAAAAGTGGTGGTTGTCACGCTATGAAAATGCTGACGGATTCCGAGTAATCTCACCGAGTTAAGTAGGTTCACCGACTGGTATTCGTGAATAGACAGGAAACGCCTTTGACCGGCAGATGCTGCTCGCTATTGAGGACACCGATCAGATGCAAAAAAAATCATGGATGGAAGGCCACTTGCCCGAGCTAACGAGCCCGTTGTTCTGAAGGAGGCAAGCATTGAGGAAGAGATGTGATTGAGTTGTGATAATTCACAGCTTCGGGAAAAGCGGGGTGCACGCCTGCTTATATCAGCGGACTTGGGATGAAAAGGCAGCGAAACACATGTTTGTGTTCTTCAGCCAGAGTGACGACGACGGTGGACTTTTTCATCACAAGAATCTTCCTGTCTCTGATCCCTTTTATTAGCTTGGAGTGGCTCTGGCAGAAAGAATATCGTGACCCCGCCTTGAGTTCGGACAACCTATCTTTGTACCGTGGGTTGTTCGAAATTTGGCAGAAGGAACATGCCCTAGCTAGCTTAGGCTAGCTATCAATTGCCTCAGTATTACATCTTCTATCTATGTTTTATCCTCGGTCATGAATTGTCCTCGAGGCCAGCCTCATTGCAAATATGATAGACGGTTAAATTTTGTTCTGACAGTCTTCTGACCTCTTCTCTCATGTCAGTTTCCACCATGGTTCAAGTGGAGTCTCATCCCAACGGTAGTGATATTGCTACCCTCTCTCCTCTCACTCAGCTCCAATTTGTGTCCACTACTGTTCTTCAACAGGCCCTCGATCTTGTCGAGAATATCCTGACTTCTGACGACCAACTTACTGCCCAATCCAAATTCCTTCCAGGCTCAACTATCGGTGATACTATGGCACTTCATATGATCAATACCAAATTTACTGAGAGACTCCCCGCAGGAAAACATTTGCGTCACGCACGAGACCACTTCATTCTCCTCATCGAATGCATCTCAGGACCAGCCCCACATATCTTTTCATATGACACCCGTAGCCGTAACACACCAATGGAGAACAGTCTCTCAGACGCTCGAGAGGCCCTCAAACAAGTTATCTCCCGTGTTGAGGAAGTAGTACCCACGGCAAACCTCGACCTTCCACTTACCTTGAACGCTGTTACGCCTTTCATGCAAACTTTTGAGACAACATTTGGCCGAGAGGTAAGAATTGAGAACGGCACATATGAATGATCTTCTCACCCCTGTTTTCATCCAGCTTTGGTTTGCAGGATTACATGCAGTTCATCATTGGTCCATGGTATGTCTGAGTGTTTCAGGATGCAGTCGAGGTACTTATATGCTTAAAATTGCAGGTCCGGGTCATAGCCGGAGAGCTTGTCAGTGAGTTTTCGTCTGCCAATGGGCGGTTAATTAAGTCCTTGCGCAGGACATCAAACTTCACGACGATTTTGGTTTCGCCCCGTCTACTCTTGTCTACAAGGGTCATGAAGCACTGCTGGGAAAGGCAAAAATCTGATGTTCGAGTGTGTCGTATAGCATACCTCACTACTACTAGTACTAGCAATCATAGTACCTCATACCGCGCGCGCCTTGTGGAAGCAGCAGTGCAGCAGAAATCCGAAATCAAAGTGTAGCCTACCATGGCCAGTTGCAACCTTACAATGAATCATACTGACGGGACTCGTCCTAATCCTCGCTGTAGAGTCCTCAGGCCTCAGCCACCTTCAATATGATCGTCGACGACACTACGGGAAAGATGATACGATTTGCGTAAAGAACGTGTTCACTTTGAGGGTGCGTGTGTGTACACTGTCACCCGCACATCTATCAAACTAAAACACGATAGGAGAACACGGTAAGTTACCTGGCCCTACCTGGCCCCCTCACGGACAAGCAGTCATAAATGTTCCGCAGATCCCGACGAATTTGCACTTCAGTTCGACAGTATCAGTGGCGTGTATGCACTTGTACTTGTACTTGTACTTATCTCCAATCATCATTTGTATTTTCTGGCGCACTCGTTGGCCTCGTCTTATTGAAAGATACAGAGCGAATTGCGATCATCATGACCGGAGCAAGGTAAGAAGTTGACAACGACGACCCCTAGTTCCCAAAAAGGATGTTCGTTTGATGATGCTCTTTAGAATAGTGAAACTTGGCGGCTACGGTAGGCGCCATGGAATCATATAAACATACATAACAAGAGCCGTAAGAGCACCCATCAGCTGGCAGGTTATCTTCTCAGAGGAATTTCCAGCCCACCCCGACCGTCATGCTCACCCCCATCATGTCCACTCTCTCACTCAGCTTGCTAAAAGCATGTAGTGTCGTCCTCTTGACTTTGATAGCAAGAGCACTCATTTGGTTGATTAACATGATGGTCGTCGCACCTATGTCTGACCCGCTCAAGAACATCCAGGGACCCGACGGTTCTCCATTGCAGAACCACCTTCGTGAGGTCATGGAGTTCGTGCACATCCTCTTCGAGTTCAGTTATGAAGCTGACTCGTCTTTATCTCAGTCCCAGCATATCTCCAAATACGCATGAAAATTGGGTTAAGTCATTCGGAAAGACATTCAGGTTTCATGGGTTCGGCAGAGTGAGTACCATTTAAATATTACCGACTCATCCTCATTGGAATTATTAGCATGACTTCCGTCTCCTCTCTGTCGACTTTTCCGTTATGTCGCATATCCTCAATTCACCCATCTACGAGAAACCATGGCAAACGCGAAGATTGCTGTCGAACCTTTTCGGGCGCGGTAAGCTGGTGCAATTCTTTCCGGAGGCTTGAATGTTCCTGTACCCTAGAAGAGGGTACAGGTATGGGGTAAAATTTCTCCGTGCGCACGATCATACCGGCCCGTTTAGCAGTCAAAGCGGTCCGTTTCCTATCCTAATTCAGAAAATTTGTCAGCATTCATCGAACTTTCCAGAATGAATGTTTTATTTGACACCGTCGTTCTCCTGTCTTCTTCGTCGTTTCTCCTGTCTTCTTCGTCGTAGTCCTTTTGCTTGTCTTCGAAGTAACTTATGGCTTCCAGTTCTCTCACTAGCGTCAATGAAGCTGTGTCACTTCTTCCGCATGTGTCATTTGTGGTTTCCGATCACGAGCTTCCAGATGATGGGACTTCTGTTGTGTCATCGTGTGTCTTGCGCAGGTTCTTTGCGTTTTTCGAGGTCTCTCGCGAGCGTTTGCCTATGTGTAGTCAATATCCTGCCGGTGTGTTGTTGCCTGTCGTGGCTCCCCATCTTAGGATGGTCGTGGACAATTTTCCGATGCTTAATCGAGAGCAATATGCACAGATCGCGAGTGCACATCTCATTTATGTGTCTTCTTCCCATCGAAAGGATCACGTTCGTGATTTGCTTCGTGTACACGTATGTCAAACTGAGTGTATTTCTAATGCCATTGTATTTAAGCACTTGAAGACTCCTAGACGTCATCATTCCAATCATGTGTTGCCTGAGCCTTTCGAAGAAACTTCTCGTCAGCGGCATGCTGCGTCTCAGCGTAATGCTCGTTCGGCAGCTTGTGAATCTGAACGCGTTGGCGTGAGGAATACGAATGCTGCTCAACATCGAGATGCTTATAATCCACAGGGTGTGTGTCCCGTGGACGATCCACTCTTTCCTGTTGTGTTGTCTTCTGATGATAAATTGGACATCATTCGTGAATGGCAACATCAAATGAGTCCCGAATCTTTAAAACGTGGTTGTTGTGCTGTTTGTGCATACAACATATGTGCCAAAGATCTGCTGTGTGTAGAAGTAGCGAAGATACCATTGCATTTGTTGCGGAACGATTGTTTGCCAGAGCATACTCTTCCTCGTACATATGATTTAGAATTGTATAGTCGAGCGATCTTGTATGCGAAAGGACTCGCTAGTCCTTGGTCTTTGTCTGATGTATATATGTGTCGTTCGTGTCATTCGGCTTTAATTCGCAAGTGTCCACATCAGCCCGTCAATTCTCTTGCTAATTTTCAATATTACGGGCATGAAAGGCTTCCCCTTGACATTAGCGAGGCCTTTACTTCTGCTTCGATTTTTGACTTGATGCTGATTTCGCGCGCGAGAGCTTCTCAAGTGACTCATTTCTATATGTATAAGCCTTCGTCGACTCAGTGTTGGACAGAGGAGGAAGCTTCTCAGCGATATAATAAGGGAAATGTGGCAGTCAGGCCACAGAATTCGACTGAACTGCGCAATCTTTTGCCACCGAATTGCGACGAGCTTCGGGATGCGATGTGTGTGATTTTTTCGGGCCAAAAACAAATCCCGTCACGAGATACTGTCAAAAAATTGCGGCCTGTGCTCGTCACGAAAAGCAGAGTTCATAAATTGATCAGTTTTTTAATTAAGAACAATCCGTGGTATCAGCGTTGTGGTGTAGCGTATAGTCAAGATAATATGGATGCTTTGTTCGATGAGGTTGATCTTGACGTGGATACAAGTGTGCCGCGCGCGCTGGCGATTTGCCATTTGCCTTCTGAAAATCGGGAATCGACTGACCAAGGATTCGGTTCTCGTGATGTCAATGATGCTCACGATGGTGATGTCGATGTCGGTGATATAGTCATGGAGTCTGTCGGATATACTGAAGGCGATCATTCTTTACAAAGCAGAGAAAAGATGAAACTGCATGCACTTGCATATGTTTTGGACCGAAAACAATTTCTGTTATCATGCACAGGTAGCAAATTCGTCGCTGATAACGATCCCGGCCTTATGTCTTATTTGTTCCCTCATTTGGATCCTTGGGATATCGGCGGTTTCTTTCATACTGGTCGAACCGATAAGCAGTACATATCTATGCAACAGCAGGTTAAAAATCTCCTTCGTCAGGATGACTCACCTTTTCGATCTGATCCTCATTTTGCTTTTATATGTTGGAACATGATACAAAAAAGAGAAGTTAGTACAAACACCACATTTCGGGTTAGCTCATCCATGCAGCGAGGCTTAGCTAAAGAATTGAAGGACGTCGCTCCTTCTTTAACGACATTATCTGATAAGTGGAACAAATCAGTCAATCTTAAACCGTCTAGTACAGAAGAGAAAAAAGCTGTTCGAATTTTGCGACGTTTACAAGCATCAACAAAATCAGTGAGAGGCAGTGTCGGTTATAAGTTGTGCCGTCGCAATGAAATTCGTTCTTTGATGAAGAAATTTTGCACTCCTGCCTTATTTGTTACCGTGAATCCGCATGATTTGACAAGCAGCGTTGTGCCGATTATCACAGGTATTGATTTAGACGAATGGTCCATAATGTCATCCTTTGAAAGGGCAAAAGTTGTTGCTAGTCGGCCTGATGCAGCTGCGATCGCTTTCGATTTGCAAGTTCGTGCTTTTATTGATATCATCTTGAAATATAAGCACGGCCCAGGTATATTTGGTCATTGTAAGGCATATTATGCGATGGTAGAGGCTCAAGGTAGAGGAACTTTACATTGTCATTTTCTGCTGTGGATTGCAGGCAATCCGAGTCCACAGTTTCTGCGAGATCGGATGGCGCAGGAAGATGGTTTCAAAGAAAAAATGTTTGCTTGGCTAGAGAGTATAATTAGTTGTGAACTTCCCAATGATATTGGCTGTGTATTCGAGACGAGTCCACAGGATGCTAAGAAACCGAACAGATGTTTATCAGAAATTGATCCTCGATTGGAGACTCTTCCTCAAATTGCAGAGCTGGATGAGCGATCCTTTGCGTATGAATTCAAGGAGTTTCTGACACGTCTTGCTATAGAGTGCAATTGGCACGTACACAACGATACATGTTATAAGCATATAAAAACGGGTGAAAAACGTGGTGATGCGAACTGTAGGATGCGTCTTGATGGATCTCTTCAGGAAAGCACAATGATCGATATTGATTCGGGTTCGATTGAGTTGCGTCGATGGCGGGGCAGAATTAATAATTATACGGACCTTATTTTGTTTCTATTGCAGTGCAATACAGACACTCAATTTATCGGTTCGGGTGAAGCTGCTAAGGCCGCTGTATTTTATATAACGGAGTACATAACAAAAGGCAACCTCCCAATGCACGTTGGTTTGCAGGCATTAGATTATGCGACGAGGATGCACGAGAGTCAGCATGCAGAAGATGCCAGTGTAGAATATCAAAATCGAAGTCTGATAACTAAATCCGTCAATGCGATGATGGGTCAGCAAGAGATATCTCATCAACAAGTGATGAGTTATCTCGTAGGCGGCGGTGATTTTTACACAAGTCATACTTTTCAGACACTTAAGTGGTATGAATTTGTTCATGCTGCCGACAGGATTGACCGAGAAGTGAGTTCTGTGGTAGATGCAGAGGAATCATCACAGGAAGATGACTCATTACCATGTGAAGAACAGGTGACGGTCAGCGTGACATCAAATTCTGTCGAATTTACCAGCGATATCGAGGATTATGCGATGCGTCCCACAAGTGAAAAGCAATTTGCGGACTTGAGTCTATGGGAATTTGTAGAAAAGACCATCAAAGAGCGAGGTGATGTACCTATAGACCACGCATCTGATATTGAAGATTCCGACAGTGAGGAGCGTTGTGCCGTTCAACGGAACACACCAACAAGGCAGAAGCTTTTGCGAGCGAGGTTTTCTGAGCAACATAGTCAGTACAAATCTCATATATTGCGTATGAGAAGAAATTTTGTGATACCAGTACTATTAGGTGATGCGCTACCACGGCCAAATGGGTCTGAGGAAGATTACGAGAAGTATTGTCGATGTATGATGATGTTGTTCAAACCGTGGCGCGATTTAAGGTCTTTGAAAGGTCAACATAGTACTTGGACTGAGGCGTTTCAGACGGAAACATTTTCCCCTATAATTGCTGCTTTAATTCGCAACATGAACGTGGAGAACGAATGCAAAGATGCTCGAGACAAACATGCTGCGTTAGTAAGGGAACAACGTGCTAAGCCCCATATCTTTGGTTGTAACGGGACAGAACAAGACGATGGGCAAATTGATATGTCGGCATTTGATGCAGCGCTATTTGCTGATGCTTCACTCGATCCGGATGAAGAAGAGGGTCAAATGGTGGACAAACGATCGAATGTGCAAGCCGTCGTTGATATTGATAAAAATGCGGGTGATATTGAGGCGTGTCTTAGAGCAGGCATGGATGGTGGATTGTTCGGTGTTTCGGAGTCATGTGTGACGAATAATTCTACATGCGATGAAGGCACGACAGAACTCTTGACGGACGGAGATCGAGGACGTGTCAAAGAGTTCGCTGGAATCATGAAGGCTGCTAAAAAACGAAAGAGACCAATAGACGTGGGTTCCGCAGATGCAGAAGTCAAACGCGTGCGATTGGAGCAGGCTGAACATGTTCCAAGCATTAGTTTGCAACAAATGGAAGATGAAGCTGAAATCACTTCTATATATCATAAACCTGAGATGACGAATAATCAGCGAGAGAACATACTAAATGAAATTATTGAAGAGTTTAAACTCTCTGATAACGCTGAGCAAGAGATGTGTTTGAGAATAATTGGAGAGCATTTTATCCGTGGAGAAGTAAAACAATTGCTTATGTTTATTACTGGTATCGGTGGCTCAGGAAAAAGCCATGTAATTCGCGCGACTGTAGAACTGTTCAGAAGATGTGGGGCTCCGGAAAAATTAACACTGAGCGCACCTACAGGCAGTGCCGCAGTATTGATCGATGGCTACACAATCCACGCTTTGACATTTCTTCCGAAACGTCAGGCACCTATCAAACAGCATGATCTTGAATACATATGGCGAACTGTAGAGTACCTTGTTTTGGATGAGACATCATTGATGTCGGCCGAATTACTGAGCCAAGTGTCGCATCGAATCTGTCAAGCTAAATCCTGGGATGAAGCAGCGAGGAGCAAACCATTTGGAGGCGTTAACGTCATTTTTGCTGGTGACTTCGGACAATTGCGTCCGCCCAAATCAAATGCATTATACAGTTACAAACTCGTCAAACAATTGAGTCCCGGAACGACGCAAACTCTAAAAGGTCAAACAGCTTTGCATGGTGCCTTTTTGTGGCGCCAAGTTGATGTAGTGATAGAATTAAAACAAAATTGGCGGGCGAAGGACGATGCTGGATTTATCGCAATGTTAAATCGTATCCGGCTGGGAAAAGTCAGGAGAGTTGCCCTGGATCAGAACCATCCTGGTGATTATGATGTATTAAAAATGCGATTACTCAGCGAGATCAAATCAAAATCGTTGGAACAATTCAAAGGCTTTGAAGATGCGCCTATTATCGTGACCCGCAAGTATCTCAGAGACGCTATTAATGAGACGAAGGCGCGAACATTTGCTACAAGAATAGGTCAGCAATATCATGTATACCTTGCAAGAGATAGGATTGGAGGAAAATCGCTTGATATTGATCAGCAACGTCGGCTATGGAAATTACAAACGACAAATACAAATGATTCACTTGGTAGACTTCCCCTCATTCCAGGCATGCCGATTATGATCACAGAGAACGCTGCTACAAGCTGCAAAATTGTCAATGGAAGCAGAGGTATATTGCAGTCAATCACGTATGAGGTTGATGAATATGATAATCGATTTCCTGTGTGTGCCCTTGTTAAAATACAAGATAGTACATTACATATTCCGGGCTTGGAAAACAGTGTCGTTCCAATTTTGCCCATCACAAGCAGTTTCTCGTTTCCTACGGCTGAGAAAAACGTCAATGTACGGCGCATTCAGTTACCAATCTTACCAGGCTGGGCGTTTACTGATTTTAAAGTGCAAGGAAGCTATTTGCCGAAAGTCATCGTGGATTTGACAGGTGCTAGATCGCTTCAAAGCATATATGTCATGCTGTCGCGGGCTTCGAAATTAAATAATATCGCTATACTGCGCTGGTTCTCCTCTCGAACTCTGCACGGGGACTTACAAGGGGACGCACGCCAGGAACTGCAGCGGCTTCAACGTGTGGAGGCGACAACACGTGCACAATACCTACTAGAACATCAGTTATGAAGAAGCTCAGATACATGCCTGCAAAACTGCGATGATGATAGCGTCAACGTTCTTCTCGAGCGTCATGAGAGATTTCTGGACATCTTTTGGACTCCAAATTGGAGAGGCTGTCATGCCAAACACCTTTGGACGCTGAAACCACGGAGTTTGGAAATCTTCACGGATGATGCGATTGTAAGCGTGATTTATCCTAGTGTGATGACACTCGTCAGAGACGAGAAGAGAAACCCTGTCGAATCACAACATTCTTCGCCTTTCCATTTGCTCAGAAAAAGCCAAAGGAAAAATGAAGAGTGTATAGACCTGTCTGGTTACGACGATGAAGATAAAGCTAGAACCGGGAAAAGATGAAAGCGTTTTTGTGCAATAAAATTCACTCACTTCGTTTGATTTACAGCTCACCCAATAATTCAAATACGCAGAGGTGAGTACAGAGAAAAATGTAAATGGGTGTTGATAGCGTTACGTGTCATTCCAGGTCATAATTTGAACAATCTGAGTGTTCGAAGCAGAGAAGTTAGGAACTGCGGTTGTTTGGCCGGACAACGTTTCATCCAAAAATGTGGTTAGGACCAGTGCGGGCGTCCGACGGACACTCAAAGTAAGCTGACGAATCCACTTATTTGCTTTTGAATTGTGTCGTTTTGCAATAGAATTCTGTTACATAAAGATAGATAGTATCAGCAAGCAAACATAAAACCTACGTCATAGAAGAATGTCCGGGTAGTGTATCTGCTCGCGTACATGTACGAAGTATTGTAAAACACCGTTCTATTGAGAACGCGGGTAGGTCGCGCCGCAGTTTACTCCTGTTTTCTTCCATTGGCAGTCGCAATATATTCCTCCGCCTCATATAAAAACTCGTGCGATTGTATCATAACATCATGGCATTTTTGCACTCGCTAGAGAGCAATCTCATTTGACTGATATACATTTTCTGGCGTATACTACTCTTCCTTTGCTCCTGCTCTTCTCTTTTGCTTTTGAAAGCTGATAACCTGGTTGTCAGAGTGAACAGTCGATGGACTAATCTCTCTGTCATCCTGGCAATCAATTATCTTCCTCATCAACACCGACTCGTTCTATATATCCTCCGCTTTTGCCTGATGCACCTTTTTTTTTTGGGGGGGGAGACTTGCACATTTTGGTCAGTCATTCTTAACTCTTAATTGTTTTTAACTTGCTCACGCGAGTCTCTTATCAGCCATAAATCTCAATGTCATGATTGGTCGGCTCAGATTTATCATGGTATTGGTACAATGGCATGTAAGCTGATACGGCCATCGTATTGATACAATGACGAACATTTGGGTGATGCCGCAGGTGTATTTCCATGTTGGAAGCCGTTCAGCACGATAAACGCTGATTTGATTAGAGTAAGCGCTGCGACCAATAAGGACTTCAGATTAATAAAATTGCTGCTGTCGCATACCATTGAAAATAATTTTGTCGATAACGCTGGTCGTACCCTTCTGCTACGCGGCGTGAACCTATCTAGTTCCAAAAAAGCACCGTGAGCAAAAACGCCAACGTCATGCGAGACTCTGAGCGTCCAGTGATGTTTGCTACTGCTCGACTGAGTGATAAGTCTCTGAATCGGTCACTTTGACAGCCTGAATTTGAAATGCAAGCGCTGGTATTGCTGTCTATCCATGTTCACAATACCACTCACGCACATTAGCCCATGAATCGACGTCGTACAGAGCTCCGTGTTCCCAATCGGCTAATTCCCGAGGCATTCACGATATCAAGCACTTGTGAGCACTCCATCTCCCATCTCCGTCTAGACGTCAACTGCATGGTCGAGCGTTCGAACCAAGTAAGTTGAAAAATTCTATTAATAGAAATAATCATGTCGTTCATTGTGGGATTAATAGACAACGTACGAAAAGAGTGATTGAACACCTTGGAATATCCCCCGCGGGATATCGTGCATGGGGATGAAGGGAGACACAAGTCTCTGGCGGCTGCGGACTGTGACTGAGGTGATTTGAAGAGAGGCTTCTTCAATCACATCAATCATATCGGAGAAGATAGCGTCTTTGGCTTTATCGTCAATATGTTGGGAATTACGCTGCTCTTGCAAGATTAGCGCAAGCGCCCTGATCAAGGTGAATCAGCAATGGTTATGTATTCTGCTCTTAGTTTGCTTAACTTTGATCCCCATTGAATCTTCATGTGACGTCGGAGGGCCGCAATCTAACGGTGAAGAGTACAGAATGCGACCAGGGGAGTTAGCTTGTTGAACGAGCCAGATGGAACACACAGGATGTCCGGATTGGAGTGATTGTGATAGGCATCGAATTTGAGTCATGAACCGATAAAACGACCGCTTTGACGCCTTGATTTCGTATAGCCCTGTGCAGTGAGTGAATCGGCAAGGTACGGCCGGAAGGCATTTGCGTATCTGAATCGTTTTGCCTCACTACGAAAACTTCGTAATTCACACAGAAAGCCGATAAGTGGTGATTGCCGCTCCCTCTTGCTTCCGACTCGAGACTGATTATGAAGACAAGTTGAAGACTTGGACGTAGCACAGGATGCATATCATGAAATTGAAGAGGAAAAAAAAATGAGCAGTTGGTAAGTACTGTAGAATTGTGTTGACACTTTGATGACTAATGTATGGTACCGGCGACTACGCGCCCAAAACCCCTGTGTGGACCTGTCGCCCATGATGCCGTTAAGATGATGACGATGAAGGTAGGCTTTAGTATAAATGAGATGGTATGTAGGTCGGAGCTGTGTCGACTTACAAACCATCTTATTTATATGATGATGAGTGAAGGTAGGTTTTAGTATAAATGAAATGGCATGTAGGTCTGAGCTGTGTCAACTTACATGCCATCTTATTTATACGATGATGAGCACAGAGTTGATAGCGTAACGTGTCATGGCGGGTCATCATTTGAACACTCTGAGTCTTTGAAGCACAGAAGTTAGGAACTGCGGTAGTTTGACCGGACAACGGGACCGGCGCGGGTCGAATGCTAGGAACATGTAATCGTATTTCGTCCGACTGCCACTCAAAGTCAGCGGAGGAATTTACCGCCAGCTTCCGTAATATATTCGCACCAGCACACCAGATACAACGACACTCTTCAAAACCAACTAATTACAATTCTTGTGCATCTGAACTGCCATTGTGGGGGTGAGACCCTCGGAATACTTCGTAAAGATCAATACGGCCGTGCCTGGCAAAAGGTCTGTATGACAGCTTGAGGCACAGATAGCATCGACCACCAAATAAAACTATCAAATTCAGACGCTACTATCATGTATTCCTACTGCAGCACGTGCCGTAGCCAAATTTCAGTATACTCAAGCCGTTACTAACATATAAGATACGGTTTCTTCCTTGTTTCCATCAGCACACTCAAAACCTCCGAGGCACCAAGCCATAACCCGCAAGTCCTGGCATGTTATGGAAGTATCTCCCAATGTTTCCTTTGGCCCGAAATCCCATTTCAACACTTCGTCGTCTACTGTGCTTCTCATCTTGTGAGGACAATAACCGCTGTTCTTCTTTTTCTCCTTATTTTCTTCGCAGTCATGTTCCCCAAGACTGAATGGATCGGCGCTGATTTTGAACCCTCGTCTGATGTATTTCATCAAGACATCCACGGTACGAAGATTGGTCTTGCCACAGACATACATTTGCGGATTGACGAAGCTCATATTTGCAGCTGTCCACCGCGGATACAACGAAACGATGGATTGTGCTGTGACGTAGTTCATCACAGCTGTGCTGTGGAATTGGAGGATGGGTGCGATCGCGCATGTCCAGTGAGTAGTGATGATGTCTATCTTCTTGTCTCCGTTCGCCAGTTTGATGATTTTAGATATAGCGGAACTGTCGTATTCTGGTTTTTTCACAACGTCTTGCTTGCTAACGTATCCTTCGTTTTCTTTGAAGTGCTTCACTACTTCTGCTTCAAATGACTCCGTGACATAGAAATCCAAGTCTTGAGTCACAACGGCTTCAGCTTCTGCTTGGACCAGGCTGAGAGCACTTGAGCCCGACACCAGAGAGCCTGTGCGATCCAAAACTTTGATCAGAGCGTCAACATCATGGACGTATGCTCTGAATAATCCTGCGCGACGTTTCGCGATATATTCCGTGATTCCCTCTCGATTCTCGATTCTGGTTTTCGCGAACGACATAAGATCTGGGAGTGTCATATTCTCTAGGATGATTTTTTGAACTTCAGGACTGAGTATGCCAATGGATCCATTGCCTTGCTGCATGTTAATGTGGAGGAGTGGATACAGAATATGAAGTGAGTTGCGTGAACATTTCAAAATATATTGACACTATGAACTATCCTACAGACCCCTATACTCGGACTCTCAATATGCTGATTCACAGCATGACACCCAACACTTTTGACGGAGAATTCCTGTCACACTTGCACGCAAAACTCAGGTTTATATAAATTCGACGCAGTACGTTCTCTTCATATATCATACAGTGCGATCATACTAATGTCCTTCGTGCTTAGCGTCTTTCACATAGTCTTAGCCTTAAATCGATGACCCTTCTTGAACTTGTTCGAAAGGACGCAATTTATGCTTCATACTTTGAAATATTTTATCTTCAGTAACGATCTTTTTAGACAATATTGATAATCTCACTTACAGATCAACAGATTTGATAACTGCCACATAGTCTTCCTTCACGACGCTTGTCATTACCTTCTCAATCGTTTTGAAGGCGAGATAAGGACACCTATCAGTTCCGTGCAATTTGTGGTCGTAAAGGACTATCAGTTGGAATTCAGGGTTATTTGTCTCTCTACCACTGCGGAACGTGATTCTGCATTGCTTGATTTCGGCTTCAGAGCAAAAATATTGGGTTACTTTTGTCCGAAGATCATGGAGATTAAGAAGACCGGGTGCAATGTCTACATCCACGAAGCCATTGTCCGGTGAAAATGAGACTAGACATGCGCTGATGGTAGTGAGTTGATCTGACATTGCGGGTGTATTTTTTTTTGGGAATGGGTGATTCATTATCCATTCACTAACATCTTATACACTTTTCAGATAATTCCAAGCGGTCACAAATCAATTGAATTAAAAGAAGCCCCTACCGAACGTTTCACTCAAACTCCTAGCGGCATATCCCATTCAAATGTATATCATATAATCGCATCAGGTAGGACTCAATTGGAAATTGCTGCGTTACATCTCTTTGACGCTTGATCTATTCTTCCTCAGTTGTCAATCATCATGATGAAGTCCACGACTGCTGATGATGTGTATGCGATTGAAAATCATATGTTTACACATGAACCGGTCTGTCCCGCTTGTTCTCTCTCTATCTCCTACTGCATTTGACCGCTACTCCATTGATTTGACGGTTATTCAGGAAGGACGAACATACCACCGCGCTCTATTTTATGGTAGCGGGTGTTCGGAAGCTATATTAACATACGTTCCTCAAGATATCGACGGTATCGTTCGCGCGCATATGTTTATTGGATGCGGACAACACTCCCAAAAGGCTCTCCTATCTTCTCGAATTGTGCCTGTGCGGGGTTTTCCTGGATCACGCTTCAGCCAATTTCGCAATGCTTATAGTGTCGTTTATTTTCAACGTCATTCAATGCTTCCTATCAATCGTGTAATTTCTAGTGAATTACCTGAACACTGTGGGCTTGCGTGGTTTGGTGATATCCTTGTCATAAAACATTTGGGTCATAACTTGAAGACTTACCAGTCCATGGGTTATGAGGAGAAGGCACTTGTTGATGCTATTTTGACCTGGTTCGTGACTTTCTGTTCATTCCGATGTTTTTGTAATGAACGCATACGATTTTCAGCCTTTTAGAAATAGCATTCAACGCCAATGAATTGTATTGACAATTCTGCACCGCAATCGCCTACCTCTCGTTTACTGTAACACCGTAATCGTCGTTCTTCGCCTTCAAAAGCAGCGCAAATTGTTATACTACTATACATATTTGTTGTGATAACTACATCCTTCCAACCGACTGATCAATGAAACGCATCAATTCCCTCTCGCTTGCTTCTTTGATAGGATCTCTCCCGCTCTTAATGTACCACCACAACGTTCTTCCTAAGTCGTTGATGTCCATGTCGAATTTAGGTGCATCCGGAAGAAAACCGTCTCCATTCTTGACGATTATCAATGCTCCACGAGGACATCTCTTCTTCCCGTAAATTTCCATCATCACTGGATGAAACGGTCGTGCGTCTGACTCCTGAGTAGTATAATAGATATGATAATACCACTCAATTATATGTTGTTCCCTAGGGAATAATATAAGAGGTTCTTGAGGTATGCCTACAGGCAAATGATCTCGGATGAACTCGAGCGCTGCCAGATTCGAAGTAGGACGAGATTGCAAGATAGGAGTAAGGTTCGTCAACAGAAGCAAAAGACCTTCTGTGACACTTGTAGACAGCGAAATATCCTCGGCAATTCTGACTGCGATACAAGGGTCGCTAATAGTCTGTGACATACAGTCTATTCTCAACTTCTTGACTCTCTATTTCAAGGTGAATCACATTGTTTTAAAACTGAATTATGCGACATACTTTAGAACTGATGTACCATGTTGGATTTTCCGACTGCAGTTTATCACATAACTCTCTATGTGTTAAATTGTTATCCATCTGTAGAGAACAGATGGCTGACAAAAGGTTAAACTTCGCAGGAGATAGTTTTGATGGCTGTTCCGAGTGCATAATAAAGGCAAAATAAAATCACTTTGTATCATTTTGCACTTGTTCATACTCCCTGCGCATCTGGCTCGATGATGTCATTGTTAAAGAAGTATATGCACGTGATTAAAAACCGAATTCGCTGAGTTGGAGATGACGCACTGAGGACAACGAAGAACACATTCAGCCCCTTCTATTCTTTTGTGATCACTACTTCCCAATAATGTCCTTCTTAGCTGGTGAGTGCAGAACGTCAGGACTTTTAAAGTCAATTTTGTTTCAACGATATATTAATAGGTCCGAATACTTTCATGGCTTATGAATTATGGCCGAGATCAATGTCCAACGAAATACGAAGACTACAGGGTCCGGAAGACTTAGAATCATGGGAACTATTTCCTGCAGACTTACAGGAAATGGTGGATTGGGCTGACGTTTACAAAGACCACGAGAAGAAAGACTTATCCAGGAATCATTTGTTGATCTACAAACACGTGGAGGAATCTGAGTCGAGCACCATATATCCTGTTGCGGTTCGCATACATGGAATTCTAGAGCAATTTCGCATCGAAAGATTCGGAAATTGGTCAGGGTGAGTTTTCATTTAGATTTGGGAAGATGACAAAAAAAAATCATGCCAGCTCATAGACGACCTGAAGATGCTCGACAAGCAGTTCAATACATTACCGTCGCCTCCGGAGGTCACGAGCAACCTTGGGACGCGACTATCACATCTCTGAATCTCGCTTGTCAATATGTCAGCAGACGACTCGGAGTGCCAATGCAAGAAATGCACAAAGATAAAGATATCTATTTGCAAAGGCGCGTATTTAACAAGGTGAACGAGTTTACTACGAATCAATCAAAGATGAATCCTTATGAATAATACAGAGAGACGCGCCGAACAACTCAAAAGTTCCTGTATTGACCCCCGATGATGATCCAGAGGGAAAATTTCAAAGCTTACAAGAATTATGGGATGTCATGCAACCATTGCGCGTGGCAGAACTATGCGCGAATGGGAAAAAAGTGCCTATTAATTCAGTATTACTGACTGCAGGCGATTTCGTAGAAGTTGGCGCTGAACTTGACTTTGTGTTGAATAGAAACAAAGACGCGAAGACAACACTGAAATGCTTCCTGGCATGCACATACATCGTGCGTTTGATGCCCGCGGTACACGTTCAAAACGCTCAGTTGGTAAGTGCCCCACCATAAATGACATGAAGCACGAGGTCACTAATTGTATAACCCGCATCTAGGACAAAAAGAGACCAACACGCAAGCACACGTTGACGCCCCCACCAACTGAGAAGCCGACAAAGCGATTCCATACCACATTGGATTTCGACTCAGAATAGGAGGGGATCGTCATCTGGATGGAACATTTGTAATTATTTGGTCAGTTCTTTAGGAGAAATCGCAGTCGTTGATAGGGTCTTCTTCACTTCTTCCACAATTTTACGATGGTGAAAACAAAGCATGACGCTAGTCCAACTGAATCACACCCGAACAAGAAGACGAAGATAAACAACACTGGTGCGATTTCGTCTAGCTAACATGCTTATCATATTAAACGAATGCACAGAAAATTCGCAAGTAGTGGCAGATGCCAACAAGGACGTCACAGAACTGAATCATGTTGTTGGTGACAACTCCGCTGAGACAGGGTATGTACAACGAATCGACTACCCAAAAAAACGTACACGAACTGACTTGAATATCTGATCAAGACATCCAGATCAACGCCACAACATCGAAGAGACAGGAGAGATTAACAAAGGAGACGATTCTCTCCCTACGACAGCAGGTGCTTCAGCAGCGGCTCCGAAACGCGGCACAGGCGCATCTCAACCGACATTAGCGGTGAAGACTGTAATCCCACACCCCACCAAACAGTTGATGAATGATGTCGAAGTAGAAGAATATGATGAAGCTTTAAAGGCGTGAGTTGCTCCAGAATCATGTAACATAACGAAAACTGACTGACATATGGAAGCCGGCTGAAGATACTCTCAGAATATACTAATGCGAAAGCCAACATATATGCGCTCGGCAAACTATTACCGACAGCCACTTGGGGACCTTATAAACCAATCAACGATCGAAGCAAAATACTCTGCGATCCCGCAACCGGCGAACCACTCACGATCTGGGTAATCGGTCGAATCGCTAAAATGTGGTTCATGAAGCAAGGGAAACCGGAGAATCAAGCTTCTATCACGGTACTGCCCCTCTCGCAAACATTAGCGAAACAAAGCGGCCTCCTGCTCGCTAAGTTTTCGAATCCGATGCTGAGTAACTCGTTTTCTATGCAAAATGTAAACAAAACGCACTGAAAACATGAATAGCTTTGAATCAACAGACGATCGACATCATTCGTGCAATGAAATGGCAGAACACAAAGGGAGCCGAAGGAACATCAGACGTAAGCCGTTCATATCGAGCCTACTAAACTTTGACCGCTGAAATAATAAAAAGGCCATACTATTCGATGCTGTATATGATGCAAGACAGGAAGGATCCTTGAAAACGTACAGTGAGAGGCCTATATGGAACCTGGCGGATTTGAAAGCCGGCGACCTCATCCTCTTGGAAATGAAGATGACGCGTTATTCTAAGAAAGGAGAAGATAACAAATGGCATTCTCGAGCCCAATTCGAGATGATCGCAATCTCGCTACTACACATGGCTGAAATGCCTGAGGTAGACGATCAAGGAATGCATCACATTGACGGATTGGCGATCTAGTAGGGATAAGCTTCATCGAAATGTATATTACAAAACGGACATCACCAGACATAGCACAACTTGTAACTAAGCTATATGTATTTCTAACGAGTATTTTTTTGTGGCATTCTTAGCGTACTTCACCTCACATAGTCCGAAAGAGATGATGACAACACAAAACTACACAGCGAATTGTGGGTACAGGAATGCCCGGAGGGCCCTTGCGAATTCTAAGCAGTTGAATACAAGGTATCTTTGCCATGGAAGGTGCCGAGCACAAAACTTTAGTGAGAACAGCACTTGATATCTGAAGAAACAATATTAATATGGTCCCGCAGAGGAAGTTAATTGCACCGGCCTTCTCAACACAATCGATCAAAGCCATGACTCCCATATTCTTTCAGAAAGCTGAAGAATTACGGGACAAATGGGAGAGTTTCGCGTCTTCTCCCACATTAATCGAGGATGCGAGATTCCCTCCCCTTCCTGCACCACCTTCCTCTTCTTCTCCTTCTTTTGCTGAGGCAGTGATCGACGTCGCTCACTGGTTCTCCCGTGCAACATTCGACGTGATGGGTTTGGCAGGCTTTGACTACCACTTTCATTCTCTCCAACATGAATCAGAAGAAGTCTACTTAGCCTACAGAGATATGTTCAGGCTCGCTGACAAGGGTCCCAAATTGCGAGAACTCGTCCAGCTTTATTTCCCGATCATCGAGAAGATATTTGTCAGTGATATCATCAGTTTGGCGGACAATTGACTGATACCTTGTCCTCGTCGCAGCCTAATGAAGCCACTCGCGTCACAAAGCAAAGTCAGCGCACAATTAGCGAAGCTGGTCAACGGCTCATTCAAAGCAAGAAATCAGCCATTCTTGCTGAAAAAGCGAATGCGAGCGAGATCAAAGAAAAAGACATTCTTAGTCTACTCAGTCAGTGCTCACGCAACTGTTTGTAAACTGGATCTGACATTTCACCTGTAGTCAAATCAAACCTATCGGTGGATGTTTCTGGGCGACTTTCTGACGCAGACCTTCTAGCCCAACTCTCAACATTCCTTTTTGCCGGCTCTGACTCTACAGCTCTTACCATGTCCTGGTGCATCCACCTCCTTTCCCTCCACCCTAATGTCCAAGGTCGTCTACGCACCGAATTAGGCTCGCTGTCTCCTTGTGCATCCAATTCAATGACAGGGTATTCTGCACAGTCACACTCAGAAGCCATCGACGGGCTTCCTTTCCTCGACGCAGTGGTCCGCGAAACACTGCGTCTGTGCCCTCCCGTGCACGGTACAATGCGAGTTGCCACTCGTGATGACAATATCCCAATATCTTCACCCATAGTTCTCCGTAATGGTACAATTATTCACCCGGGCGAGACCATCCATATCCGCAAAGGCTCTTATGTGCACATTCCCATCGAGGCTTCAAACTTTAGCACTGACATCTGGGGCAAGGATGCAAGAATATTCAAGTAAGTGTAATCTTCCTCGTTACGCCGCTGTCCTAAAAAAAACCTTGCAGCCCTGATCGCTGGGTTTCTCTGCCTCACACCGCACGAGCTCCCTCGCATCCAGGAATCGCGAACTTGATGACATTCTCATTCGGTCCACACGCTTGTCCAGGCTGGAAGTTCTCAATGTTGCAAACCAAGATATTCCTTGCGACTCTCATCCCTCATTTTGTTTTTGAGCCCGCTGCGGATATACAAAAGTTCAACGCGATTCTGACACGGCCGTATGTGTTTGATCAATATGAATTTGGCACACGGCTACCTATAAAGATCGGACGAGTAAATCTTTGATATTTGTAGATGGGTACATTCCGAGACATTGTTGTGGTAAAACCTATCGTAGTGTATCCTTATTGTAACCTAAAGTATTCATCTGGTCCGACGAATCAAAGGAACGGGTAGATAATCATGGGCTAAATGATGGACTACATTCTCGTGGTAGGGTCTCGTCATCGTGGAGAGTTACTTTGTTGATGGCGCCGACCAATATATTCACCTCATCGTCTGATGATATGATATACATCGTAGTGTTGGCCGGGACCTGCCTTGTTTCTTCGAGAGCCGCGACAGGACGAGGGGAACCTACAAGAACTCCGTGAGTTTAACAATATCCAGTACCAAGGCTGATTTCACCTTGAGGCAGAGCAGTTGCCATCCTGCTGATCTTTGGAGTCCTGGGTGCTCTTTGCACGAAGAGGGGGACAAGCTTTCCAACCTTACAAACACCACACACTAGGGCAAACACAGTGAACTTATATGTGATGTGGAAAGTGTATTTGGGAGCAGCGTACCGCATTCATCTGGTCTGATAGATTTGCTATATCGCCCATATCTAGTTCCAGATTCTCAGACATTGGACGCTGGTGCTGGGCCAAAACTCAACTTACACTTTTGAACACTTTTCGCATTCTTCGTAAAATTAACAAAGTGGCGCTTGGTTGAAACAGAATCTCAGACTTACTCCATTCAAATGGGTATGAAATTTCATAGTTGTGTTTTGTCTGGGATTACGGCCGTCAGAAACCAATTACTTTGCAATGGCGTCTGTGCCGCCTACCGTGATTTCGATTTCTGGTCGCTTGGTCATCACTTTGTGGGCCCTAGTAAACAATCAGACGAACAGTAAATGCAAAATGAATGCGGGGACCTACCAAGCTTTGAAGGCTGGGCCATGACCTTCTTTCGGGTCGCCATTGATGATCCAGCACGCTAGATGGCACATTTCATGCGACAAAGTATTTCGTATCCGTTCTAAGAGCACGCAAATCAGGGGCATCGTAGAGCAGAAACAAAGACCTCTCCACCATCACAATCCAAAATCTTGGCGGCCAGCTCGATCTCTGTCTTCTGAACACCATCTCTAGACCTGTCATCAAGATGAGCCTTGTAGGAGATGTAGCATAATTACTAGGTACCTGTGCCACCTGGCCCTTCCCGCGGTGGTTAAGAGGCGCTTGTTCCAATGCAACTTCGTCTCCCGGGGAAGACCATCATTGAATATTGTACCATTAAGCTCTCCAAAGAGCTGTTCAGCATATTTCTCGCGACGTGCGGACTCCTCCGCTTTCCCCCGCGAAGAGATCCTGGGGGGCGGTTTATTTGTCCGTGGCGTTATGCTGCCCAAGACTGCCCGAGGAATGTCAGCCTGCCTCGTATTCTCTCCAGAGGAATGCGAGTGAGATGACCCATCGTCATAGCGAGTAATTGGGAAGGAGGGAATGGTTTCTTTGACAGTGGATATCCGAGCACGGCGAATGGGTTTGCGTGTACTTCGAGGCTCGTTCCTGTCCGGTTAATGTTGAGCCCGGATATCAGCATTAGTGGGTATAGGCTTACAGAACGAGAATGGAACCATCGTCTGCGTCGCTGTCATCAGCATAAAGTGACAAAAAGTCTTTCGGGCGCTGAGCCACAGGTTCCCTCATGATACCCGGCAGTACTTTGGTAGGGCTCTTGACAAGATCAGTTAATTTGTCCGGAAAGTCGGAGGACGTATCATAGGTATCGCTGTCTGTCAACTCGATGATTTCAGGTTCACGAAATGAGCCTGTGATAGCATGAGTATTCTGAGCCTGTCGAGCACTGTAGCTTCATCAAGTGTCTGATATCATGGTGAACTGTGTAATACACTTACCCATCTGTTGTGAGTCTGAACAAGTAAGAACACGTGAATATGTTTTGGTATATGTCTATGCCATAAAGTCTTACGAGTTGTCATCGTCGTCCGAGGATATTTCAATGACTTCAAGTGAGACAGATTGACACCTTCTATGTGTAATTCAACGTCAAAGAGTGATTTTCACGAGAAGGCCACACACCTTAGTCTCTCTTCCTCACTATCCGATATCACCTCTGGACTGAGCCTCCGAGTCATCGATCCTAAGCACCGAGGGGAAAAGCAGATAGCACGATTGGTCTATCGATATACGGGTAGTAGATCAGCGTAAAAATGCTTGAAACTCACGAGTGGCCAGGTAAAATTGCTTTGGACAATGTACATGCGACTCGCGACCTCGAGACGCGCTTGTTCCCCGTGACAATGTCAACTTCATCACGTGCATCTAAATGAGACCTGTTGGCTGCTAACGACATATTATACTTTCTTGGTGCCTCATCGTAAGGCCCGCCTAGCTCAATCGGATAGAGCGTCAGACTTTTACGAATTGTACAAGTTTGTGCAAGGCGGTGATCTGAAGGCTGCGAGTTCGACCCTCGCGGTGGGCTAATGTTTTTGTCAAGTTTTGAAGATATTATTCCCCCTAGTACTCTTGATGCTCCTTCCGATTCATTTTTGCAGTTCCGTCTTCTATAACAAACTTTACAGTTGACTGGTTCCGACTGTATATGTATATTAATATCTGATCGAAGAACTACACGAATTCAACCGTCGGGCATATACTTTCATGTGGTGAAAATCATTGCAGTGGTATACATATTTAGATTCCTGACCTTTTAATCCTCTTCTACACCCTCCTCCTCTTCCGCAATAAGCCTCTCCGCCTCAAGCGCAGCCATACACCCGCTCCCCGCACTAGTAATAGCCTGTCTATACCTCTTATCCTGCACATCGCCAGCAGCAAACACACCCTTGACACTCGTCTGAGTCGTTCCAGGGACAGTGATTATATACCCGTCGAGGTCCGTTTGCAGCTGCGAGCGCACGATGGATGTAGCTGGCTCATGTCCGATTGCATAGAAGAGTCCCCGCACGGGGAGATCGCGCTCTTCGCCTGTCGTTACGTTTTTGATGCGGAGGTTGTTGAGGAGGTCGCCGTCACCCTGGCATTCGGTTGCGACGGTGTCCCACATGATGGACTGTGGAAATGCGTGAAAGGTAGTTAGTGGCAAGGGGGTATGACGAGAGTGGGAGACGTACTATCTTGGGGTGATTCATGAGGCGTTTGGCCATGATTTTAGAAGCACGGAGTTCTCTACGGCGGACGAGAACATAGACGTGGGAGCCGTATTTTGTCAGATCTGTTGGTGTGATTCTTGTTTCATGTATGATATGAGAGGAGAATTGAGAGATCTTACAGGTGGCTTCTTCTGCTGCAGAATCACCACCACCGATGACAGCTAGCGGTTGATTCCTGAAAATAGGTACGGCGCCATCGCAGACTGCGCATGCGCTGATGCCGCTTTGCCAGTATGTGGCCTCGCCCTTGAGTCCTAGCCTCTTCGCGCTCGCACCTGTGGCGATGATGATCGTGTCCGCAGTTTCTGGTTCCTCGTGTTCCTGGCTCTCTCGCCAGTAACGGAACGGGCGTGCAGATAGATCGATCTTGGAAACGGTCTCTGTGATGATCTGCGTGCCGAAGCGAATGGACTGCTCGCGGAAGTTGTCCATGAGCTCGGGACCAAGGATACCAGATGGGAAGCCGGGGTAGTTCTCGACTGGGGTGAGAGAAGAGATGTGATGAAGACACGGGTGGGATGGGACGTGTAGCACGTACCATCTGTGGTCGTGGTTAGCTGACCACCAGCAGCGAAACCGTTTGCCATAAAGCCCTCGAAGAGGACAGGGTTGAGGTTTGCGCGCGCAAGGTATACAGCGGCGGTGTGTCCTGCAGGACCTGAGCCTATGATGACCTGGGCATGAGTGAGTACTGGGGAATGATGAACCCGAGATGGATGATACAGACGACTTTTGAATGCATCTTAGTACTCTTTGGAATTGTTCTGGTTGTGAGTGGGGCCATTTTTGAGTAAGTGCGATCTGGAAGGAATGCAGATGGAGCTACGAGAGGAAGTGCCCGTACTAGGCCATTGAATGATTCAGAAAGCGAAACCGTGAATACAAACGCGTTTCTTCACGCCTGGTTGTCGACAGAATGCTTTCCACATTCTCGGACAGAGACTGATGGATCGATGATGATATAGATACAACAAGCAAGTACTATGTATTAATAGTCAATAGGAAGGTCGAGATCTCCATGAAGCAAAACGTGCAAAAAACTATTAGCCCACCGCGAGGGTCGAACTCGCAGCCTTCAGATCGCCTAGTCATAAGAGTCTGACGCTCTATCCGATTGAGCTAGGCGGGCGATGTTATAACTTCCAAACCTACCTCTATCAACGGGATGTATGAAAAGTCAAGAGATTATTGACATTATCTACAGGCCTAGGGACATCGAGTACAATATTCAAAGCAAACAGCGAATGGATAACATCATTCGTACAACACATCAAACACCGACCCTGTGGGAATTATCAAGTCAAGTACTAACATCAAAACAGACAACCTACCGATGCACGACCTTTTTCTGTAATGCAAAGGGGTTATCACCTAATTTATGTGGCCCAAGGTAGAATTCTTACCTGACCAGAGAAGCGTACCACCTCCCTCTTCTCAAGGATGAATAGTGTCCGTTCCAGTGCATGACTCGAGTAGCCCTGCTGCGTTACAAATTCCCTTACTAGACTTTGATAGCTCGTGCTCCAACCCACGGGAAGACGTCTGCGCAGTTCCTTCTCTATCCGCGTCATCTCGTCATTCAACTCGCCGCGGGACATGCCGTCAACGGATCCCGCCGAGACAGCGTCCATGGTTGAGAACTTAAAAAGCCGGATGGCTTCCTCGACATGGTGATTCTGAACGGTCGGTGATAATGTCATTTTGGCAAGCGATTCTGATATTCGGATGATGGCTTCTAGTTGACTGCAAAAGTGTCAATCTCGACAGCAGTTCATCGGGCGATGAATACCCACCGGATTGTTATCGGAATTGAACTCCGTTCGTCATTATCGCGTTCCACTTGCTGAACCTGCTTCCGAAGACTGACAAAATGACTGCTAAGCATCTCTTGAGCATCTGGAGATAACCGCGGTGCGCATTTGCTGAAAACCACACAGTCAGTTTGATTGGCTTGCAGCAATGGGGAAGACATCAAACCTCTTGCAATACGAAATATACCGCTTCATTTTATCGATGTCGATTTCGCCAACAGCTTCTCCATTGTCGTCTGTATTCTGATTCGGCCGGTTCATGTGGATGTTCATTACGTGCTTGGCAATCATCTAAATTGTCGGTTGTGAGTAAAAGGTGTAGGATAAACGAAGTGGACACTGACACGATCTCGCTGTTCGTTATGCTCGTCTTTGACTATGAAAATCATATCAAAACGGGACAAGATGGTTGTTTGAAAGTCGATGTTCTAGTCACGATGTGGATTTCAGCAAGGTGGAAAACATTGTAACGGAGCAGAATACCTCGCCGGGGCTCCGACCCTCGTCATATCGTCCCCAAACAGGATTTGCTGCTGCAAGGACACTTGTTCGGGAGTTGAGCACTGTCGTGATACCAGCCTTGGCTATCGAAATAGTTTGTTGTTCCATAGCTTCATGAATGGCAACCCGATCTTCATCACGCATTTTGTCAAATTCATCAATACAGACAACCCCAGTATCTGCGAGAACCATGGCGCCTCCCTCGAGATAGAACTCGCGCTGTGACGGAGAAAGTTAAGACAAAGAGCAAGATTTTCTGGGAGGGAGTTGGCACTTACGGAGACTGGGTCCCGCTGGACAACGGCTGTTAATCCAGCTGCGCTAGAACCCTTCCCTGAGGTATATACGGCAATCGGCGCAACCTGCAGGATGCAATGAGAAGGCATTTAGCGGGGGATCAGTGCATTGAATACCTTCTCGACAAACTTGAGCAGTTGACTCTTTGCTGTACCTGGGTCTCCAAGCAAAAGAACGTTGATATCACCTCTCAACCGCATACCATCTGGTAAGACCTTCTTAGAGCCACCAAAGAGCAGACAGGTGATCGCTTTCTTAATGTCTGCAAAGGCAATGAGTGCGGATTGAAAAACCAGTTCACAGTTCACAACGAACCGAGGCTGCCATAAATACTTGGACCAACACTCTTAGAAAAACGTTCATAGAAACCTTCGCTGCGTGCCATTTCGCCAAATTCCTCCTCCTCTTCAGGAGTGAATTGCACCCCAAAAGGATTTGAGGCGCCGCCACCGGCAGTAGGTGAGGACATTTCGATATGAACAAGACGGAGATAAGGTTGTCGAAGTGCAGCAGGGCCAGCAGATTTCTGTGATGATTTTATATGTGTATCAGGGGGAGATTGAGGTAATACTCACGTTCTTTGCAGAATTGAAAGTAGAATAAATTCCAGTCGCGACTATCCGCGAGCCAGGTACAACCTTGCCGGTTAGGTATCGATCGGCAGAGAGGAGCATGTGCCGTGGAAGTTCACCGACTGGAACCATGTCTGGTGCCTCTTGCAATTTCAGAGTCTGTTGATCAACAAATGCCGACTTCGTATGAACGATGATGTAGGGGTCCAATGGACAATCCTTCTTCTGGTTCTCCAGCTCTGGTGCATCACAGACTCTTGGTAGACCTCGATCCGATCCATTACCCAGTCCTCCAAGGCCGCCGGCAGGATATACAACTTTTGTGGACCGACAAGCACGACATTGAAGATGGAGCTTTGTTGCTCGCGAGGAAAGGACAGAAGCGGAAATAACGATTCCTGGTATACGGACCAACTTGTTCATTGTGTTTGCCGTCAGGTCGCGAACACGTTGCATCTGGAGGCCAGATTTGATGGTGATTTGGACTCTGGGGATTGATTGGAGAGCAGCCTCTGCGCGCTCGTCAGAGCCACCAGCTAGCGGGAATAGGATGGTACGAGCTGCTTTGGTGGCCGCATTCTCAAACTGTGCCTGTTGTGAGCTTCAAGTGCAAGAACACGCGAATTGTACTTACCAGTGGCAAGATATCTGCCGGTCTGTCCTGAATTGCATGCGCCAGCTCATCATTATACAATCCGACGTGACGAAGATCCACCTCAAGCTGGTACTGCTTGAGGAGCAAGTTTGCACGGAGCTGATCTCTGCAATCTTATTGAATAACTGTTAGATACTCAGTAGATAATAAAACCGACCTGTAGATGAATTCGCCTCCGACGCGATATTGCAATAAAAACTCTAAAAGAAGTTTCTCTGTTTGGGATGGAGAGTCAGGAGATGCAGCGGCTGGTGGGTCATGGACCGAGACGGTGAACACATGATTTCCGTCGAAACCTGACATTGGTGAGTGAAACAGAACGGAGTACCTTCAATAAATGAATCATTGAATATGGTGGACGCGAGGCATATGATCATTTAGGGCCGACAGATACGCGACACCTTGATGTGTGATGAATATACATGCTTGATTAGAGTGAATATTGAATCCCGTTTAGCTCAGTTGGTAGAGCGCGTCACTAGTAATGACGAGGTCAGTCGTTCAAGTCGGCTAATGGGAAATATTTTTGTCCTCCTATTATTTTGTCTGGATCATTCATCCAAGGTACTGTGACAGTGGCAGTGGACACTCGTGAATCTCACCGTCCATCATGACTTCGCATATGGATACAGACGAGCAATCGGTAGTCCTTCCCTCTAGCACAACGTCTGGATTGTCCTTGTCGCTGTCAGTCTACTTTCTTTCTGACATTGTTAATAACGTTGACGTTGACGTCTAGACATCCCCTGCCCATCCTGAACATCTCCGAACACTTGACGAGACTAAAGCTTCAGACTCGGTCCAATTCACCTTTTGGTGTGTTCATTTCTCTCATTCTCGTCACCTGTCGCTGACAGTAGAACGATCAGTGCTTGGCGCATTGCTAGGCACCCAGAATGGTCGAGAAGTCGATATTGTAAACACATTCGAACTTGCTACAGAAGATGGTAGCGATGACCTTGTAGATCACGACTTTTTGATATCTAGGCGAGATCAGTGTAAGTCTTCCATGTTATCCGTGTCCTCGCTGGCCGAAACATTTCCTTGCCGAAGATAAACAGGTGTTCCCCTCTTTAGAGTTCATTGGATGGTACACGGTATCTCCTGTACCAACCTCTCGTCACATCGTGTTACATGAGCAGGCATGTCCATTCTTCCAGACCTCTTATTTGTGAAGTTTATGGCCCGTAGTTTACAGGGTACTGTTCCACGCCACTCCTGCTCGTCCTACAACCCTCGACGATAACTACATCATCATCTGATATCACTGGGCAGACACTTCCTTTCAAGGCTTATGAGCCCACCATTGAAATAAGGGACAAGAAGACACGTTCTGTGTTCATAGAGGCTCCGTACAAGGTAGAGACCGGGGAAGCCGAGCGCATTGCTGTCGATTGGACAGCCAAGGGCGGCGGCGGAAGTACCAGCCGTGGGTGGATTGTTCCTTCTACTCGTACACCTCATCGTCCTCTCTGCAGTCGAATCGCATCTTCAGGCTCAGCGGGCAGCAGTCAAAATGTTACATGAGCGAATATTGGTTCTTGTGCAGTATGTGACAAACGTGATCGCAGGTACGTTGTATGTGCCAACTTGAAATTCAGTACATAGACTTTTGTACGCAGGCCAAGTTCCGACAGATCATACAACCCTTCGATCTTTGTCTGCCTTAATTGCCTCGCTACCGGCCAGTGAGAACAAGGGCTTCCGCGACGAATTCAACACTGTGGGTACCTTCTCTACTTGACATCCTGCTATGTATCTCTGTTCGATGTCCACCTTACTCACTTTGATACGTCATGCAGGAGTATGAAGACGTCCAGCTCACTGCATTTCTCTCATCGCTTACGAAATCGACAAACGTTTTGAATGACGTGAGTGGTCTCCAACTGCCAGTTTCCCGATTTAGTTTTGATCAACATGGGCGCTTGCCATATAGCTTGTCGACAAGCACATTGTACTCACAGGAGGATCGCGGGACGATCGCGCTATAAATGTAAGGAGGAGGGGGATGGGCAGACAAGGGATGATGCCAGGGGATTGGGCGATGCACTCTTAGTTACTTGAAGAAAGTACTGTGCCACGTATTGTGTATCCCTTCCCTACTCAGCACAGAATACTCACGGATCATACTTGGAGGATGATCTGTTTTTACTGGAGCTCGTATAAAATGTATTGGTATGTTATTGGCTCGGACTGACTCGGGATTCTTTACTAACTCTGCCACGTACGACTGACTCCTGAGACTCCACTTTCAAGTTCACCCTCTCACACACACCAGCTCTGTTCCTTAGCTAACCATGGCACACAGCGAAACTTTATCATCAGCCTCCCTCCTTGGTATGCTGTCGCCTAAAGGTGTTTACCTTCTAGGCTATGGCTGGCTCTACGGGATGTGTAAGTAGAATTGTTTCCGCCATACGTCTCCATTTGATCTAAGACAAATCCAGCTGTGTGGGTGTCATTCTTTGGAGGTATGAGACTTTATATTCATCATATACCTGCCTCTCTGACGGACAAGCGTACAGGAATAATTGCTTTGCGGGCCTTGCGTTCGTCTTTCCAGTTAACGAGTACCCGCTGTCAATAATCAGACTGCTTCGTTGAAACAGCTAGACACCAGTTCGGCGCTCTTCAGCACAAGACTTTCCCAGTCTACTTTTCTTCCTCGATTGTACTCTCCTCGGCTTTGTTGGGGCTTTGGGCATATGCTCATCCTGGACTTCTTGCCAACGTCACCAGTCCTACTAGGGCTGATGTTGCACAGGCATATGTGCTCGGAAGTGTCATAGTGCTACAGGGGTGCAACCAATTGGTTGTCGGGCCGATGACTAGTAGGCAGGTGGAACGTAGTTCTGATAATCCCAGGTACTGAATCCGTGTGTACGCAACAGCACTATGTTCCAGCGACACAAGCTGGAGAAAGAAGAAGGCAAAAACTACAATGATCCCGGAGTAAGCTCTTGCTATTTTTTCGATCATAAAAGGTACTGACTAAATATTTGTAGGTTTCCGACCAAATGAAGGCCTTGAGTGCGAAGTTTGGAATGTTACATGGCATCAGCTCGCTGGCCAACTTGGGCGCCGTCATTGCCTTGACCTTTCACGGCTTGTGGATTGGAAGCTACGGGTTGTGAAGTACTCTCCGTAAATCATAAATCAGTCCGAGGAGCAGCCGTGTGGCTCTAAACAGCCAAAGTAGATATTACGCAAAAATACAGTTCTAAGCAGTACAGTCATGCACCTACAGACTCCATGGATGGCATGTATCCCTCTCTCAAACTTCTCTCCAGCCTCCTGATTTCCTCGATGGAGGTTGCCTTTGCGATGGCCAGTTTGACCTTCTCGGCGTCTTCTTTTGACATCAGCCGACCTGCCTTCCCTGACAGCGCCGCTGGCTTGGGCTCGTCAAGAGTGACGGCCGCTTTTGAACCCTGCTTCGATACAGTTGTGGATATCGTCGTTGCAAGGGCAGTAGGTAAGCCTTCTGCCGTGAGGAACAAAGACTTTCCCGCCTCCCGCTCCTGAAAGGTGCGAATGTGCTGAGCTATCGACCGCGCTGAGTTTCGAACGTCGTGGGCGCACCTTATCGCGAATCCTCTGAAAATCCAGAACTCTCAGCGATGGTATTCTCCACGCAAGCCACTCGCGATACCATTTCTTTTCCCTCACAGGGTTGCCCAACAGGGCAAGGTACTTCAATCCTTTGACATCCTTGAGAGGCTCAAGATCGCCAAGCTCAACGACACTGTTACCAGTCAGGACAAGAGTTGTTAGATTGGGAACTGAAAGGTGAATCGAGGGTGAAATTGAAGCAACTCGGTTGTTGGCAAGAAGGAGCGTTCGTAGTCGTTTGAGCAAGGGCAGATTGCCCAGCACGGTGATCGAATTATCAGTGAAATCTATAGCATCGTGCTGGTCCTAATCCAAATGTAAGTTATTAGATCGATGCCAGATTATGCATGAGGCCAATGTTCGTACCCTGGTCACACCGAGGTTTTCAATAGTGGGGATTTTGTAGCCTTTGGAATGATATGAACATGGTGAGATGCAATTGATTTTTACGAGCTCACCTCGTAGATCGAGCTGCCGCTCCTTTATGGGGTTGAGTGCAGACGGGGCCTGCGCGAGCAGCTCGGGAGTGAGCTTGACCATGACAGCTCTAGTCAAGCGTTGAGGTGCACGCTGCGTTTCAGACTCAGACAACGAGGAAACAGCACAACACGTAGACGCGACGCGGTCAACACATTACTTCCTGACCACCATGAAGCCCATATACCAGAGACTGAATCTGTGCGATTCGCCGTCCACTAAAATAATTTTTCTGCTGATGTTTTGTTCGCAGATTTATTGACGGGCAGGATGCCTACACCTTTGTCCCCGTGGAACCCATTGGAGCGCAGTCTCTCACCATTCACAGGGCAACTGGTGATATAGTACTCAATGGTGAGCTGCTTGAAATCTGTGATATTACAGCTAAATATGATTCTGCTCAGCCCCGAACACACCTGTCCCTTTTACCGCCTCGAGATACGTCAAGACAATATACGGGATCTTAGGGATGATTTCACTGGCTCTTTGTGCGTGTTGCGACTTCCAAAGCCCGCTTTACATATACCGATCCATATCATAGCGGAGTATGTGATTGTAATGACAGGTCGTGAACACCGTGCACGCCTCATGGGTCACGACATATACCGCGCGGCTGACTTTGACATCCTGCCTCTAAATCCAAATGTCTCTGTCCAGAATCCGGCGCACCCCGTAGAGGGACACTTGTTGGGATTAGTTCGGTCGCATCTCCTCGGTGGACACTTCTTATTCAGCTACGGCTGGGACTTGTCGAGGAGACTCCAAGTACAATGGCAAGACCGGGACAACGAAGAGAGAAAGGCCTTATGGGAGGTGGTGAGTGGTGACGCATGCATGTGAAGTCATGGGGCTGACCGAGTATTAGACTGACGACAGGTTTTTCTGGAACAAGTTGGTTGCTCATCTAGTCGTGCGGATGTGCATATTGACATTCACAACTTCTCACAGATTTTTGCAGTCTAGACTCACAGACACAGACATCGCACATGATGTGAGTCGCTTCTCTCGAGTTTTAGTATGCATCTCAGGATTTATACAGCTCAGTCCTTACATTCTCCCAATTATCTATGGCAGTAAGTGCACGCCCCGGTTTTTCTGCTTATCGTTGATGGCCACCAGCGTTCGACATGCGCACTGTATATATCCATGGACACCGCATTCAGCTTTGCCTCATCAGTCGACGGTCGCGCTATCGCGCAGGCACAAGGTACTTCCGTCGTGGCATCGACCATGAAGGCCACGTTGCCAACTTTAACGAGACCGAGCAAATTCTCCTAATCGACGAGAAAGCTGCGGGGCGCTTGTCACTTGCGGAGAATCTAACGCATAAACTGAGCTTTACTCAGATTAGAGGCAGCGTGCCGGTCTTCTGGGCCGAGGTCAACACTCTCAGATATAGGCCTGATTTGCAGGTCATGGATCTTCAGGAGACGGTAATTTTACCTTTCGTTTCTGATGGGTGTCATTGTTTTGACCCCTCATAGGTTGACATGATCAAGCTCCACCTTCGGGAGCAAGTTTCACAATATGGCAGTCAGAGTCTCGTCAACCTAGTGAATCAAAAGGGTTACGAGCAACCGGTAAAGGATGCCTACGAACACGCCATTTCCCAAGTAGGTTATCGTTGCCCCGCCTCCGCATCATATTGACGTATTTTAGGTTGAAATCCCAGAAGTGAAGTATCAATACTTCGACTTCCACAACGAGTGTAAACACATGCGATGGGATCGTATCAGTGTTCTCATCGAGAAGATGCAGGAGGACCTCGTTCAGCAAGGGTACGAACAAGCAATTCTCAAGAGTTTTCTTACTAATGTAGACACAGATACTTCCACCTCGACACGGCCCAGGATAAGGCCGTGCAAATCCAGACAGGCGTGATGAGGACAAATTGTATGGATAATCTGGATCGGACGAACATAGTTCAATCATCTCTGGCAAAATGGATGCTTAATCAACAATTGAAAGCCACTGGCGTGCTGTCAGATAATGAGGAACTGGACGACTTTGAAGCATTGATCAGAGGTTTCCGCGAGAGTAAGGCCGTCGCTGCAGTCTCGTCATACCCCATACTCATGCTGTTTAGTGTGGGCCGATCATGCGGACTTAATCTCGAAGGCATATGCAGGCTCTGGGGCACTCAAGACAGATTTCACTCGTACAAATAAGCGTACGACTATAGGTATTCTTCAAGATGGATACAAGAGCGTCATGCGATACATCAAGAACAATCATTTCGACGGCGCTAGACAAGTCCGTGTATCCCAGAGTTTGACTTCGCTACCCTGACAGATTTACAGGATGGATTTGACCTTGTTACTGGAGCTTGGACTCCTCAGAAGAATCCAGTCACAGCTGTATCCTTGATAGCTGACACGCGACCATTAATTATCCGATCAGTACGTTTGTCCGGTAATTGGAACGGCTCAGTGTTGAATTTTCTCCTTCAGATTCCTTACATATTGTCGTTCGCGCTTTTCATGATCTGCGCCGGACTTACTCTGCCAAGGACATCAGGTGAGCTAAAATCTACAGCACTTAGCGCAACTCGCTGACTGGTAGTCGTAGACTACTCGCTATTGTATTACTTCATGCTGTGGTTCGTGATCGCTTCATTGGCTGTCATGTTCATGATGGTGCATGGCATTGAGTATGTCTCGTGGCCCCGGCTTATCCCCCCTACGGATATCATCAACTATGAAGGACCAGGATTTCGCTCAGCTCACAACGGGAAGGGTCTCACTGGTCCTCTAGCTCAGAAGCTGGATCTTTCTGGTCAATCGGATGGCTTTGGGGCCAAGCTACTCTTAAACGGGCGTAAGAGAGCTTTGACGGTCAGTGGGATGGAAGAGGGGACGAAGAAGAGAGTAGATTGAGGCCCGTTACTGAGTTATCACCACTTGTGATTCAGGCTGAAATTATATATTTCCCCTTCTTCATGCACATTGCACACGTCCTCACCTCTTTCGAGGAAACTTCACGATTTTAATTGGCTGATGGCCTCGATCATGTTGCCTGGAAAATTTCCCATTTTGGCGCCGCTAGACAGAATCCAAACTCCGCTGTGGCGCGTCACGCTAGCTAGCATATGTCTGGAGCGTCATCCTCCTGTGTCCTCTCCTCACTATGTCTGGCAAAAAACGCGCTTCCCCTGGCGCCGACGTCGAGAAAAATCCTCTGGCAAATGTTGAACTCAACGATGAAGATGCTCAAAAACTCCAGGACATTCAAAAAGACATCCAACGCGTCGAACTTATCATAGGTGAGCTTTCCAGTGTATGGCCCACAGAAAGTGTAACACACAAATTGACAACCTCCAAGAGCGTCAGGCTATGCAAAAACTAAACCCAGTCTATGAAAAACGCCGTGCTGTCGCTAAATCAATAGAGAAATTTTGGCCTGTGGCTCTCATGAACAACACCATGATATCTTTTCATGCACAACACACTATTGATCAACTTGCGCTGAGCTACCTTGAAGATTTATGGATCGTTCGTGATCCTAAGGAGCCACGATGCTACACTATCGAATTCGTGCGTCATTGCTGAAATGCGCCACGATAGTTAACACTAAATTGTCATAACAGTTTTTCAAGGCAAACCCATACTTCACTGACTCTGTCTTGAAAAAGGAGTACAAATATGTACCTCCACCCGCCGCTTCGGACGAAAATCCTGATGCTGATGGCATCACTGACTCTATGCTCGAGTTCTCTTGGGCCCGTGATGTCCAGCCTTCTGTAAGTGACGTCCGTCCGTCCTCACGGAATCACACCTCTAATTTTGTGGTAGGCAACTCCAATTCATTGGAAGGATCCTGAGAATGCTCTGACCAAACTCCACCCCCGTGTGGCTGAGGTGGATGGGGATGATGATGATATGCCCGCAGAAGCTGGCAGCTTCTTCAACTTCTTTGAGATGGCAGATGACCCCTTTGAAGTGAGTGGTTTCAGCCAGTCGCCACATATGCTTAACTTGACAAACTTGACATCTTTTTCTAGATTGGCACGCAAATTGCCAATGAAATTTTCTCTGAGGCCACGGATTATTTCATGGGTAATGTCGCTGGTGACGAGCTTGATTCTGAGGATGAAGACAGTGAAGATGACGATGACGATGCTGAAGAAATCGATTTGGAGAAACCAAGGGCGAAAAAGCAAAAGAAGGAATAGATTTTTACCACCATCTATTCGAGATACGTATTTATGGTCTTGTCAGCTGCTCAGCTTGACTGTCTTATTGGCTTATTCCACACTCGTGGATGCTTACAGTAACACCCATTCTCGCGTGGCTTTCTTGAGTGATCTCTGTTGTATCTATTGCATTTCGACATGTAAAAGTGAATGCATATGCCGTGTGGTGGGCAAACACATACAGGCCCGCAGTGTGCATGTCGTATGATGACTTCCGACATTCCAATGTGTGAATGAACGCAGATGAGTTGATGCCCTTTGCAGCGTTCCAAGTGCGTTCCTCAATAACCAATGTTTGGCAACATTCATTACTGAAGGCTACACGCCAAAATCGGAAGGTACCCCTAGGCACACCGTTCTACTAAGATACCTTCTAGGCACCTGCGGAATGATATGGTTAATGAGCTAGTCACGACCAAGCTGGCATGGTTCGTAGTACTCCGCATAATATTGATACTTAGGAGTTATGACATGCGCCAAGTTCAATACCGGGTAGTTGCCACTTCCACCCCAACCACCAAAGGCGTGAAACAAGCGTGCAACATACATGGTATCCAAGCATGTCTACATGTATTATTGCTGCACTAGTACTTGCTGCAGTGAGATGTTATGAACTTGGGCGTTTTTAATTTACACTAGGTATTTGGTCCGGCCAAAGAAAGATCGAAAAACTGTACATGCTGGCCCGGAATTGCATGACCAGAGGTTTGAGCAGTCGGCCAAACTTTTGTATGTAGAAAAATGGCCGTTTGCTTCCCTCCTCACTCTGTGGGAGTCGGGGACGTCTGATGTACTAGATAATAAAAAAATTGGCGTCCTTGCAAGGTAACAAAAGTTGCAGTTCTAAAAGCGCAATATTACATCTAGGTACAATACAAAGTTGGTGTTGCAAAACGTGCCCAAGAGCTTGATCAACTGACTTTGTCACAATATTCTGTGAACCGTAAGTGGTAGCGAGCTCGAACCTTCTCCCTTGACTCGGGGACGAATGACAAAACTCTGAAAAGCCTCCATCTCGTGTGGACAAGAGAATGCAAAGTGCCGGAGCAGAGTCACTGTCAGAGCCTTCGATACGTCATGATCAGATGGGGGTATTCAAGGACGGACAACATCAACGTTTACCTTTATTTCGGCAGCCGCAAAGTTTCGCCCGAGGCAGCCCCTGGGACTGTCAGGGGTTAGCAAAAGAAACATAGCACCACAGCAGTGGTGCACTTACCCAACACTAAAAGCCAATAACTCGCGACTGGTCCTGGTACCGTGGTGGAGCCAGCGTTCTGGTCGGAAGTCGTCCGCGTCAAATCCCCATATTAACTTGTCCTTTTGAATCACATTGACAGGTAATGAGATGATTGTGCCCTTCGGAATGACGAGGTGAAGATCACCAGACCCTGCTACGGGTTCCGAAAGAGGGATGCTGATGGTTTCAGCAGCCTACCCGAACAAACTTTAGTAAATCTTTCGGCTGCCTGCTTTTGACCTTACCTCATGATGATTTTCGAGAACAGGTGGATGAAGGCGAAGTGTCTCCAGGAAAAATGCGTCGAGAAGAGGGTAGGAATTGTTGAGTTCGTCAAATGTGGGGTCTCCAGCAGTTGAAACTTCATCACGGATTGCTTGCTGCCATTTCGGATTCATGCCAAGTTCAAAGAACAGCCACTGGGGGACACTGTCAGTTAGATTTTTGAAACCAGCCCAAGTGAACGTACAGCAATCGTGGCGGAAACTGGTTCATAACCAGCTGATATGATAGTTCGCATCTGCGCTGCAACTTGCTCTTCATCCATACGTACAACGGCAGCGGCTTTATCAGCTCGCACTGTGTAAATCATCGTGTCAGTGAAGTAATGATCTTCGAACAATTTAGAATCATACGCATCAGTGACATCAGCGTCTTACTGTTCGGATCACTGACAGCTTCCGCATCCTTCAAGATATTCGTAGCAAGATCTCCAAGCTCTTTTCGGGTTTTTCTGATCATCTGTCCTTTCTTGCCAAGATGCAAGATAGATGGTAATAACCAAAAAAGAGCTTTCATGTAAAATGAGGTAAACGATTTTTCGTAATTCGTCAAGCCGTCTAGGGTTTCTGCGAGAGCGTGTGGTTGGCCTCGAAGGCAGTCAAAGTCGTACGCCAATGTTGCTCGTCCAACTGTGTCCAACCTGCATATAAAATTGAAATGAGTGCACACGATAAACTTGCTGCCAATACATACGCAAAACGGCCAGCCCAATTGGTCATCTCAATCACGATTTCGTCGCTACGTTGGGCATCGAAAAGCTTGTGCCATTGAGTAACCATCTGAAAGAAGTTCAAGAAGCATCTAATGTGACATATGCAGCTTACCTTGGTAGCATTTTCGTAGAATACCGGAGTCAAATTCCGCGCAGACTGCGGACTGAAGCTGCGTCAGGGTAGAGTTACCACCGAGGTAATGTGCTTATTACCTTAATGCTGGGCCAACACTGCGTCGTTGCTTCTCATGAGCTTCTTTGCCTTGTCACATACATCAGTGAGCGAATTTAAGATCTGCATTGAATGATTACCTTCCACCCAGAGAATACCCTCTCCGAGCAGCATACGAAACCAGGCACGGACGCCTTTTGGCTTAGGAAACTGGTATGTGCCCTCTCCTAGAATAAACGATATCGCGTGCGGATCCGTGATGGAAAGGAGCTGATGCTGATGAGAACAATGAGCGAGGTGATAAAGTTCGAATGAGATGTGCCTACGCCGAACGCCCCTGTAAACTTCACAACCTTGCCGTATGTGCGGTGCCAGTCCAGATATAAGGCACCGGGTGTGTTATAGTACAAGGCCTTTTCTTCGCCCCACACCCAGGAGGAAGTCTTCGGGCCCGGGACGTGGCGCAGAACAAACAGAGAGGAGAGTCGCTGTTGGAAGAAACGTAATATATATACGAAAGCGAAAGCAATGGAGAAATGGTAGATGTACAACATGAACCTGCGCAACTGTTTGGAAGAGTCTTGGAGGGTGATATGTTGTCTGTATCGCAGTGGCACAATTGGGGATGCAATGAGGAGGACCTTTTTATGCGTCCTGGCACAACCAATTCGCGTAATGTTTTGGGCAAACATTATAAATCGATCGGACTATGATCATTCGCCGTGGCGTTGGATGCTTTCAGCGATTGATCAAGTCCTGGCACCTGATTGACGCCTTGCCTGATTAGATGACTTAGATCTAAGTCGTGGACATTGGATGAGCTGCGAGAGAACTCGAAGAAGGAAATGATGCATTCGATCGAGACAAGATTGAAAAGGCACCGTAATGAGCTCAGTCACTGGCTCGCTGCAGTACCCGTCCGCGAGTCTACTGAATCGCATTTGATTCTAATACGGAATGATGGATAACAGAGTGATGGGCGCGAAGAAGATAGGGCGGATATGTATTTCGCATGCGCGCGTGTTGAATCATCATGTTAGCAACGGACTGGGCATCAAAGTCGTGTCATTAGCCCAATGGAAATGATGATTGCTTTTCAAGGAAAAATTCGGATCAAGTATATGGCTTGCTGGTACAAGCAGTCGTGACTCGATCTGACAATCAAAAGTCAGTTGCACAGCAAAGAATGGGACAAACTGGCCGCCTTACGGCAATGATTCTGGAGTACCTTTCAGCTGAGGACAGCTGGAGCCGAGACAGAATTCGAAGTGAGCTATAACGTATTATCTGCATCAGTATTAATGATCATCGATTGATCGCTAGTACGCCCAAATAGCTATCTTCCTAACGATCCTGGCTGCACAAGGTGTCAGTCCGACAAGGTCCGACAGCGGTATCATACACGATGCTGTTTTGCGACTGATGGGTTAACCCATGCGAGAGTGTGAACTTCGCGAGGGTAGATCAATCATGGAAGACCAGGAAAGGTCAAGAACAAAAAGAACACGTGAAAGACACCGGGCCGTGTAGGGTAGAGTGCTGTGAGGAGCTCGTTCAAGTGCCATTCTGTCGTTGAGTCGCTGTGGCGAAAACCAAAAACATATGGATGTCGCAGCTGAGGAGAACATGTTGAACATGATCTGTACTTGGATGTGCCGTTGACTGACTATTCAAGCTAAACACGTTTAATGGACTGTGACGACGATATCACTGACTTAAGTGCCAGCAAAGTTCAAAAGCAACTTAAGTAATTATGGAAATATACTAAATTTGGTAATTGACCCGGCGTTGAGGCCAACGCGATCGTGTCAGTCTGTTACGAGTATCAGCTTTCTATCACCCACGTCGAGCAAATACGGTCGAGCTAGCGACGACCTTATATCGCATGTCTGCTCCCCGGAACAATTCTCCCTCAGAGGATCCTCCCAGCTTACGCCACAGGTCCAACAACGCCAACGTGGAGGTCTACGCCGGTGAAACTGACATGTCCCCACTACCGCCTTTTGGCAAAAAAGCCATATCTTCCTCATTGGACAGCATTCGAATACTACCTCGAGTACCTACAGGATCATCTTCAGACCTCGAAGAAGTCGAGCTAAGTTTGTTGTCCGAAGAGGAAAGAACGAGTGCTGCGCGAAACCTTCAAGATGGTGACGCGCAATTTTCTGCAGGTGGAACTAAAACGACTGCTATGTCTTCGAGAGACAGAAAGGCAATGACTCTTTTGATTATTCTTTGTCGGTCACTGTTATATCTCCGAGCTTTCAATCCAGTTGACATGACCTTTCCCATCAGATTTAATCCAAGGAGTTCCTGTGAGTTGTTTCTCCCCCTCGGATATCGTACCGGCAAGGATGCTTACTATTCCACGAACAGCTTGGCCTTGCTCTTGGTATGATACACCACTTTGTTCTGCTCACTCTCTGACATTTCATAGGCTCCGTCCCGTTCATTCTCCGAGAACACCTATCATATTCACAACTTGGCGTGTTCGCATTATCCAACTACCCATATTCGCTTAAGCTATTATGGTCTCCTATCGTTGATTCAACTTTTTTTCCTTCTCTTGGTCGTCGAAAATCATGGATAATTCCCATGCAACTTATAATCGGCTCTTTAATGCTCTACATAGCATCGAACGTTGGGAGATTGATGGAAAATGTACGCGGTGACTGCTAGACTTCGAGCCGCCCACACTGACGTGCAATCAGCCTGCGGATAATTTATATGAACTCACTTTTGTATTCACCTCACTGGTACTCTTTTCTGCAACTCAAGGTGCGTGCATTCGCAGCACCCCTTTGCTTACGCTGAAAATGATCTGCAGATATCGCTGTTGATGGTCCCTTATTTAATTTGTTTTCAGTCACGTCAATGCTTATATCAATCCAGGATGGGCTTTAACACTTCTCTCTCAGGAGAGTCTTTCCTACGCGTCTACATGCCAGACAATTGGGTTGAACACAGGCTTCTTCGCCTCTTTCACCGTCTTCCTAGCGCTGAATAGCGAAGCATTCGCGTAAGCAGTTCGTGTTCAGTGTCCCGACTTATTTAGTGACAATTTGCAGCGAGAGATGGGGTATTCCACGCCTCGAGTTAAGCACATATCTCCGTTTTTGCAGCCTCTTGTGCTTCGGAGTAACCTTCTGGCTAACCTTCTTCGAAACAGAGGTGAGTGTCCATCGAAAAACGTCTTTGAACAGAATTGACGACAAAATGATTCATCTCGTAGGGCAAGGAGTTACTAGACGAATCAGAAATGACTGTTACATCCGTTTACAAGACCATATGGAACATCTGCAAGCTCAAGCGTAAATAGATTCGATTCAGTTTTGGATGGTTTGGTGGCTTATCTTAACTTTCAGACGTCCAGGCGCTCATCATCATGCACTTCTTCGCAAAAATCGGGTTTCAAGCTAACGAGGCGGTCACTAGTTTGAAAATGATTGAGAAGGGTTTGGGTCGTGAAGACCTCGCTATTGTTGTCCTCATAGATTTTCCTTTTCAAATCTTGGGAGGTTGGTTTGCGGCGAAGTGGTCTAGCGGAGACAAGCCACTCCGTCCTTGGATATGGGCATTTTGGCCCCGACTGGCATTTGCCTTTTTGTCGACGCTCATTGTCTACTGGTTCCCGACGCGCCCGCTTTCATACGGGTTTTTCGTCTACCTCATCATCCACACGGTGCTACAGGGACTTGCATCGTATGCGCTATCAATGACGTGCTGAGCAAGGCTGATTTTATTCACAGAACAATTCAGTTCGTTGGGATCTCGGCATTCCACACCAGAATATCTGATCCTCTCATTGGAGGGACCTACATGACGGTATGAAATCTGGAGGTTTCCCTACTTGTCGATAATAGTCTCATGCCCATTTAGCTACTCAACACGTTTACTAATCTAGGAGGAACGTGGCCGAAGTACTTTGTGTTGAAAGGTCCGGGTGCATGTCAGCCATATTCATCGAGCGCTACTAATGCTCCCACAAAGGTGTCGATTACTTTAGCGTGGCGTACTGCGAAGTGAAGGAAGCGAAGACTGAGCTGCTTGTAAAAGGTAGGCACCAGTGTTTTATGGCATGGGCGCTGCTTGATACTCGAAACCAGCTGCCGAATGCGTCTCTGAGCGCGGTAAGGAGCTTTGTTCTGAAATCGATGGAAGATGCATCACGGAGCGCGATGGATACTACTACGTTTCGGCGATATGCATGACGTTTGGGGTGCTGTTCCTAATGATTTATATCATTCCCACTGCACGTAAACTACAAGGTGGGCGAAACACTCAATGTCACTTCGGATTTAACCGAGGTATCTGTCTAGCTCTCCCCGTGTACAGATGGCGAATTAGCCCAGAGTGAGCGTGGATGCAAATTGGGCTGGGATTTGTTTGGACGATCGTTGGTTACTTATTCTAGGTGGTAGATAGCTCGTGTTCGTTTCACAAGTTGATCTATGTACTAAGTTGCTGTTTGAGGTGGCGGTCGCCTGCCCTAAATTCAGATCGCGTCCCATATCCTATTTTCCACGGAAACGTGCAAACCATACCACTGAGATTTTTCGATAGTCACTCTTGCACTACGCAATAGCTATTAAATCAACCATTCTACACTAACCGCCACAAAACCGGAAAATGGCAACTACAACCATGCATTTTGGCCCCGAGTGGATGCGCGCGAAGCCACAAACTCCTGCTCGCCCACAGGCACCTCCTTCTCCACCACCTCCGGCAATATCTAATATACAGCAACCAAACGCGTCAACTTATTCTGCACTCGTTACACCTGCCGCCGCCCCAGAGCCTGAGAAACGCGATGAATGCCGTCCTTTCAGATATTCAAAGGATGCAATGCTCAGAATCTACAAAGAGGGTGGCGGGAGAGGTGGTCTGGGATTAGAGGTGGAAAGATGGGAGGGCATTGTACATGAGGTCAGCAGTGAACCCACAGGGTTGCGCGAAATGGGTGACGCAGAAAAGAAGGTCAGGCAAATTGGACTTATAGTTTATGTCTTCGGCCTCATTGGCTCACACGAGGCATGTAGCTTTTTGCTGGGCCACTTAATTCCGAGCTTCGGCGGCGCCAGTCTACCGACCTTATAAGCACGCTATCATCTCCATCTGATAGACCCAGGTTGAACCATTCCAATACCGGAGGAGGGAGTCCTATGAGAGGGTTTGGTCTCATGGGAAGGAGAAGAGACAGCACAGGTGAACACTGGAATGTCCCTGAACTATATTGTGATGCTGATGGAGGTTTTACTAGATCAACCGCCACTTGCACTGCCTCGTAAATTGTCTGTGTCTAATACACAAGCCAACTCTCCACGCGACGGAGCACTTCCCTCCCCTCGCACCCGAATAGGTGGCTTTGCTTCAGGATTCGACGGTGTGCTTAACGGTGGAGATTCTTGGATGGCTAGACGACGAACATCGGAGAGCATGCTGAAAGCTGGGGGAGCTTCTACGGGAACCCGTCCGGAAGGTCGAGAAGAGGATGTGAAAGGACATAACATCAAAGAAGTGGAGGAAGAACACCCAAGTGTCGCACAAAACACTGCGCTTCAGCCTGACGCTTCTGGCACTTCTCAGCGATTATCACCAATCCCTGATGTCCTGCCTCCCGACACAACACGCAACAGTCCGAGCCAGCGATCTGCGCTAAGTGCGGATTCGGTAGCCCATCGTATGACTGGAATGACTCTTGGCGAAAATGAGCGGAACTTTCATCTCAACCCAGTGGCTGACAGTCTGACGGGTCCACCACCGGGTTTGGATCCAGCCAGCATTGAGTGGTCATACCTGGATCCTCAAGGCCACGTGCAGGGTAAGTCCTTTACATTCCACTCACGAGCTCCAGAGGTGATATTCTTTCCCAGGTCCTTTTAAAGCTGATTTAATGCAGAAATGGTTTGATGAGGGCTATTTCACTCCTGACCTCCTGATGAAGCGTACTCATATTGATCGAGAATGGACTGCGGTTGGGATTCTCGACCGCCAGGCCGCTGGCGGGAAAATATTTCTTTCGCAATTCCCAATGGCCACCGGACCTCCTGGTCTCAGTATTCGCACCGATTCCCCCCAGAATTACTCCCCTGCTGCGCAGAATTACTCCCCAGCTCATGAGCATAATACATTCAGTGGCTTCCAGCCTGTACCATCCCGGACTCTCCGTACTGCAACATTGGACCCATACCTTAATAGTGCTTCTCCTTCAGATTCTCCCCCCTCGTCTTTTGGTGGCGGCAGGTTTGGCAACGGCTCTCCCGATCCTTCTGCATTGGCGGGGAGAGTCGGAAGCCTTTACACTGGTGACTCGGGACTTGGCTCTCACAGTTTTACTGGAAATCCAGGTCCGTTTGGTCCAGTTGGCGACCCCCGCTCGTCGCTCAACATGGTGCCCGGCAGAACCTCGTCATTGGACACATTCGGCGTCTATAAGAACAACAGTAACTCTCAATGGCCACCATCTATGACCCAAAATTTGCAGCATTTTGGCAGCAGCGAGCATTCCCTTGCGACTGGTTTCAACAATGGCATCGGCTCGGGCATGATGCCTGTGCCAGTGCCAATTGCGCAGAGTCACTCTTTCACACAGGAACCCTCGTACGGCGATGGGACTTACAACGCCATGGGCAGTCTCGGCGCCTCGCACGACTCACCCATCGCACGGCACCCCGTCGAGGCGAACGGTATAGGCTTCAACAACCTAAACAACCTAGGGATGAACGGCTCACCTTATACGCAGCACTTCCCCCAGTCCCCTGTCGTACCGCAGCAGCGCTCGTCTACCTCGCCGTTCGGTGAAGTTCTCACGAAGGTCGCTGAGCCGCCTGTCGTGCTGACACCAGTGTCTGCTGTGCAGCCTGAGAATGTGACATCACCATGGGGCGCACCCGAGCCTACTACTGTACGCCGCCCAGTGGCTGAGATTCCTACCCCGTCCCCAGTTGCCCAGGCACCTCCAGCGGCCTGGAGTCAACCCCCGCAACCTACCCGTACTGCTTCCAAGTCGAAAGACCCTTCGCCATGGCTGACAGCCTCCCTAGGCGTCGTGGATGATGGATGGCGCGAGGTTCCTGGCCCAAACAGCCTCACTGTGAGCAACCTCGGGCAGCACAATAAGATGTACGAGGAGGTGGATGAGGATGACAACATTGCTGTATCGGCTATTGGAGATGAGGAGGAGGAAGCTGCTACTGCACCCGTTCCCGTACCCATATCAGAGAAACCTCAGCCAGCGTCTGTGGCCCCGGCCTCCGCAATGGCTGCTCCACACATTGAGCCCCCAACATTTACAGCGCCCAAGGCCAAAGTCAAATCCACCGTCCGTGAGGCCCAAGCCCAAACCCAAGCACCTACCCCGGTCTCAGTACCGAAATCTACACCTCCCGCACCCACACCTGCCCTGAAGAGCCCATCTCCCGTCCCGAAGCCTGCGTGGGCGACTGAAGACGATGCGAAAAAGGGCAAGAGCTCGCTTGGTCTGCGCGAGATCCAGGAGGCAGAGGCAAAGAAGGCAGATGCGCGCAAGGCTGCAGAACGCGAACGCCTTGCACGTGCCAATGTGCCACCCCCACCTGTCGTCGTCGAGGATGCACAACCGTTCACCGCATCGTGGGGACTTCCAACGTCTCAAGCGGGTGTACGAGCTACTGTGACGCCAAGAGGTGGAGAAGTTGCGGGAACGCCTGCGGCGAGTGCTCCGGTGTGGACGTCAACGAGTACGGCGCCTGCCAAGAAGACGATGAAGGAGATCCAGGAGGAAGAGGAGCGTCGGAAGAAGATGGGAGTGAAGGATTCGATGGCTGCGACAGCTGCAAGGCGCGGGTATGCAGAGACTACATTCAAGGTGTGTGCAAAAACCTCTCAAATGTTGGACTACTTGTTGAACCCTTTTGGAACGCTGTGCAGGTGGTTCCCAGTGCCCAGGTTAGTGGTGGGGCATGGACGACTGTTGGCGCAAATGGCAAGACAAATGCACCTGTACCTGTACCTGCACCTGCACCTGCGTCTGCACCGGTGCCTGCTCGTCCAGCTGTCGCTCTATCCGTATCTACACAAGCGGCGCCTACGCCTCGCCCTAATGGTACAGCCGTCCGCCCGACTGCACAGACTGTCCCAAAGGCTGCTGTTGCTACCTCATCACGCGTAGACGACACTCCCGCCATGTCTACACACGATTTCCTCAAGTGGCTGAGTGATTCGCTGAAAGGGCTCAATAATTCCGTGAACCGTGAGTCATTCTTCTAGATCGTGCCATCAACTGTTTCTGATAACATGATTGGTGACCAGTGGAAGACATCACGCAGATGCTCCTCTCATTTCCTCTCGACCCAGACCCATCTACATCAGAGATAATTTCCGACCTGATCTATGCGAATAGTACAACACTTGATGGGCGGCGGTTCGCGGCAGAGTTTATTAAGCGCCGCCGGGCCAGTGGTACGGCCGGTCCAGGACCGAATGGGAAAGTGGTGTCGATCGCAGACGTGGTGAAGACGACGCCACGGACTGCTCAGCCCGAATGGGGCTTCAAAGTTGTGAATAAGAAGAAGAAGGGGAGGGCGTGAGTGGGAGTAGGAGTAGGAGAGGGATGATGGAGGTTGTTTTACGTGTTGTCTGCCTACGCACATGCATACTCATAAGCATACTGAGACGCTCATTCACTTGTTTTATCTCATCTCATGAATAATCTTGTGTTGTCGATCGAGTCCTAGCTTTGCATTAATGCAATGCTGTTTTGGATGATTGTATGTCCCGTGCTTGACTTTCGAGCAATGCCAGAGTCTTGTACTGAAGTAGGATGATTACCCCGACCATAAATCACTCAAGCCCATGTGATACAGCATGCTTGGGTTTTATTAGTACTCATTACATGCATGCTGGAGTACAGTAACCGAGTAAATAAGAACGAATAAGAACAAAGTACATGACGCAGAACATAAGTGAAATCTAAAGAAAACCATCAGGCTTCGACATTACACCACTCCTTCTCAACCAACTCATCCCCTAGAAGGAGGAACGTATCCACTTCTGCCTCACTGACGGGAGACGAAGGTGCGGGTGATTCCATAGTCGAATAAGACTCTGAATCGGACTCTGGCACGTTCACCTGAGAAGGCGTCTGTTCAGGTGTCAAGATAGAAGACGCCGCCGCCGGGGGAAAGGATGCCGAAATGTTTGTGGTGTCCGCGGAGGAATCAGCGTCCGCATGGGTTAAAGTCGTAGAATTGGGAATAGAGGCGGGAACAGAGATGCCGATGGTGTTTTGGGAAAGTGAATCTGAGGTATCAATTGCAGGTGGCGTTGGACGCGTAGCGGATGACGAATGGGTGAGGTCCGCATGTATTGGGGTGTCGGTGTCCTCAATGATGATGGCGTCCTCGACTGATGTGTCCTCAGAGACAGTACTAGTGCTGACTTCATCGACAAGCGGCTCCTCGTACCCTTCTTCCACCGGGACCGAAAGTTGAGCTGTCAACGTTTCGGAAACTTCAGAGGATGCTGTGGGAAGAGAAGCGGAAGAAGGAAGGCTCGGCTCCGCCACAGATGCGGTCGCGATCTCGATGGAAGCGGCAGGTGCTTCGATACTAGTCTCAAATACTGCAGGGTCTGCGATTGCTTCGATAGGAGAAGAGGCGGCGGGTGCGAGTGCTTCGACTGGGACTGCAGGAACAAAGACCTTGGTAGGAACCTCATCTACAGCGGTGACTTGATTGGGTGCGAGATCCGCAGAGGTGAGATTCTCCGGCTCCGGGGGGTGGACATGCGTTTGCGTTGAGCGAGCAGGCTGCTCGACAGGCACAGGGACCGCCTTTCTGGCACGAGCACGACCCCTTCGCTCCTCTACACCTCTCTCAAGCTCTTCCAGCGCTTGCTCTACGCGAGCAACGACTGCGCGTCTTGCGTCTCTTACTACGTGCGACCCGAAGCTGGGGACGTTGTCCAAGTCTCCGAGGAGCAACGAAAGCGCATGTTCCTGAGCGCGGAGGGGCGCATTGGTTGCAGCGTATGTCAACGCAAATGCATCAGCGGTGTCAAGGGCTGAGTAAGCCGGGGACGGCGAGCGCGAAGGAGAGAAATCGAGTTCAGCAGGGAACTGGAAGTCAGCGATTAGGGTTTCGAGACGGGAGGCAATGGAAGTGATCTGGGAGAGGGAAGAGGCGACCTGGGCTGGAGATGCAGAAGGGTCTTCTTCGGTGTCCGAGTCAGGGATCTCCTTGGCCTTTCCTTTGCCCTTCTGCGAGGATGTAGCTCCCTCGTCGTTGAGGTTGACGGGCGTAGAGCTAGAAACCTTAGCTGATGTTACCGGCTTGGCGGATGTTTCTGGAACAGCGGATGTTACTGGAACGTGTTCGATAGGAGGTTCGGTTGAAGTGCCTTCAGAGAGACATGCAAAGATGGATTGGAGCGTATCGCGCACGTCAGACTGGTACTCTGCCATCAGACGGTCCTCGAGCGAGGGCTCATCCTGGACAGGGGCCTTGGAGGTGGAAGCTGTGGGCTGAGTGGGGAGTTTCTGGGATTGTGGTGAGTCACATGAAGAAAAGTTAGCAGACAAATGTGAACATACAGTAACATCAGGCTGGTCGAAAGATCGAAATGCACTGAAGAATGGCTCGGGACCTGCGAGGAAGCTGTTGACCTCTGCGGCGCGGCGGGCGCGAACTTGCTGCTCCTTGAGATGAGCCTGGAGAGCAGCAAAATACTTCTGCTCTCGGACTCTGGCCTCGCGCTCACGAACGGCCTGATCTAAGATAGCGCGGTTGGCACGCTGGATTGCAGCCTGGCGGCGGGCCCTATGGAGTGCAAGCTCGTACTCGAGCATATCATGGTCGTGCGTGGTATAAGGGTAGCCGAGGTACGTGTTGAGACAGTGATCATGCTCTGGCACAAGGCTACGGATGGAATTGTGATTCCTAAGCTGCTGCTCGAAACGCAGGGGCAATGAACGCTCTCTTTGCTCTGCGAGGTAAGGATCGAGAGCGAAGGAGAGGGGGCGACGGTAGTGGTAGTTGACAGGTGTAGCAAGCAACATTGTGAACTGAACGGGATTTGGAGGAGTTGTTGATGAGAGATTGCATGTTGAGGACTGAATTTATATGGCTGGACTGTGGACTGTGCATGACGAATCCTAGTCGACGCGTCATTAATCAGTAATCACAGAGACGCGTCCACTAATTTCTACAAAGCACCATCGTACATTCGAGAATCTCTCAAATTAGGAAAGTCACATGTTAGTCACAATAGACTGTCACATATTAGTCACAACTGTCACACGAAGCTAGGACCTTCTCCACTAAAGAACGTGGATTCTACTGCAAATGATCTCTGAGCGCTGAGCAACACGGTCATTTTCACCTAGAGACCTGTACCAATTTAAAAATTAGCACTGAAAAGGTTGAACGCGCGGCTAAACCGGCAAAAGCGGCAGACACTGAGACGCGTTGTTTGGGTCCTATTTGGCTCACCTTCCTTCTCTCCTTCATGGCCTTTCCACAAGCTGCAAGTCGTTTCCTAGGTATGAAGTTATACTCTTGGAAACTCCTTGTTTTGACATTGTACTGTTCAAGTGCCCCTTGGCCTGGCCTTTGCCGTTGTGCAATCCAGTATCTATGATGTCCCAGGCGGTTTCCGTGCAGTCATGTTCGACCGCTTTTCTGGTGTAAAGGACAAGGTATGCAAACGGCTCAATGCGAAGCTTTGGTTTATAGACCATTGAATACAGCCTACTGGTGAAGGTACCCACTTCCTCGTCCCATGGCTGCAGAGAGCAATCTTGTATGACTGCCGGATTAAACCTCGTGTACGTCATTTTCGATCCGACTGTCCTTCTGCTCAACAATTCTCTAGAATATCTCAACAACCACCGGTTCAAAAGACTTGCAAATGGTCTCCATAACACTTCGTGTATTGTCCAGACCAGACGTCGAGCATCTACCCCGCATCTACCAAAGCCTCGGCATGGACTATGACGAACGTGTGCTGCCTTCCATCGGGAATGAAGTCCTTAAAAGTATCGTGGCACAGTTTGATGCTGCTGAATTAATTACGCAGCGTGAGGTGGTGAGTCGGACTCGTTCATCATCTTCGGGCAAAGTTAACACATCCTGCGCAGGTCTCGTCGAGAATACGCGCAGACTTGCTACAACGTGCCGGCGAGTTTAACATCAAGCTGGAGGATGTGTCTATCACCCATCTGACTTTCGGAAAGGTGCGTAGTTCTTTCCTGGTATTTCATTTCCGCTGACACCCCGTGTAGGAATTCACTCAGGTTCGTACGAGACTATGCCATTTTCGTAGCATACTCATAAACTTTACAGGCTGTTGAAGCCAAGCAAATAGCACAGCAAGGTAAGGTTTTTGCCGCCCTATTGCTGTGACATGCTAACATGCCGCAGATGCCGAGAGAGCCAAGTTCATCGTCGAAAAGGTGAGTCTTGGTGCCATGCACATGACCAAGTTACTGACGGCATGTAGGCGGAGCAAGAACGTCAGGCTGCTGTCATTCGTGCTGAGGGTGAAGCAGAAGCAGCTGCGACGATTTCAAAGGCTATGGACAAGGCTGGAGACGCCTTCATTGCGCTGCGTAAGATAGAGGCAAGCAAGGCCATCGTACAGAGCTTGGCTGCTAACGGGAACGTGACATATATTCCGAGCAGTGGGGTGCTTTTGAACGTACCTACAAAGTAGTACTTACTTCTAGTACTTTGTACTAACGGTGAATGGAATCGGCGATGACCGTGGGATGAATTCCCATGGGTGATGTGTTGTGGCAGTGAAAATTGGAGGGTAGAGTCCTTGATCTTAGTCGACGACGCGGAAGAGGCCAAAGTCGTTCAGTCTCCTCGTTCTCTTTTTCTTTGTCTCTTTCTCTCTCTTCTCGTGTTTCATTTTTCTGTCTATTCTCGACGGACAGTCCTTCTCTCTGATTTCAGTAATCAATTCTCCTGTGCGTCTTTTCATTTCCTCATCAATCTCTCCCAGCTCACCAAAAATCACAGCATCTCATTCTCATTCACTATCCATATTAAATCATGAATCCAATGGGTGGTATGGGCGGCCATGCGGAGGCACCAGTGAGTACGCTTCTCAATGCCCATAGAATTGGTCTCATGCATGGCAGCGGAGGGCCCATCTTTACGTTGGGAATCTGAGTCCTAGAGTCACAGAGTACATGCTCACGGAGATCTTTGCTGTGGCCGGTGCAGTTCAGCATGTCAAAATTATCCCTGACCGCAACTACCAGCACGGTGGTCTCAACTACGGTTTCGTCGAGTACATCGACATGCGCGCAGCTGAGACTGCTCTCCAAACCCTTAATGGACGCAAGATCTTCGACACTGAGATTCGCGTTAACTGGGCCTATCAGGGTCAGCAAAACAAGGAGGACACCACAGGTCACTATCACGTTTTCGTTGGTGACCTTAGCCCAGAAGTCAATGATGAGGTCCTCGGCAAGGCTTTCAACGCGTTCTGCACAATGTCCGACGCTCGTGTTATGTGGGACATGAACTCAGGAAAATCTCGCGGTTATGGTTTCCTCGCGTTCAGGGATAAGACCGACGCAGAGCAGGCCATCGCGACTATGAACGGCGAATGGCTTGGCTCCCGTGCTATCCGTGTCAACTGGGCAAATCAAAAGACTCAAGGAGGTCTGCCTGCTCCTCCACGCCCCGGAGGCAGCGTCGGCACCGCCCCCGCCCCCATTAATTTCCAGGGTGGTCCCCTCTCCTATGAATCCGTCGTCCAGCAGACTCCTTCATATAACTCCACCGTTTACGTCGGAAACCTCGTCCCGTACTGCACTCAAGCAGATCTCATCCCACTGTTCCAGTCCATTGGGTACCTTTCGGAGATTCGCATGCAGGCAGATCGTGGATTTGCATTCGTTAAGCTCGATACTCACGAGCACGCTGCCATGGCTATTGTGCAGCTGCAAGGGCAGATGGTCCATGGACGTCCCATCAAGTGCAGCTGGGGCAAGGACCGGGCTGATGGGACTCCCGCGCAACCCGGAGTGCCGCTTAGCCCGACGACTCCTGCGGCTCCCTATGGCAACATGGTGAGTATTTTCCCTTATGAAAATATTCTTTGCTCACTGATCCTATAACAGCCCATGTATGGGATACAGCAGCCTAATACCTACGGCCAGTACGGGTTTGGTGGATACGGTGGTTTCCCCAACCAAGCTGGCGCTGGTGGGTCGCCGACGCCTGGTATGCCTCAGCCTACACCTGGCGCCGTCGGTTCTGGCCTCGGTGGTGCAGGAGTTGGTGGTGCAGATCTATCTGCCGCTGGTGCTGGTGCTGGAGGTGCTGGTGCTCAGTGGCCCTCTGGAGATGCCGCTGCCTACTATGCTAACTACTGGGGTGGTGAGTAGCCTTTGTTCACACGTGCCCGCCATCTTTTGCTCAATGGTTCTTTTTCAGGATATTACGGCCAGCAAGGCCAAGGCGCCGAGGGCCAGGGTGCTTAAAGAATCCTTGTTTGCTCTGTGTCTTATTCTTCCCATTCATCATCGATATCGTGCTCGTGTCCTCTCTCGAATGTAGCCTGCGAACATCATCCATCCAAGCCAAAGTATTATTTTTTCTCGCCTCACCACTCGAATCCAAAATTGTGAAAGATGTGCTTTTGTATGGTGTCTTCATCCAAGAACAAACAGTCTTATCCTTGTGTTCCGTCTCGTTATTTTGTTATTGTCTGGTTCCAATTATTCTTTCCCCCTCCTGCGTCTTTTGCTAATCAAGTATTTCATCCGCCTCTTGTTCTTTTTCTTCCTCGTTTCTCTCCACGTCTGATTGTCCTTTCTGTATATATCCTCGGTAGATGCGCGGTTGCTCATTAAACTACGTCTACTCGACGGTGCAATAGGTTTTTTTTTGATAGCAAGGTCCACTTACCTTAAGAGTCTGATCAATTCTTGATCCTGATGTTTCGTGAGACAGAAAGGGTATGTGATTATAAGGGGGTAGTATGTGCATGAATTAGAATCTACTCATCGTCCACAATCAACCATTCGGTGTCTGATCCAAGCTCGTCTCCCCCTGCAACTTCGTGCCATCCGTCAATGTCTCCCCCACTGCCTCCCCCTCCTTGACCCCATTTCCCGACACCGAAGTACCATTGCCTGATGTTGGTTTTCCATCTCCACCATCACGCCAGTTGAGCACAGCCTGATGCCGCGAACGCATGTCTTCATAGAAGTCGTTCGCCTCGTTCATCTTGTTTGCCTGTGCTTGCTTATCATCGAGCCAACGTTGAAGGAGTTTAGCATTATCCTTCGTTAGTGTCTGATTCCGTTCATCGATCTGGCCAAGTTCAAGCTGCAGAGTATTGATTTCATCATGGAGAACCTACACACGAGATCAGGATCAGATCAGAAAAAGAGCAGATATAAGCGCACCTGAGCAGTACGATCTTTCTCAGCCATGAGTTCTGCATGCTGATCAACCTTCCTGCGCAGATGTGCGACTTCTTCGCGTGCTTTGCGGAGGTTCTCAGACTCGATACGTGATGCTTCTTCCTTCTCGCGAAGGGTTTCGTTCATGGCTAGCAGGCGTTGAGCGTTCTGACCCTGGGTCTTGTATACGGTCGCGAGCTCATCGCGGAGAGAGGAAATCTGGGATTCGAGCGAGGCCATGTACGCTGCGCGTACAGGATTACTGATTCGAGAAAACATGAGATTGACGCGCGCGAGCTGTACGAGATGGATAACTCACTCTTCGTTTGTTGCTGTTCCGGGTACATGGACCGTCGAGCTGCTTGGGTTGGCGCGAACGGAGCCGACGGCTTTGAGGAGAGATGCATTACGCTCTTTGAGGAGCTTGGTCTGTTGAGCGAGTCTGCGGTCTTGAATTGGGGGGATCAGCGTGGTCTTATGGATTGTTTATGTTATGTGGGCGTACATTGCTCGATTATGGATGCGAAAGCGTTTTGTTTTGCGTTTCGCTCTGATAGTCTGAGGCGGAGGAGCTCTTGCCAGGATGGCTCGGCCATGGAAGTATAATCGCGACTGCACGCTATGTCCGCTGCATGAAATTCGGTACAGAACGTGACAGTCAAATCACAGTCACGCAGCAAAGTCTTGAAATGGAAGGCTTTATCAAGGAACCAACGAGTACTATCACTTCCACTGCAATCGGCACCCCACAGAAGTCGGCACTTTCACAAAACTCGTATTTCTAGCTACTTAAACACAAAATTCTTAATGTAGATATCATTCTATCTCTACTACAATTCATTGCGAGGTAGAATGAGCATGATTGAAACAGAATTGAGTGAGATAGTTGAAAATGCCGAAGTCACACAGAAATGTCACCTGCCGATGTTGTGCCGTGACGGAGTTTCAATATTGCGCACACCCGCTTTGGGAGTGCCGACTTGTGCTGGGTGGTCCGCATTCCAGCAGCGGTAGACGGATCCTACATACGAGTCACGTATTCAGGGAATTGCAAATGGCCTATACAAATCCATTGCAGCTGCAGCAAAGGAGCAAAATGTGCTCACTCAATTCTACTGAAGCCCTAATGATATTTGGTCACCCTCGTAATTAGAATATATCTACTTAATACTATGCTCACTCATGCCAAATCTAGTAACAGACCTTGCGCTCTTACCTGACCGCCGAGCTGACTTCGAAACCGGCGTATGTAACATGTCATGACTAATAGTGACATTTGCGTGACTGCCGACTTCTGTGGGGTGCCGATTGCAGTGGAAGTGATAGTATATGTAAGAGGGGCCAAACTAGTCTCCTTAGCCGTAATACAGCTGGAGACCGCAGACAGTATTTATGTACATTTTGGGAACTATAGTAAACCAGTGTGCTTATAGTACACAACCAATCGTATATGGGACGTGGTATCGTTAGTCAAGACTGTTCGCATCTCACAAGAAGACCATGCGCAAGCTTACCGCATGAATCGCCGGGATTCACCGCGACAGTCTCCAGTTCATAGCGCTTCAATTGATAGGATTGCGAGACGATGAGATATTGCTAGTTGTATATATGGAAAAGGTTCACTTCACCAGCATGAAAGGTGCAGAGAACCGGATATGGTACCAATCACCGATGCACTATTGCAGGTGTTCATCCATGGCTCGGTCTACAGTTGTTTCGACGATCCGGTTCGTGAGCCAGCATTTTCCGAACGGACCTAGTCAAACAGCTGCAATCAGATGATGTTTGTCAGTCAACTGGTGTCACGGTGGCAAACCCAAACAAGAAACACTGTTCACTTGCTCCCAGAGAGCTCTTTGCCCCGGCAGGACATTCTGGTTACCACGTGGAACGACGCAGCTACAGCACATCCGAAGAGATTTAGAGTCAGCAACGCACTCGTGGCGGCAACGGTGACATGGCCAGTGACTTGGACAGCAAGGGCGCATCAGAGAACTAGTGAGAAAAGATTGTTTTTTCTGGCTTCAGAATAGTCCTTTGGGTCATTGATCCTATGTTGGAGATTCAACTCGTCATAAGCTTTCTTTCGTTTGAGAAGAGATACTGTCTAGAACTTACTTATTTGTGAATCGTCGGGAAAACTGATTGTCTCTTTGAAATGTCGACGCGAGCTTGACACCAGCGAATTCTCATGCAGCGTCAAGAGATATCGTGTTGCCACGGAGCATTAGGAACGCACAGCAAATGCATGTTTCTGGGCTGACACCCTATACCGTCTGTGTATAAAAGCGAAGTGATAACTTTCAGTTCAACCATCCAGCCCCATCCTGAAGAGAAACAATGAAGTTTACCTCGTTCACCACTATGATTATGTCTGCTGCAGTAATGGCGGGCATAGTTACAGCAATAACCCCTAACGGTAGACCATGCGCCAAAAGAGGTAATCACCTTCAGCATACCGTGTTTTGATGTCAAACTGTGTACTCACGGGTGCTTGCAGATATGTATGAGTGCGGACGGCTCGCGGGTTTTAATAAAGGCTATTCATTCTTGTTTTACTGTTCGGAAGACAACACTGTCGAGCTCATCAAGACTTGCAACTGTGTGACTTGCTGTACCGTCGTCAATGGAGGTGTAGGCGTAGACGGGTCCTTCAGCTGCACATAAGAGGAAAAGGCGAGCCTGCTTCTTGCTTGCTGTGTCCATAATGTCATAGTGATACATTACAGATGTCTCCATAATCTGTGATCCTGGCACAGGGGGAATTGTTTTAGCGTCGGCCTGACTCTACCACTGCCCGCTTGTACCTGTAGTGTTGAAGCTTAACAGTATCAAATTGGACACATACCTTGATGCGAAATGACTCTAAACCTTCGAAAGTGAAGCTTGATAAACCCTTTGACCGTGAAACATCAAGCTATAGACAAGGCTCCTTTTTTCTGCTATTCTCATATACCAGGTAGGCATTCGCATCATCGATTGTAAGGAATTGTCTTGACGTATATAGCGCCAACGAGGGAGGCATCAACGAGGGACTCGGGCTGAGATTGATCTGACACTGACCTTATAAAACAGCCTCGCCATATTCTCCTATCACAACCACCCCACTTCTAGATCCACGAAAGTGTGCAATTGCCTTCGGATTGGCCAAATATCCCCCTTCGACATCCCGCGAGCATCGGCCACCAGTAGTTTAGCCTCCCAGTTCGATTTGTCCAGGACCGCTGACAGTGGTGATAGAGATAGTGAGAACTATATAGAAGGATGCGAGGATGCATCGATGAACCTCGGCCGCGTTTTGCCTTGCGGGAGGGTGGGATGACTGGAGAGGCTGACAGTGACAACGCTGAGCATGATAGTAAAGATGTGACGTAAAGCAGCTTTAAGAGGGCTTTCATGAGACTTCCCGGCGCTTTCCGAACAAACCGCCCAAGGCAGACTTTGGACAGTCACGAAGCCTGCGTCCCCAGTCTACGTAAACCTCACGAGGTGGCACAGTACTGCAGCGCCCTAGCTCCAAAAGATCTCTACGTGAATTCTCTCCGTGAATTCATCCTCGGATAACTTGAAGAGGCTCTCGATAGGCGTCTAGGTCTCTGAGCGCCCCTACTCGAGTATTCTATGGTTACAGTGATTCTCGGGGCTATGGCAATTAAAGACCCTGGCCCGTATCGGTCAGTTGAGCTTACCATTGAGGAACGGTAACCAAGAAGATGCGGAAGTTCATTGGCAAGCGCAGTCCAAGTGACGTCGAGCGCACATAATCATGACACTTTCCCAAATGATGTGTATCCTTGGCCATGGACTCACATGCAGAAATGATTGTGCCTCGATGGTCAGCCCGTCGACGCAACCTTAAAATGGTCTTCGGGAGCATATATGTCTGTCATAGGACCGAGCCTGTTCTACACAGACGCATAGAACATTATTAGCACTGTGTGCGCCGCTGGTTGACGCGAGATAGCAGGAGAAGGCAGGTTGACGGCGACATAGGACCGTGGACTGTGACATGAGTGTGACAAGTAGCGAGCGGCGATTACCGGATATGAGCAGTCCTACGGCCTTGTTCTCCCACGAGATGTTCGAAACGCAGACATCCTTGCCGTCGTTGGCATACCTTTAATTTTCCTTTCAAATCCGCCTTTCCCTATCCTCCTCTTCCTTTTCGTTCTCTAGTCTTACTTTACCTCTTTGTATACTTTCTGCTCGTCCAGCTAGTTATGGGCGCCGTCAGCAGTTGTTGTGAATCTTGTTGTAAGCCTCACAAACTCTAATATAGACTTTTATCCCCCTCATAAATTTCCTCAAAGTCCGCTCGAGGAGATCTCAGCAGTACGAGCCTCTTCTTCTCGAGAACGAACGAGAGGCAGTCGCAGACCTTCTCCAATATCTCGAGAGTACGTATCCAACACAGCCAAAGCTGACTTCTCCTCACATGAACACATAGACCGCACAACCACCAACTTCTTTCAAGGCTCCCCCCTCACTGCGTTGACCACCCTTTCATTTTCCGATAATGTCGACCTGCAGCGCAGTGCCGCACTCGCATTCGCCGAAATTACTGAAAAGGAAGTGCGCCCTGTGGGTCGGGATACGCTCGACCCAATTCTTTTCCTCCTGAGCAGCCAGGACACGGAGGTGCAGCGTGCTGCTAGCGCAGCGCTTGGAAACTTGGCCGTTAACAGTGCGTTACACCACGCTCATGCGTGCTGCCTGTCGTGCACCTTACTGATGTCACGCGCACAGCTGATAACAAACTCCTCATCGTGAAACTCGGAGGCCTGGAGCCACTCATCCGCCAGATGCTGAGCCCAAACGTCGAGGTGCAGTGTAACGCCGTAGGCTGTGTCACAAACCTCGCGACACATGGTAGGCCCAGCGCATATCGATGGCGTTTATCGATGACTGACATGCTTCTAATTTTTGGCGTGTGCTTTTCTCGTTTGCTTCTTTCCCTTACTCCCTTTGCGCCCTAAGATGATAACAAGACGAAGATCGCCAAGTCAGGCGCACTTGTTCCGCTAACTCGGTTAGCACGGTCCAAGGATATGCGCGTTCAGAGAAACGCTACCGGGGCCCTACTAAACATGACGCACTCAGGTACGTAACAGTGCCTATCGGAGAACTGATTTAGAATTAACGAACGTTTGTAGATGAGAATCGACAGCAACTCGTAAATGCGGGTGCCATTCCCGTGCTGGTGAGCTTGTTGAATTCGATGGACACAGATGTGCAATACTATTGCACAACCGCATTGAGCAATATTGCTGTTGATGGAGCAAATAGAAAGAAACTAGCACAGAGCGAACCAAAGCTCGTAACGAGCTTGGTAGCCCTTATGGATAGCCCAAGTCTCAAGGTTCAGTGTCAAGCTGCCCTTGCTCTACGGAATTTGGCTAGTGATGGTACTTGTCATTCTCTTTTCTTTGACATTTCGTCTGTTTAACATTTGTTTTGCAGAGAAATACCAACTAGAAATCGTCAAAGCTGACGGTCTTACTTCGCTACTCCGACTACTCCAGTCTACTTACCTCCCACTCATCCTATCTTCTGCCGCTTGTGTCCGTAACGTCTCCATCCACCCACAGAACGAGTCGCCCATCATCGAGTCCGGATTCCTGCAACCACTCATCAACCTTTTGTCATTTAAAGACAACGAGGAGGTTCAATGCCACGCCATTTCCACACTGCGTAATCTTGCTGCAAGCTCAGAGAAGAATAAAACGGCGATTGTGAAAGCAGGCGCGGTGCAGAGCATCAAGGAGCTCGTACTGGAAGTGCCGATGAATGTGCAGAGCGAAATGACTGCCTGTGTTGCCGTGTTGGCCCTAAGCGGTCAGTCACGTGTGTTTCGCGATACTTTCTCTCTGCTGACGGGTTTGACAGACGAGCTCAAGGGCCAACTGCTTGAGATGGGTATCTGTGAAGTGCTGATTCCATTAACAAACTCACCTAGCTCGGAAGTTCAAGGCAACAGTGCTGCGGCCCTTGGTAACCTATCCTCGAAAGGTGAGTTTATCGGGGTTTGATCTTTCCAACAATTGACCTTTTCCCAGACGGTCGAACTGCATCTGACGACTACTCTGCATTTAATGACGTGTGGGAGAAGCCTGATGGCGGCATGCACCGATATCTTTACAATTTCTTGACGAGCGTAGACGCGACATTCCAGCACATTGCCGTTTGGACGATAGTGCAGCTACTGGAATCGGGAGATCCTCAGTTGATCAGCAATATCCGCACCTCTGGACTATTGAACCCATCGATCCGGCAGCTCGCACTGTCACGCACACCATCGGCGACATCATCCGTTGGTACGCCTCGCTCGCACCGGTCACAGTCACAGTCATATGCAGATACGGACACTGGTGAAGGTCAGGGGGAGATCCAGTTGCTTGCACGGCGAATTCTGGAGTTCGTTGACGGAGATGTTGATGGGGCAAATCCGCGAAGCGCAACCGCGTCTCATATGGCCGGGTCTTCTGTTAGTAGTGCCAGGGACGAGGAACTCAGAAGGAGCGTGCGGGAGGCGTTCTCGACTGGTTCCCATCACTAGCTAAGCGGCTAGTAAGATCCGGTATATATCCTTCGTTCACGGTCTGTGCCTCGCCTTTCCGTTGTACATCCTTTGCCTTGTTCATCGTTTTGTGCATCTCTTTTTCTTAATCGTATACTTATGTTCTTAGTTTGTTTTGTTTTGTTTCGTGACTGATGAGTTTTCTTTTGACGGTTCCCGATGCCTTATGTTGATTGAACGGTGACGATTACGACTGAATGCTTGTGCATAGCTAGTACCTGACGAATAGATTTTACTGCTGGCGCCGCAACGTTGGACCAGGTGGCCCGGCCGTGCTGTGCGGCGTGTAATGGGGCTAAATTTAGAATCCTATTGTTCCACGACGCTGTGATCAATATTTCTCATCCTTGTACCGTAGCACAATGAACAATGGTTATTGCGGCTTTCCTGTCCTCAAAATCCCTCAGGTCTGAAAATTCTCTGTCTGTTACTTAACGATTTTTCTTCATTTTAGACTTCACCTGCCCGGACGGTTGATCCGCTCAGAAGGCTTACCAGCTTGCGCCTGACCGGCCTCGTGTTTTCAAAAGGCCGAGGCAATTCAATTTCTTTCAACTGAAGCAGACAGAACGGGTTAATCGCGTGGTTCCCTGGCTTGATAAGGTGTGTTGGCGTTGGTGTTTCTCTCCGACTCTCTTTCCATTTCTCTCCTAGTGGTACTTATTATTGGACCACCAGGACTCAATAAATTTTCTTCGCTGCTCACGCACTGGATCGTGGCCCGGTGCTTCGATCATTCGTGAGCTCTTTTATTCGCAAAGCACATCCACCGTTCAATAGAGATTTTACCCTTACCGCATTTACGACCCGCCATGTACACTTTCCTTCCGCTCATTGCTCTCGTACTCGTCCCCACACCCCTAGTCCAAGGGAAACCATTCCTCCTCAACCACGCGCACAAGGTCGCCGTCAAGCACAGCGCTGGCCTCGCACGAGACCTCCGCGTGGCGTTCAGTAGTATCCTCACCACACAACCTAGCACCCCATCAGATCAGAATTACTACTGCGTTGGCTCAGATGGCGAGGGCGTCACCATGCCTTCATCAGGCAACTCTTCATCTCCAACCACGAAGGCAAACACGACTTCAACTGGAACGGCTGCGCCGTCAAGCACGAGTGTTGCATCATCGCCTTGGAAGGTGACAGAGAGTTACAGCGGGCAGACGTTTTTCAATGGCTGGAGCTTTTTCACTGGATCCGACCCGACAAATGGGAATGTTCAGTATGTAGATCAAGGCACGGCGCAGAGCGCAGGTCTTATCCAGATAAACTCGAAGGGGAACGCCGTGATGAGCGTTGAAACTACGCCACAAGTGCAGACCAATCGCCAGAGTGTGCGGATCACCACGCAAGCCACGTTTGATGGTGGCTTGGTTGTAATGGATGCCGTGCACATGCCCACTGGTTGTGGAACATGGCCTGGTATGTGACAATGTGATTCTACATTGCATTTTGCTGACATCAGCGTCAGCCTTTTGGACAAATGGCCCTAATTGGCCAGCGGGAGGCGAGATCGACATAATAGAGGGCGTGAACAACTACACGAACAATCAGGCGACGATTCACACTAACCCAGGATGTATATTACCCTCCACCAGCAGCACCCAGCTTAACATGTCTGGAACATTGGTTGCATCCACTGATTGCTCAGTAGCTTCCACTGCCAACCAGGGGTGTGGAATTCGTTCTAACCTGAGCAACTCGTTTGGGTCAGGTTTCAATGGAATTAGTGGTGGTGTTTATGCTAGTAAGTACCTTCGGCATGGTCTTCTTTCAATACGCTAATGGTGGATACAGTGCTCTGGGACAGCTCCGGCATCAAAGTGTACTTCTTCCCTCGTGGATCGATTCCATCCGATATATCTGCAGGAGCACCGCAGCCTCAGAATTGGCCGCTTCCTATGGCTAGCTGGCCCTCAACAGATTGCAATCCATACCAGTACTTCAATACCCATTCCGCCATCTTCGATACCACGCTTTGGTAAGTTTTTATTCATGCACAACTGAGTATCTTGATGATAATCGGCATGTAGCGGTGATTGGGCAAGCGCCGTCTGGAGCGGCACAGGCGTACCTGGGCAAGACGTAAGCTGCGCACAACAGACCGGCTTCTCGACGTGCTCGGCATTCGTCCAGGCTAGTGGTGGTTCTTTCAGCGAAGCTTGTAAGTTCCGTATTTTGTCCACGTTCCTATCCAATGTCACTCACTGTGGCTACAGATTGGGAGGTATCTAGTGTTAAGATCTACAACAACACGTCATCATGAAATATTCACTCCTGTGGAGGAAACACACGCTTATTTAGATCTATCGATGTATTTGTTAGGGTATATATTGTAGCTCTACATATCATGAAATACACACGGCCACACACACGCCAGCTGGTGTTTTATGTTACGAGTGTAATCCCAAAGCCGTTTATATCAAGGTGATTTCACAGATTATCATCGGGAGATGCTCATCTATATTCCATGTACGTTCCCATAAACGGCGCTATGCCTCTGCGACAGTCCTAATCATGAGATCTCCCCTCCGCTCTGCCTCACCAGCCTCCATTCGAGCAGAATGGCTTCCAAACTGCATCGCTTTTTTCTTCCTCACGCTCGCCTCAAGAAGCCCCACCTTTCGCGCAGCAAGCCGCAGCAACATTTTATCGCCGAGCCCCAGCTCAAGCCGTGGATCAAGCTTGATGTGCACAGGGAGTCCCGCGAGGAAAGAGACAACCGTGAGCGAAAGGAAAGGGTGCCGCGTTTCCTTGCCGTGAGAGGAAATGACGCGGTCGTCTCGTCCGAGATTGCGAGTTGGTATACGATCGAGTTCGAGTTGGAGCTGGATGACAGCATGAGAGAGTTGTTGTAAGCTGTGGGTGGAGCGGGTAGCTTACCTCGTCGATGACGCCCTGCCAGCCTCGAGTCGCGTACGCAGTACGGTGACGGCCGTATCCGCCAAGTAGCTCATCGGACCCGAGACCATTGAGGAGGACTCGTGCTGTGCTGGTGTATGGCTGATAATCATTAGACGCCGACGAAAATCGTACCCGGCCAGCCCCTTTGGAGGCAAAATACAGCGCCATAGCAAGGCTCTGGGGAAATGGCATCAGAACGTTGTCTAGCTTAGGAAGATAACCTTACAAGATCCATTACAGTTCTTCCAGGGAACATGATGGCTTCGACAGGTGCTCGCGCAGCTTGAAACTCCTGTTTTACGGATCAGAAGCATCCTCGATCTAGGGACGTACACACAGACCTCGTATGGAACATCCACCTCGACCTGGTGGAATGAACAACGTTTTTGCCGAAGAATTCATAGACTCACAAAATTCCATGTCCGGCCGTGACATATCCGCCTCAACTCTTCAACCTCCTGCAAGCCTGTCACACGGTCTGGAACCATGTACGAGGTGGATTCCTTCACGATTCCATTGGTCTCTGCTGCTTTGAGCTGTCGCTTCTTCTCGCGCTTGGGAATAGCCCCTATGTTACCATCGGTTTGAACCTGTATTTTCCGCGGATTTTCGAAAGCCACATTAAGGAGGTCTATGGGTTCATCTAAGGGTACGTGTCTAGAGAACACGAAATAATAAGAAACGCCAAAATGGAGGATAGCATCAAGGTACCTATGTGCAAGGAAGGCTAGCACCGTTGAATCGATACCGCCACTGAAGAGGACTGCGACCTGCGCTTTCCCCTTTTCGGACGACGGTTTTCGCGGTATGTTTTCAACGCGAAGCATCACGCTTCTGTCAAGGTGGTCGATAAGGTGATCAACGGCGATGGCCAGATCGTACGGTAGTATTGCGGGGTCCAACGAGAGAACAAGCGGTGGTGCATCTGGAGGAAGCGCAGTGTTCACGCGACTAAGCTTTGCCTACAAAAGGTCAAATCAAGGAAACCAGATGTCATCTCAAATGCACTCACAAATGGCAGAGTTTCCTGACCCGTATGCCGTGAAATGCATGTCAAGCTGCTGTCGAAATTTTGCGCGACCTGCATAGATTAGCAACTACAGTGCGTCTACCATGGGCTGGCTTACCCCGTTGGATTCGCGCAGTTTTCCTAAATCAAGGCAGAAGATCCCCTCAGTGGATAGTTCTTCCATGATACATCCCTGATCATCTCCGATAGAGACAGATGCAAGTAAGAAATAGGGATTAGAGACAGAAGGCTTGTGAATGAGCAGAGATCGGCGTCCAAGGGGGTCTCGAGCAAAGTATAATTTTCGAGATGCGGCCTATGCACGGAAATATCAGAAGATACATTTGAATACTGCCAACGCAGCCTACATGGTAATAGACGAATGCATATCTATCACGTATTAAACTTCAGCGGGGAAGGATGCACCCACAACACAAAGAACTCACGGCCCCTCGATCTTCCCCAACAGGAAAGGGAGATCATCCATCGCGGACAGGGAGTGTATGCTTTGGAAGAGCTTTACACCATCGTTTTCATCTGCATTGACCTATGTCAAAATATTGTTAGCCTTGGCCACAGCGACAGGGCCTTCGGACTGACAGCCAAGCCTTCGAATACTTCGCCATTCCAGCAAAAGACATCCCCATCCTGTTCATGGGGCTGTACTATGGGTGCGTCGCCTCGAAGTCGGAGCTCAGAAGCAAAGAACTCGAGGTCGAGTGTGCATGTCTCGTTCTCATTTGTGGCCTGTGCCTCACCAGGGCATGTCCCTTGAATTCGGACGTGATGGGATCCTTGTGCATCAGGACCTGTGGAGTACCTCGATCGGTTAGCCTAGCCGTCGAACGGGAGCGCATCAAACACACCACGAGCGGCATTGGCGACTTTTAATCGCTCGGACAATTCGCGAAAAGCCTCGTCCGGTCCGCCACGGATGTTATCGATGTCGCCACAACTTGAACATCCTACGTGAAGCGAGCAGATGATGCCGCACATGAAGATTCTGAGAGGAAATTAAAAAATGAAACAATAAAATATTACTATCGATCGAATCCCGGGCCGTTAACCATTTGATACTTTTGATGAGGCTGAACTCGCACCGATGGCATGTCGCTCATCTGATCACGCAAAAATCATCGAAGGAGTCAGAAATCAGCAGTCATTGATTTATTTTACTACTCCCACAACATGATACGTATCATACTAATAGTGCACCCGAAATACAGTTGCAATACAAAAATTGATGAGGTAAACGCTGCAGAATAAAATCTATTGAGACAGAACAAGTCAGTTGTATGTATTTCATATACACCTTTAAGCGGAGTATGAGCTGGCAGAGACATTGCCTCCACGTCCGGTCCAGTTGATGTCTGAAGGTAACCTGGTTAAGAGTGTGCAGACAGATAGAGACGGAGCACATACGGATGTCCCGGTCCTTAACTAGGCGGGGGTTCTCCTTACCGGGCATCACACGGAAGGTGTGTGCACCGAAGTAATCACGCTGGACGATTGGTGAGCATGTTATCTGGTCCGACGTGAAGTGGGCATACCTGAGCCTGGAGGAGGTTGGCGGGAACAACTTCGCTCCTGTAACCATCGAAGAAAGCAAGGGCAGTCGAGAAAGCGGGAGTGGGAATGCCCCAAAGGACGGCCTGAGCGATGACACGCCTCCAGCCGGGTTGTGCTTTGTGGACAGCTGCACACAATGTCATTGGACAGTACCAATAAGTGACTAAGTATACGAACCCTTGTTGAAGAAGTCATCGAAGAGCAAAGACTCAAGGTCCTTGTTCTTCTCGTAAGCGGAAGTGATGTCACCAAGGAACACACTCTGTGACAAAAGATGTAAGCCTCGGGAGCAGAATATTTGTGTTCACATACCTTGATGATGCATCCGCCTCGCCACATACGGGCGATACCAGCGTAGTTCAAGTTCCAGCTCAACTATAGATTCCTCATTTGAGAGTATACTTTGGTAATTAGAAGGTCACGAACCTCCTTGGCAGTCTCCCTCATGAGCATAAAGCCTTGCGTGTAAGAAATGATCTTGGAGGCATACAATGCCTGTTCAAGGTCATCAATGAACTGCTGCTTGTCGCCGCGGAAGGATTCCCTTTGGGGGCCATTGATAACTTTGCTGGCGCGCACGCGCTCTTCCTTGATAGCAGACAAGCAACGTGCAAACACAGCCTCACCAATGAGCGTGACTGTTAATTTCCAAACCTCGGTCAGAGATCGCACTTAGTTCGGATCTGGATGATGGCATACCGGCAGTGCCAGCGTCAAGGGCAGCAATTGCAGTCCATTTTCCGGTACCCTTCTGACCAGCCTTGTCGAGAATTTTGGTAACGAGGGGTTCACCGTCGTCGTCGTTGAATTTGAGAATGTTGGCGGTAATCTCAATGAGGAAGGAGTCAAGGACACCCTTGTTCCACGTTGTGAAGATATCAGCAATCTCGCTCTCGCTGATACCAAGGCCACGTTTGAGGATATCGTAGGCCTCAGCGATCAACTGCATGTCACCGTATTCGATACCTGGAATGATTTCCTTAACCCCACAAACTACAGGGGGACAAATAAAGATAATCACCATTGTGAACCATCTTGACGTAGTGACCAGAACCAGTCTCGCCAACCCAGTCACAGCAGGGTTCACCGTTGACCTGAGCAGCGGTTTTCTGGAAGATCTCCTTGATAGCGGGCCAGGCAGCGGTTGAACCACCAGGCATGAGGGAGGGACCATGACGAGCACCCTCCTCACCACCAGAGACACCAGAGCCGACGAAAAGGAGGCCCTTGGCTTCAAGCTCCTTGGTGCGACGGATAGAGTCAGGGTAGTGAGAGTTACCGCCATCGATGACGATATCGCCCTTCTCTAGGTAGGGCTCGAGTTGCTGAATAAAGCTGTCGACGGCAGGACCAGCCTTGACAAGAAGGATGATCTTGCGAGGGCGCTTAAGTTTTGCGCAAAGCTCCTGGATGGAGTGTGCACCCTGGACCTTGGTACCTATAAGGACGATTGGGGTAAGAGATAGGGATGGAGGGGTATGAGGTCATAAATAACCTTTTGCCTCGTTGGCGAGGAAATCATCGACTTTGCTGGTAGTACGGTTGTAAGCAACAACGGTAAAACCTTTGTCGTTCATGTTGAGGATGAGATTTTGACCCTTTTGTGAAATTCAGTAAGATGGAACGGCTGATATGCATAGATACCTTACCATGACGGCAAGACCGATGAGGCCGATATCACCTCTGCGGGAGAGAGGGGTCAGTGTATTCATACTAGACGACGACGACGACGAAGACCTACACTGGGGCCGACATTGTGGATTTAAGGTTGATGTGGTTATGGAATAAGAGAGGATGATGGAATTGTGAAGGAAAGATGGGTTGCGATCCGGTTGGATTGCCTAGATTAAGAGTCCAGCGGAGCGCAATGGCGTGAGACTCAAGATATCAATTTCCTCCCATGATCTGATTCAGCCAAATGGATGGCGATGATCCTGATCACAGCCCAATGGCTCAATTCACTTGATAATCAGAATCCAAGCTAATCTTTCCTATCGTTTGCGTTATTATCGCAAATTTGCCTACGCCCAAAGCATGTGGTCTAAGGAGCCTAAGGCGCATTCGTCGTAGCAGCACTGACTCTCTCGTGGGCAACATGACAGACAGCGAGAGAAAAATCTCATGTTCTACTGCGAAAACAAATGTTTGAGACTCACTGACGATCTCACACAACATATCGCGGTGAGGACAAGGCAGCCGCCAGCCAGTGAAAGATTGTTCATCCGAGCCAATAGCAAACCGGTCGATCCGGAGACAATTCCCAGTCCTTCAGCGCCTAATGAACGCGTGCGCCGGAACCGTGTCTTCTCTAACCCAAGCTTAAAGTAACCATTGCCACGGAACACGTCCATCTTGTGACGAGGGCAAATCTTGCTTAATACTCTGGGACAGCTTATAGAATTTGAACTACATATAGATACAACTGCTTACTGTACCTGCCACTGCGTCTCGACGGTGTTACACACGAGCGCGAGTGACACATGTCATCTGCTCGACAATCTTTCCCTCTCTCCATCAATACAGGCCAGAATTCGGGTGTCACAGTAGTGTGCGAAGGATGGGTTCTCAAGAAGAGAAGGAAAAAGATGCAAGGTATGTTCCTGACCTCCAACTCTTAGCTTTCTCAGCTAATGGAACTCCCGTCGTGGTGCAGGATTTGCTCGGAGATACTTTGTCCTCGACCAGTCCGGTTCCTTGTCCTACTCAATCGATCCAAAGCGTCCCATACGCGACAAAATATTCCTCCCTCACGCTGCGCTGTCCACTGCTGTTGGTCGTAAAGATATACACGTAGACTCGAGTAATGCCACGTTTCATATCAAGTGCTTGACCGCAGATGACTTCAATACATGGTTAACTGCAATAAGGTGAATCAGGATTCTGGAATTCTGACGTGTTTGACACTAAGAGTGGCACACGTAGACAGTTTGTCCTTCCCGAGGGACGACGGTCCCTTGCAGGAAAGACCACTCCTCGCCTGAGTCAATCCCAGTTCAATAGATCTGGCGTTATTGCTGAAGATATTGGCTCTGTATGTCCTCGCCCCATTGCGCAGCACAAATGCGCGTCGCTGACGCGCTCAACAGACGATATCTGAGTTGGAAGCTGCTTTCGCCGCCCTCCAATCCGAAAGTACACATGAGAGGAGTCACCCTTCACTGAAGTCCAAGTCGGAGAAGGATAAGCATCATCACCTTCCGTTCAACATGTTCAAAAAATGTGTTCCTCCATCCTTCCTTTGGTTCACTGCATTTGTTGACCCCAAGTCCTTTCAGCCCACCAGATTAACGAGGACGGCACGTTACCGAAGAGCAACCTTGATTCTCCGTCGAACCTTCGCTTTCAACAAATTGACACTGCCCTCGCAGCTCTCAAGTCACAACATGCTGCCCTACTGAAGTCCTTGCAGGCGCATGATGGCACAGCACCACCAACAGCTCGCGGCTCTCCTCTTCCCCCAACTACAGAAGAGAAGGAAGAAGAACCCCTCTCAGCTTCACGCTTCAATACATCACTCACTCGTAGATCAAACTTGGCGATTTCCATGTCGAGTCTGAGCGACACCACACCTAACGAATGGTTTGACGCCGAAGAGGATGTAGGCGAGGAATTCTTCCTAGACGTGCCCACTCCAGATGAGGAGATGGAGCTCTTTGTTCCCCAATCCGACACTAGTAGTTTAAATCAAACCGAATCTGGCGACGAGGAGAAGCCTTCCACACCTCCAGCCCATGATCTAGATCCCTCCGTGAACGCTCGTCAAGTGGTACGACGGACGCGCTTACCTTCGGGACCGGTCGGTGACGAGGGCAGTTTATTCGCTATTCTCAAGAACAATGTCGGAAAGGTGACTTTTCTTGCTTTGGATACCACAAACTCATCGCTAATGGACATGTCAAAGGACTTGTCTACGATCGCCTTTCCTGTGTCGTTCAACGAGCCCCTGACTTTGTTGCAACGCACAGCAGAAGAACTGGAATATTTTAATTTGCTACATCAAGCAACTGAGGCTAATGATCCCACTCAACGCTTATGCTTCGTTGCCGCGTTTGCTGTGTCCGGGTATGCACACACAAGATATCGGACCGGTCGCAAAGGCTTGTAGGTACACCCTATTTTATTTCTTCCGATAGCCCTAACAACAAGGTCAGCAATCCCATGCTCGCTGAAACATTTGAAGACGTGCGAATGAAGTTCCTGGCCGAGAAGGTGTCGCACAATCCTGTCATAATTGCATACCACGCAGAAGGCAAAGGCTGGGAATTGAACGCGACTTCGGCCGGGAAAACCAAGTTCTGGGGTGAGGATGTCTGATAGCAGTGCCAGTGCCACGTTGATGTGCTTGATTTAAATATAGGCAAGAGCTTGGAAGTCATTCCCCTTGGGACGACGCGGCTGAAGATTGGGAATGATGAGTATGAATGGTGAGTAACGGTTCATCGTGCCTTTACCGTGTATTACTCTGACACTGACAGGAACAAACCTTCATCATTTATGCGAAACCTGATGATGGGCACAAAGTACCTGGAACACTGTGGCAAGATGACGATTGAAAACACGACGAGTGGTGCAACTTGCGTCCTTGACTTCAAGCAAAGTGGGTATTGGGGTGCATCTAATGAAGTCTCTGGGGTGGTTCTCTCTTCATCCCGTGAGGTATCTGCCCGCATAGAAGGCAAATGGGACGAACAAATCGCGCAAGCGCTCGACTCTTCCTACTTGCACGTCCTCTGGCGCATCACACCATTCGAGAAGGAGTCCCCACAATACTATGGCTTTACTGCATTTGGCATGACGTTGAACGAGATCACGAGCGACCTCGAGGGTCGTCTGCCTCCTACGGATTCGCGATTCCGGCCCGATGTGCGTGCACTAGAACATGGGGACGACAATGAGGCGGAGGCTCAGAAGACGCGCGTTGAGGAGATGCAGAGGGATAGACGGAGACGGGGCGCGGACCGAGCTCCAAGGTGGTTTAAGCAGGACGGGGAAGAGTGGACATATGCGGGAGGCTATTGGGAGGCTAGGGCAAGGGGGTGGAAGGACACTCCAGTCGAGCCACTTTGGTGATAGGCTAGGACTCTATTGACACTCCATCTCTATTCATACTACACTAGATTAGCCTCTTCAAATTCGGATCTATATCATGATGTGGCCCATCCGGGCGTGTTTTTGAATAGGTTTGAATGCAGGTATGTCAAGCGCGTCGAAATGGACGCGTTCAGCATATCCAAAAATGGACGTAATAGTAGAAATTGAAAATTTGCAACCGAACCGAACACGAAAACGTTTTCTCCTCAATAAAAGACCGTGCAGAGGCAGGCGAGGAGGGCTGCAGAGGACGAAGATGATTTCAACAACCCTGCGGAGCAGTGCTCTCGCCGCAGGACCCACACTCCGGCGGTGTCTGGCAACGCATGTGCCGTCTTATGAAAAGGACTGTTCTTCGATCACCCCGCCTTATGCCCAGCTTATTGAAAAATTGGAACGCGTTCGGGAGCTCCTGAACAACCGGCCTTTGACCTTGGCTGAAAAGATCTTGTACAGTCATCTCAATGACCCCGAGAAGAGCTTGTCTGGAGGAGGGAAGATAAGGGGAGAAAGCTACCTGCAGCTCACGCCTCAGCGAGTCGCAATGCAGGACGCTTCCGCTCAGTATGTTATTATTGCACGTTATTCTGAGCCGGTCTTGATCATGTACCCGTTCATAGAATGGCTTTGTACGCATTGTGTTCAATCTTGGTGTAACGCCATGATATTGACGTTTCTGGCAGGCTTCAGTTCATGAGTGCTGGTCTCTCTCGATGTGCTGTTCCAACTAGCATACACTGTGATCATCTTATTCAAGCTATCAACGGTGCAGAATCAGACTTGAAGGTATGGTTCCGTCTTCTTCAGGACAGCACGTGTTGCTCATCAGACGAATAAAAGAGGTCGATTGCCTCCAATAAAGAGGTGTTCGATTTCCTTGAAAGTGCTGCTCGCAGGTACGGCATCGAATTCTGGAAACCAGGCTCTGGTATCATTCACCAGATCGTACTCGAGAACTATGCCGCGCCAGGAATGCTCATGTGAGTGCATCCGTGTTGTGTCGGCCTTGCAGGTTTTGAAAAATGACAACAAACAGGCTAGGCACAGGTGAGTAATTTCGTGAGGAGTTGGATCATCAAACTGACCTATTGGTAGACTCACACACGCCTAATGCTGGAGGGCTCGGTCTGCTGGCCATTGGTGTTGGAGGTGCTGATGCGGTTGACGCCATGACTGGAACTCCTTGGGAACTGAAGGCCCCTCAAGTTGTTGGTGAGATAGATTAATTCACGGTTACGCCGTGCTTTCTAACTAGATTGATGTCAGGCATACACCTGACCGGGAAACTCAGTGGTTGGGCAACGCCTAAGGACCTGATCCTTCACCTTGCTGGCAAATTGACCGTCCGGGTGAGTAAACGAACCAACTTGTGAAAATGAATTACCAACACATGTACAGGGAGGCACTGGACGCATTTTGGAGTACTTCGGCCCTGGTGTGGCTAACCAGTCATGTACAGGTGAAATGAAGCCATAAATGTAGGTTAACTTCGCACTTATCATGATTCATTGCTAGGTCTCGCTACCGTTGCTAATATGGGAGCTGAAGTCGGTGCTACTACCTCGACTTTCCCTTACACGGAGAATATGCAAGCGTACTTGAATGCAACTGGACGTGCGCCTGTCGCTCGTGCTGCTGACAAGGCTGCATCATTGGGCTTCCTGAGCGCCGATAAGGGTGCTGAATACGATGAAGTCATTGAAATCGTACGGTCGTACTTTATCCAGCGGACTGGGTATCTTATTTGCATCTACAGAATTTGTCCGAGCTTGAACCAACTATCAACGGCCCTTTCACTCCTGATTTGGCAACACCTTTGTCGAAGTTCGGGACTTTTGTGAAAGAACAAGGTTGGAAGGACGAGCTTTCCGCTGGCCTTATCGGTTCGTGCACAAACAGCTCATACGAGGACATGGTATGTTGTTCATAGTTTGATTATACATCACTAACCTAACCCGACGTAGACGCGAGTGGCAGAGCTGGCAAAACAAGCAAAGGCCGCTGGCTTGGTCACCAAGGTTCCTTTCCTTTGCACTCCCGGTTCAGAACAGATTCGTGCGACTATGGAGCGCGACGGTGTTACAGACACTTTGGAAGATGTCGGCGCTGTTGTTCTGGCAAATGCATGCGGTCCTTGTATTGGTCAAGTACGTAATACATTTGCGCTCAATCACAGACTTTTGACCTATTTGCTTAGTGGAAACGAGATGATATGAAGGGTGAAGAAAATGGTAAATGACTCTAGTAAATACCGATTGAACGAGCTAAACTTCTTTCCAAAGCAATTTTGACATCTTTCAACCGGTAAGAGCACGCCAATCACTTTTTCATGTGGCATTGCTTATTTTCAATAACGCAGGAACTTCAAGTCTCGCAATGATGGAAACCGGCTAACTATGAACTTCCTCGCGTCGCCTACGATCGTGACAGCCATGGCATTCTCTGGCTCGCTGTCGTTTAATCCGATGACGGATACCCTGACTCTGCCCTCTGGCAAACCGTTCAGATTCGCTCCACCCGCTGGACAAGATTTACCAACAGAAGGTTTCACTCAAGGCAACACCGACTACTACCCTTCCCCCACGCCAGAGCCACAACCAGAAACTGAGGTGGTCATTCGTGCAGACTCTCAGCGTCTTGAACTGTTGGAGCCTTTCCAAAGTCATTTCGGTGACAGGGGTCTGGAACTCCCGCCCTTGAAAGTACTGATGCGTGTAAGAGGGAAATGCACTACTGACCACATCTCTGCGGCTGTAAGTTAGATAGATGTCTGCTCAAGTCGCCCAGCTAACCCATGAACAGGGCCCCTGGTTGAAATACAAGGGACATCTTACCAACATTTCTGAAAATCTTCGTACGTCTATGCGTACTCTTAGCACAGTTCATTCTGACTATTATTTACAGTTATCACGGTGTGTCGCGCAAGCTGCCATTTTGTAAGTGTGATATTAAACTTGACCCAATTCAGGCTGTGAACGACGAAGGGGGCGACGTGAATGTTGCATTCGACCATGATCGTGCCGCTGGCGAGACTGAGACGGACACCATTCCAGCAGTCGCAAAACGATTCAAAGCTCGCGATCAGCCTTGGACTCTGGTCGTTGATGACAACTACGGCGAAGGTAGTGCCCGTGAGCATGCTGCACTTCAGCCTAGATTCTATGGTACGTTGTAGTATCTCGCGTTGCACTCGAGTAATATCTTAATGTCGCGTTAGGGTGTGCAATGATCGTCGCAAGGTCTTTTGCTCGAATTCACGAGACTAACTTGAAGGTGAGTTGTGGCCGAACAACTGTGAGATATTGGTTTAATTGGGATGCAGAAACAAGGAGTTCTTCCCCTTTGGTTCGCCGACAAGGCCGACTACTCTCGCATCGGATCAGGCGACGTAGTTGAAACCATTGGCTTGGCAGACCTTATCGAGGGACGACAAAACGCCGCAGTGAAGCTCAAGGTCACCAAGCGCACCGGCGAGGTATTCGAGATACTCACAACACACACCATGTCGGAGGATCAGTTGAAGTGGTTCTGCGCGGGTTCTGCTCTCAACTTCATTCGCTCACAGATGTCATGATAAGCCGATTATATTCTAAAATGTAATATACAAAAGCTATGAGTGGATACTATTAGGGGGCGCATACTACCTTGTACTCGTCAAAGACTGTCCTAGGGAAGTCAGTTGTTGAGATCCGATGTGGTCTTGTTCTTTGAGTGCATTCAAAGCTTGCTTGGCAAGAAGGACAGCAGATTCTGGCATGCCTGCCAGTTGAGCAACCTTGAGGCCATGGCTATCTCGATTCACGCCTGGCCGCAGACGGTGGGAGTAGGCGAAATGATTGTCCTGATAGGCTCCTCTGAGTAGACATAAACACGAGTTCATAGTCACTTACGTCTATCTCATCAACATCTGTACAAAAGAACCCGACTTCGTGGAAGACGCCGCCGCCACGGTGACTATCGGAGTAACCAAGCATATCTGCGAGTTCATGAAAATGAGTTGCAAACAAGGCTCGACACTGATTTTGGGTCACGAGATAATGGACGGCAGCAAATGCTATCGCTAGACCATCTTTGACAGTGGTTCCACGACCTACTTCATCCATGATGACCTACAGGGTTTTCAGCTTTCATACATGCTGGAATGAGTAAACCAACAACCCACCAAGCTCTTTGGAGTTGCCCGGCGCAGGATTTCAGCCGTTTCGAGCATCTCCACCATGAAAGTACTTCTGTCGCGAAACAGATCATCCTTGGCCCCTACTCTGGAAAAGAGTTTATCTACAACTCCGATGACAGCGTGGTCCGCGGGTACAAAGGAACCAGTTTGAGCGAGTATAGCAATCAAGGCTGCTTGTCGCAAAAATGTTGATTTCCCTGCCATGTTCGGGCCTGTGATTATGTGAAGCCAGGAGGCACGTTCTAGTGCCACGGAGTTCGGGGTGAAGACTCGACCTGAAGTGAGCAGACCAAGTTCTACGGTTGGATGTCGTCCATTGGTAACCTCATATGTCGTGCTCATATAACGTAAGTTAAGGGCCAGGGGGATGTGCATCGACTAACGTACTTATCAGTGATAACGGGCCTTGTGAACCGTAATTCAGCTGCTAGACTCGCAAATCCGAGGGCAACATCCAATTCGTCCATTATCCGCGCATTTCTTCGAAGATGGGTCGCAAAGGCTTTGACCTGATTTTTTCATGAACCTGTGGTAACACGTTCGGGACAGGGACCACTCACCTCATTGCGCAGCAGGCTGAAAGCTTCCTTCTCAGCATTCGTGATCGCCGCCGCCGTTTCAACTAGCTGATTGCCTAGAGACGACCATGGCTACGGCCGATCGTTTTAAATGAGGCGCTGTTCATGAAAGAGGAAGGGGGACGAACAGACCTGGTAAAAATAGGAGCTCGTCGAACCGCTCTCCGATATATTAATGAACAGCGGCGATGCCTTCACAACGGCCTGGTCTCTTCTCGAGCGACCGATGTGGACATGCATTCCTTGTGCAGGGGAAGTCCGCAAGGTCAGAGAAGGTGCTTCTACTCAACTGAGTCAGTTGCGGCCCGAAGTTAGATATGTGCCTT